CATAGATCGTATAATATCAAGCGTAGGCGACAGCCCTTCGGCATCCTGCTTCAGTATGCTATTAAGAAGGATCTCCTCCTCGATTGGAGTGAGATTGCTATTCTGTGGCATATAGTCCTCTCGAGCAGGACTTCCTTTCAATCTCCGAAGCAGCGTTGATTTTGAGACACCGTAGGTTTTTGCAGCAGCATTTACAGATCCTATGTCACCTGATCTGAAAGCTGATATTGCAAGCAGTACACTCCCTTCGTTTGAGCTCTTTTGGACGCGTTTTGATGGTGCCATCGCGTGTTGAAGTTGTTGTTGTTATGGACACGTAATTCGTGGACCACGCCGTGGGGTGGACCGCGCTCTGGTGTTTGACGTTAGCAATCCCTCAAGGGGACTAGAAGCGCATCTTCTCAGGGCTGGGCTTCCAACCCAGACAAGATCCACGCTCATCTCCGAACGAAAGGATGGCTTTTCGGGTCACCGCGACCGTGATGTGCACTGTGCATGCATTGTGATTCACTACAAGCTTTTTTCGCTAAGCATCCGATAGTGCAAGGCACGGTTTTTCCCATGCGACACCCTGGCGAACCCTGCGGCTGTCAACACGTGCTGTGTCTTGTCAATCTTTGCGCTGTGCACAACTCAAGTACCCGTTCGTACCCGAGAGGTAACACCCGCGACCCACGCCAGTGACAAGCAGGTCGCACCTGCGTGTCCGAAGCTCGTGGATCAGGTCAATCGTGGGAATCTCGCGATGCGACTGTCTCGGAAGAGGCTTGGGACCATTGATGAGAAGCACCCCTACTCTGACATTGTGTCTCGTCGTGTACAATTCGTGAATAAAAATCAGTGATGTGGCTTAAGCCATGTTTGAGTAATCGTAAGCTTAGCTCCCGGGTCACTCGGCCTCCGGCGTTAACTCCCTCGTCGGGCATTCCAGGACCCTTTGTCCGATGCGGCGCAGGCATGGAGGCGTTCCAGTCGTGCAGAACTGCATGCGGTCCAAACATCTTGCCGTTCGTGAGGGATACATCTTAGCATTGTGTACAAAATCTTCTCGTCGTCCACGAAATGGCCAGTTAGGACGCGACACTTTTTGATGGAAACGAACGGTGTTCCCACTCTCCCTGACTCTGAAACGAGGTAAATGTCGTATCAATCATCGGGAGATGAGCATTCCCGATCAGTCATCCGAGTGCCCCATTCGATGGATTTGACGATGGGTGCTGCCAGATCCTGAAAAACGTATTCGTTTCTTGCAGATCTTATTCGCCCATCGCCAAGGATTTTCATTCATTCGATACCCAAAAATACTTTGCCTGAATCATAATGCCTGTTGAAGAGGAGGCGGAAGGCCGTGGTACCTGGCGCATCGAACGTGACGTGGAGTACAGCCCTGGAGTATCTTGATCCCTTTCACTCGTCTCAGGGAATCAATGAGTATGCTGTCATTCCATTTGCTGATACATGGTTTTGTTCATGCATTCGGCGATCATCTTGCAAGGTTCGTGCATCAGTGACTATTTCAAGCCAACTTTGGAAGTTCGAGCATCAATGAATCATGATATTGTATCGAAGAGGATGGTCCACGTAGTATTGGAAGGAGGTGCGGTCGTCATCAATCTATGCCGATCTCATCTTCTCGCTCGTACTAGCAATCCTCGACGCCTCCACTCGTTTCTTCCAACTCGGTCATCAATCCATACGGTACAATCATGAAAGTCCGCCGAAGCTTGTCGTCCCCCGTTTCCAACGGAGTCACGTACACGCCTACATCTAGCACTCCAAAGACCGCCGCCCCAGACGAAAGGTCCGCTTCCAGCTTGACATCGGGCCAATCTGTGACGCCGAAGCTGGGCGAACCTCTTGCAAACAATCCACAGATCAAATTCTCCGTGCTTGGATTGTGTGGAATCGCCTTCACCACAGGCGAGTCTTGGGTCGCATTGGGAAATAGCTTGGTAAGGGAGCAGCATACCACGAAGTGCATGTCACTTGGGCTTTGTCTCTGACTTTCATCGTGCTAGACTCTTGCAATTTACAATGGTGGCCCCGCCGGCGTCATCTATGGCTTCATTGTCACATCAATGTGCTATTGGCTAGTGGCAGCAGCCATTGCTGAACTTGCTTCTGCCATGCCTTCGACTGCTACAACCTATCGGTGGGCAAGCGTGACAGGAGGTCCTCGGTATGGTGGCATCTGCTCATGGTTCGCTGGATATTGGCTATGGGTCGCATGGATCGTCGGACCGGCTTCACTCGTTTCCTTCATGGCTCTACAAGCGCTTGCCATCTACGAGATCTTGAATCCCGGATTTGTCGCATATGATTGGCACATTTTCTGCAGCTATGTTGTTTGCAATTGCACAGTCTGCTTCTTGGTTCTCTTCGCCGACCATTTGCTCGATCATCTTCAGTGATTTGGCGTTCTTTTCAGCCTCGGTGGCTGGTTCGTCTCGGTGGTCATTTGTGCCATCTCACCACGGATCACCGGTCGCGCGTATTCCGATTCCCAGACCGTGTGGACGGACTGGCAGAATGAAACAGGATGGGCGAACGATGGTTTTGTCTTTTGTCTCGGTATGCTGAACGCGGCCCTGGCGGTCGGAGCCCCTGACATCAGCTGTCACATGGCAGAGCAGATCCCGAGGTGAGTAAAAGATGATGATGACAAGTATCCAGTCCATGGCGACTAACTTCAATCATCTATCAGACCAAGTCGAAACTTACCTTTTACGATTCTGACTCAATATGGCGCGTCATTTGTGACCGGCTTAACATACCTTATCACTCTGTTCTACACGGCACCGGATCTGTCTAGTATCACAGCCACTCGCACGGTCTTTCCTCTGGCACGAATCTACTACCAAGCGACTGGTTCAAGAGCTGCCACTGTCGGTCTGCTAATTGTTGCTCTCATACCCACGATCCTTGGCGCCACAGGTGCTTATGCCATTGCAGGTCGTCAAGGATGGTCACTCGCCCGTGAGAAGGCTTTGCCATTTTCTTCCACCTTGGTGCGATTGAGCGAACGCACCAACGCACCTTTCAACGTGGTCTTGCTCGCAGGAGTCCTGACCTCAGCTCTGGGAACGATCTACCTCGCTTCAGCGACCGCGTTCAATGCCATCACAGGATCTTTCGTCGTATTTTCTTCGCTCTCATACCTGGCTGCGTTGGTGCCACACGCACTCTCGAATCGGCGGCACATAAAGTCTTCCTCATGGACAACAGCATCGCCGATGACAGCAAATTCAGCAACATCGCCCTCAAGAGGATACTTTCGCCTCCCCGACCGTCTCGGTCTCATCATTTGCGTTGCGGCATGCATCTATCTCGCAGTTTTCGTCGTGATATTTTGCTTTCCTCCTTCACTGCCGGTCAGTGACGCTGGTAAGGTTAATTACACGGGAGTCATTGTGGGCGGATGGACGATCATCACGGCAGCTTATGGCGGTATGAGAATGATGTGAGCGAGAAGATCTTGAAGTTGGAAGCGAGAATGATCAGAGCGTTCGCGGGCGGATACAATCAGTAGAAACTAAATCAGTATGATTTTGAGATGATATCGGGTACAGTGTACGCATAATACGAATGCAGAGGTGTTGATATCATGAACGCATAAAACAGCCCAATGATAAAGTAGAACATATGTCGCTCAAGGAAATCCAAATCACCACGTGGTGGACAAAAAGGGCAAATCATACTGTGATTTACGTGCCAAAGATTTACCCTTTTTTGGTCCCCAGCGTGACCACCTAGGTACCACGACATACAGCGCTCAGGCAAATCGGCGGCTTCATGGGGAAAGGAGAGAATCTTCTGCTCTACCTCGTTCTCTCTCTTCTTCACACGTACCATCTGCGTCGAAGATATTGACAGGCTCAAAAGCAAAACAAGGATTCTATTATTCATCATAGCGAGGATATATCATCGGAGTGTCTTCCCCGAATTTGACTTGACCAACAAACACATACAAAAGTATTCGTCAATCTGAAACGCCACCGGCCCTTCTCATCATCACCTCGCCGCCGACGGAGGACATTGCTCCCCACTCCTCTCCACCGCGTCGACCTTCCGATATCCCCAACTCTCCCCAATGGAAATCTGATCACTTCCACGGAATTGCCCCCGGTTCGTCGCATGTGTTCCAGTCCATGCGTCCGTGTACATGGCGCACTGCCACATTCCCATCGATGCGGAATTATTGTAAAGCATGTATGTGTTGAAGAACGTACACAGGGATGGTGACCTAGGCTCCACCGCCGCCGCTCGGATCGTTGGAGGGATAGCTGGAGATGCCTCCTGCGTCGTCCCGTTGTCGTTATTGCTGTTCTGCGCCGCACATGCCGCTGCGCAGCGTCGCACGGCCGTGACGTTGTTCTCTCCGCCGCCACTGGCCGTGAAGGTCCGTAGTCCGAGGTACGAGTCCGCGCAGAGCTCTGGCGCGACAATGGCGGCGGCGCCGAAGGGCTCTGGACGTTGGAAGCCCGTGGGAATGATATGTGCAGTGGAGCTAACGTAGCCGTTGGATCCCGCAATGACGACGTGAAAATCTAGCTGGAATTGACCTTCGTTGATAGCAGTGCTGGCGTCTAAAATGCCGGTGTAGAGGGCGCAGAAGATCTTTGTTACTGCCGGTGGAGAGCGGGAGGATTCGCTGGGCGGGGAACTTGGTGTACGCTCCATGTAGAGGTTGAAGGAGGTGCAATCTTTGTTGGAGGTGCAGGCTGCTGCACATTGAGATGGGTCGTAAGCGGTGAGGGTGAGGACGGTGAGATAGCTCGATGGGCTTTGGGTTGCGGCGTGTAGGTTTTGGTAGACGAGGTCGCTGTTGCATAGTGGTTAGAATGGATTTGCCAGCATTTGTGGTCGATGTCAGACGCGAAATGTTTGAGGTGCTTACTACGTTGCTGGCATGGATGCGTTCATAGCTAAATTTGCAAACTCGGGATCGTTAACCCATGCTTCTGCTGGGTCGACGTCGCGATTATACAAGCCCTCTCCGATCCTATGGGTGAAGGCGAGCATGTCGCTGAAGGCGGGCGCCGAGGCTGCCACGACAGGGACGAGGGTCGAGACAAAGTCATGATCCAAGGGGCCAAGGAATGTTGGCGCACATAATGCTGTAGGGAGCGATGACAAGGCCAGCAAGGCGAATGAAGTCGTAGCGATCATGGTGGCTGATTTTGCAGATGATCGTCTGTTGTGGATGCTTGAGGTGGTAAGAGGATCGACATGATGGACAGGCGCGGTGATATATCTTTCGTCGTGGTGCGGTCCTATCAATGAGTATTTCCATGTGGCGGGAAAGGACAGATTTGAGAAAAAACGGTACGATTCACCAGAGTCCTCGTTTTGCTACACGATGAAGTTGGAACGGGTCTTCTGAACTAAGTTCTGGGTCACACCCGTTGAGCGTTAGATCGGAGCATTCTCGACTTGAGGGCCCCTCGGGCCCCTCTTTAGACAAAACGCATGAGCGGCAGGCAGCGTCGAATTTATTGATCTTGGCTGGGAATTGAAAAACAACCCAATGCATATGTGTCAATTGGCGATATGTTGCAGCGTCGAAAGACAACAACAGCGTTGCGCGGAAACATTGTTGTGCTCATCGGGGTAATATATTCCCTCCTAATGAACCTGTCGCGCTTCGTATAGGCGAGTCAAGCGCTAAATCAAATTCTCTTGGGGTTCGTCATTGTTTGGTTGATGGATGAGCACAGCACCTTCAACATTCATCACTCCCGATGACCAATTACGTAGGATGGGCTTCTTTTGTCGTGTGAATGATCAGATCGACAGTCTGTACAGGATAGCAAAGGTACGATTGATTTGTCGGGGCATCCAGCCCGATTTAGTCGAGTGGAAAATTGCTAGTTGATCTATAAATTGCCGCCGACCGCCCAACCTCACCTCATCCTGGTGTAGTAAAACAAGCATCTTTGACGCGTATTTACCTCACAGAGCCATGAATACACGCTGGGGAGCACGAAATGCTTGTCAAGTTAGACTAGAAAGATCTGTATCAAACCTCGCCATTCGGACAAACGCTTTCACTTGCTGCAGCGGGTACCAAGTGAAATCATGACCTTCTAAGGGTGAAAGTGTGTGTGTAACGCTGAGTGTCAGCAGTAGATGGTCAGAGCTTTGCCACGACTCTCAATATTCAAAACAAGCAACACTCACGCTGTCGCTCTTTCTTCTCTTCTTCCTCTTCTCTTCTTCGCGGTCTGAGAGTGCGTTTATGCGCACTCTCTCCGTCAAAAATATTATCAAATTTGGCTTCTCGATTGCCGCAAGGTGATCGTCTAGCACCCCTTCAACTTCTCCTCACTCGCTCTACGTACGTAGGGTGTTTGTCGAGTCGTTTGTAGACTTCTTCGGTCGAGCATCTTGCGTACGCGAGACCTTCACCAAGTCGTCTAGACTTCGGTCACCTTCGCACTACTTAGTTGTGGTGTTCAACAGTCAGCTGAGCTTACGCTCACTGGCTTTGTCATGCCTTTTGGCACGTTCCAATCCGTCTCGACTTCGATCGACTCCGTACTGCTTTATTGTAGTACTATCAGCTGAGCTTACGCTCACTGGTGCTATCATGTATTCGGGCATGTCTCAATCTCACCCATTGTAAGTGGGCTTAGGTTTACTGTGTCATCGTGTCTTTCGGTACGACTCGATTGATTCACTCCTTTGCTGGAGTTTCTCGGCGTGGTTCCGGCACTGCTTCACGGCATGCCTAACATTCATGGCTAACAGTCAACCTCGTACTACACTCTTGCAGTACGTTCTTGCAGCACTATCAGCCGAGTTCAGGCTCACGGTGTCATCGCTTCTTCTGGCGTGAACCACCTTACGTCCTCCTTCTCCACTGGAGGTTCTCAGCGACCGCCGAGAAAATCGTCGCCGGGCATACAAGCTCGTCAGCAATAAGCCGGCGCCAAGGAATTCCGAGCAAAGATTCAGATCAAGTGTCCGATTCGTCTGGTGCGTCAAGTCGGAGTGCCACTCAAACAAAAGGCTTCGTACGCGGAGAATGCCGCGTTGGCCTCGGAGTTGGCCGAACAGGACAAGTTCCAACGGGACTTGGAGCGGCGAATGCAAGAGATGGAGCAGCTGATGCTGCGAACTCAAGCCCAGACGCCGCAGCCTCAGCCTCCGCCTCCGCCACTACCACCGTAACCGAGCACTCCTCCGGCTCCCGATGTCGAGATGGACGCCGAGGAAGTGCTCGACGCTTTCCATGAACAACCTGCCGCGAATCAATGTGGTGGTGGCGGCAAGAGAAATAGAAGGAAGAGGTTAACAAACCCCTCTCATCTCATCGGCAAACAATTTTCTGGGGCCTAGGCCGGGCCGGGCTGTTTGATATCTTCACTCAGCTCGGCTCGAAGTGGTTTTTTGGGGATGGACGAATGAGGGGTTTTTTGGGGTAGGAGTTGGGTTTACTCGTTATCATTGTTGTCATTGGTGTTTGTTCGTTTGTCTTTTTGCTTTTTTGCTTTTCTATCTGGCGGGACTTGGATCTTTTGGATCTCTTTCCAAGGCCCGCCAGCTGTGCGTCACTTTTTCTGGGCTTTGGGTTTGGGTTTGGATAGACGGAGGTTGACAGCAATCGCGTGGGGGGGAGGGATGGCGTTTCGAAAGAGCGCGCGCGATTTTGTTGGAGAAGTCCTCGCGGACTTGAACCTCGAGCATGGAGGGTGGAGGGTGGTCGGTCAGCAACGACCCAAAAGTCAGACCAAGGAACAACGGTTGCACGATCGTGGCTGCATATCAGCATCTCCAAAGTGACGACGACCAGCGGAGATGACCACCAAAACAGCATCAGCCTCAGCACCACCACAGCGGTGACCAAAAAGCGGGATCAACCATGCCGACGGCAACAAGTCCAGCTGAAATCCACAACGCTGCTGGGTTTTGATGATCAAGAACGCCGAGCAATGTTGACAGACAGAGTGCTTCGGTCAAGCTCCGCAAGCTCAAATGGACGGGGAACACAAGACTTACCACAACGACCAAACCCATCGGCCTCTCTTTATTGTGTCGCCGCTCAGCCACATCTACAGGCGGTTTGGATATGCAACAATCTTCCACATCGAGCGTGACAGTCCCTCCGTCCTTCGTGCCCACCTGATCGACACGGCTCCATGATCAAAAAATCTCATTCCACGATCATGACCGTGACCACTTGCACCATCAAACACAAGTTCCACGTTCATGGCCATGTTCCAATATCAGACCCGAACACAACGATGAATTCGATTGTCGACGCAGCGTGTCTTTGAGCGCCAAAAAAAAACCATCCACAATGGCAGCCATCAGACCGCCGTCACTCACGCGGTCGATATAATCTCCACTGCGCCTCGGCACAAATAACGACCAAGAACATCATCATCAGTCAAATCTTCAAGTTGCTGCGAATTCGTATGGGCATCGAAACCACAAGTCACGACAATGATCGCGCGCACATTTGTTGTCGAGCGCGCCATCTCTTACGATCCCAATGGAAATGGCCGGATCTTTGGTCTTTATCTCTTCTGGGACTTCCACTCAGAGAAGCGGTGCGCGGCAGGTACAGTGAGGTGTGTTGGCAAATGAGTCGATAAGCATGGGGTCAGGCGGAAAGCACTATGGCTAGATAAATCAATCAATCAACTCTGAATCCCTTACAATTCATTCCTCCCACTCTACAGCACTTGATGTCTTTGTCTGCATGCGTCTTATCGAAATGTCATGCCTTACCAACACTGATTCTCCGCAGGAGTCGAATATGCAATGCAAACGATAGCAGCGGAGACCGGTGATGATTGAAAATAATGTTTGATCTCACAATCCCATATAGAGGAGGAGGCGACTGAAAGGCTGATGTACCGCGTTCGAGTTGAATGCCACACCTATCACACCTGTAAAATCCCACCTTCGTAGCAAATCAACACGAGCAAGCGTACACTTCGACCGGTTTATCTCATCGGGCCAGATCAACGTAGTAGCGTCAAAAAGAGATCAGAAGCTAAGCAACCTCGACTCGAACGATTCCTGGCCTTGAAGGGAATCGAACAGCCGACCAAAAGAGGTGCATGCCAGCTAGCTTGGCGAGTGAGCCGGAAGCTCATCTCTGAGGTTTGGCCGGAAGCCTTTTAACTCCCAAGGCAGAGACAAGTCCAGCAGTAGTCAACCAGATCCACCATGAGAGCGGAGAGGCCGGCGACACCACCTCGGTCAGCGAGGAATATATCAGGTCAATGACATGACTGCAGCTTTGTTCCAGGCAAGACGCTTAGCCGATCCGCCTCGGTCCGAGCTGTCGCGCGGCACGGCTCTCGCTCAACGATGGACCATTCTTCGGGCAGCTCTCTCATCGATGTGTTCAGGATCAATACCTGAGATTTCTTGAGGTCTCTAATCCGTCGTACTTGTTAATGAGCGGTAAAGCCTGCTGGTACGGTCAATTGATACCATCGTCTCACATCGAGGTGGTCGTCCGTTGAGCTCTCCAGGTGCTGTCTGTACCTCACAGGCGAACTCGATCACGCCGTCCCAAGAGCACGACGTCACGAATCACGAAGCAGTCATTTAACAATGGCGTTCCTGCACGCCTAAGACTTGAGACATCTGAGATGTACGATGTGTTCCTGACCTACCTGACTCTTCTGGCGTATCTCAACACAAATCGAGCTTTGTATCCTAACTTCATCACAGCTCTTCTCCGCCATTCCGATCTTTATCTTGTGCACCTGAGTGCTATGTAGACTGGTTTGAGAGCAACGTCGTCTTCATTTGGACTCCCGTCCGTTATCGTCGTGGCGGATCTGTCCTACCTGTGAAGTGCATGCATCCATACCTCGGCATGAATTCCGGGCTGTGTAAGCAGGCTGTGTCTGGTGCACGAGAATGCCTCTCTGTAATGGCTTCACTCGAAAGTGAAGCACTTGAGTATTGATCTAGTAACCGCAGTATGTGCTGAACAGCATAGAGGGTGGGAACGGACAGATAAGAATGATAACAACATACGACCCAATCCCTACAGCAAAATGCCAAGGCTCCGGCTAACCACATATATCTTGGTCATTATCAGGCCCTGGTTTTTCGTCGAGGCTGGAGGCGCTTAACGCGTCTGCACATAAGCCTTACTCCCGAATTGTTCTCCTCTACAAGATCCTACTGTCAGACAGTGGCATTGTACAGATGCACTCCGTTGACCGGAGAAAGGAACTCACGCGAGTCGGCGATGCGATAGATAGTAGTGCATATGCATCCACGCTACAGGATCGAGGGTCTACCGCGCAGAGATACCACGATCCGCGAAGGCTTGCTATCCTTTGCTTCAGGGACATCAGATTAGGCCGTTTCGAACATGGGCTGTTGGTTGGTGGTCTGCTTGTCGCAACAACCGGAGAAGCCAGAATTTGAAACGGTCTCGAGACCAAGAGAGCGACATGTGGCTGGAACACATCACCAACCACCACGGGCATAGAGGGAGGGTACATACATTTCTTGTAATGAACCGCTGACCACCATAGGACATATATATTTCGATCGAGTGGTACGATCATTAGCCATCGATTGCTGGAATGTCGTGGATGTATCGACTGTACAGTAATTCAGCCCATTGAGGGTCATCGGCGAAGTGCGCGGGCCGGAATGTCTTGAACAAACGCTGCCCTACGATGCATTCGAATCGATTCACGCCGATATCGGTGTATGACAGTGCCATCATGCACACAGTGTAGGCTCCGATCTGTCCACCCGCCGGGCCTTGGACAAGCTAATTACTCATCAGTGACAAGGTTCACAGATTAGTCATATATGCACTGGTGAAAGCGAGAAACACTGGCATCTGTTGAATGTTTCCATATCCTGTTCGATCGGTTCTACGTACTGCTGCTGAGACTCCTCCGGTCTTGAAGGACAAGACAACAACATGCACTGTCATATTTGGCAGGCCGAAAAAGCGATTGGGGGTTTCCAATGAATACGGACAGCGTAGATGACCCGCTTTTTTCTTCGGTGTGCGAGTGATGGACTGCTAGCTACAAGGCTAGGGGGATCACCAGCGCATGTAGATCATAATGCATCCTAGATCCTGATTGTGTGTTGACATAGCCGGGAGGGAGACTTCCAGCTGATAGTGCGCTGTGAATCTAGATGGTCGATGATAACGATCTCGCTCTCAAACGCTCACATCCTCGGGCTTGTTCACTCCGGCCGGTAGCGGCGGCGGTGCGGAGAAGGCATTCGACGCCGAGTCTTGCTTATCAGATGAGAATTTTGGCTCCCTTCTTCTCTTCAGGGCTGCATGATGACCGGCTGCGCTAAGGTCTCGAACACCATCGCCCCGTGTCCAGATTCATTGGAGGTCAATCGGACACCTCCAGCGTGTTACAGGTATGGATGGATGAGAAAATTTATCGTTGTGAAGAATCTTGGGGCTAGACAGTTCAGGCGGCAACGACGGTCATCATTCGAGGCGATGCTCCTGTCCCTCGTCCAAACTGCTGTGCAGTAGGATGGTGAAGTCGATGAAGCCACGGTGCAGGGCACACACTCCTTGGTAGTTCGGTGTACACATTCATGTCATCCTTCGGCACTTGCTTGGTGACAAAGTTCCGCTTGCTCTCATGTGCAATTCTTTTATCGGACATGCTCCGATCGATTCGACATCGGTCCAATTTACATGACCCATCCATACGGAGCGCTAGCCCGCGAGGGATAGCAGACCCAAAACACAATTGTGGACGAGCAACGTCTGCCTGCTCGCGACCTATCGCATATAGGTTCTGGTCGCAATACCGTGCTCTAAGATGCATGTACTGTCTGGCCACTGGAGTTCGTCATCAGGGCGGAATGTACAAGGAGTGGCAGTACTGTACAGTACGAGGGTTGTCTTCGGCAAAGTTGTCGTCCTTTGTATGCGATGCAGGATGTGCAGGTACAGTATGCCCTCATCGCACAGGCCTCGGTTTCCACGCTCCTCTCTCCCTTCCGTCTGTCGCTTCGATCCATTCCGGCCCGTGGTAAGAAAATCTCTCTTGTCCTCCGAAACCTTTCTTCATTCCGGTTTTTATCAGATCTACTCCTGACTTCTGTCCTTTCTTCACTACCGCCGTCGGACAGTGTCGCATCGCTTCGGCCACAGTGGTTGCATGAGCGCATTCTATCCACTGTAAGTATGCGAAAATGGGCGGGTTGACGTTATGACAACGGATCTGATAGGTTCTAGCCGACCAGCCACACCAAAGGACCAAAGGATACTACATCATCATAGACTTCCGCGGAAGGGGTACTGATCTTGTGCGCCGTCGTTCACGTACGATTGCAGCCGTTTCGCCCACTGATATGAGCCCTTCATATTCTCAACTGTGAGTAGAGTCCCATATCTGGAGTCTTCAGCAGATGCATCTCGGCCCTTGTTTGTTTGCAAATTCGCCACCACGCCCCGCAGGGCTCGAAATCTCAACCGATTCTCGCTTTCGAAAGCGCACGAATAGAGCCGACCTGACGTCTCTCGTCTCTGTGAAGCGCTTCAGATATTGGCACGTGTTGCCCCGTGAGGAGGAGCGTCGCAGCAGCGCCGGGCAGCCTCCGGTGGACAAATTTCAATCGATATTGTCGTTCCATAAAAGACCCCACTCACCTCCGACCGAATTGCCGGTCCCGCTCGTAGCGTCATCTTGTGGTAAAGGATTAAGTTCACGCCTCTGCATTATGATGATGACTTCCAGTGTCTTTCACGCCATATTTCCAATGACCTTATGATCCTCGCAGGAAGGACATCATCCCCACTACCACATACTTACTTTCTCACAGCCACAAGCCAACATACTCCGTGATCTATCAGCCGCACTTGTACACCAAACTTCTCCACCCTTGACACATCATTCAACCCGACGGACAGGTTCACAGGACATCCGCAGGGCCACACACGTCACACATCAATCGCATGTCTTCAGTACAAAAGTCAGGCGCGCGGCGCCATTCATTCGCGTCCTTTGCCGGGACTGCGTCTGAGCATCACCACAAAAAGATTCCAAATTGCGAGACGAGCCATCCAGACAATCCGATTCCGGTTGAGCCCAAGACAATGCCATTGTACAACCTTCCACCTACTTCACGATCACAATTCGCCTCGATGATCGTTAGTCCACGATCAAGTGTGGAGAGCTTGCGGCTAGCCACAGACAACGACACCAACAATAGCGATTCTGATGCACCTTTGACACCATTGAGCAGCAGTGAGCCACTAGATGAATTGACCGACAAGTTCCGTTCACTGCCACTTGCACAACCGAAGCCAGTAGCGGCCAAGAAGAGGAGGGCAAGCACGACATATGCCTCAAATGCTGAAGACATTCGAAGAATCATCGGGACAGGCAGCGGTACCAAATTCCTACAAAAATATTGCTGTGGAGAAGGGTGTTGCATGGTGGAAACACTCCCCTTACATGGCGAAGATCCAGGCTTCGCACCCATTCGAGAGCCTGCCAACGCTGCATATCGCTTCCTTGGACTCAACCTCCGAGGTCTATCTCACAAGTCGATATTGACCAAGATTGCGGATTGTGCGCCACCCAAGGTCAGCTTCGTCCCCGTGCGGAGGGAGTCGATCGAGAAAAAATTTCCGGCAGAGGCCAAACATAGACATGATGCCGACTACGTCAACAAGGTCGCTCCCGAATATATGAAACCACATCCCCCATACAACATCTTCAGTGCACCACTCTATGGAGCGCGAGAATTGACCAAACCGGGCGCCGAGAAGCGAACTTTTCACTTCGATGTCGACGTCACCGACTACCCGGCCGAGGGCGGTGTGGATTTCAAAGTTGGTGGCGCTATTGGAGTTTGCCCACCAAACGATCCTGCTGTGGTTCAAGATATCATGGACCAACTTGGAATCCCACGTTTTCAGCGTGATAAGCCGTTGCGCGTTGTCACCACGGGAGGACGATGGCCGACTATTTGGGGTGATGAGGAAGCTCGTGAACTCATCACAACCAAGCGTGAGATTCTCACCTGGACCGTCGATATCACTTCTCAAGCTCCCACCAAACCTCTGATTCGTCTACTTGCCGAGCACGCCAGCGACACCACTGAGCGTCAAATTCTATTATATATTTGTAGCGCTCAGGGTCAGGCTGCTTTTTGCGATCTCCGGACAGGCCCACACATCACATTGCAACAACTCTTACATGCATTCCCCTCTTCAAAGCCGCCCCTTGAGGACCTCTGCGGCGTTTTGAACCAACTCATGCCGCGCTTCTACTCCCTTTCCAATGATCCGCACGTTTCCTCTGCGCGAGAGGGTCTTGCTGGTCGGCGGTTGGTTGAGATCGCCGTGACCATCCACGAGACGCCTTCCTTTACAGGCTCAAACCGAACTGGTGTAGGATCTGGATTTATGGAACGACTCGCGGCCAAATTCATCGCTGCGGAAGAAGAGGCATCCCACGACTCGTCCGCACCCGCCAGTGGCGTGGCCGGTCGTGCTCTCGACCTCCGAGTTCCGATGTTCCGCGGTCTGATGTCCAATCCACTTTCTCGGGAATTTGCCAGCGACGGTCCCATGGTCCTCATCGGCGCCGGTGTCGGTATGGCGCCCTTCCGCGGCTTCATCCTTAATCGATTGAAGAACGCCAACTGCGCCAACAAGATCTGGCTCATCCAAGGCATCCGTGATTCCAAACTCGACGAAATCTACCGCGGCGAGCTCGGCGCCCACGAGATGGATATCAAAAAGGTCGTCCAATCCCGCGCCACAGCTGAGCCTACCATGTCATCCTCGACTGGGTCCGTCGATGGCGACGTCCTCGCCGACCTGCCACCCGCCAACACCAGTGAGCCTCAGCCCGATGTCGTCGCCAAATACGTCCAGGACGAAGTCCGCCTACAGGCGGACATCGTTTGGTTCGTCATCAATGCGCCAGATGGTCGAATCTTTGTCTGTGGCTCAACACGAGGCATGGGCGAGGGTGTTGAACAGGCGCTGGTTGACGTTGCGATGGACAAAGGTGGTCTGGACGCTGCTACTGCCCGGGACTTCTGGGAGGGAAAGAAGAAAGCGGGGCAGTACATTGCCGAGACATGGTAGAGGAAGTCAAAGTGGAGTGGGGTCTCTCGTAATGACGAGGAAATCTGCTCGAAATTTTTGTTTTCGGTTTGCTGGTTGGATCCGAATCGCTTGGAGGGACATGATCGCATTGATCTTGCTCATTTTGGTTCTTTGCACATACGAAAAGTTCGCTCAGGGAGGAACTGTCTTTGGTCGATTTGAACCTGGTTTTACTTGGGATGGGCGGGCGTTTTGTGTTTATTTTCCTATCTACTCTTGCGGGATAGAGCAGTCTCTCGTCTTTCAGCATATTACCAGATCTCTGGTTCGAAATTATACGATCTTGAATTGAACATGTGCTCATGGCAAGATGGGACAAACGATAGATATATACACACGATCTGTTTTGCAAGCGTTGGTCTACTGCCTCTCATGGTGTCGGAACAACAGTGAATTCGTGTACAGTCCTGGACCTCCGTGCTGCTGGAAATCAATACTTGAGTTGACGACCAGAAATGCATCACTCAGGCTGCTACTAATAGTTCCCACAGGCACATATAATAACATTAGTTCCCAGGCTGTCCACCACAAGTTTCTGCCTAAAAAACGAGTGTTGTACGGTGTTTTCGATTCATGTATGTTTGAGCACGAGATGGTCCTCGTCGATATGAGCCTCAAATCGTACAAGAAACCTAGGTAACGTCGGAAATCATGCCGCATGATTGGGTGCCCTGGCGCTTAGAACAGACTATGCCGAAGCCAGAAGTAATCAGACCATTCCCATTCGCAATCGTTTGGAAGCTTGCCCGGAAATGAATGGAAAAGGAGCGTGGTCGGAGTGGATTGATCATTCATGGGCCGTTCCACACACTTGTTTCGGATCGCGATGCCACCACCATGCCGTACATGAGAACTCGATGAATACATGACATGGTCGATTGCCGATGAGACGAGTTACGGGAACGCGCCCGAGATCCTTTGTTGACCTCCGCGTTGGGCCGCGAATTTTCATGACGTGACCTGCCAGTCCGAGACGCACTTCTTCTGGGCAAGCACGCACGATGTGTTGGGTGAGCAATATCGCAAGGCAGGAGCACTGCACAACTCCCTAGGTACCCAGTACCTATGCTCCTCCCAGCGACGTCTACCGTTGGTAGCACATTGGCGCTACGGGCGTAATGCTTTCATCGTACATTCACAATCTCAACACCACCTGCAATGACGACTCCAGAGCTGGATTATAACGGATCGAGAAGACCACATTCATCCTGTCACCACCTGTAACACTAGATATCATATGTCATCGTGCTTGGAACGCATCGGAGTAGCGGATGGACCGGATCCATGCAGCGGCTCACAGTAGTCTCCCAAGACACTCGCTCCGCAGCTGAAGGAACCTGCGACGAACTATAATTTCCCTGATAAGCAGGGGATTCAGGTGCTACTCGGGAGTAGAGATGGTGGGAGAGTCGAGGGCCATTATTATTACTACTGTAGCGCGAGACAGCGACGACGATTGTTATATAGGTCATTGACTGCCCAGCTGGAGGTATTCACCAGCATTGAGATTACCATACACCGTCGGAGCCCTGAAGGTCTCCCTGTTGCATCCACTCCCGAGCGCGGCGATCTCTCACTAGCTCCAATATCTGGCGTGTCGAAGTTCCACTCCCGATTTCGTTGTTCTCCCGGCATTTGGGTCACATTACTCCCCTTGGCCACCGCCTTTCTTCTTTCATACTCGCTGCCACGGCTCACATCGACAGGATCAGCCCTCTTTCGATGTCCTTAACCCTTGAGGAGGAGGCAAGCATGGCTACCATTGCTGCCGAACCTCATCAGGACAAGGTCTCACCCGCCGATCTCGACGACATGGCATTGTGCGGCAATCCCAGCAAATCCACCACAGAATCGGCATCATCACCGACATCAACGTCAACGTCACAGAAGCCTAAGAGGAGGAGACAAAAGCAACATGGGTCTCCTCACCTCAAATCGCACCAACCGCAAGAGACGCTCGCCGGCGCCTTTCGCATGATGCTCGTCCGCCATCAGCTTGGCCTCTCTCTCAACCTCGTCCTCCTCCTCGCTCTGACACACGCTTTCTTCCCCGCTCTGCGTGCTCACACATCCGCCGTTTTCGCCATCTCCTATCCTTCCTCCACCCAACCAGGACTATACGCGCAGGGTCCCAATGACATCTACATGGTGGGGAGCTTCGTTGTCTTTTTCACCGGACTTCGCGCTTTTCTCCTCGATTATGCATTTATGCCGCTGGCGACTAAGTGCGGGATTAAGAAACAGAAGGCGCGGGTGCGGTTTGCGGAACAGGCATATGTGCTGTCATACTATGGTTTCTACTGGTGCTGGGGCGTTTATATCTTTGTGCAGGACACCCCCGCGGAAGTCAACAGCATCCACAGCCTGTTGCAATCCCTCTGGCGCGACTTTCCACGCCTGCTGCTGCCCGGCAGCATCAAGGTCTACTATCTCTCCCAGCTGGCGCAATGGATTCAGATGGTTTTGGTCATTCACATTGAAGAGAAGCGCAAAGACCACTACCAGATGCTCGCACACCATGTCATCACCATCGCGCTGATGGCTGGCAGCTACGCTAATTACCAATGCCGGGTGGGCATAGCGATCCTCATCTGCATGGATTTTGTCGACTGCGTTTTCCCGCTCGCCAAAATCCTACGCTACTTGGCTCTGCAGAGAGCCTGTGATATCATGTTCGGCGTCTTCGTCGTCTCGTGGATCCTCTCTCGCCATGTCGCTTACTTGTCGATCTGCTGGAGCATCTACGCGCTCATCAATACCCCTGGATTGACGGAGCATGGCACCTATTCCGCAACCACTGGCGCTAAAATCTCATCGGTCCCGTATGCCGATGGCAACATCAGCAGCTTTGCTGCGTCACCTGTCGCCTGGCTCAGCGGAGTCGCCCCAGCGTTCCTCCGACCGGATGCACGGACAATCACTTTCAGCGCCAGCATCCGCTGGACCTTCCTTAGCCTGCTCATGGCGCTACAATGCATCACCCTCGCCTGGCTATACATGATCTTCCGCGTGGTCGCGAAAGTCCTCCGCGGCGAAGGTGCCGACGACTCCCGCAGCGACGACGAAGGCGACGAGGAGAACGATAACGGCAACGACGATGACGATGTCCAAGATGACGACTTTGACGCCTCTGACGACGCCGTCATGCGCGCAGGCTACGAGGCCAAACCTCGCTTCATCGAGGTCGCGCCGGAAGACGACGAGGACAACGGCGAATGGACATCGGCGAACACCGCGGCACGAAATGCCAGCATGGCCGCGGCAGGGAGCGCGAGCAATAACAACAACACCACTCGGAGGAAATCCCGGACCCCCGCAGGAGGCATCTCCTCGGGCCTCAACCTCGTCGGCGATCACAAGGATATCTTGAACCGCATCGGGTGTTTGAGCGAGGAGCAGCTGGCGCGCGAACGAGAGAAGAGGGAGGGCAGTCCACGGTCGGATCGACGGTCGTAAGATAGACCAAGCACAAACTGGTTTTGCGTTGTCGTTCTCGTTCTGAAAGTCGAGGTCTATCTGATAATTCTTTGGAGGGAATCATGTTTTTCTTGTAATGCAAAATTTTCGAGCTTTTCTTGTTTATCGCAAGAAAGTAAAGAACAAAATCGATACCGGTAAGGATTGAAACTCCTGTCTGATCTCAGGGCACTATAACCATGTTCCTTTCTTAGTGTATACCTGGTTCTTGTGTAAATGGGCTTGCTGCACGCATTGGGACAGCAAGGTCCGCTGTTGGAAGCTAAACTTCTCCCCCCCCATCCCACTCTTCTGCTCTCTTTGAAACCCAGGTATGCAGTATTCTTCCCATCTGACCGTCTTGTCGATTCTCACGCGCGCCTTCTCACTGCAGCCAGATCTACAGGCTTCCCAGGCTCTCAAGCGAACGCAATCGCACCATACCATCGAACGATTCGTCGTCGCCAGACATTTGACAATTTTCAAGGTTTCTAACTTTGTCCGTGCAACGCAATGTCGTGGTTTAACTTTCCTTTGGCCTGTGACGCCCAGCCCGCCGGGTCCAAGCGCCAATGCAATGGCGGCGCAACCCTTTCCGATTTGATGAGACGAACGCCCCGGATGGCTGACGAGATGTCCATCCCAACCAGGAATCCGTGGAATGTCGCCATCTCGTCATTGGCGATGACAGGTCTTCTAAGATGAGGCTGGAACGAGAGCATGGCTTCAGGTCAGATGCGATCGTACGCACGCAGGAGGCCATCTGCAGGTCGATGAGAGTGTAACTGGCTGATCTTCTGCGGTGTCATTATCGCCGTTGATGTGGATATTGATCGTCACCTGCAGCTTTTTTAATTCCGCCTTAACTCCATTGTTATTACGCCTCCTCGGCACATCTTTTGTGTCTATCGTTCGTGATTGATAATTGGACCTCACCTCACCTCCAGCTTACTCTTTCTCACTGTCGTCGTAATCGCGACCCTCATCTCTGTCCGCTATATAATCAGATCTGGCTTTTGTCCAAATTACGATTCGTCATTGCCAAAAGGTCTCTCCCCGAACAAGCAATCCAAAATGGTCAAAGTCATCCTCGCCGGCGGAACTGGCCTTATCGGCGGCGCTACTCTACAGCGTTTGATTGACCACCCGGACGTCACCTCTATCGTCGCCCTCTCTCGTCGTGAGCTGCCCATCAAGAACGCCAAGGTCCAGACCGTCATCGTCAAGGACTTCCTCAAGTATGACGCCGAGGCTCTCGCGCAGCTCGAGGGCGCTAAGGCCGCGATCTGGTGAGTGTGGTGGTCTTGTTCGTTTCCGCGCGAGAGGCTCGCGCAGTGTATTCAGTGCTCCTTTTTACATCTCGAAATCATTGTGTTGTCCGCGCAGACTCGGGGGATGCGACCGCGAAATGACCTCATAGCTAATCATCGCGACTCTTGCCGACGACAGGGCGCTTGGTAAACCCACCTCCGGAAAAGACGTCCACGAGGGCTTTACCCTCGCCGCCATCGAGCAGATCTCCACCGCGGTCGTCGCGAAGCAGGAGCCGACCTCGACTTTCAACTTCGTCTACACCAGCGGTTCGGCTGTCGAGCCCGACCAGAACAAGACATTGTTCTTCATCGGAGGCGTGAGGAAAATGCGCGTACGTAGTCTTTATTCTCATCTCCTCATCTCTCATCTCTGGCTTACCAACGTCATTACAGGGTGCTCTCCAAACCAAGGTCGTCGACTACAAGCAGCCCGAAGCCGTCGGCGGCGGCCAATGGAAATCCTACGTCGTCCGCCCGGCTTTCGTCACCACCGGCGTGCCTTTCTGGGCCGCGATTCCTGGCGCTGCGGCTCACAACACTCCCAAGGAGGAGCTGGCTGCGACCATGGTCAAGCTGGCGCTCGAGGGCGCGGCGACGCAGGTTTTTGACAACGCCGAAATCTGCCAGATCGGCAAGGAGGCATTGAAGACTAAGGCGTGAAGCGAAGTTTTGACTACGCAGGAAGGGTTTGGATTTGATATGATGCGAGACACCCGTGAGATTTAGATTGTTGACGAATGCAGACCTCGATTTTGCCCAGTTCCCACTTCCATGTTTTGTGGTTGTCTGACTGAATACTAAGCATAGCACACTTAAGGCTTGGTCAATTGCTCCTTGCGGAAGAACGTGAAGAATCCAACGCAAATGCACAGTTGCAGGATTAGACAGACCCAGAACCAAGGCTTCAATAGCCCACTTCTCCAATCGATAGCCAGGTTAGGAAACGTCGGTCCTGGACCCACAGAGTTGAGGCCGTCCGCCCGAGCGATGATCGTTGCGATCGCACCTACCGCTTGTCCAGCCATGAGCGCAAACGTACAGTGGAAGCGACTAGATTTCGAACATCGTCAGCAAATGAACCACAGCAGCCAGCAGGAAGGATTGAGGAAAACATACGCCATGGTCTGCAATAATATTATACCGAATCCGATTCCCTGCAACGAGTCCAACACAGCTAGCCAGAGCCACAACGCTCTCCCGAGCATCGCAGAACCCACCGGAGATCCCGCCCAAGGGAGATATTGCCCAACACCTGAAGTCGACCAGAGAATCTGACACCAGCGCGGCGCGCCCAATCCGACGGCGAAAATCGGAATCATCCAGCTATGTGTTTTGGAGAGCCATCCGAGATACCACAGCACTGCCGCCCAGACAAGGACGAAAAACAGCAGGATCAGCAGCACGATAGCCCAATCCGGTGCATGCTGCGAGCTCCAGAGATAAGTCCAATTGCGACCAGTCAAAGCCGACAAGAAGACATTCTGGATGAAAACGGCAATGAGAAACCAGACGACGATTTTCCGCCGAAAGATGGCCGTGTAGAAATCGGGTTGTGTTCCGGGCTTCTGACGGTAGAATTCAGGCAGGCCAAAGTACATGACGAGTCCGACGACCCAGAGGAAGGCAGCTATGGGCGCGCCGATTGCGGTCATGGTGCTGCCAAGGTCGGTGCTCATTCCGGAAGCGTTCATGCGTGCGAGTCGTGATCCCCATGCCCAGAGCGCGACGACGTAGAGTTGCTGGGTACCCTGAATGGCACAGGCCCGGAAAGCCCAATCCTTCACTGCGACGGAACCCAAGGAGCCGAAATTCTGCGCAAAGTAGATTGATCCGGAAGATGATGCGACGGCGTACATCGAGCTGGCGGTCATTTGGATGTTGCCACGCATTTCTGTGGTGGTCCCGTAGGGCGCCATTGCGATCAGCAAGAATGCGAATCCGTAGAAGAAGAATGGTAGGCTGAGACAGTGCTTGAGCGATAGCCGCCGGAAGAGAAACCACCAGATCAGAGTCGTGACGAGGTAGACGCAAGCAACAACGTAGAGCTGAGTGGCTGTCTGGCCGACTTGTCCGGAGATCAACGAAATTTGGTATGAATTTGCTGCGAGAATTTGACCAAGGGCGATGAAGAGGGAGTAAGTTGGCCAATCTCCAATTTTGTACATCATGAAGCGTCGTAGGCCCGTTGGCGGAGTGTGGTCTTCAGGGAGCAGGAACTGGTCGACAGTTTCCTTTGTCTCGATGCCCTCGTATATCGAGGCTGCTGGAGTGAGCGCTCTTGAAGCTGAGGGTGTCGGGTCCCTGCTCATTTTGACATCGTGTAGGCGTTGAAACCATTGTTTCTCGGATTTCTCAAGGTATTCTTCAATACAGAGCGTCGTTTCTGAATTCTTGCCGTTCAGCTGCTCAAGTTTTCTTTCGAAGATCTTGTAGTAGAGCCCTGTAGGGTCGGTGAACAGCGGGGTTAGATTCTGTCGTCTGGGTTTCTTCTCCTGTCCTCCGTGATCAGTCGACGTCGGCGTCATCGCTCGGCTTGAGGGTGCCTCGTTTGGCGTCGTTGATCGCGCCGAAGGAGCATAGAAGTCACGATTTGGAGTCATCGCGCCGGACTGCGGTCGACTAGTCATCCCGATAGCTCCGACGGTGTCTTGTCTCAATACTCCAGACTGTCGCGCATGTCTTGCCAGGGTTGTTCGCAAGTCTTCGAGGGAAGTGGGTGAATGAATGGCGTTGTGCGCTTCACCTTCAGGGCTCGCCATGTTGAGTCCAACATCTTCGCCAGCGCTGCTTTCGCTTGCAATTGGGTTATGCAAGTTCACACGGTCTTGCACGTCAGGAGTACTGACTCGATCGTGAGAATTGCTCACGTTACTGCTTTGTCTCTGAACATCGAAATAACTGTCGCTTGTGCCGGGACGAGCATCATTGGAATTGCGTCGAATGCTAGAGGCTCGTGACGACAAAGGGCTCAATACAGGCGATGCAAAGCCTGAGCGTGATTGCAAGGCTTCGAGGTAAGAATTGCGTGGACTTGCGGTGCCGAACCGGTCCGGCGACGATTGCCGGGTTGCGGGCCGACTCGGGTTGGGAGTGCCGAGCCGAGGGCTCATCCAGCCGGGTGTGCTGATTCCGCTGCGTCGGTTTCTCCTCTCACCCAGACCCATCTGTCTGTGAGAGACATGGTCTGCACGTTTCTGATGGACCTTGATACATGTTGCTTGCAAGATCTCTAGATCTTCTTTCCACTGAGCCACAGGGAAGCGTTGCTTTGCAGATCGAGCGCGCATCAAAGCCCGTGTGTTCCAGTCCAACTTGAGGGCCATTGATATCGCCGTCTTGAATTGACGCATTTGATGCTTCGTCGTTGATGATTCTAAGGTATACCACAGTCCGGGCATTTGTCCTAGGCCTCCAACGCGAGAGCCAACTCCCAAGGCACCCTTACGGCCAAATTCAACGGCAACGAGGCCAAATGGCTCATCTCTGCTTGGAATGAGAGCGAACTCGGCGCCGCTGAAGATGAAAGGCGGAAGAGCCGTGAACTCCGGCTTCGAAAAAACTCTACCAGGATACAGCTTCATCATCTTCTCCAGCTTCAAAGCCGCAAATTTGCCGTATAAGTCGATTGTCGGACCAACAGCAATCAATTGAGTATGCTTATACTTTTCCAGTATAGCAGGAAACACGTCAGCGATCAGATCAATTCCCTTCTGCATAGACCACCGACCGACAAATACGAAGAGATCGGCATCTTCACGTTGTTCGAGACCCGCCCACTCCTGTGCTTGGCGTTTGAGTGAAGCGCGCTGACTCTCGAGCTCATGGTCGATTGTAACATCTTGCATGCTGACTTTCTTCTTCTTGTCCCATTCTGCAATGTCGGATGGGTCTGGATTTGGCAGGGCACCGATGCGATTCAACCCCCAGAAGATGGGATAGCGAGCCCAAGACCGCTTGCCGTATTTTTTGCTCACGCCGACAGCGCCAAATCCTCCTTGATGGATTCGTAGCAGGCTTGCACCTGCATGAAGGAGGTTGAAGACTTCACCGAATTGGATATACCGCTCCACTACCAGTTGTGATAGGTTGTAGACCGAGCATACTTCTTCAACCTCTTTAGGGTTGCGCATCGGCCAGAGGCCTTGAAATTCTGCATTATGGAGCGAAAGGCACACGGGCATGGTCCTCGGAAGCAGATACAAAGGTGCAATCGTCCCGTGGTAGTCGTTGATATGGTAGATATCAATGTCGAACCGGTTCATGGTTTCCGCAATGCACTGATTCCACGCCGAGTAGTAAATCGCACTATCGAGATCATCCATGCGAGGCGGGTACGGTTCCTTTGCCGTCTGTCGTCTAAAAACCGGGGCATCGAGCAGTACATATGTAATATTGTCGAGAGTGTGATATTGCACTTGTACGTCGTATGTCTTACCCATGATGATCACATCAATGGGATCCGCTGGAGTGTCAATAGGATAGTCGATGCCGCCAGTGCAAGGTACCACCCATATCAAATTTTGGTGCTGCAAGCTCTTTCCCATGAGCTGCGCCATGACTCCAAGACCGCCAATCTTAATCTTGATACCCCAATCCACGATGTCATATTCCATTGTGGCGATCAGAACCGTCCGACGTTGTTTCTCGATACTTCCAATGCCAGGGGCAAAGGCGTCGAAGACGACTGTATCTTCGGATGTCTCGGGTGCGGGAGTACCGACAATGACTGGTGTCTGCGGTTCCTTTGGCTTGTTCTCGGCGGATCCACGCCTAATGATTCTTCCAAGAGCGGCAATCGGGAGAATCTTCCTCTTCACTTTCAATCCCATCCGATTGAACTTCACGCTGTAGAATGATGACATGTAAAGGCGGACACTGATCAATTCTGTAATCAATGGGATTGCCCACAGCAAAGCCCACATGATGACTTGGATGATGCTGTTGCCGGAAGGTACCCTATGGTAGCGGAAGGTCGCGTCGTCGAACAGGATGCGCCAAGACAGTGCAGGAAAGGGAGGGCCCTGATCGGTGATGTTGACTACAGCTTGTTGAAGCGAGACTGGAGATATTCGATCAAGGACTCCGTCGTGATCAACGTCACCCATCGCATAGCTCAAATCGGGTCTTCCATCATCAGCCAAGCCCCAAACGTTCAGCTGGTAGTTGGTCGGCCACTCTGCCATGAAGTCAAACATCCAGGTACCGTTTTCCATTTGCACCATCGTATTCGGCAGACCGGAGTCGTAGCCGAACTCGTTGAATGCGCCGTGTAAGAAAATATGAGGAAAACGACGAGCAGTCCGATTCGCTCCAACAAGATCGCCTTGGACCATATGGGCACTACTTCCTGCGAAGTTCGACCAATACTGGACTTGAACATGTTCTCCTTCCCAACGCTGCCTTTCGCTACCTGTCCAAGTCTGAGCAGGTAAGGTCGCATTACCAGGAACGTAGTCGTACCACTCCGACCAAATGGCGCCGAAAGAGAGCGAGTAGCGCCATTTGTCAGCACCTGCTGATGTATGGGCGATGAATAAGCCAGAACCAGAGGTGATCTCATCGCGCTTTTGGTTACTGGAATTATCAGCAGAGGCTTCACCTCTGTAAAGTAATGACGTGCTGTAGTTCGCAGCCTCTGGAAACACCATGGGGTTATCCAAAGTACCTATTCGCAGCAAGAAGTGATCGTGGGATCCAGTGAATGTTCCTGAAGCACTGGAGATGTTTCTGATATTCACGCGGTGGATCCCATCGTATACATTCTCGAGTTGAAATTTTGCCCGCCATGTGGACGGATGAGGACCGTAGTAGTAGGCTTCGGCGCGAGGTTCGATGGTCAGACAGTCCAGACTACCTGTTGCCACGCTCGCTTGGCGATTGTAATCTGTTGTTGAGGCAATAGAAAGGCCGTCACGGATGGAGTCGCAATTCATAGGCTGGGAAAATCGCAGTTCGACGTCGATTGTCGAAGGGCTCGCAGGATCGGTAGTTGATTGAATCCTCGCATCATGGCCAGGGGAGAACCCAGTAATCACGGGTGACGGTGCGATCCATGCGTCGATCGGCACAAACGCCTTCCACCCATAAAGGGTCACGTTGAGTCGTGGCAAACATCCATTCGGCCTGGTAGAGCCTTCGATACCAAGTGTGACAGACGACTCCTCCAGAGTCCACTCGTCGAATGGATAGAATAAGTTCCTGACGGTGGTACCTGCATCGTATGGAGAAACAATTGCGTCTGGGCCCATGCAATCGAATTCGTAGAGGGTGGAGTCATTGTAGTTTGAGTAGAGCAACCACACGGGTTGATTCCCGAATTCACCTTGCCCAGTGAAGTCCTGGACGCCTTCGACTCTCCCTCTGAACGTGCTCCACAATCCGGTCTCGGTTGGAACTTCGAACGAGCCTGGGAGAACATACTCGAAGGTCTGGCTGGACAGCTTTATCAATGCGAACCCATCCCGCAAGACCGGGTACCTTCGTCGCAGCTCAAACATGTGCTTCAACGTGTTATACACTGGATGCGAAGGATCGCGATGATCGAGTGGCACGGTATCATCATGACAAGCCGTGAGCGACGAGTTGAATGGTGCTTCGTGAAGGTTCTCGTCGCCGACGTTGTAGCATCCGTGAAGTTTCCAGGCTATTGCAGAGGACATTGGCTGGCGGCCGAAGATGTAGTTTGCGGCTGTATTGTCGAGAACGAAAAATGCTTGCTCTTCGCCCCAGCTGACCATGGGGATTCCTGGCATCAACAGCGAGATGACGAAATCGCCCAAAAGCTGCCTCTCTGTGCCGTTTGTGAGCCCAGGCCAGCGGAGGACGTCATGGTTCGACACTCCGTACATATGACGGGGATCGAATTCTCCCGTGTTGGCATTGTTGAAGTCATTCGTCTCAACGAAAACTCTCCATTGGTCCACAAAATCCACGGGGGCATCACTGGTCGCCAACAGGTTTCCATCAAGGCCTAGAAATCTCATCAATGCTCGATACAGACTATAATGAAATGCACCGGCATCGAGTGCTGAGTAAGCGGCCGAGCGGATATATGCTGAGTCATTCACTATTGTAGGCTTGATCATAGCATTCGTGGTGTTGCGGATCTGCATCGAGGGGTCCTTGCCGCGGCCGATGTAGATCGCCGCATTTGCATTGCCGTTTACGATCTCGCCCGGGATGAAGAAGTTGTCCTTTCCGACAGACCTCGCACACTCCCTCTGGAAGGCTGAGAAGTTCCCTTGTGCATCCACGGTCACCTGCATGGCTTTATCGATACGAAAACCATCGATGTCAAGACCGCGGATCATCATACACGAGAAGTGGTTGATTTTGGCGAGGACGCTCGGTCGCCATTCGCGGAGACGATCTTGTACACCGTTGAACTTGGACAGTTGTTTCTGCCATTCGGCATATATGCCAAAGGCGCCTTGCAGTCCAAAGTTAATAAATTTGTCATCATCAGAAGAAAGGATAACGCTTTTACCTATGTCGCCGAATTGGTCAAACTCGCTGTTCATGCAGCCTTTGAAGCTTGTCGTATTCTCGTCATGCATGAGGATCCCACTTTGGTTCCAGAAACGAGGGAAGGCGTAGTGACACTCCTCTTCAAAGTCGTTCGAAAATTTGAAATCGCGGTAGAAATCGTCCGAGACATATTGAACGTAATGTTCTCGGAATGAGAACTCGGCACTGCTGTTCATGAACCCCTGGAATCCGATAAGGTCCGACATGGTCGCCATCGTATTCTCCATAATGACATACATCCCGCGCTCGTGGATGGCTTGAATCGCTGCTCTCCATTCTTTGATGGTGCCAAAGTGATGATCGAGAATCGTGTGGTCCATGGGACTGTATGAGTCTGCCTCCCAAGGATGATTAATATAGGCCGATCCAACTATGTAGATGCCTCTTATTCCTAGGCCTTGAAGGTAATCAAGCGAGTCTACCAAACCTTGAACATCGCCGCCATGCCGGAGCTGCGTCTGGAGCGGATCGTGTTCCCAAGCTGTGCCGTTGGCATTGTCGTTGGTCGGATCTCCATTGACGAACCGGTCTAGAAAGAAGCTGTAGAACGGGAACCTCCAGTTCTCCGGGCTTCTTTGATGCTGAAAACCTGCGGGCCAATCTGGGATGTGGTAGTCTAATGGCGTTTCTGCGTCCGGATTGGCATTCAGATTCCAGAGAACCTCAGCCTCGTCATAGTAAGATGCCCTAGATGTCGATACGAGCAACAGGGCATGTAACAGCAGCTTCAACAACATTATGAAAGCTGTTTTCTGTAAGTAATTTTGGAATCTCGCGCTACAGATATCCACTGCGAGGGCGAATTCGAGGAAGACGCCTTGAAGAACGATGACCACATATTTCGGAGGACTTGACGGCCATTTTGTGGCATCCCAATGCTGCGCGCGACATGAACGACGGCAATTCGGGAATGGCCTGACGTTGAGAGACGCTTACACAGCCGTCTTGCAATGACCAACAGAGGCGATGATGAACTCAACTGTGACTAATAGAAAAATGCAGCACTTACTGGAGATGAAGACCTGACACAGGCAACCTTGGAGCCTGACCTGAGGTAACCAGTGCACACTTACAGCTGCTTGTCCCACGCCGAACGGGCAATTTAAGGATTGGCATAATCCTTGTGCTCCGGTCCATCGGAGCATATATCGCTTGTTGTTGCGGAAGACTTCCCGCGTGTCACTCTTGGGCAGTGCCGTGCCTCTCTTGGTTCCATGTGGCTCACGAAGACGATCTTCGTCAATCTCACGCGATCTGTCAATCGCGAAGAGGTTCAAAAAGGCTCATCATGATGGTTCACCAATCTCACGGGCGAGGATGACATTGAGACGTTGCGACTTCCATCACCAAAGCTGCCGCACAGCGGTGAGCTCAACGCAGGCGGAATGGGTCGAAAGAGTTGCTCTCATGTTGTGTAATGTTATCCCAACATGCTTCAAGCAGTGTAGCCGCGAGCAGTACACCCTCTTGTGCGAAGTGTTGATGAGAGAGCAGGTTGAAGTTCACCAAGTGCAAAGGTAACACCGCCCCGAAGCAGTCTGATGATGCGGCGAATGCTATGACCATCTCGATGGGATTGGGAATGTGACAGGCGCACATGTGATGGCATATGCCTGCGATACGAATCAGGCAGTGCCGCTATTGATGGGAAGAACGCATGTTATGTGTCAGTTTTAACTCGTAGTCATTTCGAAAGAACGTAACTTACTTCAAACATAGTGGCCAAATTGATAGCAGTGCATGAGGTGGTGTACCTAGGCAGCTCGTTTTTATTAAGCCATCGGAGCCCCCCATCCGATACAAACAATAGCGGGCGTGCGCTGATATCCGTGAACTTACATTTTGGGGTAAATTTATTAGGGTTGTGATCAACAGCAAGAGCAAGATCGTTGAGCAAGCGCACATCACCATCACTAACACACAGTCGCTTGACAACGCGTTGCAGAAACTGCTAGGCCTTTATGTGGTCGGTGGCCAGCGGTGATGTGGAGATGGTAAGATAAAAGCCTTCTTTGGCGGAGCCTCCTTCGACGAAGCCCTCGAGGAGAATTGACAGTGAAACCTTGGGAATTGCCGAGTGCACGACATGGAATAACACAAAGTAGGTATCTCCCGGCATCCGGTCGCTTACGGAGGAGGAGTGGCAACGATCTCGACAGTGATTGCCCGCCCACGGTCCACGCAGGTGTCATTGATTGTTGTGTCGATTCACGTACATGAACCGAGATAGACATAGATCGACCTTGATGTTTTCCGGATGTCTATAAGTACAGACTGTCTTGGAAGCTACCGAAGTCTTGTTTGAAACTAGTTCACAATCTTCCGTACTGGAACGAAACACTATAATGAAGAGACAAGAGTCGCTCAAATGCGAGAAGGTATCTATACAATTTCATAATGCACATATCAAAAACTTCATGATCCTCCGCCAAAGCCGCTCAACCTCAAGATCTTCGCCGCATCCTCAGGACTGTAACCGATAAAGACAGGTCCGTTGAACACCATCCGCGGCGATCCCTCGGCCGGGGGAGTCGATGTGTCAGCGGGTGTCGCACCAGGTCTGTCTTCCGTTCGGACCTGGTGGGTGGGTGTGTCATGTTTGTCGGATTGCGGAGGTAATATGACAGGTGTGGTGTCGTGTCCGGGTGGTTTCGGACCAGATCCGTGACCAAATGGGCAGCGTAGAGGAGATTTCTCGCTTGATGGGTCCAATGGGCTAGGCTGAGAAGCATGTTCGACCACAGCAGGTGATGATATTTGGGCTGGTTTGCTGCTGTGCTCGCTGTTGGCTTTCTCGAGATATTGGGCTGGTACGGAGATCCCCCAAGGTCGGCTGGGAGACTCGCCAACACGGATATCACGCAGTGGACGTTCAAAGTGCGACACTCGATCCTCAGATTCGTCTGGGTTGTCGTCCTCGGCATTGTCGTCGTCGATGGGACATTCGACAGCTGCTTGAGCACTGACGCTGCTCGCCCATTTCCGCACTTTTTCATCACTGATATCATCCTCCACCGCCTCATCGCCTTGATCCTCTGGCTCCGGCGGAAGCATGTCTTTGTGCTTCAGACCCAGGCCCTGAATCATGGAGACGATGTTACCGTACTTCGCGTCGAGTTCCTTGATCTGATCTTCGTTGCTTTGATACCGCATCACACAGACCTCGTGGCTTCTGGGCAGCTCGTGTTTGTGTTTTTCGAACTGATGAGATTGTCAGGCACATCATCCGAGGCAGAATAACAATACAATGACTTACATATGTGGCTACTTCTTCAGGTGAATGTTGGTCCAAGAAACGTATCGGGCAGACGGGAGCATCGCCAGCATCTTCGACAGCTGGAGGGTTCCGGTCGGGCATTTCTACTGCCTCACATGGTGCGCGGTGATCAGAAAGCCCACAGATTTCAGCTTTGATAGGATCGGGAAAGCTCTGTCGACGACTAGATCGACGAGATACGTTATCTTTTATATTGACTTGACTGGAAGAGCTAATGGGTGTGCTCGCCGCGCCGGTGCTTCCGGTATTATAGCGGCTCAGGACGCTGGCGGCATGCGAACTCAATCTTTTCCTATTCATACCGGCGAATGGACAACCTAACTGGCTGGGTTTCCCTTCCACAGTGAAGTCTTGTTCAAGCGGCGATTCGGAAATAGATGGCATATTCGAACTGCATGGTTCAGGTCTATCGGCGAAAGGGCCAGACCAAATCCGTACGCCGTTCGATGCCGTGTCTGAGAAGCTCGGCAGGCCTTGTCGGAACTGAGACGCAACCTTGCCAGCTAGTCGGACTTTGCTCGCCGCAGCTTTGGACACTTGATCCGTGCTATTTTGAAGCGCTGTGGCGGCATCCACCGTTGCAGGCGCTTCAAGCTTCGATTGACCAGACAGGCTCAAAGGTGGAGTGCTGTTCGCACCTGAATTGTATAATTTTGCGAGTTCGTTATACTGTGCTTTGGATTAGCAAATGCGATCATGGCGAAAATTTCTTGTGCCAAAGGGGAAGATTGTAGGAGTTGTCAGAGTCTAATTAAAATGCCTTCACCGCCGCGTACGACTTAAGATCTAGAGCTGATTTTGTCTTCATGATATCCTGATTGTGCTTCAGAAAAGGAGGATGACGAAAGGGTAGAAATACCTGTTCTCGGGCGTTGACCAGTTTCTTCTCCAACAACTCATGCTGACTGTAGAGTTTCTCGTACTGATCTCGTAGAGCCTCGAAGCCGCTGGCCAGCTGCTGCGCCATACGATCCACCTCTTTGCGATCCATAATTTAGCTCATCGACGAGGCGACGATGTGTGGAAGATGACGAGGGTTAAGGTTGGTGGATTTGTAATGATGGAAGAGGAAGAGTGTTGGAAGGCAGCTGTCGTCCAGCTTTCAACCCGCAAGCCGCATTCTGAAGATGATCCGGCCGCTAGTCCAAAACCCTTGGCCGGGCGGGCTGTGTATATATGGCACAGTCTGACAACGATGACAGTCAACCTGGCTTCATCTCTCACAGCGATCCATTCGATGCATGTGCGAACGAGTTGGTGCGGTCAAAACGCCTGCGCCCTGTCCCGACAAATATGATATTTGGAAGTGAGGAAAAGAAGGTGCGAGAGAAGAAGAGGGAATTGTAGGACCATCGCGTATTCGACCCGCACAAATTTGCACGCCAGACCGGACCACCTTGCATGGTCCGTGCTTTACATCAGCTAAACCCCGTCTGTTGTTGTGCCGCGACAAATGCATCGTCATCTTCACCTTCACCCCGGGCCTCACTTTACTACTGTTCTCTAGGGACTAAGTACATATATGAGGTTTCTATAAACTTCTCGCCTTGTGGTGTTCCTCACCTGTTACAGGTAATCTTCACGAACGAGTAAAGTAAAGACGGTCAAGCCTGTGTCGCGTGATGTTTTAGAGATCTGAGGATTACGTACGTTAAGGGGAGAGTGAATTTATGGCAGAAATCCACAGAGTGATCCTCCCAAGAAAGAAGCCCTGACCGATGGTGACGAAGCTCGCCAGCGTGTTCCAACGCTGCGCCCGGGAATTGCGTATATCGCGGCGTTCCCTGTTGCGCTCTTGACGACGACGACAACAACCACAACTTTTCGCTGCAACGTCGGCAGCGACAGCACAGGCATTTCTTCTTGGCTTTCCTTTCTTACAAACACGTTCCTTTTCTTTAATTTCCAACATCGTTAATCTCTCATTCACGACATATCGTCAAATCGCACGTGTCGTAGCTCGTGCCTCTGGACTGTCGTCTACATTCAGCATCATCCTGCACTGCCAACCTTGCCAATGTTTTGGCGGCCCGTCCTATATTAATCTTGATCGCAAGCAAGGGAGTCCTTCAATACTCTCGCCTGATAATTAATTACGATCATACCTAACTCTCGAGAGTCTGTCCATTCGTTCCTACAACAATCGCCATAATGTCTGTTGCAAACAGCAGCCACCTTACAAGATGGCTCCTATCACTCCCGCCCGTCGAATTCGTAATGCAACAATTACGCGAGACACTCATCGGCAGTCTGAAATGCGGTCCCATTCCTAAGCACATTGCATTCGTCATGGACGGCAACCGAAGGTACGCCCGAAAGAACAAGGTGGAGACAGTGGAAGGGCATCATCTGGGCTTTGAGGCATTGGCGCGCATACTTGAAGTGTGCTATAAGAGCGGCGTGAAAGTGGTGACCATTTACGCCTTTTCGATCGAGAACTTCAAGCGGTCCAAGTACGAGGTGGATGGATTGATGGACATGGCCAAGACGAAATTGGTCCAGATGAGCCAACACGGAGAGTTGTTTGATCGCTATGGCGCCAGCGTGCGTATTCTGGGCGATCATAGCTTGATCCGTGAAGACGTGCTTGAGCAGGTCAATCGCGCCGTGGAGATGACGAAGCACAACCACGAGACTGTGCTAAACGTCTGCTTCCCATACACCGGCCGGGAGGAGATCACCCACAGCATCCGCGAGACCGTGCGCGAGTTCAGCGAACCTCCCAAGCGCACCAGACAAAAGCGACCCTTCAGCGAAACCCACATCCAGCGTAACATCCTGAACCGGACGCTATCCGCCGTCGCCGAGGAAGATCTCGAGCTACAGCACCATACCAACCACAACCCCCACGACCACGACCACCCGATCCCGCAGACTCCGGAATACTGCACGCGCGAAGACGGCCACACGCTCATCTCGGATGCGGAATCCACCGAATTCTCCGAGCAAGACCTCGAAACCTCCTCCAACATCCAGTACAACTCCAGCCAGACCAGTCGCAACTCCTCGCCCATCCACAAAGCCCACTCGACCACGAGCATCAGCAGCAGCAGCAACGGTCGCTCGAGGAAAAACATGCCCGACGCCGAGGCCATCACCGCCGAGATTCTCACGCGGAACATGTACACGGCGGACGCGCCGCCGCTGGACCTGCTGATCCGCACATCAGGCGTGCAGCGATTGTCGGATTTCCTGCTGTGGCAGTGCCATGAGACGACGGAGATGCGATTCCTCGGATGCCTGTGGCCGGAGTTTGATCTATGGCATTTCTTGCCTGTGCTCCTCGAGTGGCAGTGGAAGCAGCGGAGGGTGGCGGCGGAGAAGAGGAGTGCGTCAAAAGCTTTATCGTAAATTAAATCTCTCGGTTCCTTCATGGATATATTAATTTTTCCTCCCCTGTCTCACGACTTTGTTTCATTGTTCCATACGTTGCAAGCCTGCTGCATCCTGGATGGAATCCCTGGATGTGTAGATCGAAAACTCCGACAAGCAAACCCACCATCTATTCGTATAATCATGATTACATAATACTACAAAAAGCCTCCCACCCATCAACACGACCCTCTACGAGTCGATGCCCATCCGCCATCGATCGATAGCATTCCTCTGATCAGGTTTCAACGCCGGATCCACAATCGGCGCTGCCATCGGCATCATTCCCTGCATGCCCATCGCCACGGGACTCCCATACGGCATGCCACCAAAACCATAAGCTCCGACCATAGCCGCAGCCGGCATGGTCGAGTAAGCGGCGGGACTCATGAGGGTTTGCTGTTGCGGCGAAAAGTGCATAGCTTCCATCGGAGGTGAAAAGTAACCTGTATTGTTCATGCCGAGGGTGGGAGAGGAGACGGCGGATAGGGGCATGGGTTGGCCGCTGTGGTTGTACATCCCGCCTGCGAAACCGCCGTTGCGGGGCCGACTTGCGTGGTTCCCGAGGAGGCCGCCGCCGCTGATGTCGCGGGTTGGGAATTGGTTGGCGTTGACCAAGGGGTGGTTGTGTAACATGCTAGAGGAGCGGAAGTTTTGCTGCGAGAGGTCTTGTTTGTGTTTCAGCTGCATTTGTGCATTGGCGTGAAGGAGGGTGCCCTGGACGGGCTCGGCGTGTTTGTTTGCCATTCTCGTTCCCACGGGGTTGGCGGAGAGCAGGTCGGCCAGACTATTATTCGAGCGTAGAACTGGTCGCGAGGGTGATGCTGTGGCAGGGCGGGCCATTTCGCCAGAAGCTTCACGTTCCCGTTGAAGTCGGGCTCGGCGCTGGCCCAATGTTTCCTCCTGGGGCAGCGCCTCTGCCGAACCTGATGGATTTGCCGTACCCTCTTTGGTCGACTCATCCGCAACGTCGAGGCCTCCGAATTGACCAAGGACATCCTCGGAAAATGTGCTCAGAGGTCGAGCTCCAGTCTTCGGTGCAACGTCAGATATGGCGGTGTCTAATTTGTCCTTGGTCTTCAAGCGCCATGCTCTCTGCCCAAGGGTTTCATTGGCTTCTGACGGATCCTCCTCCTCTTCTGCTTTGGGAAGCAAGATCGTTGGCTGTTGGAGTGCCTGTATGCTTTGACGATGCGCCCGACGTTGATTCCGAGGTGGAGACTCGCCTCTCAGCCTACTCCTTCGACTGCTGAGCGGCTCATTGTCCTCCAACTCACGTCTCTCCATCAATCCCATAGGCCTTGGCCAATCATTACCATCGCCTGCTTTGTTCTTGCTGTTCTTGGGTTTGTACAACATGCCGAGAGGGACGTCTTCATCATCAGCATCCTTGGCTGCTATGTCGTGGTTCCGCATTCCGGGATCTTCCCACGCAAGCTCGACGCGTTTGATCTTACGATTCTTTTTGCTGATCTCCTCGACGGCATCTAACTGCAACAAAGTACTATGCATGCCATTTGGAAAGGCTGTAGCAGCGGTCCTGCTTCTGGACTTTTGCTGAGCTTTTCGTACTTGAAGTTCAGCGAGCAGTGTCGATGGAGCGGCGTATATGACCTCCTCTTCTTCCACGTACTCTCTTTGTTCCTCTTCCAATTCCTGCTCGTCATCTTCCTCCTCTTCAATGTAGTTGTGGTAGATCTGATCCCCAGCGCTCAGTGTCTTACGGTGACCATGGCGGGCATGTGCGTCGACCTCTCCGTCTTCATTCACATGTTCCGAATCGGAGAATTCTGTCTCGGCAACACGCTCCAGCTCATCTCCAAGGCTGTATGTGCTCCGCCGCTGCGTTACCGTCCTATCCGCAGCAAGACTTGAGCGGCTCTGCGGCCGACCCAACTCGCCATCGAGATTGGTGCTACTACGACGGAAATTCAGGCCCAGATTACTTCTCCGCTTCGTCTCGTCTTTCTTCACAGTCGCAGGCTCAAGTAAAACTGTGCGCCGCCGTCCAACGTTGCCTGAAGCATAGACTGATTTGCGAACATCGCCTGCAAACGGATGATCTGTGAACGCGTTGACCGGCGCCGTAGCGGACGCATTGAGAATGCTATCAAGGGTGGCCACAGCTGACTCTGACTTGACCTCGACTTCTTGTCCAATAGACTCATGCTCGAAGTAGACACTGGCTCGTAGTTGTGGTGGAAGATTGGCCATGCTGACGCGCTGGTTCAACATGCTACGGCGATTTTCCCCTGTCCCCACAGGATCCACACCAGCTATTTGTTCGTGCGACGAATCGCTCAGATTGGTTTGCGAGGGCCAAATTGCAGACTGTCGGGCACCAACGTGGTTATCAGTGATCAATTGTGTACGCCGACGAGCCTGCACCGTGGCCGCGGGGAGTTGAGAAAGCCTCTTAGGCAAATTCAACATCCGTGGCACTGGTGCTGGATAATAGACCATGTTCTCGTCGGGTGGCGGAGCGCCGAGTGACACCTTGGGAGGTGGGCTTCGTAGGAGGGCGCCCACATCGAGGAGGCTGCCTGACGAAGTGCGGGCAGATATCCGACGGATCTCTTCGCCATCCGCACCCAACTCGACGTATTCTTCGGTCTCGGGAGAGAAGTGAACACCGTCAAAATCCTTGAACGCCAGTTGTGCCTCGTGGAAGGTATCTGTGGATTCGGGTCTGGTGGGGACTGTGTGTACGGCGAGTTGCCCAGGATGAGACGGGAAAACATGTACATCTTCTCCTATTTGTCCTGCAATTTGATCCCATCTCTTCGCAAAGGACGATTGTGACATTCGCCGAGAAGCCTCATCATCTTCTGAGGTGGGAGAGCGTGGCCCGGGGCCGATGTCCAGCGACCTGCCCTCCTGGACGGGTTCCGCCATGTGACGACTTCCGGTACGACGTGATGGCGACGAGGGAAATTCGAATTGTTTCGCAGGAAGGAATGACCAAGATCCAGAGAGAAAGGATTCCGAAGGAATCGCAAGTGTGTCACTGGTGGGAGAGTGACCTTGCCAATTATTATTATTATCAACATGGCCGTCCCCGTCATCTAAGACGGAGTTACCACTCGAGCTAGCGCAACTCTGCGCTCCGATACTGTCTCGATCACGCAGCGACTGCACCAAATCGGCAAGGGCCAGGGTGGGGCGCGGCAAGGAAGACGAGGAAGAGCGATGCTCCTCCTTCCTCTCGCATGATGGCGGCCGCTTACCACTATCGGCGAAGTCATGTCGGCCGCTTTGTTGAATGCTGATCTCCTCCGCCGAACGTTCAAGGCGTGAGATGTTTTCGTGGCCCTGGAGATCCGATACGCGTCTTGGCTGTGGGCCGGATGGGGTGCGGCGAAGAGAGGCGGAGACCGTCGTCACTAGTAAATCCCCAACAATTGGTACGCCATGAGGCATGTTTCTGTTTCCGGAATACGAGGCGCCGCTCTATTCCTATAACAAATAATAATCTTCGCAAAATTCTAGAGTCGTATCGGGTGGGTGTGGGTGGATTCGAGATGCGTACTGTCGAGTTGCAAGTCACCCTTGCGATGTCAAGACGTGGAAAAGTGAGAACGAAGAGAGTACTGCAGGGCGTGCAACCAATGTTCGCCTGAGATACGATATCTCCAGGACGGCTTCAGGACTGTGATAGAAGCATGGGAGAACAGCGGTAGGCATCTCTCGTGTATCCAATGCCAGACCAATCTCTCCATACTACATTTGTACCTGTAATAAGACGAGTACGGATATGATTTCTACATGGATACCCACCACCTGGCAGGCAAGGCCTGGGCAACCAGCAACAGCAACCTCGGACGGTGGAACCTGAAAAGTGCTCCCTATCTGCCGTTTCCATATCGTTATCGTGCCTCCGTGATAGAGATTTTGACATTGTGGGAGGAAAAACATAGGAACCCCGGATCAACGCTGCAACAGCTGCATGTAGGCTGGCTCGTTCGTCGATGAGCACGCGACCGTTTTCCGCGCATCACGATCTTTTAGGATAGCAACGTGGTCGACACGTAGACATCCTCGTTGCATCCTCTTTGGCACTCGTCAAAGGCAACTGGACTCAATACTTTGCCATTCGATCAACCTGGACTTGTTCCGCTGCTGAAAGGTCATCACAGCTGATGAACCGTAAACAATCACAGCAGTGATGATAACGACTGCCTGGTACAGTAAAATCTTGTGCCTAGTATGACAGACGTCCCAGTGAGTGGTGAGACCGGGATCGTTTGGTCGCCTCCTCGAGTCAGACTTGGTTGACCCAACGGGCGCGGAAAGCACCAAAGTTCATTTCGCCCCCGCCAGCTGCGAACTAAAATAACTAAATTGATCCCCAGGAACACATATGATGATGCACGGATGGTACACTTCTCACCTTGTGACATTTACTAACTCGCTTGTAGTGAACTCTGTTGATCGACCAAGATAAAGAAGGCAACCCGTCAGTACCGTCATGTTATAAAGCATGTTTATCTAAGGTCAACTCTAGAAGTGATGATAAGAAGTTGGAAGATTGGATGTCCTGGTAAAATCAGGGTCATCTTATTATTAGTCCTCCACATAGCGATGTCGTATCACCAGGTGACGCCGCCTGTTACGGTTCCAAATTTTGGCTCACCAGTTGTGATCAAACACTGATATCCTTGCGCCACAAAGAATCCAGGGTGTGCGAGTGAGGCTCTGACAAGCAAAATCGTTGATGCATCCCTTCTGGGTGGCGATGTACTGCGGCGATTGTGTATCGTATAGAATGGTAATCTGTGATGTTCGATCTCTCGGCATGCCCTATGCAGCATTCGTAGCGCAAATCGACTGCTGGGCGAGTGTTATGTGATGCCCTAGAACAAGGGCAACGTCTCATCCCAATGGCAAACAAGATATCTCTTGGTCCAAAAAAGCCATTGATGCACCAATTCGGCATTGCCAGCGACGGCAGTAGCAGCAACACCAGCGGCACATGTATCGTGAGGACCACATGGCAAGCATCTGGCCAGAAAAGTATGCTCGGGTGATCGACTCTCTCAAGAATAAGATGAAGTGATTGTAATAGAACCGATACGCACGGGCCCAAGCAAAGGCGTAAGTATGTCCCGTAACCGAGAAATAAATTTTTGTGATGCAACAGGGTATCTCGTATTTATGGACCTTGTCCGGGAAGAAAAAAAATTAGAACGACCTGCCTCGCCGGGGCCAAAAACACCACGCTTGAAAAACGATCAATTCTAAACGGGAGAAGTGAAAAGTGGCTCTCGCCAGCCCATCATCGCTGATATGCGTCCGCGTGGTCCAGGATCCACTGGATTCCTTCCTGACGGAATGTGTCCGGCTCGGTGTAGGCTATCCCGGTCATGCTCGCATCCCAAACCATGTTTTCGGGTTGATCGACGGAGTATTTCGGCCACATAGGCGCCCCGGAGCCCGCGGTGATGAAGCTATTGGGATCGAGATCGACGATGAATGAGGTCCATGCCGAGGCCATAAATTTGGAAAGTTGCTGGTAAGCGAGCGGCATGCCTTGGAAAGGGTTGGTCGAGTATCCGACTCCTTGGGTATTGTTGAAGACAAACGCAACTTCTTGGAAATGTGTCGCGCCGATGCATCGCGGAACGCCCGCGGGTAAAGTATTGAAACGATAGCTGTACGCGGTCAATCCGCGAGCTGCCCAGGCCTGACAGGTGCCGCGGCGATTGGCGATGAAATATGCATCGCCATAGTACGCGGCACTCCTCCGCCATTCCTCCGCGTCGCCGAATAATCGTGGGATGCTGGAATTTCCTAGCATCTCCGCAGAGGGGATCCAATACTCTGGCTTGTTAGGATAGACGGCGTTCGCAGCCGCGGCCAAGTCTGAGGGAATATTGACGGGCTCATACGGACTGACGAGCTTGTCCAGGAAGCTTAGCTCGTCGCTGACTGGCAAAGGAGAAAAGGCGGTCCCTTCATCAGTATTGGCGCCGTCAATGATGGGGACTTGGACGAAAGCACCGTCAGCGATTTGTTGACTGGATGTCCGCACGATAAAGTCCTCATCGACAATGGGTTGCCAACTCATAAGCAGGTTGGTTGCGAAAATAGCTGCTTTCACAATCCCGAGAGGCCGGTTTCTCAGGCACTCTAGCGAATCTATCGCTAAAAGACACCCGGAAGCAGTGATCAAGATCTGATAGTACGGCTGGTAATAAGACGTGTTGCGATAGTTGTGATAAGCGAGAGGATTGCCCGATTGCATGATAGCGGCTCGAAAGAGATTGTCGTTGCGACCATTGTAGGCGGTGATGTGCCAGCCTACAGACCCAGCGCCTGCCGACTCACCCCAGATCGTTACCCTTTGTGGATCGCCGCCGAACGCTATTTGTGTTTAGTATGTTGTGCAAGCCGCCCATGTATCGAGTTTTGAAGATACCTTGAATGTTCTCTTGCACATAGTGGAGGGCCAATCTTTGGTCCCTTAGTCCCATGTTGGTGTTGCCAGATGCACTGACCTGCGAAGACTGAAGGAAGCCCCATGCGCTCAATCGGTAGGCAACAGCGACAGCGATGAAGGGTTTGCCAATGTTGACAGAGTTTCCGACGATGTATGATAGGTTGTATCTGGGATCGCGTATGCCACCTTCCACCAGCGCACCACCCTGAGAATAACCTTGTCAGCATAGGCAGCAAGAGAGCAGTATTAAATACTCACATGAAACCAGACAGCAACTGGGAGTGTTGTGTTTTCGTAGCCAGAAGGCCGGACAACGTTCAGATACAGACAGTCTTCTGACTGTGGCCTTCCATCCGAATCAGACTGAATGAAGGATCACGTTAGCGCCGGTAATGACCCTCTACGTATGTTGACGGACTCACACCGAAGCCGACGCATTGCGGAGGGAATGCGGTGGCTTGGAACACTCCATTGAATGTGCTGTTCAAACTGACAGGATTCCGAAATCGAAGTTCGTCGATGGGAGGTTGAGCGTACGGGACACCGAGAAAGAAATCCTGACTGTAGGCTTGAGAGTAGATGCCTTGAATTGTCCCGTTGCTGGTAACAACGAGAGGCCCAGCATTATTGCTCGAGGCCTTGTATGCCGATATTGGACTCGAAGATCCCAAGACGACCAAAGAGGCGACAAACAGCCAAGCGGTATAGACCATTGTAATCCGGATAGTTGTGACACTGAAAAGATTGGACACTGGGTTGCTACCCAGCCGTGAGGGAGAAGTAGTTGTTCAGCGTGGGTCAAGACGTGGAATCGTGGCAATCGAGACTCTGGTCCCGCTCGTCATGCCGTTTATGCAGAATGTCGTACAACAGTGACATTCGAAATGCGGCTCATACGACTATTCATCCCTACACATTATCAGGTGATTGGAAGGAACAACGAGAACAACTGACGACGGTGGTGGAATATCTCGACGGCCCACTCGGCCACGCGGCATGAAGACGAGGTGTCAAGCAGCCGTGGCGAGGGGAGTTACAAGCCCTCTCTGGCGAGAAAACTTCGTTGACGCGTGTTTCCGCATCATCGCTCTGCGCTTGCAGGAGCGTTGTACATGTGTACTCTATAGTGTATCCAACGAGGAGCGGACCAGATGACGGCGGGTGAGAGAGGCGTCAAAAACGGTGGAATCTTCCTTGCGTGGCGTCCAGGATCCACCCACGTTGAGACAGGGCGCGCACGATCCTTGTCGACTACCCACTGGCTCGTTGAGTGCAAGCAAATGTACATGTCGTATACAGACAGGGTAAGCATCCTGGTGATGCGGTGCTGCGGCACAAGAGTCGGTCACCATTGCGACGAGATGTCTGAAGTTTGCAGCAAAAGAGGCGTGTCGATCGGTCGACGTTCCTTGCAGTGGCTTGCCGCCAGTCTAACATCCCGGCCAAACTTGCCCTCCAGCTCGTTCAGGTACACTTTGCGCTAGTGAAATCAAGGCTGCGGGGAAAACCACCGACCATTTCTCGATGCACTTTCGACGGACCGTGCCAGATGAGATGGTCAATTTAGTATGAAATGATGGTCTGGGCGGATGGCTTTGCGACTCGTGTCTCCTCACGCACCCCCCCTCGCCCTCGTACAGTCGGCGCAAGGCACGTGTATTCGTGGCAGGCTCTAGGTCGCTGCAGGTTCCCAGCGACGCCAATGCGCTGTAGGCAGGGGAGAATTCGGTCTCAGGCACTCCAGCGTGTCCGGTCTCCATTGTTAGCGCTGCCCGCATGTCAACATTGGCAAGTTGCGACGATGCTTGCGGGTTGAAGTACTTCACTGGCGAATCCAAACCACTGGCCGTTGAACCTCGGGCTCTGGCCAGCATGCCTCGCCAGGACAATTTCATCCGGCTTTGGTTGTTATCCTACAGGGTCGACGAGCGGACAAGGTCCGTAACGGTCATCTGAGTGCCCCGTCCTGTTTGACCGCGAAATTGGGCTCTGGGACAGGGCGTACATGCTACATGCTGCACAGTCATGGATGCACAGTCATGGATTAAAAGTCGTGGGTGCTGCGACCCAGCCGGACGACACACCGAATGGCAGCCACAACATCATGTCGATCGGGTTCGTACCTTTGTGATTTTCGAAGAGGATGGGTCTAGATTCTGAAATATGGAAAGGTGGTGCGGTTCTTGCATAGGACGTGTTTGAGTGCCGGCGTTGGACTTAACCTCCGAGCCAAAACATAATTACTATCCGATCAATAATAGTCCGTGTCACGTGTCAATCGTGTGGTGTCGCCAGTGAGGAGACGCGGTGAGGACGTGGAGGTTTTCGAATTGTTCCGATACTCTACAGCGGCCCACTGATGATTCAATGCAAGGTCCCACCGCTGCAGGGCTGCAGCACGCTTCTACACTATTGACAAAAATGACCAGGGCCCTTCTGCAAGTGACATTCATTGTTCGTTGTGCGCCTTGTACTGTACCTCGGAGCTTTTGATCAGCTTTGTGACGGCGAGGCCAGACACTGCGGCGCAGCATACTGGGCACAAATGAGGGGCGCGTGTTGGTTGGTACTCAGGAGTTAGGACCACGAGACAAAATAGATTTGATAACCCGTGAACTTGCTGATGCTCCTCGGTGCACCTGGAGACGGGCCTAGATAACTAAGTCACCTAGACGGTCAGTCGCCATAGGTTGCACATGGTTGTCATCGCACGTAAGCGTTAGGAATCTGGAGAATATAGGTCTGACTTTGGTGCAGCGTCTCGTCCTGTTGGTACGATGCCACCTGCATGTCAAGTGCAGTACCGTAAGGTATGGTCTGGTATGGTATGGGACAAGATTGGTCATGGTCTGCTCTATTCATTCATGTACAGTCTAATCTGTCCAACACATAAGGTCTTCGCTTGATCTAGTCACGACGTCGCATCCGACACGCCATGCGCATGGTGTCATTAAATTCCCCGTCAAGATCGAAAAGACGGGACTGTGAACCATGCATACGTAGCCCACGGTTGAAAATGCGCTTACAGGCGGCTCACATCTTCGTCTTCTTCTTATTACTGACATACTGTCCTGTCCTGGCTGCAGTGTGTCAGAATGCGGCTTTCCGCTTCCTGACCTGTCGCAGGTCCACGGCCAGCTCTTGTGCAGCAGATGAGGACGAGGTCTTTCCCGCAGAGTCTTCAGCATTACTGTACTCTTTGCGCGATTACCTAGTAAATATGGGTGTAGTCAATGATCGCCAGCTGTGCACAAGAGGGCAAGCATCCTCCGACCAGTCATTGTGGGTAATGATTGACAACGTGTGGGCACTACTGGCGGCGCCAGCGGCTAAAAACAGTAACACCAAACGTGTGGTCCTTCACCCGGCTGCTGGACAAACGACCCCCGACTGATAGCATGAGGAAGTGGTGGGCAGGGAACAGACAAGACGCAAGCTCTCACTCCACCAATAAATCCTACTGCCATACCATTCGAGCATCGTCGAATCACAGCTGTCGTCTACAGATCAGCTGCCGCGTCGGCTTACATCTATTCCGATAGATCCAGGCCTCTCTGTAGAGCCTCGACCATAGCTTGTTTTCCGCGATCGTCAGCTTCTATCCAATGCAGGAATCGACCAAAATCAATGAATCGCAGATACACCGCCAACTAGCAGATGGACTACATCAGCAAAATGTCCCACCAGAACGACAGGATTCCAAGGTCGCGACCGAAGAGTCTGGGAAGCAGCAGTCGTGTCCACAACAGGAGCTCACAGACGATGGACAACCACGCATACCACAGACACCAAAACAACATTCCCTCGAGCCGACGGTGACACAATCTCCCTCACACCAGCTATCACAAATCCAGACAAACATCGACCCTCCTTCTGCTGCTACCACCCCAAAACCCGAACAGGTAGCTTATCCCTCGATCCAATCGGCCTCGTTGGTCGATACATCAAACCAGCTACTGGTGTCGCCTACTGCCATACGCGATATGAGCTCGTCACTCAGATCAAATCTATCTGCCTCTTCTCTTGCCTCTTCGTTGGGGTCTACCTCAAATCTGGCCTCGCCCTACCTTTCCACACTACCTGACCTGACACCGCTTCCTTCACCAGTGGTGGGCGGAGATGCAGCTGCATTGCGGAAAGCTCGTATACCGGAGACACCAACCAGGTCTCTCAAAGATTCTAATCACGACGGTTCACAACCTGGTTCGCCAACGCTGTCCACATCACCCTCAAGAAGAAAGAAAACATACGGTAGTCTGAGGCAAGAGGTGAGCAACTTGGTGCATTCGTCGAGTGCAGCGGATGCAGTGGGATCTGTTGAGAATGGAAAGAACAAGGAAAATGTGCAGGCAGATACACATTCGAGGAATCGCAGCGTATCGGAATTTGTGCCAAACCCTCTGTTGAATATGCGTCCACGCAATATCACGCTCGGGTCTCCAGACGCTGTCCGTATAGACGCGGCGGAATATCAAATGCATCGGGAAAGATATCTCGCCGGGCAGCGTGGGATGCGAAATCTATCCGCCCTCGAAAGCAATCAGCAGAATCCCACGCCTCCAGCTAGTACCTCGAGCGTAGCGGAGAGTGACGATATCAACGAGGAGCCTCCGTACCTCGAAGATGGAACTGCGTCAGAGTTCTTGCACATTCATTGCGGCATACACAATCAGAAGCGGAAATTCCGGCAACTCCGGCGTCTAGGCCAAGGCACCTTCTCGACCGTCATGCTGGCCACGCGAGAGAAGATTCCAGCCCATCCCACGCCAGAGATTGAGGCACACCTCGATATCAATAAACTCGTAGCCGTAAAGATCGTCCAGCATGGACCTGCGGGCGGCGCTGACGAGGAACGGATCGAAGTCAGTCTGAAGCGTGAGGTGGAAATGCTCAAAACCGTCTGCCATCCTTCCTTAATCCAGCTCAAAGCCTGCGAGCACCAAGCCTCGCGCTCCCTACTAGTCCTCACATACTGCCCAGGCGGCGACCTCTTCGAATTCGCCACCAACAAGCGGGAACTCCTCACGCCGCCCCTGATTCAGCGCATGTTCGCCGAGCTGGTGAGCGCAGTGCAATACCTCCACGCCAACTGGATCGTGCATCGCGACATCAAGCTCGAAAACGTCCTTGTCAACCTCCCCGAAGACGTCATCCGCGCCATCGACGAACCTCGCACCTTCTCCTCCCCGATCATCACATTGACCGACCTCGGCCTCAGCCGGAAAATGCCCGAACCGCCCGCCGACATCTTCCTCCATACCCGCTGCGGCAGCGAGGACTACGCCGCGCCCGAGATCCTCCTGGGTCAGCCATATGATGGCCGCGCCACGGATGCCTGGGCGTTGGGTGTTCTCTTATACGCGCTCATCGAGGGCCGGCTCCCCTTCGATCCACCTCCAGGGCGACCCGACCGCAGTCGCAACACGCATCGGATCGCGCGCGCAGCGTGGATCTGGTGCCGCTTCGGCGACGAAGACGGCGAGTGGGATCCGGTCCGTGGCAAAGACTACGAAGGCGCCCGACCCTGCGTGGACGGTCTACTGAAGAAAGCGCGCATGGGCCGAAAACCCCTGGGCGAAGTCGCGGAGTATGAATGGGTCAAGGAAGGAATCCAGATTCCTGGTGGCTTGCAGATGCGGGTTGAAGATGACGATGCCTATGCTCTGTAATACAATTCATCATCTGCGGCGGCTATGCTCATCTTCCTTCTCACTTCAATGGTATATTTAGAATAATATAGAAAGACTCGGAACAGACAGAAACATGATTGCCTTCACACGCAATTGGAGAACAAAAGGGGCGTTTATACGATATCAGGAGTTTTGTTTAGGTGGTGGTGAGCCGGATCTGGGCTGCATCCAAAAAGAGATACCATGGGTTTTCCAAAGAGAAATTTTTACATTTTCCAAACTTTTTATACGAAACAACTTCAAATCTGCAGATTTTCTTTCCCTCACACTGTTGATTATCATCTCTGACGAATTAGACCTCACTCTTCTTCTCAGCTTCCGCCAGGCGTCTCACGAGCTTCGCGATTGTTTCTTCATAAGCGCGATTCTTTGCCATAGATTCTTCGAGAGTCGGGCGTGAGGTTAGTTCCGCTCGGTGTGCTCGCCTCTCGCGAGGTGACCCTGAATGCGACGTGGTGACGATCCTCGTTTGCTTAGTCTTCCTCAAACTGCGAGATTGACCCTTTGTTATGTCGGGAGAGGATTCCAGCGCTGGAGAGGACGGTTCACGACTGAGGTGGTGTGTGATGAAGGAAGGCTCTTCACGGGCGTCATGTTTAGGTCTCTCCTTATGCGCAGGCATGCGAACTCCTTGATCAGCAGCAGTTATAATGCTGTCACCGACAGCATGTTCGTTCAAATTTTGACGGACCTCGCCGCCTCGACCTTGCGGCTGCGCTTCATTGGAATTCTTGCGTTCTGTGATTGCTTGCTCGATCATTTCTCGTGCCCTCTCTGCTCTGTGAGAAACTGAAATGAGAAGATTATCAAAGGTTGAGTCATTCTCAATGTCATCAACGTGGACATTTTGGTCAGATTGACTCAATGGTTGCATCAGCCTCCCATCCTCCTGTGGTTCATCTTGAGGAATACATTCTCTTGTGTCTTCGACGTTTTGCTGTTGCGCAACACCTTCAGACCCTGACGAAGTCTGCACGAGGGCATTTGTATGACCGAAGCTCGCACTCGTACGTTGAAGCCTTTTCGGCTTTAGAGGCTCAACAAATGTGGTCACTGGAAGAATTGGCAAGCGGCGCAACGACGGAAGCAACAGTTCTTTGTGCAACGTACCAGGAATGGATGAAGAAAGATCAGCAGCACGCTCGATAGTATCTCCCCGACTGTTCGGGTGAGGGAGAGCACCTCGACCAACCTGTGTTGGACTGAAAACGACTTTGGGACTTTCACTGAAGACATCACTTTCTGGGGCTATGAATCTTGAATCCTTCGGACACGTGAAGAAATCGTTCTTCGGGATGGAGGATAAGCGCCACTCTGGCGTTTTCGTCAAGCCAACGCTATTTTCTTGTGCTTTCTCGATTTGAGACTGTACAAAATCTGGGTCTCCCAGTCTAGTCATCGAAGGGTCTGACGAAAGACCAGGATATGCAATGGTCACAGTTGCGGAGCTGATAGCTCGTGCCTTGTTCGATACCTGCTCTTGTCTTATCGTATCATACTCAGGAGGCCGCATCGAGCTCGGTTTACTCCTCTGCGATTGATCAATTTTTGACGGCACCGCCGTACTAGTGTGCCAGATTGAGCGGGTCTCTGATGTCATACTCGAACACCGCGTTCGTGGAGTATAAGAGCCATCATCGGTTGTTCTCCGGCCGAACCGAGGAGTGTATAGACTCGGCGAGTAGTACGAGTGCATTGCTATGCTATCGTCTCTTCCGGAAAGTTGAAGTCCGTGGATATCTAAGCCGTCGAGGCGTGACTTGAAATCCTTGAAGTCCTCCAAGGTTACCAGCTCTGGAATGACCGATCTGTGATACTGGTCCTCGATTGGCCTGGTGATTAGAGGTGCTACTTCAAGGCCATCGTGCCTGCCGAACCTTGGAGACTGGTGAGAGCTGTGAGTGCTAGACGTTCTTTCGAAATTGCGAAGCCCAAGACCAACATCCTCAGCCTGCTTCGAGACTTTGTTGTTGGGCGGCGTATCCTTGGCGGGAGGAGTCGGCGCATCCTTGTACTCGAATTGAGTTTCTTCAGGAAACTCGAGTGGTGAATCGATTGGTGGTGGCTTCCGCGATGGAGAGGACGGTTTGGGAGGTGACTCTGTCCCATGAGAGTTTATGTCGGGCCTCCATCGGACGAGGCTTTTCTTCGAGGGCGATCGAGATGCCATTTGTGATTGTGAACGGCCAAACAGGATAGCGTGGGCTTTGGGTTGTGCGTGGATGAGGACTCTATCACCAACCGCAGGACTATACGCGTCGGGTGCATGTGTGCTTACGGCTTCCCCTTTCCTGCCTAAGGCGAATGAGGGCATCGCGTTCCAGCTGGTTTTGATGCGCTGAAGGAACGACGACTTTTTAGGAGTCTTGGGCTCTGTTGCTTTAAATCCACACGGGAAAGATGATCGAGCATTTGTGTTATCATTTTCTGAGGTCTGGAAGTATCGCTCTGCCTTAAAGCGTGACTTATCGATATCAGATTGCTCTTTTCGCTGCTCAATAAGTGCCCTCCGAGTTGGCTCAGCAACTTGGGTTACATGAGGTGAAGGGACCAGCTTTAGCGCCTTGGTCGCAGATGGATGCGGATAGTCGATTGCGAACTGACCATCGTCTGGTATTGACGCCATCCCGTTGCCCGGTACGGCAGGCAATTTCTTCTCATGTAAAGAGCCCTGAGACTCGTGAAGCACACGCGGTGTTGCAAATGGCAAGTCGTGGTCAGTCTTGGACTGATTTCCGGGATTACAAGATGATCTTGACGGCGACAGTGGTATTGCATGATCGTCAGACATTGTGCTTGGCGTGCCAGTCATGTGTTGTCGAAATGCCATCAGCTTTGATGATTGTACGCTCGAAGATCTTGGTGGGAGGTCAAAATGCTGCATCGGACTCGTTGCGGCAGCCTTTGAGTTGATGGCAACGCAATATGGAGTGGCGGCGCAGTCGGTTTGACTCTCGACAGGAGCTTCCGTCGTCAGATGGTTCTTCAACTTCCCTCGATGAAGCTCAGGGAGTAAAGCGGTGGGAGATGGAATGTGAACGTCTGGACTATCGGTGTTTTGACAAGGGGTGCTTGGTCTCGCAGGCTTTGTTGGATCTAGAGCTTTGCAATTCGGCTGTGCTGGTGTCAGTCGTCGTTTGCTTGTTGTCGGCGTGGCATTCTGTGGGGGAAAAGTCATTGCGCTCTGTTCGTTTGGAGTTGCGGGTGTTGTGTGGTCTCTACCGACGATCATCAAGTTACCACGATTGCTAGTTGTTGCCATTGAAGCTGGTGATGCGTCACGTTCCACATCAAGCTCCTCGTTGTGGTGGGCCTGATAGAACGCATTACTCAGGAGCAATTGTTTGTGCTTGGCCTCAGCCTTCGCCGCGAATGCATTACCAGATGGCGATTGTGGAGGCAAGCATAACAACGCGTCAACTGCATCGGCTCGTGGATCCTGGCCGTATGTGGCAAGTCGTTGTATCAGTGAGGAATCGCCATCTTTCGTTTGACCTGGCGGCTCTATAACAGGATCCATGATGATGAAGGTGATGACTGTGATGGAGATCAGCCAAAATTGCAAGTTTGTTGATTATGTCCGGCTAAAAGTGAAATCAGTACTGATGTTCAGTTGTTGTGATTGTGTGATGAGTGAAAGGAAGATGTTCACAAGCACAGAATGTGCTGGGCAACCAGGATTCACTCCAGTGCTCTGTTGACAAAGAGCTTGCACACCTGCATCGAAAAGATTGTGTTTGTCGGCTTTGCTAACATTCCCACGATTGAAAATCACGGTTTCACGGTTGTACTTCTGGTATCTTGCGTAGCCGGAGATGCCGGCTATATCATCATCTGTTGAGAACTGTCAAGGTATCACCTGTTGCGTTCAGTGCTGCCGCATCAAAAGACTGTTGCAAAAAAAAGGAGGTTCAAGGTCAGAAACGAAAGGATATCGAGAATTGCCCGCTATGGTTTTCCAAAACGCCGCCATTACACCATTGCCCAAGAGTGAATTGTGAAAACATGTTGTTCAAAGCTCCTCTTATCAGACTACAGCAGAACACAACCCTTGCCCTTGCCTGTAAGTATTGGTCAGTTTTGCGTTCGTGTATGGGCCGGCCACCTGCGCACGCGCTCTTGTACTCACGTTTCGTCTTCTTCACAGCCGGAGGTTCCAGCGCAGCCACGATGGCCTCATCAAAGACGTCCTTCAGCTTGAACTGAGTCAATGCGGAACACTCCACGTATTTGACAGCACCCAGCTCTTTCGCCATCCGTTCACCATCCTCTTTTCTCACAGGCTGCATCTTTTGCTTTGTGAGTTTGTCGCGGACCGAGTTGTCCTCTCGTAAATCGGTTTGCGTGCCGACAATCAGACAAGGCACGCCGGGGCAGTGGTGGTGCACTTCGGGAAACCACTTTTCGCGCACGTTTTCGAAAGAGGCGGGTGCTGTGACGGAGAAGCAGACTAGGAAGACGTCGGTCTGAGGATACGACAGAGGGCGCAGACGATCGTAATCTTCCTGTCCTGCAGTATCGAAGAGACCGAGAGTGTATGGCTCGTCGCCAATCCTATAAATTATGGTAAGCTGGCTGCCATAGCTCTGCCAATGCTGTCGGCGTAGAAGAGTATCGCGTACATGACGGTGACGGCGTAGTTGTCGAAAACAGTTGGCACGTATTCTGACGGGAATTTGTTCGTCGTATAGCTGATCAGGAGGCAAGTCTTGCCCACGGCACCATCACCGACTACCACACATCTATCTCACCATCAGCGTTGTGCTCCCACGAAACCGATACTTGCATCAATGACTCCAAAGCGATCGTCAAAGCGCGCATTTGCGCCTATCCTCGCTGTGGTCGCAAAGCAATGCGTTTTTGGAAGATGCTCCGGGCCTCATGCACATACTTGATAGTAGCGACCGTCATGTTGATGGTTGATCGAGATCTTCGATTTGTTTATTGCTTTCCCTCCCGGAAATCTCGCGACGTGCTCCTTTTGTCCACAATGGCTTCTTCCAAACTACCCAGATCTCAGAGTCTCAAGTTCCCGACTGTAGGAGTGTACCGGTATGGTTCAAGGGGCGGATGTGCGATTCGCGAGCGACTCGTTCCGACGCGGCCGTTCTTCTGCGATCGGCTGGCGAAGTGGTGTAGCTTGGTTTTGGCAAGCGGCGGGATGCGTACACTTGCGACGGCGATATATTAAGAGATCTGATGGCTGTACAACCAAACGACGCTGTGGAAATGGACGTGTGCAGTGCTGTATCTGTTGGGCCCAAGCGTAAACTTTCGCAAGCAGGCAAGTCGACAAACAAGAGCAAGCGCCCAGGGTCTACAGCCTCGACCTGGGCTCGCGATTACTGGAGGACCGATGAAACGTCCGTCAACAGACGTGGTGGCTCCCAGCGGCGGCATCTAATTTCAATTTGCTTCAGCATCAGGATTTCATTACACACTGGTGGCATGATCATTGGCCTGTGGATTGGCTCGAAGTCCATGTCGTGGAAAACGCTGTTCTGTAAGTTTTCGTGCCCCCGTGATCTTGGGTTGCGTCGCGTGGGATTTGATGCAAGGAATCTGGTCTAGCGATGGGATGCCTGTTGTCAAATACGTATTCACACAATGAAAATATGCGAAATTGCACGGTAAACTTATTCTCTGAACAATGTTTCGATCTAGGTATTTATCCTAGGAGTCTCTTCAACACGTGAGAGGCACCTCCTCTATCATGGAACACATTCATTTCATCAATCTCCAACACTTTCCACTACCACTTTCAGGGTATCATCAACGTATCTGTCTATCGTATATGTCATGCATGCCTGCGAATCTGTGCGGCATGTTGTCGCCGCAATGCGATTAAAAACCCGAACCAAACGCCAATCCTTAACTCCAAGACTAAACCAAACATTCAAGCACGATTCTTTGCATGTGCCGACAGTGTACTTGGTGTAGCCACGTCATATGCGCTCTCGTCTTCATCGTGAGTGTCGTCTCTGCTCAAGCTTGTTCTCATCAAAGGTTGCGAAGCCCCTCCGGCTTCTTCGTCGTCGTCGCTCGCTTTGGCTTTGGCTCCTCCGATAACCACTCCTTTGACACCCTGGTCAATTTCATCGAGTTTGTAATCCTTCATCAACAAAGCGAGGAATATGCATGGCAAAGAGACACACACCGCCACAAAGAGAATCTTGGTCATGGTTTCCTGATATGCTTGGTTGATGGCGATGCGCGTTGGACTTCCCATAGGCCATCCGCCCGACGCAAGGCTGATGTTTCCGAAAATTTCTGAAGCCTGATCACGCGTCTCGTCTGGGAGGTATTCACGTAGCTTGATCGGAATATTGGCAGTCCAAATTGCTCCCGAAATGGCCGATCCAACAGCGCCGCCTATCTCGAGGAACGTCAAAAACAGGGCGGTCGCTGCAGCTACTTCTGAATGGCTTGCAGATGCCTGCACGCCGAGTTGCGCTGGCACGTGTGTAAGGCTGCCACCAATTCCCAAGAAGACCTGCGTCGCGACGATCATGCTCCGTGATGACTCTTGTGTCCGGTACCACATCATGAGTACGAGTCCGAACATGTATAGAGATGTTCCAAGCACCATAAATCTTTTATATCGTTTAGTGGATCGGATGACCAAGGAAATGATGACCGAAGTGACGGTCGAGGTGAAAGTAAATGTCTGGACTGTCTGCCCAGCTTGGGTCACCGACATGTCCTGTACAACCAAAAGGTAAGATTGGAAGTAAGGATACACAGAAAGATAAAACGCCACTAAGCAATGTCAGTCTTGTGATTGTAGCAGCCACAAGGTTGAGTGCACTTACTGAAGTAGAAAAATGACAAGCCGAGGCCAGCCAGCAACGTCCTGTTGCGCCAAAAGCTCCGTGGGAAAAAGGCACGTGGCGCGAGCGTCTTACTTCTCTCCCAGAAAGGAATGGCGAAAAGGCAGACTGTGCCAATGACCAACGTCACAGCAATATTCGGGTTGGTCCAGCCGACTTTCGATGCCAAAGTGAGAGGTACCAGGATGAGGGCAAATGCGACGGAGATGAGCACGAGACCGAAGAAGTCGAGTTCGTACCATAATGTCCGGAGGATCTCGGCCCACGATTCGCCAGCGAACGGTGATTTAGGCAAGACGCCACGCATGGCCGCCTTGCGCTGGCTCGTCAGCAGGGCCAAAGCAAGCGGCAGAAAGGCCATGGGCAGGACGACAGCCCAAATTCCGTATCCCCATCTCCAATTCAGATGCACAAGAACGTAGTCCGCAAGGGCGGGACCGACCCAAACGTTCACCAGGTAAGGCAAGGCCGGAATCGTCGAGCATAGAGCTCGATTGACTAAGTCGCTGGTGTCGGCGATGAAGATTTGAATCAGTATCTGCAAACCTGTCTGGCCAGCTGCGTAGAATACTTGGGCGGTCGCGTAAGTGTTGACGTTAGTGGCGGCCGCTTGCTGAATGTAACCGATGATGTAGAGCACAACGCATAAGCTGAAGGCCTCGAATCGACCAAAGACATCGGCAATCTTTGACATAGGCGGCTTCACTACCGACAAGACCACGCCTTGAACGACGAGCACTGTCGACACCAGGGCGTGTGCTTTGAATGCGCTGGTGGCATAAATGGCAAGGTTGTTGGTGACTTGCCCTTCCAGCGATGTCGCATACGCTAGCAGGGCGATTCCGAGATATGCAACATAGAGAGATGATTTCGACCAGGTCGATGAAATGGCCTCTAGTCGCTTTACACCTGCCTGTGCAGAGCCTGAGCTTGTCTCGGACATGATCGTCTGATTGTCGTCTTGCAACAGAGACTCGACGTCGTTGTCAGCTTCAGGCTTGCCACCCAATTGAGGCGTACTAGACGCTGAGCCGGATGCCTCGTTGTAGTCGTCTGGGTATGCAGCATCGTCAGCCTTGTGAGCGGGCGCTATCGAGCCGTAAGAACGCATAGCGACGGGTGTGGCATTCGTGATTAGACGAGAGAGGAAAGCCAGAATGGGAGGGTTATCAGATGAGATCCGAGTGATAAGAACCTGGGAACAACAGGCAGGACAATGAAGAGAGCACGTGGGCAAATGAAATGAATGATCACGGGCAGCCGCGCTGCTCTCGTGGATCGATGTGGATAGCTCGAAACGTGAGAAGAAAGATGGGCCGTACACAACGCTTATGAGTTATACTCCGATGAGTCGTCGAGGAGGCTTGGGCAGGCCAACAGGTGTGCGTGCGTGAATCGGTGACACATGCGCTCTCGTGCCAGGCGAACCAAGTAATGGAGGATGGTGGTCCGCACACGGCGGCGCAAGTTGCATGCTGCACTTGACCGGGATGATCGACTTCCCAAGATGCTCCGAGAAGGCGGGCGGGATATGTACAGGACTGCCTGACCGATGAGACAGCCTGTAGCGTTTGAGGTGTGGTCACCAGCGTGGGTGATGTGTGGAGGTGGCAGGGTTAAATCTTGGGCAGAAAGCGTGGGCAGCGGTGCATGCCCGTGACGAGAGAACTGCAAACGTGAAGAGGAACATACAGTACAGCACAGTACATGCGATCATCACAACATACTGTACTGTAGCTGTTATAAAGCGCTGGTTCGGACAGAAAGGGAGAGGATCAGACGAGGAACCTTGCCTAAGGGAGCCCGAGGTGCGTAAGAAACGCGCGATGCCGGCCCACGTACTGTATTGGACTGTGTGAGCCGACAGAATTGCATTGTGTACCTGTGGATCACGCTGCACAGTACACAGCACACTCCCTACATACACCGCCATCGCCTGCTTTGACTCATGCCAGAATCCCTCTAATCTCTCATCGATGATCTTTGTTCATCATTCCCTGCGCTCGCTTCTAGAGTTTGACATGCTCCAGCCAGCAAGGTCGCCCGGCTGGGAGAGAGTTTGGCCCCCGCTGAAATCAATCATCACACAGCTGCAGGAGTGATGAGATGTCTGTTATATCTAATTTTGTGATAACCTCACCAGCTGAAGATTCTCACCGGACTTGGTGGGTGGACATCGTCCATCATTGGCTCTAGGCAAAAGAGTGGCGTTCCTGGGAACCTGACGTGCGGGCGGCAACGGCCCACGTAGTTCGATCACATTACTCGAGCATCGTGATCGATCATCTTATCAGACCATCAATCGCCCGTGGAGACAATCAGGTAATCTATCAACATTCCTCGTGCATTCGCGCCAACAAAATGGATCTAGCCAGCGGGTGTTGTCTGAGAGAGAATGTCGAGGTTGAAAGATCTACACTCGCTCATTGCCCGGACACGCACCACTTCGTTCGAGAGTGCGCGGCCGTGATAGATGAATCGGCCCGCTCACGTGGGGTGGACGAAGCGTTTCGCAGGCTCCCGACCGTCTAATTGACGATCCAAGCAGCGAGAAACGGAGGCATTTTGTGCACCACGACATCGACGACAGACGTGAATGTTACCAGGTTATAGCGAGCTGTGGTCCACGAATCCTCCAAATACTGACAGTCCACCATTGTGCATACAGACTATACATGTAGTATTGCGCTGTACCACATTCCCACAAGCGATTTGACGACGGTTTACGTGTCGTCATACATCCCCAGTCCGAAACCCGGGGCATGAAAGACACGCATACGACTGACGGCTGTCTCCACTCCTCCCAGCGGATTTTGGTCGTATGATTGCAAGCTCTCCCAGGCTCATTATTGACAGTGCAGTACCCTCGTTCACCTGGCGCGTATCACTGTCTTCTCTCTTGGGTAGGAAGGTACCGCAGACTGGAGACTACCTACCTAGTAGGTATGTATCTGTGTTTGTGGATATACAGGCACATGTCCGTCTCACCAATTGACAGGACCGCCATTTAGCCTGTATTCCTCTCTGTAGGCGCCCGATATGGAATACCCATACCATCAAAGAAATTCCTCTCAGCTTCCTCCATTGTGTTGGCTCGTTGCTGCTCCGAGAAATACCTCTCGAGATCAATGAACTCACCATTCCCTCGATGTCGCACTCCTGAACTATCAAACTTCCAGCCTTTCTCATGACGCGCATATCTGCGCAGGTCGCGCTCAAAAGTCGTCCCACCGCTCCTGCAAACATGCACTCGTCAGCCACGCATACGTGAAACGCAGGCGAATATGCACGTGAGCTTGTTTTTCGTGACTTACCAGCCAACGACCGCGCAGCCCACCGTTCTCCAGGGTGCGACGATTATGTCAACTCGGCGGTGTATGTTTGGATTCTTCACACTAGGATTCGTCTGCAGCTCAGAGGCTTTCTCTGGCCATTTAGGATCCTGCCAAACTACCAGCGCCTTGTCGAGGGTATCAAACCCATGACCGGATCGAATGCCGCGAAATGGCAATGTCTGCTGGCCGCGGTTGGTACTGACAAGCGATAGTAACAGCGTATGAGTGATCCATCCCTCGTCCTCTAAACTGAGGACGATGTCGTTGATGAGGTTCAGCGTCTGTGTCTCATCGGGGTGGCTGATAAGCACATCCACATCTCCACATGACTCCTTCCCTCGCCGATAGCCGCCCACGATCATACTTTGAATCCCGCTGTCCCGGACCTTCACCGCATGTCGGTGGATTCTAGCAGCAATGCTCTCCACCTCACGGCGAGGTATGAGATCCAAGAACTCTTCGTAAAACTTCACGCCAATCTGCTGTACACGCGTCAAAGATGACCATCCAAATTCTACAATGTCATCCAGATCACGCCAGCCTTTGTCGTATAAAAACTCCCTCGCGGTCAAAGATCCAACGCCCCATATCTGATGGAACGACTTTAATATTTTGAGGTCGGGGTCTTTTGCGAGATCCTCCACAGCTTTAATCTGGCCGGTGTTGGACCACTCCACAAATAGATTCGCAATCTTCACGTCACATCCTGGAATCGCCAAGATTTCTCTCGGACCACTAATCTTGTAAGGATACGCAGCAATCGCAGCCACTGCAGTCGCATACGCGCGAACGCCGACCTCATCGTTGATCAAAAGTCGAGCCTCCTGAATCTCCTTCAACAATTTCACAAATTGCAAATTGATGCAATCTGCAGGTGTTGACCGTAGGCATGAGTATATGATCCCTTCTCGGACCCAGTCTGGCGGAGGCGGAAGCTCAGTCGAGTGTCCTGTGTCGTGCTCTGTGGTACTCTGTTGTAGTAAATGTGCATATTGGCTGCCATTACCGTGGCCTGTCTTCCAGCTGGTTGGCTCAACTTTTGCTGCCACCCTTGCATATCTCGAACGCACCGATCGATCATATTGTGAGCTTGAACTAGGTGCATCAACCGTAGCTCTCTGCAGGATTTGTTTGCCTCTCTCGACTGAAGAGCGGACAGCTTGTGTACTTGAAATTACGGCTGACGATGTGGTTTTGTGTTGAGGTGAACCTCGTGTTGGAGTATTCGAGATTGGTTTCGAAGCACATGTGACTGCTAGGGTGATATAGCTATCAATTGGCAACAGACATCCAGCTCGAAGAGAGTCATCAAACCATTCGGCTCGGACAATCTGGACGAGTCGATGTGACTCGACTTTTCGATCGTCTCGTATCATCGGCTTAGCGCCACTAGCTTCGACTGCGATGTCATGCTCATGTTCGTTATCAGATTCCGTATCTGAGTCGTTAATCACTATTGTATTAGTTGTCGGCTGTGACGACAATGGAACTTGACGTTTGCGTTTCAGTCCCTGCGTAGGCGCATTTTCTGAGCTCAGCCACGAGGCGTTCGAACCTTCGGAGGGCTTGTTCTCTGTGGAAACAACATCTGGCAAGGGCAATAGACCATTCGCACGTAGATCAAAGAGAATGCGAGCCCTTTTCGTCACCTTGCTGAGAACGATGTGCGCCTCGTGGATGTCGTACGTGAGATTCGCGCCGGCTTGAACGAGTTCGTTCTCCAGGTTATGAAGCTCTTCGGTGCTACGGTGCGTGGCCGAGACGTATATCGCCGGGCAACTGCTAAAACCCTCGCGCAAAGTAGGTGTATATACGGAAGTCATGTGTGATGTGATATCGAGTGGAATACATGCCCTCAAGTCTAACGAGCAAAGTAGCCCGCTTCAGCAACAGGAGTGAGTAATTACGACTTCCTAGTCATTGGCAGCGCAGTCTGTGACTCGTTCGAATCATTGAACATTGACCTCGTCCACCGTGTTGAGATTTGCTCGTCACCTGCACCAGCGAACAAATGAATTATCATATTTGCGCCGAACATGAAAGATTCAATAGTGATATGTACACACTACGTGGGTAGTAGGTAGATACAGAGATTGATTTTGGCGCTCGGACCAACAGTTCGTTGGATTCAGAACGTGCGATAGTCGTGATCCCTCTCGAGCGTGATGTGTTGGTGAATTTCCATTTCGGAGCATCACTCATCTTGTGCTTCGGCGTAACAGTCGTCATCGCTCGAGACTACTCTCATCAGCACAATGTCGCCCGATCGAGGAAGTTTGCCTACACGATGACTTCTTTCATCCCACGAAGCGCCTTCCCGCCTCTTACCTCACTTCCGAGATCGTATTATCTCGGGCATCATGCCGCGGGTTTATCCAAGATGAGAACGCTGCTTAGGCAGATCGATCTTATCATCGAATGTCGAGACCAGCGTATTCCTCTCACTTCGCGGAATCCCATGTTCGAGGAAAGTTTGGCGGGACGGGAACGCATGATTGTCTACACCAAAAATGATCTTGGAAACACTGGCAGCCGCGAAGATTTGCAGGTACGCACGCAGATCTGATAGTTTGCATACGGGACACAAGAGTTGGAGTGATAACAAGTGTTCAGAAACATAAATTGATCCGCGAATGGCATCGACCAGCAAAGGTCATTTTCTCCGATTACAAGAATCGTAGAGATCTACGGAGGATACTGGACCACATCAAGGAAGCAAGCCAAGCCCGTGGTGCTCTGACAGGATCACATCTTATGGTGGTGGGAATGCCAAATGTTGGAAAGTCAACATTACTCAATGCGCTTCGCCACGAGGGCGTAGGCAAGGGCAAAGCCGCGCATACTGGGGCCCAACCAGGTATCACACGAAAGATCGGCACGGGAGTCAAAATCGTTGAGCCTGATGAAAGCGGCTCGGGTGCTGTCTATCTGCTCGACACGCCTGGAGTCTTCATCCCGTATGTTCCAGATCCTGAGGCTATGCTCAAGCTAGCATTATGTGGGAGCGTCAAAGACAATCTTGTCCCTGCTCTAAACCTTGCCGACTACCTGCTTTTCCGCCTTAACCTACATTCTCCATCGTTATACTCGGAATATTCGGAGCCGACAAACGATATCATGGTGCTACTTGATGCAATCGCACGGAAAACCGGTCGATTGCAACGGGGTGGCACTCCAGATCTTGAAGGAACAGCATTATGGATGATTCAGAGGTGGCGGAATGGCCATCTAGGGGTCTTCACTTTGGACGAAGTGTCAGTGGAAGCTTTGCAAAGATATGATGACCAATCGCTGGTGGGGAGCAGTCTAAATCAGGCTCGCAAGGCTGGCAAAGAGGCCTTGAAGATGCGAGCAAAGGTCAAATATGCCGGCGCAAATGCAGAATAGGCTGGAGACCATGAAAGATGTGGTACTTAGGTATAGAGAGTCACTATGTAAATCATTGTATATCACGTGACATGACGATTCTCTGCCTGCACGCCGCGTTTCCCTGGAAATGTCCGCGATGCGCGTGAAGGTGCGCAAGTTGAATTATACCCGAATAGTCGCATTGGACATTGTCCCACAACTGCTAATGTTATAGGCCATCCACAGGTCCGTAAGTACTCACGCGCCCGTGCCAAAGGTCATACTAACGCCGGAGCAGAATGTCTCAAGAGATCGCGGAGTCCACCGCGTCGGTGGAGGCGCCGATCGTCGCCGGCACCAAGCGACGTCTGTCACAAGACTCAGAGCAGGAGTTCAAGAGGACGCGTCTCAGTCCGGGTAAGAAATCACCATTACCCACCGAAGAAGAACCCACCGAAGGCGCTGTCGATCAGTCGCGTCACCTTTCACCAGAATCTAAACCCGAAGAGAAGAAAGAGCCGCGCCGCAAGACGGCTATCGATGACAAGCAGCGCAGTAAGAGGCTGTTTGGCGCGTTGTTCAGCCATACCAATGCGGCAGGAGACAAACTCTCGAGACGACGATCGGAAATAGAGCAACGAAAAAAGGCTGAGCTCAAGAAGCAGGATGACGAACGCGTCGAAGATCGGCTAAAGAGACTGGCCAAACTCGCCGTCCATCGCCAGAAAGAGCAGATCAACGTCGATGAAAGAAACGTGAGTGGTTCCAGGCGTACATGATGGCATTTACGCTAACAGATGCGCCGCAGCTACGGACGCGACATGAAAATCTGCTGGATCAAGCGCAATCGCTCAAAACGCGAGCGGAACCTCACATTGTACGTCATGGACTGTCATGGTGGCATTTCTCGTAGCTCACTGACATTTCTCCTGCAGTACTATCGACCATGGGAGCTATCTAACGCAGAAGAGAATCGTGTCGCCGACCAGGTAGATGATGTCCGAGACCTGATCAAAGGAGAACTCGCCGAGTTTGAACGTGAGAAGGAGGAGAGACTCAAGGCACTGGAGAATCCGCCTCCTGGTGAAGGTGCGCTACGCTCAGCTGATCCCACGCCAAACACTTACTAATCTCTGGTTTAGGAACTGATGAAAATTTCAAATCACACGAGAAAGATGTCAAATCTCCTTCATCAAGGACCGAAGCGTCGCGTGTCGAGGATCCGAAGAGTTCCGCACCGCCGGACGGCGAGGATCACGGTCCAGATCCCGACGAAGTTGACAAACCATCACAGAGTGTGAACCCCACAGAACCAGACGAGCGTTCTCTCCATCAAACCTCGGCGGAAATAAACGAGACGCAAGATTCTGCGCTAGTTGAGCCTGCAGAGAACAGCGAGTCAACTCACATACAGCCGACGCACCAAGAGGCAAAGGAGGACCAGGATGACGAAGCTGACCACATGGTCGAAGGTGATGAAGATGACGTTATATATTGAAGTCATGCTTGCACTGTTAGCATAGCTTACTACATTGATAAACTCACTACCTACGCAGATCTTGGTCTTCAAGTCTGCTCCTAAAGCGCTCATGGACGGCTTTGTAATGCATAGTCCCATGATCATGCGCCATCGTGCTTTATAATGTTCCCTTGTTAGAACGATTCTGATTATGCGAGACGACTCTTCCTTTCGTGGCATCTCAATGATGCAATATTCGCGTCGACTGGCGCAGTCGGGAAGTTGTAGCCAGATGCGGTACATGCTCCGATTCTCTTCGGGGTCTTCTCTCATGATATCACCGACTTCGGGCCGATCGTAAGGCGATCAAGCTGACCCGCGTCAGCCGAATCGTCAAGCTGTTGTGACACATAAATATCATCCAGTGCACGCAATCGATCTATATTCGAATTTACTCAAAAAATTCTACGCGTACCAAAACATGGATAAGCTAAAGCCGAACGACCCTAGATACGAGAGGAAATCTGTAGAGATCAACGGACACCGATGGGGTGAGGGATCGTTATTGATCTTTGTGAGACAAGACTGTGTTCGATTGACATGACGATACAGGCTACCTCGATGCTGTTCCTGAGGGGAAGACGAAAGGTGTCGTGGTTCTAGTGCATGGGTTTCCTGATCTTTCATTGGCGTGGCGTTATCAAATACCACTGCTTCTCAAGTTGGACTTCCGCTGCATCGCCTTGGAATCTATGGGATATGGAGAAACAGTAAGTATAATGCTAATGTACAACTACACGCCAATAGATTTAGTCACTGATAGTTCGACAGGGAACTTCATCAACGCTGCGTGACTTCTCCTTCAAGAGCCACGCCGACGCCGTTGCTGGACTTGCAAAAAGCCTCGGCGTCGAGCGCATCATCTTGGGTGGCCACGATTGGGGTGGAGCGGTCGTCTACCGTATCGCACAATGGTATCCCGACCTCGTGTCACACGTCTTCAGCGTATGCACGGCCTACATGCCACCAAACGACACGTGGGTTCCTCTTGAACAATTCGTGCAGAAAATGCCCAATTTTGGTTACCAGCTACAATTCGGCAGTGATGATCGAAAAGTTGAGAATGTTGTCAAGGACGCTGAGACGATGCGAAAGTTCCTGAATGGCCTATACGGTGGAAAGAACAGCAGCGGACGGGTGGTCATGACACCTGAAAACGGCGTCAACTTGGACGTTATCAGGGACGACGAAGTTGAGTTATCGCCGCTTTTGGATCAAGAGGTATGTGTTCATACTCGCACGAGTCTGCCTAGGGAGTTCCTCGCGTTCAAGACTTACCGTCGTATTCTAGGAACTCGATTACTACGTCAAAGAATTCCTCAAGAATGGCATCAATGGACCATTGAACTGGTATCGCACACGGAAGGTCAATTACGAGGACGACCTGAACATGCCCGCGGCAGTGAAGGAGACCATCAAACAACCAACACTCTACATACTCGCCAACAAGGATGCAATTCTGAAGCGTGAGCTGAGCATAGGCATGGAGAAGGTGATTCCGAACCTCACTCGTGGTGAAGTACCCGCTGGACATTGGGCTTTGTGGCAGACTGCCAAAGAAACCAATGCCATCATCGAGGACTGGTTTAACGGCGTTGTTCTCGGTGGAAAGACCAAGATCTGAAAGAATCTAATGTGCTAGAGCAGATGCTCCACGGTGAGGTTGTATCTAATATGACGATAGTGGACACTGGCACTCGCCATTGCTCTACTCACCTTGTTGCTACGCGGTCTACTAAAATCGATACATCGTCTCCTTTGCGGACCTCTGTTGCGATCGATAGACATGACTCGGGAGGGGCGGCGTTGCGGGGCGGTCGGTGCGTTGCGGGCAGACGAAGGAAGCCGGAGAACTTGCGTCATGCACACTGGCATCGACACCAAAGGTTAAAAATGCCAGGCATTCGGATTATTAGGCTTGGGGCTCCACTGTATGAGATACGCCCGAGTCATTCATCATCATAATCATCTGGCTCGCCAACGGTTTCCTACGAAGACGTGCATTAACCGAAACATCGTATTTATCGATCACGTTCACCTCGTAGGCAACGTCTCGATCAAGTTCAGTTATGGACGTATGATTCGTAGGCGTGGGGCGGTTTCGATGAGATGGTCGAGAATTATTCAGCGTACCTTGTGCGCGCACGTGTGCTAACCACAGGCGCGCTGAGCAGGTGAGGTCGGAAACTAATGAATCGCCGCGCCCGCTTTTCTTAGAGCCACCACATCTTTTTTCATCTCTGACTGATGATCTCTGTCCTCTCTCTCCCTAGACATCACTCTTCACATCCTACAAGGTTCTACCACTTCGGTCGTATATCACGATCCCACTGCCTGTCCCCGACAGGCCTCACTCAATCTGAAAGAAACGCCTACCGCATCGTCGCTGTCCGCCCACCCCGCCACTTCGTCGACTCCGCTCTGTCGTGCAAATATTCCTTCAGGACACCCACGAATCCGATCACCAACCCCGAGTATCGTACGAGTTTATGTATTCGAATCACGTCAACGTTCTCGACTTCGCACCGGCGCAGCTGCCACACTGGATATCTCGAAGACCTCGTACTAGCAGCCACCAACGCAACACTGGCTGATTTTTGCTCGCATCGTACGTCTGGGTGAAGATCATTTCATCCTTGCGAACTATATATCCTTTTCCGGTACTCGCTACCATCTGATCTATCAGCCTATGCTGCGATACATCTGCAACTACATGCGTTCATCCGCCAACAGCATCAGAGTGCCTCTCGCCACCATCACTGCCGCCTAAATAAACCTCGCCTGACACCACTTCCAACCGCAATCATGGGTAGCGTCAACATTCGTCGCGATGTCGCGGATCCTTTCTACCGCTACAAGATGGAGCGCCTCCAGGCGAAAATCGAAGGCAAGGGCAACGGTATCAAGACCGTCATCGTCAATCTCGCCAACGTGGCCGGTCAGCTTGCACGACCCGGAAACTACGTCATCAAATATTTCGGTTTCGAACTCGGCGCCCAGACCAACATTGATCCCAAGGATGATCGCTGGATCATCAACGGTGCTCATGATGCAAGTAAGCTGCAAGACTACCTCGATGGGTTCATCAACAAATTTGTTCTCTGCAAGGAGTGCAAGAACCCGGAAACCGTCATCAACATCAAGGATCAGAAGCTTCTGATGGATTGCAAAGCCTGCGGCAAAATCTCCACGGCAGACCCTACCCAAAAGCTGACGGCTTTCATTTTGAAGAGCGCGCCCAAGAAGGGAAAGAAGGACAAGTCGACCAAGAAGGCTGACCGTAAGGCTCGCAAGGAGGCTGAGCGAAATGGCAACGCAGATGACAACGATGCCAATGGCGACGGACCCAGTCCCGGTGACAGTGGCTCTGACCATGCCGGCGACGAGAATGGCAATGACGAGGCCGATGCCAATAGCGACGATGACCTCACTCGCAGGATTAATGCTGAAGCAAAGGAACTCCATGAATCTGAGGTCAAGGAGAAGGATATTCAATGGTCTGTTGACATGTCTGAAGAGGCTGTGAAGGCACGCGCCAAGGCTCTCCCGGATGATCTGAAATCTAGCTTGGTGCTTGAAGACGGTGATGATGAAGAAAAAGAGGGCAGCAGCTATGATGTCCTTGGCAAGTGGATCGAAGAGAGGGCTGAAGCCGAGGGGCACGTCAGCAAGGTCAAGGACGTTGACATTTTCCTCAAGGCTAAGGAGCTCGGTATTGAGAGCAAGCACAAGACCTGCACCGTTCTCGCTCAGTGCGTCTTCGACGACGACATTGTCAAGCAAATCCCTGCTCGTGCTGCCATGCTCAAGCGGATCATCGTCTCGGAACGTCACGAAAAGTCTTTCTTGGGCGGGCTCGAGCGTTTTATTGGTCTCGACAGACCTAACCTTATCCCGCTCGTCTCGGCCATTCTGCTCAGCGCCTACAATTCTGATGTGCTTACTGAGGAAGTCCTCACTGCGTGGGGTAACAAGGCTAGCAAGAAGTACGTAGACCTGTCGACTTCCCGCAAAGTCCGCAAGAGCGCTGAAAAGTTCCTGGAATGGCTTGCCACCGCTGAGAGCGACGAGGATGATGAGGACGACGAGGACGAGGACGAAGACGACGAATAGATATTCCCGATTCCATGTTGGTCTTCACTCGTTTTCGGACGAATAGCCGTCGGCGGAATTGTCTGTGTCGTTCGAGCAATGTCTGTGGCCGTCTTGGGACTGTCATACACTTGTAAATAACTTACTTCTCATCTCAATCCTTCCTATCTAAGAGTGCGTATTGCATCTGGTGTTCAACATGAATGAACAGTAACTTTCTGTGTGCTAGGTCTCGCTCTCAGTTTGTGTAAAGATTGGACATAGGTAGAGTTGCCGCTTCACACAAGCACGTCGAGACTACTACGGGTAGGAGATTGGATACTATCACGAGTCGTGAAATCCATCTACTACTACCTGGGCCCGGGCATTGAACATATTAGGGTTAACATTGACATCTCGACCCTAATATATGCATTACACAAATCTCACAACCATGACGGACGACAACAATGTAACATTCGCATTCTTTGCGCTTCACATCTGTCCTGGAGATCTCCATCCAACAGCTTTTCAGCGTACCAGGAGGCGAGCGAAGAATGACCGTCTCCATTAAGGACGTTCTCGACAATCATGGATGACAATTCGCTCCGCAACACCAGAGGCATTCACGGTGAGACAACAGCATACAGAATGGTTTTGGTCCCGCGCAGTTTTGGCTGACACAACTATCGTGCTACAGCTAGAATCACCGAAATCCGAAAAGAGCTTATCCTCCGTTATGGGAATATCATAGCGGCCGTTTCGGTAAGTGTCGGTGGTTGGTTCTACAACAAGGACGGATGTAATCGTGTGAATTTGAAATAATGACCATTCGTCAACCTCGATACAGAACTCAACCGACCCCGCCACGACCGCGGCCTTAGATTCGGATCGCACTTCGACGGCCATCGCCCAACATCAAATTCAGGTCTCGACCGCAGGTCTTGTAAGAGCCATTCCCAGCCCTTGACGTGTCGACTCTCGAGTCAAGCTTCGTTATGGTGTTATGTCGAAATGCTGATGACTGTTGTTTGATGTAGGTCAAGGCTGCCGAGGATCTCCAGACTCTGATCCGTCAATTACAGGAGTTCTGGCTGTTTGGACAGCTGAACACCCTTGGAGACGGCGCGGTCAAGGCAGAGACCGATCGCGACTCAGAGGCTGTAGCGAAAACGATCGCGGAACTGCTCGAGCGGAGGGAGAGGACGGGCCAAGCGAACTAGTCGATGGCCTCAATATTGAGATCTATAGCATCAGATGCCCGAAGCATCGGTATGCTGAAGACGAGCTGCATCTTAGCAAGCATTCATCAAAATCGAATGAGCGACGAATAATCGGAAACTTCGAAAGGGAAAACGTTCCTGAGAGTTATTGAAAAAAGTTCACAGCTTCGATGAAGTCGAAGCTTTGGGAACGGTCGAAGCTGGTAGCCAAGAAGATGGCCCCCGTGTGGTTCCCTCCTCCATAGCCTTTCCTGCGTCCTCAATACCTAGCGACTGCGCAACATTCCTGACTGTCAATCTTGCCACTCCAATTGAATTCTGATATCCCGCTCCAGCAAAGCCATAAGCATGAACGACCTTCTTGCCCCCGGTAATGACTTCTCTCTCGGTCCTCGGACCGCCTTTCCTTGCTGGCCTTAATCCACATTGCGCACTGATGACCTCGAAGCCGCCGTCTGCTCCGGTCATCAATTCTGGTACCATGTGTCCAGCCCGCTCGAGGATCAGCTTCGTGGTGGCCGGGTCGGGCGTAGTGTCCCATGCGTCCGAGTCTCTCGTGCCGCCAAGGATGGTCGTTCCAGAGCCTGGCCGGGGTATGCAATAGGACGTGTAGGCTTCTGAGCCGTCCTTCGAGGCAGCGCCGGAGCGTGTCCTTATTGTTGTTGCCTCGCCTCGCACGAGGACGGTCTGCCCCCGGACAGGATAGACTGCAAGGTCCCCGCAGAGCTTGAGTGCTCCGAGACCAGTCGCGTTGACATAGCAGCTGACCTTGCCTCGTCCGATAGCGTTCGAGATTCCGTCTACAGTAGAAAGCGCTTTCTCCAAGCCGCCATCGTTTGGGAGAGAAGACTGAAAGAGGATGACCCCACTGCGAAGAGCCCGGTCGCGAAGATAAGCGAGGTAATGCGGAACATTGATGGACATTGCGCGACAAGTCGCTGCGCTGGAGATTTCTGGTTCAGGCTTCGTCTGACGCTGCTTGATCTGTGCAAGTACCTCGCTTGAATTCGAGATTGTGGTGAAGTCCCGGACATATGGCGCCCACCAGAGCTCATCGCGAGCGGGTCGACCATCCCAGAAATGATAAGAGGGATACATCTGAGATACGAATGTTAAAGATACTAGATCGGAGCGTAGAATACGCCTTCGATGCTCACTTTGACGCCTGATTTCGGCTGATCGGGATCCTTATGCTCGTCCTCGATCAATTTGACAAAATAGTCATACGATTGCATGTCCCAATCGCATTGCTCGATCTCGTGTGCAGGAGCATGAGATCGCCAATGCGCACCAGCCCAAGGCGATGCATATTGATCATCTAGGTCGCCCGGAATGTGGGCTGAGATGATGGTCACTTTGTAGCCATCTTCGGCGAGGAGTACAGCAGTGGTCAGACCGATCACGCCAGCTCTGAAATATGGGTTAGAGTGGGCTCATGGAATATGACAGACGACTGACCCGATGACCGCGATATGATGGTTATCAGCACTCATGGCTTGATGTGGCGATGGACGTTAACGTTTCACTCCAGATTAATATCCGACAGCAGTCGAGCAGTCCCGCTTCCACGTATATTCCTATGATGTAGAGAGTCCAGATAATGAATGTAGTTTTTTCATGTTGTTCCGTGTGAGATGCAGAAGTGAGTCATTTCAGCCTGGTTATATGCTCGCGCTGAGCTTCGAGCGCTGCTGTAGCTTCTGGGAAGAAAGCTTCTACTCTGTGATACGCCTTACGTCGAACTGGAAAGCATAGGGTCCGCGGATCGTTTACTGATACATTGTATGCATCACTAGAGCCATTGAATTTGACGCCAAACATACTCTACAGGGGTATCTCAAGCCAAACCAGATCCATCATCATCGTCGTCAAGTTGCATGCCAAAATCCATCAAAACGCCAAATCCGCTCTGCCATGAATCAAAAGGGAATGAGTGATGCAAAGCCTTTCTAGGCATCCGATTCACTACTGCACGCCTTGCCTGTCGATAACAATGCGATCGCCTTGACTACCTCGTCATCAGCGACAGCCTGCCACTTCTCTCGTTCTCGCTGATCTGCAAGCGCCGACGCGTCAATCACAAGCCCGTACAGCTTGCGTGACACATCTTTGTTGATATCGGTATATTCGTCTTTGGTGATTTCTTTGTCCCGATATCTTGATCCTAGCGCGAGTTTAACCATGCGCTGCACTTCCTGTTTGGCTGAATATGACAATGTGCGAGAGGGCGAGGTTGATGAGCCACGGCCACGTGGGGAAGTTTCTTGGGCTCTCCTGGGACTGCTTTCGTGGCCCGCATCGCCCTCGTCCTCTTCTGCGCGTTTGCCACGTTTGTGCCGGCGTCGACCCCGATCGTACACCTCGCTGTACCCTTCCGGGTCATGTGGAAGACCGCCCACGGGCGAAAATGGTGAGAAGGTCACACTTGTCGGTGATGGCAAAGGTAAGATGGTGGATGACAAAGGCGGCGATGACGGTCGCTGGGGCGGCGGGGTACCGGCTCTAGGCGTCCCCGGTTCAGAAGAGGCTGGCGATCGCATTGGTGAGGAGTTCTGAGGTGAAAAAGGGCCCTGGATCTGCTCTGAGGCTGATGGGGAGTTAGCAGTGATCGGTTTGCTTTCCACTTCTCGAAGTAAGGACGACAAGAATGTAGGTTCATCACCGTTCCTCCGCGCTGCTGTAGCTGAAGACTCAGGCTGATCGGTTTCGACCAAGGGCCGCCGAAGACGCGGCCGCTTCAGTACAGGTCTCTCAGCTTGTACGTTTTCCTGGGGAGAAGCCGGTGAATCCGGTGCTGCTCGCTTGCGACGTCGGACAGCAATCGGTGCGTCTTGTGATTCCCTAGCCTTGTCGAACGCGTTCCATGCGCGCAGCTCTTCTTGAGAGCCAGGCGCCGGTTGTGGCGCTGGATTGAACCGCGCAATGTCCCTGAGTCGGTCCCCCGCACTATGGCGATTCGCGACCTCGAACCGGCGTTGCCAGCGTTGAAATTCGCGACGTTGTTCGTCTGTACGTTGATCGGTGACCTCCTCGTCGAATGGGAAGTCGAGGTCAAGGTCGATGCGCCGCGAGACTTCCTGCCATACACGCGCCCATGTAGCATCGTTGGTGCGCCGCCGTCGACTGGCTGGACCATGCGCACGTCTTCGTGGTTGTCGTCGCAATGCGGAGGCCATACCGGGTAGATCGGTGTCTCTCTCGAGGTCGACTAGGCAAGTCTCGCAATACCAAACGTCAGGCGCATCGTCGAATCCAGCACAGAAGACGTGAACGGAGCGATTACAGCCGTCGCACCACATGGCGCCATTGCCATCATTGAGCGCTCCACACACGAGGCAGGGCTCCCAAGCCTCCACAGCAAATAATTCATCTTCGACAATCATGTTAGGGTCAACATCTGCTTCTTGCACTTTGTTTTGGACAGCATAGCTGTCAAAGACTGGACCTCCAACAGCTTCACTAAGCTGTACTTCATTGAAAATTGAGCGACAGATTGGACAGCTGTTGGCACGTTCAACCCAAGGTTTGAGACAAGCATTGTGTAGATCGTGTTTGCAGGGCAAGAGATGGGCAATGGTTTCGTCATCAAGTTGGGCACTATCATTGTTTGTTAGATTTATAATTCATATGTGATGCTGGCGACTTTGCTCCCTCGCGGAAACGCTGCCAACGCTGTGCAGGAGTGATCTCACCTTCCAACCTTATTCGGCGAATATTCTTCAAAAAGTGAAGATGTTCAAGCCGGCCAAGAAGGAAGTTCGACACCAGTCAGAAGCAGACCGGACAGGGCTCCGGTTCGTTCGCAGTATAGTTGCAGGGGGGAAAATAGTGCACTCATATCATTTTAGGCAATGTACCTTTTCTTGCTGCCATCCTCGGCGGTAGGAGCGGCTAATTCCGGAGGTGGGACTTCACCACAGGTGTTCCGCAAATCACCCAGACAAACGATGCAGGTGTCGGCCATGTTTTCTTGTGGTCATGCAAGTGATGTGAGACGGTGAGAAGACGTTAGACATGAGGGTTGACTTCTTGATGTGGGTGAGGGCAGATGGTGAGGGAGAAGAGGGAAGTTAAGTTGATGACGATCCGCGATGTTATATGGGGTCCAGTCACGTGTGGGCACGCGTCGGATAGTCTCTAGGGCACAGACCGCCTGACAGCTGCTGGTCGCGGGGGAAGCGCTCGTGAGCACCAGTAATAACACTCATCGGACGCCTTGGTTCTCGTCCAGCAGCTCTGACAGTGCTTGATGATGTGCCAGTCGGGGGTCTGACCGCTGGTTGGGTGGCATAGTTAGTAAGAGGCGAAAGAGGCTTTCACTTTGACATCACTTTCATGAACATTGTCTACATCTGAAGCCGCGTACTCGTGTCTATTTGCCAGTGAATGAAGAAGCAGTAGTATTGGATGTTAAAAGCGTACCCCAGGTCAGGCGTCCGGGTGCGTACTCCATAGACGTCACAATATGGTGGTCGTGGTTCCACAAGATAATACGTCCGTCCGTAATTGGGACACCACAGGTAATCCATGACTTGTCCGCCGGCGACGACGCCTGATACCAGTACTGCGGAAGGCTCATGGCTTTCCCACCGCAAGCGATGCGCTTCTTTCCCTTCAGTCGTCGCAGGCACAATGTCATATCTTCACCGCAAGTGACGGACTCTTTTTCCTGGTGGTCGCAGTTGAGTCCATGATGCATTGCTCGCTTGCGAAGTCTGACACACATCGTGTGGTATGAGAAGTAAACTGCACAAAGAGAGGATTGGTTTTGGACTTCTAATTCATTCAGATCGCTATCAGAGCAACTCTGGTTTCGTGACCAGGCTGCCGTCCATGAAACTCCGCGGAAGACCCTCCCAAAGCATGTGAAAATCCCAAATTAAACCTCAGCAATCTCGCGAAGTCGTCGAAGAGTTGATCGGGTGGCGACAGCTGCGGGTGTTCTACACTTCATCAGTCATTCGTCCTCCGGGCAGGGTTGAAGAGATAAGCCGACGTACGAGAGCATGTATGCACCGCCAGCGATAGTCTTTCCGCATGATTTGCAGTCCCAGATGCCGACGGCCTGTCGCTTGACAGAGACCTTTCCGCAGAAGGAGCAAGTGTAGCGGGCGTGTTGTGAGATTTCAATCTTCTTGACCTGCTTTCGGAGCGAGGCACCGTAACTACATAGTCTCTGTTAGCACAAACGTCCCTCCAGCCGTATAACATCATGCAGCAGTCTGCTGAGTAGAGTGCTCCTCTCCACTGCCAATCAACCTTCTCCTGCTCCTCCTCTTTCACACAGTTCGAGTAGGTATTGAGTCTGCTAGGTGGTGGGAAGCGTACCGAGTACCGTATTTACCGGTGATTCCGACCTTCTTCGTGCGCTTCGTCATTTTGGCGGTATTGTGATTAACGTTGTGACTGAGTTACTGATTCGCAAAAGAGTCTGAAGTCACCGGCCTCGAATTGTTCAGATTCGTGCGTGCAAGGCTCTAGTGTGGCTTGGCAGCGGGCATTGCCGTGGCATCTTCTCCAACGCGGGACCACAACACAACACCTGCCCAGGTGGGCACACTTATTACATGCACGGCAGCGCCCGCCCTTTGCTCAGGATACACTTCCATCTTCTTGTGTGCATACTCATACCATATTTTGACGTCTTGACACTCCAGGGCTGTCACCACCATTCGGAGATCCGATCAGACTTGGAGGGCTCTGCGTGATTTCGGTACTGTTCTGAGAGCTCGCCGATCTGCTTACATCCTCGAAAATTCTGTCATCAATTCTCTCATCCAGAGATCCGCATGTTCAAATACTCTCGGCCGTCCGAAACACTGACAAAGTCTGCGCTTGTCACATGCCGCGAACGGTAGCAATGCAGCATTGGTGGTGGCCCAAAAGCTCGGACAGATTTCACGGCCATGTTCCTGGAATGGGCGACACTCCGTTCACTGCGTCATACGACGGTCACTATCTATGTATATATTGATGATCTTCATCTTTCGCGGCCTCGAATAGTCCATATTTTCCCTCATGTACATTAATATATAACGAAATATCATCTTATTTTGCCGCAATGTCGCAGTTCGACAGACAATATGAGTGCGTCGTCTTCGGCGCCACTGGATACACTGGCAAGTACACAGCCGAGCACATCGCCAGTAGCCTGCCAACCGACTTCAAATGGGCCGTCGCCGGCCGCTCTGAGCAAAAATTGAAAGGCTTAGCTGAGGAGCTCAAAGCAATCAATCCGGATCGCACACAACCAGCCATTGAGATTGCGCAAGTCAACAAGGCTGATCTTATCCAATTGGCAAAGAAAACCAAAGTTTTGATCTCGACAGTCGGACCATATCATAAATACGGCACGGCAGCGGTTGCAGCTTGTGCTGAGACGGGAACGCACTATGTAGACTGTACCGGAGAGGTCCCATGGGTGTACGATATGGTGAACAAGTACGGCGATCTAGCTAAGAAGACTGGCGCGATCATTATTCCTCAGAGCGGCATCGAGAGCGCACCTCCAGACCTCATCAGTTGGATGCTTGCAGCATATCTACGCGAGACCCTGCAGGTTGGAACGAAAGAACTGGTAGTATCACTACATGATCTGAAGGCCTCTGCCAGTGGTGGTACACTGTCCACAGTGCTCACCCTGTTCGACACGTACAGCCTCTTCCAAGTTCTCCGAGCACTTCGACCACACTCGCTGACTCCGATTCCTGCGCCGAAGAAGACCGTCTCGCCATCGTTGTGGGAAACCTTGACTGGACTCCGTACAGAGCCTGACCTGGGCCTTCTTACCGATAGTATCTCCGCTGCGACTGATGCTCCCATCGTTAACCGTTCTTGGGCATTGTACAACAACGGAGAGTACTACGGACCCAAATTCCATTTCAGCGCTTATATGCGCGCGACTGACCAACTCCGCGGATTTGCCATGCACTTGGCTTTGGCCATAGGTGCAGCGATTCTCATATTATCGCCAGTCCGATGGCTGCTGAAGAAACTTGTCTATCAGCCTGGAGACGGTCCAACAAAAGCGTAAGTTTTCAGCCTTCTCCATTGTGGATGACTACATTAACACATCTTAGTCAAGCGAGCCGCGATCGCTGCGAATGGCGTGCGATTGCCCACGCAGACGTGTCCGACCCCAATGATCCCAAGCGTGCTTATGGTCGCATTCGATGGGAGGGAAGCATGTACTATCTGACAGGTGTCCTGCTCGCCGAGGCTGCGTTCGTTATTGCTCGCGAAAAGACGAAGGCGCACGAACTTGGTGGTGGAATCTTGACCCCGGCGACATTGGGCGCTCCGTTCCTTGAACGTCTGAACAAAGTCGGCTTCAAATCAGAGGTGAAGATGCTTCCTTGAGCGTGGAGGAAGTCTGCAAAGCGAGGCACGTTCAACAACACACGATGGCTGCAATGCATTGAGAACACCTGCGTGATTGCAAAATCCATGCACTCTTGGAATGTGGCCAAACGTGAGTATATATGTGAACAATCCCTCACGCGTGATTACACGACTACTGTACTGTGTTCAATGCTATCCGATGGAAAGCAGTTCTGCCTCCGGAATGCGCGAGATGCTAGCGTCGATGAATAGCATGACCCGTCCACCTTATGATCTTTCTCGCCCATCGAATGGGCTGTGCCACCGAACGATGAAGTTGCTTGAAAGGTCTTGTTCTTATTGTGGTATCACAAATGGTGAAAACGAATATTAAGTATGCTCTGGTGCCCTGTGTTCTATGACGATCAACGCCGGCTTATTACTGTTGTGCGTGCTTACTCGCCAACCGCCAGTCCTTCAGCGCCGCCAACACCACGTGGCTCAATCACCGGAACATCAGTCCCGTCTGCCAACCTAGGTTATCGTTTAGCACATCAAGGAATTGACTTTGAGGGCCGGGGCGAGCAAGAAATACATGCACTAGGCGTATGACGAGATGTCCTGTCGATCAAGCAGACGAGTAGCTAGCACTGAATCGTTCGTCCGGCTGAACGCTGAGTTGTCGGCTTGCTTGCTCATAACGATGTTCTTCGAAAGACACGCACATGATGCAATGCAATATATCCGGGTGTCGACATTGGTCGAACGTGACCTCGCTGATATGTAGATCTCTATAATAATAGGCTTGTCTGTCAGCCTCCCCAGTGAATTTCACGTCTCGTGGACCTCAGGTTTGTATACCACCTTTGCGATTGACCACTCACAGCTGACAAGACCATTTGGTGTTGACAACTTATCTGAGAACAACATGCCGTTCCTTGCTCAACAACATGTTCCGATCCCTACCAAGGACATCTTGTCTTGGACCTTTGATGAGTTGAGCTACGGTTTGGACAAGCCAATTTACATCGATGCTCAGGACCCGTCCCGATACTACACAGCTCGTACGGCGCGGACATTAATCCGACAATTAGCTGCTGGTTTTCGAGCCATTGGCGTCAGACCCGGTGACTGCGTGTCTATACACAGCTTCAACGACATCTGTTATCCCCTATTTTTCCTCGGCTTGATAGCAGCAGGGGGCATCTTCGCGGGTACGAATCCAGCGTACACCGCTCACGAGCTGGCACACGTTCTCAAGACTGCCCGAGTCAAATATGTCTTGACTCAACCTCAATTCCTCAAGAGCGTTCTCAAAGCTACTCAAGCGACCGGCATTCCTCGAGAAAGAGTCATCATTTTCAATCCCAAAGGAGAAGACGCTCCGGATGGCTTCGCACATTGGCAAGATCTCCTGAAACACGGAGAGAGTGATTGGATTCGTTTCGATAGCTATAACGATTCGTACAACGCTGGCGCTGCTCGTCTATTCTCTAGTGGGACTACAGGCTTACCAAAGGCCGCTGAACTAAGTCATTACAATCTAATTGCTCAGCACACCCTTGCCGTTGAAATAGAAAAGCGTCCTTATGAGATCAGACGGCTCGTGGCACTCCCTCTGTTCCATGCCGCCGTAGCTCCGCTGACGTTCTGCACACCACTTCGCCAAGGAGAGTCGACATATATCTTCCCTCGCTTCGATCTCGAGACATGGCTCGAGGCACAGAGCAAATATCAAATCACCGAGCTCGCCGCGGTCCCGCCCATCGTTGTCCTCGCCGTGAACAGTCCTCTAATCGAGAAATTCAGCCTCAAGTCCATCCGGATGGCCGCCTGCGGAGCAGCGCCCCTCGACAAAGACATGCAAGCCCGCTTGAAGAAATATTTGAAGGACGACGTACCCTTTACGCAAGTTTGGGGCATGACGGAGTTGAGCTGCATGTGTACGAGACACCCCTGGCCCGATCACGACACCACTGGTAGCATCGGTGTACCGCTTCCGAACATCGACGTGAAGTTGGTCGACGATGATGGCAGGGACATCACTGCATATGGGGTTCGTGGTGAAATCTGTATTCGCGGGCCGACAGTAATCAGGGGCTACTTTGAAAACCCAGGTGCCAACAAGCAGGATTGGGACGAGGATGGTTTCTTCCACACCGGGGACATATGCTACGTTGACGAGAAGACTGGGTTCTACTACATTGTAGATCGAAAGAAGGTAGGCACATCCTTTCGCATAATACCTCCCGGGGCAGTACTGACCTGGCATCTTCTCATGCACTAGGAATTGATCAAAGTCCGCGGCTTCCAAGTCGCCCCGCCCGAACTCGAAGGCGTTCTCCTCGCACACCCTCAGATCGTCGACTGCGCCGTCATTGGCGTGCCCGATCCCGTCCGCGAAGGTGGCGAGTTGCCACGGGCCTACATCGTGCGGCGGTCATCAGGAGAAAACGCGGCGCCGAGCGAGGCAGAAGTGTCCAAGCTGGTCACCGAACAACTTGCGTCGTATAAGCGACTTAAGGGTGGGATCGTGTTCGTTCCGGCGATCCCGAAGAATGCATCGGGGAAGATTCTGAAGAAAGATCTCAGGGAGCGGGCGAAGTCGGAGATGCTGAGAGAGAAGAGGGAGGGGGATGCGAAACTGTGAGGAGGAGAGCGTCTGGGGGCGACGAGGACCCCCGAATACGAGGACAAACACAGGATCAGCACTTTGTTGGGATTTGGCGGACATCTGAGAAGAAGACATGCTGCATGAAAATGTATAAAAGTGTATTCAGAGGTCTGTGGTTATGGCGAACCATGTTTGTTGCAATCGAACTTGACAAAATTGTGAAGACCCGGGCTTGTTCGCAAATTTGATTGCCCTGTGATATTATGTGTATAGATTTGTGATTGATGAGCATAAGAGAGAGATATCTGCCAGCCTGAAAATCAAATATGGTATCTGGAACACAAAAGTCCAACCACCTTTATCTCTTCGCAGGATGAATGAGATGATGCCACACGCGCTCCAAACGCCGTCGAAAATGCATTAGGTGTAGAAGATGTCGTCATTCTGAGCGCAGCGATGAGCAGGATGATTCGAGTCTTTCTAGTTGGTGGCTATGAAAACGACAGCCGGGTCTAGCATGAGCATCCCTGCTCGCTCTCGCCGATGTTGATCGGGATGGTCTCGGGGAAGTCTGGATTGAAGTCCTGAGACTCCTCTTGTGCCAAAGCATTTCGTGCGATCACTGTGACCCATGTTAGCCGGGTGCTTGGTAAAGCACATGTCGACTGCATTGCGCAGCTGATGTCGACCGGGCAATGTCTGCAAGGACATTGTCGCATTATCAAACGTACCTTCAAACGCTTGCTCCACATTCAGTGCCTCCTTCGCGCTCGTCTCGAAATATGGGATGCCGCCCTTTGCCTGACAGAAAGCCATAGCCCGCTTGGAGCTGATCATCCTCTTGCTCTCCTCCACGTCTACCTTGTTGCCCAGCACTACGAATGGGAAGCTCTCCGGGTCCATCGGGCTCGCCTGAATCAGGAACTCGTCGCGCCAAGAGTCCAGGGTGTCAAAGGACTTGCTGTTGTTGACGTCGTAGACTAGTACGCAGCAGTCGGCTCCTCGGTAGAAAGCTACGCCCAGGGACTGGAAGCGCTCCTGGCCAGCAGTATCCCAAAGCTGCATAGTCACGAGGCGATCGTCGACAAGGACTTCCTTTGTGAGGAAATCGGCGCCGATGGTGGCTTTGTACGAGGCGCTGAACTTTTTGTTGACCTAGGGAGCGAAGAACGTTAGGAGGAAGTTGGCGAGAGGCGCATGAACGGCAGTTGCATGGCATGAGTATCGCGAACGTACATATTGATTCATCAAACTCGTCTTTCCTACTCCACTGTCTCCAAGGATGATAACCTACGTGTTCTGGTCAGTCCACTTCTCGGATCTCGATGCGTGGGAGCAACTTAGCTACCTTGAGAAGGATCTTTTTGCGGGATGCCATGATTTCGCGATCGGTATGCAAGTCTCGTAGAGTGTGTGTTGATCGAATGCAGGTATGGCGGTGCGAAGTTGTGGTGGTGGTGGTGGTGGTCAAGCAGGTACCGCAGTTATGGATCGCGAGTCACAGAGCTAAGCTGATTTGATACCGCAGATTGCGCCGGGCCTATGGATCAAGTTGATGCTCGCGATACTAATCGAGTACTAAACCAGAGGCGGTCTTTCACCTCCTTTAGAAGAGACTCAATAAGGTTGTTTAGCTAAAGTCACTGTAGATACTGTACTTCCGATGCAGACTGAGTCGTCCGCAGTGGTCGTGGTGGCTGGTGATCATTCGGCAGTCTCGAGCATCTCATGTGACGGCATGATCGATACGTGCCCAGGTGGTTTGGGGGCAACTTAGCCGAGGCCGCATCGGCGTCGCACAGCACAACACAAGGCGACACAGTTCGGCTGGCCCTGGTAATATGCTCACAGATAGGAGCATTGAAACGGTCCAATGATGACAGCGGAAAGGCATCCTTTGATGGATCAAAGGGTTCAACTTGCGGCACGCCTAGAATCATACAAGATCTTTACATTCACAATATGCTGCTAATCTCTAGAGTTTGTTTGGAGGCCCGAGACGCCGTTTTCGAGCCGCCAGCACGACGAAGGGGCTCGACACAGTCATGCCCATTCAGGTTCCATACTGCCACCAGGCAAACGTTTCGACAAGCTCATGGCAGAGCATCGTTCCCCATGCACTGGAGTCCAGCTTACACCTCTAATTGTGGATGTGTTGACGAAAATAGAAGGTTATATGGAGTCTCTGAGGCATCTTGGTTGGCAATGATGCCACAGCCACAGCGAAAAGTCGACCCTCTCATGGCAGCCTATCTTATGCACGACTACGGAGGAGAAGTCCTGAACGGCCTCAATGATCAGTGATCGGTGATTCTTCCTCTCAGCTGCAGGGGGGACGGCAGCTGCTGTGGCCAGACTTCAAACGATGAACGTGTCTTGACCTTACGCTTTCGGCGCATGGGCGAACTGCACAGATTGTATCAAGTAGCATAAATAGCTCATTATGGCGCGGCTATGCCAAAAGATGCCAAATGACCGAGAATCGTAAGTGCGACAAGCACTGCGCCGAGTGTTGATATCGCGTGGTCACAAAGGATCGGACACGAAATGTCAAAGATAGAAAGACAGAAGAGCATCATATTCAATTAGTTCGTTCATGGTTTGCGACGGTATATTTTGTACGACATCCTCAATTGAGGAATAGGGCGGTATGGTTGGCATACATTATGACGGTAGGTTTGGGGTAAACATGAAAACCACGACAATCAGGACGATCAGGACGTAACGTCCTACAAGTGCGCCGTTGCCCAGATGGGAACAGGTTCTCGGGCCCACTCTTCCGCGATTTTTGATGTCCTCGGCGAAGTTGACGCCTGTGATCAATGATGATGCTGTCCCTAGCGACGAAGTGCTTGCTAGCAATGGCACTTTGTGCAGTCCTTTCGTACCAGATAGTATACGGATAGAGGACAAGGCTCCGCGCCGACTATCGAATGGTTCCTAGGTTGCTTCCCAGGTACAATGCAAAGCTCTTCTTTGCCTCAGGCAGAGGAGACTTCGTTGGGCCGAGGTCCATTAGGGCGCGTGTGTCTAAACTCGGTGTTAGAACAACGTTCTGCTCCAAGTCGAATTCCACACTATGGCGATCTGCAAACTGTGGTTGCGCACGAACATTGGAGAAGCGGGCTGGTGTTTAACATGTTTTTGTTGTTATCTATTTAAAAGTTTTTGAGACTCGACGTCTGAGCAAGTGAAACCGGACGATTGTTTGTTCCAATCGTAGCCGATGTGGTATCTATGTAATAACAACCTCCAACGACTGTCCAAAACTTGTCTAGTGAAAGGGTAGGACTTGTTTGGTCAGGTGGCAAAAATGAGTGAAAAGGAACGTGCGTGAGATGTGTTCAACCGTTGATAATGGACATCAACCTCCTAGTTGAAGATGGCCAGCTTGAGCTGGTAGTTGTAGTCGATGTTCTCGGGAGTAAGTTCAATGCGCTCGGCGCAAGTGCCGAAAAGCTTGTCCCAGAGACGAGTTTGCTTGCCGTAGTTGGCGCTGTTCTTCCAGCCCTTGCGGTGGTGCAAGTCGTGGTCCTCAATGCACAATTGAGCGTCGAAGAGCTCGAGAAACCATCCGAGGGTTGAAGGCGGGTGTGCGAAAACTCTCAGACCGCTGTGGCCTACGAGCTCAGTGAACCTGTAAGGGGGATTAGTATCGGAACGCAAAGAACATAATTAGGTGTAGACTTACACAATGTACTGGTGGCAGATCCACCATTCGTAGTAGCCCATGGGAAGACCGATGAGGCGCATGGTAGCCCAGGTCATCATCGGCACGCCGATGACGTCGAAGAACTCTTGCTCGGAGTCGGCGAAGAGAGTCATCAACGGGTTGGGGTGCTTGGTGAGGTGGTGGGTGCGGTGGTATTTCCACAGGAAGTCGGTCTCGTGCATGACACGGTGGTACCAGTAGAAGTAAAAGTCCAAGATGATGCCGTAGAGACCGATCTCGAGGAGGATCCAGGGAGACATGGTCAGGGGGCCCTCGCTGCGCTTGTAGCAGAGAAGAATGGCAGCAGCGGGACGGACGAGCGAAGTCATCTGGAGCGAGAAGAAAACCTTGTGGACGCTGTGGTCGGGAATCTGGTCGCGCTCGTGGACGTCGCCGTCAAGGAAGCCGTACTTGTGGCCATTCTTGCGGATCATGCGGAACTCTCCAATGGCGTTGAGCTTGTAAACCAGGGAGTAGAAGAAGAATGCGAAATATGGGCTGAAGTTCTCGCCGGTTGCCCAGATGTATGCTTGCTGGACGGCCATGGGCCACAACGCGTAGAAGAGAACCCATTTGTGCGAGTCGAATTGTGAGATGTACGGGACTTTGTCGTTCTTCTGGTTGACCTTAATCGGCTTGCCGATGTCGGTTGGGTGCATGCTCAGAAGCTCGAAGATCCAGTGGAACGGACCCCATGTGCTCTTGTCGGCTGTTCGCCAGGTGGACTTCATGTTGTCCTTGGGATTGCGGGCAACGGGGGGTGCGGTGGACGCCATCTTTGCGAAATGTGTGATTCCTCAAGGAAAGTACACGGATTTGGCGAGCTGAAACTTGTAGAGCGAGATCTGTGTATGTGTATATATGCTTCCCAAATGTCGTATGTGGCAAAGTGACCCGGCAATCGTCGAGTACCTAGGCTCGGTAGCCCACCCTCAGTGATCTGAGCCCGTCGTCTGGCGCTTCGCACGAATCAAACCTTAATAGCGTGAGAATAGCGTGCTGCGTGAGGAGTGTGCGATAGCGAAAACGATGCCGCCAAAGATCGACCAATCAGAACCGATGTTTAGTGCTGCCTATTGGGGCGGTGTCGGGAGAACGAGAGAGATTTCCCCACCAAATCTTCCTAGTTCCTTGTGTGGAGTCCATGTACGTACTCTCTTCGTACTTGGTTGTCGTGGGTGCGAAGATCGACTGTTTCTGCTCATCATCTTTCTCCGCATTGCTCTATACACCACCACAGATTCACAGTTACACCATTGCTCGAAATGTCATACTGCCGCTCCGCCTCACTCGTCAGACCAAGGATCCGTTTCATCTCGGCAGAAGGTCATGGTCTTGGTTCAGTCGTCGAGACGTATTCATTCAATTTCTCTTCGCACCAAGTCGCACCAGGCATCAATCATCTGACCTTTTCCTGGAGTACCTCTTCTCCTGCTTTGTAAACCGAGAAGCCTTACTTTACCGCTCATCACGCTGTCACGCTATGATCAGCGATTGAAGTGATTCACATCTGACGAGAGTTCTTTGCACACGACGAAAAAGCTCAGATGAGCAGTGTTCATGTTAGACGCAGTAGTCGATGACGATGGCTGCAAATCAATAGAGAGTGCTGGACCTCGGGTCTCGACCGTCGGGAGTGACGCCGTGGTTGCCCACTAGAGAGGCGGCTTAGTCTCTTCTTGCTCTGCTTTTTGTGAGAGACATGAAAAATTGCCACAGAGTTCGAGCGGCTTCCCCAAGATGCGGACGCAATTTGGGTTTTTCGGCCGAAGTGCACCGATCCCCTGGCCACCTGGGCATAGATGAATCTTGGGCTCGCATATTGCGGGACACCTGCTGGGCGCCGAGTCCTACCAAATTGAGAATCAGCATCGTGTTTTTGGAAACGATCGAGTCCATTTCGTGCTCCCACTCTACAGGTTAACCCCTCACAATGTTTCTCCATCGCAAGTCGGTAATCTACACCAAACGTTCGTAGGCGGCATGCGCGTTAATGGTAAGATTATTGCTCCACAATTTTACAGATACAGTACACGCTTTGCAGCCGCCGGTCCGTGCATTTCTCCACGCGTTCCCCGAGGTAAACATTCCTGTCTCATTACACCTCCGCAAATTGTGCATTTCAGTCTGGTGGGCTTTCCAAATGACTGGCTCACGATGGAGATCAGGCCGCAGAATATGAGAGAGACAACTAGACGAACGAGTTTACCACGTTGGCGTTGCGATGCCCGCGTGACGAATCCTACTGTCGCGTGCTCAATCCATCGTCCTTGTATTTCCAGGGACGAGGGGAATGACGTCAGCAAATGATTCATTGCATGTCCTATACTTTACATCACTTCTGTGATTGTGAGCAAGTCAGAAGGTTCTTGATCCATCACTATAGCGCCAGCGCATCGGTACATTCCGTAGTACATTGAAGGAAACTGCAGCGAAAGAAGACCTGATGACGATGCTGAAAGCTCGGCCCAGTGATTCCCACCGGCAGCCTCATGCGGAACTTAGCAGATGTCTAGATCCTGACCCCAGATCTTCAACCCTGCTTGATGTTTTGATCCGGCGTGAGCATGACAAGCAGCTGTAGTTCTCAGCCATGTGCGCATGATAGCGCTCGTTGGCCACGATCAGGGTAGGTGCGATTGCCGCCTCCTCAGATCATCAGATCTCGGGCAATTTTCCTGCGTGATGTCATGCGTGTGGTAGGACCTGTTTCGCAGTCGACAGCCTCCATATGGTGACGATCGGTAGCTCCAGCCCTGGCTGAAAATTCAGGCCCTAGGACCACATTGTGCGAGCAAGACGTCAAGTAAACAATGCCAGGCGAGAGGCAAGAGCAGCTTCTCATACCGGCTTGGCCACCTTTCTCATCTCCTTCAATCCAGTCGTCGGATCTTGGTATTCTTTCCACGAGATCGGATACATTTGATTGCCCCATTCACTAGTGGCCATGATCACTCCTAGTTCGTTCTTCGCCGTACTGAGGTAGTAGCTGCGCTCATCGCCCAAGCTGATGACCACCGCGCGCACGATATCGCCCACCCGGAAGCTCTCTGACACCTTGACTTTGTCGATCTCGGTCGCGCGGATGTCTTGCTGTCGAATCAAACCGGGCAAGGCATCCCCACAAACGTGCTCGCCTGCTGAGCCCAATGCCAAGATGGCAATATTTGCTTGTTTCGACTGAGTGCGAGTAATTTTTCCGATGACGACAGTTCCGACCTCTGGAAGTAATGGACCGGTGCTTCGGATGATTGACAGGTTGGATTGACTTGATCCCTTGAGCACATTGGGCTGTGAAGTCACAGGTCCAGCAATACTCGCACAGAGGTTTGATCCATGAACATGAGTCGCTGCTCCAAGTTGTGCGGCGTCGAATGTACCGACTATTTGGCCTGGAAAGGCTATCCCGTTGGCAGACATTATCCCAAAGCGCCTTGTGTGAGAAGGTAGGATCAGTTGGCTCCAATGTTAGATTTCTTATCTTGAGCAGTCTCTGGTAGGTATTGTAAAGTCTTCAGGCTATAAAATTTGATTCGTCCACAATCATCAATGATTTGCCTCTCCGTTATAATAGACGGCGGCGCGATCCTAGACTTTGCGATAGCCCTTGCACTTCATGCCTCAGGCCACAATAATTTTCACCTCAGATAAGCCCTACAAAAGTTCAACTTTCACAATTTTGAGATTTCAAGAATTACAACATAGCATCACAACATGTCTTCATTAAGGAACGCCGTCCAACGGCGGAACCACCGAGAACGAGCGCAGCCTGCAGAGCGTGCCAAATGGGGTCTGCTCGAGAAGCGGAAAGACTACAAGCTACGAGCCGCAGATCACAAGCTCAAGAAGCGAAAAATCAATGCGCTTAAGCAGAAAGCAACGGAGCGCAATGAAGATGAGTTCTACTTTGGGATGTTGAGCTCGACGACAAAGGGCGGAATCAAGAGGAGTCAGAGAGGAGAAGATAACTCTGGTGGTGGCGGGAAGTCATTGAGCGTTGACACGGTGAAATTGATGAAGACGCAAGATCAAGGATACCTGCAAACGATGCTTCAGCGGACGAAAAATGAGATCGCTCGACTGGAACAAGAAGTTATCATGGCCACCCACGGTGTCAAATTGACGAAAGGCGCTACTCATGGCACTTTCGGGGAGGATGGCAGTCTCGAATTGACGGTGCCCGGCGCCTCAGAAAACATATTCGACGACGAAGATTTGGGGTCGCTTGATGGTGATCTCGAAATGGAGGACGGTCGATCAGAAGCATCAGGGAAGTCAGATGACGAAGACTTTACGCCCGAGCAGCGCGCCACGAGAGATCGCAAGCGGCATGCATTAGATGTCAAGCGGAAAAATTTGAAAGCACTACGTGATCAAGAGGACAAGCTTGCTTCCGCGCTGGACGGCGTTGAGCACCAGCGTGCCAAGATGAATCGCACAATCGGAGGTGTTAATAAGAAGGGCGTTCAGTTCAAGCAACGGGAACGGAAACGATAGAGCACGGTAAAAGGCATGGATATGGCGTTCAACGGAGATTTTGATGAATCGCATGAGATACCCCACAGTAGGCGCTTGAAATTACATTTTTGAAGGCATCCTGGTTCCTCCGTCCAATCTGATACATTCACCGTTGAGATAAGTATTCTCAATGGCCTGCCTGACCGTTAGAGCAAACTCGGGCGCCTGGCCCGGTCGCTTTGGAAATTCCATCATGCGCACGAGACTGCTGCGCACTTTGTCTGACATCTTGGCTGTCATGGCGGTATCGAACATGGCCGGCGCAATGGTCACGCATCGAATGCCGTGCACAGCAAGGTCTCGGGCCAAAACGAGAGTCATGCTTCGAATTGCACCCTTGGTAGCGGCATAAGAAAGTTGACCGGGTTGACCGTCGAAAGCTGCGGAAGATGATACCATGATAATGACGCCACGCTCGCCGTCACCATCGAGCGGCTTGACGGTCGTCATATGAGGTAGACAAAGTCGGAGAAAGTCGAGGACGGCACGGAGATTGATGTCGATGACAAAGTCCAGCTTTGCCATGTCAATGGGAGTGTTGTGGCGATCGATCAGTTTGCCCGGCAGACCAACTCCAGCGGCGGGAATGATTCCACCAATTTCTTTGCCAGTCTCCTTGGTCCATCGTACGACAGCCTCGATGACTTCTTGTTGACGCTTAGAGTCGGTGACGTCGGCCTCGAAGAACCGTACGCGCTCGCCAAGTTGCTTTGCGACTTTGGATCCGTTGTCCGGGTTTAAATCCAAGATAGCGACATAGCCGCCATGGCTGTGGAGATCCTCCGTGGTCGCGAGACCAAGACCTGAGGCTCCGCCAGTGATTATGAATGTCCGATCCTTGATATGCATGATGTGTGTGTGAGTGGTTAGTATAGCGAAATAGCGAATTGGTGAACGAAGAAAACGTCAATCTCGATGTTAGCGAACTACTTGCACTGTCAGCAGCCGAGGCTAACGCTCACCTGAGCGCCTCATGGTCTGGGTGTTCCAAGGTTCTTTCAATGTGCCTGAAGTACGACTTGTGCGTAACGGGCTGCAGCGTATCATCCTGTGCGATACCATGTTACATGAAATCATCGGCCAATAACATGATCATCCAGATTTCATATTAACCACGAATGCCGCTCGTGTCATTAGTGATCTTAATGTATTCATGGGTCATTGGTTTTCGCTTCCAACCTCCAAGTCAGTCGCGCTGGTTCCTACCAGGCAAAAACTTGCCCCGCGAAAGCATGAACGGCGCGGGCCGCACTACATTCACATGCTTTGCTACGCGCATTCACCTCTCGAATTGAAGTTGTTCAATCGCGTCGCGCAGGGTTCAAGCTCGCGATCACTGGACTTCATCGTCACCACTTCTGACAGAAAGCAGCATATACTTGCCCTGCGTATTCCCCTGTTTCGCCACAATGGCCACTAACGGACATCTTGCGACGCCTCCGCCTTCCGACCCTTCTAGCAAAGCGGAATCGCAAACCAAAGCCGAACCTGAAGTGCCTCTGACATCGACACAAGATGACGGCCTATCAAAACGTCCTCGAGATGCGCGACTAGTACATGTGATTCTGTCATCACTCGGCATTCACAGCTATCAAGAGCGAGTTCCTTTACAACTTCTAGACTTCGCATATCGCTACACCAGCGGAATTCTTTCAGACAGTCTGCGACTCAGCGCGGAAGGCTACACCAGCCAAGCGGATCGCGGAAATCGCCGTGGAGCAACCGATGATAGCGGGGCCATCACGATACAGGCACTACGTCAGGCCATCGCCAGTCGACAGGGCTACACATTTCAAGGTCCGCTTGCCAAAGAATTCATGATGGAACAAGCTGCGGAACGAAATCGCATTGCATTGCCACGGATCGATCGCTCTCTCAGCATGCAGCTGCCTCCGGAGAAATACTGCTTGACTGGTGTAGGATGGAACATGAAGGAGGAATGGGATAGTGATGAAGATCTGCTAGATGAAGACGCGCAACCACCTGCCGCAGCAGCTGCGACAGCAGCAAACAAGGAGGATGAGCAAATGGGAGGAATCGACGGTGAAGCAGAAGACGAGGATGAAGAAGGCGCGGGCAGAATGGAGGATGTTTTTGGTGCCGATTCTGGCGGCGATACAAACATGACACAGGATTGAGATGACATGTAATTGTATGGTTTGGGGCGGGTTTTCAATCGGTTCAGCGTGGAGTCAAGGCGTTTCGATCGGTGAGATGCAGTGTATTGGTCATTGATACGACATTTTGCTTACCATAGACCATGATAGATTTATTATTCCGACATCCAACCCGCAAAACACAGCGGTTTTATCCATTCCATCCCGTCTTTAGTATCCGATTCATGAATACCCAGGTGTGCTTCGCTCCAAGATATTTGTCAGCAGGCCTGAAGTCGTCGCGTGCCATTCAGCCCTAACAACGCGTATGACAACGAACTTCTAGAATGCGCTTCGAGGCAAACTTCAAGAATACTACTTGAGTTGGCGATATCACAATCGAGATAAAGAGAACCAGCGCGGTATTCCATCCACATCTGAAGCTCGTTGAAGAACCGCCAGCATGTCCCGCCATCACCCCGATCTCGTCATGTGCCGCAAAATGGCCGGCATCTCCATCGGAAGGCTATGCGACAAATGTGATGGCAAATGTCCGGTTTGCGATTCTTACGTGCGACCTACAACCCAAGTCCGCATATGCGACGAATGCGCCTTTGGCAATTACCAGAACAAGTGTGTCGTGTGCGGCGGAGAAGGAATCTCGGATGCCTTCTATTGTTTCGAATGCACACGGCTCGAGAAAGACCGTGATGGCTGTCCGAAAATCATCAATTTGGGTAGTTCAAGGACAGACTTGTTCTATCAGAAAAAGGTCCGTGGCGGAATGGCTCTTTCTCGGATTCGAACACTTACTGACAGATCTCTTGGACAGAATTTCCGAAATCATTAAGATTGCTTACCGGAGCCGTCTCTCCCACAGAATCCTCAAGCCTCCTCACAGCTCCAAGTATTTGGCAGATCCAGATGGTGCCACATACCATGGTGGCCCGCAATGTCTTGTACAGAACAGCTACAGGCGCCATACGCGTGCCCGAAGGGAGCTCTTATCGCCTACTTACCACTATCGACGCAAGGCGCTGACCTTGGTCCTCTCACGACGGACGAATCAAGTACTGTATCATGACACAGCCATTAGGAAAGGTCGAGCATTGGTCAGAAGCTGGCTCCCCGGGTCAGAGCCAAATTTGTGACTTTACAAAGCACATCAGCATTACTGGTTGGGAACCGGAAGTGGAGGCTCAAGACAATAACGCCAACGGTATGCTATACCTCCTAGACTACTTCCTATGCAAGGCGCTCAAGTCTGCCTACATAAAAATACAGCTGCGAATCAAAGGGAAGGTTTCACTCCAACTTTATTTCTCTCCAGCAGCAATTTCGGCGTGTGTCGGAGCGGGCTTGACTTGTTCGGCTTCTGCCTCCACGATCTCCTTGATGGTGTCCTGTAGGCTGGCTCCTTTCGGCTCCCACTTCAGAACTTCCCTCGCTCGCACCGCCCTCGCTCGCGAATTACTGCTCCATGATGCCTGATCGAACTGCGTGAAGTTCTTGGCCTCCTCTGGCGTCACAGAGCGCACCTCGCTTGTCTTGATCAGACCTTGTTTGTGCGCTTCGTCCGCGATCCATTGCGACACCTCGCCCCAGATGTGCTCTCCGTTCTCACAGAAATAGTAGCCCTCGCTGCCCCAAGTCGCTGGTTTCCCCGGCCATTCCGCGGTGGAGCCACCAACCGCAGCCTCTTCGACGAGTTTCAGGAACAGTGCAGAGAGGTCGTGCACGTGCACATGGCCCCAATAGGTTTGACCCTGGTTGACACGAATGGCTTGCCCGGTCTTGAGCGCGGCATGTGCGAGCTCTGGAACTTGTTGCGAGCGTTGGTTGTCAGGGCCACGACCCTTTCCGTAGATGGTTGGCGGACAGACAATGGCCGTCTTGACCTTGTCTGCGAGCGTCGTGCCTGCCTCAAGGATGATCTTGTCGACTTCTCGGTGAGCGGAGGCGTCCGGAAGTGAAGTCACTTCGCTCACGCCCTCCAAGTCATCGAAAACTTTCTCGCCGAGCTTCTCGCCAAAGGAATGCAACCGCTCGAAATCATCGTAAAGGAGGATGCCTGTGCCGGAAGTGTGAATGAGGAAGGTCGGTTTGGACTGCGCTGCGAGGCCTTTTACAATGGCCTCTGCTGCCCCTGGATGATCGGCATTTGCGCAGTCTGAGAGGATTAGATTTCGTGGTCGTTAGCAGAGGGGTTCTTTGCCGTCGAGTCTCACGTAAAGCTCGAAAGTATATCATTGAAGGATTGATATACCACAGCTTCACCAAGGTGATGGACGTGTGACTTACGAAGTACGATATCAGCCTTCTGCGCTTCTGCCGTGATAAGGTCTGAACTATCTAGGTCGCCATACACAAGACGGATGCTTGGGTAGACTTTTGCGACCTTGGCTCCTTTGTCACTGTTCCTCACCAGAGCGGTGATCTCATAGTCGGGATGTGCTTCAGAGATAGCATATAGAGCATCGCCACCGATGTACCTGGTCGTGATGTTTAGTCCAGCTATACTCAGACTTCTGGACGAGAGACGTACCCTGTCACTCCAGTCGCGAAGATCTTGGTCATGTTTGAAAAGACTTCTTGTCACCCGTATCTTCGATATGTGTGACTGGGTCAAATGATCGGCAGTGATATCTTACAGGTCAGGATGCTGATTCGATGATGGTGAGCGATATCAAGAAGAAGATGCAAGTATGATGCAAGTATTTTCCGGTCACGTTAATTAGATAATTATAGCTCTTATGATTGCAAAGACACTACACGGACACCCGCAGTTTGGTCAAGCTCGCGTGCTCACTGTGAGACCTGCAATATGTCATCATGGGTGAGGGGCGATCCGCAGATGTTAGCATTACATCACCAAGGCTGCAAAAACTTCCAAGATTTTGAGATGACGGCTTTTCGCAATTCTAAGAAAAGAAAGTAAGTCTTGCGTGTTTTGGGACGTTTGTGCGTGCAATTTTCAAGCCGCCGTCGAGAAAAATTCACTCCTGCACGACAGTGTCATTTGCTCTACATCTCACATTGCTGAGCCTACGAATAACAAGATCGTAGATCAAGGCAAGGACTTTTCATTCCTGTCATCTTTTACACTCGTCCTCGCCGCGTGGCATGAGTCTGGTCGCAGGAGAGAGACATCGCGTTCACGCTGAAGGACGATCGGACAACTCTGAGCAATCGTGAATGTAGCACTTTGAGATCATAGGAGACTGTGTTGAGGTGAAAGCGAAGATTAGGAAGGGATCCGATAATGTCATAAGCATGTACCCACCCACAGATCTTGATAAGACCTGGGCAATCATGACTGAAAATCGGGCAGTAGCTGCACCTGCATCACTTCGAATCGCGTAGTAGGTACATCGTGTCGCTCCGTCACCATTTCCGCTTCTTTTCTGCCCTCTCTCTCAAGAGTTGCTCTATTTTTGCATCATGAGCTGGACGAACTCGTTGTCTGTGCGAATGGTTAGTGAACGGTCCATAGTCCTGAGCATCCCTTTCGGCGTATTCTCTCGTGCAATGAATTGCACGGCGTGAGGTTCCCTCCGAATGAGGCCTCCTCAGATCTAGAAGGGTTGTCCAAACTCACAGTCAATTCGCCCGTCACCGTCTTGGTCCGCCTCGCGAATCATCTCGTCAACCTCGTCGTCGGTCAACTTCTCGCCAATGCTGGTCATGACATGTCGCAGCTCAGCAGAGCTAATGAAGCCGTTGTTGTCACGGTCGAAGACCTTGAATGCCTCGCGGATCTCCTCCTCAGAGTCGGTGTCCTTCATCTTGCGAGCCATCATGGTGAGGAACTCTGGGAAGTCGATGGTGCCGTTGTTGTCAGCATCGACCTCATTGATCATGTCCTGTAGCTCCGACTCCGATGGGTTCTGGCCGAGCGAGCGCATCACGGTGCCTAATTCTTTGGTGGTGATTTGTCCTATTGGATATTGCGCGAGCGCGCGCGTTGTGTCAGTCTGAGAACAGAAGAGCGGTGATTTGTTCGTCTATGTCAAAGCCTCACCATCGCCATCCTTGTCCTAAAACACGATCGAGTCAGCGAACATGTTCATTATACAATGCCCAAGCGCAATGCGCAGTGCTTACTAGCACTCTGGGATTGACTCACGAAGAGGGAGAATGCTTCCTTGAATTCAGAGACTTGCTCTTCGGTCAGAGTGTCAGCCTGATAATCATTAGTGTCGAGTCCACAGTGTCCGGTTCTGAATGCCACTTCGAAGACAGCAGCGGTAGAGCTCGTTGCTCTGGTCTGTCCCCAATCTGTGTTGACAAAGCCTAGAGGCGGGGTCGGTAGGAGTCTATCATACCATGTTGTTGAATCCCGTGCAGGTGTGATATATTTAATTGTATGTGAATGCGTCGCAGCAAGACCGGCGAGCAGTCTATCGGGAGTTTCAGGAGGAATAAAGAAGAGTTGTCGCAGAGGGACAAGGCAGAGAAGGGCAGTGATGGCGCTGCTGGTGTTTGGTGAATGCGGCAGGCGGAAAAGTGATTGTATGCGCCGCGTGCAGCCCAGTTCAGTTCCAACTGCCCCACTCCAGCAGGGGTCTATTTTGAATGCATGGCTTAGATCATGTCTTGGGATACCAGTATATCATCTCGTCCATTCTCAGATCTCCCACAGCAGAAATAAACTGTACATGCACATTAGTGGGCGGCCCCGGTGAGCTGTTGCCTCAGGCTCTCTCATGTCAGGGTTCAGTAGGAACAGCCTGACCCTGCGAATGATGATGACTGTATGCCCAGGTGTACAACGCGTCGAGCTTTCAAATTCGATACCTAACCGTAGACGATTAGGCCATTGTCTGGAAGCCCTGCTAGTACAGAACATCATCACAGCTCGCAATTGACAGCCACATGCGCCAAAATCGAGCCGCACAATCGAAGTCGTCAACATACAGACGCTGCGACGGGACACTGAAAGAGAAGCTGCCAGTGCGATGAGTCTTGTGTGACAAGCGCAAGTTGGATATCCACGGCCAAATCGTCGAGCGCAATGCTTGCATGCTTCCTCGGCATTTCCTAAGACACCAACATCATGTCGCAAGCTGTAGTCACAGGCGCATGGCGTGACCGAACCAATCTCTACATCTCATATCGACAATCATACGCACATCACCCAGCCAAACGGACGCGAATCGCTGGGCCGCACTACACCGACGATGATGCCGAACGCGCAGGACTCATGTCCAGTCTGGACAATGACAATGCCGATGCGATCATCGAGATGGACGTTCTGCCACCCCGCTGGCTCGATATTCAGGACGATGTCCAACGACATCTCACCGACATTGCGCCCAAGATGAAGCGACTGGAACAACTGCACAACAAGCACGTCTTGCCTGGCTTCGATGACGAGAGCGTTAAGGCCGCGGAGGAGCGGGAGATCGAAGCGATGACCCAGGATATCACCCGCGACTTCTCCGCCTGTCAAAGAGCTATCAAACGTATTGATATCATGGTCCGCGATCAGCAGCAAGCATCGGGACAAATATCGAGTGCAGATGAGACCATGGCAAAGAATTTGAAGCGATCGCTAGCAGCCCGCGTCGGCGACGTCAGCACCCTCTTTCGCAAGAAGCAATCCGCGTATATGAAAAAGCTTCGGACGTTAGGCGGAATGCCGGGGCTCTCTAGCCCTTCGGATCGATCTGGCACACCACTTGCACAGAACACATATAATGTCGCTATGATGGAATCAGAGACGGATCGCTCTACAGCTCAATCGACACTGCTACAGACAGCGCAAGTGCGTCGGAGGGATGGCGCGGTAGATCGTACAATCCAACAACGGGAGGCTGAGATTGAAAAGATTGCGCAAGGTGTCATCGATCTTTCCAACCTCTTCCAGGATCTCCAGACCATGGTGATCGACCAGGGCACCGTGCTCGACCGGATCGACTACAACGTCGAGCGCACAGCGGAACACGTCCAGGCTGCGGACAAAGAGCTCAAGGTCGCTACGGGTTACCAAAAGCGAAGCATGCGTCGCAAAATCATCTTTCTACTCATACTGATTGTGTTCGGCATGTTGGTCTTACTGCTCATCAAGCCGAAACGAGGCAGCAGCAGTGCGCCACCGCATAAATCGGCCCCGTTGCCGAATGTACCATTACAGGGGAGCGAGGGTGGTTCGGACTTCTTCCCACCACGGAGATTGGTCCGGAGGGACCTTTTGTACTACGATCCTTCACCTTCATAGATGTATAAATTACTGGGTGCGAGTGCAATACCGGCCGTTGAACACGTTGTCGTAGAGGTTTTTCATATCAGACGACCACTCCATACTAAGTGGTTCTGCCGCCCCAGGCTCCTCTTTGACGGGTTGATGCAAGACAAATGCTGCAAAGTCCGGCCCTGTGGAGACCGTGGGTTTGAAGGGATGCCGCTCTCCTTTTCCCGGGAAGCCGTAGAAATCTTACGAGGGCGCAATCTGATAGGTTTCCACGAAATGAGTTCGATAGCGATTTGCATATCAAGTTCTACCACTTTCCACCTTTGCCCTTTTTCTTCTTCTGCCCACCGCCCCCTGAACCTCCGCCGCCGCCACCTGGCGCCTTCCCTTTGACAACATCCGGTCGTGGCGTCGCAGGCCGGCTGCCGCCATCGGACTCCACAGCGGTGCTGACGGCGCCTTGACTGAGCAGTGCCTGGCGAGCCTTGCCCTTCTTACCCTTGGGCCGATAGGTGGAGCGGTCGCGGAGCGGGAGCCATCTCTCGGGATCCGGCGTCTTACTTGGATCGTAGTCCTTGGGGATACGCGACTTGCGAAGCTTCTTTGGTTGAGAACCTTTGTTGTCATCTGCAGAGCGCTTCTTGGTGGACACGGAAGTCTTGGCGGAAGAGAGTGAAGATGGAAGTGATGCGACGCCGGCATCCTCGAGCGCTTCTGCGTCGATGTGAGAGAGGAGGCGTTCGGTCGGGGTGAGGGATGCAAGTTGTTCGGGAGAGGCCTGTTCCGGAGATGAGGCGAGGAGGCCGGCAGCAGCATAGCGGTCGTTCGGGTCCTGGTCGTGTAAGTGGGCGAATATCTCTCGGGCTAGCTGCTGGTGCTCCTTCTCGCTTGAGTCGAGAAGAGCGCTACCAGCAGCTTTGTAGAGGTACGTGAGACCAGGACTTTGAGCTTTTGATTTCCGTCGCCAGTATGAAGCCGCTTTCGCGAGCTCACCACAGAGTGGTGTCTTCCGTCCCTGGTTGCGATAGAGGCTGACGAGTGTGCCCACAAGTCCTGGTGCGAAGCGAGCATCGTGATGTTCGGCCGTTTGCTCGAGTCGAGCAAGGAAGGTTTCCAGCAATGCAGTCGCTGCGCCCGGGTTTCCCGTGAGTACGTAAAGCTGCACGACTGTCAATACCAGGCCGACATCATTCGGTCGTCGCTCTAGCACTGGCAGGATAGACTTCAGTGCCTCTTTTCCGGTTTGGTTCCGAGCATGAGCTGCTGCATTAACCACTCCCATTGACGTGTAGAAAGCATCTGTGCTTGGGAGAGTCGCTTTCGACAATGCCACCCGGGTGGACTCGGCTGTACCTTCGTACTTGAGCGATTGTAGATCCGAGGCAAATTTGTTTTGTCTCAAGGCGGATTCCTGAAATTGGAAAGGCTGGTCGGTCCCTGAAGGTGCTAGGCTTTGGTCCAGCAGTCTCTGTGACAGAAATGGATTGTTCGAGGACTGTGATACCGCAAACTCGTTTACTCGGGCGATGTGCTGCGTGCTCGAACCAGACGAGGATACAACGTCGAGGTGTCGTGCCAATTCCTCTGCTTCCCTGTCTCGGCCGAGTCGTGCTAGAACGTATATCTGCTGTATCGTAATTGGAAGCAATTCTGCGCGCTTTTCTTCCTCGCTCAAGTCCTCTAGCGACTCGCAAAGGGTCCTTGATCGCTTCAAGAGGATCTCTCCTTGTGGCAACTCGCCACGCGCAATGCTCCCACACGCAGCATTGTACGCTGTCTCAAAGGCCTCTAAATCGTCCCGGCTCGGCTTCTTCTTCTGCACAGTGTGTCCCTGTCCTGACCATTCTAGTTGTGCCTCCACCGCCCCCAAGTTGACCCTCAAATCTGCCGCTGCATCTTCGCCAATATTCGAGGAGAGCTCTCTGTAGATTTCGGCCGCGCGAGGAAAGTCCTCGTCTCGATACGATGCTTGCGCTTCGATATGTCGGTATGCGCGCTCGGATCTTTCATGTGCGATTTGAGCCGCAGCAGCGGGCTGGCCGGTCTTGTAAAGCACGTAGGCATGCTCTGCGCTCGCGCGAGCCTTGAGTGCATCGCCTCCAGCATTCAGCGCGTGAAGGGCATCGTCAAAACGGTCAAGCTTCAGCAGGGCAACCACCTTGACATGCTGAGTGTCCACGTCATTCTTAGATTGCTTGAGCGCAGCATTGGCAGCACGAAGGACCTCCTCATCGTCCTCGATGTGAGTCTGCTTGAGGAGTGAAGCTAGTGACGAGACCAAGGCGGCCATGTTGGAATCGATAATTAATTATAGCTGATGCGTTGCTCCATTGACCATTATCCGAGACGCATGGGCACTTTTTCGGTAATGTGTTGGAGATGTGGATTTTGGTCGTGTGCAGCAGATCTATTGTCGCACAACATCGAACACTTTCCCTCATCAGCATTCACGCGAGCAACATCACCACTTCATACGGTATGTCGGACGACGTCGCCAATTGATGGCCCACTATCGAAATTCGCCGGCCGTGTTTGCCCCGCGGAGGTCTCTCAATACGGAGGGCCGTATGTCTCGCTTCGACATCACCGTCCTCTGGTGATATCACACCATTGCTGGTCGGATACGATTCCGAACGACTATCTGGTGGGTGACAACATTTCAATGTCAACGGATCTTGGAATGCTTCTGGAATCTGCCAGGCGGCTATCAAATCAGACCACAATCAGGGAACTCAATCGTCATACACCCGGGATGATCCAAGCACGATGCTGTGTTGGCCTACCCAGGTAACATCGTCTCTCAATGTGAAGTCTGGTCGCAGAAAGAGCAGCGGATGGCTCAAACCGTGGTTCCATAGTCGGCCGTCGTGTACAAATGCGTTTGTTGATCGTCAACAGCTAGACTGCGTGCTACTGGATGACAACAATGACGAGGACTGTCGGCCGAGAATACCAACCTAATCATGTTACGGTCGCCATGTTGATTGATCTCTCCTCCCAAATGTATGCACACATAGGACAAGGCGTAACTATCCCCATCACCGGCCCGGAACACCAGGCACTGCATTGCAACAGTTATCTATTCACTCATTTCATGCCCGACGCCAACCCTGTAGCCCCACTACATTAGGGTTATGACCGAATGTTGCTCAGGGTTTGCGCACGATTGATTCTCTTACCGAGATCTGACACAAAGACGGATGCTTCTGATCCGGGGATACCCAAACACACCAGTGACCATCCAAAGTCGAGATAGCGGATCAATCGTTTGGACTCCGACTGAGACGGATCGATGCGAGCGACTTCTGCTTTGAGTTCCAACAACGAAAACACGTGCGCGCGGCGGATGCTCCAGTACGTGGTTCACGTCCGGCCGTTTTCGTTTGGACCGCGGCACGCCAGAAGTTCGACAAAGAAACAAGTGGGTTAGCGATCCACCCATGCAGATCCATGCAACATACATGTTATACCAAGCCTGTGCCGCGATTGTGGACATGCCTTGTGCCCGCTCGGCGCCGCGCGCGTGTGTGCGTGTGCGTGCCGAGCAAGAATCACGTCAAGCTCAGCTGAGGACGAGGTAAGCACTCCTCTGTTGTTGGTTGCTGCAGCTGCGTGGCCCGGAGAGATTGCCTATTGTTGGATCGAGCCAGAGTAATGCGCACGACTCTGTAGTGATGTGGTGTGCTCGTTAAATCCGTCCGTGGAGGATCGCCCCAGCTACTCTCGTCGTTATCGTGTTGGGATCAATCATGGTACCGTGGTATTCAGATATTTTTAGTTGAGAGACTTCTTGTGCAGCGGGACACCATTGACTTCTTTCATGAGGAACACGCCCATATTCCCAACGCATGATATGTTGGCATTCGTGCATGGCTATCGCGTGTCCCGGCGGACACACAGTTTCTAATTCCGCAAACCCTGTGCCGTGCGTACTCAGCACTCTGTGTGACTGTGAGACAGTCGTCTCGGTCATTACATGCCGCGGCGTGTGCAGACCCAATGAACAGTTCGCCCTGATCGCATGATGTCTGAACTTCGGAATGACGAAGCACACGCTGAAGCCTTCCAAGCTGGAGGTTCCCAGGGTTGTGATTTCGGAGTCCTTGAAGGCACGGGCGGATAATCATTGCGGGACTCTTGGACATTGCGGGGGAGAATTGGCACGAGCTGCGATCTGTTCACGCAACAGCTGGGGAAAATCGTTCGATGCAAGCCCTGGAGTTTGGAATTGCGGAGGAAGGCTCTAGTGTCCCATTGAATCCGGGCGGGCGCGCCCAACCTTGGAAGGCTTGGAAGGTGGAAACTCGACACGGAAATCCGCCAGATCCTCGCTGACATCCCGCTAATGCAGTTGGACGCACAGGGAGAGAGGCCTCTGAAGGGGCGACTGTCGATTCACCTTCGTGCCGTGCCGCAATATGTACATGAATATATGTATCGCATGGCTCGGCAGAAATACACGATTGACAGCAGGCCTAACCCCAGGCCGAGACGTGGATTCCGCCACGCGCCGGGAGAGGAGATACCTGCCAAGCGCCAAAGAGAAGAAACCACCGAGGCTGCCAGCCTCTCCGGCGGGCTCTGTCACACGAATTGTGTGCAGCCAAGCGCTGGAGGGAGGATGCGATAAGCGACGAGGGGAAGGCGGACCAGATCAATGATGCAGCACCGTCCCACAGTCTGGTCGATCCGATTCCCTGATTGTTCCTGTCCTGCCCGAACGTGCCGAAGTCAAGTCGAATGGTGGAGACACTCAGCAGTGCAAACACAAGCCCGGAGTTCTCGTTCAGAATGTTGGAAGTACTGATACGTACACCAACACGAACGGGTGACTCGCATGGTGTGGCAGACAGTACGATATACATCACATTGAGCACGATACGTCCAACCACGCGGCAGAAGAAGTCAACGTCAGGCGTTCACACACGGATCGCAGATACATTGTACTTCTGCAAAGCGGCTTGCGCCTATCCTGGGCCAACAACCACACACATCGTGACGCTGAGGGCAAATTTCACATAATAGTGGTGGCGCAGTCCGCCCATGAGGATCCCAAAGCACCACTACTTCGTCATGTGTAGGATTGTTCGGGAAGAACGTGATCGTGTTGTTCCAAGGCGCCCCGAGTCAGGCTCTCCCTCGAGCTGCCGCTCTGGTCGAATGCCAAGCAGAGTAGGTGAGGATGCTTGAGGGAGTGCAGCTCAGTCGCCAAGTTGCACATGATAGTAATTTTCAATTGACCGAGGAGCTTCTCCACACTGCACTCCATCTCGATATTCTTAGTTGACGGGACGAGTACTGCAGGTTGTGCCGCTAAGGATGTGTCGAATGTTTTCCGGAAGCATGTCGCTGGTGTGTCAGCATGTAGATTGCGAGGAGATGAGACCCGGGGTGGTCTGCGTGGTGCATCCCGGTCAGGCTGTTTGACGCAAAACGTATGCGGTCGTCACATCGCATGGTCTCACTGATAACATTCATGACGCGCCCTTGCGATGATGGAAACAAGTCTGACAGACTGGATAAAGAATCCGCCACGAACGAACTTCACGTCATAACCTGTGTTGAAAGACATCGGCAGATTGCTAGTGACAAGGGTCTTCGCGAGGCCATTCAGAGAGGTTCGATCTCACGGCCGACGCGCGTCTGTTCTGGAAAAGCTGCAGTGGTTCCCGCCGGATGAAAGATTCGATCCCAGCCGAGGACCCTTTCTCTCTGCTCGTCACGAAGCGACCGTAGGAACCTTGCATAGGGAAGACGCGAGATATCTATGACACGGCACACTTGGAATCTGTTCCTCGTGATGAAGATGCTTGCAATTTGCATGATAGAAGGGGAGGTGGCTGTTTCACGAAGATTCAATGTACGACTGTCGATGAGAATTTATCTTGCAGTGGTGGGTCAATCCCGGTCTGGACTCGTGTCATGATTAATGAGATTGTTGCAATATCAATCTCACAATTGTCGCCGCCGTTGCCACTATGCTTCATCTACCAGTACTACCGTTGCCCGGTTGTGCCTCTAGCGACCTCAAGCCTCGGCTGTCCGAGATGAATGGACTGGGGTGACGGCACGTTTCCTGTCTGTCCCTCCGCTTTTTCTCACCGTATGCGGCTCTCTCTTCTCCCTCTTCTCTCCCTCTCGTGCCACTGTGTACCTCTTCACACCCGCACACTCACACGCTCCCATCACACCACACATAACACATCCATACATCTACACATATGCACCCGCGCATACGCTCTCAAGCTGTGTGCCTGTGTCCTTTGTATCTTTCTGCGTCTCCTGTTCCTGTCATTGGGCCCCTCCCGCCCGCAGTGTTACCATCACTTCAGGTCGACCACCGGAAAAGTCCACTCTGTTCTGCTCTTGCTCCGACGGGGGTGGGACATGCCGATAATATTCCGTATGAAACTTGTGATGATTCGATGGCGTCGTCTGTCACACCCTCGTCCGAATGCCTTAGCCGGTCGATCGCCCAGGTCCTGATGAGTCATGATGAAGACAGAGTAGCGAGCGGCTTGGCGGATGTCTCGCAATCCTCCTCTGCTTGATTGAGAAATTTAGATTCGAGTAGTGGAAATCGTGTTTGGAGGGTTGGACGTGGTCGCCAAGTTGCATAGTTCGGACTAGCGACGAGAAGGGCTTAGCTGATGGAGTACTGCACACCCTCTCCTGGAACAAGGTTGTCCGAACGCGTTGAAATGAGATTTGCACGATTGGTAACATGACCCATCGCTGCCGTGCTAAGGAAAGCAGTGAATTGGACGGCTGAGGGAAAACAAAGGGTGGCACTCGGTGGTGAGCCCGTCTCGGGATCTCCCACCAGTGATGCCATGAGAGAGTGACATGACAGGATTGATCAATCGTCACCCTTTTTTTCCCTCGTCCCTCCCTCTGCCACGGCCATGCACTTGTTCTGGCGCCACCGCTCTTGGTTCTCGCTCTAGACACCACTTCCAAGAGCCCGTCTTCCTCGACGTCGGCATCTTGCATTCGTCCCTTCTCTTTGCCATTGTACATGTTCCGGTACATATCATAACTGCGACATCCGGGTGCTTGCCCGACCACGTTCCTTCTCTTCATTTCTGTTCTCATCATCTTCCATCGACACCTTTGGAGCGACGACCCTTTTTCACCAGGGACCGTCGAGTTTATTCGTTCTCACGCTCGTCGCCATCGCCGCCTGAGCAGAGAGGACATCACCAACCCACATCTCTCCCTCACCCACCATCATCATGGCTGCCATGGGCCTTGGTGCCATGGACAAGAACGAGCTTGCCAGGATCGAGACCGCCGAGGGCAGTTTCCAGGACAGGAACAGTGGCCAAGATGAAAACACGTTCAACCTCGAGCACGCTGCCACATTCCAGACGACCTTCGACCCAGTAGCAGAGGGCAAGCTCTACCAAGATGGCCAGCTTATCGTCATGCCTGCAGCGACCCGCGATCCGAAGGACCCCATGAACCTCCCACTCAACCGCCGTATTCTGGGTGTCTTCTGTCTCTCGTTCTTTGGCGCTCTGGCTGCTTCCGCTGAGATCATCTTGGGAGCCTGCCTGCCTGTCTTCGCTCTCGAATACGCTGGCATTGACCCTGCCAAGTACATCCTGGCAATCACACCCTTCCCCATCGGTTTCAACCCATTGGCCACACTCAACATGTTCCCAAACGCCGCACCTATCTTCGAGGTCTACCTTTTGGGTGCTCTTCCGCTGCTCATGATCGGTGTCTGCAACTTGTTCTTCATCCCACTCGCCATTTCCATGGGCCGTCGTCCGGTCCTGCTCATTACCGGCTTGATCGCCCTTGGTGGTATCGTCTGGGCTGGTGAGAGCCGATCGCTGCAATCTCACATTGCTGCCCGTTGTGTTCAGGCCGTCGGAGCTGGAACTGTCGAATCTCTGATCCCATTCATCATTCAGGACATGATTCCCGTCCACCAGCGAAACACTTGGATTTCCGCCGCGTTCGCCGCTCAGGGTGTCATCATCATTGCCGTCGGTTTCGCCGCACCCACCATCATCGTGCACCTCAGCTGGCGATGGGTGTACTTCGTCACCGCTATTGCCGGCGCTGTGTTCTTGGTTGGAGTATTTTTGTTCATGCCCGAGACGCGCTGGCCTCGTACTCGTGCCGAGATGAGTAAGTTCCAAATGCGGACATTGTTGTCCATCCCGTCGCGACATGCATACATTGTACTGACCGTGAGCCCTCTCGTTTCACAGATGGTATTCCCCGTGATGACGCCAACATCGAATACACTCCACGAACCTGGAAATTGGACCTTGCTGTCAAGGTCGGCAAGACCGACTGGAAGAAGGGCTGGAACGCTTTTGTCGACACACTGCGCGTCTTCTTCTACCCACAGGTCTTCTTCGTCACTATGTTCAACGGTGCTATGATCTCAAGCGCTTTCTCAGCCAGTTACGTCGCTGCGCCGGCGTTGCTCACCAGCCCCTGGGCGTAAGTCATCACTTCTCTACCTGATAGACCAAGATTGTTCGCACACATGCGTCAATTTGGCTACCTTGTTGAAAATCTTCTCGCTCGACTTGGCTAACACGTTTGATCGCAGATGGAACTTCCTCAACTTGGGTTACTCACTCGTCGCCGTGCTCGTCGCCGCTCTTCTTGTTGGATTTGTCACTGGCGGATTGGCCGATGTCCTGGCCAACAGCGTTGCTAAGAAGCGTGGAACTCGTGTCCCTGAGAACCAGCTGATCAACCTGATCTTGCCCGGTATTCTTGGCATCCTTGGCACCGTTCTCTTCGGCATTGCAGGAAATGACCCGCAGAAGTACCACTGGATTGTCTTCCTCCTCGGATTGGGTTTCATGGCCTTCGGTTTCCTCGGCACCAGCGCCATCGGTACCGTCTACGTCCTTGAGTGCTACCCTCACCTTGCGGGCCCCGCCCTCGTCTCAATCGCCTCCTTCCGTTTCATCATCGCCTTCCTGTTGACCCTGTACGTTGCGACCCCCGATTGCTTTTCGTACGAAACTGTGACTAATGACTTTCTAGTTACGGAGTCGACTTCATTCTCTGGTACGGATATGCCGTCACCTTCGCTGGAATCTACGGTTCGATCATTGCAGGCTTCATGCTTCTGCTACCTCTAGTCTACATCTACGGACCGGCATGGCGCCGCCGCTGGCCCGCCACCAAGTACGGCGACCAATAGAGAAAGAGACGCTACGAGGAGGGAAAGCTTTGAGACACTTGCATTTTATCATCAAAAGGATGTGGACATCTTCCATAGTTACCATATATCGACTTGAAACTTTTTGAATATTGAAATTTCTACCATTGTTTCTGCAAGTCCACTTCCCGGTCTGTTTTCATGTTCTTGGTAAGACTGAGATCGTACCCGACACACGTAACACGGCATGCGGCGGAACCGGTTCACTGACTGTATGACAACCCGGGCGGACTTCATCTGCACATTCCCACGCCGTGCAGTATCTCAGCCAGATTCACCCCAGTCCACACCAGACAGCGTCAATAGTCGTACACCACGTTGTAAGTCGACTTCGACGGATGTCACCGCCACCATCCCAAAGCACGAAATCAAACAAGACATGACTTTTACCGGAGAAAATGGAGGCCCACCATTCTCTCGATGCTAGGTAATTTGGAGAGTTTTTGGACCACCGAGATGGATTTTGATCCGCGCAAGACCCCGGAGGAGAGGGGGGGGGGGGAGGGAGGCTCTTCACGTGACGACCGAAACACGCGGGATGGAAAATAGAGGGGAAGTGATGTATTGAGATTCCTTCCGCTAGACAGCAAAGTGATACGGGAAACCTCAGCACGATGTCGTTTCTCATGAACAGCCGTTGCCGGAACTGGTGACACGCTCTGCCGGTCTAGACTCTTATTGCCGGGCGAGAGCGAGACAAACGCGAGGACTCCTATGAAACGATGTCCTGTACCCTTGCGCATGAACCACGTCAATGGGAAACATAGCCAAGCTGAAAGTGTCGTCACACGAAAAGCGCTTTTGCCCTTTCTATACAGTTGAAGTCATAGCAAACTCTATTTACACATACAGCTCCCGACGAGGAGTCCAGGGTGTGATGAGGGAAGAAGGTGGTGGGGATTGGAAGGCGTTGTGGGATGTGGATTGAGGATGGAAAAGGTGGGTTCAGGAAGGACTAGATCTGGCTGAGGCGCCAAAGCTCCATGTCATCGATGGGGGTCATCATGGCTTGTTCATCGTCATCGTCATCGTCGTCTTCGTCGCTGTCTTCGTCGCTGTTTCTGCCATCCTCGCTGTGCTGCGCGAACCGATGTGGCGCAGCGGTTGACGTGCCGGTCGTGAGGTGCTGAGGATGGACGGACGACGATGCCGTTCGGGGACGATTCGCGGTCAGGCCGTCGTCAGCATCGGAGTCGGAGTCGGATTCAGCAGGGGATTCCTCTTCCTGTGGCGAGCTGCGTGATGTCGTGGTGGCGGATCGAAACTGTTGCGAAAGCACAGGGCCGAGCACGGTCTGCCGCTTCCGTGCGGCAGCATTGCTTTCAGTGGGCGAGCCGGTCAATGAATCAAAGTATTGCTCCTCGTTTGCGTCTTCGTCGGCTTTCATCGCCATGGCAGTAGAGGCAAACGTTGCGGCGACCTCGGCGTCTTCTCTAAAGCCGTCGGACCTCGCTCCGTCATCTGATCCTTCGTCATAGAAACTGCCTCTGACGCTCAGGGATCCCGCACGGCCATCGTGCTCTTTGCCCTCTGTGGCGGCGACAGCGGCCGCAGCAGCGGCATTGGACGATGTAAGTGATTCGCGATCGTGTTCTCGACCATATGCCTCGCGCCGCAGGCGCATGCGCTCCCAATCGCCACCGAATTGCACAACAGACGCTTGTTTGCCGTGCAGGATGAAGCGAGGTTTGTCGCGGGTGAGTCCAGGGGTAGCCTGTGCAGCAGCCTGTGCAGCCTGTGCAGCGGCGACAGTGGCATCGCTTTCGGCATCGCCTTCTTTGTCGTCCGAGCCAGCGGTAACGCTAGCGTTGCTCCCAGGCACAACAGAGCGAAGGGTACTGTCGCTGTCACGCCCACGGCGATGCTTGTGCGCGCTGTTGTGGACATGTGAATCGCGAAGGGTCTTGTGGAGACTGCGGCGGACAGCTCCACCTGTGGACAGCCTACTTTGATGTTGTGGCCGACTCGCACTTGAGTTGGTCAAGGTGTCGGCGGGTGAGACACCTGCCATGGCCGTCTGATTGATGGAGGGTGGCGGCGTCGATTCGGGCGAAAGAGCCGCACGAGCAAGCCGCTCCACCTCCTTGGCTTCGAAGCTTGAGATAGTGGGACGGATGCTCTGAGGGCTGGTCGTCACGTCTGTGGAAATGCGAGACAAAGTGCGAGTGATCGAAGGCGCGGTGGGCTTTGCCTTGGTTCCTGCATTGGCCGGCCCGTAGGAGGACACCGACTGCTGAGTTGTACTGGCGATTGATGGCCGTTTTTGGTGCTCAAACAGGCTGTCTGACTCAAGGTTAAGTGGCGGCAGTTGCCAGATACCATCCCGAGTGGGAGTCGTCAGCGTTGACTCCGAAGGTGTTCGGAAGACATCAGATGTCATCCAGTCGTCAATGGAGGTGCTCCGAGAAGCCGCAGAAAGCGATTGAAGCGATTGTGGGCTCTTGCCAAGACTGGCACCGTCTTGGAAGGAGCTGAAACGAGGTACTAGTGTCGGCCTTTCTGCGCGTAGATCGCTCGTCTGCACCGAAAGCTGGCGCGAGAGCTGCGTGTCATATGGACCCCGAGTACCTGCGCTGATCTCACTCGTTTCCAAGACCCTCGTTGAGACAGGCTCGTTTGCGCTTCGCTGCAGCTGCTGCCTTTGTAGCGTATTCGATCGTGAAACGGCATCCACGGCCTCGGCATCGCCCTTCTCATCAACGCGGTCTAGCTTGAGATCGAGCGATAGGAATTCCATCTGCGCCTTGAGTCGCCAGATGTCCCGTCGCAGCCACGTAAGACTCGCGTCTGTCTGAGCAGCTGCGTGAACGACATCCTCGCGGCTTTTGGGTGGAATAGGAGCCAGGACGAGTAGATGACGACCATTGCGTAGTAGTCCATCAAGACGCTGATTGGCGTCCCCGAGTTCCGCCTCGATCTCGCTCATTTTTTGAACAATAATTTGTCTCCGAGCTGCCATCACTTGACGTTGCAATTGTGGGCTCAATCCGCGATTCAACGTGACAATCGACTCACTGAGCGCAGCGCTCGCCTCTGCTTGCTTGTCTCCGTCGGTTTCTTCGGCCTGTCTTTCACTCAATTGTTGAGCGGCCTTGGATCGCGCATCGTCATCGTTGTTGCCTATCATACCGCGAATGCGCACACCGGCGGCACGGAACGCTGCAGCGTAATTGATCAAGCCAAGCCAATCATTGAGCTCAGACTCATTGTCTGCCAGGAAAACCTCTTCCTGTCCATTCATCCTCACAAATGTAAACGCATGCTTGTGTCGCGTGTACGTCGAGTCGACGAGAGCCACGGCGTGGTCAATTTTCAGAAGCGAGTCAGGTTTGAAGTCTGAAAGCGGTGGCTTGAAGATCACTGGCGTTCGAGACTGTCCAACTCGCTGATGACTTGTGAATTGATGGATGAGCCCCTTGGCCCAATGGACATTTTTGAACAGATAGAGCTGGGAGCCTGTGAGGACAGCGCCCCACTCCGACCACGGGCTACGTGTCTTTTTCTTCTTCGCCGCTTTGCGCCATAGAACACCAACTTTGGTAATCTTGAGATCCACAATTCCCTGCTGTGTCTCTGTCTCGTTGGGATGAAGATTGTTCTGATGATTCTCGTAAGCAGCAGGCCGTGACCGCGCAGAAATGATCTGAAGATGCCCGGTGTGTGTGAATGCCCGCTGAAGATAGTTCATGTCGATCTCACCCGGCGTGCGTGTGAAGTGGTACGGATCCTCCAAGGTCATGCTCTCTTTGATGGGCGGGCGGAGTGTGTCAAGCTTTTGATCAACGAGTAAGTTGTATGGGTCAATCGGACCGGCCGGCTTTTTGCTAATGACCCCATCTGCGCCTGGGATCGCACTTTTGAGCTTTCCTCGTTGCTCGCCGGGCTTGTTGGTGAAGGGGAAGACTTTGTCGCCCGCGACGTCAATATCTTCCTCGTCGTAATGCACGAAGGGAGTATAACAGATGTTGTCATAAAAGCAAGCGAGGATATCATCCGAGACTCCCTGCCCTGATGTGTTTTTGATGTAGTCCTGCTTCTGCATTTTGCGCTTATTGTTCTTATTGAAAGCATCGGTATGCAGCATCATGATGGAGAACGCAATCACATACGCTTGATCGGGAGCAACGAAGATGCCCGGGTTACACTCGTGATATCGATCTGCGAATGCTTGAATAACTCGATCAACCTGTTGAGTCTCCTTTGGCAGCTCTGCTTCGAGTAGGAACTTTCGAAGTGACATGTCGATCGGCTCTCCAAAGAACGGGAAGCGACGCGTGTAGCTTCGCAGCACGGCTTGTGCGAAAGCATCTGCCGATTTCGACAAGATGCCAGCGATCAGGCTGCGTGATACCGCCTCCTCCAGCCGTTCGAGATACTTTCCGGGAGTATCACCTTCTTCTCGTTCGGGAATTATCAGGGCCTCCCGACTGTCGACGAAAGAGTTCGTCTTGCTGAGCCCGCCTGGGGACCCATGCCGTGGAGAATGCGGCTCTGATCCTTGGCGGAACCGCGACAGAGTCAGCAACCCACCGAAGCTCGCTCTGTTCAGTGTTGAGGTTGATGTCCGGCCGCTGGCAGACATCGGTGGCGGCGGAGTTTCTCGATCTTGCGAAGGTCGCCCAAACGAACTAGTGGTAGAAGCACGATCACGCATGCCCAACCGAGTTGGCGGCTGCAAAGGTGACGAGGTAGCGGAATGATGTGATCGTCGTGACGGTTGCCGGAACAAATTCATGCCGGGCTCCGCAAAGGACAGAGAACCTCGCGCCAACGCGACATGAGGCGGAACAGCAGCAGATCGCCGCCGTGATCTACGTGGGCTGCCAACTTCCGTATGTCTCCGCTGCAGCGACGGACTCGTTTTCAGTTCTTCTTCGGCGGTGTGACTGGTTCCGGGCGTATATGAATGTGTGGACAGTGCGCTTGTAGATGCCCGGGGTGTGGAAGGACCCTCTCGTGTCGGCATCGGCGGTCCATTATTGGGCAGTGACGGCCCAGGTACTGGAAAGAGCGAGTTGCGATTTTTGTTGCGTTTGGAAAGCTTGAAAAAAGTGGTATGAGTAGACACGGTGTGGGTCGTGGTGGTCGACGCGTAAATGTCTGCCGAGCTCCCATCAGAGCGAGAAGACTCGGAGAAACGGGGTTCTGTTGCCAGATGCATCACTGGAACGGCGGGCAGGGAGTCCGACTCATCACCATACACGGGAGGCGCAAGATGCTGGCTGGCGCGCAGGTTCATGGTTGAATAGCGATGTAGATCTTCAAGCCCACTCTTGCCCTGTTTCCTCCACCGTAACGACAGGGGCTTGCTTGTCTTTTCCGATCTCTTTTCTTCCATTGAATTCCTCATCCCACGTCCTTGATACGCTGGCGCATGAGCAGACGCTCTCTTAAACCGCGATCCTCGCGCCTGTCGATCCTCTTGTATTGATCCCGAGTCCTGCTCCAGCTCTGGTCTCCCTATACGATTGACCCCATCCATGGTGGGAGCGCTTCTGATGATCGCGGGTACCGGACTCTCGTCTCGGCTGAGGGTGGGCATTGGCGGCGGCGGATCGTCTTCTAAGCGTGCATGCAAGTTGGATTCCGAGAAATTTCGGAATTTCATTATGCTGAAACGTCTCGACTTGGGCCTTCCAGAGGCGTCGTCGGGGTGTAGATTGTGCGCCCGAGGTGAGCCAAAGGCAGCGTAACCATTTTCACTGACTGGTCGTGGAGGCGATGCCGAACGGTCAGGCGCAAGACGGTCTTTGTTGGTGTTGACGGCAGCGGCAGTAGGAGGACGTTGATGAGCAGATCGATTCCGGGTAGAGTCGCTGTTCACAGGATCACGGGCCAATTCGCGGACACTTTTGCGCCGGAAGAGCAGTGGCATTGCCGGCATGCTTGCGCGGTAGGTCGCAGCATTGGGCCACACGGAAGAATGACTTCAGGACTAAACAGCGAATAGAAGGTGGACGGAGGGTAGAAGCCCACGAAAATACTCGGGTCACGAGATGTCCGACTCCAGGTCGTGATGGTGACGGCGGTGGTGGTCGTGAGGATGTGGGCAACGAAGTCGGTAGAGAAGGCGCGTGGTATGATGCAGGTAATCGGGGCTGGCTGGGAAGTGTTGTCAAGGGACGGTGGGGAAGAAACCATCTACAGTAACTGTACAGTGTGCTTCGGCCTGCCAATTACCAGATTGAACATTTTCGTCACCGCCTGGCACTATCCATTCCACTGTCCTCTTATGAATTTATTCCGCTATGTAGAAGGTCTATTCTATGGGTGAGGTCTCGAAGATCATTACTATCATACAGTATCAGGGATGAAACAGCTTGCTACTCTCTAGCACACATGTTTAGTTCCTGGTTAGGAGGATCACATACAGTAGCAGAGAGCAGAATCCCGCGCCGTGTGTGTTTTGCAGCTTTGGCTTGGAACCTTGACACTTCTCTCCTCTCCTCTCCTGACGGCGAACTCGCGCTAAAACTCAAAGAGCATGCATGATATTCATCTGTGCAGATGGAGCATGTTTGCACATCTTGTCAGGCAAGACCATACGCTCTACCGCTCCGACGCCATACACCCGCCCGGTATGGAGGAAGAATACCTAGGTAAGGTAGGAATCCAGCCATCGGTTGTGAATCAGAATTGTACGCCTGATTTCCGGAGTTTATCGTTGTAAGAAAAAAATACTACCTTAGTATTGATAATAAGTAATAAAGTGGCACGCAACCTTGGAATGGATGTACTGTCATCCAGACGTACGGCTGGGCAATGCCTCGCGTCTCCCGCGCCGCTCTCGCCGCGTATGCACTCCTTGGATACTGCAGGTGGTGCGGTGCCCAGGTGGACAGCGATCGCGCTGGGATGGATTCATCTCGCCCCGAACGAGAGTGATATGATCCATGGATGCCCAGGTGGTAGCCCATTCTTTCGCCTGTGCTTTCTAGGCAGGTGGGTGTCAACGAAGAGCAGCGTCTCTCTTCGGCTGTGCCTGCGTTGTCATTGTCAATTTATTCGTCAGTAATAAACGGCGGTGGCACATGTCAACTGCATGCAGGTGTATTGGGTACTTTGCCGAACGTTTGCCATTACCAGCCGTTGTCGCCGTCACGCTCAAGCTCGGATCCGACAAGTGTTGTGCTGACGTTCTCCACCTCCCTTGCGCCCGACGAACACCCATGGACGCGGCGGAACAAACCTTGGAAGGCTTCCAAGGTTCGCTGACGTGAGATTGACAGTTTGCTTCAAGGCTACTCAGGCACTCAGGTTCGCAAGTCCGCGTGACGACTGTCGACCTCTTATAACATCAGACCAACGCCTGGCGGACCGGTTCGATTTCACAATTCATAACCCAGCACACACGTTGTCAAGTCTTGCACGATCAGAGCTCCGCCTTGTTCGATAGGGAGCTTCACGGAATGAATGCCTAGATGGTGAAACAAATCCAATGCTCTCACGTGCACGAAAGGTGAAGCCAACGACAGGGATTGTTTCACTCCGCAGAGTGGCCATCTGGAGAGCAGGAGCGTGCTCTGCATCGATATTAATAGGACCCTCGGCCTCGCTGATGCGTTCGCACTCGGCAGCTCCCTCTACTTGTCTTCGCACTCACCTTATCGATCAAAGCAACGGTCAAGATCACGGTATCGTATGTAGACGTTTCAAGGTTCTCTTGAGCCGAACATCGCCGTGCCACCGTCGAGCGGCGCACAAAGCATATCTTCAGATGAGGAACAGTCAGATATAACACCCATCCACCATTGTAAATTGTCCCTCCAGTCGAATCAACGTCTACGGCGCAGAAAGTGCTGCAAAGCAAGGCTGGCTTTGGAAACATTGATGCGGTAATCGATCACGCGACGCCATCATCGCATCGAGACACGGTTCTCAGCCTGCCAGCCACAGCAAGTCCAAGGGCGCATGTCTCTACGGAAGTGCCCAAGACTCCGGCATGCACGCTGGATAAACGTTGTGTCGGTGTAATAAGTGACTTCTACGCCAAAGACTGGCGCAGAGATCTGACCGAGATCTCCCGATATAGCAGATGGCCCATCCGCACGCGTGCCGCGTTGTTTTGTTATAATTACAGTACAATACATACTTAGATCCAGCTGCGCAGCAATTCGGCATTCTCGGGATGAGTGGACGCACACCCACAGAAGCATGATGTTGTATCTTGACAGAATACACTACGCACGAAAGGTACGGTATGCGCAGGACAGTGACAGACCGTGGCACACGTGAAAGCCATGGTTTTTACAGTCCGTGTCGAGGATCGTGAGGATTCAATGAAACTCCAGGGTTGTCCGACCAATTGCTGGCCGGAGAGTTTGCCTTGGTTGCTAGTCCTGCACCATCGATGGCTTTAGCCCGCTGCATGACCGGGGGAGACGATCTAGAAATGGGCATGAAACTCCCGACCTTCGACGCTATAACAGTAGTCGTCCGCGTCTGGTCTGTTGTCCCTGTTTCAGGTGCCCAGATGCGCATCCAGTCTAAACCTTTGGTGTGCACGCTACGGAGGACATGCAGGTTTTGTTCTGCTGCTGTTGCTGCTGCTGAGAACTGCGCTCCACCACGGGCCATTATTTTTAGAAACTACCACCACCACCTGCATGTTTACCTCTGCTTTGACTCCGAATGAAGCGAGGAAATGTCATCGGACTCTGCCACAGGAAGCCCGAGCCTATCCTACACACTGTGCATGTTATTGCCATTATATATGCATCGTTGACTCGTTGAGGGATGTCCAGGTAATGTTGGCCGCCCGTGTCCCGAAACCCGAACCGATTGGCCATCCATACAGCACGACCGGAGCTCCCGACCTCGTCGTCGCATACGATTGTTTATTAGGTGTGCTGCAGTGTGGACCCGGCTTGCCGGTTGCGTGCGAACCTCTCGCTCAAACCGTCGCGAAGAAGCCAGAACAGAACGTGGCTTGTCCATGCTGCTGCTGCTGCAACAGATCAAATCCTCTCACCCGTACCACGTTTGGGGTGGTGTCTAGCCGGTCACCAATTGCGCAACCCACTGACTCGCCTCGCGCGTTTTATTTCCTGCTGGGATTGGTGTTATTATTGCTCACACCTCAAGTCTTCTCTTCTTTCTACGGACCATCCATTGAAGCAACCCCAGGGATTGTTCATCTGACCATCCGTGCGGTGGTTTCCGGGGCTCCTTCTTCTTTCAAGTTTCGAAATCCCGCTAACAATAAGATCGTCGCTCAGCCCGCTACGCACGGAGCACTTCGGTTCGTCGTTGAGTGACATTCTACAGTCGTTGCAACGACAGTCTCTCATCCCAGCAATTCATCCACTGGCTTGACCGGAGACTCTCTCGTGCTGGACACGATCGCCTAGGAATTACCGTGCAGCCGGTCTGCGAGCGAAGGGTGAAAGGGTCCATCACAGAGCATCGCTGGTCGACTGCAACTCGTCACATCATCCATACGTACGATTGAGATTGACTTGGCTCCACTTGGGAGTCATTGCAATCAGCAAGCATGGGGCGCAAATTCTCGATCGATATACCGAAGCTGGTGAGTCTTCGTACCTCCTATGTCAACGCAACACTTCGACTATGTCGCGCGACCGTACCTTCACGAGCCATTTGGCTGACAGAGTCGTGCCTCACAGAAAATCGGCACCAAGAACGAAGGCAGACCGATCGACGCCTTGACACCCGACTCGCCTCAAACGCCAATTCCGAAAAGCATACTGCAGCTTCCGAGCGACCTTGATGCTGAGCTACGAGCAGCGTGCACATGGGTGGTGGAGAACTATCGGCCGTCGCATGAAGTATGGTCGGAGGCCACGAGACCGGCGTTGAATTATGCCGCCGTCCAGATCGGGCTCACGGCTGCCTTCGCCAACAAGGTAGAGGGAGTTGAGGAACATAGGCTTCGAGGTCTACCCGAATCTGGAAGTAGATACAAGTACAAACCTGATGTCCCAACAGAGGATCTATTTAAGAATGATGGAGAGGCGGCTTCGCAAGTCGAAAATGCTGCTGCAGTCCCTGTCACTGCTGCTCGTGTTGATCAGCTGATGGTCGCGTCACAGCGATCCATGACGGTCACCACACACGCCGACTCTCCTACCCTGTCGAAGCCAGAGTCGGCTCAATCAGACGCCCATGACATCAAAACACAGCCCGCGAAGCCTGTCCGACCCGACCATGGCAGTACTGAGTCACAAGAGACACAGGTGTCAACGCCCGAGAGCGATGCAACAGACAACGCTTGGAACAATGCCTCTACGGGCATCACCTCAGCCGTCATCACACCAGCCTCGAAGCGCACTTCACCATCACATGCTACAGCGTTCGACTTCTCAAATCCACAGAAAGTCGACTCGAACGCCGCGTTGCATGGCCATCGTGTACGCACGGAATTGGAGAAACATAAGAAATTACAAGAGGAGCGCGAAAACATGGCCCACTTGAAGACCAGGGAATTTGCTGCTGCTGTTTCGAACGGCATCTCGGTCTATAAGCCAAGCGGGTCGTCAGAACCCGCTTCGGCTACTTTCACCACTGCACTCCCTGCTCTCTCCAACGCTTCGAGAGAAAACCTTCAGAACTCGCGAGGGCGTGCTCCCGAAGGTAGATGTGTTCCTCACGATAGTAATTCTCCACAAAATACACAGCGCCACCGCTCCCGAAGTCGGAGTGTCACTCGTGCAGTTCGCGAATATTTCCGACCAGGATCATCAGCGGCGGCCACTCGTAGTCGGAAGGCCAGTATGGACTCACAATACCATTCAGCAAGACCAGTGGAACACCAAGAAGGCACTGAGGAATACTGGTCGTCAACCTCGGCCTCGGCACGTCGTGGTCGATGGAACCTGTGGCGCAGCGGAGGGCAAAATCGACAGTACACTACTCCAGATTACAGTCGCCCCTCGAGCGCCACAGGCTTTTTCTCTAGTAGACTGCGAAGCCGCTCGCGCGCCGGTTCGGCTGGGTCGTCAGCACAAGAGCTAGCAAGTGCAAATGATCAACGGAACGACAGCGTGCAAAGAGACGTAGCCGCACAACATCAATTCCACCAAAGGCCACCGAAGCCCGCCATTGACCTCAATCGCGAACTTCCTCCCTTGCCGAGTCTAGATCAGTGGAAATCTGATGACGAAGAAGAGGATTCTACATATCATCCTGGGTTCTCCAACGCATCGACCGCATTCCAGCAACCGTTCGTCAACGAGCCCCTGCTGGATGAGTCTCAGGCAGTCTTTAATGCCATCCTGCCTGCGAACGCATCGTCCCGTCCTCTCTCAACAATATCTATTGCGCCGCGTCCGAAGCGAGTTGCAGAAGTCAGCGAACAAGAAATCTCTCTGACCCCGACATCGGCTTCTCGACGTAGTCTCGATTCGGGAAGTATATTGACGAATGCACTACAACACAGTTCACCTCAACGAACACCCGGCTCTTCAAGGAACAGTCCGCGAGTCGCCACTACCGCCAGCGCACCGTCACCATCTCACAAGAGCAGTAGTCCGGCAGTGTCGATTCGTCACGTCCACTCTGCGTCTGCGGGTGGGTCAGACGGACAATTACAAACAGCGCGTCTTTCTCGTCAAGGTCTCGCCCGGAGCAGTAGTGACGAGGAGACCCGCAGAAAAGAAAATCGTGAGAAGCAAAGACTTAGCCTCAGTCATAGCAAAAGTCACGGGTTATTCTATCGAGATGATGAGGTCCGTCGTCATGACATCGACGTCAACCCACTTCATCGCACAACTGCCGCACAGCGGGTACCGGTGGGGAGCAGGACGGCCCAGCAGCAGCGTTACCACCTCAATCCTCTGCAAAGCCATCCTGTCATGTCTCAGCCGGATCTCCTTCAGCGTGAGGATGTAAAGCAGCAGTATCAACCCGAGCGGACGCCTCCCGATGTCACCGCCGCCATAATCAAAGGCCGGAGAAAATGGTGGGGCCTGCGCGAGGGCAAAGAAAGCCCCAAGCAAGGCCGTGGTCGTTTCTTCTCATCGCCGCCTCCAGTCTCACACGCCCTACGCTCCGTGCAAGTGCCGTGGCAGCAGCGATGCTGATTCTCAGTCGTGTGTCGCAGTCGTGACGTGGCACAAATGGTTCTAGCTGATCGATGTTCCCATCCCCTCTTTTCCTTGTTCCAACGGAGGACTTCTCAATTGCCACGACCGCGCGACCGGTCTGTGCTGCTGAAGCACTTGTCCTCAAGGAGATTTGGCTCTCAAAACAACTCCCTGCCCTCACTTCTTTCCATATCACTCTGAGGAGATTTTTTTTTGCCCAAATTTGGCGTTGCATGACCAAGCGCGTTGAATCGAAAGTTTCAATGGGCGCACTGTCCTTTCACCTAGCATTTTATTTTCCTTTTCCTTGGCTTCTCTTTGGGCTCGACTTCTTTTTTCAATTTCTTTCTTGTTTCTCATTTCTCATCTCTTACAGATACTTTTCTGATACGCATATGTACATGGACTACTGTGACTGTCGTCAACCCCGACGATGGCCAGGAAATGAAGGCTCAATTTATTTCCCCTTTGCTTCTAGATTGGTCCAGGCCTGCAACTACCTCAATCGCTCATCGGTCGCGTGTTCTGCACATGCGAAATTACGTACGACTCGCCTTACTTTCTCTCTTCAGTTGTGAGTGGATATCACCGACGAAGGATGTGAAGAACCGGTCGCGTAGTATCATACGGCGTACGTTTCAATCGTGATTTGCGAATCGCGTTGACCTTTGACTTGAGTCTCATTTTGGTCAATGGAGTGATAGCCAACTTGGACAGCAATTCAAGTCGAGCTCGCACAATTGCCAACGAGACGACACAGAAAGGGAAGCTTTCCAATTAGAAAGGTCACCTGGGCACGTCGCTATTGGAACAGCGCATCAAACGTTGACGTGTTGACGACACGTTTGGACACCACTAGAGTCATGTGTGATCGTTTGCTCTTGGGGGATGTGTTGCCAGTGTTGTGTGACTGACAGCGCACGTCGCTGGCTGCCTGGTCAGAGGACTAACGTGGCAAGTGCGTGTCACCATCATCACCAGTAGCACGTGTGATTTGGCATCTACAGTCTAGATTGAAAAGTGAGCGGAACACACATGTGGAGAAACCGATCAAGCAATTGTATCAATGCCGTGCTGCCTGCCACCAGATTGAGCTGCTCAGCAGTCGAATTCAGATGCATCAGAAGCTCAAAGATCATAGTCCTCATATGCCAACGATCAATTGAACCAGCCCCGAGCTCTAGTCCAGCTCTCACAATCGTAGAACGATCAACTTCCATGCAACCCTTCACATGCAGGTCCACTTGCAAACTTGGAGCAACGCAAGCGACAGCACGCTGACAAGAAACAAACATGTGTCAAACTCGAACCATCCGCTACATCTGTGGTCACCGAGTGGAATTTCGCCTGAGTACATGTCTCGGCAACAAAGTCTACCCACGAGTGATTCCGGACTGCGGGACACGCTCCGGCACACATCCTTCTGGCGATCGTATCAAATGGTCGAATGACGTGATCTGTCATGGCACGTCGACTCTTTGCCTGACATCACAGGCGAATTGCGGGAATTGTCAGGGACTCGCGTCACTGGTGGGCCAGGAGAAAATCCTTCCGAAACCGAGGCGGCGGACAGCAAGGGTCATGTGGGAGCAAGATTGTGTTGATGGCGACGAGGGCGATGGGAGGGGGGAAACTTCGGAGAGTGTCAACGATGCTAGGCAGCACATGCATGAACCGAGCTTGCTCAGGCAAGAGCTGCGACCGGAGGATGTCGTGCTGACATATGAGGAGAACCCGTTTGAGTTTGCGGAGGCTTGGGATCCGAAGACCGCTGATGATCAATGGAATAGGTTTTGGAATGCGCTCCCTGCTGAAGAAGAAGACAGTGAGTTTGATACAGAGGAAGAAGGCTTGAGCAACGAGAACTCTCATATGCTAGCCTGTGATACTGGGTACGAGAGATGGACTGAAGAAGATGGAGGAGAATGGCGTGGGATCGAGAGTGACGCTTTTGGACAGTCGAACTTGTTTCCTGGCTGGATATGCGCCAGCGATGGTAATAAGATTTGTTGCTTTTGATCTTGGTTTTCATATTTATACAAGAAAATCACAGCAGGGAGTGTTGGATCTCCACAAGCATGTCTGCAGGCTCTAAATGATTGACAGGAATCTTGGAGGGCACATCGCCATGAACTTTCGATGAATGAATCAGTCCTCTGTTACTACGCTTCCGTCGGCTTTGGGTCCAGTCCTCGGTTGTCCGGCGCCACCCTCGGCGCGGAAAGTCTCTGCCAGGCCACGCTTAGGATCCTCATCAGGCAATCCTGTTGCTCGTCGAACTTTGAGGACCTCGTTACGAACAGCAAGAGTGACGTCGATGCGGAGCTGCTCAGCCTCAGGCCCATACTTAAGATCCCAGTCGGTGAGCAGACCGGTAGGCGCATCGCCGTCTTGTGGCCAAGCGTTTGCTAGAGCCTGCTTCTCATCGTCGGATGCCGTTGATGAAGGCGTAAGGAACTTTTGTCGCTGCTCCCTTGCACGCGCTTTCAATTCCTGCCAACGTTTCCGGTACGGTTCGAAGACCTTCTCGGTGTCTACCAATTCGCCAAAGTTTATGCTGATGTCGCGGCCCACTCGGGGAAGCGGACGAGGCCACGGCCTCTTGTCATCCATGACATGTTGGGGACCGTCGATCCACATGGGCAGAACATCCGGACAAGGCTCTGCTTCTAGAATCAGGCGAGCGACGCCCCATTTGAAATATCGCATGGCTTTGTCGGGGTGTTGATGGATCATGCCCTCGGGAAAGATGTGGACCCAACTGAAGCGTCGACTAGGGTAGACATCAGGGGCGGGAAATCGATCACTGCCGGTTGTTGTGTATGTCAATTCCGCGGTGGAGAAGGGGTCAGAGCGTGGGAAGCTCTCAGACAGCGGATTACTATTGGACGGACGTGGAGCACCTTCCCAGTTCTCTGGGGCTGTATGGGCGTGAGGGTCACTAAGAAGTCGAATGGCGTGTGACATGGTAGGTTGGAAGAGGCCGCCAAATTTGGAATATGCCGCGCGATGCATTGGAAGAGTATTTCCATACGAGAAGAAGCTCTCCATCAAGCTTTGGGAAAAAGAAGTAACTACGTCAGAACGACACTGCGAAGCAAATTCCATTGCCGTGAAATTTGTGACATACCGGTTCTTGAAACATACATCGTGGCTACCGAGAGCCCACCGCATGTTGTTTGGGTTCCAAAAATAACGATTCGGTAAAACACCCCATATCATGGGATCATCTAGTCTATACTGCTTCAGAAGGGAGTCAGACCAGGACAGGGGCCTGGGCCATATACATACACGCTCACATGGTTCGATACTAGAGCAGAATTGACCGTCAGCCTTATGCATTGCTTTGGCAACATGATCTGGAAGTGTTCTCGATACACCATTCCGCCTCCTTGAACCGGGTAGACTTACCAGTGACCAAACCGCGCGTTCTTTTCGTCTCATCCTTCCTGCTATCGAGGATTTCGAGGAATCTATCAAGACCTTGCGTCTGCGTTCTATTCAATGCGTAAAGAAAACTCCGAGAAAGAAAGCCGACCAATCCGATGTGAATGGCTGAGCTGACACGCCATGGAAGTGATGGCTGATACGGCCGCTCTTGCGCCGCCATGGCGACACCAAGAGCGGTTGACTTTTTACGTCTGCTGCCGCATAAACGAAAGTCGAAAGCCTGCGTGTATCGCGCAGGGTATAGCTGCCGCGTGAAGACCTTGGCGATGAGATGTCTTGTTTAAGGTATAAAAATGAAGGCGATTGTTTATTGTTATAATTTTTGATAATAATCCATGGATTCAAGGAAAGTCCCGACGATCGCGGAGCTCAAACGGTCGCGGGTAGCTTGGAGCCTTCAAATACGTCAGGGATTGCCCTCCGCGTTCTTTTACGTGACGTCGGAGTGGTCAATCTGGGCGAAGAGGCTAGAAACTACACGTGCTATTTGATTGGATTCAACAGGGCTTCGGCACTCTCTTTTGATCCGCATGTCATTTCGCGGAAGATTTCACGAACAACATGGCACATAGTAAGTGCTCCTACATACATCCCTCAACGATACACTGTTGACATCTCAGGCAAAAGAAACACCTCGCTCGCCTTCTTCACGGCGCACGAACGCGCTGAACTCAAAGGCCATTGGGGATCCCGCTCAACTCGACTGAATCGCGAGAGTTTTCTTCCGTTCGGCAGTTGTCAACTATGTCTCTTACCTGCGCGTGATGCCGTCGCCTGCCCAGGCCAAGCGCATCTCTTCTGTCGAGAATGCGCCGTCAGCAATCTCCTTGCGCAGAGCAAAGAGCTCAAGCGACTGAAACGAGATGTAGAACGTCGTCAACGTGAGGATGAGGAGGAAAAGCAGCTCGATAATGCAGAGGCCGATGCCCGCGCCTTGGAAGAGTTTGAGAAAGTGCAGACAGGTCTTTTAATCCGGTCGGGCGGGAATAATCGGACGGAGCAAGTGGTTGGGAGAGCGAATGGCAAGATCATCATCGAAACAGATGTGCCAGACGCCCCAAAGGGCACAAAGCGGAAGTTTGAGCTCGATGAGGCGGAATTGGTCCGGCTTGCCGATGCAGATCGTGAGGATGTGAAACGGCGCATTGTGGAAGAGCGATCAGCAAAGAGTGCTCTGCCGTCTTTCTGGGTCCCAAGCGAAACACCGTCAAATCACATTGCCGTTGCAAAAGTCGCGAAACGCCATCCAACATGCCCTGCTGCGGCCGCCGACAAGCCGCACGAATTTTCTCTGAAAACGCTCATCACCGTCCAATTTCACGAGGGCAACGATTCAAAATCAACGCGAAGCGAGAACTCCAACGGCATCAGCAAAGACTCAGAGAATCCATCAAGGACATGTCCAAGTTGTCACAAAGCCCTTTCCAATGCCACCAAAGCCGTGTTGGCGATGCCCTGCGGCCATGTCTTGTGCAAGACGTGCAGTGACAAATTTCAACGACCACAAATCTCAGCGGTCCTCACGGATCATGAAGAGGATGGGCGTGCGCGTTGTTACGTGTGCCAGGAAGATGTCACGCCCACCAGCGGTCAAAAGTCCAAGAAGAAAAAGAAAGGGGAGAGGAAATTGGATGAAGGCGAAGTTGACGACGGTGGCGACACGAAGAAGCGAGGGTTGATTGAGATATGCAGCGACGGAACAGGTTTCGCTGGCGGAGGCACGAACATGGTGCGAAAAGAAGGCGTCGCGTTTCAATGCTGATACACTGTAGCAAGCGGTGCGAAGTCGCCATGGCATTTTCCTTTGGGACGGATGGTGTTTGAAAGCCAGTGACCTGACTCGCAGTGATTACGGAATTGGATGCTACATGTCGCGAGCTATGCGTGTTTCAACGTGATTCAATCATCAGCACCAAAGATGAGGATCGGTCTTTCCATCAGCGTCTAGGCCAGATACTTCTTCTCACGCGATGTGCTACATTATCGGGTCCCGTCGATAGTGAAAACAAGCGTGCCAACAACATCCGAACTGAGTCGATCGAAGTGTCCCTTGAACAATGGTTTACTCTTTTTACTGGATCCTTCTATTGGAAAGATGAAATCGAAGCTATTGAACGTACCACGATTCCAAAATGATGTTGTCAGTCACGCGCAGAAGTTGCAAGCGGCCCAAGTTGCATTCGAGCCATTCCCGTGGCGACTTCTCCCAACGAAGATCACCACATGTTCACCGAGCTCTACGTGATTAGTTCTCACGATGTCGAGATCATCACACGGCCACGCACTTCAACACCTCGTCGCTACAAATTGCCCTTCTCGCCTTTCGTGATGCAAACCCGCTCACTTCGCACCATGGTACTGTCACAGCCACAGCACCTTCTAGTGGCGAAAAGTGAATAGCATCGACCTGTTACATGGCGCAGATGCAACATGATTCTTAGCTTTCTTTGCCATTCTTCGTATCCGTATCTAGCACCACTGGCGGGAATAGCGGCATGCGCGCGCGTCAACTTGGCGCGTAAGAGAATAGTCGAACCCTTCTTTGCCGTCTCTCCACAAAGCTCGAAGAGAGCTGCATCCAAGCATCCAACCTTGGAAGCTATCGATCTGCACCTGGGCAGTGGATTTCTGGGCAAGAGGTTTACGTTGGCGGAGGTGGCGAAAGGTGGGAACTAGATATGAATATGTGCATAGCCATAGCTGGATTGAATGTATGGACAATGAACACGAGTAGTATCGTCTGTGACGCGCTGTCGAAACAGACGGGCATACCGATGCACTCATATGAGGCTCGTGCAAGGTCACACAAATCACATGTTTGACTAGAGAGAAGGATTGTTCGATTCGTGATTCAAAGCAAATTTCCCGATGATAGTCAACGACGTCATGTTCGAGAAGACTGTCTAGAACCTGTACGGTTTTATTATTACAGGCAGACACGTGGGTGAAACGGGCCCCGGTCAAACTCCGTCTCGACCAAATGCGCTGCCAAGTAGTGATCGCAGGAAGAGAACAAGTGCGCCTGTGTGCAGACCGAAGGATTCATCGGACACACACTGAAGAGATCTCTCCGACGATTCCCTACGACGATGAGTGAACCGGGACCAGTGCATGGGAAAGCTGTCGCGCAAGATCCGTGGGTGCGAACGCAGAATGCAGGAGCTTGATTGATGGGGAGAAGGAGAAACGGGGTGGAGTGGAGTGGTGAACCTCTCGGAACCAGAATTTGATGGCGCCGCTCGCGTCCAAACCTGCCCCGGTGTGTTTCTCGTGTCTCGGCCGGGTGTCTCCAGCGGACAAAGTTAAGGACTCTTTCGCTCGAGAGGACAGGGCATTCGCAGCCGACCATGATGATCTATTAGAAGGAGAGTGACGTTCAGCAACGGGGATTTCGCATCCACTCGACGCAGATGATGAGGGAATTCTTTGAGCACAGACTTAAGGAAGTGTTGCGACACCGTCCATCGTGTGAACGACATGGTCGACGAGACAGGAAGGGATCCACGCACGTATGTACATCTCAAGGTGAAAGGTTTCGGAAAAAAGCCAATACATGCAGTCCGGACGACTTGTGCGGTCGGTTAAGATGATGATGAACATGGAGTCCCCACCATCCGCGCGAGTCGTACGTCTCGTGTGTACATGTGCATGTGCGCAGAGCGGAGAGATTTTGCTGCCCGCGGAGTTTGTGGTGGGCGGTGGCACTCTGTGACAACCACCGCGACGCCGGTCGCTCCGCTTCCTTCTCCCGCTTTTTTTTATAATTATGATCGTCCCCGCTCGCGCTTCAGGATGGGTTGTGATGTCTTGCGCGGATATTGTCAACAAGAAAGGGGTGGATGACCCTGGCTTTCCTCGTCATTGATCAAATGTTGTCGTAATGCTGTGCCAGAGTACATAGAGCATTGGGCGAGTCGCTGCGGAAGATTCCTCCCTTGCACAAGAACGCGGTTGGTATGGCCGCTTCACATCCGCCGCACGTTGAGAACCGGTCTGGACGAATGTGCGCGCGACAAGCAAAGGACGCGTCGCTCTGCATTGAAACATCGACGATCTTCCCCCCACGAACTGGGTACGTACGAAATACTGTGTAGTATGTGTGGTGAAAGACCGTGGAGGGCAGCCAGGGAAAATGGTCGTGGACGGGACCAATCACTGCTCAATCTCTATCGTCAGAGATGCTAACTCTGGACACGATTAAACCCGAGCCATGATGGAGAAGGAAAATTCTAAAATGTTTGGTCTGGCCTGAACACGGGTCATACCATGCAGACGTCATTATCGTGATCAACTTCGCTGCCTGCATATCCAGATTGTTGACGGATCTCCATCACCCTCACAATTCTCACAGGTTGATCGCAGGTCGCCGTTCTGTCGGCGAGCTCGGCGATGATCCAAGATGCTCCTTGGTACCAAGGAGGTCGAGAGAAAAGAACGGAGCCAGGTGCGCGCGACTGTCATTGGGAGGTAGGTGGCATGGACAACTAGACAGTTTCCATTCTTACGTGTTATCTGCCTGCCAAATAATCCATGGTGACGATGGAAACAGATGATGAATGGTGCAGAAACCAACCGAGTTGGCGCAGAGCCGGCTTGCAGCATTGGATCCTTACTTGGAAGTGATGATCCCAACGACTTCGATGCTACAGTAGACAGATGGAATGATGCAATCTGGAAGTTATGCCCAGATCCTCCCTTCGACGAGTCGCATGTGATTGAAGAACGAACTGTACTGTCCACGGATTGACGATGTACCGGAATGGACCAAGGAAAGTAGAGCAAGAGGTACGTACTTTACCTGCATGTAGAGTAGTCGTTTTGACGAGATTGGTAGGCCGCCGAACACCACCAAATGCAGGTCTCTAGCGGCAGTTTCACCTCGATTCGGCACACACACACACACATACATACACACACTCTCTCTGTCTGCCTGTCTCTCGCTCGCTCTTCTTCTCTCCCTCCTGGTCTTCTGCCTCCGACCTAAAAGTGCCGCCTCCTCTCCTGCTTCCTCCTTCTCCTCCCGCTCCTCCTTTTCAGACTCCCCGTGATAATTTAGCAACCTCGTGATGGACTATACCAATTTGAAGAGATGATCCTGATAATACTATTAATTTGTAAAATCTCGGACCCTCACAAGTAGAAGATGTATCGACCTATAGTACATTATCACAGTATGTCGTAGCGGTAGCTTGAACCGGGCAGCCCACATGCCGAAACGCTCACACAACCGCACGCACGCACAAAAGACGTTCCCGCGCTCTCCCGCGCTTCCCACACATATGCACGTCTAATCTTCCCGTCCATCGTCACCCTCACACTCGTGACTACTGCCCACAGGAAACTCCTCACCACCCGCTCGTTCACGCTTCGCTTTGTCTTGCCGGCCTCGTCTTTTTTATCACCGTCCCGTTGTCAACCCAGCCAGTCGACTCTGCTACCTCCTATTCAACTGCCGCACTGTCTGTCGCTGTCGTCAATCGCCCGATTCTGCTCCTTCAGCACCTGATTGTGAGCCGCCGCCTTCGCAGTGTCTTTGGCGCGCGCTCTCATTTCGACTTGTGACGGAAGCGACATCCACGGCCATCGACCACCACTACTATATCTTCCATCAACATCGCCCAACCTCACCACACCCGCTGCGACCCTCGTCAGTGAATCTCGGCGTCATATACATCAATCAGCCTCGCGGCAACCGGACCCTCTATACGCTTCGTCACCGCCGTCGTGCCATTCTTGCTGGTCAAGAGCGCCTGACTGCTTGCTTTGCTTCCGCGTACCTGCGTAGATCGAGGACACGCGCACGTTTGTTTTCATATACACGCGCCCATCGCTACAGTACGAGCCACGCTCGTGCAAAGTTCAAGCGTTCTCATTACCTTGCCGTTCGCTCGAAATCGGATTCCACCTCGCCGGGTGAGGCATTTAATGGAATGACACGTCTCTGAGGCTCTGGTCAAAGCATAAACATCACAAGGAGCGCTCGTCGCAATCGTTCTGGAGGCGCGAGGCTGACCTCGTAGGCACCATGCCTCGATCTCACAAAATGGGTCCCTCCAGACGGCTACTGCTAGCTACTGTTCTAGGTCTTCTCCCTTTGGAAGCGATGGGTGTCCAACAGTACTGCTCGCCTGCCAACACAGGCTCAAACTTTCTAGCAGGTGAGCAACATGTTCCACGCATGAGCCATCGGTGTCATCTTGCTGCCGAAAATCGAGATGCTAATCCTCTGGTCATTAGGAACCTTCATCTACAACTCCAATGGACGGTGTTCTGATGCTTGTCGATCAAATTACGCTTTCGCAATTGTCCAATATCAGAACTGCTGGTGTTCTAATCTGGCTCCTGGCAGGACCGAGGACGTCGGCGACTGTAATCAGAATTGCCCAGGCTTTCCGTCAGAGAAATGTGGCAATGAACAGGAAGGTTTGTTTGGATATATCGCCCTGGACAAGGCACCATCAGGGACACAAGGAGGAGCAGTCCCAACCACAAGACCTGTAAGTTTGTATCGCATCACCATGTCTAATGATGAAACATCTCGCCCGACCACTCGAACGCCGATCTTCGAGGCACGCGTCACTGCTACCGATGTCGCCTTCACACACGAACGACCTGCGCGCAGCCCCAAACTCGAACTGCTCTATGATTGACGGCCGCCATTTTCACCGGGACACGACCACGAGCGCTCCACCACCACGAAAGCTCTTTCTTAAACTTCGTCAGCGCTGTGATGATTGACACTCCGGATCATTGCAGAACCAGCCATCGACATCGACGAGCAACTCGGGGCCCAGCATCGCCGACACAGTCTACTTGACCGTGAATCAGCCCGGTAGCACGATTGTGGTGGTGTCAACAGTAAATCCTGTATGCTCTACACACTTCTGCGGCACAATCTGATGTTTCTGCGACACCTCTGGCTTCATTGATTTTTTGCACATGGCGTGGCGGTGCACACAATTCGTTTCGTGAAATTGACGAGAAAAGACAAGTAGGCGCCGATATCATACTAACAATGAGTTCAATTTCCAGACCACCCAAAATTCTCCGCCGACAACCTCCTCAGTCCCAACGACAACAACACCTCCACCTCAACCAACCACAAGCATTCTTACGACCGTGGTATCCGGCATCATCGTCACCAAAACCGTCACGGTCACGCCCACAGGCATCAGCAGTGATAGAAGTAGCGAGGGCATCACGGCCGGCCCGGTTGGACTCACTGGCGGCGCCATTGCTGGCATTGTAATCGGAGTTCTGGCCGGACTTGCGTTGCTCATCTTGCTCGCTTTCTTCTGTTGGCGACGGCGCCGTCAGTCGGGTGACGACGGTGCTGCTGCCGCCGCCACTGCCTCACCTAGTTCCAAATCTCGCCTGGGTCGAAATGTCAGCGTCCTCAGCAAGGCGGGCCTGATCAATCGCGGCGCCCGACCAAGCATGAGCGAGATCAACTCTGATGACCATCACATCGGCAGCGGCCCTAGCGGCATCTTCGTCACGCCCGCCAATGGTACCCACAGCGTACGGCATAGCATGCTCTTCGCCGGCGGGGCCCATGGCGAAGGAGGCGTGCAACCCGAGAGCCCACTCGACAGCAGCGACGGCCGCTCTGGCCATGGTCACACCGCCAGCAGTGCGGCGGGCGGCATAGCGACGTCATCGTCGTCGCGCAGGAACAGCCGACCCCTCGTATACGACCAGCGTCTCAATCCATCTGCGCTCTTCGCCAACCACGACAACGGCAGTCGCATTTCGATGCAAGACCAGCAGGACTACAGCCGACCATTGGGCGTAATGAACCCCGACCCGCGAGCGAGCTTCGATTCGCGGCGGAGTCGGATCGAATGATTGCATTACTTTTCTTTTAACAGCGGGATTCAGAGTCTGAGACATCCTCAGAAGGCGTTGACCATTTCGAACATTTCAGGCTGCATCGGCGGCGAGGTGGCTGAGTTTTTCTCTCAGCATGCGTTCAGCCATGTACACGACGACGTTATCATCCCCGTCTCCACCAATCGCGGGATGGCGGCTTATTTTTCTCTCTTTGCTTCTCTTCTTGATCGGGAATTTCTCTGGGCGAGGCTCAGGCGCTCGAAAATAATGGGAGCGTGGGAGGAAATCCCGGGAACGACCACATTGATGGATGTGTGAGGCCGAATCGAATAGATTGGCCGAAGGCTTCGATTTCCCCGAACGAGAAACTATTTACGAACATTGTTATCCTCTAGGCCGAGAAAGGCACTACGAAATGAAAAACAGAAATTATTGGGTGCAAATTGTGTCCTACTAAATACGGTAGAGCTCAGGGAATCTCGTGTGAGGTCCGGAAATCCGGTCCGCGTTGGTTATGCTTCTTGGACGATACGCTGATAGGGATATATTGGGAAACCGGCACACGAAGAGACCGGGAAATTCGTATCGGCATTGGCTCTCCTTCTCTCGAACTCGTGAAAAGAACAGGTTCCGCTTCATACCCACAAGGTCTACCAAGCAGTGATATCATCCACCTCCGCCTCGCCGAACACACTCGCCTTGGGTGCCGCCGCCGGCTGCGGCTTCTGTCCCTCCTGCGCTCCCCGCGCCGACGTCGGCTCCCGCCCCATTATGTCCGGCAACTCGCGCAGAAGAAATTCCCGCAGGAAAGCGTTGACCTGGCGGAACTCGAGCAGGAAGGCGTCGTGTCCGTCCGGGCTGTCGATGGTCTTCAGCTCGGCGTTGGGGATGGCCGCGGCGAGCTCCTGCTGCTCGGCGTAGGTGAAGAGCCCGTCCGACTGGATCCCCAGCACCAGCGTGGGCTGCTCGATCAGGGCGAGGGCGGCGCGGACGGCGACGGCCGGCTCGATGGGCGTGTTGGCCCCGTCGCTGCTGATGTCGGTGCGGCCGCGGGAGACGTCGTGCGTGTCGAGCTTGCGCGTGATGGCGATGTAGCAGTTGGCGTCGAACCGCTGGATGAACTTCTCGCCTTGGTAGCGGAGGTAGGATTGCGCGGAGTAATAGGTCGACAGGGGCTTGCCGTGGCGAGCGCCCCGCGGCGTTGCGGTCGAGGACGACGACTGGTTGTTGTTGGTGTTGGTCGATTCGCCGTTGGGGGATGTGGAGGTCTGGATCCCGGCCACGCTCCCTGTCCGCGATGGTCGGGGAGAGCCGGCATTCTTGTGGCCTTCGTTATGGATGGCGAAGTGCTCGTTGGTGGGCGTTGCCGGACGGCTGGTCCCATTGATGTTCTGTCGACGGGAGGTGTCTGGACGGTTGCGGCCGAAGCGGGATTCGAAAGAGTCGCGACTGCGATATGTCAAGAGCGCCGACATCCGGGCAGCGCCAAGGCCTGTGGATGGTGGATCACTGAATGTATAGTAGCCGTCGTCATATTTGGGATCACTGTAGATGCTTTGGCGCTGTGCCTCGCCCCAACTGATCCCCCAGGCACTGTATCGAGCTGATGTGGCAATCGGGATGATGGTCCGCACGTAGTCTTTTCCAAAGTATGCGAACTCGAGCACGAGCATGCCGCCCATGGATCCTCCGATCACCACGGCAATCTGCTTGACACCGAGCTCATCCAGGAGGATCTTGAACAGATTGACATCATCACGGACCGTGGTCAGAGGAAATTCCGGCCCGTAGTGCTCGTTGTTCTGATCGCCATTGCGGGCAGTGACGGGACTTGCGCTACCATACGGACTGCCGAGACTGTTCATACAGACGATGAAAAATCGAGACATGTCAAACGCACGACTCTCTTTGCCGGCCTCCTCGGGCCGACCGAGGAGAGGGCCCCACCAGTCTTGTACGTCGGCGCTGCCAGTCAAGGCATGACAGATGACCATTGCGTTGTCCCCCTGCGGAGACAGCGTGCCGTATGTCTTGTAAGCTAACGGGACATTGTAGAGATTGACTCCAGACTCGAGCGTAAAGCAGGGGACAATGGCAATGTCTTGATTTGGGATCAAATGAATGAATGGGTTTTCTCGTTGGTCTTCGGGCTTGATGCGGTCTGGGACGAAGGACGGAAACGTGTCAGCCTACTTTTCGAGGATCGGATTTCATCTCTGCTGGGATGAACACGTACGAAATTGAGTCCGCTCGGCGTGGTCAGCTGCGTCGGAGGCGGCATTGGTGGTGGCGTGAACCAATCCATCAGGGGCACTCGTCATGATGGAGATGTGGTCGTCGGCGAGTACATGTGCTGATACTGTCCACGAAGGATTGACCGAGGCGTCCGATTGTGCACAAACCAATCTGTGTCAGGACCGAGCGGACAATGGTATATGGTATGTGGTATGGTATGGTATATGTTGAGCGTGCGATGAGTCGTTTTCTTGCTCTCCGACCATTACTAAGCTGGTTTCCTCCCTCGATGATGTCTCCAAGGTTCCAAATCAATCGTCGACAGACTTATTATTTTATACTATACTGCACTTGGTCAACCTACCACCACGACTACGGTACCTGCTCAGAAAGCACACCACAGTGACGCAACTACCAGATGATGCCATCGAGAACAAGCAATGTTGTCACCTTTTCGCTCTCTCAGTCTAACCGATTGGAATCGACGGCGCCCCGTTGACGAATATACCTAGTACAGTACATCAACAACCCGGAGCCGTTCAATGATGATCACGATATCTCACGTCTTCAACGTCCATCCTGTCTTTCTCATGGATTCAGTGTGGTGAAGAAACGTGACGATGGTGATTCCAGCATCGTGAAATCTCTCGCCGCACAGCCTCAACGCAGCCTGGAGGGGGTGAAGAATGTCAAGACTGCAATCAAATCGGCGGCGGGGTTGATGAATTCGCAAAATTGATCGTGCATAACCAATTTTACATGTGATATTCAGAATTGTGCACGACATAAACCCCACCTGCATGCACTAGTATGAGATGTGCAGTTTTGTACAGCGAGAGATGTGCTTCATAAGGGTTGTGCGTAGGGGCATCCTGAAGGCACGTGACCAGTCCATCGATGACAGAATGCCGCGCTGTTTCCCCAATGTCTAATAATAATACCACGTATGTTAAGCTTCCTCTGATGTCTCTCTCGTAGCTGAAGTGTGCGCGATTGGCGATCACTTTCCGCCGCTTCTTCCCTTCGAATAACACGGTACAGACTGTACACGTCTTCACACAACTCTTGCGCACTCCCGACGTGTCATTGCCAACTGCTGGCACACACACTCTTCTCCTCTTACAATCAGGTCCCACTCGTCGGAGTTGCGAACTCCAATTTCGACGGATTCCTAGCTTCACCTTCATTCCTGGCGCCCACCATGGCATTCAAATCACTCCTTCGCGCCGCGGCTGCGCTCGCAGCATGGACGACGCTGGCCGTCGCCGCTACCGAAGAATCCGACATCAAAGCGATCAGCCTCCGAACACATAGTCTTTCACCGGTAAGTCTCGTGAATCGCCTGCAATATCCAATTTTGTGCAACAACTGACTGATGGCCAATATCACAGCCGTTCCTGGACTCAGAGATGCAATCGCGATGGTGGGACTTTGGTGGCAATGCTGTCGTTCGTGCGGATCAATACATCCGTCTCACCGGAGAACATCACTCACAAGCCGGCTACATCGTCAGCCGTGTGCCGCTCACCGCAACGAATTGGGAAGTGGAAGTCGAATTCAAAATTCACGGCACATCATCGCTCTTCGGCGACGGCTTCGCCATGTGGGTGACAAGGGACCGCGTGCTACAAGGCGAGGTGTTCGGAATGAAGGACAATTTTGATGGGCTCGGGATTTTCTTCGACACATACAAACACAACCGTCCCGGGACAGTGTTCCCCTACGTCATGGCCATGCTGGGAGATGGTAAGACCCCATACGACAAGGGAAATGACGGCAAAGCGAACGAGATTGTGCCCGGCTGCACCGCGCGAGGCTTGCGGAATCCCAGTGTCTCGACCAAGGCCAAGATCACGTACTTCCAGGACAAGAAGCTCACGGTGGACCTACAATACAAGGCCGAGGACGAGTGGACCCGCTGTTTCGAGACCGGTCCCCTGACTCTGCCTTCGGTCGCCTACCTGGGATTCTCCGCCGAGACCGGCGAACTCTCAGACAACCACGACATCATCAAAATCGAGACCAAGAACCTGTACTCGCCAAGTGGCTCGACAAATTCCAAGGGCAGCGCCGGAGGTCAGGCGCAGGGCGCTGCGGGCAGTGCGGATTACAGCAGGAACAAGGGCGGTTCATCGCGGTCCACCCGCGCGAGCGGCGGCAGCTGGTTGTGGTTCCTGACCAAAACGGTCTTGGTGCTCGGGTTCCTGGCGGGTGCGGGATACGTCGGTTTCACGGCATACCGGGCACGGAAGAGGGATCGCTTCTGAGCGGTCAATCCGGGCGACTCTACTGCTCCGTCCTTTCGACCGTTCCTGTTTCGCTGTGTATGCTGGTAGTGTGGTTTTCAATCATCAGACTAAATCAAAAACAATGACAAAAGCATCAATGGGACGACAGATCATGTGCGTGTGACGTGCACCGTGCAACGTGACCGCGGCGAGGAGACTCATGCATTTCTCTCCTACCGGCAATGGTCGAATTGTGCAAAAGACCACACCTTTGCGATGTTATATACATTAAAGCAATGTACTGCGGGAATGGGAATGTGGCCGACGGCGACTCCGTCAATCCTGGACCTTCCAGACAGTCGAATCGTCCTGAGCTGCGGCTCGGGAGAAGAACAAATGCTGTGTTAAGAAACATATTAAAGATGCCGAATGAGACGCCAAAGTCGTGAGAAACGTCGCGGGTTAGCAGTTCATCGTTGCCGTCGTGGTGATCGTCACTGGTTTCATCGTCGCTGGGGATCGTATTCGCTTCTACGTCACCGGTGCATCCAGGTGGGCAACGGCGTGAGTGATCGCGTGGACAGTATGCCACTGGAAGCGAGCCTCGTATGTCTTCATTCTCAGCCACGGCCGAGGTTTTGACGTGCCTGCGGGGCGAGATCTCTGGGTCAGTTCCGTTCTTCCCGGACGATGGAACGCATGGGGGGAAAGTTTACCTTCATCATTTCGATCCGCGCCTTCAGGTTCTGCGTGACCTCTGCAGCGCGCTTCCAGCTCTCGACGCCGGAGCCGGCATCGCTGGACGAGCGCGCCAGGCCGCTGCTTCCGCTGGGGGCGCCGAACGCTGACGACCGCCCGGGCGTCGGACTGGTCGGCTCGGGTGACAAGGTGCCATTGGATAGCGGGCGTGAAGCCGGTCGGATCATACCTCCAACAAAACCAGTGAGCTTGGGATGCTGGTCTCCTGAAAAGTTCATGTTCTCCTTACCTTCGGTACCGACGTCGGAGAGTGCGCTGTAAGCCCTCGGCGCCGCGGCGCCGCCGTTGGCATGCTGGTAACTTGAGCGGCCGTTGCCGTTGTCGACGGGAGAGTCTCTTCCTACGTCTCGATTCAGGCGGCTCATCTCCCGCTTGAGGCGCTCGATCTCTTTGCTCAAGCTGTTTGCCCGTTCCACGGCGTTCTCGGCGTCGCTCCGGGCGCGGACCAGTTGCGTTTCCTTGGCTTTAATCTGCAAGACATCCCGCGTGTGGTCCTCTATTAGTTGAGCATTTTGCACCTGGAGTTCAGCTATTTGGCTGGACATTTTACTCTTGTCTGAGCGGAGACCAGAAAGCTGATCCCGGAGCATGGAATTCTCTTGTTGAAGGGATAGAATCTCTTGCCGATCGGTGTCGCGGAGGCCTGCATTGTTGTTCTCGTACTGTGGAGTACCTGGCGTTGGCGAAGGTGGTTGAGCCGGCCGACCAAGAGGGCGACCGGCTAAACCTCCTCTTCCTGGTCCAGCCCTGGGTGTAGTAGGTATTGGAAGATCCTCGAGTACCATGCCTTGTCGTTTGGGGCTTGCTGTCGCTGATGTGACGACAGCCGGTGCTTTGAGGCCGAGAGCAGATTTCTGCAGTCCAGACGGCGCCTTGAGACCCATACCTGGAGGTCGGATTCCCGCAGGACCCTTTGCTCCTGCTGCGGTCCTGGGTGTTGGCGGGGGCTGTCTGGGAGGATCATCGGCCATAAGAGGCGGACTTGCGGCACGTGTTGGGCCAGGCTTTTTGACCGGAGCCGGGCGTTTCCCCCCAAGCGCAGGCTTCTTCCCTGGTGGTGCGGCGGCCTTGGGCGGCGGCGCCGCCGCTTTCGGTGGCTTCCATTTCGCTTTGACTTCCGCAGCATCGAAAAACTCCTTGATTTTGGCCTTGCGGATCTCTTCTACGCCGTCCAGATGGCTCAGCATGTGGCGATCGCCCATGATCTTCCAGAGGACACCGAGAATCTCAGCTCCCACGTCACGAAGTGATGCGGTACCTTCGCCAAGGAGCTTCTTTCCTGATTCCGCCATGTCTTTGGTCTGTTCCACTGTAGGTACGACTCGCGTCGCCTTCAAACTTCGAGCTAAGAATTTAGCCGATTGCTCTTTGACCTGCGGATTCTTGTTTTTCATGGCCTCGAGGACGTCGGAGAGGATTTCTTGTAATCCGGTCGATTGGAAGACGGCGTCACAAGCCGCACTGATTGCATCCGTGACCGCCTGCTTCTTCTCCTTGAACCTTTCCAGCATGGAGGCCAGAACAGTACCTCGATATCGTGCAAAAGACTTTCTCAGACCCTTAGCAAGTGCCTCGATGACGTTCGCTGCAACCGTGACGACCATGATATTGGCGTCTTTCATGCTCTTCGCACAGCCGCGCATCAGATCATCGAAGGAGCCTTCTTTGATTGCCGGAACATTTACGACGTTGAAAGATTCGTCCAAGACTTCTTTGCGATCCTTCCATTTGGAGCTTGACAGCCGCTCATTCAGGTCTTTGGGGAGCTTTGGTGCGACGTCAACGGCGATTACTTCTGGTTCCAGGTCGATCTCAACCGCCTCCTCAGCCTCCTCTTCTTCTGCTGCACCCTCAACTTCTGCTTCTTGTATGGCGTCCTGTTGTGATCGGAGAAATCGCTCTTGCTTTGGAATTGGCTCAGCTTTGACAGGCTCAAACAGTTTCTCTAAATCCTTCTGCTGCATCTCTTTCAGATCGCCCCAGAAGAGAGGTTTCATGGCATCTCGTAGCCAGCGATATAACTCAACCGTGAGCGCCTGTGATTCGGCACGCACGTTCTTGTCTGCATGGCCAAAGACTTTGGGTAGTAATTTGACCACCGGCTTAGGCTCCACGATTCTGCAGCCATAAGCGTGGTAAATGTCCTTGAGCGCTGATAGGGTCGCGACGATGATCTTCGGCAATTTGTGTGAAAGATATGGTAACAGCTCTTCTATGACGGCATCCGCCTTGTCAAGCTCTATTAGCAAGAGCAGCGACTCGACCGCAGCAGCTTTCGCAGCTGGTCGCCCAGTCAAGCCTTTTTCCACAATCGGTCCCACAGTCTGACTTCGAGTTTTCCGTACACCCTCTGTGCCAGCCTTGACGAGGAATGCATTGTATGCGTTCAAGGCTTCTTGTTGCGCTGCAACATTGGAATCTCCTACAGCGCCCTTCCATAAACTGCTATCGAGGATGAAGTCTCTGACGATGGGAGAGTTGGATTTTGATTTGGCAAATTCTGCGGCAGCAATCTCATATCCTCCTTTTCTTGCCTTCCAATTCTTGTGTGTGAACTGCTCTTGCAGCGGTAATTTCGCAAACTCTTCTTCCTCTGGCGCCGACATGATCGCTGGGCGGCGGAGACTCTATTAGAGAAAGCCCCGAATGGATGGACGTCGTTGATGATCAGTAAGGTCGAATGCGTTGCTCCGCACAGGTGAACATGTAGGGTTGGAAATGGACAGATCGTTCCAAAGCAGCATTTATGGCGAAGCGAGATTGCGAAGTTTGTCGCAAATTGGGTCGTATCTCGCGTGTTGACAAGGCCCAGTAGACAACCAGATGGACTGAGGGGCTTGTCTTAAATTCATGAGCGCCGTTGACCCTACAGAGCGTCGTCAGGGAAAACAACAAACGCGCGCCGGCCCGCTTTTGGGCAGACGCACGCCGCCGGATTGTTGTTCGGGTCAACGACAGCCATCACGCAACCACGGATCTGCCAAACGGCTGTTGATGTCACCGCAGCCGTGATTTTATCCTCGGCGAGCCTCAGCGATGCCTTCAAAGGCCCATACAACAACATACTGTAACGTTCGAGCATCTTACAAATCATGACGGTGCTTAGAACTGAACTCCTTGGATGATTCAAATATTGGTGATCTATCTGCCTGCATGACCATAGACGTCACGACTGCAGAAGATAAACGAGCTGCCAGAGTGGTCCAGAGACCATGAAATGTTGGCAGAACCAGAAATGGAGAAGGGGACGGCCGAATCATTCATTGCGCACCCATATGCCCCCAAAGCGCCATGGCCATGTCTATCAAACGACAAATGATGGAAAATAAACTTGGAAATAATCTCGAACGCGCCTAGCCCATCTCAACCGGATCCCGTCCAACAGGCATCTCATGTGAGACTGGATTGGCCAGCGCTTCCGCGCGTCGTATTGATCTGCCATAACCCAAAGTCGGCAGCTCCTGGGGCTCCTGTGGAGGCTCATACTGAGGGACGCTGTTGTATTGTTGATTTCCATTCCACGATCCTGCAGCCTGCGCATCTTTCTCATTCGCTGCGGCCGATGATACTGCTGCCGCATCCTGTTTCGCCGCCTTTCTTTCCCGCAGAATGAAGAACAATGCGATTCCGATGATGATACCGATCACAGCGGCAGTGCCAATGACGATGCCCGCAATTGCGCCGCCAGTCAAGCCCGTGGAAGCGGCGGAGGATGTGGAGCTTGACGCATCTGGTGTAGATGTTTGCGGAACACCGCCACTGGTTTGACTGGGAGAGGCTGTAGGGCTGGTCGAAGGGCTGTTGTTGGCCGTGGTGAAGAGGGTGAGGTCGGCTGGTTTGTACGCAACGGAGTATGGTTGCGCCCACATGGTCAAAGGTCCAGTGACGGTCGTGGTGTTCAGGTCAGTGTTGCCACTTCGAGCGACAACAGTGGTCGGCCCGGAAGCTGCTGGATAGTTGCTGAGACATCCAACAAACTGGGCTGACGACGAAGCGAAATTGATGCTGCTATATGTCACGACGTAGGAGTAATTTCTTCAACCCAGATTACGTGTCAGCTGCATCTGTAGATGATACTGTCGCATGCGACTTACGTTGGACAGCACACTGCTGTCGTGACGGCGCCATTGTACGAGTTGGCTGCTGTCGAATATCCTCCCGGTCATGCTCCAGGGCTGAAAACCTGCGTCACTGACGGCGCTCTGCCATAACCTTGCCAACCTGACGGGAAACACGCGGAATCGGGAGCTTAAGAGAAGGCATTTTGGATGAGGAGGCCACCACGGATGCTGTTATAGAATCCGGCCTCATATGTCCAGTGCGACGAGCAGCTCGCGGGAGGTGTGTAAATGGTCGGCAAAGGAGTCGTCACAGCGTAGCGGGCATCGAGCGACTTGGACATGGTCAACAACTGCCGGTCACCTCGACCGCCTGACGAGCTGCCTGGAGTGATGTCGATGCGCAATGTAGAGATTTGTCTCGAAGGTGATTTGGACCACAGCCCGCGCCGGGAGAGGTTTGTATAGCAATCTCAACATGGCGGCGATCCTGTCCTTCCAGCCTCAGCAGCCAGTTGTGCGAGGGCCCGGACGTCTAGAGCACGAAAAGATGGCGGCCATCGAGCGAGTCGTGCGAGCGCAAATTGGCGAGCCCGCTCCCTTGGGCGCGACTAGCAGGAAAGCCGTTGTCAACATGCACGAGCACGTTTTGCCCCCAATCGCTGGGCCAATCAAAGGCTTATTTGAACAGGCTTTGATGGACCACTTGCATCATTGAACGTCGGAAGGATTCGCATGTCAGCATTGTTGGTGGTGATAAGCGAGCAACTGCTCTAGAAACTGTGTTGTGACTGTATCGTCATGCAGACGTCCACTTCACATTCATATCGACAACTGTTATTGGTGGCTACCTCTTGTATCAAATTGCTGCTGCACAAGGCGATGGTGGTGCGATGGCGTTCATACGCAGTGGGTACAATGCATTTGTTCGTTACTACTACTTACCCAGGTGTATGACATATCATTCCGAGGCTAGGGGTGATCACAAATTCCAATCATCAGACTAGTCCGGTGGAAGTTAGCGCTCATCAGGGCCGCGAGATGCGAATCTTGCCCTAAAGCTCCTCGCCTGCGTGCTTTGTTCCAAAATTACCTATCCGATGATTAAATGTTGCCGAGTCCCGTGAGGTCATTTGTGCACGAACGGCAATGTTTTTCTCACAGTTCAGTGTTTTACGACTGAGCGCAATTGGTACCAAAAGTGTAAGAGCTTCCCCGTCGAAGGTCCGATTGGGCACTCGGAGAACAACGTCTTCCTTGTTTATTCCTTGTGAATCAGGAACTCAGCAATGGCCGTCCGCAATGACGGCGGCATACTTGCATTAGGAGCTCACGGTCGTCACGACACAACATGTTTACTGTACGATAAGAGCTGGAGGACATCAGTGCACGTCCCGATCGAATGCCTTGAGGACTGATGGGTGTCGCGCCGTCGGGCAGGTTTGTCCACCTGGGTACCTACCTACCTAGGTATGTATGCTAGAACCAGGGGAGTATCACGTGACCATATCCGCCCGGAGGAGTGCTGTATCCTGTGAGGATTATGTGCACACGAGTCCCACACCAAGTCCATCTTGACCTCGTTCGAGAGCACACCTCATATGTACTGTATGACCCGTGGATCGAAATGGGATATCACATGACAGATGAACACCAACGACCCGAAAAACGAGGCGCGGATTTCCTCGTTTTGCAGTGATCCATGCAAGCCCTGGAGTCGAGGGAAGATGAAAATCACCTGGGCATCATCGATAGCACAGGCACAGGCACAGGCACGTTGCGGAAGGAGGATCCATCACTCAGGCCTCCATGCTTCCCGTGATCACTGCCCAGGAGGATATCATCACGTGACTCTCATCCTCTCTCATTTCCGATTTGCACACTGACAACCAATCATTGCCTTTTGGACGGTTCAAGTTGGTTCTGGTTGATCTTCCTCACATGCGATCGACTGTCCCTTTCTACAAATGTCGTGGATTCCCCGGCGCTACCCCGCCTCTCCAGGTTAGCCTAGGCACATTGCAACGTTCGAATGTCTCGTTCATTTTCCGATGTGAGGAGGCTTTTTCGCGCTGAATGTGGTTATTACTTGACACAACTTTCAGGGCGATTGTCTGATTGAGGTCATTCACCCACACACAGCGTCCGTCCGTCCTGCCTAGGTGCTGCGAACATTCGTTCCTGGAAAGACAAATTTGCGCCACGTCCTTGTATACAACCTGGGAAACGCGCACGGCGCTCGCCACGTCGAGTTGGTGACTGCGACCATCTTCGCGTGTATCCGATCATCTGTAGCCCTGGAGTGTTCTGAAGCAGTCGTCGTCACAGCCAGTGGCGCGCGTACTCTCTTCGTCGGCCCTTTGTCCCCTTGGGCTTTTCCAACTGACTGTATATACAAACCCTGGTCCTGACCATTTCCAACGTTCGTTTGGTCTTCTTACCAACGGCGATTGCTCTAGTCCCTCCTCCCTTTGCGCCGTCGTTGCACCTTCACTGATCACGACTTCTTTCCAACATTCCATCTCATCCGCGACATTGGAGAATTTCTTCCTAGCCGGCGCTTGTGCACGATGCTCCCTTCTCTAGCATGGACCGGTATAGCTATCGCAGCTTATGGAGTGCCCGCGGTGGCCGCAGCTGCTGGTACGTCGCTGTTCGCTCTTCGCTCTATATATATGATGCCAGGCTAACAATTGATGTCGCTTCACAGTCACCATCGATCTGACTGCGAGGCAAACATTGACCTCGTTTGGTGCTGCAGGTGCTTGGTGAATCTCCTGTCATCTGCCGCATCTGCGCACTCCCGCGTTTCCGTTCCCAGTCACTGATGCTTCTACTTCTAGGTGGCCAAATGATCTAGCCAATTTTCCCGTCGAGAAACAAGCTGAGCTCGCGGACATTCTCTTCTCACCGAGCGGCATCTGGCTTTCCTCCTACCGCTACAATCTTGGCTCGAATGGCGGTAGTGACACTCACGACTGCTACCAACCCTATAGGAATATCCAATCACCCGCGCTGACCAATGGCACATACGATTTCTCTCGAGACCCAGCAGGCCGACGTTTTCTCGAGTATGCGGCAAACCATTCTGTTCCATCTATCACTTTCTTCCTCAACTCAGCGCCAAGCTTTATCGCTTCGAACCAGCGATCATTCGGATGGGATTTCACGGCCAATGCTACCGAAGCTTTTGCCGACTACATCGCCAAAGTCTTGTCGCATTACACAGATCAGGGTATCAAGATCAGCCATGTCTCGCCAATGAATGAACCCGATTATTTGCACCCTGCTGGCGATCAAGAAGGCATGACCGTTGGTCCGGAGAAGCGCGCCTACATATTCGAGGCGATCAAGCGGAAGCTTTCCACGACATCAGCCAAGAATGTCGGTGTCATCGGAGATGAGACCAGTCAAGTGAACCAAGCCCGGAACACGTGGTCGCAATGGTTGCCGAACTCCACCGAGACAGTTGCCGGCCTTGCACTCCATAACTATGATTTCCCTCTTGACAGCGACCTTCGAGCACTGTGGACCGACATCCAGAGTCTGACCAAGGGCAAAACTTCACCACCGGTCAAGTTCACTGAGGCTTGTTGTGCTACGTCGGCCGGAACTGGTCAGGCAGTCTTTGGCTCCCAGTACGATCCCGGGATGACCAATACATTAATTGTCGCCCGTCAAGTCTGGCAGTACCTGACGATCCTGCAAGCTGAGAGTTTCGACTGGTGGACAGCAGTGTCATCTCTACCATGTTCGCCCTCCGTGTTTGGCGACACATGCTACAAATCCTTCAACGCGTCCAGCGGCTTCAATGATGCCCTCGTCTATATCGACGGCGACTACAATCGCACAGGAGATTACAATTTCTACACTACGAAGCGCACCTTCCTGCTGAAACACCTGGCCACATTCCATCGCCCAGGCTCCGTGCGCCACGACGTTGACCACACCAATCTGCCCGACGGTGTCTTCGCCATTGCAAGCAAAGGCCCTCGTCCCGCCACACAGACGTCCACGTTGGGCAAGGATGGATACTGGAACATTATGTTCATGAACAATGGAACCACGCCACAGACCATCCAACTGCAGGTGCCCGACAAAGCTAACATCCTGACTCAAATCGTGGAGACGACACCGTCCGACGACTGGCGTACGGTGCCGATCATTCCCAACGTTCTCTACTTCGGAACAATCACCGTCACACTTCCAGCGCAAAGCATACGGACGGTTCGATTTGCGAAGGGTATCTGAGGTATCTGTACAAAAGTTTTCAATTTGAATATTGACAATCCAATTGAAATATATTGTGACCACAATTGAAAAGCAACATTAATGGTAGAAAATAATTGATTCACGATGATTGCATTTTCAAATGGGTGGAGCGAGCACTTCTTCTCGTTGTATCTTACAATAACTCATCATTGTCAGTGCTCTTTGGTATCCTGAATTTGTATAGGCGCGAACGAGCGCGGGGTCACCAACACTCCACATGACTCGTGTGACAATGACATGTGAAGCAACACAAAGATTTCCATTTACGAATCGCAATGCATTGATGACCGATGATCACCTGGGACCTGACGTGACACTTATTTCACACACCCAGCACACTCGGAATCACAGGCAGCGAAGTCGTCTATATATAACCAGGATCGCACCATCTGACGAGCACGATAATCAAAATATCAAGCTTCGCACTTACTGGCGGTGTATGGCAGCATCGTGATAGCGCCAACATGAGTGCGATCCTGACCTCGCGGCAAGCCGAAGAACTGTATGGGTCACTTCTTTTTGCCAGTCAATGTGCGACAGTTACTGATCGGAAGCTGACAGCCACAAGTCCTTGATCGCCTATCTATTATCAACAGGGCACACGGCCAGTGCTCAAGCGTTACGAGATGACCTCAACCTACCGGAGAGCAATTTCGACGCGGCCACGGCGAAGAAGTATGAAGGATTGATCGAAAAGAAATGGACGTCGGTGGTGCGGTTACAAAAGAAGATTATGGACCTTGAGGTGCGCGCGACGCAGCTGCAGCACGAATTAGATCATGCTACACCGAGCTCCCTCGCAGCGAGGAAGACACACGACCCGGCGACATGGCTACCGCGCGCGCCTCCACGGCACACACTGCAGAGCCACCGTCTACCGATCACATGTTTGGCCTTTCATCCACTGTTCTCAAGCTTGGCATCGGGTAGTGAGGACTGCACAATCAAGATATGGGATTACGAATTAGGAGAGCTAGAGCGGACGCTCAAATCACACACAAAAGCTGTCCTCGACGTAGATTTCGGCGGTCCGCGCGGCAACACTTTGCTCGCATCGTGCAGCTCGGATTTGACTATAAAGCTTTGGGATCCAGCCGAGGAATACAAGAATATTCGCACACTACCTGGACACGATCACAGTGTGAGCAGCATCCGCTTCATTCCTTCGGGCGCAGCCGGCGCACCGCTCTCCGGGAATCTTCTTGCCTCTGCGAGCCGAGACAAATCTATTCGTATCTGGGACGTCACAACAGGCTATTGCCTGCGCACACTACGCGGTCACGCTGATTGGGTCCGTTCAATATCTCCGAGTGTGGACGGCAGACTCCTCCTTAGCACATCCTCTGACCAGACCGCTCGGATATGGGACTTGTCATTACCAGACTCGGCGGCAGCACGATCGACCCTTGCGGCGCATGAGCATGTCGTAGAATGTTCTGCGTTCGCCCCGCCTGCGACGTATGTCCATCTCGCGGCACTGGCCGGTCTGAAGAAACCTCCTCCGGTCACGAGTACTGCCGAATTTGTCGCCACGGGATCTCGAGATAAGCTCGTCAAGCTACACACCGCAGCGGGGATCACGTTCAAAACGCTGACGGGACATGACAATTGGGTTCGAGCCTTGATCTTCCACCCGGGAGGGAAATACCTGCTGTCGGCCAGCGATGACAAAACAATTCGATGCTGGGATCTCAGCCAAGAAGGCAAATGTGTGCGCGTGGTTGAGGCTGCGTCACACTTCGTGAGCTGTCTTCGGTGGGCACCCAGTGTATATAAGGACGATGCTGCAGCGAACGGGACCAACGGAGTGGAAGAGGGTGGTGGGAAGAAGGAGGAGCAGATAAGGTGTTTACTTGCTTGTGGCAGTGTAGATCTGGGGGTCAGGGTGTTCAGTGCATGAGGAAACCTTTGTTGAAGGAGCACCACGACACAATCATCGACGGCGTTGTTCTGGGCGTGATGGATGGATCGCTATGTGACCGAATGTCTGGCGGAAATTTTGCTTCTGGGCATAGTATTAGTTCCCGGCGATCGAGTATGACATAGAACGATACCCTCGGCATCAGTTGGAGTCCCGAAATGGCCTCTTCGATTCGGCCCAGGTTTGATATGGACATGTTCATGGGTGACTACCTAGGTATGTGCATATTGACTGAGCCCGGATCCTTTGCGGTACTCTTGAACGCTCGGAAGCAAGTTGTTAACCCCAATTGCACGTTAGGGTTGTAAACTCACCGATATTCCTTTTCCAACTGGAGCCCACTTGGACTTCGACTGGAGATTTGGAATCTGTTGTCCTTGACTTGCAAATCTCGTCGGGAGACTCTCGTGAATGTAATCTTCGACGCGAGGATCTGTTGCTTCAGGATATCGCTCCGACGCGATATCCAGTCAGGCCCGCAATCGATGCTTATCAGTTCATGACACACTACCACTTTCCGATAAGCCCTTGAGTACTAGGTAGTGTGTTTGCAAACCACGGTACAAGGCGGCAAGTGACTCGCTGCTCAGTCTTGCGATCATCCAGCTTGTACCGGACAAGTCTGCCGGGACTTTTGCCAAATTAATCATGAATATTTGGAACAAGAAGTGATATCTGAACGTCTTTGAGACTTGAACTTATTTGAACCTATCTCTCTGCCTTTTCATCCCATCATCGACACTGAAAGACCACTCGCTCCAGCACAATGGCGGTGATGATGGTGTCAGCAGTGACCATAGCGATCATCGCCTATGCCATTTACAAGTTCATAATCTATCCCACCTTCATCTCTCCGTTATCCAGGATCCCAGCGGCGCATCCCACGGCTCATTTTTCGTCGCTGTGGATCCTGCACCATCGTCTTCATCAGCGGGATACCCTCGTGGTCCATGATGCCCATACCCGCCTCGGTCCAATCGTCCGCATCGCTCCGAACGAGGTCGCGATCAACAGTGTCGATGGGGGCATCAAGACGATTTACACGGGAGGATTTGAAAAAGGCGAGTGGTACCAGATCGGTTTCGCCAACTATGGTGTTGAACCCATGTTCGCTATGCCGGATCGGAAACATCACGGCGTGAGGAAGCGACTCGTCAGTAATGTCTACGCGAAGTCGACCTTGCTCGGAAGTGCTGCGATCCGGGGGATCACGAGCGTTGTGGTCCGGCATAGACTTCGAGATCGCATCCGAAACGATATGAGACGATGTGAGCGCGAGGGAGGCAGCGTTGAATTCTATGACATTTTCGCGGCGGCGGCATTGGATTTTGTCTCCGCTTACGTCTTCGGTGTGACAAATGCTACCAACCTTCTCGAAGATCAGAAAGAGTCGGTGAGGTTTCTGAGAGAATTCAAAGCTCGGCAGGTTTACACGTTCTGGCGACAGGAATGTCCCTTGTTCACCAAATTCATGTCAAGTCTTGGCCTTCTTTGGACGATTGTACCGCGATGGGTCGATGAGTCTAGTGAAAAGATCGAGCGATGGAATATGCGATTGTGTGAAGCTGCAGAAGCAAGTTGCGCAATCGGAGAAACCAACCATGACCACCCGGAATGCTTCCCCACCGTGTATGCACAGCTCAGAGAGGGCTTGATCAAGGTCACTGCGCAATCAATCGGAAAGAGCATGACGTCTGTGGATCAGGCGACCCGAGTGGAGATCGCTGCGGAGTTGCTGGACCATACCCTAGCAGGTCTCGATACCTCGAGCATCACGCTCACCTACCTTGCATGGGAGGTCAGCCGACCATCAAATCGACATTGGCAGGATCTCCTCAGGAGAGAAGTCCGCAATCTCCCTAGGCAGCTGCGATGGGATGCGCGGGCGCTTGATGGCTTGCCCATACTGCATGCAATCATCATGGAGACACTTAGGCTGCACGCTCCCATCCCTGGTCAACAGCCTCGGGTGACACCCACAGTTTCTGAGGGATGCTCACCAACCATCCTGTGTGGACACGAGCTTCCGACCGGGGTCCGCGTCCAAGCTCAAGCGTGGAGTCTGCACCGAAACAAAGATGTTTTCCCCGATCCCGAAGCCTTTGAACCCCGGAGATGGCTTCCTCCTGGCGGCAATTCGCTCCCCGTGACGTCGTCAACGACACCAGAGCATGCCAAGGAGATGGCGCGGTGGTTCTGGGCCTTCAGTTCTGGAGGCAGGATGTGTGTAGGCTCGAACCTGGCGATGCTAGACATGAAAGCAATCGTCGCTGGGATCTGGTCGAGGTTTGAGACGACAGCGATCTCCGGCGATGAATCGATGAGACACAACGGTGGCTATCTCGCCGAGCCTCTCGGTGCTGGCCCGGGAGGATATTGTCGGCTGCAGGTGCGAGGTTTGGATGACGATAAGGATGATGACGATGATGATGTAAAATCACAAGAAACAGCCGTGTGAGAGAAGGCGAATTACTGCCAATGCATGCGCTTGATCCTGCGCTTGTCTGGTTGGGCTATCGACTAGCCCAACACTCGTCGAGGGCATATGCCGCGAAAGTAAGCTCAGGAAGTTTCACCAATATGACGGCAAGGATATAAGCTCGTTCGACATGTCAAATACAAGGATGAGAAGAGTTGTATGTCTGTGCCACTTCTGCGCATTCCAAGGTTGCTTCGCATGCACGGCGGTGCATACAGGCGGTTGAGGTCGAACATTCGAGCGGCGCTACTGTGTCAGTGCAGCATGTGCATTGACATTAACTTCACCTAATAGGAAAGAGGCCTACCTAAACAAGAAATAAGAGGAAACGCGGGAAAGGACCGCGACGTTATGCTCGGAGCTACTGAGCTGCATGGCCGTGGTGATCCGTGGTTGCGGACAGGGGGCTGTAAAACCAGTCCACCGGATTTGCGGCCAATTGGTGTTGTTGTATAATAAGTGGTGTGAATTCACGAACGATAGGAACGTCCATCGTACAGGCAACTCTCACCGCAAACATACCAAACAACAGGTCGGCTACCAAACTTGCTTGAAGCCTTTTGATTCCACAAATTGTCCTTCGTGAATGCAAGGGGCGTGAAAAAGGTGTAGGAGCTGGCCAGGCCTCCCGTCTTGCAGTGCAGGACACTTGCCACGCTGGCGGATTGCAAACCTCCCCACGCCTCCACTCAAAATATTACGCGCGGGACATTCTGCTGCGCCGCGGCCGCCGCGCTGGGAAGCAGAAGGCAAGGGTGGGGCCTGATACAATTATCAGATACGTCAGCAGTAGCAGGGCTGTGAGTGAAGTCCTGCGACGCACCGCCTTACACCTGCGTCGGAACTAGTCAAGGAATAGTGTTAGGCCTGCGATATGTCCGCGCAGTCCAAATTGTAACCATGGCACGCCTTCTCCGCTACAATAGGCATGGAGTTCGGCTCGGTAAACTGTAAATAAGCTCCTGACGAAATGAAATGTCGATCATCTGCTCGCGGGGATCGGCCACGAGGTGGTTGACTCAGAGGGAAGGTCTTGGCTTGAGAGACGGAAATCGCACGGTTTCGTTCATCGATTATTAGGACATCGCTTCGAATCCATCCCGCGCCTGAAAACGGGAAGCATCAGACACGACTTTGGTTTCGATGTTAGACCAGGTTAGGTCGTGTCGGTGATGACCGTGGCCGGGATCCGGTTTCGTGGGGAGATAATTGGGAGGTTGTCAGAGGGCCAATGTACTACTGTGATGTGGGAGAACGCTAAGGAGACCACCACGTCTTGGTTGATCTTCATCAATGACTCGAAGGCTGTCGCCACGTACATGCCGCATCAAAATGACAGGCCGTGGAAGGATACAACTCACCGCCGCGACCGCCAAAAGTCGCCATCCGTACAAGTCTGCAGTCGGCGGCATTGGCCTTCTCTTCCAAAAAGGTGTCGCACTAACCAATGCTGGGTCTTGATCCAAGCGAAGAGAAAAGGAGGAAGGTGGTATTGTTTCATAGGGGTCTTTCGTGCGGTATGGGAAACGTTGCTGGGCATGCCGAACCTGTCGTCACGGACGCCGTTCCGATGTGGATGAGATCGCCCGTGCCTGCCGCGCTGGAACTTCTTGATTTGCACAGGTGCTCGCCGCAGCGACGTTGTGGCCCTGTTCCACGCAGATTGTGCGAGTGGAGGTGGATGACGCTATGGCTGGTTCGTTTTCGTGGTTGACATTCCAAATGCCATCTGCAGCCTTTGAACGGGCCGCCGAGGTCCCTGCATACCGGCGGCCATCTGGGAGCGTCAATACTTGCCAATCGCGTCAGCCACCAGCAATGCCACAGCACAGAAGCCCCTTCCTCTCACCCGTTTCGAGCCGGGGAGCCCGTATGATGGGCGCCCAGGTGAACCGTAGTGGGAATTGTAGCAACAAAACAGAGCAACCATGACTAATTCGTGCGGGACATGTGGCACGCATCTTGCAAATACACATGCATGTGCGCATATACAAACATCTATGCAAACACTACATATCTATAGCATCTATGGATGTATCTATGGGCTGTGGCAAGACATGCTATGTGGTATGTGCGGTACAGTGGCGGAGGTTTCTCAGTCCAGTGGGCGCTTCCTCCCTCCCTCCCTCCCCCTCCCTCGCCCGTGCGCCTCAATCAACTTCTGCAGCCGAAATAGAGCCATGTACGTTGTTCTATAATCTGTATTATTAGCGGTGCCGTTACTGCATTAGTGGACCAATGTCACCCAATCGGTGATCCTTCGCAGCTGCCTCATACAACTGGACGGCAGGCCAAAACAATTTATGTACCCGTGAGTGCGTTTTCGCCCGGCAGCCCGATGAGCTCCACAGCAAGATTCGTGTTCGCCCGTTGCCGATCGATCGATGGATCAGAATAGTCCAAGGACCAGACCGGGGCAGCGTCTGCAAAGCATTCCTTATCAGGACACCGCGATGACAGGCGGCAGACAGCTGCTCTCGCTTGTCTGGAATTGGACAAGCCAGATGATCTCAGTACATACATGCTGCATCACGGAGAATAGACGATGGGGAAACGTAGGCTGGCAGTAAAGAACAAGACCGTCTTTCTGATGGCGTCGGGCCGGCTTTGAAGATTGCCGCTCGCTTTTAGACATGGCTTGGCTTACTGGTGGGGTCGATGATCGGGGTGACGGTCCGGTTCTGGGCCTGGCCGTATGAGTGGACCATGAGTGGGACATCGTTCATAAGACGACGAGCCACGGGAGCGAGCCGATGCAAGCCATGGGCGCGAGCATCCACGCTCGAAACCCACCGACCTTCAGCAAACGTCCGTAGACGAGGAGTTACACGGGCCAAGCGTTCCGCCAAACATGTCGCTCTACCCTCCTGCGTTGCTGCTTGTCTGTCTACCCGATCGACAGCCACCGCTCCCGATGCCCCAGCGGTAACGTGAAAGTGCGTTAATGTCTGCAATGAAAGATTAGGTGACCGTGCGGGTCGGAGCTGGCAGCGCATTGCGACCACGGGTTACCGCTGACGTGGGCTCGCTCAAAACTCAAGTGATACCTCCTTACCACAAGTTCGGGATCGCTTTTCTCTTGATTCCTAAACATCGGCATTTGTCCTCCATTCTGCCATTGCCGGCTTACTGAAGCCTATACGAAACGTGCACTCCACAAGTCTGGGCCTGGAATTCGAATTCACTTCGTGCTCTTTAAGTTATGCCACCACTACTTCCGCCTCTGGCCCAAAGCGAATCCAAAAAGCGATTTTTCGAACGTTTGATGTTGGATCCTGACGAACCCATACACCGCAAATTATATGGACTGATGAAGGTACATCGCGTCCTTGCCTCTCCTCGTATCGTGATGGCGTAGTGACAGTTCGAGCAGGCGGAGGCTGTTGAGGGACGCTCCCGAATTGCATCCAGTCCAGAAGCTCTAATCCCGTCCCTGCGCAATGATCCTAAAGTCGAGCCGCCTTACAGCAATGCTCAAATCAGTGAAGCGGCCACTCAACGGGAGATTCTGCGAATATACGAACGGGCCCGGCCGGAAACTCGACGATACTACGAACTGGGACGTGACACTGATCGTATGAATGAGGACAACTGGATTATCCGCTGGATGCTATGGCACGTCAATCGATATCGAGACAATCGGAATCATCACAAAAAGAAGTCACGCTCCCCTTCGACCGTGCGCGACTCGATCAGTCCTGCGGCAGAGACGGTTCAGCCCACCTCGCGTCCTTATTGGGATCCTGTCCGACATTCGTGACCTGAAACTGCTTCTAATTTCTATTCTTGAGACCACCTCCTCGACCCGGAGGAGCTGCGATGCGCCCGGCCAGGGTGCGCAAAACGTATGACAGATGTCCGGGAGGAGGGAGGGCTCCTCTCGCACACCAGGATGCTCCAAAGCTGTGTGCGCGTGTGGGCGACATACACGGAAATGAATATAGGAGATGCGCACAGGATCGTGCGGCATCGACGAAGATATAACGTAAATGCAATCAATAATCGTAACTTCCGCATATTTCCGCTTGCTCGGCCTCTCTTGTACGTTAATTAGTGATCGAATTTCAGACGACGCCGTGGGCTTGGTCTCGCTCTGAAGTTGTGCAATACAAAGCCGCAGCGCGACCATACGCCCGTCGTGGAACGAGTTTTCGGCATCATTGGAGGCTCATGACGGAGCGAGATCCCACGATCGGGAGACACCTAGTTTTATTGATGTTCGACGATTTTGATCGCGAGGCTGGAAAGTGGCCACCAAAGGGGACCATCCCGTCCCGCCCGTGCGTCTCGTGTCTGGTTGTTCGTAGTCGCTTGCCAGGCTCGAATGGTGGGTCAAGCTACTCACAAGCCTCTGATGGCGCACATAAGACAAGGCGGATCCGCCCACTGTATCTAGTCAGCCTTGTTGATTTCGACGAAGCGAGGTCGAGCGACTGAACCCGGGTACTTGGTAAAACTCCAGCTGGCGGTTGGCACTTCAAGTCTGGGGAGACGGCCCGGAGTGCCGCTATGTTTGCACTAAAATGACTGAAAGTTCGACCATCACATCCCACACGGGACAAACGGGCACTGACGAGAAAGTGCCCCCTCACCGGCCTGATGAAGGCCTCTCATCTACCGGACGGAATGGGCCTCGTCCGATTACGCGCGCGTTGCGGCGATCGGGAACTGCCAGCTTGAGAGACACGGCGGAACGTCGAAACGTCCAGCCACCGCTTGTCTGTGGATCGCTCGTTCAACGGGCGGATCTACTGTACGTTGCTCGTATCGGCGTCAGCCCCATGACAAATTTGATCCATGGAGACACTTATTACCCTGAAGGTGCTGTCCACGATGACGCAGTTGCCATTGACACGTTGGCTGCATTCTTCGAGCCTGTGAAATTACTACTGTACAACCCAATTTGACCTTGCAACGCGGCTGCCATGAGAGGCTTGTGTATGTACAAACAAAGCTTACATGCACCCCAAGCTGTGTATTCAGAGTTCCAGCAGCATGTGATACGCCTGAGCACTTAACGTGGTGTTCATGAGGCCGCGTAGATGAGCACAGAGATCAGGTCGTGGAAACAGAGTATGTAAGTTACGATACACACGTGGGAGTACAGCAGAATGTCACGGGACATCTAGCAAGTGTTTACTTGTCTTTCGAGAACAGATCTCTCCAGAATTCGCGAAATCCGTATTGCGGTCGCTGCTCATCATACACGTGGCCAGCTTTGTCTATGGCGAACTTTGCTAGTACTCCTTTGGGCTCACGAGTGATGTGCTCCCTGCCTCGTACGGACGAGGCCAACGCCCGCTCTTTAATGGCGTCTGAAACTTGTGGCGCGACGGCCGCAAAGCATGCCCGTAATTCTCGCTCCAGCGAGAAGTAAGGCTTCTTCGCCATGTCGGGAGCCATTAGATTGTACGACCGTGTCAAAGAATTGAGGTTCGCAATGGCAATCTGGTGATATGCTCTTTCTGTGCGTTCCCACTGCGGGTCTCGGAACGGTTCTACCGTTGGCTGTCGGCTATGGCCTGAGCCGGGAGTGTCGCGAGTCTCATTTTGACTTGACGAAGCCTCTGGCTGGACGAATCCCGTCAGCCTCACTTCACTCTCGCCGACCAGACCTTCAGTCGCAACAGGTCCAATGTCTTGCTTGGAGACAAGTTCGCGATCTGAAGTTGCCAGGTCATCCTTGATCGTCGCTGTGGGCATCTCGTTTGTTTGTTTAGCCACCTGAAAATTGTCGGCCGCTTGCAAGTTGCCACCGAGGCTTTCAGCGAAAGCATACTCGCTTGCGAGCTTCATCTGGCTCTCGAGGTCGCCTCCCCAGCTTGCTATCGTTCGGGCGACATGACGTTTCCATGCAATACGCAGTCCACTACGAAACTTGTTCGCAGTACTTGTGACCTCTTGCTGCTTCTCAATCCATGGCGGAACGATATCCTGCCGCTGGATCATCTTGTTCATAAAGTATTCGGTCGTATTGATAAAAGGGCTATTGGCATTGTGGTCTCGCTCAATCTCCTTTCCTCGCGGTAGATTGGCAAAAGCTCCCCGTGACATGGCTTCTTCAACTCGACGGTCTGCCAATGCCGCGAGGCCTTGCAGAGTAGCAGCGACCTGTCGACCTCCAGGCTTGAAACGTTCCTTCATCTCCGCTCGAAATCTAGCCCGCTCGTCGTCGACGACGTTAGCATCTTGAGTCGATCTATACGCCTCTGATTGATCTAGCGCATTGGCAAGTCTCAAGCTTGTATGTGAGCCGACGCCGGGTCGAGGAGTACCACTTGAGATTGATGATTTACTAGGCGTCGAAAGCGACCTTGGTATTCTGAGCGTTGTCTTCTGAACATTGACGAGCGGTGGTCGAGAAGTATCTACATTACGCTCCGATTCCGATATAAAGCTTTCAACTGCAGCGCCTAGTCCGCTGGAAGTATGTTGTGTGCGCGAATTGTCGCCGTCCACGTTGGTGAGATCTGCCATCGCAGCCTTCAGCTCCAGACTTTTCCTGAGCTCTTCCGACAAGCCGGCTTCTTCCACAGCTCTTTGAGCGCTCCTCCCACCTTGTTCGATATTTTCCTCTGTCATCTGCGCCAAGCGCCTTGACATTGCCCCATCGGTCCTCCCCGCGACAAATCTTGTGCTTGTCACAGTAACATCTTGGGTGGGTGGCAAAGTTGACTTGACGCTGTGCCGGCAAACGAGTGTGGGGCGCACCGCTGTCACAAGTCGCCGGTGAACTTGCGAGCGACTTGGAATGGTGCCGATGATGGAAACTAGTACGTTGAGCATACAGCCAGAGGTTCGGTGTACATAGTCATCAAGTCGTGATGTCAAAGACCAAATTTGGATCTTTGCCGACAAGCACGCGCTATGTCCGATATTTCCGTGATATCCTGATGAGTCATCCGTCACCCTGATGCCTCTCACAACGGTCTTAAGAAACGCCCATATATCATTGCTCAAGACTCCATCCTCTTCATCCTTGAATCACTCAAATTCCCATGACAGCCTCAATGAATACTGATGATACTCTGAGTTTGATTCGAATTTCGCGCCGCTTTCTGGAACAGTAAGGCTGAGGCAAGCACAGCGGCTGTACGCGAGGATGTGCAAGTTGCTGAATGGCTACATCGTGCAGTGTGATGAATCAATGCATCTCTTACCTGTTGATCAAATACATTGACGGAGGTTCGGTAGGAACCTTCTCGCACCTCAAACCTGGCAGGCTTCTGTACGTTCATTAGATCAAAAAACCGGGGCCTGTCTGCAATCGGCTTCACTGTCGCGACCCTCGCTCTTTATCGTGCTCCGATCTCAACGCGACTCGTCTCTGTTGCTTTCCATGGGCCGCAAATTCGCGATAACCTTAAAAGCGCAATCTGCAGGTATATTTCGTCCTTTGCCTGAGCACGCCTCCTTCTGTTTATTGGATCAAGCGCGCCGAGGTGCCCCATCCGGCTATGAGCAACGCCTCAGCATTCCGAGCCAATGTTCTTCTCGGCCATGTTTAGAGGATCTCCGCTGTGTAGGCGATGCTTTCTCCAAACCAAAATGTCATTCATTTCGTTTGTAATCGTTGATTCGTGCCAGAGTCGACCTCTAAAAATCCTCAATAAATAGCGAATCAACGATAGATCTCCTGGACAACGGCCCGGAAAGCGCACGGCGACTTGGGCCGACTTTATTAGTGATTACAAGACTCAAAAACCTTGATTGGCAGATTTTACTCAACGACACGCCAGGTGTTGTATTCTCAGGACATCTTGAATTTGCTCGCCTTGTCGTAGACCGCGGGAATGGACAGCGATATGCAACAAGCTCCTTCCTCGAATGGTCCCGATGAACATAAAGCAACCGTCGCCTGTGATTTAAACACCCATGTAGAAATTGAATAGGGTCAAGCCATGTCGTTGAGGATCCTGGCTCAACGTCGTCACCGTAGTTATATTAGCAGGCTGAAAGAAAGTTAACCTATAGAGTCTTCCGCAATTTCCTCTTGCGTCTGACACCGAAACTGACGGTACACGAAGACGAAGACTCGAATGACAGCGCAACAGAGCTTCGCTGACCATCAGTGGACCTATCTGAGTCGTCGTACCGGCCTCAACTGACAAGGAATCTCCAGGGCTGCGATGTAAAAAGAGTGCGTGCCTTCTTGCTCGTGTGCGGGCAACGCATTGCCTCGTTGATCGACGGTTATCGGTCACGGAGTCTGGGCCCCTGGGCTACGTGAAGCCTTGCGTTCAAGACAATGCCAGAAGGATGGTTCATCATGGCGAGTGATTTGCAACCGGCGCTGGTGACCCTGCCTTTGTCATTGCAAGATTCCAGAGAAATTCACTTTGCTGCCTTTCCATTGTCCTACGTAGTCTAGAGCCAAGAAGTATTTTCGTGTAGCCATTTGGTGCTTGCGGGAGCACCCGGGCTCAAGCGCAGTGATGAAAAGACCCCAAACGGATTCAAGCGGGCTGTGCATCGTCAATGAATGTCAACGTCAACAATATCCTCTGTTCAATATATTTCGGATTAGCTCCCGCTCTCAAGTCTGACATATCAGGCAAAGCAGTAACGTCGCAGTCATTTCCGTGTCGAAACATCATCCTGACGGATCAAGTCACGCATAAGCAATCGAAACCTGCGTTGATGAAAGGCCCTTTTGGTTTTAAGCTGGAGCCTAGCCGTCGAGCAATCTGAGCAAGATGTCATCAAGTAATAACACAACAACCCAGGCTCGGCGAAATAGTATCCGAGCACCCAAGGTTGGCCACAAGAAATCCCGGAAAGGTTGTCAGACATGTAAAACGCGGCGCGTGAAGTGCGACGAGACCTTGCCAGAATGCCATGTCTGTCGACGGTTAGGTTTAACATGTACTTATGCGTATGTGGATGGAACTCCTGCAGTCAAAACAAAAGTCGAAGACGGCTCTACAACACACATAAAGTCCTCGCCGAGTGATTCACATGGCTACGCGGACATGGCTTCGATCGCTCCTAGTCTAAGCGCTGAGCCAGTGCAGTCCCATACCTTAGACGAGTCGAGACAAAGACGCTTCACAGAGCTTAGACTCATGCATCACTGGATGGTGAATGTGTCCCGACCGTTCGGTCTGACCTCGCCGTTGGTCTGGAGAGAGCTCTGGTACGATGAGGTTCCACAACTCGCGCTCCAGCACGAGAATGTACTTTACGCCCTTTTCGCAATGTCTGCGACGCATCTTTTGACGACATTACCAAATGACCGCGAAGAGATTCTGGTTCAGGCTCGACTAAAGTACTGGGTTTGGGCGCTACGCGAGCAAACGGCAGCTGTGACGAACTTGGGTTCGTCAAATACGGATGCGGTCGCGTTTGCCGCTTTACTCATCACAATGAACGCGCTTGTCATGCTGCAAGAGCGCAGCCTCGAGCCATACGAGCCACCTATGGAATGGCTCGAAGTTGGGAGGGGGGCCTTCGCTGTGCTACCAGATATCGAAAAGGTCGACGAGCACCGAGGCTTAAAGATATTGATTGAGACGACAGAGCCGATCTGGTCCGCAAGCGCAAAGCTCGATCTCGCTGTCGACGCAGATCTTGCCGCGGTTCTTTCGCAAGAGATAGTATCGAACGACGACTGGTCCGATGCTGATACCGTGGAAGCCTACGAGACTGCTCTCAGCTACATTGGATCATTCCGACGGGCTACCACTGTCGATGGAACAGCAGCTGATGTGTTCTTGAGATGGATTACCATGTTTCCGTTTATGGTGCCGCGAAGATTCACAGATCTCGTTCTGGAGCAACGTCCTCGAGCACTTGTGACGCTGGCGATTTTTTTCGCGGTTCTCGGACGCACCAAGGCGCTTCAATTTCTGGGCGAGATCGGAGATCGAACAATCGCGCGACGGGAAGTTCATGCCATACGTGATGTGCTACCACCCGAATGGCAGGTTTTTATGGCATGGCCATTGGCAGAAGTGGATAGCTCTCCCCTCATAGCTCAGTAGGACAACTTGCGACTTGATATCCATCTTATTTCAATGTTGTAGACTTCAGAGCCTGTGCATATCTACTAGGTACGGGGCAATAGTATACGCCTTTCCGATCAATTCTGAAGTCCATGCGGATTGGCCTACGTCAAGGCGGAGCATGAGGTGTCGCTAGACATAGTCTGCGATGTCGAAAGTCTCCAGCGCTTGCAGCAGCGCTTTAAGAGATCATCAGATCCATGGATCAAGTCGATTTTCCTGAATTGGCGATCAAATCTTTCTAATTTTCAACGCGACGCGCTGACAAGCCCAACGTGGTCCAGCCCTGACTTCAAAAGACGGACGCGATTGCACGGAATTCCGGAGATGTGAGAGTTCACATTGCATCGTGGTCAGCTCAATATGGCGATGCCTCGGGGTACAGAATTGCACCACAATGATAAGATATCAATAATTCGTCAATGAACTCTGCTGCGCGTAGCTTCTGCCATTTGTGCCTCGGCAGAGTCATGTTGGAAGATCGTCCATCAATCCTGTCCTGAGTCCGTGCTGTGACTTATTAATAAATGATCATCCTGGACACACACACGCCTTTGTCGACTAGAATCGCAGTCCACGGTTACTGTGCACCGCAATGGAATTTTTATGTTTAAATGCTGGGTTTCGCAAGAACCGTTTAAGAGCTCAGCCGTGTAGTTGGGCTTGCAGGACACGAGTCATTGAATGAGATGCATGATTTGCATTACATGCATTACATGCAGCAGGTCCATTGCTGGGACTGTTTGCTCACCGAACCTTCCCCTTTCGACGGAACAAACGGCAGCATGAGGTCGGGCTCGGTTCGCACACAGCGACGCCGACTGGACATTCCGTCGCCGCCTCCGCCGGAACGGCGGCCTTCTCTATTGTGTTGCGTCTTACACGGCTTGAGCCACGCAGGTATGAACAAGGGGCGCTACTGTATGCACATCATGATTATGCGTGTGTCTGCACATGTGCCCCGGGTTCATCGCGGACGCTGGTCCATCCATTTGGAGCAAGACGCAACGAAGTAATTCCGTCAGTCGCCTGGGGTCTCGATTCGCGGATCTCTCACGGCCTGCCTTGTTTGGGCTTGAACTCCTTCAAGCAGTGACGCGATTCCCACTGGGGACTTCACGTGGCTCCTGGACGATACTCCCGGGGGAAACACCAAGCACTCGGCCACGCTTTGCCGCCAGCGAGGGATTGGCAAAACAAATGAATTGTGCAGTCGTCAGCAGAAAGTAAATTGAGAGTTTATGAAAGCGCCCGTTCCTATCCCAGAAATGCCTATTTCGCCTTCCAAAACGCCACGAATCTTCACGATTATCCGCTGCAATAAAAAGTCATCGCCATGAGCATGGTTTCCTCTTCCAGGGCGAGCCTGTGTTATGATGCCAGTCCAGCAGTGATGTCTTGACTTCCCGCAATCAAGTGCGACGGGTCTCAGGAGAAGACGGCCGCGAAGAAACACTTTGATGCAGTCTGTAACTCTCCAGATCCCTCAATCTTGCACAGGGTTGTCGGGGTGAGGGAACGTCCTTGAGATGCCTTCGAATGCCTTCGAAGCTTGAGCTCCGTGGCGGGATTGGTCGGGACAATTTCCATGTTGCGGAAACCTTAGAACTTGTGGGACGTGGTAGTTGAGACAGAATGTGGGCGGATTTGTTCTCCTAGCTGCTTCGCAAGGTAATCTTCCGGTTCCGACATGGCCACATGCCCACATGACTGTGATGTGATTGCACATCTCGTAGCACGAACGAACTTGAGGGCTTCCTCCGGATAGTGGTATATAAACTCTGTGACCTCGGTCCGGTTGTAGCAACCCCGTCTTGTGACCACCCAGCGAGATGAACAGACAGATCCCAGCAGCTCCCGGTCTCTTATGTCGACGACCGCGATGCCGTGTGTGTTGACTATATCATCTAGATCCGAGCTATCTATGAGCAGCCGCCGGGGTAAAACTTGGTCAAGGGGTCGAAGGTTGTGTCCTTGAGCGATCGCTGTCACGTTCCGCGTTGTAAAGCTGTGCGTCCAGAATGGGTTGTCGCGCAACACGAATTGTTCCTCTGTTGAATCAAAGTCGTCGAGTGTCGGAAGTGGGCGCGAGAATAGACGTGGAAGCGACACAAAAGTAAACAGCTTCTAGTTTACCATACAGTACGTGAGATACATTGCCTGATTACACCATAGCTCAACTATAAGACAAGCCGCATTGCCAGAATGCAGATGCACTGGCTGTTGAGCCCTCGAATGAAAGAGTGCTCATCCTGCCGCCGTGAGACGATGCGCAAAGCTTGCCGATTGGTCGTCGTCGTCGGGGCCGTCATCGAAGAGCAAAGTGGACATGGGACATGTTCCGACAACGCTTATGATCATCAAATGCACATCAATTTTAGCGTGTCTGAGTTGTAATCTCGGCAATTTTGCTCATGAGAAAACGGCCCTTGATTACATTGAAAAGGCGTGGAGACGAGCCTTGTCCACACTGCAATGATTCTGAAACGGGCGATCTTTCTGATCACGTTGACCCGTCATTCAGTATCAGGCAGCAAGTCATGATCAGCGGTTGTGATCGTCAAGTCGTAGAAATTCAGCCACGCCATTGCTGTGGCGTGTCCTTGATGGATGCGCGACGAAGTTGCATCAAAATGGTCTAATGGGTCACGAAACAACCCGAGACGTGAAGTTCGTGGGTCCGCATCAGCACTCACTGCCAGCATGCAAAGTTTTCCATCACATGTGGCCGCGGGAGAGACTGAGCGTGCCCCACCCACATGTATCGCCCATGCATAGGCGCTAACGCATCAGTTTGCATGTCATTATCTCGTTGTTGGAATCAAGACAGGCAGTTTTCTGGGATTCGCGCACACATACAGTGCTTGGCTATTCAATGCTAATCCCGGTGGTCTGGTCGAATCGACCTTATCGAGTCGATAGGCTCAAGCGTGAATCGTATGGATACGAAGAGCCGGTCCCTCGAGGGTATACGCATAGAGACAAAGAATCGGGCCCTCGAGTGAACGAATCGTATAGATACGAAGGTCCAGTGCCGCAACGTCCTGTCCTGTGGGTAAGGAGTCCAGCAATGATTAAACATCAGGAGGAGGCGTGGGCCATGCGAAGTACCTCATGCAAGGCTATTTACTTCGATGCAGAGTGCCATCGCGCCTGTGCCTCGATCATCAGCTGTGCGACGTTGATTGATGAAGTACTGTAGTTCCGCGCCAAGCGCTGGATAGGCTCCTGTCACCTGCAAAGGTCTGATGGAGAGGATATGCCTAGCGATCTTGACCCGGTCCCAAATTTGTTCAACGAATCGCAGGTAATCCCCAAGGCCCGAAGAATGCGTAACTGTGTTGTGTCAATCTCTGTCCTGGAATGTCGTAGCCGCAGAGACCTTGACTCGTTGTGCGCGCCAGTGTGGCTTGTTCGCGGCCTCCACGGTGAGGAAGCCCTGGTTCGATCATCCACAGTGGCACGAGTGGGAGGCGAAAGTAGTGAGATACACGTGGAAGGCTTTGCACTATAGGCAACTAGAGATGACGGGCATCCGGCTAAACGATGGCGCTGCAACCAGAGTGACCACCGCGCCGCTTTGGGTCGCCTGCATGACGCCATGTCTCAATGGTTATCTGTACCCCCGCCAGCTAGAATTGACGGTCTTGTACTGTACATGTTCTTTGCGCACTCGATTGAAGTATCTATTTACTAGAAAGCACATGTCATCCCATCCCTGCCATTCTATCTCCGTATGACGACGTTATGTTCCTGGTGGTCTCCGAGGAGGGATCAATGACACGATCCACGATACATCGTGGAAGCCATCTTCGATGATGCCGAGATCAAATGCATGACAGAAGCAGGCAGACACGGACGTCGTGCCTAGGTGAGAAAAGTAGCCGCTGCACACATTACCCAGAGCGGGACAAGTACCCCAGTCTCGCCTCGTTTATCCGTTCTCCCAGCCTACGATGCATGGCTGCGTCCATATGCGTGGCAAACCGGCGCAGCGGAGGTAATGGTGCAGATACGAGTAAGTGACATTCATGTAGACTCAGGTGAGCAAACATTAAGTCCGATTCGAAAACACGTCAGTATGGGGATGTGGCATTGTGTGTGAGCTGTCCGCATCCCTTGCGTACAAGGGACGAGCCAGGGTAAATCGCAGGCTAGCGATCTGATGTCCTCACCGGTGAGCGAGGATGATGCGGTAGGTGCTGTAACTCTCGCACGCCTTTGGATTCGATCGGCCCAGTACCGCACGTTGTTGCGTGGGTGATTTCTAGCATCATCTGCTCGCAGAAACGGATACCGTCATCTTGGAGATCGATGTGGGACACTTCTCGACATGCTGGCGAGCAGCATCGGAGCTAGATGGATGCGAAGCTGCAGACAATTCGACAGGCGCCAGGTACCCCGGTCTATCGCTGGCATCGACCCACTTGGCCTATGAGTCATCCACCGTTGCATCAGACGTTGAGAACGTGTCTCCAATATTCGCTGCGAGAACTTGCTATTTGGCCTTCGAATCGCGGCTGACCAGATGATGGCAGGTGCGTCGTATGAGTAGGGCACCTTTTACCAACTCTGTTCTTTTGTGGCAGCCGTCTGCCTGCCAACTCCAAGATAGGCGAGGTCCCGGTGATGAGGTCGTTACTGGAAACAGTTCGCCCGCTAGCTTGGAACTTTGAGTATTGTCGTGCTGAATAACGATCATGCTTTGGGCGTCTCGCTCGCGGCACAATCTCGATCCTGCCGTTTTTGTCTGCTGGATCTCGGCAGGATGACCTGCCGCTGGTTAAGGTTTTGCAACCTGGAACGGACCTCGTGCCGTGTAATCCGGACGGCGTTGGTTGAGTCAACGCGGCTTCCCAAGGCATCTCATCATGTTGAACAAGTGTTGAGAGACTAAGCTTTGCAACCGGCGATGATTGAACTGATTGCTCGGGCGCAGGTGTCACTGGTATCGATGGAGGATGATGACTGGGGAGACTCGTGAAAGAAATTGGCAGACAAGACAACAAATCCGCAGTGTCTTCTCCTGATGCTCTTAGATCTATCCTCTTGATGGATGTCGATTCGTCCTCCACGTCCGACTTGTCCTCGATTGCCCGCGCCAACGTCCAGCGTATGATCCAAAAGTCGAGATCGGGAAATGGCGATCGAATCGTGTTGTAGATCCCTTGTGTCCGGGAAGAAGCGCGAGTGAAGATGGCCCGCAGTTCATCGGAGAAAGCGACTTCTGAGATATGTTCTGGCAGGTAAGGGGTCTGAATAGAGAGATCGCTGGCGACAGTGGGCACGAGGCATGCTCGGCTGCTGAACAGTCTGTCCCGTCCAGCTCTGGCTTCATCCTGCAACAGTCAGTTTGCGCTCGGATCGTTCGAGGTTCAAGACGTGCGAACCATCATTGCCCTGAATAGAAGTCTATCCTGGTGGCAGTGTTTCTTCAACCCAATGCGTGACAGGAAATCGCTCTTCGAGCTTGAGAGCTCGACTATTTCGACATTTCCGAAGTCCCCAAGCAAGAGATCGCTGAAGGCGATCGTGTTGCACATTTTGGTTTTCTGGTGGAGTCACACGAGGCGTGGGAAAGTGCAATCGAGCACGAATGGGTTCAGTTCACGACTGGGCAAAGAAAGGGCTCACTTGCTCGTCCGCGGTGGTGTGATGGTGCAGTTCGATCGTGATGAAGGACCATGAGGCAGGAAGGGCCATAATTATATCAAATCAAATACCATGATCAGAAATCTAACGCGATCACATCATTCCATAACTAGGAGAGCGGCAGAGTCTACCTTGCCAATCTGGTTGCATGCAGATGGCAGCGAAGGTCAATCCGAGTCGTCTTCCAATTCCAGACGACCATGCACTCGAGAGAATCGGTCAGCAATATACCAGTCGGGCGAAGTGCATCACCTGGTTTCCTCGGACAGTTCGACGACTTGGGCCCAGTGGTAATGTTGATATTCTCCCAGACTGGAATTGAAGCCGCAGCTCTTGTTTGCACTGAATGCATGTGTGGACTAGCCGGAGGGATGCCCGCGGATGTATTAGGGCGAGCTTACATGAAAGCCAGCCCGCACCAAGAAGATGAACCAATCACGCAATTGCGCCTCCGATCCTGCTGCGACCCGATGCGAACGACACCCAGATCATGTACGCCACCGTGACATGGATTTGATGAAACTTCCGCGGCGGGTGTATTGCTGATTGGCCGGACTGGATCGGGCAAGCCATCCGAACGAAGGATCTCATGAGCAAACGCAGTCGGGTGTGTATGTGGTTAGAAAACAACCACTTAGGCTAGACCAGGCGCAGCAGCCTGCGCGCATCGCGCCGTGACCAAGTGCACCAGTACGATCACCAATAAAGATCGCCAGCTTTCGACCAAGACGCTCCCGGGCAGGACGATTCTTTCCCTAGCACATAACACGCGCGGATCCTCCGCCACGAAGATGGTCGAAGTGCCACCACACCATCCAACGATCTACTGAAGCCCACAGCCTTGTCGCCGGAACACAAAGGCGATCCGATCACAATTCCAAATAGAGCTTGTTAGGTCAACTACAGCATGGAGAGACAGCACGATACATTACAGCTAATCCGTCGCCTGTGGGTGTGCGATCGTCGCTGGATCTGAGCAAGACCGTCAATGCGCAGCTTGCAGGTGCAGAGACCAATCTATTCCCTCATCACGCTGCCCAACTCCGGCTACACATTTAGATACGCGAGCGGCACTCTGCTGATGACAAGGCTTTGCCTTAAAGGAACCCGTGGTTCGCCCATGATCATGCACCTCGGTCCGAGTTCACACGTAATTTGGTAGACTCGAATGTATTCTTCGCCAACGCAGCATCGAGAGCAAGATCGACTATCTCGGGGGCAGGATATTCATGAGCTGACAATGCGGTTGTCATCCACAGCCAACTATTCGCGGACGCAGGATATGATTTCAATGTTTTGCAAATGGACCTATATATGTCCACGGGTATATTATTTGAGCTCTCATAGGATAAATCGGCGAGGACGACCTCCACAGCGCTCAGACTTGCGCAGAGAATATCACGCGAAGCTGCGAGTCTCCTTGTCGCACCAATTCCAAAACTTCTCGGCGTTTCCACCCACTTGGGTCTGCTGCTCCACATCTTTGCGTACAGGACCAAATCGACCCCAAGGCCATACATATGAGCCATTTTTATCTGCCGTGACTTCCGAAGACCAACCGCAGAACAATTCGGTATAGGCACCGTAAATAGCCGAATAGAGGAAGGGGTTCAGGAACACGGTCTGCCAGACTGGCGTATGACGCGTGAGCTCCGTCTTGAGGTTACCAGGATTGAATGCAACGCTCGCCACGCCCTTGCCGTCTGCGCCAATGGGATAGTGCTTTGCATACTGGGAAGCCAGAAAGTAATTGCCGGCCTTGCTACAACCATAATTGGTAGCATTGGATTTGTCGGCAATGAACTCGCCTGCTGCATCGATAGTGAGGCCATTCTTGGGTGCGACGACGTCCACGGCGATAGATCCCGCCCACGCGACACGGACAGTGTTGGCAGGAGCCTCCTTCGCTGTGCGCTCCAGGACGGGTGTCAACAGCTTAGTGAGCAGAAACGGACCCAAGCAGTTGGTTCCTATCTGCAGCTCATGCCCGTGGCTGTCTTTGGCGCCGGCAGGGGGGAACATGACACCAGCATTATTGATAAGAACATCAAGTTTCGACTCTTTGCTGTTGAATGATTCGACCGCGGGTTTGATCGAGGATAAGTCTGAAAGGTCGACCTTGAGAAACTCGACTTTGCCGGTGCTGGAAGGCAGGGCTGCCTTAATGGCAGACATCGCCTTCTCGGCCTTCTCGGCACTCCGTCCAGCGATGTAGACGGTGCCATTCTTGCCATAGATAATCTTGCTGAGCTCAAAACCGACCCCAGCGTAGCCTCCCGTAATGATGCATACTCGTCCAGCTTGATCGGGGAGATTCTTTTCTGTCAATTCGGGTTCAGGAACGAATGCGGATTGCTTTCGCATGTGTCTCAGGCCCTCCATGATGGCGATTTGAAATATAAAATTGTTGTGATTATCGGTAGATCCACAGATCAGTGTGTTTGGGTGCTTCCGGCGCCCAATATGTGTTGCCTGGATTTGATACCACAGATACGCAAACAAAATTGTGCTTCCAATGAGCTAAGCTTGCCTTCCAAGGTTGCTTCGAGTTGCTCTATGATGTCAACGATTGGAGCGGCCCACGCATACCTCGGCAGTTGAGCCGCCAACCGCCAACCACACCGGCGCACGTATACAAACGATCACAACCTGACATTTATGTTGATCATTACCGTCAAGCTTCCAATGCCACAACACATAGATGCTAATCCAACGTCCTACACATATGCTTCACGGCTCTGCGCGCGCAACCGCATGCGCAGCATCATGCATTTAATGCCACAATAAGTATCTTGGAAGCACAAAAAGTTCGTTTCTTCAAACCCATGGCCAAAGCTCTTTTGTAATGTAAGATGGGGTATATAAAATATCACAGTCCATGCCTAGTCTGTAGACACGGTGACTGTCGAGCAAGATATCCAGCGTAAATCATGAGCACATAAGACACAGCTCTTTCAAGCTTCGTGGAGTTTCCTCAATCTCATCACACCGCCATGATGCATCCACGGCCAATCTAAATTTACTTGGAGCATTTGCTGAGAAGATTGATTAGCGAAAGTTCGAACACATCTTGATGGCAAAAAGTTCGACCTACCCGAGGAGACCGGTCTTGACGCACTTGCCGCCCTTGAGGAGGCAGTCACCGTCGTCAAAGCAGACTGAGCCAGTGGCAGAGGGAGCGGCGGCGGTGGTGGTCTTGGCAGTGGCGGTCTTGACGGTGGTGGGAGCGCGGGAGACGGCGGCCGATGAGGGAACAGGGACGACAGTGGTCTTCGCGGTGGTCTTTGCGGTGGTCTTAGCGGTGGTGGTAACCTTGCCGGAGCAAGTACTGAGATACATCGTCAGGAATATGTCCACGTAAATACAGGCGGCTCACGGGAATAGTACGTACCCGAGAATCTTGCCAGCAGGCTTGACACATGAGCCACCACCGTTGAGGAGGCAGTCAAAGTTGTCGTAGCACACGCTCTGGGCGGCGACGGAGCCGACGAGCAGGCTGAGGAAAAGGGTTGTGAACTGCATTTTGGTGGTGGTTGATTGTGACAGGCAAAGATCGGTATGTCGAAGGTGATGCTTTGGAGGAATGAAATCTACAAATTGGAGCGGATCATCGAGCCTTTATCGTCGCCGCTTCCCACAACTTCTTCTACACTTCCGTCCTTTTCAGAAAACCAAGCCTGTTTACGCCACAAGCTCCGAAGAGTCCAGCCCAAGGACACGAACATAGATAGGCTCGGCGAAGATCTGACGCTCAAAAAAATAAGTCTTGTCAAAGACAAGCAGAACTATTCCAGTATAGCGCTACATTTGGTAGCTCATTCCAGACCTCATCTTCCTTCTTTCGGGCTAGGAGCCTGCTAAGCATCGCTTGACATGGAGAACAGCAGGCAGTGCAAAACATATTTACTGGGTCGCGCCTGGATTGAAGGCTCGGTTCTCCTCGCGAGGCGTTGTCGTGGTGGCAGCCCTCACACGTTGGCCACAAATACTTGTTCAGCCACTAGTGATATGTGCCTGAGCGACACCCGAGTCTAAGCAGAGGATCGTCGCAATGGTATCGCAATTGAGCAAGGGGCGCTTTCTCCAAGTCTGACACCGCGGACCGCGAGGAATGGTCGAGAACACTGCTAATGGTGGACATGAACGATGTCTCATGGTGGGAACTCCGTGTCATCAGCCCTCATGAGATCCTGACACCATAGCTTCGAGGGAATGTCTAGTACCCGCGCAGGTACAGTGCCCCTAAAGCCTGTCCTTGCAACGCTCCAGCAGGCAAATTAGCTTTGTTCCTGCGTGGACAACCAATGAACTGACTGTTCGCAGCCGAGGAGTCCTTCTTGTTCGTTCCTGGCAGGCTGACAATTTCTAACCAACGGATTCTCCATGTTGGACCATTGTTGTTTATCTCAGATTTTTATCGACAAAAGTACCAGTTCAACGTCAATGCCTACAGGGGCCCCTCGCATTTGATTGCCAATGAACTCTAATACTGACAAACTCGACGTCTTCTTATCGTATCGAATTTGTTTTTGCACTGACCATGAACGTTTCTGGGTCAGTTTTTGCCTTCACCGTGCAGTCCCAGCGGACCTTTTACTTCAGCAAGTGTTGTTCCAGGTAGATTACTTCAATGACCTCGGCAGAGAGGCACACGTAGGCACAGGTCCCCGCTAATGGGGATTCCATCCCCGCTTGCGGCTGGCGCCCCACAACGCCATAATTGATCGTTCCCGGCGGTCAGGAATCTAGCCTCTCCTCATCTCTTGGAGATTGCAGTAAAAAAGTATGACTTCCAACATCTGCTCCGATGTTGTTGACGGTGAAGATGGGAGTGGCGCTTCTGCGGCCAGTAGCATGACTTTTTGTTGTGTTCGTCCGAGGCAGCAGGCTGTTGTCCGATTCCAGATGAACATGGCAAATACATATTGTCAGAAGTCGCGGTCGAGTTGCGTGGAATGGGCCGCGAGAAAAGGTGCACAGCAAATTCTGGAAGCCACTATCTGTGCTGTCCCGAAACACGTGCGTACACATGATAGACATTCCCTTCGTAATCAAAATTGACATCCCAGTGTGCTTCCTCGCATGACTATGTCGTCGTGGACCACACATCTGGTCAACAATCGGTCGATCCCATGCGGCATGCCTTCGAGAACACTGCACCCCGTTTACGAACTAAAAATGACAGCTACATGGTGATCCGTACATCGGCAATCCCCGATACAGACCGTGTGTAGTGACGACCTTTTCCGACAGCATGCGACCAGCGCTTGCTGCTGATGCTGAACCTGTTCAGCTCCCAGAGCTGCAATCAAGGCTTTTGATAAGTGCCTGCCTATGACGGCGCAGACAGGTGCCACCTCAGCCAAATATTTCGTTCGAGCTCAGCTTTGATAACGATGACTTGACAGTGCGTCTCATACGCCTGGATGCTGCTTGCTGGGATGATTTGGTATGGTACTCGACAACGGCGCCCTAATTAGCGTAAGTGTGCGTAGAGGTCTGAAACCGACTCGGGAATCTGCGAAAGATCCGTGGCGCGTGTCGTGCGAGGCATGATAACAAGTCGATGGCGGGACACGTTCGGGCGGAATCTTGACGGGATGGGCCTTTGGGGCGACAGCAGCTCCCGGAGCCAAAACCGCTCCCGAGATCGACATGGTCTTGCGTTCCCATCTGATGACCATCCTCACCGCTTGGTCGCGAGTACTAGCACAAATGAATACTCCAGTTTCACGGATCCTCCGTTCAATGCTTTCTTGACATCTTCGAACTCCTTGGGAAGATATTTCGGCACAAACTCCTCGGGATTCAGACTGGCCATCCAACCTACTACGCCTTCGTAGTCCACCGTCCTGTTGATGATGCCCTGGTCTTTGAAATTCATCACGGTGTCCTCTGGACGAACATTGGACTTCGCACAGGGCCATCGCGCTTCGTTCGACACACACCGCAGATGGGGATGAGCGTGGATGCGCTGGACATTTTTCCATAACGCCGGGTCAAAATCCATGTTATCGAAACGGGAATTCATAACGGCCACCATGCTCTCATCGCTGGTCGTGTCTACCATGCTGGCATAGATCTCCAGTATGCTTCGCAAGAGATTCTGGATCGCCGACTCGACTTCTGGCTTACGTTTCCCACCCACGACAGCCTGGATGCCGTATAGCCAGGTCGCGAATGTACCATTGGGCTTCAAAAGCGATGCTATGCGAGGTATGGCGACGCTCTGATTCGCCCAATGGAGCGACATTCCAGCAGCAACCATATCGACCGCTCCATCGGTGAAGTCAACAAGATCCAATTCTTCGGCCTTGCGCCGGAGAAAGTGAAGACGATTCGCAGGCACAGTGCAAAAGCATGATCTTGCCTGACGGATATAGTCGTACGCAGGATCGCTCAGGGTGACAAGCTTGAATCGACCCAGTAGTTCTCGGGTGACGATTCCTATTCCTCCGCCCACATCGAGCGCTGCCTGATATTTGCCTCCAGCTTTGGCATGATATCTGAATATGATATCATAAAGGGCCTTTGGATACTTTGGTCGATGTGCTTCGTACGCATCCCAATCGAAGTCTGAGAACTCGAAGCTGGCCGCGGAGTCAACACGCCGATGCCTCATGGTTAGAACACCTTTCTGACGACTGACGGTTCAAAACGAGACTATGAAACCTAGCAGGACGACGACGAGGGACGGATCCATTTTGGATGATCGCGCCAGGTCAGGTGCGTGTCACTACGCCGCTTCATGTGCCAAATCTGGTGACGCATGATTTTGTGATGAGGCACAGTAGGCAGATGTGTTGTCCTTTCTAACGAAATAGTTGCAGGTGACGGCCCTGCTAGCACGCATACTTGTCGCGTCGATGTGCGTGCAGGGATGCGTGAGCCAAACCTGGACTGGATAAGGGACGAAGGCCTGACGGTTAGCTTTCAGAAACGCCGCAGGGAGGAGCATTACAGCCGAGTCATGTAGTATTCCCACCACCGATTGGTGCCAAGCTGATGACCCGAAGTGCAGCAGAAGAACTCCTGTGTGGGTCAAGAACACAAACCGCTTAGTGTATATCTGCAGTAAGTCATTCGAAAGTGCTGGCGCTGATTCTGGTCATGCATGATGTAGCCCTTGCCTCTCTCGTGTTGTGTTCTCTGCATCGCCCTTGCATTGCGTCACAGTTACTGGCCGTACGCATGTGGTTGGCATTGATGGCCGAACATTAGTTATCTCTTTCGATAAAAAAAGTCTCGTCGTTCTGTTGCATCGAAACAAGAGTCATGTATTGACCATGGGAACGGGACATCGGCGTCTGGAAGACCTACAGAATGCACTTCCATTCCGCTCCGCCGGGTTCGCGTCTGTCCACCCGCATGTCGTCTAGCCGAGATCGGCAAGCAGTTGTCCCCGCTATCCCTAATAATCAATCAACGAGTCGTCGGGCCGGCGGGGAAACTCGAAAAAGTTGCACCGAGACAGATACTCGGAACTTCGCTAGTAGTGGGGCTAGAAAATAGAACATCATTTTGGATTGGAACACTTTTACTAGCTGTGACGGATACATTTGCCCAAGAGGCCACCGCTGTTAGACTGGTATTCTCTCTATTGCGGCGGACGTGAGCGACGGCTGCGACCCTATGTTGAATTCTTGAAGGCAAGCGGAGTGTGACGAGGACTTCCACGCACATGCAGCCTGCCACTTGGCGGTCGTCTAGGTTCGACGAACAAGTCAGACTACTGTATGCTGCTCACATCTGGATCCGACGAGCACATGTCACCAACTGAATCAAGTCATCCTGCCGATATCCGCGCGACCCTACACAGGCATGCTCACATTAGCGCGGCGCAACATTCGTGCCCAACTTCCGATTGATGCTGACCTGCTGGATTCGACCTGCTTCATGGTGATCAATTGATCCGATCGCGATGCCTGCATCACGGCGCAACGTAGAGATGCCCTAGATGTTATGCAAACCCATGTGCTTCGTTCCCGTTCGTGCCGTTCGAGATCCCTGCCCGTTATCTCGGAGATTTTCTGGGTCGGCCGATGGCGATGGATTCGTGTGTCCTCCACGAGATTCGACAATGGCTTACTTCCCAGTTGACCTTTTGCACCGCCTGGATTTGAGCCGGAGCGTGCTGACGCTGTACAGCAGCAGCTCTGGTCGGTGTAGCCAACACAATATCTCTGTCTAAGCAGGCTCTATAATGCGTGTCAAGCAGTTGCCAGAGCATGGCTTCAGTATCGAGGATATCACGTTTTCATTGTTGCCTCAATGCTGCCTTTGTCTTGTCTATTTAGATTGGAGTTTTTCTTGTCACCTTACCAATGTCAAGGCTTTCAACACGACTGATTGATACCCCTCATCAAGCCAGAAGAGGTAATTGACATGGATGCCATCATGGAGTCTCTCATAGTCAGTCGAAGTCTTCGCGACCTGGCTCGCCATCATGACCAATCGCGCTGTAGACATGTGAAAGGGCTAAATTTGGAGCACGTATTGCGGCCAAGCCTGCCATTTCCTGTGCCTCCAACGTGCCAGTGTCAGCATGATCTAACAACGACCCGGCAAGCCTTCTCTTCCGTGTCCATGATGAGGTTGCTGGTTAATTCGTCACGGGATACATACACGATGGAAGCCTACTTTCAGGTTCAAAATGAAAAGAAACTGTTTGCTGTACAACAAAACTACGTGAACCACTTAGATGCCTGGTTATCAAACGTCAGCTTGCTTGAATGAAGCCGCACACAAGCCATGGGTGTACGAAGGCTTCCTGCGTGATCGTGCAATCGTGACCTGTTCCACTGTCTCATGGTCGGGCGAAGGTCAGGCAGGCGTTGACGACGCAAATTGGCCGAATTTCAGCGGGTACAATCGACAATTGCCTATTACAAACCTGGCATTCTTGAGATAAGTGTGATCAACACGAGCGCACCTGTGAGTTCATAAATTTGAGGCCTTTGTCGACACTTGCGATGCCCCCGAGCCTTGGGTGCTTATAATGCCGAACCCTATGGCCCAAAACGACGTCAGAAGGCTTCTTTCTGTTGTCCTCAGGCTGTAGAAACTGTGCTCAAGCCCCAAAGTGTTTCTAGAGCTTTCTGTGTTGAGCGTGGCTTGGCAAACATCTTCCTGCAGCATTCAGACGCGGAGCTTTCTTCATGACCATTTCCAACTTCCTTGCGATCCATCTTAGAATTCACTGCGACTTCAATAGATATCGCAAGTGAGTCGCAGCTGCAACTTGGTAAGCACGCTCAGTCACATTGCCATCGCACACTCCTTCTTCTATGATGAAACAATACGCTGGCACCAGTCCTAGAAGACTTGTACTCTTTTTCTGCGGAATAGCTATTGCTTGAGACAAAGTCTCTTTCCCTGAACGTGGAACGGAACCACCATCGCATACTCCTGTTCGAGCCTTACACAACCCAGAGCGCTGCTAACAGAATATGCACAGCTGAGTCTGGTTATCTTACGGTCATTTCTGGCACGTGCCCAGCGCAAAGATGGTCCTCCACAACCCCAACAATTGGCATTGGGTCAATAAAGACGTTTCGGCCTGGGCGCAAGATTATTTGTCCCGAGATCTAGTGGGCCTGAAGGTAGAGAAAGATGGTGTCAGCGCTGAAGTCAGCAAAATCATGAGCATGGAAGGGGATGTAGATGTCAGCCAACGGAAAGGCAAGGTGATCACCATTTTCGACGTGAAGTTGCAGCTTGAGTGGACCGGAAAAATCCCCATCAAGGAGACAAACGAGAAAGATGATGGCTCCACCGAGGAAGTCCAGGGCAGCAAGGATGTCAGCGGTACCATTACTATACCCGAAGTTGCGCATGATACAGAGAAGGACGAGTACGTTGTATGTCTTTCATGTATTCCTGAAATATATTTACTCATAGGCTTTGACTGACGGTACTTGTCCAGTTCGACGTGGAACTGTATTCTGCGTCCCTAGAGAAAGAACCTGCAAAACAGCTTGTGCGAAGCGCTCTTATCCCCAAGCTCCGTCAGCATTTGCAAAAGCTTGGCCCTGCCCTCATCGCAGAACATGGTAAAGATATTCAGCATGCTCCCGGCTCAAACCCATCTTCTGGTTTCAGCACGCCTCGAGTACTGCAGAACAGCGGTGTGGCTAAGAGTGGCGATGCCAACAAACCTACGACCGCAGCCACAGAGGGCAGTGGACAGAAAGTCAATGTGACGAACCTGTCTGATCAACAGGAATTCCGTACCACAGCCGACAATCTTTTCGATACTTTCACGGACCCACAGCGCATTACAGCGTTCACGCGAGGGCCACCGAAAAAGTTCACCTCGAATGGACCAGCGCAAGTAGGGACCGAATTCGAGATCTTTGGCGGAAACGTCAGTGGTAAATACGTAGAGCTCTCGGCCCCGACGACTGTAGTCCAGAAGTGGCGGCTTGCGCAGTGGCCGGCAGGGCATTTTAGCACTCTGAAGATCCGGTTTGAGCAAAACGACGTCGATGCAGTGACCGTTATGCGAGTCGACTGGGAGGGTGTGCCAATCGGACAAGAGGAGTCGACAAAGCGGAACTGGGATGAATATTACGTGCGAAGTATCAAGACAACCTTCGGCTTCGGCACGATTTTGTAGAGGAAGCTTTTTGATGTTGGTATCCCATCAGTTTCCCGAGAGGCTGTTGGTGCGACTGTCCTCGGCCTGGTGGATCACGACAAAGTTACGCCTAGAAAAGAGAAATGAAGTCCAATGAAGTTATGCAAATTTGAACGTCATCCTGTTTTTACATATAGACCGTGAAGATAAACCACTCCAAGTGATGGTACAAAAGTCCAATGTCCCCTTGTACACGTGCTGCTTGCGCGAGCATCTGGCGTACTCTCCGCACACTGAATCAATGTCTCCTGATCGGCCCGAAACCTGTGTATGGGCCTGCACCAAGCCATGCACCACACTTCATGAGCTAGGCTCTCATTGCCGCCGAACGATCATCACATCGAAGTGTCTCCCTCGGCGCGTCAACATGAGGCAGTAGGAATCGGAAGCGGAGCTGAGCTCGACGAATCAGCGAGCAAACATAATGTTGGTTTGCAGCGCAGCGTACCCAGGGTTGCCTCAAAATTTCAGCCGCATCAATCATCCCTTCCCTCCATCTCAGACACCTTGTTCCAGTTCACTTTCTCTTGTAAGGTCCTCTGATCTGTGGGTATAATCGTGAAAGCTGCGAATTGATGGGAGATCTCTGTGAAGCGGCGGGTTTCTACGAGCATTCAAATTTCAGCATATAGATCTGATCAACGGGATGCGCAAAGAATCTTTCTTACCCGAGCATCCATACAACTCCGCAAATTCGTCTCTAATGATGCGCAGCTGGTTGATGTGTGGCCATTGGACGCCCAGCACCCTGCGGAAACACACCGTCAGTCACCAATGAACGACCCTGGAAATACAGCGAATTTGGGGCAACGCCGACGAGGGTCGACAAGGTGCGAGAACTGTGAGATCCAATGCCCACGGCTGTAGGCTTACCCAACATCGTGGCCATGATTGTTAGGCACGGGTTCGCATTGGCTTCGACAGGTCGGCGAATTGTAAGTTTCGGAAGAGGAGGAAGTTTGGGTGACGCTTTCGTGGGTGCGCGCGTCAGCGCGGCTGAGGAGATGGGTGATTTTCCTGCGACCATAGCTGTTGCTTCGTAGATCAAGCTTTGGTAAGTCTCTTGCGCTGATGTGATGGTGAGATGAGTGGAATTCAGATGCTGCGGTCGATGGCGAACATTGTCGAGTTGTCGGAGGTCCTTTGCGGGCTAATCTGGCAAGCCACACATCGGTGCTTGACCCCGGCTCGATAAAAAGCGTTCATGATTGGCCGTCGTTGTACCCGACCCGACAGCTTAGTGCGGGAAGCTCCGCCAAATCCGTCACCAAATAAACAATCCAAAATACATCGCCATACTTCCGTCACTCGTTGAGACGCGTGACATGCTCTATATATTTTGTTTGCATTACATTACCAGCGTTGCGACTCTTGGATCCTCACACGCTCGTGTATGTTCACCGGAATCAATCGCGCACCGCATACATTTCGTTCATGTATTAATCTGACGCAAGACACGCGTGCTCGTCATGGAGAATTCACACGCAACTCTCGCGGATTCGGCTCAGCACAGCAATGTCGATCTTTCAACCGAGCAGCAGGACACTGAACATGCAAACCATGACGCCACATCCAAAGCCCCAACAGCATCATTGTTATCATGGGCGGAAACCGACGCGACACACCTTCTGGCCACCAATATACCCCTAGCTCGCGCGCCCCGCGCATGGGACCGCAAACCACAGTCGCCATTTTCTCGCAAGCGACTAAAGGTCGGCAAGGTGTGGAAGCGAACGAACATGGTATCTACGGTCCTTCCGAGTGGCCCATCTGCCAAACGTCGGGTATCTCTCTCTCCTAGTAAGAAGGCTGTTAAGAAGATTCGTCTTGATGAGGGAGCATCCATTGGCGTGGGAGTCAACTGGGAAGGCCTGAGCAACCCGGAGCGAAGGATTGTGACACGAGCTTCGCGGCTGGCTGAGCTCGATCCTGCACCTCTGATAGTGCTTGCCGAAGATGGTGTCGCTCAAACGGGAGAAGAGAGCCAGGATCACTTTTATGTCGATACAACAAGAGAAAGCATTCCGGAGATGACAGTAGGCCGCTGGGAAGACATAGATCTCAACCTCGAGGAGGAAGAATTGCAAGTTGCGATCACGACCGGAGAGGAGGTGGTCGAGGTCGTGTATCAACAGGATGTAGCGAAGGTGGATCCAACAGGACCGGCGCCTGCACATTTGACGGTGACGATAGATCCTTCAGCTTTGCTTGAGGACTCAGAACATCAAGCGCGAGAGCTGAACAGCTCTATCAGTGGAGGCAGGGAAATCGACGATACGCGTTTCGATGATCGTGATGAAGTAGCGGATCCTTCGTCAAAGGCTTTCCTTCTGGAGCCCTCCGCCAGCCTCACAGAGGCGGCTGCAAACGCCAGGTCAATATCAAATGCGACTGATGGAAACGACGAGATTGAAGAAACTCCGCGAGACAGAGAGGCGCCTGGTCAAAACTCCAGCGAGAGAGTTGACACGCAGGCAGAGGCAGCGACGCCGTGTGACCAAGAACACAACGAGACCACAGCAATTACATTCGCAATGCTCGCTCAAACACCCGTGCTTCCAGCTGGATTTGCTACGCCCGTCAAAGACCGCCGACGTCGGCCAGTCCGTGAAGCTCGGCGATCTCTAGCCGCACGTCGGCGGACCTTACCCGTTGACTTCACCGCTGACGACTCAAATCCTCAATCAACCACGAAAGTTCCACATGCTGAACCAGCAGCGGTCCAAAAAGCGACCTCGCCGCCCCCAAATCAGGGAGGCACCTCTGAGGCAACAACTGTGACAAGTCCTATTGACACAGTCATTGATCCGACGGTCGAGCATTCTGACATGGATATTGAGAATGATTCAGGAGAATGGGAAGATATTGTAGATTCGGCCGATGAGAACCTCCAAAGCGACCTGGATGGCGACGAAACTGGGACGCAGAGTACCAATGGATTAGACCCAAAGGCAGTATTGTCAGAGGTGGAGACATTGCGTACAACGCCAGACCAAAGCCACCGTATGTCAACGACTGGGCAAGATGCTGGCGTAGTTGACCTGGAGCTCATTACACATCGTGAAGGTGAGATTGAGGCTGAAAGAGCATTTATGCCTTCGGACCAAGTCTCAGCTTGCGTTGTACTGCCCTCTGGACAACAAGGTCAACACCCCGTCGAGTCTCCACGGATTGCACAGGACATTATGTTGATTAATGTTTCCCAACATGCTCTCGAGGCTCCGGCGCATGTAGACAATGACGCACATATCCAGCAACAAGACCTCGAAGAACCTCTGAACCGGTCGACCGCCCTACTACGTGCGAGGCGTCAATCGTCTAGCCCACGAAAGAGCCGATCCACAACTTCTTCTCATCACCACCTGCCGCATCTGGTGGCTTTCACACCTATCAAGCTCAACAATCAATTAGCTCTTGATAATAGAATGGAGGAGAATGAGTCCGCAGCACTTGAGTCTGTCGAGTATGATCACGACCAATCAACGGCATATTACGGCGATGGCCTAATCTCTCCGTCCGACATTGAAAGCCTAGCAGCCGGTGCAGAGAAACTGTCGCCTTCGGCGATGCGATCTCTTTCGGCTCCGCCAGAGCCAGCGCAAGCATCACCGCGCAAATCTCGCCAGCCGCGCATATCGGACGATACGGCCTTGCTCCAAGCGTTTTTGAGTCGTGCTGCGGAAAGCAAATCCAAGGCTGAACGGCGCATGTCAGCATCTAAAAGAGAATCGCTCGAGAATAGACGGGATTCTGATTCTATTCGATTTGCACTTGCTAGCAGTCCGGTAGTCCCGCAATTTCAGGAAAAGGAAGCAGACCCCGAGGTGCTCAAGATCCTTGACCCCAACAGTCCATCTCCTCGTAAGCAACAAGCCATTGTGAACAAAGCGATCAAATCTGAGCAACCGAAAGCACTTCCGCAGCCACACTTACCAACTGAAGAGACGGAGAACACAGTTGTAGATGAGGTACAACCCGAATCTCGTAACAAGCGTCGCAGCACCCGGCCAAGAAAACAGACGCAAGTCCTCGACACAAGTGAGCGGACGGCAGCCGCTGATTTAAGTTCTTCAACTTTCGGCCCCAACAAAATCTCGATTCGTCCGTTTGGTTCAGATCCTGTCGTGTGGAAACGACCAGAGGCTCAAGAGATCGCACTACTCACACGTACCAACACACGCAAGAACAAAGGTGCCCTCAATCCACAACAGAGGCTGACAAAGTTGGCTGCCGAAGAGGCTGGACTTGTGCAGACTGAAGGTACCGACATTGTTTCACTTGCAGCTGATCCGCCTAAGATCAAGGCCAAGAATGTGCGCTGGGCCGAAACGCTGGCTTTGTTCCAAGCCGGACCTGTTGTGATTGATGAAGCAGTGATAATTGAGGTCGGAGAGCCAGCTTCGACTACAGTACTAACGGACTCGAACATTTCGGATGAGGTCGTCAGCAAGCCGTACATCAAAAAGCTGAAGCCGCGTCTGACTCCACGTGCACCCATCAACACAGAGACCATAGACGAACTTGCAGATGAGTCCGACGTAATCACAGGGCCTCTAGCCTTCAACCTCCCAGAGGCGTCATTAACGTCCACCAGTGAGGAGAAGGAAAAGTCGAAGCTCAAACGAAGAACGCGCATCGCGACGCCCGCGAAAGTGAAAGTGGGAATGAAATCTTCGTCATCTAAAGCGGACGACAAGTCCGTCCTGCTAGAGCGAGCAATAGCAGCAGCCTCCGCCCCTGCACCAACCACCGAAGACGTGAACCCGGCCCCAATCCCAGCTCCACGGCGATCATTAATCTCAAAACTTCCCGCACCCGTCCCGTCAACGAGCGCAATCAGCACCCTCGCACATCCCGGCCGAGAACGAGAGACGTCTTCGCTCATCGCCAGCCCTCCCAAGAAGAAGATGCGCATGCGGTCGTCGGCGCGACAGCAACAGCAGCTACCGCTGCAGCCAAATGAGCCGACCGCGACGCTCTTCCCGACGGCAACATCATCTGGTCTCAAGCCTCCGTCGTCGGCAAGTTTCGGCTTCACGGGAGCAGCCGTGCCCAAGCTGGAAGCCTTGTCATCGTCGAAGAGCGCCTCGCTTGCGGCATCGGCGGATACAACGCTGATGCTGGTCAGCAGCCCGGCGAAGAAGGCGCCGAGGCTGTTTCCCATGGGTTCCACTTCAACACATACCGTCGGCGTTACTCGCGGGCGGGAACTGGAGGCCATCAAAGGTATGGGTAGTCCGGCGAAGAAGAGAGGACGGCGAGTCTGAGGAGGCATTTGACGACGCGAAGGGCAGCTGGTCGTATTGGACACATCTCTCTATAGCTTGAATTTATGACTTTACGATCCTTTATGTCTCTCTCTCTTTTCTGATAGTACGAAATGCGCGTTGCTCATTGGACACGAAATAGACATAGGTTAGTTGATGACCCGCCTTCTTCTACGATCATGGGTAAAGAACTGTTGCGCCTGTGGAACAGGGCGTTGTGGTATTCTGCTATCAATTTTGAACGTTAAACGAAGTCGACGCAGGAAATTTCGGCTATCCGCAGAGTGAACCAGACAAAGATATGAACTGAGGACAAAGAGCGAGCTTTCTGCATCAAACATCCTTCCGTGGCTCCTCCACGAGCTCGTATTCGCTCCCGGGAGTCGTCGCTTCGTCTTTGAGATCTCTCTCAATGACCCATCCATCTTCGTCCTTGCGCCTGCGTCCACGTTCCCGCATAGCCTCGTGCAGGTTCTTGCTGACCTCGTCCAGGTTCGAGGGCTTGCTGAGTGTTGAGGTCGGCTCCAGACTAGTGAACCCTTGCAAACGGAAGCCACCTCCGCCATGACCGTCGGAGCTGCTGGCACGACTGCGGCTGCGGGCACGGTTTGGCGTGCCGGGCCGTGATGCGAAGATGCTGATTGAGCCGATGTTCTTGAAACTTTCGGTGAGGGGTAGGAGATGTGCTTGAGCGCTTGTGGCCGAATGGCTTGCCGCCGAAGGGGTCTGGGAGAAGTGTAGCGAAGCGTCGTTGGAATCGCGACGGGTCTTGGGCGTGGTAGGGCCGGATCGTTCAGGGGAGTGGAGAGGATGTGAAGAGTCGGTGATGATGCGGTTCTGGTCGAAGTCTGGGAACAATTCAGGACCCAGCTCGTTGATGATCTCGTTGATGCCGTCCTGTAAGGCTTCGCGCCGTTTCCGCAGTTTCAGGAGGATGTTGGAGGAGGCAGGATTTAAGGAGAGTAGGAGAGGTCGAAGCGATTTGACGATATCCATTCCAATTTCGCCAAAGCGGAGCGCGGCGAAACAGATGGCGGGGAAGACAGCGAGACCCACGAAAGGCAGAAGCCACAGCGACAGCCATGTCGGGATCCAGCCATTGACGCGGTTGTGCACTCCCCAAACGGTCAAGATGATGGTGTAGATGATAAGCAGAGTGGGCGCAAGCGCCATGGCCACGAGAATTTTCCACGTCGCCACAACATCGCGAGCCTTCACTTTGACCGTGGACGCAGCCAATGCCTCTTTTGCCTTGCGCCTAGAGATGATCTTTCCGCAGATGAACACCGGTGCAAAGAGAATGACGCCAGGAATCGATGAGACCGAAAAGACTATGACCTTGATCAAGCGGTATACCAAAGTCACCAGAACAGTATACCAAGGCAATCTGGCGTAGCTGACCTGATGATCACGGATGTTGAGATCGAAGAGCTGCTTATTGTAGGCCAACACACTCTTGACGAGATTGACGACACGCGGATCATTCTTGTAGGTCTTGTAGCCCTTGATGAGTCTCCGATTTAACTCGACCACATAAGACAATGGGAGCTTTTTCCCATGTGGTTTGTACAGGCGGCGTACTGCTTGAATCAACATCAGAGTGTCATAATCCGGAGCTTGCACGGTGACGGCCTCGAGTCCGGCATAGACTTTCTCCAGGACCTTGCCAATTGCGTCTCGTCGGTTGCCACTGGTGTATTGCTCAACCACCTCAGGTGCAATGCTTATCGGAGCACCAAATTCGATGACCGCTCGTGACCGGAACTTGTGCGCCGCGAAGTAGTTCATGCCTACAGGGACAATTGTAACACCACAGTCTGGATTCTCCGCGAGAGCACCCAAGGCCATAATCGCGAGGCCAGCCTTCAAGGGCAGTAGCTCCGTCCGATCGTGACTACCTCCCTCAGGGAAGATGCCAATACATCCGCCTTGGTGAATTCTCCGGAAGACAGCCTCATACACCTCGCTCTGATCGACGTGCGGCGCAACACTGAACTTCACACCCTCGAACTTGCCACCATGCTTGTTATCTGCATTGTCCAGCTTCCCGGTGAGTTGTTGCACAGCCGTCTCGCCCTTGAATGGCTTCTTCAGTCTCAGCTCGGTGGGTCCCAGAATCTCGGCGATCTCAGTGTTGGCCGAGGTGCCGTTGACCGCGGGCAACACGATAAGGCCGCCCGGCATGAAGTCATCACTTGTGAAGTCGGTACCGATGCCTTTGAGCAATTTCGGATCGTCGGTGGGGTCTGGTAGGTATATTTTGCCCGTGGCCGGTTTCTTGGAGTCCAACGCTCTTCCCACTGGCACGGAACCCACCAGACCTGCAGCAAAGCCGATGAACGGTCTCCTCATGCTCTTCTCGGCGACAAGGAACGCGATCCGGCGGCGGGCATCGTGTCTTACCACGCGCATCAAGAGCAGTGGGTCAACGAATTGATTTGCGTGTGGCGCCGCGACGAAGATGACAGGCCCTTTCTTTGGAATGCGCCATGTGCTTCGCGGGTGAATCTCTCGGAAGAAGAGGTCGATGATGATAGTGAAGGTCCATAGGAAGATATCGTAGACGACGGCACTGTAGGCCTTCTTCGCCCGGCGTGAAGGCGCCATGGTCTGCCTGATGTGATGCGCAAGTATTAGACGCCCTTTTTCGGAGAATTGTAACGCGGGCGGTTTTGAATTTATGCGTCCATGAATGGCGATGTCGTCACCCTGATTCTGATGACTCCCAAGAAACCCAGCCTGTCAATACTCTCTGGTGCTCTGGCAGCCAGATCGGATTTGGTCGCAATTAGAAATTAATAATTACCAAGAGGAAGACTGTAATGGAAGGAGTGGAATGATGGAAGATGCGCTATGGGAAAGCTGGTCAAAGTATGGGCACTTCCATGATCGGCTGCCGCAGCCCAGCTTTGAACAGTTTGGGCGAGTATTTTGTTGAGAGCGAAGAAGAGGGCAGTGGGGCAGTTCCAAAACAGGTGATGCAGCTCACTGACCCATCATCAGTGCAACAGCCATGGAAATTACGGTGCGGTACAGTGCGTCCCACGAGCGAAAAAGACAGGAGACTCGCCCGCCTGTCTGCCTGTCTGCCTGTCCTTCCGCCTGATAATAGCATGCTCGCTCCGACTGCTGGGATTATTATCGCGATGATGATACTAGGTACACACCATTGATCGGATTTTGGCCAATGCAACGGAAATGAAAAACTGAGAGGGAAGCGCGCTCGAGATGGTCCGCTCAGCCAATGACGTTATTGGCACTTCCTCGTGCACGCGGCGGACACGAAATTGGACGAAAAGGCCAGCGATCTGCATTGTGACAGAACGCGATTGAGTTGGAGTTCGTGTGTCCGGTTCAGGTCTGGTCATCTCGGAAAAACTCGCCAGAATGAAAATTACAGTATCGAGCTGCCTACAATGACTGTCAGAGTGTCCAAAGAAAGATGACCTCTGCCTGGACACTTCTGCTGGGAGAGCGAACGCCCAACAATCTTCGGAGGAATATTGGCTGAGCGGGCTACCATACCACGTGTGTAGGTGCTGTTTATTATCTGGTACTGTAGGACGTGCGATGGGCGCTGGCTAATAAATACCTGGGGAACGGCAACAAGAATCATCTTCTGGCCATGGCTCGTCTTCTTTGTTTTTGACAGGTGAGAGACGAGAGCTTTCAAAGTTTCCAAGGTTATCTTATCCGTGTTTTACCCTCTCAATGTTTCACAGTTCATCAATTTCCGTCTCCTTCATCACTGCAGCGAAGCTTCAATGCCATCCGACATCCCTTCGAGCTTGATCATCAAACGATGCGTCGAACAACCATGAAATCGCAAGTCCGGTGAACTGATGGGCTACATGTGCCCGCTACAGTTCTTGGTCTCTTTTTATGATGGCCCCATATCATAATAATTACCACTGTGAATGAGCAGTATTGCGAGACAAAGCGACGTGAGCCTAAGGTCGGCTTAAACTCCATACTGGCCCTGGACGCCGTCGAGACGAATCAGCTAGCTACCTGCCTCTCTCCCTTGATCTCTAAGCCCGAATCGACGCCGTGGGCATGGCCCTAGGTGCTGCAACAATCAAAATCGGCCCGAGAAAGCATTGCCCACAAACGGTCTACTTCGCCTGTACGTGATCAGAAACTGGCTGACCTCGCTATTTACCCACAACGCCAGCCCGCCTCACACGATCGATCGCACAACACACAGCCTCGTTTTCACATGCGACTAATCGCCACACTGAAGCTGACAGGGGTAGATAGAGGCAGAATCAAGCGAGCCTTGTCATGTGAGTGAGATGCCGCTCGAGGCTCGAGGCTCGACGGCGACGGCGACAACGCCACCACACATGCTTTGGTGTTGTTGCCATGCGCGGTCGCGAGCAAGCCAGGTGCCACCAACCACGCGATCATGATCGCCAACAACCTCCACTTCTAGCATGGCGTCCTAGGTGTGGGCATCCGTTGGTGTGCCACATGTATAAGGTACAAGTACTCCCAGCATTTTGTCACCAGGAGCTACCGATGATTTGATAGTCGTGGCTGAGCATGAAGATACTGCATACATATCACGGACGAGATACGGAATCATGGGTACAGTATCCACCATTGTGATGATTGAACCATATGTGAGGAACGCTATTCGACGTAGACGAGGGAGGATGTACAGTTCCAGTCCAAGTTCCTCGGAATCGTGAGGACGTTCGTGAAAGCCAGAGACTGTCTGCTGTTTCGTATCATGAGATCAAAAGCGCCCGAGATCACACATGTTAGCACTTGGGCACTCCGCCTTGAGTCGTATTGGGAGGAATTTGATGGTGCTGACAATTTCTTACTTTTCGATTTTCTGATAATCATCGGCCATTGTGGTCACTGCATGATCCCTTGTTAGTGTTTGTATCAACTCTGACCTACCAGTATGTGAAGTAGGAAGGAAATGAACATAGATGGTGGTGGTGTCGTGATCATGTGAATGAAATCCGCTGCATGACGACCGCGCATGGAGCCGGCTTACGCGCCCATCGACCAGGATGACAATCCTCTTTCTTTAAATACCATCATAGCAACCACGGTGTCAGTCATGGATGCACATCAATATCCGATTGCGAGTACCACACTGGAGGGTTGTTGATCGAATGGAGAGAGCGTCTACGTACCCCTTCCTCCAAGTTTTCCATGAGCCTAGAGCATCGTCTTGGCCCGCTGGTACTGCTTGCCGGTTCCAATTGGAAGGATACATGCACTCATCATGCTTACAGATACGTCTTCCACCACACGAGACACGTAGGCTGACATGCGGAAGAAGAAACATCTTCCGCCAAGAACATGGCCCAGTCGGTCATCCTTGCAGATGATCCGCTTAGCACTCCGACGTAGATCCATCAGTTGACCGGTCAGTCTGGTCGTCATATCGTCTAGACCGCCTCCGTATGTCCAGCGCACACCATGCGGCTTTTCCATACCGGTGTGGGAGATCGGGTCCGGGTCCGATACTGCTTGGGACGATCGGATGTAAGCGAGAGGGGGAGATGATTCTGGGTCTCCATACGGGATATCTCGTGATAGCACGTCTACGTTCTGACATACAGCATGACTGCATGTCCAGTGCTCGTTATCGCTCGCCGAATGTAACAAAATATCATTATAGGTCTGCTGCCAAGCGCAAGGTGAAATCTCGTCTGAGCCCTCGTCAGCTTCAAGAGAGCTGGGGTGCGGGGATGGCGGTCCCAAGCACATCTGCGGTTGGCATTGGAATACGATGCGATGGAAAATGGGCTGGTTCGAGAACAGTGCCCCCCCCCTCCTTGTGTGTTTGGGCACCGAAACAGTCAGCCCGAAAATCCAACCGCATGAAACCGCAGCCGGCCTCCCATGTCCTTGGTCGCCCAACAATCACGGCGATGGCGACTGGACAGTGGAACGAAGGCTTGCGTGCGCAGATCCTTCAAGTCTCGCTTCGAGGGCAAATTGCGAAGGATGGATGTCTGTTGGACAGTATCTGTCCCTCCCCTCTCTGCAGTATGACGACGGGATCTCGGCATACCGGTGTCATGCATCGCAGCTTCACCGGCCAGCACACGAGGAAGGACATCTCCACTTCCTCCAAGGATGCTGATGCATTGTCTGCTGTAGGCAGTCATTCGGTAGCACCACATCTCGATCCTTCGCCATGCGAGCGTCCACGAAGGGCTGATCCCTCACCGTGCGAGGCCGCGAGCATTTGCCTATGACGATGTCCCAAGTTGTCGCGGCCGTCCGGGACGAGGGAGGTGTGATGAGGAGGGATATCTTCGGAACTAGAAGGTACAGTACCTCTCTCCTCGCCACCTCGCGCAAATGAACGACTGGGGTAATCCAATTTCTAGTTGGGAGTCACCCAAACACCAATCGAAGCGCGAGAAATAGGGCTGGAGGCGAGGTGGGGGCAGGAATCAGGATTCATCGCCTGTTTCTCTGCGCACGCAGCACCCTCGGGCCTTGTACGTACCAGGACTCGAGACCTCACAGTCTTACCGAGAGCGCGTGTGCGCGCCCTGATTGCAATCCTAAGACCTAGTCGCAAGGACGGCGGATCCATCGCCTCTTGGCGTTTTTCTGCAGCGATGGGGGTTGATGCGCAGACCGCTTTGATCCCACCAAGAAATGTGGAAAAAGCAGGATTGCAGATACGAAGCAAGAGCACACACTTTCGGTAGAATGTCGTCCCGCTTCGATCATGTGCGTGCATGCGTGTGTGTGCATGATGATGGTGGTGGAATGACTATACATAGCACAAGAGGAGATCAAGAGCTCGACGTCCGTCGCGAGAGAGGTGGAGGAGTACTTGGCAACACCCGAGTCTCGTGGAGGGGAGGAATGTCCGTGGCCTCGAACACGATTCTAGAAGGGTGGTACTTGTACTATAGTAACTATAGGCATCCCGCTGCAATGTCCGAGTGAAGTCCGCGGTACAGGTACCTCTGGTGGCTCCGCAAATCGATTATTACATTACATACACGACTGCCCATCCGTGGACTGCATAGGATGCGAGGTGGGTGGTCGATCATGTCGACATTCATCGCGATGGTTGATCATGAAGGTCATCACCGCCCATTCTCGACACGTAGGCTTCGCAACCCTGTCAGCATGAAACATAGCTTGGGCGGGGTGAGCATGACTGATATGCTGTACCGACATCGCGTCGGATATCGCGCGGTACGATCGCGACAGTGAACGAGGAATACGATCTTGATGATATTGTTGGCAGCGTTATCATTTCAATGGCATTTACGGGACGCTGCGGAGCGAAGGAACGGGGTCATAAAAGTCATAATCAAAAAGTCATCTATGCTGGATATCGGAGACGCGCTAAAACGCACTGCTTTTTCTCAACGATGCCGCCCATGCAAATTGTTGTCTCATCATCAGTCGTCATCGTGAAGAAAAGGAATCGCTCGCTCAAAAGCAAATGCAACGCAGCTGACGCAGAAAAAGCACGGAGTATTAAATCGAGGTACATGCGGTATTTGTGCAGATGAACAATGCTCGTGATGACAGGCTGGATCGGTAAGCACCTGCGAGGACAAGAATAGAAGAATGGGGGAAAGCGATGCGAATTGAGGGGCAAACAGCAGGAATCGGTCAGGAGAGCGTCGGGATTCGGTCGGCGATCGACGGCAGCCAGTTGGAGAGTCATCAGTCGGTCAGTCCGTCCGGCGCAGGTAGGATTGGAAAAACGCTGCAAATAGCAGAGAATTGTAACCCCACACACCACCAACGCCATCAATCGTTCAAGGAATCAATCATCGAACTAAGAGTATGCGGTGGAAGAAGAAGAAGACGAAGAGGAAGCGATGAGTGACACCTGCATCTCGCGTGTCGCTGGCCGAACTTTCGCCGTTAGGGCTAGTCGCAAAACAGGGCGCCGTCAAGTCCGTGGGTCCACGCGACAAACGTCATGGAAGAGTCCAAGGTTGAAACTGGTGTGTGTGTGTCCTTGCTCAGCGACACGAAACCCTCTTGTCCAACGGTCATCCGGCGCCGTGCCACTCACTTGCATGTAGTATCGTGATGTCGCTTGCCTCCTTTTTTCGTTGTCTCTTTTTCCCATCCCTCCGCCCTCCCGCTCGGCTAGGAACTTGGTCATTTGATGCGGTCGGAAGGGCTGAGCGGCCCAAACATTGTTCCAGCTGGAGCATGTTTGTGATATCAGTGGTGATCGGTTCGTGTCGCTGCTATAGAGTAGGGTTGAATGATTTCAACGACAAAGCTTGCACAAATCGATCAGATCGGCTGTCACTGTCGTGTTTGGAAAGTAGTCGCCATGGGTCATCTTCGCTCGCAGCCAGCCGAATAGGTATCATGTGAAGAATGCGCCCTTGCGCGATCGAGACATGCGTTTCCAGATATGATGATCTCCCAGCAGGAAATCAATCAGCGGGCACTGACGATGCTCAGCAATTGCAAAGCCTTGCCTCGAATAGTCGCGTTGGTGCATCGGGCGCCGACGACGCGGAGAGGGTCTCGAACATCGAGCGCGCCATTGGCAGCGCTGCTGTCGCTGGCGGCCGCAATGCCCTGTTCGTGTCGAGATCGTAGAATCGCCTCGGCAAGATCCACGATGGCCTTGAATTCAGTCTCGAACCGATCAAAGGACGAGGGGTTGGTATCGCTTTCCGCTGCGAGGACGGTGCAAGCGAGGTGATTGGCCTTGAGGATGCGGCAGCGGGTGACCTCATCGACTGGCAAAGTCGACATTGAATATGACAGATATGCTGTGAACGCTTGCTCCCACTGCTCAAGCCATGTCTGGAAGTGTCGGCGCTCATTCGCGTCGATAGGAACGCCGTTCCATACCCGGGTCAAACGACCCAGGCAGTGTTGGAGCGTTGCATGTGCTTGGGAGAGGTTGACAATCCGGCTGACGATGGGCATGGGGAGCTCCCGTGAGGTCGACATATCAGTGAGTGATTTGGTGATGGACACCTGATAAGCGGAAGGCACTTTGGACATCAACAGTTGACTGTGATAAGAATCACGAGCGAAGGAAGGCATCATGTATGTGTCGAGGTGAGCAAGAAAAGGATTCGGTGTGCGGCACAGGGAGGGCGATGCGCTGTAAGTAAGATATCACGAGTGATGAGATAGTCCGACAAATGCTGTGCCGTGCCGAGTGGTGTGAGGTGTGCTCTCCGCGGTGAGTGTAAGACGAAGGGTTAGTGGATGCGAGCTATCGTGGTGTCGATTGTAAACCTTGCGGCGTAGTGGTGTTGGGATCAGGACCTTGCTCGGCTGTCGACAGCTCGGGAAGACTACAATCTGATGCAGAAGGAGGTGTGGAAGGATAAGCAAGCAAGGTCGAGGGACGGAGGGATTGGACTATGTATATGTTCCTCATGACACATGGTGTAGCAGGCCATGAAGGATGTTCTGAGCGCGTGGTCTGTCTGCACTGGCATGATGCCAAAGCAGGACCACCGACTAGTCCACTACGCGTACTACGTGCCTCCTGGTCCGGCGCAGTTTGTCTCGGGGCCGAGAGAAAGTCCACGATACTATTCGCGGCGCCATCAAATTTGTGCTGCTAGATGGACCGGCGGTTCCCTCAAAGGTGAAGAGCCCGCTCGGCACCGTGCGGCCCTCTTTCTATTCGTAATAGGCGAGTGCTTCCGGCTGAGTGGACACACAGACACACCATTTCCTTGGCTCCTACAGGATCAAGAAGCATCGGTCGGCCCAAGTTGCTCGCAAATTTTTCCCAGCATGGGCACCGACATAGCCTTTCCTTTCCAACCACTCTAGTGCGCCGGAAAAGGGAGGAGCAAGACGAGGCCCGGTCTCCGATAGCGACAGTGGTAGTAGCAGACAGCACCATGACGGAATTTGATGAGAACTTTAGAATCAGTAGAGCCCGAGACTGTGCGCGCCGAAATCAAGTCCCACTCTACACTCCACCCTAGAAGCCTTGATGTCGTCCACTAGCCAAACCACTCGGAATGGGCCAGGCGCGGGTCCTTCGCGTGCGGTCAGGCGTGCGAGACACCTGGCACTTCCGACGCCTCGCTACAGCGTTGAGGGACAGTCGCTGGGAGCTCACGGCGATTCGGTGAAATGTATGTGCCACTCGACCGTGATAACCTAGCTATCCCGCCGGAGAGCTCTATTGGTCGGTACACAGGTAGGTTCTGTGCAATTTGCAAGTAGTCGTCGGCGTGCCCAGATACATAGCTACTTAGGTACCCAAACACAGAGTAACATCAATGGTTAGGCCCAGCTGTGCCATGTGCGTGCCGCATTTTCCGACATGTTCATTAATAACAAGCTCTGTCTCATCGGTACCATCCACTCCAGCTCTCAATGACATGCCATGTAATGTCCTAAGGGTGGGATGGTGCCCAGGCGTGCCGCGCAACGCCACGACGCGCGCAGATGACGACGACGCCGCGAAGGACCTTTCACATCACAGAGACCACACCAAGCGCGGTCGATCGCGCATGGGCGTCGTGGCCCGACTGAAATCACAAGTCGCGGACAGTTCATCGCCGACGGCCACCAACTTCTGCGCCTCGCCGAGAAGGGGGGGGATTTTTGCATTTCATCGTGACGCGGTAACACAGCGACAGCCATCCTGCAGGTGTCCTTAGACGCTGACCAACAAGAATTGTCGCGCCAATGCAGGACGGTCTTTAGCACTCAGCAGTGTTGACGCAAAAGCCCCTCGGTCTCACCGCAGCCAGCATTGGGAGCAGGTGGCATTGTGGTGTGGGTGGTCATCCTGTCGGAAGATGTACAAGACTCGTTTCAATGACATTTGCAGTACGCCATCACTCGAGCACAATAACGAGCATGTCCTTCGATGACTCATTGGCTTCCCTTGCAGGTACATTCCGCTATCCCGGCGATCACCTCCCACCATACAACATACATATGCGGTCAGTTCAAGAGCGCATACACACCGTGCCTTGGCTTGCAAGTGTCTCGCTTAATTTGTGATGGAGTCGAGTGGGCTTACTTCAGGAGGGAGATGTGCCTGACAGAGCGCAAGGAAGATTACATCGCCCGAAGACAACGACCAATGCTCTTGAAGTTTGTACCATAGATGCACCCCTCTAATCCAACGGATTCACCGGCGCTTTCTCCCATGGACAGTACCAAGATAGGGCTGATGGCGAAGTTTCATGGCTGATGGCCACGCGAGCGCCCAGCCCGCGGCGTACGTCCAGCGGCGTCCAATTGGTCTGGCGAATGGGCTAAAATCGTCAGGTGTTGCGGTGTGCCGAGCAGTGAGATCGGACCTGTTGTTCTGTCCAAACAGGCGCCTGTCGTCGGCACCAGATGTCATTTCATTGTGCAGTAAAGACTTTCATCTATCTCAGTTGTTGGTACTGGGTGTCCGTATTAAGATAAATCATAAGCCATTCAGAAAATCATGCGGAACGGTACCGCGGCCGATGATCATCATAATGAAAACCTGCACCTCCTCACCGATGTTAGCCTTCAAGTTCCGCAGCTTCGGAGGTGAGGTGTCTGCCCTGCCCATGTGCTCTGTAATCCATGTACGTACAGCGGCACACCGCATGAGATTTCGCACCACTGTTCTCCTTGCCGCACTTGTTATCTTTGCTACGCGGGACCGATGGAAGCAGGCCAGGTCGTACTCGTATTGTTATTTTTTCTTCCACACACATGACGCACGCCTACTCGTGCCACCATGAGAACGGGCCTATCTGCTGCGACGGCACACTGGAGATCCTTACTACACTCACTAGATGATTTTCAGATGTGACTACAGTACCTATGTAGCTTGAGAGCACAAGCGTGTTGACTGTGCAAAAGGACCGCCTGTTTGTGAAGGTCCCGATGTGGAGAGACTGCCTGGCTCGATCAGCAATCAACGGAACCCTTTCGAGCCCTACAGCACTATACCCAAGGTTGTCGAGACAAAGATGTGGGCAGTAAGCATGATTCACGAGATAAGATGAGTGTTCGAAGACTCACTCCTGCTATTTTGAGGAGCGCGCAGCTCGACAAGCAGTCACTGTATCTCGTTATCATGCCGCCAGAATACCTAGGTATGGCACAAGTACTGTTATATCTTAATATTGACATGACGCAAGTGCCACCCAAATGCTTGATCAACAAGTCTTCGGGTATGTTTTTTGGTGCTCAATGTTGCAAAGGGTTATACATCAACCCTGTGCTTACCGTGCGTAGCTTTCACGATACTTTTGAGCTTGCGTCCGATTGATCAGTCCTACTGATCCTCTCTCTAGCGGTGTGTGGTACTACCCACAGTCGTTGTCGATCTTCACTGATGATTGTGCCGCGCGACAACGTGCGCCCACCTGGATCCGAGCATTCTGTCGATAAAGCAGTTTCTCATAGTCACCGTGGCTCACCTTCACAGCTGTGAATATCTAACAAGTGTCCTAAAATATACTCAAAGTTAGATTCTCGTCGTTTCTAATCTAGGATCACCTTGGTAATCGAGTTGTCAACTAGTACAAGTGATGAACGATGAACGCAAGAGTTGTATTCAACTGTACTCAGAATTCGAAACACCGTTATGATAAGCATGACACAGTGCAGCATACGACGATACTGCAGCATCACATGCTATTCATCATACGTCGAGGGTCGACTTTGGTAGACAGTTGTGGATAGAGTTGAAACAAAGCGGGCTTCATGATGCAGGTTTGCCGAGCCAATGATGATGGCCTCGGTGGCCGAGGCAAACACATGTGCGGCGGAAGTTCCATATTTCTGACGGCTCACGAGGTCAAGTGCAAGTGTTGGCCGAGGGAAGCGAATATTTTGACCTGATCGACGGTGAACTTCATCTACTTCTGCAGATCATTTTCCCTTCCTTCTTGTTCTACATCCGTCAATTGACATATTCACGCCTCAATCATGTCTGCTCAGTCTCGTCTCAACCAGGTCACATCCCACCTCAAGAGCTCCGGCCGCCCTGGCCTGCTCGAGAAGAACCCCGACGACATTGTCGTCACCGCCGCTCTTCGAACTCCCTTCACCAAGGGCGGCAAGGGTGGTTTCAAGGACACTGCCGGCGCCGATCTCCTCCACGGCGCCTTTGTCAACCTCATCAAGCGCTCCGGCATCGACCCCAAGCTCGTCGAGGATATCTCTGTCGGCTGTGTCCTCGCCCCAGGCGGCGGTGCCACCGAGTTCCGTGCCGCCGCTTTGGCCGCCGGCTTCCCAGAGAGCACTGCTGTCAAGAGCTTGAACCGACAATGTAGCTCAGGTCTTCAGGCCTGTGTGGAGATTGCCAACGCCATCAAGGCCGGCATGATCGAGGTCGGTATTGGTGCCGGTGTTGAGAGCATGAGCACGCAATATGGTCCGGATGCCGTCACCGAGTTCTCCGAGCTGCTCGAGAACCACAAGAGCGCTGCTGAATGCAAGGTTCCCATGGGTCGCCTCAGCGAGGACATGGCTAAGGACTACAAGATTGCCCGCAAGGACCAGGACGAGTTCGCCGCCAACAGCTACAAGAAGGCTATCCAGGCGCAAAAGGCTGGTCTCTTTGACCAGGAGATCGTTCCTCTGACCGTGAAGTGGACCGACCCCAAGACCGAGGAGGAGAAGGAGATCACCGTCTCCAAGGACGATGGCCTTCGGGAGGTCACTGCTGAGTCGCTCGGCAAGATTCGCCCTGCCTTCGCCGAGGACGGTTCCATCCACGCTGGTAACGCCTCGCAGATCTCCGACGGTGCCGCTGCCGTACTGCTCATGAAGCGCAGCACTGCTGAGCGCCTCGGCCAGAAGATCCTCGGAAAGTACGTTGCTGCTTCCATTGTCGGTGTCGCACCGCTTCTCATGGGTATCGGTCCATGGAAGGCCATCCCTGTCGCCCTTGAGAAGGCCGGCATCACCAAGGACGACGTCGACATCTTCGAGATCAACGAGGCCTTTGCTTCGCAATGCTTGTGGTGCGCCAACGAGCTCAAGATCCCCATGGAGAAGATCAACCCCAAGGGTGGTGCCATTGCCTTCGGCCACCCTCTCGGATGCACTGGTGCCCGACAGGTCAGCACCCTGCTTTACGAGCTCAAGCGAACCAACAAGCAGGTCGGTCTGACCTCCATGTGTGTTGGTACTGGTATGGGCATGGCCGCTGTCTGGGTTGCGGAATAAGCGTGTAAATGGAGGATTTTGTCGACGATGAGTTAATGTGCAGCGCTTTCGCTTCTACAGTGACAATGACTGCACGATCCAGATCGGATGTGAAACGAGTGTTGGGAGTGATTCAGAAATACCATAGAGGGTCCTTTTGCCGCATTGTGTACAACGAAATAACGCCATTGCTATGATTTACCATTTACTCCAAATCCTCACATATCTATCTACATTCGTGAATTTCGTTTGACAGCATGAGCAAGGCTTTGGACCGAGGATGAAAGGTGAGATTCACCCTCTCGGATCTGCACAGAGGATCTGCTTCATTGCCTGGATCTCCGATGGATCGGCATGCTCCCCTCCTGACGGCGTAGCCGCAGAATGGAAGGCAGAGGCGCGTGTACTCCAGCAGAGACCTGCAAGATTGCTTGCCCGTACACCTCCTCCAGGCATGAGGACGATCCGTCCGGCAGCGAGCTGTACCAATCGCGCCAAAGTTTCCTTACCTTGTGATGCATTCTGTGCCCCACCAGAGCTGAGGATCGTGCGACAGCCCGTCTGCGCAATGTCCTCCAGCGCCTGCTCCACATCTGCAACCTCATCAAAGGCCCGGTGGAAGGTGCACGGCAGCGGGCTCGCACGTTGCACCAGATCGGCGGTCCGGAGGACGTCCACACGCCGGTCCTCGCTGAGAATCCCGAAGACGAAACCATCCACGTAAGGCTTGAATTGGGCGATATCGGCCTGCATTGATTCGAACTCCGACACGCTGTAGTAGAAGTCACCGCCACGTGGCCGGATCATCACGAACATGGGAGTGGAGACTACTCTTCTGACTTGCTGGACCCATTCGAGTGGTGGGCTTGTCCCGCCGAGGTGCTGGTTGTTGCAGAGTTCAATGCTATCAGCACCGGCGGAGCAGGCTGTCTGGGCGCTGACGGGATTGAAGCAAGCTATCTCGAGCAACATCACTCCAACTTTCGGAGCGAGACGATCAAACTGTAGCGTATGTAGGCATTCGAAGTGGATCTCGGTGGAGCATACGGGTGAGATGCAGTAGATTCGAAATCCCAGTTGTGGGATGCACAGGCCGGCTTGAATGCGAAGAGATCACGGTGCCCGTGGTAGTTTAGCCCGAAGAACGGTCGCTTTGCATGATGTTAGCTAGTCGTACGTTCAAGTTTATAGTGCGTATTTTTTTCATAGTTCGACGTTACAGTCATAAGCCGAGCAGCTCGGAGTTTGCTGCACAAATTCGCGATACGTACGTAATTGACCAGATGACTCATATGACGGTGAGCCAGACGTACTGCACATATATGTGTGCTGAGTCTGAGAGTAGCCTCAGGGGTTGATGAAGTGTAGTTGAGGACGGAAAAGATCCAAGGCATTGTCTCGCTGAGGCTGTCGATCATGTCCTTGCCCAACTCCAGATGGGGCTAGAAGAGAGTTTGTGACACCGACTCGGGCGATCTTTGAAGTCCTTCTTGCAGCATCAGTGCCTTCCAAGGTTACATACATCACCTCCACCTGGGCAGGCTTTTATTTATTCACAGGGCATTGGCCCCTGAAGGACTTTTAAAGAATTGTACCATTTGTCCCTGAAGGACATTCCGGCATAGCTAAGTCAATGTCCAGCTTGAAGACGCCCGTCAAGCGTCGCTGTGTCCGTTGAACCTGCAACCTTTACGGGTGATGGGTGTCGTTTCACTCTACAGCGAGGACCTGTTGCTCTAAGCAAATACGACGATACCTCGTAACTAATCTTCGACTGGGGAGCGATTCGTCAACATCAGTCTCAAAAGATATCGTGCAAGCATTTCCCCCCATAAGGTCTCTTCACCACATTGAACCCTAGCAGACGGAAATGCCGCGACCAAATTTAAGGTCGTTGTTTGCGGCTTTCTTCGTCTGCCATTGTCAAGGTTGAGCTTCAAAGACGGAGCAATCGACAGTCGCTGTGAATCTCATAGACCCACACAATGGCCGCAATCATGCAGGTGGTCATCGCGACTGCTAGGAATCCAGATTACAGACGATACCGTCATCATCTGTTATGGCATCAAGATGTCTTCAGCGGTCTGGCATGACCAAGCTCGACACAGGCGATGACGCTTCCATGGCTATCATCGTGTCCATCATCGAACAAATGCCGGACCAGCGAGAGGTCAGAGCAAATCGATTTCTTGGCGACGCCGAATCATTGCCTACGCTTTCTCGCACCTCGATCACATAATGACCATCACTCATCCATGGATGGCTCGCAAGATCCGGGCGACGGACTGTCATCGCCGCGGGACGTTACCGACGCAACCGGCAGACGAGGCTGGTCTCCGCGGCCTGCTCCACGACATAGATCCATACTTTTGTGCTGCAGCAGACCGCTTTGAGTCAATTGGTGGAGAGTTTTCACCAACAAGCATTTACACCAGCGAGCGTGTCGTGGTGATGGATTCACGAAATGAAGGCGAAACGATGCGGTTCAAACAAGCATATGTGCTTACCTAGGTATGGACTGTACTAGTAATTGCTGTACTGCACACATGAATAGAATCCCGCTGAGGCGACAGCGACAGCGGCAGCGGCAGCCTGGAAGATGCTATCGGTCGAGTGCATGATCGGCAACTGTGCGGGAGCAGCCGGTAGCGCTTATGTTATCGATTGGCTGAGAAGGTGCCGCGAACGCCTGGGACAACCCCACCAAGGCTGCATCTCGAGCAACATGTATGGTAGAAGATGGCTGGGGTACTGGACACAGGGACCCGTCAACATGCGCTCCCTTGACAGCCAGGAGCCATGCGTCGCGACTCTTGTACCTGCGCCTGGCCGCCTCGACCGTCTCTCCTCTTGTTGTTATATGATCAATCATAGAAGAAACGACATCCAGCACTCAAGACCAACCAGTCATCGCAGTCGGCAGATCATGTGGTGACCACGCGTGTGACTGTTAACCACCGGCGCTGGATTCCAACACTGCACTCGTGGAGACGCCCGCGCGACGCCTTGTTTCAAAGCGCTTTCAGAATCGTATAAGAGCCCGAGACGGCACCCGCGCATGCGACCGAGTTGCGGCGCATTATCCCACATCAGTCTTCAACCCGAATGCACATCTCAGTCAGGATGTCACCACAAAAGTTACTGCCCGACTCACATCCGAGTTTGGGCGCCAGCATGGATGATTTCGAAGCGCGCGAATTCTCTCCCACTATCCCAGACTTGCCGTCGCAACACTCGGGCTTTCGCAGCAATCATAATTCCGAGTACAGCGAGTCGAGCTCACGTCGATCATACTCCCCTCCCGCCTGGCGCAAAGCTGGTAGCGGATGGTTCAAACACCAACAGTCTGGATCTCCGAGTCGCATGGGATTCAGCAGCACGAGTCCTGCGTGGATGGGACCAGACGATGAGGGCGAAGACGGCGACTTGACCGCATATAGAACTGCGCGGAGAATACCATTGCCGGAGTCGCCTGTGAAGGGTCGAACGCCTAGTAGCAGTCCGGAAATCGTCATGACCGCTCAGCCGGTTGCGCGAGAGTTGAGTCGAGAGCCACAAGTCCAGACGCCGCGGCGCACACCGAGCGAGACGAGGACATCAGAGCCCGAGAGTCCTTCAGCCAAGACGCCAACACAAAACAATTGTATGTATTCATATGTCCTGGCGATTCGGTATGGATGTTGACGTGCTGCAGACATCCGCTTCTCGACCTCTTTAGATGTCGTACAGCGGACTGAACCTATCGAAGCAATGGTCAAGACTGTCAGCAAGACCTGGACACATATAACTCGAAGCAGATACAACACATTCTTCTACGCAATGTCGACGCTGTTAGCGTACTGGCTCGTGTCGAGTCTCTTGAGCACTCCGGCGAATAGTCCAAGCCCCGATCTCATCAAAGTCGCAGCAGTGGCGAAGTCATTCGAGCCGGTCATATATTACTCCGAGAACGGCCATGATCAGATCCAACAACTTCACGAGACGGGCCTGGCCGTGTGGGACCTCGGAGAAGGCATGAGGAGCACCAACATGACGTCTGCGCCGTTGATCGTCAATCAGCTCGATGAGCTGTCCGACAGCTTGAAAGTGTTGTCTTTGGAAATGACTCGGTTCTTCACATCGGTGGATTCAGACGTAGATAACATCATCAATGTCATGGAGTGGATCCAACTCGAGCTCGCGACGATTTCCGAAAGCTCGCCGAGCACAATCAGCTCGGTGTGGTCAAATACGCACACCATTCTGGTCGGCATGGGCCTATCAACCGAGAGCCGTGTGATGCAGCAGATCTTCGGGCAGACGTACCAACAGAAGACCAAAGCGCTACTGGACAGGACGTTTTACGAGTTCCTCAACGTGCTGGAAACAGCGATCACGAATGAATTGACATTCTCTCTGCAACTCTTCACGCTGTTTGAAACGATTGACAAACAATTTCTCAACCTGCAGCGAACGGTGATTCGCGAACAAGACCAACAAGAAAGATCAGAGTCGGAATTTCTCGGTAGTCTTTGGACCAAAGTGATAGGAGTCAACGCGGGACAATTGCGCAAGTACGAGAAGAACAAGGAACTCCTCCACAGCGTGCGCGAGCGAACCGTTGGGAACAAGCGAGTGCTAACGGAGCATAACCAACGCTTGTTGCAATTGAAGTCGAACCTGGAAATCCTCCGCCAGAAGCTGGTCAGCCCGCTAGTGCGATCTACCAACTCCAGCACCATCTCAGTCGCAACGCAGATGAAGGGCCTCGAGGCCACCTACGCCGGACTGAAGCGCAGTCGGGACGAGCAAAAGGTTAAGGTCCGGGAGTTGGTGTATGGGGCACGACCGAAGCACCACGACGCCGGAACAAAACCGGTCGGTATCGAAGCCACTTGAAGCAGCACAGGCGGAAAGACTGCCGACGACAACGAAGAAGTCGCCAACAAGAATGGCTGCGCGAGTTTTGGGAATCAGTCCTGCCAAGCAATGTTGGTTATGATTTCGGTCTACAGATGACTGACGATTACACGAGCATCTCTTATGCGCCTCAACTTTTACGTGGACAATGGTTGCGCAGTCCCCAGCCACAATAGTCAGCTTGTCAGCCTGTCAGCACAGCTGACGTTGGCGCTCGAGCGCATGCTCGCGTGAGATCTCCTCGCATCCGGCGACAACCTCGCACGGGTATAGCCTGGGCGCCCGAGACGCATCCCTGAGCGATGACGATCGTCCGATATCTACGTCTGATAGGTGATCAGGTCGGCGTCAACCATATCGGGGCGATAGGATCAGCAGGATCTATCAGGAGTTTGCACACCCAAGGATCTGAGGATCGCGCCGCCCTCTAGAGGGCATCAGCTTGAAGGGGCTGCACAAATGCGCAATGTGACGCTGTTGGAAGCCATGGATAGAAGACGTCGAATGTCAAATACAGCATCTAATGAATAATGTTGGATGGGAACCGTTCTGGTAATGATTTAGAGTATGGAAATTGTCTTGTGCAGGAAATCTCCCCGACATAGACTTTGTAATACCCGAGATTCGGTGTGCTTGAGAGAGAGGTTCCGTTCGAATCATTTTATGACTATTTGGTTTGTCTGATGTGATAATAAGACTCGTGTTACTTGAAAGATCGTCATGAACCTCCTGCGTGAGACGAACAAGCATGGCTGGACGGAGCGCTAGCGCGAAATTCCCTTGTGTGCCTGCGCGCTCGCGATAAGGGATGATGTGAGAGTTTCACCGCACATGTTGCACTTCCACGGTCATCGGGACAATGTTTTGATGGGTATCGAGGTCAAAACGCAAATGTCTCGACTATGGCTAACAGAACAGTCTATGCCTCATTCCACAGTCGGTGACGAATGAGGCGCAAAGAAACACTCCCTTCACGTTTTGTACCGTCGTTCGTAAATACCTCTGGGAAGAAGGTCTTGTTGAGGGTCTCCAGCAATCGACTGCCCATCGCCAAGCTGGCCAAACTGGACCATCGGGCCTTGGCGATTGGGGCTGTGCAAATGCTAACCGCTACCTGCAGGTGCAGGTGCAGGTGCATCTACACTTGCCGTGCTGATCCTCCCTTTGTTGTAGCTGCAGCTGTCTTTGGCACTTTGGATGGTTCTTGCCTCTACTGCTGCTGCTTTTTGGGCCGTCGGCCTGCATCATCATCATCGTCGGCGGCGGCGGCGGCGGCGCGAGCATACGAGCGGCCATATACGCGCCGGTATATCCGCTTCCCTCGTCTCCCCATATAAGAGTGTTTTTTTCTCTCCACGATCGACGAGTTATTTACAGTGCAGGTGTGAGAAGTGAGATTCTGTTATTCGATTATCGTACTGTACAGTGCACGGTAGATAGGAAGGACCCGTGGACCTGTGTGTGTGTGTGTCTGTCGTGTAGGAAGTCGGCGGGAGTAAATGACGATGCTCCAGAACAAGAGAAACTAGGGCTTGCTCGGTAAAAGCCCTCCGGACCAGCCGGACGAACGTACATGGAGACGGGGATTTTCAATGGCTCAGACCATTGCTCTCATCGGATCTGATGTGTTTGTGTCAATCCATAAAATTTTACAGTAGAATGTACATGACCGTGATGATCCATCAGTTCGTATGGTGCAAAGTGCATTTATGTACAGTACTTTAGTGCAGTGCAATGTGACAAATGGAACCTCGTGGATGCAATCAACCTTGGAATGTAAAAATTGATGATGATGATGATGAGCTGGGCCGGCCATTTGTCTTGGCTCATTTCTGCTGCCAAGCCTCCCATTCCGTCAGGGACTTTCTCTCATGTCTATCGCTCATCACCTGCATCCTTCACACATTGTGGCCGGCGACATGGGATGCAGCACGGATGTCATCACACACACAACACAACACACTGTGTGTTTTACCCGTCCGCCGCCGCCCATCCGTTGGGGCTTCCACTCTCTTTCTGCACGCTGGGCGCATCCTCCTCTCTCAGTGACAATCACCCGTCCGCTTGTCCTCCGTTGTTTGCTCCAGCCAGCATAGGCGGGACTGGAACGTGTTGTTTTTTTTGGAAGCAGAACAGCCAGTCCATAGCACATTCATTCATCTGGGCAGTACAGCACATTCCTCCTCCGCGCAACTTTCTCCGTAATCTTCTTGGGCTTGATTCATAAATTATCATCACGGCTGGCTGTATACCTATCTTTCCTGTCACCACCACTCTTGTCATCACCTCTCATCAGTAAAAAGACGTCCACATCGACCGTTGTTCCCTTGATCTCCAACGCCTGAGATACACGGGAGCTTTCTCCTCCTCCTCCTTTGTGCGCTCCGTCACGCTCGTGATTCAACGTCATCATGGGTAAGTCACAACTTCCGCTTTGCTTTTTTGCTCTTGCTCGGATGCAAGGCTGCCCGTCTGTCTCTGCCCGCCACATCCTGTTCTCCATCAGCACCGTTGCCATCGCCAGCAGCGCCGATGATAGGCAAAGAGACGTTCCCGGTGGTCTTGTCGTCACGGAGACTTCCCCCATTCCGAAGAGTCTTCCAAGACATGCACAGCCTCAATTTGCATGGCACGACCCAGCGGGATTCCGCCTGAGGGACTTCTGTGCGATTGAGAGCTGAGCATCGCTCGTTTTTCCCCCTGCACCGTATAACTCCCAGAGCTCCTCCGCTCTCTGAGAGTGACGCCACACTACTGATCTCACGGCGCGTCTTGGCAACCGTCCGCAAGGTCAGAAGTTCAGCAGAATGTTGTCTGGCCCTTCCCTCACTGGGGACGCGCTCGCTTTGCCCATGCGACGTTAGCACCCAAGCTTGGGTTCGGCTACGCTGCTGGACAAAGAAAGATGCGGTCACCTCCCCTGCTTTACATATACTCCTCCGATCGCAATCCGCTTGTGCGATACTTGCACTCAAGCCAGCGATTTCTTTTGCCCGGATCCATCTCCATGTCTCCCCGCCGTTGCGTTGCACAATAACACCACCGTCCATGTGTGAAGTGTTCCTCACATCGCTAACCATCTTCATTCGACTTCTCAACAGCCGCAATTCGTCGCGCCTTCTCCAAACACGGCCGCACCAATAGCGGCCTCAGTATTCATCGTTCGGGTACCACCGGCGACATGCCCTCGCAAGACGCTAACGAGCGCACCTCGCTTCTCCCCAATGGCTCCGCCAGTGGTAGCAAGCCTCTCTATGAGGATGACCGAGCCTGGGTGCGATGGCCCATGAACTTCCTTCACTTGACCTGGTTGACGCTGGCGAGCAACTATGTCAATTTCCTTCTCGTCTTCGTCCCCGCCGGCATCATTCTCGGCGCATTGAAGGAGACTTACAACATCCCGCCGACTGCCGTATTTGTGGTCAACTTCTTTGCTATCGTACCGTTGGCTTCGCTGCTAAGCTTTGCGACGGAGGAGCTCAGTTGTAAATTGGGCCAAACCATTGGCGGTCTCATGAACGCCACTTTCGGCAATGCTGTCGAACTGATCGTAAGCCGAAAATCCATTCTGCGGGCAGCTGCGTCCAGGCGAACGAACCACTGACTCTCTCGCTTCGATAGGTCTCAATAGTGGCTCTGCAAAAGGGTGAAATCCGCATCGTTCAAGCGAGCATGCTCGGCTCCATCCTTTCGAACATCCTTCTTGTGTTGGGCTGCTGCTTCATCGCATCCGGCGTGCGTCGGGATGAGTCTACTTTCAACGAGACCGTTGCGTCGACTATGTCCTCACTCATGGTCGTTGCTGCGACGTCATTGATCATTCCCGCGACCATGTATGCAGCTCTCTCCGGGAGCAGCAAATCAACCGACAGCAACATCCTCGTCCTTTCCAGGGGCACTGCCATCATCATGCTCCTGCTTTACTGCTTGTACCTCTTCTTCCAGTTGAAGTCGCACGCGCACTTGTTCGATGCCGAGGCTCAAACAGGTGAAGGTGGCGAGGGAGGTGAGGGCCAAGCTTCCACCGAGCCCGAGGTTCTTGGACCAATTCCGGCTTCCGTCTGTCTCGTCCTCGTCACAATCCTCGTGGCCGTCTGCGCAGAGTATCTTGTTGACAGCATCGACGCCATTGTCGCTTCTTCGGGCATCAGCAAGACTTTCATCGGTCTGATCCTGCTGCCCATCGTCGGAAACGCTGCCGAGCACGTGACCGCCGTCGTGGTCGCATACAAGGATAAGATGGACTTGGCTATCGGTGTAGCCATCGGGAGCAGCATCCAGATTGCCCTCTTCGTCACTCCTTTCCTCGTCATCCTCGGCTGGATCATGGGTCAAAACATGACCCTCCACTTCGAGGGCTTCGAGACCGTCGTCTTCTTCCTCAGTGTCCTCGTCGTCAACTATCTCATCCAAGACGGCAAGAGCAACTACCTCGAGGGTGCCATGTGCATCGGTACCTACCTCATCATCGCTCTTGGCTTCTGGGTCTATCCGGAGGACACGAATGCTGATGGGATGGTCCACCGGTTCTTTGGTCACAACTGAGAGGATTAATGCGATGGCCGCACAAAAGCTGTCTTTTTGTTTGATTACTGTTTGGCGCCATCTCCTTCAGAAGTTTGGCTCGGATTTTCCGGTCGCATATTACACGAGCGTGGGCGCAACAATGGCGTTTCATTTTCCTTGGGTTTGGGTCTTGACTCCCTTTTGGCGTGGATCGATTCACATCATCCTGTTCAACATGGCATCGAATACAGCTCCATCTTTGAGATCGGGGAGTGAAGAGGGCGTTTCGGGTCCCGAGACCCATCATGCTTTGAGATCATCTGTATATTAGCACCATCCATTCTTTGAACAGAGATTCCCGATTTATTCCCGACTCGCGGTATCGAATGTAGTCAACGCCATCGATTGAAGCGCCAGCAGCGAAGGTCAGGGAATTCTCCCGTGGCACGGATGGAAAACCGCAAAATTATGGATCGGGGATATAATATATTGTAATGAATTGTACAAGCCAAAATTGACGAAATGATTCATAATGATTCGAAAGGACCCGATGTCTGTTGCCAAGTAGACGCGCGTCATCTCTGTCTGGTATGCTCAAGCACATGGCCGTTGTAGGCACGGCCCGAAACCCAGGAAAGATGAGCCGCGAGCCAAGTCGCCGGGAAAGAAGGTTTCGGCGAAACGACGGACTCGCGCAGGGCACATGCACTGCACGCTAAGCTCGTCTTCCGAATCGAGAGAGACTGCGTGTGTTTCGAGCTGCGAGGGGGGCGAGATGAAGTGCAGGACGAGGAGGACCGATCCTGCGCGTGCCATTGATCTCTTCTATTCGGTGTTCGTGCGAATGTCAAAAGCAGAATCTATGATACAAAGTACAAAACAAACACGGGCCCTCGTGCCATACATGGGACGACGGTGAGAGCAGCAACGCGATACACGGAATTATCTAATCTCAATGATGCGAGCACACACTTGCCTCCGATCACTTCAAATCCGACGTCTCCTCCTCCAACATGACCTCGAAGCTGAAGGGCTCGAAAGGCACGCCCTCGCCGACGAAGTGCTTGCTCATGGCCTCGACCCAGTGGAGACGCAGGGAGTGCAGCATGGCGCTGGTGCCCTCCATGACGACGAGGACGGCGATGGTCAGGACGAACCAGACGGTGAAGAAGATGAAGATGGCGACGACGCCGACGCCCCCTTCCATGGCGAAGGAGTTGCCGAGGGTCATCTTCCAGAGAACGATGGAGAGCTGCTGGTGGGCGAGCGAGAGAGCCCATAGACGGAGGTAAGAGGCGGTGTGGGAGACACAGTTGAGGCAGAATTCTGCGAGGAGAAAGGGTCAGTATGTGGGGAGACTGTTGCAGAGCAGAATTGAAGCATACCGATGGTGTGGATGACCTGGTGGATCATGACCTCACTGAACTCAAATTCCTCGTGACCCTCGCCGTGGCCGATATCCTCGGTGATGATCGCGTTACCATCCAAGTCGCTGTCAGCAAAGCTGGGCCGACCAGCATCACCGTTGGCATGTCCATTGGCTTCGTTGTCATCGTCAAGAGCGCTGACGGCAGTGGTCTCACCGATGCCTCGGTAGCCTTGCGCGCGAGCTTTGTTGTGCTCCCATCGAAGGTAGAATGGCTTGAGGAAGAGCATGATCGGAACTTGGATGACTGCAAGCAGGACCAGTACGACCTGCACGCCACCCTGTCCAGGGTACAGACTTTCGGCGACGGTTCCCGGTGACAAGAACATGTAGATGAGCATGTTCAACAAGCTTGGAGGAGCCGCACCAGCCTGGTACCAGTCGATGCACCACTTGTAGACAATTGCGAAGACAAGGTATCCAAAAATCGATTGGAAGAAGATCATTCCAGGCACGAAGTTACCCCAGATATCAATCGGTGATTTGAAGTGGCGCGCGTTGACATACGACAAGCAAAGCGAGTAAGTCATCTAGTTTGTGTCAGCATTGTCTGGGCATGTAGCCTTTTTGAGGAAAGATCTCGCTTACGTGAGCCCATCCGAGAATGATCGAGAGTTTCATCTTGTAGCTGTTACTGAAAAGTAGGTCATTGTCGGTGTCGTGCCACCGCCAGTCGAGACCGAAGGGATATGTGTAGCCTTCAATACGTCTCGCCTTGACAGTACCGCCCCCAGCTTTGTAGCCTTCAGGAAAGTCCCATTCCCACATACTGCCGGCAAGAGGAATTTCCTTTGAGAAGGCGTCGGAATAAATCAATCCAGTGTACATGGAGAAGATACCCATCATGAGCATGATGTAGCGGCCGTAGAATGCCATGCCGAACAATTCGTCTTGTTTGCCACGTTGGAGAGGCTTCTCGAAGTAAATCATAGCCACCGCTGCGAGGGTCATGATGATACCGTGGCCGAAGTCACCGAACATGACAGCGAAGAGGAAAGGAAAGGTAACGATCGTGGGGAGACCGGGGTTGACTTCGGTATATTTGGCAGAACCATAGGCGTCAATGATGGTTTGGAAACCGAGTGTGAACTTGTTGGTCTTGTTGTATGTTGGTGGGGTTTTGGAGGTCTTAATTTGGTTAACAATGGTCGGAATAGAAAGTCCAGCACGATCATTGACATCTTGCAGAGTGGATTTGATCAGGCCCAAGGAACTGGTTGGGCACCACGCTTCGGCGACGAGAGTCTTCCTGGCAGGATCGTATGAGAAGCGATTGAGTGTTTGGTACACACTCTTCTCCTTCTTGGTGATGATGATCCAGGCAGCCAGAGAACGTCCGATCTGGGTCAGCTCAGCGTCTAGCGTGCGCTTGGTGTTCTCCAATACGTTCGAAAGATCCTGAAGGCGGCTGTTGACTTCGTGAATCTGGTCCCGGCGAAGGTCACTGTTCTCATCCACCTGGTAGATATCCGCGCCCAAGCTCTCCGAAATCTTCTTGATCTTGGCAATGATCTCCTTGCCGTGCGCGAAGATAACGAAGACGCTCTTGTGAACTTCTTCGTTCTTCTCGGCGTCCAAGATCGGGTCCGGAATCTCCGCTTGGTTCATGTACAGATTACCACGGAGTGTACGCCACAAGATCCTCTCGAACGCAGCCATACGCTCGCGTGGAATCACACCAGCGACGAAGCTGATGTTCATGACGCTGAAGCTTTGTTGCCCTCCTTCGTTGGAGCTATTGGCCTGCTCAACATCGCGCAGCAGAGGTGCATCGTCGGAAGAGTCGATGGACTGTCGGATGTCCTCGGTCTGACCACGAGCCCTGTCGAAGAATCCTCCAGCCTCCCTCAACACCCATCTCCATTCCGTAAGCTCGCTCTCCCTTTTCTTCAATGTCTCGTAACTTTCATTCAAGCTCTTGATTCGCTGCTCCAAGCTTTGGCTGCGATCAGCGAGCTCATCAATTTCAGGAGCGGATGGTGCTGCCATGGTATTATCGAAGTCATAGATTGAGCGCATGTCGATTCCGTTCTTCTCAATCTGTTCCCGGAAGTAGGTGAGCTGTCGCTCGATGTTGTCCAGACGGCGAATCGCTTGAGTAAAGGTCCTTTGGAAAGCACTCGTCTCCGGGTTAAGCTACTTGGTGTTAGCCACAAATCATTTCACCAATCTGTCGGATCATATCCATCCTACATCGCGGAACTGCATGATGCCGAGTTCGCCTAAAGCAGCGACAACCTCGCGTCCGATCTCGTTGGCGACATAGAGCTGGGTCAATGTCATGTCCTGAGACCGGAACAACGATTCCGAAGAGGGCGCCATCTTGATCTGAAAGCTCCGTAGAGGCTTCCGAGGGTGCGAGAAATGAAGAACGTAGACAGATCTGCTCAAAAGCGAGGCAGCTGTCGGAAGTACATAGGCCAGCCGATGATGATGAGGAACGCCAAGTCGATGCGCGCAGGATGCTAGGGAGCAGCGTTAAATCACGTGACTCGACCAGCCGCCACTCACATGTGTTGCGAGGACGACAACTGTAGAATACATCCACGTGGCACTCCAACATCATCGTCGCGACCAGAGATACTGTACCACGCCTACTTCTTCGTGGCCGTCCTCTACAACCGTGAAAATGGCGTCTAAAGTAGTGAATGTGACCTCTTCTGCGCACTTCAAAAGTCTGACCGCATCTTCGACTTACGTTGTGGTGGATTTCTACGCCGACTGGTGTGGTCCTTGCAAGACAATCTCACCCATCTTCGAGCAATTGGCGACGCAACACGCTCAGCCCGGTCGGATCACATTTGTGAAGGTCAATGTGGACAATCTGCGCGACGTAGCATCCAACTATGGGATTTCTGCGTGAGTACTATATGCGCATCGAATACAAGCAAATTGCAGCTGACATTCCTACAGCATGCCTACATTTTTGGTCTTGAAGGGTTCCAAAGTGGTTGAGACCGTTCGCGGCGCCAACCCAACAGCATTGCGCTCTGCCGTGCTCTCTGCAGTCACAGATGCAGCCCGAGGGCCTGCAGGCAACCCGGTCTCGTTCTCTGGCAAAGGGCAAACACTTGGTGGCGAGGGATCCTCGAGCAGAGCTGCCGGCAGGCCACTCGTCAATGTGAATGCCGTCAACCAATTATTCACTGCACCTGCTGCATTTGCTCAAGGCCGGGGACTACCACAGCAGATTGTCCGATTCATTGGTTTGTATTTGACAACGCTGTTCAGCTTTGATCCCGTCAAAACTGCCGAATCGAGTCCCTTCACAGTGCGCACCGTTCGCGTCAAGACCCGCTAATCTAGCTTCCGGAGGGTTCCACGAAAGCATTCGGTACACGACCACCCAGTACCGGCATATCTCACCTCGACAGGGAAACCTAAGGAAGTCCCATTCAATAAAGAATTATGAGCTGCGAACGACACAAAATTCGAACAACACATTCAAGAACACGCATATAGCGATCAATTTGTTTCTTGCCACGGTTTCCAGACACAAACAGTCAGCGAAGCAAAACTGTAAAGTGCGAGCATCCCGATTCTGCTTCAGAGAAATCTGAACGCGTTTTCTCGTTTGCGCTCTCCTGTACATCGAGTTCTACTCCCAAATCGATTCCCACGATTTTCACCATGTCTCGGAAGCTCCGAGCACCATGGCTTTTCGAATCTCTCCGATTGCTCCCAGTAGCATTGGTAGTAGGCTCAATTAGTAATCGACTGCCGAACACCAGCGAACCCGACCTCGGTTTCAGCAGCCGTATCATTCTTGTCAAAGCCTGGACCTGCTCGTGCTCGTCCTGTTTATCGAGGAAAGTCCCTGCGTGAATGATATCAAACGAGCCATCCTGCAGTCCCGGGATGCCCGCTTGCGAGAGAATATCACCCGCGGAGAAACTGCCGCGGAAACTATTCTCATCCCGGAAGAGGTCGAATCCTAGTTCTGTCAGGCCCAGCTTGAGCTCCAATCCCTGCAGATTCCGCGTGTCGACGCCATCGAACGCTAACTGGCGGAGATTTTGCCCAAGAGAACAATTTATCTCCAAAAGACGATGATTGTCCTGCTGGACACGCTGCAGAATTTGTGCGTATATTGGGTGCTTTGAGATATTGACCAGGAGGGTGCGAGTATGGCTGGTGGAGCTTGACTTTGAGACGAGGAGTGCCTGATCCCACTGCGTTTCACCAACATTAGCGGCTGTGCACAGCAGGATATTCGAAGATCAGAGAGAGAGCATTACGATTTTCTCAGCGTGCTGTTGTACATCATCTGTAGGAATTCGAGCGTAATTGAGCAGCAGATTCCTACAGCTCTCATCCACTACGATGTTTTCTGCTCGGTACACTTCCTCGTCTGAATCGATCATCGTCTTTATGATTGTTTCCGTGATCGCAGCTCTTTGAGGCGTTTAGAAGTCGTTCAAAAGTAATGGCTCAATTGTGGTTGGTTCGCGACTAAACACTAGAAACATGAAAGATATTCGCCAAGTGAAAGAAAGAAAAACGCGTCAGATACTCCCGCGTCCACACTGCACGAGTTACACGAGCAGCGATGGTGGTTGCCACAAAGATGACGATGGCTATATTGAACGAAATGCCTCCGCCGTGACAAGTAAATCGCATGGCCGTCATATTTCCCTCGGCACAAACAGGAAGGAAGAGCCATGTTCACTTGAATCTTTAATCATACCCACTTCATTCATCATGTACATGACCGACCCACGAAATGCACCCTGCATTGTGATGTGTTTTTCACCCACGTTGCACGGCGGGTGCATATCGGTTGGGCGGCAGCACTGTGCAAGTCACTTAAACCGTGTGTCACCTGCTCGGACCATACATGGAATCTTTTGGCTCCACGGATTATCTGGAGATGAGCATTTACTCATTCATCAACGAATGCGATCGGCTATGCTGCCCGCCTTTCCGTTTGGTTTGCTAAAACGCGAAGATCCTGGTTGAAAGTAGCGTGATTTGTTATGCTTGTGATTGCATAGCTTCCAGGCGAAAAGGACGAATCCTCCACACTTGAGTATCTGCTCATGCCGAATGACGTGCACAAGGTGGGCTTTCCGATCCATGTAGGAAGTGGGATTGCAGCTGAGAGAAGGACTTAAATGATCGAGCCTGCATGTGTAGTGCATAAATAAGTGTGGGTTGACGTGCATATTCACGAAGTTTGTAGTCAGAATTGTCTCGGCTGATATGGGCTGCACTGCTACGGTCGCGGGAACGGATTATTAGATGATATCTGTTTCAATCTTCATTTCGTTAAATTCAGAAGTCGTAGGCCCGTCCAATGGGCAACAAACGATGACATAGAGATCGGGGCGAAACTTCTTATGCGGCACAAGCACATTTTCCAGTCATGATGCAAATCGCTATACAGTACTTTTCTTTTGGATCACAACACAAATGTCTTCCTCGGACAGGCTATAAACGTTGACACACGTATTCGCAGAGCGTCATTTTTATGACGACCATTGCATAAGCGTTGTCGCCGTGCAATAAACCATGGCCACAACCCCCAACGCCATCATGCCGATATCCCACGCCTTGTCGAAACGTGTCTCGGCCACACCGCGCAGATGCAACCAGGGCGGATAGATATACACGAGGGGTACGCATGCGACCGCGCCGATGAGGGCGACGAATTTGTCCAAATCCGAGGCGCCGAAGATGGCGATACCACCGCAGAAGAACAATGCAGCGGTGCGCAGAGCGTTCTTCTTCCATTTGATGGTCGCGGACTTCTTGCCCGTAGCGCGTTCGCCAAAGAGCGTCGTCTCGATGATACGTACAGCAGGAAAGAGTTGCACTGGAGAGCCGACGAGTACCGCAAGCGAATAGAGGAACTGTACGGCGTTGACAAGCTTGCTATCCTGGGGAAAGTTGGAGATGACTTCGACTTTGGTAGTGTCGCCGAAAGTGGCGTAGCAGAGCGCGCCGACGGAGGTGAAGATGATGGTGATCAGGAACATCACAAGATACAAGAGCTTGCTGAAGTGCTCGGGTTTCTTCATCGAGGATTGAATGGGAAGAATCAGTCCGATGCCCTCAAAAGTGAAGATGGCGGACCCGATGGTGAGAGTAAAAGAGGACGAGTTGAAGAGGTTCACGCTTGTTGCGATGCCATTGGTGGCCAGGAAGGAGATGTCATAGTACCAAATGTAGACAAGACCGATCAGGATGAAAACATCAGCGAGCAGAGCCGCCGGACCAAGTTTGGAAATGTTTCTGATCAAGGCCAGCGGAATCAACACGACAAACTGCATGCCAATGAGGGATGCGGTGCCGAAGGGCTGTGGGCGATCATCCGGTACGACGGCGTTCAGGAAAGACATGAGATTTTCAGCAGTGAAAATGAGACCAGCGCAAACGAAACCCAACTGAGAGAGGGTAATCGATGCGAGAATCAGAGCGCGGAACTTCTTGCCGAAGATGGCTTCTCCGATCTCACCGTAACCACCGCCGCCGCAAGTTGAACGGCATTGTAAGAGCAACCGGAAGCATAGCGAAGTGATGATGGAGACGGCAATGAGCGTCAAAGATGAGAATAGAATACCGCCATTGCGAAATGCCTTCGGAAGGAACATGATACCCGTGCCTACGAATGCCTTAAGAAGCGTGAAGAAGGTCTTGGTTGTGCTTGCGTCGCCTTGTGCTTTGACACGCTTCGAGGATTTTCGTCGATCTAACAAAGGTCGTCTTTCGTTTACAGGCCTTTCGTCGTTGTCGTCACGCGCTTGTTCAGATGCGGTGAGCGATTCTTCGTCATCGTCAAAGTCCGTATCCTCCAGGTCTTCACCCGCAAAACTTCCGTAGAGCTCGAGGAATGAGATGAAGTTTTTCGTGACGGGTGTAGCAACACTACTCAACCGTCGCTCAATGTACGCTCGACGAAAACCTCCGGGCTGCATTTGCTCGTCGACACCGCCACCTGCAACTCCTCGAGACTGAGCCTCATCGTCATCGTCATAATTCCGCTCAGGATAAGAGAACGTGGCAGATCTTTTAGGAGCTTTAGCCCGTGCTTGGATCTTGAAGATGTCGCGGTGCATGTCGCCGCCTTGGAGCAGGAGGGATGATTCTTCGACCTCTTCGCCATTAGAGTGCTGTCGCCCTCGTGAGGCGAGGCTCGTTTCTGGAGCCGCTGAATAACCATCTGGTAGGTGTCGGTCAACGATTTTGGCCTGCCGCCTTGACAGGTCGGATGATGGAGTGTCGGTCATAGTGTCTGGTTGATTGATGGATGTTCTCCGAAGATACTGGGTGCTCTGGTTTTTTCTCAATGCTTCCACAGAGGCTTGAACTGGCCTTTCCAACGGATGCCAAAAATGGATGAAGAAGAGAATTTTTCACAAGGCTTGCATCACGAAATTAGTATTTCTATCGGCGAGGACTATATGGAATCCCAGGAAATCAAGGCAAAGAGCAAAACTTCGGATAGCCACGTGAGCTGATGGCAATGTCCCAGGCTCATATGATTTGGTCGGTAGACGAACAGACGGACTGACCCTCATGTCGCTCGGGAGGTCATTAGCGCTTCCGCACTGTTCGGCATGGACCTGGAACTTGCAGCGCGCTCCAAGATTACGACTTTATGACATAATCAATATCCACAAAACCTGGACATCGTCGTGACGCACCACCCACTGCAATAAACGACAATGACTTTGGAGAGACAGTATGACAATGACCGCGAAGAGCCACTGCGCTACTGGAAATCTGAGCAGGTGAATAGTAACCGTTTGGGAGCTGTATATGTTTTCGGTATTTTGGTTCAGCCTTCCGAGGCGGAAACATCCGTCGTGAAGGAACATCAACGGTTTATCCTCACCTGATAACCTCAGAACATGCTCTGACTTATGATGAGGAATGCATCGCACAATAATCAATGTCAAAGATCGTCTAAGCCTGTGCATGCTTGAGTGAGCGCAACATTGGGGGGAAACGGCGTCACAATCCTTGTGGGCCGAAGATTATCATACTGATACAGTACACCGGACTTCTGTTGTGCCAACCACATCCCAAGCAAAGCTGTTAGTTGACCCGAATATCGTCAGTTCTCAACACAGATGTCAAGCGGACCGATGGTCGATGTGCGTCACTAGAAGTCTCGTGGCTTCGTGCAGCATAAATGGCAGCAGTCGATTTTCGACCGGCAGTGATCAAAACCATATCATCTTTAGCACAAAGCTGGCAGTCGGATGATGGACATCGCCCAAATTTCCAGACATAATGGTTTTACGTGCAGAAATGAGAAGTTCCGAGCAAAGAGTACCGCATGTCGAAGGCGTGCAAATCATCAATGCACAACGAAGCAGGGTGCGTGATTGACGGGACATTCATTTCATGACAATACCTCAACCTTGCAGTATCAAGCACGTGTTTTGGAGGAGCCGCTTAGAACCTTGGTAAATTGTTGTACGATACATTCGTTATTTCATAGTCCCCCATGGGCGAAACAAAAAGGCCACCGTATAATGGGCCTGTCGAATGGTAAGGATTCATGGTCACTGTCTACCCGGACAGATGACTTGGGAAATTACAAATAACGCCAATCACCATGCGTGGGTATCTCTTTCTGAGGACAGAACTTTCAAAGCAAGCAAAGAGTAGCGCTAGAAAATGAACCAAGCATCATCACCGTTAGTAACACCGTAACTGACCATTTGGAGAACGTGCCACTTGAGCTCCATTGCAATGGCATCGATCTCACCATTGCTGCGCTCGACGCTACCGGCGTCCCTGTCGCGGTATACACACCCGTCAATTGCGTCGATGTTCCGTCCGCAGACAACGACGTCGCGCTTTTAGTTGTCATCGGTTGACCCGGGAATCCAGCAGCGACAGTCGCAGTCGGAAGGACGATTGAGCTCGGGTCTTGGTAATATATACCGTGTTGAACAACCCCCTTGCCGCGGAGCATGGCAGCAGTGTCTTCAGTAGAACATGAGCTATTCCAGCTGCGTACCCAGCATGTCTGCGCAGGTGGGCTTGAGGGAACGGTATTGGTGTGAGCGGATTCTGACGTGCCGGAAGAGCGGAAGCTGGAGAGGTCGACGGCAACGCCGGTTGAAAGATCGTGGCCGTAGATGATGCGGGCGAAAACTTGAAATGCGGTTTCTGGTTGGTAGTAAGGCACAAAGTGGCCGGCATCATAGATGCGTGAGAAGCTCAGATTGCCGAATTGCTTGACATTGCCACCAACATATGTATTGTTCACTACGATGTCCGCGTAGCCTGCGGCAGAAAATCCCGCAGCATAGGATGCTGCCAATTTTGTGCCTGCAGACTGATCATTGCTGGAACCTTCTACAGAAACATTAGACAGAGCACTGGCGAGTGCGTTACTCACGGCTTGCCCGCCCTGCCAATTGCAGATGAAGTCGGCATCACCATAGATGAATGCGACGCGTACACCACGGGCGATGAGTCCAGCTAGCTCGTCGATGGTATCGTCGCGTGAAAGATCACCAGTATCATAGAAACCCTGAAGAACATAGCTATTGCTTTCAGTGAAGTTGACTCTGGCACCTATCGATGACAGGACAGACGCGTCATTGAGATATTCTTGGTAAGCTGCAGAAGGGTCTGGGCTACGAAGCTTTTGGCGAATGTCGTAAGGGTCATAACCGTGAAGTGGAGCAAGGAGTGTGAGATCGTTGCAGATTGCTGTAGCCTTTCTACAAAGGGCATTGGCCTTGACATCATCTCCATAGTCATTTGAGCCGGCTGCCCGGCAGGCCCGAATTGCGGGCGCGCACTGATTGGTGAAATTGGACACGCCGTTCAATTGATCAACAAGTCCGATCATCTGAATCCCATAGGTGTTATTGTACGCGAAGGTTGGATAAAATCTGTTCTGGATGAGAGGATCCACGAGACCGTTGATGATGCCCAGTGACTGAAGCACAACGGGCACGGTGTCTCGTTGAGACAACGTGCCATTGGCAATAGCTGCGTTCTTATCATCAAAGTATGTCGCGAATATTGGGCCGTATCGCCCACCGTAAGATTCAGTGAAAAGATTAATGCCTGCTGGCAGCTTCGTGTCATTGGCAGTGCTGTTTGGTCGTACTGATGGATTATACTGTGGAAATGTTGACAGCCAAGTCTGCAAGCAATGCCACGTCGCGGCCGCGGCGATTTCTGTGGTATTCGCGGTCGTCGCGTAGGGCACCTTTGCATTCGAATTGGCGGTTCCGAAGGTACCGTTCAAATACATGAAAGATGGAAGCCTTGAACTAGGTCCAGTAGACGGCTCAAATACAGCACTGGACAGAAGGTCAAAGGACGCATTCATCGCAATGTCATAGGAGAAGCCGACTTGGTTCGGCTGGTCAATGAAAAGCATGTTGGAAGCGCGATCCCAGCCAAAGGATCGCATGCGTGTGCCATACGTGCCATCTGACATCTGGACAACTTCGCATGGGCCGACTTCATTGAAAAGGCCAAACATGCTGCTGGTGCCGGGCCCGCCATTCAGCCATATCGTCAAAGGCGCCGTTTCGGGCGACTGCCGCGCCTCTATGAACCAGAAAAAAGAGTTGATGGGGTAGTTTTGTTGGATGGGTGCCAGAGCGGACGGAGGAAGCGTGATATAGCCCGTGTACTGCTTCTGGGTGGAATAAGCCGTTGTACACGTGCCCACGGCGGGTTGCTTGTAAGAAATGGTGACGCCGGCGTCAACAGGAGATTGCAAGACATTGCTGAAGTCTGAAGATAGGAAAGATTGTGCGCAGACTCTTTGGCCGAAGCTGGCCAGCATGAAAGCTATCGTGACGAGCGCCCATGGCTCCCTCATTATTATAGGGACCACACGTCGACACGTGATGACGGAATGGCATGCGCTGCGAGCCTAGAGTAAACGAATGGCGCACGGCTGCGGCATGTGTTCACAACGCGAAGACATGTAGAGGCATGAAAATGCGACCAAATGAGTGACGGTCGGAAAGATGTTCGAGTCGGGATTCACGAAGGAAAGTATGAAATAGAGAAGGATCTCCCAGGTGTCAGCGCACCAAGCGAGCGTGCCCAGACAGAGAGTGAGAGTGTGGGAAGTCGGCTGGTGGTGGAGTTGGTGATGGATGTGCCCTACGTAACCCACCTGGGCACCCTGCCTGAACTCACTGCATGAGGGTGATGGAAATAATACTTGTCGGCCCGTCGGGAAGTCACTTCCAGAGAGTCTAAACATCGTGAAACAAACTCGGTAGGCACATGCAGAACATTAGATCGGCGCACATCGCCCGATTATCTATCCATATCAAGGCAATTGTACCTTGGCCCTTCCATGGATTCCGTTTATCCAGTATGAGCTGTCGGGTCACACACCCCCACCCGCCAACAATGGCTCATTATGACCAACATGTAGGCACGTTTATAACAACTTGGAGGACTGGGGAGTGTGGGAAGCAGACAGTGGTCATGCCATCACGAGCGAAGGTTGACATGTTTCCAGAATCGATAGTACTAAATGTGTACAAATTGCATCGTGGGACGTGCCATGCACTGTTGTCCTAGATCCCGAGATATCTCAGATTCGCCGAAATTTGAGCCCGTCAGCCGGCACATCTCATCCAATGACGTTCAACGCGCTACTAGCATCATATCGATGTGCACCATGAACGGACTTAGCTGCGCAAGGAATGCCTGATTCACGTATATTACATTCATCCATCTGATCGTGTTGAACGACGCTGCTACAGCGACGCCGCTTCCGGATTATGACCTCGACGCTTCTGCGCGACTTCCGATTCAACTAATTCCGGACGGCTCGTTTTCAAGCTTTTGTCACTTGCATATAGTGAAGACACAACCTACAGCAGAGCTTCGCTTCCTGACATACAAACATCGCGATGGAGGAACATTCAGCAAAACGTAAATACAATGGCTCTGCCTCTGGTCCACAGAAGGCCCCGAAATTGAGCGGCGGGGGAAGCGGCGGAGCTTCTGGCATGACGTTCGCGCAGAAAATGATGGCAAAGATGGGCTACAAGGAAGGTCAAGGTCTTGGGAAAGAAGGCGAGGGTATCATTAATCCGATAGAGGTCAAGTTGCGACCAGTTGGTGCAGGCGTGGGCACTATCAAGGAAAAGACGGAGCAATACAAGCAGGAACAGAAGCGCGCAGCAGAAAAGCGAGGCGAAGTGTATGAAGATAGCAGCGAAGAAGAACGCAGAGCACGAAGGGGTCGGAAGAAGAAGTCACAGTCAATGACTGGAGGTAGCATCGGTGGAGTCGGCACGCCAACCGGCTCAAGGAAAGTGAAGACCAAATACAGGACCGTCGCAGATGTCCAAGCAGCAGCACCGGGATTGGTTGTACCGCCACAGATGTTGAGATCTATCGTCGATGCAACCGGCTCGCAAACAAAACTCCTGACGAGTGCTGCTGGATTGATGGTACCGGCAGGCGCCGGTGTTCCAACAGAAGCCGAAAAAATAGCAAAGCGAGAACGGCTGGAACTTGAAGCCTACATCGATTCTTGGCATGGCATACAAGAACAGAAGATATATTGTGAAGAGCGCGCCGGTCAACATCAGCTTGAGGTTGATCGAAACAAAGAGCAAGCGAATAAGCTTGCAGATATAGTGTCAGCCCTGGACGGTCTCAAGTTGGTAGCACCGGTCGTATCTGTGCAGGGTAGCGCTGGTACGTCGTCTGGATGGCCATTGATGGTTTCCGCGTTGGCGAAGCTTCAGGAGACATTTCGACACGACGTTGATCGCTACGGTCTAAGCGATGCCGCAATTGGGGCTCTTGCTCCTCTCTTCAAAGCAGCGGTTGCCGACTGGGATCCTCAGGAGGATCCGGCATTTTTGGCGCCAGACCTAGACCGACTGAAGCCGCTGTTGGGTATGGCTACTCATGACGAAATAATCACTTCCAAGGCACAAACCGATATTGACATCAACCACATTCGTGCAAGACGACAAAAAGCGACTTCTGCGTACGAGTCTATGATATACACAATCTGGCTCCCAAAATTGCGCGTTGCTGTAACGCAATGGGATGTGATTGAGTCTGGCTGGCTGACGAGCCTAACACACGCTTGGCGATCAGTACTTCCGGCCTTTGTGTTTTCAAATCTGTTAGATCAGCTCATAGTGCCTAAGCTCAGCGCTGCCTTGCAAGCTTGGGACCCCCGTAAACGGACGCACCGCCACAAACATGTCGACCTCAAATACACGCCGCCTCATACCTGGCTTTTCCCATGGTTGCCCTTTTTGCCTGCACATCAACTTGACATAAAGGCTCCAAATGGTCTCCTCGTAGATCTCAAACGGCGGCTTCGGCAGGTCCTCGACGGCTGGGACTTGTCCTCTGGCTTACTTCCAGGTATCTTGGAGTGGCGAGATCTATTGAATACCGAGTTAGACCACATTCTCGTCAGACATTTGCTGCCCAAACTTGGCCGCTGCTTAGCTCTAGAGTTTGAGGTCGATCCAGCGGACCAAGACACAGCTCCACTCGAGAGCGTACTTTTGTGGAAGGATCATTTCAAACCTGCCGTATTTGCACGACTCCTTTCGGCCGATTTTTTTCCAAAATGGCTTACAACTTTGCACATGTGGCTAACAACACCTGATGCTAGTTTTGAGGAGATTGGAATGTGGATAGCATGGTGGAAGGAGCAGATTCCTGCCCCGTTGGATACCCACGCTGACGTGATGAAGGAATGGCGGAAAGGAAATGATATGATCGAGAAGGCTCTCGACCTAGGCGATCAAGGCATCTCTCTAGCTGAGCTACCACCGCCAGCTGCTGGTCCTGCGCGTCCGGTCGCGATGGAAACCAAACGAAAGCTTGAAGCTCAAGACACGACCCCGAAGCCACCACAAGTGGTGCTTGACCCTGCGATTTCTTTCAGAGATATCGTTGAGGCTTGGTGTGCAGAAGAGGACCTAACATTCTTGTCATTGCGTGAGCCACATCCGCAGACCGGCGCACCGCTATTTCGCATAACAGCCAGTGCCACCGGGAAAGGTGGCGTTGTGGCCTATTTGCAGAACGACACCGTATGGGCGCAAAAGCGCGGTGACCGGACGCAGTATGAACCCCTGGGTCTGGACGAGCGACTGGTCAGCAGAGCAGAAGGAAAGTGACAAGCACATTCCACAGTCGTGAAATAGACATACGACGCGAGCATTCATTAGGTGAGACTTGTCCTGCCCATCGAGCGATGTTTGAGCGGGTCATCAAAGCCTTCACTAATATGCCGAGAAAACCCGGCATAGGTTTTCGTTTGGAGAGAGCGAGGATGTGAGGCAATGACCAGGTGCGATTTGACGGCTATGAAGGTCCGGGAGGCGCAATTGGAGCTCGACAACATACCATCACAGACTGATGATTCACCGAGAGTTGCTCACAACTTTCGGGTCAAAAGCAGAGTGCAGTTAAGCTTGGGCACTTATGATCTCGACCCCTGGGAAGTTTGCATCAAATTGCTTGCTCCACGACGTCTCAGTACCCGTGTCCTCGACGCGCTACAGTGATTCATTCTACGATGCGCATTTAAATGCTGTATCCCTGCTTCTAAATTTAATCCACGATAACTGCATGGCGATACGTGCAACTCATCCTCCTTCACTTGACTCCTGCAACTGAGCTCCTCCTTCCACAGACGAGCCAACTTTCAAAGAACATACGATGCTGTCGTTTGACTTCGTAGTAGACCTGGGGTCTTGATATAGCTAAGATCTTACGGGCTCGCCTCGTACACATGACATGATGAATCTAGAGATTTTTCGTACAACAATCGTGAGTCCAATCCCCCACGTGGGCGGAAACAGAGCTAGCTGTCAGAAAAATATCGCCGTCAAATGCCACGGCTGAGCGCGGCGATACTATTTAGGCTTAGGCGAGAGCGGGCCGAGAGCAATAAGCAAGCAGTAGCCCTACCGCGCTCCTGTTTGTGTAGCACCTGGGCGCTGTCTGGCTGGTCGAGCCAATGATCTCATGGCACAGCGGGAGTTGCGGCGAAATAACGTATAGTCGATAACAGCTGGTAGGAGTTTTGGGTAAGTCCATCCGTCCGCTGCTGCATGGGTGGGTTACGGGGCCTGTTGCACCAAGCTTGACTCGTCACGACGTGCGTATGACCACGCTCTTCGCCGACTCTTCTCTCTTCTCATCTTCAACCATCATCATCGCCAGACTCGCGCTCATGAGTCTTGGTGTTTTTGCATCTTCGTCAAGTGTCGCATAGGGCCTCCCTGATAAATCGGCACATCACCAATATGCTGCTCTCACAGCTTTCCCGGTGCAGCAAGCGCCTGGCTCATCCAGGTTCCGCCGCCAGATCTCTTTCCAGCCTGGCATCGCCCTCTCCTAGAACATCCTTGATCGCTAAGAGGAGGGAACTAGGCCTGTCAACATACAACGCATACACCTCGCAGCACAGGAAATATGCCGCGTCTGCAGAGACGGAGCAGAGTGTTGATCCCTCTGATTCCTTCTTGCAGGGAAACAGCGCCAACTATGTTGATGAAATGTACATGGAATGGAAGCGGGATCCTGAATCCGTCCACGTGTCATGGCGGTCCTACTTCAAGAACATGGAGAGTGGCGACATGCCCGTCAGCCGTGCTTTCATCCCGCCACCAAGCATCGTGTCATCACCGGCCGGTGGTGTCCCAGCACCCAACTTCAACTACGGCTCTTCGACTGGAAATGATGATGTGACAGCTCATTTGAAAGTCCAGCTGCTCGTACGCGCCTACCAGGCCCGTGGTCACCACAAAGCCCAGACCGACCCGCTAGACATCAGAAATCAGGACACCACTTTCGTAAGGAGGCCGAAGGAGCTGGAGCTTAGTGCATACAACTTCAGCGAGTCTGATATGGACACCGAATTCCATCTTGGACCTGGTATTCTTCCGCGCTTCAAGACAGAAACCCGTGACAAAATGACACTCCGCGAGATCATCGAGAACTGCGAGCGCCTCTACTGCGGGCCTTATGGCGTCGAATATATCCATATTCCTGATCGAGAGCAATGTGACTGGCTTCGTGAGAGATTCGAGGTCCCCCAACCATACAAGTACAGCGTTGACGAGAAGCGTCGGATCCTCGATCGTCTCATCTGGTCGTCATCTTTCGAGGCATTCCTCGCCAACAAATACCCCAATGACAAACGTTTCGGTCTCGAGGGCGGTGAATCGCTCATTCCCGGCATGAAAGCACTTATCGATCGATCGGTCGATTACGGTGTCAAGGATATCATCATCGGCATGCCGCATAGAGGTCGTCTCAACGTCTTGTCCAACGTCGTGCGAAAGCCCAACGAGTCTATCTTCTCCGAGTTTGGAGGCTCTGCAGAGCCATCTGATGAGGGATCCGGAGATGTGAAGTACCATCTTGGCATGAACTTCGAACGTCCCACACCTTCAGGAAAGCGTGTTCAGCTCTCTCTGGTGGCCAACCCATCGCATTTGGAAGCTGAGGATCCTGTCGTCCTCGGCAAGACCCGCGCGATTTTGCACTACAATAACGACGAAGAGAAGGCTGAGTCTGCTATGGGTGTACTGCTGCACGGTGATGCAGCTTTTGCCGGGCAGGGCGTCGTATACGAGACCATGGGCTTCTACGCGCTGCCCCAATATCACACCGGAGGCACGGTCCACATCGTCGTCAACAATCAGATCGGTTTCACCACCGATCCTCGTTTTGCCCGTTCGACCCCATACTGTTCTGACATTGCCAAATTCGTCGATGCTCCCGTGTTCCACGTCAATGGTGATGACGTTGAAGCTGTCAACTTCGTCTGTCAAATCGCTGCTGACTGGCGTGCTAAATTCAAGAAAGATGTAGTCATCGATCTTGTGTGCTACCGTAAACAGGGCCACAACGAGACTGATCAGCCATCCTTCACTCAACCTCTCATGTACAAGCGCATCAGTGAACAGAAACCCGTTATTGACAAATACGCCGAGCAGCTCATTGAGGCCAAGACTTTTACCAAGGAAGATATCGAGGAGCACAAGAAGTGGGTCTGGGGCATGCTTGAGGAATCATTCGCAAAATCAAAAGACTACACGCCAACTGCTAAGGAATGGTTGACCAGCGCATGGAACGGTTTCAAATCTCCCAAGGCCCTTGCCACCGAGATTCTTCCCCACGAGCCGACCGCGGTTGAATGGGACACTCTCAAGCACGTCGGAAACTTGATTGGAGCTACGCAAGCGCCGGAAGGTTTCCACGTGCACAAGAATTTGAAGCGTATCCTAGCGAGCCGCACCAAGACTGTGAGTGAGGGCAAAAACATCGACATGTCTACCGCTGAGGCTCTCGCATTTGGCACCTTATGCATGGAAGGACATCACGTACGCGTTTCTGGACAGGACGTCGAACGTGGAACCTTCTCCCAACGCCACGCTGTGCTCCACGACCAAGACTCAGAGGCTACCTACACCCCGCTCAAGGAGCTGGGCAAGGATCAGGGCTCATTCGTCATTTCAAACTCTAGCTTGAGCGAGTACGGTACTCTCGGATTCGAATATGGCTACTCTCTGTCTTCTCCAAATGCTCTGGTCATCTGGGAAGCCCAGTTCGGTGACTTTGCGAACAACGCTCAGTGTATCATCGATCAATTCATCGCCTCTGGTGAAGTCAAATGGCTTCAACGTTCTGGTCTTGTCATGAGTTTGCCTCACGGGTATGATGGTCAAGGGCCTGAACACAGTTCAGGCCGTATGGAGCGCTTCTTACAACTTTGTAACGAAGACCCACGCATTTTCCCATCTCCCGAAAAGCTTGACCGTCAACACCAGGACTGCAACATGCAAATCGTTTTCTGCACCACTCCGGCAAACGTCTTCCACATTCATCGTCGACAGATGAACCGCCAGTTCCGCAAGCCTCTTGTCTCGTTCTTCAGCAAGAGCTTGTTGCGCCACCCGCTGGCTCGCTCTCCGATCGAGGACTTCACTGGTGAGAGCCACTTCCAGTGGATTATCCCAGACCCCGCCCATAAGGAGGGTGCCGAGTTCAAGATCGATTCGCACGACAAAATCGAGCGAGTCATTCTCTGCTCTGGTCAAGTTTTCGCCGCACTCTTCAAACACCGTGAGAAGAACAACCTTACCAACACTGCGATTACCCGTATTGAGCAACTGAACCCCTTCCCCTGGGCTCAGCTCAAGGAGAACCTCGACAGCTACCCCAACGCCAAGACCATCGTATGGTGTCAAGAGGAACCTCTCAATGCCGGTGCTTGGTCCTTCACCCAGCCACGTATCGAGACCCTGCTGAACCACACCGATCACCACAACCGTAAGCACGTCATGTACGCTGGGCGCAACCCATCTGCATCGGTCGCCACTGGTCTCAAGGCAAGCCACTTGAAGGAGGAGAACGACCTGTTGGAAATGGCCTGGCGCGTCAAGCAAGACAAGCTCAAGGGGGAGTAGAAAGTGATCTGCTGTGATTTCAAGCGTGGATAAATCTCGAGGCTCTCTTGTTGGGTGGGGTCGTGACTTTTTCACCGCCCAATGCAAATTTTCTTGTAAACGTATTAGTCCTTTTTTGCTTAGCAAGGTCGGCAGGCGCATATCGGTTGCTAATAAAATCATTCAATTCTTTCCGACACAGCACTCCACAGGTTCCGGTACAATTCAGAGACTTCGTATTTGGCAATTCATCCCATGTCGAGAATATATATGCCTACATACAGAAGAACGTTTGTCCATGAGACAAATCGAAACGACGGTCTAGCGTCATTTTAAAATATTTCATAGAATAAAGGTTTTTTTACAATTGTGCGAAGTCATAATACATGAAAATATATGTCCGTCTTTCTTCCCAAGCATCGAGATGTGTTGTTGAGGAGAACTTCACAGCACAAGCCGTCCCTCGACCACAACACCTTATAACGCCCAGACCGTATCAATACAATAGCATTCAACCTTGGTATTCACATTCCGTGAAACAAGTCGCCTTGGTAATGTTAGTTTCTAACAACGTCGGAATATGGTTGTTGTCCTCGACAAATTGATTGTAGATGCCATGATCATGGCTAATCGAGCCTGTGCACGATGCTTGCAAGCAACGCGGCTGGCTAAGGTGACTTAATGAGTGAGGTCACTTCATGGATATGGCATGGGACCACGGCCATTCGGAGACGATAAATTCGGGGGCTGTAGATGGAACAATGCCCCTTCAGCATTCAGCAGCCACCACTCACAAGACAACCATTCAGGAATCACACCCGCACAATTCCGAGACTGAAAGGATTGAACGACGCCACAAAGCTACTGACATCGATGGTTGAACTGCATCGCCTCGCAGCGCGGGTAGCGCCTACGCCGGATCCATGGCTCAGCCAGATTGACCACGTTGAATCCAACCTTGGGAGTGGGTGAGTGCAAAGCTTAGCACACAAAGTCTGAGCACGTTGACCATCCTCCAGGAAATGCGACCTGTATTGGCACGCAATCGAGCTGATGAGGATCTCCAAGCGTGAGACAATGGTTGAATGTAGACGTCCATGATTCGAGCTGCTCGGCTGTGACTCTCATAATGCTGCTGACCACGGTAGAGATCACCACATGCCAAAAGGCAGCATGCCTCAGACAGCAGCGATATCCTTGCTCTGTTCCTCCAGAGCTGTGCGGTATGCGCTTGTAGCACGCGCAACAGCAAGGACGGTCGGCCGGATCATTACGTCCACAACTTTTCGTCCAGGAGGTGCCTGGGTATCATAATCAACTCTTCTTTTCTTGCCTGTTTTCTTGTATATTTCCTGGACCTGTTTCTGGATCAGCGCGATTTTGGCCGTTCGCGCAGCTTCCGCTGCTACGGCGACAGCGTTGATGCGATCGATTGAGCGATCCAGAGTGCTGACGATTTGCGCGAGCTCGGTACTGCGCGAAGCATCACCCGAGAGAAATATAGTCCAAAAGTAGTGTAGGAAGAAGGTGGTGGTGTTGTGCGTTATGGTAAGAGTGTCGAATGTAGCCTGGTCGAGACCGCCGAGCGATGTGGTGTCCAGTGCCTCCGATTGCGCATGTTGTCTGATAGATGAGAACACTGCTGTTGAAGCTGAGGTAAGTGCAGCTTTTGACCCTATCCGAGTGTTCGCGACCTTGTGAACCTTACTTGCACCACCGTTGGCCTGTTGTTCCGTGTGTTCTTCCTCATCAGAATCGTCATCATCATCGTCGGAATGAAATCCAATAGCAGTATCCAGCCTCAAGATGCCAGCTCTGTCTGCACCAAGAACCGGAGGCTGTAATTCTGCTCGCACTGTCGAAAGCACCTCTTGCGGGTTCTGTTGGGCATATATTTTGGCGTCTGTGGATAGCCCATCTGCGTCGCCACTAACGGTACGTTGTTGTCTTACATTCAAACGAATTCGATTATCGACATCGTTCAATGCGAGATCGCGAAGTCGCAATTCCTCAAATTTTTCTTCATCAATGCCGATTGGTGCATGAGCTTCGCCACCCTCCGGCGCTACATGGGCTATCATTTTCTTGGACAAATTGTTGAGAATGCGCAGAATAGGAACCTTGTCGATGGATGACGGTCGCATATCTAGATCGGGTCTATTACCCTTTTGCTGACTATGATTCTGCTCATTTCCTTCCAGGTCGATAAAGTGAGGAACATGAGCAGAGGAAGCAGGTCCACCATCTGATCTATCAAGATATTTGTCGAGTATCGCGTCGGTATTATCATAATGCATGATTTTCTCACCTTTGAGCTTCTTCAAAAGACGACTACCAAAGAATCGAGTCCAGAATTCCGCAGCCGACATAGGCGGGCTGTGCGCGTTGTACGCCTCAGCGACAACAGGATACTGTTTGAAGATAAGCTTGATCTGCTCTTTGGTTATGTTGAGCTGCCGCGTGTCTGGCTCTCCCTCTTTTTCTGCACGCTTTATAACAAATTTGATCTCTGGTAGGACATTGTACTCGCCCTGCGTTTGTGCTGATTCGACCGCGTGGGCACGAAGCAGGTGGAGTCTGGCACTCCAGAACAGACTTGTCAACTGCGGTATGGACACAGACTCAGGTTTATCACGTATGGCTTGAGTCAGGCGATCTTGAAGTGCTTTATCCGAATCAAGCAGTGATTTCTGTAGAGAAATATCCTCCAACAGTTTCCGATCATCGTACCAGCTCTCATCGTTGGCTTTCGATGCTACAGCTTTGGCAATAGCCATTGCTGCCGGCTGCATGCGATCATCTACACTATTGCCTGGGGTTACCGCCACTTTGGCAGCAAGAGCAGCGGCGCTTGACGCTTTGAGAGCAGCGATTCTATCCTGGAGAACCCCCGTTATATCTCCCTGATCTTTACGTGCATTCGTGACGTGAGTAAAACTGAAAGTATAGCTTTCTTCCTGCACGAGCACCTTCAAAAGTGCCTTCGGGCTTGTCGCTGGAGTCTGCTGAAGATTCGTGATATCCGCAAGCGGGACAGTCACGGCTGGCGGCGCGCCTGAAGGTGAGCTCGGAGTCCAGAAGAGGTATTTCCCATCCTCGGATACAGCAAGAGTGCCATCCTTCTTTTTGTAGGCGACATTTGAAGTCGCAGTCTGCATCGTTACAAACTTGCTGCTGTGAGGTCGGGCTGCATGAATTCGCTGACCTTAGCCACCTTGTCAATAGTAAGAGACGTGACTTCAGAAAGCAGCATTGGTGTGGGCCGGCCCGTCACATTACATCGAATCCGCATCATGCCGCACCACGCGCATGTCCAGTAAAGCAGCAACCTCGGAATATCACAATGCGTCTGTCTACAGCGCAATACAACAATAATCAACCTAGCAAGCGGAGCTGAAAAGTTCGCCTCGTCGCGACAGCGCACTGCAACCGAGGCGAAGTGATTGGTTGTAGTCGCTTGGACTGTACAGGACAAGGGTCGTCGCACTCGAATATCGCCTTGCACACTTCATACACAATACACAAGTCTTATCTTGGAGAAACCCGACTCAGGTCGATGAAAACTTGTAGAGATCCTGTGATCCAGAGGAAGAATAAACTCTCGCCCGACGCAGCCATGCCATGAGTATAAGTGATCGAGGTGTTTTCTTGAATATGGCCGAATTATAACATAAGCCGGTCAACGCTATTGTTTCCTCAGCGATGGGCTCAGTCCTTATGCAAGGTCAAGTCAAGCCAAATCTTGACTGGACCAGGAACAAGCCCGCCGAAGATTTGACACCATTCCAAAGATTCGTGCGCGACGAAGTCGATTGGAGTCAATCTCCCTTGGGGGCTCCATCGCATTGGTCGCCACAGTTACGACAAATCATACAGCTTCTTGTGGCCGAGCCCGGTCCAGCAGTCGTGTACTGGGGCGAGCCTGAAGATGCAGTCATCATCTACAACGAAGCATACGTGGGCATTATCGGCTCAAAGCACCCGAGCATACAGGGTCAGCTTGCACGTGATGGACTTCCAGAGATCTGGGATTCTATTCACAGCTATTTGAGGGATCAATTGATGACCGGCTTGATGAAATTGGGAGACATGCAAGAAATGATGCTTCACCGCAACGGCTTTCTCGAGGAGAGTTATGTCAGTTTCAGACTGATGCCAATACTATCTCAGGAGGATGGAACTTTTGCTGGAAGTTACGCGACGGTGACTGAACATACGCTTGACATCCTAGCCGAGCGGCGGAGCGACACGATTCGATCACTCGCTTCTGAGATCCGACATGCCACATCCTCAAGTAGTCTCTGGAAGGCTGTGGTGAAAGGTCTAGAGAAAGCCGAGCGAGATATTCCTCTAGCGATGTTATATTCGGCTGGAAAAGCAGACCCAACCCAGATCGGCGAAATGATGTGTGTTCTCGAAAGCTATCTCGGTATTGACCCGGAGCAGCCAGCGTTGCCTCGACGCTTCGGACTTGACAGCTCAGATTACAAGCTTGCGAAATCATTCCGCCAAGCTGCGATTCATGGACGTCCGATGATGTTCAGCACGGGCACTGAACTTCTGCCCGTAGATCTGTTCGCGACCAATAACTCGTGCGGCCATGATGCTCATTGCCAATCGGTCGTGATTTGTCCCATCAAAAGTCGTGAGAGCGACGCCATTGAGGCTTTCCTACTGATTGGGTTGAATCCATACAGACCCTATGATCTTGCGTATCAAGACTTTGTTCGCATGATACATGAGTCCATAACATCTCTCTATGTCTCTCAGATAATGCTCCACGAGCAAGTCGAGGCTACCAAATTGCTCGAGGCGGAAGCTGCCTTAGCACGTCTGACGATGGACAAGCAATTGGCTGCAAAGCAAGCCGCATTCGAGAATTCCGAGCTGAAATTCTCAAGGTTCGGATCAAGGATACCAATCGGTATAGGAATTGCTGACACTAAAGGAAATGTCCTCTATGGAAACCCTGCATGGCGCCGTTTCACTCAGGTGAGCGAGACCTCGACCAAGCCATTTGATTTTATGGCCTGTTGCGTACCTGACCAAGACGACCTGATACGTTCGCTATGGGAAGATCTCACCCAAGGCAAGCCTGTCAATTCGTATCTACGGCTCAAAACATTGTGGACTTCTCCAGATAATACGCAGGAACCAATGACGGCGTTGGTAAATGCTTACACGGATGTTGACCAAGACGGGGAGGTCTCCATGATGTCGTGTCTCACTGACATATCCCATTCCAAGTGGATAGAAGCCCAATTATTGCAACGCACAGCAGAACTCGAGCAGAGTGAACTGAAGTACAAAAACTTTGCAGATCTAGCTCCCGTTGGCGTCTGTTTACTAGGACCAGACAGAGCCTTACAATATGCGAATCGATCATTCTTCTCCATCATGGCTCATCCGACACCGTCGCGGGACTTTATGATAGGCATCGACCCACGTGATGCAGAGCTGGTCCACAACAATTTGGCGAATCTTAAAAGCGAAACAACATTCGAATGTCGGCTCCTGCGAGGTGGGCAGATGACTAATGGTAGCGCAGCTCAGAGGTCGTCGAACAGTCAGGCCGAGACTACTCAGGCATGGATTTTGGTTTCCGCCTATCTTGAAAGAGAGCCCACAACGAGCATCGTCTGCTGGGTTACAGATATCACAGTACAGAAGACGATGCAAGCTGTGACTGAGCAGCGAATGAAAGAAGCGATAGAGACTCGAAGGCAACAGGAACGATTCATCGGTAAGCATCCAGTAACTTTGACAAGCACGCGGAAGCTAAGGAACGTTATACAGACATGACTTCACACGAAATCAGAAACCCGCTCAGTGCAATGATACACTGTACAGACGAGATCATTGAAAATTGTCAACAACAGCAGGATGGCTTTGTCGAAAGTTCGCTAGAGGCAGCCTACACCATTGAGTATTGTGCCAAGCATATCCGCAATATTGTCGGAGATGTGCTCATGCTGAGCAAGCTTGACTCGAAACTGGTCGAGGTGTGCCCTGTTCCAACCAGGCCAAGAGATATGGTGCAACAAGCACTCAAGATGTTCAGTGGCGAAGCCCGCGCCCAGGATATTGAGGTGACATACAAAGAGCATGATTCGATGCAAACACTTGGTATCGATTGGCTGCTGTTGGACCCGAATCGAGTGCTTCAAGTTTTAGTCAATCTTGTCACGAACGCTATCAAATTTACGCGAGCTCGACCAAATCGAAAGATCCTGGTCTCGTTGGATGCTTCCTTGGAGCTTCCGTCGAAGCATCCGGGCGACATCTCATATATTCCGCGCCGACTTCCGTGGTCGCCAGATTTACCTGATGGGCAGCGTGACATTATTACACCATTGTATTTGATAATCATGGTCGAAGATACTGGCTTGGGGCTAACAGAGCTCGAAAAGACTGTGCTGTTTGAACGATTTAAGCAGGCAAGTCCGAAGACAGAAACCAAATATGGTGGATCCGGCCTGGGTCTTTTTATTAGTCGGGATCTCACCGAGATACAAGGAGGCGAGATTGGCGTGCGCAGTGAGCCTGGCGTTGGCTCCAAGTTCGTGTTCTACGTCGAGACAAAACGCGTCGATGCGCCTGAACACTCACCGATGATCAACATTCCCGAGATCACAATGAGTATACGAAACTCGCCTGCAAAATCCCCATTGGCCCCGATAGTGCTAGGCTCAGTCGGAACTTCGCGAGAGACCATCGAAAGCCCAACAGGCGCTGCACAGGCGAAGAGATTAAGCGCAGGCGCAGATGCAAGTCGGAAGATCCTGGTTGTAGAAGACAATCTTGTTAATCAGAAAGTGCTTGCCAAGCAACTTCGAAAACGCGGGTTCGATGTTGCCACGGCAGAGAATGGAGAGGAAGCGTTGAAGTCGTTGTTCTACACACATCGTTATCGACTGACGACTTCTGCATTTGATTTGGTGCTCATGGATATCGAAATGCCTGTCATGGATGGCATAGCTTGCGTCCGCGAGATTCGTGCTGCGGAGGCAGAGGGCAAGCTGGAGGGTCATGTACCAGTCATCGCAGTGACAGCAAATGTCCGCGCTGAGCAGACGGCCGACGCGTGGACGGCTGGCGTAGACGACATCGCCACCAAGCCGTATCGAATCGACGAGCTGGTCAAGAAGATCGAGAATATCTGCGGGTCCGCGTTGATCAGCCAAAAACATTTGCTTCCCACGCTGTGACGAATACAGTCTTCGGGGTTTTACAAATCATCTCAACGGTATCACGCCAATGCCCTTGCAAGCGGTTCAGCGATTCACGTGGACCGCTCCAGAATCGTGGCAGTGAATTGTTGACAGCTGAAACCCACGTGCGACGTTTCAACGTCTGGGTCTCGATGGAGTGCACAGACCTTTGTCATTTCCGCTGGGTAAAGTTCCGTGTCGAATACACGAATGCAATCACGACTGGAAAGATCGTGCAGTGCGATATACCGATCAATAAGTCATCTGAGCAACATGGACAACCCAAACCTACTGTTGAAATGGTGCATGCATTGTAGGTCATTCAATGGAGCATAAATCGAGCAGCCGACGAAAGCACTATGAAAACACCATGGATACGAATTCTGCACGACCACAGTACTGTATCGCGCAAATGCTGTAATGTATCGAACTGTATACGTACCGGAATTCAGTCTGCCATGCGTGAAGGTGCCATCTCAATCACAAACCAGCACATCAGCACAGAGGTCGCGAACGCGTATCAGATCAGAGACGCGGCCGGATATTCCCACGCATCTCTTGTTTACGACAATTCGTACTCGAATTGTTGTCTTGAAGTCTATCTCGACACGAATCACTGACATCGAGTCTAGCCATGCGACGTTGTTCGCATAAGCACTGTAGACGATGGGTCGAAGGCCGGGCTTTCTCTTTCATGCATGCTGAACGTAGCTGACAAGGCGATCGAGCCGCAAGGCATCAACGGCGATCGGCAGAGAGCGTGGAGTATAGCAGTTATAGGGAGTCACAGACATTTGAAATACACAGAAAGACGTTTGCGCTATGTCTGGGCCGCAAGGCCAGGCCCGACAGATGAGTCAAACTATGTCACGATGCTCCCCAAGCAAAGTTTCGATGAACGAAGGTTCAAACGCCGTGCAAAAAAATCTGCAGGGGAGCTATTCTTATCATTATTCCGAGCTGAGTTTTGTCGTGATCAAGATAGCCTACCGTCTCTTCTATGGAGTGATCTGGAACGCTGCAGAAGCGAGCTCTTCATCAAACTCATGTTGGAGCGTTAGCAAACTGTATCGCAGAGGATCGACATCAAAAATCGTAATCAGCAGCAGCACAGCAAATTTTATACAAGGACGGATACAGGCTGAGCGAGCACGGGTGACTGTTGTCTCACAACTGCGTCCACAGCAACGATTTTTCGACCCGGTGTGATTCTGCTGATGAGTGCGCGAACTTCCAATCTATTGGTAGCCGTGGTCCCTGCCGAGACGATCGGACAATAAATCGGGAGGCACTATTGCATGCAGGATAATAGATGGCAGCTGAGATGGGACGTACTTACACACGCTTACCACTTGTTAACTGGATATTGACAATGCATCTACCGAATAAAGAATCCTCGGGAGATCGTGCGAGGGTGGGCTGCCAATGAGAGAGGCGAGTCGAGCGAAGGACCTCGTCACAGACGACGTGTAGCCCAATGTAGTCTGTGTTATTATTGACAATGTGGTTGCCGCCGCATCATCACTGCAGAATTTGATCCAGGAGAAGGAAGGACACGATTCCACGATGATGGACGACGGCACCAAAGGCCATCGGCCCAGGGGGTTGGATCTTCACATTTCCGCTTCTGGCATTAGTGCAACCCTGACCATGCCTGTTCGGGCAATTGGTGAGACACGCGAGACACACTATGAACTCCAATAGTCAAAACGGTTCCTCTATCTCATCATCGTTACAATCCATTGCATGCAGCCATGACATAGGCTCAAGGCTGTCACATCGCCGTAGAAGGTGATTTGGCCCCATTTGACTCCAGCAGGCGCCGGCGCTCCGCCCTCATCTGGCCTGATCCAAACCCACCGGCAGACGCCGAGAGCGCTGCTTCGAATCGCTGCACGCGTGCGCACATCCACCCGCACACCACAACCCGCACACACATGCCGCAGCCCAAATGCCTAGCACGAACACCCGTTTGACCAATTGACCCCTGTCGATAGGACTGTCAAAGATGACTGCTTCATCAAAGATCGCTAACATGCCCGCGCCGGACGCCTCTGGATCTGCTTGGACAGAAGTTTATTGACATTATGCTTTGGCACCACCGCGTGGCTGTGAGACGACTCAGAAGAACGCGATGAAAGCCCGAACGCCGATGCTACCACCACACAATCGTTGGTAAACAGTATATACCTCCGCCGACCATCGCCTTCATTGCTGAAATCAAGTACCTTCTCCGTTCCAAGATTGTCTCACTTCCTCCGCAGCGGACTGTCTCTCGTTGCTCACATCGGTTTCACTCGCCATGGACCCCGAACAATTCGCCGCCCGCTTGCGTACCTTCTCCGCCGAGCAATCTATTCAGGCGCTGTCCCGACCCGTATCCAGAGACTCTAGACTTGGCCGGCGCACGCCGGTTCCGATTGTTATCCCGCCCAAATACGATGAAGATGCCCCTCACAAGGGACTTGGTGGCGGCGTTCGTCACCCTGTCAGTCTCAACTCCGCTGCCAGCACCAATGTCGACTCAGTCTTCTCACCTGGCATGACCGATGGCACTCAAACTCCTCTAACTTCACTTGGATCTCCTGGTTTCCTTTCGCCGCTTGAGGACGAGTTCAGACGAAAGCAGAGCATTGACGATCTCATCCGTACCGAAGACAGACCTCCAGTTTCTCCACTGCTCCACGCTGTTGACGAGCAAGAGTCCTCACCTACATCGACCGTCCGACCTGCTAGCCATTTGGAGATCACCGAATCAGGGCAGAACCTTGAGCAAGAGCTCGAAGCTGCACGGATCTCGGCCTGGTCATCCAGTTCAGAGGACATCACCAACGCTTCCGATTCATCTTCGACATATTCCTACACGAGACAGTCCATAGTGGCCACCAAACCCTCTCTCGTGATCAGCGAAATCCAAGAATCAAGTGAACCCCCCACTCACACCTTCGATCCTTCCTGGGAGTTTTCCTCGGAAGCACGATTTCTCGATCGGGCAGGTAACGACGCCAGATCACGTCGATCTCGACGCAGCTGTTCTCCCAGCGCCCGTGCTCCTTCGCCAGCATCGTCCATGCGCAACTCACGCGCAATGGACGCTCCAATCCCTGTATCGTTCGAAGACCTGCCGCAGCGGCCAATGACATCCGCATCGCGGGAGAAGATCGCCATCGAGTCATTCGACGACGGCAAGATCTTCGTTCCTGAAACGTTCAATGCTCTCCCGCCTCCTCCTCCGTTGCAGCCACCATCGATGAGCCACTTCAGCTGGAGCAGCGCACGTCCCGCCAGCAGTGGTGATGCTCAACCTTCACGCAGCTACCGCGATATCTTCCCATCCGCGCACCAGCCGTCCGTGGCCCGGCCGACGCTCTTCGCTTACGCGCAGTCCCGTCACGAATACTCCAAGGCCCGTCGACTCAATTTCCACTTCCGCTCGCCCTCGAGCATGGCGCGCCAGAACATGCAGGTCGACCCGACCAACACCAACCCGAGCGTGTTCGCGGCGGAGCTCTACGGCGAGAGCGCCTTCGAGGGCCACATGGCCGTCGAGGCGCCGAGCGAGATCCATCCCGCGCGCCAATACCACTTCTACCCAGCACCGTCGCTCCATACCCCTGGCGGTCGATCGCGAAGCCTTTCCAGCAAGAGCAGCCGGGGGCGAATGGGCGCCGCCACGCCTGCACCTACCACTCCGGGCAAGTCCTCCAAGACCGCCTTCTTCCAATCAGCGTTCGGCCAATGCTTCGGTCGTCGTTCATAACACCGGTAGATCTATCATCGTGTGATCGATCAACACAGTGATACCTCTCTCGGCGGTCGCCTGTACATCCTGCTGGACAGGGTATACACAGTGCCGCCAGCCACCTATCAGGCTCTCCTCTCCTTTTTGCGTTCCGGGTCTATAACCCGTCACTGCTTCTGAAGCACCTCTCTCTCATTATTTCTCATCATGATGACCGCCGGTCACATCAATGTCTCACGATCCCGAAGTTTTTGGCATCCCTACATCGCGCTGTATTTATTTTTACCAATTGTCTGAAATTCTGGGTTGGGGTTATTGTAGCGTTTATACCCAGCGCATTCATGCAGTGCGCAGTATGCGAGTTCTCATCATTCTGATACTGCCAATCGAAATTGTTCAAAGACTCGTTGTCACCCATGGTATTACTAGAGTACCACACATCGATGATCGCAGCTTGTCTGAACCACACCAACCCCAACTCAACCCTAGTACCAACCCTATCGAAACAGGTCGGTCATCTCCAGTGAAGAGGAAAGACAGCTTTCCCTGTCAATGAACAAATCTAGCGATTCGTCACCGTTCGATTGGGTGTCTACTACGATATTCGGATAGCCGCGAGTGTGATGGGCCACCGGAGACATTTGACGCCCAATCGTACCGACGAACAACAAAGACAGTCGCTGAGGTGTGAGGCCATGCCGCTCCGACGAACAAATCATCAGTACATGTTTCGACACAAGCCGATTGGGGGGTTTCTTGTCGTTGCTTTATAAAAATGTCACTGTATGTTCGCTGATTGCGAGTCTGCGACATTGCATGGCATTTGCCAACGATATCAATGTCTGAACAGCCCCAGCTGACGTGTTCGAACGCATGAACAGAGTGCAAAGCAGGCAGCCCGATGACCGGGGAATGAGACATAGTAACGATGACGCGTAGCATAGTAAAATATGATAAATGCAAGGCCATGGTATCAATACTGCTTTTTTTTCTCGTGCGTGTCGACAAGTCATGACAGCGCCAGATGCAAAATCATAACGAATACACTTTGATATAAAGGGTACTTCTGGGGCAGGGAAAAAAGCAGGCCCGCCCATGAGATCAAACACAACATCAAGCATGGTATCGGCAAAGCTTCTTCTTTCCCTTGTTCGCTGGCAGGAGAGAAATTCGGCCGTCAAAATAGAAACGCCATTAACGCCAAGAGGAGCCTCATGCTCGGGAGACGTGAACGCCGCACGTGTTCTCCCTGTCCTCAAAAAGCGGCCATCATCGTTGACGTCGTAGAAGTGCTCGCCATGGTCTGAGCTCTAGGCTGACGGAGCGGCTGGAGGGCACGCTCATGCATAGAGCGCATGAACCGAGGTGGCGGCGGCATAGATGGCGCCAACATCACAGATCCGAAATGATCGGACTTCTAGGCCGTTTGCTCGCTCGCCTCGCCGGCATTCTCACCGGAAGCGCCGTTGGTGGCCGGGCTGCCATCCTCACCGCTGCCGTTCGGGTTCTTGCGCCATTCGTCGTAGACCTTGAGGGCCTCGTCAACCTTTTCGCGGAGCGCGGACTCGTTGTCGATGCTGGAAGAGAGCAATGTTAGTGATGGTATCAAAGCGCGGAAACATGTCCAGGTCGTTGCAACTTACAGGAAGATGAGCTCATCGTTGTCCATCTCCAGAAGCATACCGGTGATCTTGCCGGCAAGCTCGGGTTGAAGAGCGTGAATCTTGGGGTACAGAGCCTCACCAAGCATCTGCTTCTGCTGCGGCGGAGGAGCAGACTTGAGCAGGTTGAGGTCGATTCCAGATGGTCCTCCGCGGTTGGGAGCACGGCCACGCTGCTCATCGGGTCTGCTGGTTGAGCCAGCAGGGCCGCCACGGCCTTGACCACCGAAACCACCACGTCCAGCGCCCGGACCCTGCATCATTTGTGGAGGCACACCTGGCATGCCCGGCATGCCAGGCATTCCGGGCATTCCAGGCATGGGACCGCCGCGGCCAGCGCCACGACCACCCATGGCTTGCTGTTGGGCCATCATCTGTGCGAAAGCAGCTGGGTTTCCGAACGCTGGGTTGTAACCAGCCATTTGAGGCGGCATGCCGTATGGCATTTGAGGAATGGCTTGAGGACCACCGCGACCACCTTGTTGGGGCATGCCCGGGAAGCCACCGCGCTGGCCTTGACCCATCGGGGCACCCTGAATGAACGGCATCTGGCCACGTCCGCCAGCAGGCATCATCATGGGCTGACCGTTAGGGCCCATGAACATCTGTGGCTGCATGAACTGAGGCGGGATACCGCCCACAGTGGCCTGTTGCTGCATGCGAGACTGGTTGCGAGCCTGGATCGAAGCCTCGAGCTGGTTCTTGCGAACCTCTTTGCGTTGAGCGAGAGCGACATACAAAGGCTTGCCGTGAATCATCTTCTGGTTGAGGTCGTTGACGGCCTTGGCAGCCTCATCGGAGTTGGAGAAGCAGACGAAGCCGAAGCCCTTGCTCTTGCCGAGAAGCTTCTTCTCACCAGCGATGGTGACGGTGTCCAGCTTCTTGGAAAGCTCCTCGACCTCCTCCTCAGTCGGGTCTTCCTCATCCTTCTTCTCCTCTGCCTTCTCCTCTCCGTCCTTGCCCTCGGTCTTTGCAGCGTCAGAGTCGAGCGGAAGTGTGTCGCGCATCACCTTCGCGGAGGTGATGTTTCCGCAAGTCTCGAAGATCTTGCGAAGCTCATCGTCATCTATCTCATCGGCCAAATTCTTCACGTACAAGTTGACACCCTGGTACTTGGCACTCTTCTCCTGGCGCTGAGCCTCGTATTGCTTGCGCAATTCTTCCTCGCGCTCGTGCTTCTTCTGGGCACGCCCGACGTAAAGCTTCTGGCCCTTGAAATCGGAATCGTTCAGCTCGTCGACCGCTTTGTTGGCGTCCTCGTGTTGGACAAAGTTGACGAATCCGAATCCACGGTTCTTGCCGTCGTCATCGTGTGCCAACGAGGCCGAAGTGATCTCGCCGTACTTCTCGAAAAGGTCACGGAACTCATCATCGGTGGTCTCGGCAGCAACGTTCTTGACGTAAATGTTGGTGAAGTTGGCCTTCATCTCCTCGAACTTGCTCATGCGATCCTTCTTGGGGATGTGGTGTCCGACGAAAACCTTCTTCTCGTTCAAAAGCATGCCGTTGACGCTCTTGATGGCCTGGTTGGCGGCCTCAGCGGTCTCATAGTGGACGAAACCGTATCCCTTGGAGTTGCCGTGCTCATCCTGCGCGACCTTGCAAGAAAGGATGTTGCCAAACGCGGCAAAAGTGTCGTGAAGAGCCTTATTGTCAATGGCAGCATCGAGGTTCTTGATGAAGACATTGCCCTGGCCGGTCTTGCGCAGAGCCGGGTCGCGCTGAGACCACATGATACGGCATGGCTTGCCCTTGATCAAGGTGTAGTTCAACTCTTCCAATGCCTTCTCACCATCGTTGCCGTTGTTGTAATTGACGTAAGCATATCCGAGCGAGCGACGAGTGACGGCATCACGGCAGACTCGGATCGAGGCGACCTGACCGATTGAGGAGAAAAGCTCGAAGAGCATGGCCTCGGTGACGGAGGTATCAAGCTCGCCAACATAAAGCGAGGCAGAGTTTGGGTTGGCAGGTGCAGCCGAGGTTGGGGTGTTGCCGTCATTGTTGTCAGCCGCAGCGACGTTGGTGTTGATGCCGTTCAAGGCAGGAGCATCGCTCTGGCCGGCAGAGGTCGAATTTGGAGTGTCAGACATGTTGATGAGGGGTATACTGTAAGAGCAGATGGTCAGGCTCGGCTACCGAAGATGGGAAATCACATGCGGACAGTTGGTGACTCCAAGGAGAGGTTATCTTTTGGCGCGGGCGGCAGGGTGTATTGAGGGTGGCTTTGTCTCTCAGGAATGAACGAACCTGATTGTCGAAGCGAGTGGGAAATGTGAAGTGCGAGAGATGCGGCGATTGCGAGTTCAGCGATTATCGGCAGGCAAAGCTCAACAACAGACAAGTCTGTGCGACGACTCTGTCAATTGCTGCACAGGAGTGTAACTGGTGATGTTGAATGCAAATGTCGCTCACCTTTTCGCTCGTCAAATTTGCAATAGAATCGATCACGATGGGAATTTGGTGCCTCGAACTGGTTTGAGGGACCTTCGGATACACACGGAAGAGGCGCGTATCACGAAGTTGATCTTCTTTTTCTGGATGGTTTTCAACTTTTTTTGGTCTTTGATATCCGACTGGAAAAGAAGTTGTCGAGAGGGTGGTGAAGAGAGGAGGATGCGCGAGAAGGGCGGTGGTTGACTGTATGTACAGGGTCAAGCCAGGCAGGGAAATTTATGACTATGGAATCCAGCAGGAAAAAAAGTCCTCTGCGTGTGCGTGTGTGCGTGTGTGCGTGCGGGAGGAAAAGCGCGACGCTGGGTGGGCAGCAGTTGCACCGTCGTCACTGCTCAGGGCCCGCTCTCTCTCTCTGTCTCTTTCCGTGCACGCACACACGGTCATTCTTCTACACCTGGGCAGTAATATACAGCAATATTCTCGGGTAGTACGCTTTTTTAGCTGTAGGTAGGTGCGAAGAAAAGCGACGAGAAGGGTAAAGCTTCCTCCTATTGATGCAAACCTTCCAAGGAACTGTGATGTAGTGTTGTCGTACGGTGAGCACAAGCCGCTGATACAATAATTTCCATCGGTATCTTCCATCGCTCATTATCTCTTCGCCGTCCTTGTGCTTTCCGACGTCATTTATCCCATGCAATTGTTTTCCCATCAAGATACAGTACCGAAATGCGCGAAGCATTGGGACCTCATAGTCTATCTACTATCCTATGGCCGGTGCGCTTGCATCGATGTCTGCATATTTTGAGTTGGGCATTGCTACCAGACCTGAGTGCGCATCATCCGCGTGAAATGGTGATTGGCACAAGTCATGTGTCCCGCGGTTGATAAGCAACCATCAATTGAGTCTCTTGCGACCTTCTCACGTTTGGAGGAGCACAAAACCTCGGTATATGATCTTGGCAGGTACCTAGGTATATACAGCGTTGATTGATGATAACAATGTCGGTTGATCCTGGAGAGCATAACAAGACACCGCTGCAAAAGAAGCAGCAGAAGGAAAGAGCAGCTGATCGTGCCGTGTCCTAGCTTGGCGAATCTTTCTTCACACAGGCACAAACTGCATTGGGTCCAAGCCTCGTGCCCACCTGCCGCTGTCATCACACACAGCTTGATGCCGATCCCAGATCAACCAAGGCCGTGAGAGTTGTGTCCGATCCACATATCGAACACAGAATTTCAGCAACACGCCGTCGGCAATGTGCTATTTTCCTATTCCATCGTTGCAGGCATACGGACTGCAAGTGTTATGGTTGATGTTACGTCACTCTCTGGGCGACAACCATTATTCGAAATTTGGAGAGCACTTTGAAAAGATGGAAGGAAAGATGATTGGCCTGCCGATGATCTATGTAATAATATTTCTTGATGTCGAAAGTGTGATCGACTGATGATGACGTAAAAGCAGATAGACGATGCGTCTATCATGATGAGCCTCTTGTAAAAACTCCCACAACGCCGACGCTTCCCTGAACCAGCCCCAACAGTCTTGTCGAGTTGACGAAAAGAATACCTGAGTAAGAAAAGCAGAACATAAGCTACAGAAGTTTTGAAGAAAGGACGATCGTGACGAGCCTTGCATCGAGGACACAGGTCGGTTCACAAGTATCGCAGTCACTCCGGACTCAAGACACAGAGAGCCCGAAGGAAGCCCGTCCTTCGGGATGTGCATCTTACTCTGCCGCAGCAACAGTCGCGCCAGCCGAGGGCATGGATGTCCCACTCGAACCAGCACCAGCGGAGTCAGCAGACGCTGCTTTTAATTTTGCTTTCTTCTCTTCCAGCAATGCCATTTTCTCTGCCAATTTGCGTGACTTGGCATCCGCCTCCTGATCCTTGAGCTTCTGCGCGTCGGTCTTGCCTGCGGCCTCGCGCGCTGCAACGTCTCGCCATTGGCGCCAGCCGTCAAAGTCGATGAGCGCCTGCATGCAACCCCATTCCTTGATCTTCCGCTCCAGCCAGTGGAAGGATACAGGTTTCGTGAGGAAGTCGTTGCACCCGGCCGCGAGTGCTTGATGACGATCGGATTGGAGGGCTGATGCGGTCAGAGCAACGATGATCACTGGAGATTTGAAGAGACCTTCGCCCACGGGTAGTTCATCGTCTTCCGGATTGTGTGCGGGCCGGGGAGGCTTCTCCGCGATCTCCTTGCCCTTGCCGTTCATGTCGTTCGATGTATTTTCAGTCGGGCTGCTCGGTGCGGAAGAGGAAAACACGCCGATACCATTGACCCGTTCAAGCCTTCGGATCTCCTTGGTCGCTTGGAGACCGTTCATGATTGGCATCTGAATATCCATCACGACCAAATGGAACCCCCCCTCCCGCCATTTGTCGACTGCTATCCGTCCGTTCTCAGCGGTTTGCCACCGCACTTTAAGTCTTTTCATCAACCCCACCATGATTTTCAAATTGACACTGTTATCCTCAACAATCAACACGTTGATCGGAGGTGCCGAGCTGTCCAACATGCTTGAGATGCTCGGCATCACAGGGTCGACAGCGTAACCGTCCGTGCCGGCCCGAATCGCTGAGCGTATGACGGCTTTCTCTGGAGTCGCTCGTCGGAGTTTCTGCGGTTTCGTCCTGCGGTGCGCGCCGCCAGAAGGCGTTGGCGGGTGAGAGGTGTTGACAATGGCGGACTGTACTATCGGAGCCGGTGGTGAAGGTAAGGGGGGAGCGGGTGGCGCTGCGTTAGCAGTCATCGATCTGTTCGCTTCGGACGCCGACGAGTCGGCGCGGCCGCGGGTGGAGTTACGATGCGGTGCTGGCAGTATGGGTACATTTGAATAGGCCGAAGCTCCGTTCATTGTATGTTGCACAATCACTGGCGAGGACGTGTGCTGGCGACCATATTTTGGACGATGTGCCGCATGTCGTCGACCCCCTGCGCCTGGCGACGGTATAGGCGCGATCTGCCCAGTATTGAGTACCGAAATAGACCGTGGGCCGTGGTCGCCATTGTGCTGATCTCGCGGTGGCACTGGGCCCAACAAGATATTAGGAGCGCTAGCTTCAGCCATCGGAGGGAAGTAGTCATTCCCGTTCTCCATAGGTCGATAGTCGTCCATGGAATAGTAATTTTGGGTCGGCAAGGCTCGTGGCGATGGTCGCGGCGTCCTCTTCTGTGGGACGTCAATGAGCAATGCATCCGCAACCTTTTGACCATCCGGGAAATATTTCTCGATGACCTTGATCATCTCTTCCTCCGGGCCGAGAATATGCTCTACACGAAGACCGGCCTGGTTGGGTCGCATCAAAATGCGCAGCGTCATGTCAGGTGAATCGAATGTTCTGCCGAGAGAGTTTGCATATTTCTTCAGGATCATATCCCGCACATCGTCAACCAGATCGTCCTCCCGGATCTGCACAAGCGTGGCCGACGCGCTTGGTCGCTTCACCCATATCTTTCGCATGATGGGTTGCGCCATGGTGGATGCGCGAGATCGTGGGCGATGAGCGTGGTTGTTCACGACTGGCGGACTGTCGACGTTATTTTGGTGTTGTTCGCAGGTGACGTCGACGGGAGCATCGAGATTTGCGACGCGTGATGAATCGTTGTTGAGGCCGTCGGGCCCATGTGCGTGGGAAACAGGCGACGCCGATGTGCTATTCGCTGGATGCGACACCGAAAGTTTTGCTGGGATCAGTGAAGGTTGTGGTGTCGGAGGGTGCGACGATGCCCAAGACTGTTGATAAACCGACCTGTGCAACTCCGAGATCAGCAGGCATTCGATGGTGTGGACGGTGTCAGCAGCAAAGCGATTTGGAACTAGCATTCCCGATCCGACGCGGTGTCGCGAGGCGAGAGACGTGTGAGGGAAGGCCCGACGCGGATAAGCGGGGCGCGATAGGCAAGCTCGAACATGATGAGACAAGCCGGCTCACAAGGGGAAATTTGCACAACGGTGTGAGGGCAAGCACTCTCATCATCGATGCGTCGATAAGCTTTTCGACACGCATCCTGTGTCCTCCTGTGCTCGCCACTCTCGATTTGTCACAGCATCGATATCGCTCAAAGTTGAACTGGAACGAACAAAAATTACTTACGTCGTCAAACCCGCAGGTTCGGTGCTATCGCCTTGGATTGTTGTTGGTGAGGCTGGCTTTACCGTCGAAATCGGACACGATTCCGTCGCGCCTGTTGAGACTTCAGCCTTGCTCTCGCCTTGTGTCGATGTTGCGATTTGATGGGCAATTGGCGGCGATGATCGGTCTTTCGTAGCCTTGGATTGACCGTCTTGCTCAATGGACAAGATTCCTGGTCGCGTGTCCACCTGTCCAGTGGATGAGGGTGTCAGTGGCGGCGGTGGTGAGACCGAAGCTGGACTATCGTCGTGATCCGAGACAACAGTGGAGGCTGTTGAAGACACGAGGTCGTTGCTGCACTCCGTCCGCAGCTTCGAAGCCGCTGTAGATGATGTGCTGTGTGAGGTGTCAAGCGTGGTGTCAGAGCCGAAGTCTTTGGATCTCCTATGACCACGGCTGGAACTTCGAGTTCTTTTGCGATCGTATTGACAGTCGCCGGTTTGATCGCCTGACGAATCTGTGTGATGGGTAAAGGAAGATAGGCGTCGGAGAAAGGGCCGCACCGCCTGAAACGAATGCGTGAATGCGAGTCGGGCCATTCGTGATGGCAGCGACTGGATTGAGAAGGACCAGTGCACCGCACACAACGACGTGGTGGAAGTCTGGCACCCTCGCGAAATGTGATCACGAAGCTTACACGCGTGAGTGCGAGTCAGCGTGTTCAGACATGCGGCACTGCTGAAGTGTCACTTCAGACAGACTGACCCGAGACTGTGTGACAAGCCAGTCAACGCTGCTGCTGTTGGAATGGTCGCAGAGATGAGCAGCCATAAATGTGAAGGCACCGGACCGGTATGGCGGTTCACCTGAAGCAGCACCGATGCCTCGTGAGAAAGGAAGCCGAGAGAGCAATGCTACCAGGACTGTAGTGTGTATATCTTTAAAGGTGACAAGCGTTGTAAAGAAGCTCCAGCACGCTGAGCTCGGAGCGGGAACGATTCACGAATTGGACTTGAGTGCGTGCAGAACCACGAGGATGCGTGGAAAGGAGAACGGTCGACAGCAGCGGGCGAGCTGTTGTCGTTCGCGACACACGACAAGTGGCAGTCAAGGGAAGAAGAAAGGCAAAACACGGAACGAGCATGCATGGGACGCAAGATCCAAAGCGTCGGGTTCACGATGGGTGCACAGGTGAATGCTGCAGTTAGGGCGGTCACAATTTGGAGTTCCTACTATTCTATTTGGGCATACCGCATAAAGTATGTAGGTTCGAGGGCGATGCACCGTGTTCAGGTTCGGAGAACCACACCAAACAGCATCCTGGATATCTGCCACCGTCGGCAGGTTAATCACTGGACAGGCAAGGAGATCGAGAATTTCTACAGATCGGAGCGGTGATAGCGGTGATAGTAGCAAGGGCGGCATCGATGATATGGCGAGCGGACTCTGTCGCGACACCAGCTTCAGTGATCGATGGTAGCGCAGTTGACTAGTAGACGGAACAGCACACGCTATCACATGAGGTACAGTACTGCTTGGTGCATGAACAGAGGGACGGCAGGTTTAAAACGTGTCCAACGAGCCCAAGCGGCGGCAACAGCACGCCGAGAAAGCATCGAACAGACAAGAACAAATTCCCCGGTGTGTGATGGCGAGCGGACGAAGGCTGCACGGCGACACACACACACGCACACACACCAAACGTTGTTGGAAGAACGTGTGATGAGAAGGAGCTGGGCTTGCACTTCCTCCCGCGATCATGATCTGTCGGGCTCTTTGTTAGTTCCAGTTGCGGACACGCGGACAGGTCCCCATCATCGATGGCAGGAGTGCGGATCGAAGAATTCCCATCCGCCGACAGCCAGCAAACCACGCCAAGCGAGGGAAAACAAGCAGGCTTGCGGGTTCTCAACAGCGGTGGTGGATGCAGCCGTGTCGCAACCACTGGCAGTGGTGCTCTTCCTGTTCGGAACGTGGCCAAGGTCGTTTCCAATTGCTTTGGGTAAGGAACGCCGCTGCCGCAGCCATGACTCCTGCAGTCCCGAAATATCTTCAGACGATTGTTGTGATGAACATCGCTACCGTGAACAAAGCGGTGGATGGGAGACAATTGAACTGTGAAGCTAGGTACTGTACCGAAAAGTGTGTGCAGGGCTGTCACCCTTTGCCTACCGTAGTGCATTGCTAACCACCTACGTACCTAGGTAGGTATTGTAGTAGCCCGAGCAAGAGCTCTTGTATTAGAATTGATACTAACCTTGGAACCTTGGATGATATTCTTGAACCTTGACTGCGATGAATGTTTGAGAAATCACGCGCGTGAAGGTCCTTCTCATGCAGGCTCTGTCGATGAACTCCAGCCACCAAAGATCGGGCCTCTATCATCTTGACTAGCTCAAAGTCTACCCGACCCGACTCTAGTATCTACCTAGGAACGATCACTTTCGCAAACACCTTCCCGTGACCGAGATGGCGAAGTTTCGCTGCAGACATCACGTAATAATCAATATCAAATTTGATACCGGACTGTGATGGAGACGGTGATCATAACTGGTACAGTGGTTGCCAGCAGCCGACAGCGTGTGAAAAGTCTGGTCGACGGGCACGCCACGTCCATGGAAGAGGATTCCCGACAGCCCGAGCAGAGAAACGTTCCAAGGGCCTCATCCGCAGAACGCATGTTTCCACCCGTTCGTTTGTTCGACCGTGTGATTATTGTTGGGACCTGGTGCAACTCTTCACCCTGTCTGATGTTTGGTGAGAACACACGCTAGCTGCACGAGAGAAAACTGCGTGCCGTTCAATCCCTGTCAACCCTATCCCAGAAACCTTACCCATGTGAGCTGCCGGAGCGTTTACTGGTGATATCAATCGCAACCAATGTATGTACGAGCACGACATACAGGGACATTACATGAAGCAATCCTGCGTTCCATAGACATACAATCTTCCCTTCCGAGATGTCCGATAGATGTAAACAGGTGCTTAGGTCACCTTAGAGACACGGATATTTTGTATTGATCATTGACAAATAATTGTGTCAGATCGTGCAAGACATTATGAGATCAATTGTGGGCAGAGACATCGATGAAGCCTAAGCGGAGAGGGCACGACTCGGACGCGAGGTACGAAAGAGAGCGAGCAACGGCAACACATTCCTTGGCCTAAGACCAAACAACCCCGATCGATCCCGCTTGTCCGCCGGTCCTCTTCGGCACGGCACCCAGGGCCAACCAAGCTCCGGTACCCAGAGAATAATAATGAAGCAGACCTCGGGAAGCTTGGGGAAACAGGCTCAGCTGGGTGGACCCGAAAACGCTGCGCAACCTCGAGGGATGATTTGTTCCCATCGAGGAAGATGTGTGGAAGATCCCAATTCGCTTTTTCTTGTTTCTCGCGATTCCATCTTCGATTCTCAATGCTGAGAGAGTGTCTAATTTTGTCAAAACCACGCCTGAGAAATACAGTGTCTACCATCCTTCAGAAACGCTTGGAATCGCTGTTGAGATTACCACTAAATTCTCTTTTCTTATGCCACAAGTCTTTGGCTAGCTGTCGAGTCTCCTTTCCAACAATTTCAGATGCGATCGAAGTGACCGAATCGCACACGGGTGGCGCGGTGCTCGGCGCTTCTTTATTTGGAACTTCGCCGATCAAACAGAGAGGCACTATTTTCGCGCCAGTGAAGTCCTCTCAGATCTCGATCGCGTTTGAAGAAGAGATGAAGTCAATCCACTTCGGAGCAAATTCCAACGTCGCTCGTGACACGGTTGCCGTTGTTTTAGGTCATTCGAATGGTGCCCGTTTGCACATCTTTGCCTGTTTGTGCTACAGCATGTGTTGTTAATCCCCGGCGTGCGATCGTTCTTAAGACGCCGATCTCGAGCTTATCTCCGAAATTCCTCTCACTGGCTGATTACGTGTATTTGAGAGAAATGTAGCAGAGGTAATATATCATGATTTGTTGGGAATCGGTTGGGCTCTATGATAAAATACAGTATGGTGCGGGAAAACTCTGACCATATCTGCAGAGGCAAATCGGGAGTTTTCAATGAATTTTCTTATCCGACCTTCCACAGAGTAATCGCTTCAGGCTGGTCGAAAATCGATGTTTCGTCTTTTCCGCATTGTCATTACCAGCCGCCATGCGTTCTTTCTCCCCAAGTCTGCTCTTCCTCTTCTCCTTCTTTCCGCCCTTCGCGGTCGGCATCTTCGTATGATCCTCCCCAATGGACGCAGTCTTGGCTGTGGATGCTGATGATTGAAGCGTACTGCTCGGCTGTCGCAATGCGTCCTCATCGGCCTCGTCCTCAGAAGTATCGCTATCACTCTCGTTCTCGTCCTCATCGCGGCCTGACGCCGTCGGCGTCGGCGTAGTATCCCGCTCATGACGGCTGCGGCGCGGGGATGCGGAAATGCTGAGTGGGCGGAGGTCGTGCGGAGAGCGGGCTCGTAGGCGATCATCGTCACGGCCCACAGCACCCGAGTTGCGTGGAGACGAACCCCATACAGATTGAGCTGTAGGAGGGTATACGCTGAGATTTTTGCTCCCCGAATGATTCGTTTTGTTGCGCCGTGAGTTGCTCGTGGCGCGTTGAACGAGGACGGTGCTAGTGGAATCGGCGCGTAGACGGTTCACGCTGGGCGAACGACTGGGAGACTGCTCGGGTGTGTAATCATCTCCTATCGAAAACGTCGAAGCCCGTTGGTTCGGCGTGCCCTTGCTCAAAAGACTAGCTCTTCGCACGATGCCGGACCCAATGCTCTTGATGCTAGCTCGCTTCTCGGAAGGCACCAGGAACGGAGAGCCAGGCGGGCTGCTTATGTCGCCGAGGAGCGGCGTTGATTTGGAAGGTGATGACCCAGACTGCAGACTCATGTCATTGGAAGCGTCCTTGCTGTCATACCGGAAGCTCGGGCTCCAGCCCTCCTTGAATGAAACCCAGATGGCCGTCATTGTGATAATCTCGCGAAGTGCATCATCGGTAGCACAATGATCCGGCGCCTGCTCACCACCAGCTTCCTCTTCCTCCAGAACGTCTCCAAGAAAGGTGGTGACCTGCTGAGGCGTGCTAAGTGGAGTAGAAATGCTGCCGTCAGGGAGCTTATAGGAATCATAAATGTCCAGCCCAGTTTTGGATAGTGTCGCAATAACAGGATGTCGCCTGGACCCCGATGAAATGGTACTGAAATTAAATCGTCGCGAGCCGTCTTTCATGGTCATCCTACTGCCATCTTTATTGCGTTTTGGTACCCAGCGCAGGGTCAAGGCTAGGCCGTGCTCGTCGGTGGTGAAAAACTCATATCCACCAACCGTCGTGGGATAAGCCTCCCACTCCCGACCTGATGCCATATGGATCCTCATCTTGTTGCCCATTGATTTTTCCTCATCCTTGCGCCCTTTGCAAATCAAACCGATCACGTCTCGAGTTTCATGTTCATCGTCCTCCTCGTCTGCGTTGTATTTCTCCGCCTTGAAGACCACCAAATCATTCACACACAGCCCATGTCGAGCTTTGAACACCCGGGTGATTGCGCGGTTCAGGCGCACACTGAAGTTGGCGGACGGGATGACCTCGAACGCTGGCAGCGGTCGGGAGCGCGCACTGAGGCGATGCAGCTGCAACAGGGACCGCGGCCGACGATGCAGCTTTGATCGAGTTGTGGACGTTGGCGGCGGGTGGCAGATGCTGAAACTGGTCTTTGCGCGATTGCTCCTCTTGATCCTCCGTGAGCCGTCGATGCTTCCCTCGCGCGAACCCGACTCGCTGGTGCTCCGTGTTTCCGGCTCGGCGAACATGACCGACGAGTTCCTGCTCGGCGAAGGCGGGCCTTTGTTGCCAGTCGCGGCAGACAGCTTTGCCGACCGGCTCTGCTCACTGGATTTCGATCGTTCGGTCGTAGACCCACCATTTTCATCGGCGGTGGTGGAAGTGGCACTGGCGAAGGGATTGAACATGTTCACCAGGTTTGTAGGAATTGAAGGCGTCCATCTTGCGAAGCTAGAGGTACTAGGGGTTTCGGAAGGTCGTGGTGTAGCAACTGTTGCCATGTCGAGCGTCTGCCAATGGCGGTGCACACGACAGCTGCGAGCGAAGGGCCACTCTCGGCGAGAGACCTGACATGGACGTTCAATGCGGAGAATACCTCAGGACTTCGATGTGTCAAGTGTGCCAGATAGTGCTGATAATCTTCGAATGAATGTCGATCTCGATTTATATATCAGGAAGCTGTATCTTTGCGATGTTCCTCTCATGGGCGATTGAGATCTGTTGTGAGTGAGGCTGCAGTGGTGAAAGTTGGGTGCGTGAGGTGGTACCATAAGGCGCAGGGCGGATATATCATGCAAGAGCGTTGGTAGGAGATGTGCTGGAGCGATTTACAGTTTACAGTTAGCCACTGCCCGCTACTGCTTTACCGGGGCGACCGGGGGGTGTGCACCGCGCCGATCGGCCTCGCAGAGCATTAGCCTGGGACTGGACGGGGCGCCCTTGGCAAGGAGAGAGAGAAAGACGAAGCAGGAGGAGACAGGCGACCAGGGGATGAAGAGGGAGGGGCCAGTTACAGATTCAATCGCACCTGTACGTATGCACTATGCACTATACAGTAGAAGCGGTACAGGACAGAGCAGTACAGGACAGTACAGCAGTAGCTTCGGGCTCATTCGCTCGCTTGCGTGGACGTTTGTCGATAAGCCGACGCCCCCTCCATCCTTGCCCATTGCCCATCATCACTGGTGAAACAAGGAGTCCAAGGGGGCACAGAATCTAACATTTTACAATCGCTCCAAGGTTTGAAGGAGATTCTTACCATTCACAATTCGTCGCCACAACATAGCTCAGGAGTATGTAGATGAAAAAGAGATAATCTCTTCTCGGCCATTGCACATACCGTACCGCGCAGGCAGCTCATCTTCTCGCCAATCGCTCCTCCAGGGCTGTAAACGATTTCATGGTGCGGGCGAGATCCGAAGGGAGGGACAAGCCGCCGCCTCTAATGAACAGCGCCAACAATGTCTGTCAAATATGTCACCACTGTCGAGTCGTCCCACGGATGAGTAGCGGTATAAACCATCATCGGGCTAACAATGAAGTATTAAGAGTGACAAAACCAACGAACGCCATATGGCGATGTCACTGAGCCGGTCTGCCCAGCGCGATCCAAACCTGGAATGGGGACATGGCAAGTCAACATCAGACCACTTTTCGCGCGCCAGCAAGGATAACACATTGCATCACCGACGGCGGTACGAATTATCGTACGAATCTCGTTCTTCGGCACAGACATATGAATTCCTCTCATCTCCAGGGCTGGTTCGATTCACATGTCTATTCATACTGTGCGGTGTACTACTGTCCACATCTTCGTCATCCTCAAATACAGGATCAGTGGTAGTTGACTGTGCACACCTCCAGCTTCTTCATCACCTGCATGCTAAATTCCGGAATTCCGGAGGTAGTTCCTAGGCCACACCGGATGCTTGCATTACCTGCTGCCACATCACCAGGGCAAGCGGTCGATGCGTATAGTGTTTACCTGGGCATGTACTGTAATAATGCATCGGCACTAGCTAGGTGTGAGGTGACTTCGAAAACTGCTCCACGTGCAAATTTTTGGCATTGCTGCACGTACACGGTCAGGCGTTGCTGGCTCGTCGTTGCTCACCATGTCGGAATCGTACCATCGGGCTTTTCGGTGTTACGTTCATCATGCGACGCCGCCGACTTGCATATCCTCGGCGACCGCCTCATCTGTAGTCTCCGTTCCTTTCCCCTTCCGAGTGCGATCACGACCGGGGCTAGCCAGCAGAAACCCTTGGAATGCATCGGAATGCCGACATCGTCGTGGCACTTCGCCATACAGAAGTGCTGAATATGCACCTTGACCGACAAACCAGACAAACATCGAATGCAATGCTAGACAACGGCTAATGTGCACCACAATATTGAGGAAATCCCCAACAAGCATGCTAAGGCTGCGGTGAGACTGCAAGCATTGTTTGGTAAGGCAATATAATTGGATCCTCGTCGCGTTACGGCCCCAGTCCTGCTGCCTGCATCAGACCGTATGCGTGGCTGAGGAAGCCCAGCGGACCAATCGACATCGGACAGCACATGCGGATGCCAGAGCGGAGGGACTAGAATCCGATTCCATGTTGGGAGAGGAATTTGAGCCATCTTCTGGTGCTGCACAGGATAAATCGCATGTTCAGTCCGCATCGTCGCCAAGATCCCACGCGTAAGAATCGTTTGGCGTGCGTGAGGCAGTGACTCGCTGATCGTGCATCGATCTTGCTAGTGCTTATGTTTACATCAGATGTATACTGTACTGTACGCGATGTGGTTGTGAAGTTCATTTGAATGATGGCAATTTTCAGAGGAAAGTAAGTGGTTGTCATGATTTCATAGACGAGTCATGAAGGTGTTGATCCAGGCCAGCTGAGCCTTCCTTCTCGTGACCTTCGTGTAATCCTCCCATTTTCGTCAAACATGACAGTGATGATGCTGATGTCAATGTGATGCATTTTCACATAATGGCGGCGCAGTTATGTTCGTGGCGATCTTTGCCGTATGTCGCCGCGACAAATGTCTAGGAGAGCGATGCAGCGCGGGGTTACATCTCGACGATCGTCAAGTTGTCAACGGGCAAGGCTGATCATCGATACTGGTGCCGACGAGACGATGCACTGTCCTTCGCACATGTTCACCCGGCGCAGAGTGATGGTTGATCATCTTGCGCGTGTGTACACAGGGTACAGGACAGATCGAGACACGGCACGCATATATCGATTCCAATCATTTGATAGAAATCCACCTCAACAAATACTCAACGACTACACTCACGCGGCTGTCTGCAGCGCAACATCGACATATCCAAAGGGACGCGGCAGATGGTAGATCATCAACGGTTGCGATACCGTCGAAGCAATTACTAGTAGTTCCGACTTCTTGTCCCATACTCAATCGCGGATTACACCTAATGTGCAGAATGTGGTTAGTCCAGAGTGGATCGTCTAGCCTGAGGTTTCAAAGTTCCTCCTGGTATTGGACCCTGCCCTGGTGGTATTTACTCGTGACACTTTCGTGATGCAATGCAATATCATCGCTGGACTGTGCCAGCATTTTGAACAAAATGTTTGAAATGCAAGACGAATGAGAGACCACGAGCGCAACTCATACTTGTAATCGCGCTTATCAAGATGGCAACTTCCAGCGAGGGACCTACACGTCTCAAAGCATCGCAATTATCGAAGAAGGGCGAGCGGGAACGAAAGCAACAAGCTGTATCGACACGAACGTCAGCGCCGTCTCGCCATCTCGGCCTAGAGACTCAAACGTTGCAGACAGCGCTGAGACTGGTGCTCGTATTTACAGCATGGAAGATCTTGCTTCTTGTGGTCGCATTCGCTAGCCCCGGCCCGGGATACGATACCTCGTCAGAGTTGCTACCATTCTTCGAACAACAGCAAACCTTGAAGGACTACAGAGAATCTTCCTCGACAGTGCAATGGATAGCCCATCGGCTGTCGCTTCGATTGACTAGATGGGACGCTGTCTACTTCACAGCCGCTGCTGATCGCGGACATGTCTTCGAACAGGAGTGGGCATTCAGCCCCTTTCTCGCGACTCTTAACTCGAGGTTGACTAGGTGTGCGTCCTTCCCTATCACATTTCTCAGATACCTTGCTCAAATAGATATATTTATTCCCAAAACAATGTTCATATGCTTATCATGTCTTGCTTTTGTAGTTCTCACAACTGCTCTGACTTCACGCCGGGGCCCTGATGCACTTGACAATCAACCCCCATCACTCATCACAGTGGTTGTCACCGGTGCTGTCATCTCTCATGCTGCACATCTCCTAGCGGTCGGTCTGCTCTTCGTCATATGTTACTCGACCCTGCCGACCTCGCAGACGATAGCCCGGCGAATCGCCTTCACAGCGGCGGCACTGCACATCATATCGCCCGCGGGTCTCTTCCTTTCAGCTCCTTATGGCGAGAGTCTGTACGCGGCCCTTACCTTTGCAGGGATCTGGGCGCACGCAGCGGCTTTTGATGTAGCAGATGCCCCGGATAACAGCTGCAGCAATGCGATCACTAGAGCCGATACTCCCTTCTCATTGAGGTCAGCTTCCCTGCTCCTCACAAGTAGCCTGTTCTTCGGGCTAGGCTCTCTCATTCGAGGCAACGGGCTTCTCAACGGGCTCGTCTTCCTTTGGGATATCCTCCCTTACATTTACCATCTGCCATCGATGCTCCAGCATCGTAATATACAAGGACTTTTAACGACAGCAAGCATTGGCCTTGCCGGCGCTCTTCTTGGCTTGATATATGCCGGTGGTCAACTTGAGCCTTACCTACGCCATTGCACACAAGGCAACGATCGACCTTGGTGCAGCGACTTTCCGCCAAGTATCTATACGTTCGTCCAGCGACACTATTGGAACAATGGCTTCTTGAGGTATTGGACCCTTTCCAATCTGCCGTTGTTCCTGCTCGCGATGCCTATGCTCTTAGTCATGCTCGGCAGCAGCTACATGGCGCTTTGTCGCCCGGAGGTTCTAATCGGACTCGTTCAGAATCAATCGAGTCGGGAAATTAACCCCGGCAATTACCTCAAGCCAGCGACGAGCGGCGCAGCGGCAGCGCATGACCAGCTACGTCGGCAGGGGGTGCGTTTCAGACGCGTCCTGGCAAGTCTCGCACTACCCCAGCTAGCCTTCACGCTGCTAGCATTGACCAGCTTCCATGTACAGATTGTCAATCGAGTCTCGTCCGGCTACGCATTGTGGTACACGGTCCTTGCGATTGCGCTGCAGTCGTCCGACGATGTTTCTTCAACATCGAATGCAGTGGACCCGCCAGGAGAAAATCCTAACGAGCGGAAAGCCAGAGCTACGCGAACATCACAGTCACGACAAGGTGTTCCCAAGACACAAGACAGAGCCATCCAGTCATTCTTGGCGCCGCGGACGGCTCAAAATCTCGTGAGAGGAATGGTCATGTATGCCATCATACAAGGTGGATTATATGCCAGCTTCCTGCCGCCAGCATAGAGAGCCAATCATTGGCATATGAGCGAGGAAATTGAAAAGGGGCTCGAGGCCGACAGGTTGTGATAGAGCCATCTTCCCAAGGAGGCACACGGCGGAAGACTCGATTATGGAACGCGATCTTTCGCTTTTTGGTTCCTGAACTGCACACATTCTACCTTTAAAAGTCATGCTTGCAACTCGTGAACCAGCGGATAAAACATGCTATTGCCGGGCTATCAAGAAGACTCTCGCCGAGTCCGCCCAGCGTGCAAACCACACGACTGCTTCCCATGTCAGACTAAACAAATTTCGCATCCCGTCGAATGCCTCCTTCTCCCGCACAAGCGCGCAAATTTATCCTCCGCCTCTGATTCCTCACAAACATTAAATGTAGACTCCTCGCGAGAAGATGCAAGTAGAAAACGCCCGTGTAAAAGATCGCACATGAATGCAAACAGAGAACAAGCGCAAAAGGCAAAAATCGACCAGCATGCGGACGCGCGACTCCTCACACGCCAAGGAACAAACAAGAATACACAAAAAGGGCCTGGCCCTGGATGGAATCGATGGCTGAACATATCGAGGGACATGGCGGCTCACGCGGTTGTGCCTTGCGAACATGGAGAACCAGTTCTCTGAGCCGAAATCCTTTGCCCATGTTCTCGGATTGTCTCCGGCTGCCAATTGCTCATCGTCTTATCTCATGCAGATGCGCTGTCCGATCGTCGCCGCAATCTGACCATATTCACTGCTTTTGCCGCCGAAGACGCGAGGGTGACCTATGACTTCGACGCCTCAGTGGCGTCCGCAGCAGGCGGGGCGTCCATGCTGACAGTGCTGTCCTTGCTGACAGGCCCACGAGGTGCCAGCGAGGAGGCGGATGAGCCAGCGGTGGAAGCGGCAGAAAACGCATTGACGGTCTCCAGGCAGCGCCGAGCCAGCACGACAACTTCGGCTTCGCCATCATCGGTGTCGGTAGTGTCGCCCTCGTCCTCTGACTCAATGGAGCGCTCAGAGATCTCCCGGACAACGCGCATCACGTCCTCAGCGCCAATCAGTGTAGACAGGAGCGGCCGATCATCGGATTCGAGAAGTTGAAGAAGAGTCCAGATGGCGATATGTTGGAATGTGGGATCGCCCGAGGCGAGGAAACGACTGAGGTAACCGTGAATGCCGCCTGCAGGTTGGTTCCAGGACGATAGGAACAAAGAGTAATCGCCAACTATAATGTGTTAGTCACGTTTGCCACAATACACGCTTGCCGCGGGGCACTTACCTTTACTGCTCAAATTGCCCAACGCGGCAGCGCTGTTGCCTTGAACCTCGATGCTCTCGCTCTCGGTCAAAGGAATGAGCACATCAAACACTCCGAGATCCAGAAGTTGGGGCTTGAGCTCGTCCGATAACGCCAGCACAGCGATGGCAGCAGTCATCTCCGATTGCACGCTCAGAGGCACGTTCAACACGAGCTCTTTGCATTTTTGTACAGCCCCAGCTTGCAGCACCAACTGCTTGTTTTTGTCCGACGAAGCAGCCAAATTGCGAAGTGTAGATATAGCATGACATTGAATTTCCTCGTTGTCGGTTGAGCCGAGGAGATCCACCAATGGTCTCAGGAAACCGGCGTCGATGATTGGCGATTCGTTCATGGGGTGGATGCTGATATTTCGTATGCAAGCGACCGCTGAGAGAATCAAGGGCAGATAGCTACTTTGCAGCAATTGCAACAAAGGTGGTAATCCGCCGGCGCGGACAATGTCGAGCTGATACTTCTCATCGCTGGCAAGATTCCTCAACGCGAGCGCAGCCTGGCATTGCACCTTGGGTGCCTGTCCCTTCATCAGCTGTACCAGGCTTTGTACTAGCCGTGGTTCAGATTGTGCTAAGCGTTTTCGGTTTGTGCTGTCCACTGCAATATTGCTGAGTGCGGTTGTGCAATAGTACTGAACGTCCGTATCCTGACTGCTCAGCAACTTGACCAGCACCGGGATTGCGCCGGCTGATACAAGCTGCTGTCGGTTGTCATCTGAGTGAGTCATGTTAAGCAAAGCTCCAGTTGCGTTGCGCTGTACCCGCATATCCGTGCTCTTTGCAAGGCGTGTAAGAGGTCCGAGAGCACCTGATCGTGCTATGCGAGCCTTGTTGTCCTCGTGAGTTGCGAGGTTTGTGATGCAGCCGACGGCGTTACATTGCACCTCTACATTGACGCTGTTCATTTGGCGAATAAGTGGTTGCAATCCTCCGAGAGAGACGATGAGGGTTTTGTTTTGGCCTAGAGATGGTAAGCCAACAAGCATGCGCATGGTTATAGGCAAGACGAACCATCTACAGCGAGGTTTCCTAGCGCAGCTGAAGCGGCGCGCTGTACCTCAATATCTGTACTCTCCAGAAGAAAGAGAATGGGCTCAAGTGTGTCCCGATCGACCGGCCGAACATCTGTGTGCGACTCAGATTAGACAATATACCGCAATCTGCTGGCGTGATCGGTATCCTACCTCTTTCTGTGATCTCCGCAAAGGTCAAACTGGCGCTCCTCTGAAGGTCAATGTTCTGGCTGTATACGAGCGTTGAAAGCGCCGCCAATGGCTCGCCGGAAAAGAAGTCCGTCTCGGCTCTCTAAAAGCGTGGCGATCAGTCGAACGAACTCGTCACCCAGGTAGGAAGTGAAAAGAGCAGTGAAGAGGAAGACCGGACGTACGTTTTCGAGGTAATTCAAGAGGTCAGCGACTGCCTCTCTTTCCGAGTCGCGCAGCACATTGTCGTAGTCGACCTTGTTTCGTCCTGTAGTCGGGTCAGCATCTCATGTTTTGACAGAGAGGCGGGATCATAGTCCTCTCAATCTATGGAGAGGGCGACGGGAGCATGCAGTGCCATGCAGGCAGGTCTGCATCGCGTCGGCGTCAGTACTTACCACCGCAACAGCTGCCGAAGAGGCTGCGACAGAGGCTCGCCATGATTGTATCGCCCTGCTCCGAGCGGCCGAAGGGGCCCTCCTGGCGAGTGAATAATTCTCTCTCTCGCAGCGAACGAGCCCGGCGTTCGAGGGAGGACGTGTAGAGTACGATGTCGTGAGAGGCGGACGGGGTGAAGCCGTAGTAGTGTGGAGAATGATCGAGTGACGGAAGCTGGTGTAAGTGGTTATGGAGGAGCCCGATTGGGTATAGGCTTCTGGTTCGCCGTCATGTGCGAAAGTTAAGGTTGAAGGCGGACGGCAATAGCGCGCGACGACTGCAGTGAAGTAGCTGTATCTATCGTGTTGCTCTCGCACTTCCTTCTTTAATGATCGTTCCTCCCTGCATGGGCTGCGGACTACAATCTTGAACTATCTCAGATTGTTCGCAACGCCATCTGCAGGTGGACATTGTTTGGTCGCTCTGTGTGTTGCGCCTGCCGTCTCTCTGCGCTCGTTGCCCCGGCGCGGGTAGCCAACGACATCCTGGGCGGAGGAGTCTTCCGTAGCTAGGCTGACCATATCACCATCGGATTTGGGCACGCAGCAATCTATCGCCGCTCCCTGCCCGTGTGGTCCGCCTTTGCCGCAGAACCGGTTGACGATGAACCAGCGGGACTGCTTTGCTATTTTTCGCTGTGATTATTATAGCGTCCATCTTTCCACTGTACTTCCTGGGTGGCGCCTGGTGTTGGCGGTCGAACTCGAGCCAATGAAAAGCGCACATCGTTCCGGACGATGTGCAAAGGGATAATGCCTGCAGGCTGAGCATACTGACTGCCCAGGTGTCTTGCCAAGTTGCCTACCGTATGGGCCAGAGAAACGCCTAGGTCTTGTTCAAGCATTTTACACCCAGGGTTAATGTTCTTAGAGCGAGCCTCCAAACGTACCCTCGTGATCATGATAATCGTATTCAGGAAAGATTGCCCTGCTGGACGTCGCCCCAAGGGCCCAGAGCCGTGACAGGACCTCTTCTTAGCTCGCTCGATCTCTACGGCTCGTGGCCGAGTTCTGCACGGGATTACGCAATTCCGATTTCACACAGAACATGTCACACTGTAAGCTCAGTTTTATGCTTGCTGCGGGTCGCTACTGAAGCATGGCAATTGGAACACGAGAAGAAGGTCTGCAAGACGGAATTTGAAGTACAAGGAGATTTAGCTGTGGCTCAGGAACATTCCTCCATACCCTGGTATGCACGTTGATGTACAAGGGTTGTCTTGCCAGCAGCGCACGATCCTGTTTCCGAGCCAGACTTGGATTGCAGCCGTGCCGTATTGCAGTCGAGTCTGTCGTGACATATCGATATGGCATAGAGCATCTTGAGTGGCTCCGATCGATTTGTACCAGCAGAACTGACGCAAGGAAGGCGCACGTTTGGGATGCTATTTGGTTGGATCTCTCATAGACATATAAACAGCTCATGGCTACAAAGTCCATGTTCGAAGCTCTGATTCCCGAGATGTTTTGCCGTGGCAGAGATATCCTTGCAGCATCTCACGTTGCAGCGATTTGTATGTGATAATGTGCCTTTCCGCCGCTGCCCAGAAAAGTTGCTGTCCGCATCTAGGCACACGAAAGAGCTGTGCTCCTCATTGGCATGTTCTACTACATACTGTAAATGTCGGCTCGCAGTATGGTCTTAGTAGGAGTTCCTGTGACGAGTCTTGCACTCAAAAACGCGCCTGGCTGTAATTGGCTTACATACGCGCTGATCGTCCAGAAGTCAACGGTGTCATATCAATCGAAGCGAGCATGCTTCGTTGCTTCTTGCGCTGCGGCTTCGGAGGCTGGTCATACGTTGCGGTATTTAGATACTGATTGCGGGATGTCGACCATATTTTTATGTGATAATTGTTACATATCTCAACAGCTAGAGGAACGCCAAGACAATGGGTTATCAGAAGAAACGAGAATTCCATGGCAAAAGAGTGATATTCGCGCAATGCTAGTGAATCTGAAGCATCTGACTGTGTCTTGGCGTGGGACGATGGTGGGCTTGCGCCTGCGTATCGTATCTTCACAGCAAGCGCTCGTGATGCTCCAATTCGTCACCTTACCCCGAATCTGGCACGAAGCAGAGCTTGATGAGGGCCCATATTGGGGCCATGTTATACGAGTGTTTAGAGCGATCTTGATAAAATATACACACATCAAATGGGCAACCGGGCTTGTACCTTTGGCTTGTCAGATCGTCCGTCACCTGCTGACCATGTCTGCCCTCGAAGCGGGGAATATACTGTCGAATGCACTGGTGCGCTGATGGAGGGTCACCGAACATGCGGCTAACACTCTGGGTGGATCTGATGATGCATGGCCTTCCTCACAAGCTCATATGGTGTATCTGTACTTGGAGCTTCGTCACGGACAAAGCAGCGTGGAGTATTGCGCTGGAGAGAGAGGGAGTTGTAGGATTGGCAGGCTCCTCTCGGACTCCACACGAGGCCCGCTGTGTGGAAGGATCCCTTGGTCCAATCTCTTCATCAAGGCCGCCATGTCAAGCATGGCAAACGTGTTTTACAGACGATCGTGTCGAACAGTAAGTCGGTCGGCCGTCTGAACTTGCTTCACGCATATACTTTTTTGGCGGAATGACGATCTACAGCGATATGCAAGATACAGTAGATATACATTAAACACTTTGGATCCCTGTCCAGCGTAGGCTATAGAACAAGCTTCGGACCAAAACCCATGGTAATTTTATGCAAGCTTGTGACAATCGCGTCAGCGTGCAGGCAATAGCTGCTTGTAAATACTTCTGGAGGCAATCCAGTCCTGCACCGAACCGGCAGACGAAGCGAAGATTTAATCTGCGCCCTCATTGCCGTTGCTGGTCGCGCGGGAGGACGCACAAGCAACGTGCGGTTGATACGGGCCCAAACACAGATAGAAAACGACGGTGCGCTCGAGTGCAGTAGCAGACGCAAGAGATGCAGGCTTCAACCCATGAAATGGGGAGTTGCCGATGGAACGCCGGCAGTGAAGACTCCGTCGGCCATGTGCTCGGGCCGTGCGTGGGGAAAAGCAAGTTTGGGGTGGCGCGCAATTACGATCTCGAGATTGCAGACAGGACATGCGCGCGACTTTTGAAAATGTCCGTTCGCGGAGGTTCATCGAAGAGGTGTCTGAATTCAAAGCATGAGACACCAGCAATCTCAAGCATCAAAAATGAAGGGAGTATGCCGACGAAGGGGTCGTTGGTCAAAGCCCTGGAGCACTTGAATACTGTACTAGGGTCGGAGCTCTGGCCTGATCGTCGCCTCTGCACAACCTTCTATTTGATGACAAGCAGACATTGTAGATAACGCAACAACAGACAAAGATGCGCCCCCCTTCCCAAAGTCGACACTCCTCCATGATGCTTATCATATGTGCTCCGCCTATACCACTGTAGCTCGCTCGGTACAGTGATGTCTCCATCAGGGTAGAAGGGCAAGTGCGCGGCACCGAGATATGCACGATGACCGTGTGGAAGCATATCCGCCTTGGCAATTGATGCACGTGTTTAGATTCTTGAGCCTTGACCTTCGCACACGCGGACGATGAGAAGGAAGAAAGATTGGATGTCGCAAACTTCCATCAGATATCTAACGACAAAGCCTTAGTATGTATGCGTTGATGCAATGTGTACCATATCATCGATCGGAAGTGAGGATCCGTAGAACCGGGCACTTCATAGGAAGCGTGTGATAGTTCAAAGCATGGTCGATCATCATCGCCAACGGCTTTTGGGCAGCATCGTTGCGAACAGTTATGACCCTCATCTCAATCTCAACGGACGTGAGACTGTGCCAGAATTTTGCTTTTCAGACTCCAACCTTGCCTGTAGAAGAGGCTGTATCGGGCAAGGCGGCAATGGTGACATTTCAACCTCCCTGGATGTCAAATGATGACTGACGACCTGCTTACAACTGCTCCTTGCGCGATAGTGCTACCATATCGGAGCCGAGCAACGAGTATGGCGATTCGACGACAAGATGAGATCTTTTGAGTCGCTGGACATGGACATATGGCGGGCTGCGCGCCATGCATAAGCCCTGGAGGTCAAGGTTTGATTTTTTGAAATCCTCGGGCTCGGGCTGTGTTCGCGAAATGCCCGTGCTTACGACGAAGGTACAGCGCGGATTACGACCACCATATCTGCTTAAAATGAATCATTATGACTGAGGTCTCATGCTTGTTGTCCTTTGTAAAATAAGCTCGAAACACAATAGCATGAGGATGAGGTGATAATGAATGATCATCGTTCGGACTCATTTTCATCGCAGAACGAAACTGTCTGTTCTTTGCTTTGTCCCATCAGTCCGTCGCGTGAAGGTCTGATCAAGGTTGCTCATGCGAATAACTACCTACTAGGTAGGTAGTTGAGCTTGTGAATACCTAGGTAGTGATAATTCCCGAGTGCTTCTTCCGTGCCAGCAAGGTCCCATTCGCTTGTTAAAAATATGGGAGCGGAGCAGCTTAGACTGGCCACCCTGTTTGCTGCCTTGCAGGCAGTGAACCAGACATTGTGCAATCTAGTTAGATCTACGCCGCATATGACCCCATCGGTCCCAAGAACAAGGACGATGAGATGAGCTTCTGAGCACTACATTTATTGCCGCAACCAACCGGCTGGCATGACAGGACATAGCTCTGACACTGGTGAGAGCGCAGGCGAGGTGACGAATCGTGACTCTGAAGTGGTGTTTCCACGGGTATGTGAGTGCGCATATTCCGAAGTGCATTTGTTACTCTGCAAATGAAGTGCATATGAATCTCTGCAAACCCACGCCCCATGCAATGCGGATTCTTCACACACCTGCATCTACAGATCCCACCCAACTGTAAGTTTTGTCATCCTTGTTATTAGTGGCCGTTCTCGACTTATCAGAGGCACACACGACTGCAGGTGTGGTGCACGACAACAACAAAAAGGAAGGGGTGCATGCGAGAGAGATAGAGAGAGGGCAAGCTGTGTAGGCACCCGAGCAAGAAAGACAGCTCTGCAAGGTCGTTCCCACCCCGGCCCGCATCGAGGCTGTGCTGTCTTGGCTTTTCACCATCATGCTTGGCCCAGACCCCCAACCGACCCCGGCTGACCATCGCCCTTCCTTCCCGCGAACTGCAGCTGGCTGTACCTCCCTGCACCTCTGCACCTTACCGTTTCCCTTGACAAAGCGCGCCAGCACAGCACCAGTACCAGTACCCGCATCAGCATCAGCATCAGCACCAACAGCGGCAACCGCATCACCTCCACCACACTTCCAGACAGGGGAGCCCAAAAACTTACCCCCTCGTGTGCCGGATTCATCATCTCAAATCATCGTCATTGTCCCAAATACTTAGATTCCCGGAACGCTTCTCTCCATCATCCCAAGGTCGCCATCATCATCGTCGTCTGGTCACAGCCATTTTCACTCGCCTACTGTCCGCATCTTTGGAATTATTCTATCACTATCGGACTTCTCGCCGTCGCAACGTTCTCCTTCCTCTGGTCCAACGAGTGACGTCCGCTTCGCCGGAACGCAAGGTTCCAGGCCTTCCCCACTCACCGTCCATGATCGCCCAAAGCTGTTCTTGCTGCTTATCCAGTCCTATCGGCCTCCCGCTTCGCGAGCAATAACCCTTGTCTCCGGGGTACAACTCCCTCTTTTTGACTCATGGCAACATACGCTCTCCAAAAACAATTCAAAGGCTTACGAGCGGATACCGGCCGTCGCAAAGGTCGAGATCCCTGGGCTACCGGATTTGAAGATGACAGTGACGACAATCGTCGCCGAACCAAGACCAAGACCGTCAAGCCGCTGCCCGTGACCAAGCCAAGTCCCATCTCGCCTCCAAGCAAAAGCGTCGCGTCATCTGTCGCCAAAGTTGATTCATTGCGCGATAGCGAAGACGAATTTCTCGATCGCCCTGCGCATTTGAAGAATCGGCCTGATCGCTTTCCAAGTCCTGCGCCGTACAAACTTGCCCAGTCTCGTGTAAGTCTTGGCGCAGGCCGGAGAGGTTCTGGTGAGGCCGCACTTGCCGCTGCACGACCACCGAGAGAGGCCGTCGCTCTTGCCGCCGGTCCATTGGCGTACCTTGACGATAGCGAAGACGAACAAGTATTGCCACGGTCGCGACGTCTCCGCCGTCCGAGCCCGCCGCCGCGTCGCCGATCCGACTCTCCGGCATCGCCTGATCGGTCCAACACGCCGAGAGGAGATCGTCGCACCGCGAGGGAGCCTGTCGCACCTCCACGACACACTGTCGCATCACCTTTCGCCGGCACGGTAAGTTGTTTCATCGATCACATATGCTTCCATCTCGAAGCGAGATGCCACTGTCCAGGGTGTCAAGAAGCATGACTGCAAGAACTGACATTGATGCACAGAAATATCTCCAGGACAGTGACAGTGAAGGCGACGAGCAGCAGAGCGCACAGCGCCAAGGCAGTACCGATAGCAACGACTCCACCGAACCCGCTGCTACAACCCCGACCGAATCCGAAGATACGAGCAGTAACCATCTGGAAGTAAAGGATGCCCCAAAGCGAAAGAAATCAGGAGGCTCGGGCGTCTCTTGGCGAACCATCTCAGCTGGACGCTCTGAGCAGCGGACCGCCGAGATCGAAGCCCTTCGAGCCAATCTCCAGAAGCGTGGAAGGCTCATCAGCTTCAGCTCCCATGCCGTCACCGATGAGGGCAACCGAGTCCCTCTCATGCCTTCCTACGAGCGACCTCGGCTCAGTGCCCGAGGGCGTGCCGATAACCGGGGCAAGTCGCCTCCGCGTCGGATCCACGATACCCGACCGAGCGCCGATGAAGAGCTGCCCAACCAGGGACCCGTCATCACCCATGAACACCATGACAACTACACCACCAAGGCTTTCCCTGGTATGACCAACGTGGAGATTCGAGTGCAAACCACGTGTCATTGACATATTCTGTAGCAGAATCTGCAGGACAAGACTCTGTCGCAGACACAGCTCATGTCAGAGACCCCCCAAGCGCTGGACATCGGCTCGGCGCAGTTCCCGACATTCGCATCGAGGACACTGCCCAAACTTGACACCGAAGCCACACGACCGACGTCACTCATCGGCATGATGCATAATCAGTCCATCGCCGACAGGTCAAGATCTCTGACTTCAATAGCGCCCGAGGCGGCCCTTGCAGAACCAACCTCATCGCCAGTCGCTTCTCCAGTGACGGATGACTCTCGGGACCCTCTGAGTAGGACCTCCAGTGCTCGATCGCTGTGGAACACGTCGTTCCGCTCCACTCGAGTACCAGCCCGGCGGCAAAATTCAAGGCGATCAACATCTGGCGCGAACTCGATGAGTCCCGCACAAGCGTTTTTGGCATCGTATGCGGCGAAGACAGACATGCAGGCAGATGAGTCTGCGAAACCCGACGACAAAGGCCAGACGTTCGGTTTGGAGAATGAGTACATCATTGGGAGAGTGATCAGCCACGGCGGCTTTGGAGTGGTGAAAGAAGTTCAAAATACTCAAGCTCACAACAAAGGCACTGCCAAGGCGGTCAAAATCGTTCGCAAGACAGTTCCAGGCGCGAAAGATGTTGACAATGAGAAGATCCAGTTAGAGGTCGAACATGAGGTGTCCGTGTGGCGCCACCTCAAACATCGCCACATTCTCAGTTTGCACGCCGTGTACGAGACGGATTTTGCGACCTTTTGCGTCATGGACCTGAATGTCGGCGGCACTCTTTTTGACGCGGTGCGCAGATCGCGATCGGCTGCTGATGTCAACGATGGCCGCAAAGGATTGCCGCCACACCTGAGCCAAAGCTACGCCTTTCAGCTTGCATGCGCGCTCCGATACCTCCACGAAGACATCCGCGTCTGCCACCGAGACGTGAAACTTGAAAACTGCCTCATCGACATGACGGGTCCAGATGTGGAAACCACTGGTGGACTGCTGCGACTTTGTGATTTCGGGCTTGCCGATTTTCTACACAGCTCGCAGAGCATGACCTCCTCTATGACCTTGAGCAACACTATGAGTACGATCGTGGAATCTCAAGTATCCGGCGAGCCATTTTCGGAACGGCTTTCGCTAACAACTCAACTCCCTGTATTGACCACCACGCCCACAATCTCCTCTTCTGTGATTATCGGCACTCTAGAATACGCGTCCCCGCGCGGACTTGTTGCGCATCGCAAGCTCTACGAGACTGCCGGAGACATCTGGGCCTTTGGAGTCGTGGTCTATGCTCTCTGTGTTGGCGAGCTACCTTTCCGCCATCCGATCCCGAGCAAAGTCGCTGGACTGATCCTTCGCGCAGAATGGGACGATTCTGCATTGAGACAGGCTGCGCCAGATGGTGACGAAGTGGCCATCGACCTCGTTCACGGATGCCTCGAGAAGGACATCGATTTGAGATTGACGATTAGGGATGTTCTTGGAAGTCCGTGGTTTGATGGGTTTGAAGAAGGGGGTGGGGACGAAGAACATGAGGTGCGGATGGCGGGTTGGGGAAATTGAAGGGCATCCCGACCGATGCGAAAACCTCGTTATCTGGTTTATTTCTCACTCCACTCTTGAGGGAGGAACCTATTGTTCTTGGTGCGGTCTTTATCTCTACCTCGTTGCGGCGAGCTGCGTGGCTACGCTGCTCGTGTATGAGCTCGTTCACAAAATTGATCAAAACATTTCCAGACCATCTTGTGCCGTTTCAATTGACGGACTGTGATAATGTTGGAAAATTCGTCGGCCAGGATATGGAACTCGTAGCAACTTCTCGTACTTTTGAAGCTAGACTCAGAACTTCACACATAGAATACCATTAAATTGATATCCAACATACATCAAGTTTTCCATATACCTTTTCACAACCGAGTGTTTATGCTTCAGATCGCTGCTCAACTTCGTTTCTCTCAGCGCACATGACCATCTCATTCATTCAATCCATGATATCATAATTTGTATATTTACAAGTTCCACAACGACCATCCTTCACGTGAGTAATCTCGTCTTTCCTTCCTGATTAGGCGGTTCAATCCCGGAGCCCTTGAGCTCGCCCTCACTCTTACTTACCGCCCATCCGGAGCATCGTTGTCGCTCTACCAACTCTCGGCATCTCGCTTAGACTCCTGGACTCATTCTCGGCCGCTGAGCAACTTTGCTGTAGCAACGTCGAGACGACGAAGATTTCTTCGGGTGTTGTGATGTTGTGGCTCTCAGGCGCAAGTGGCATAGGGAGAGGGATCCGATGCAAATAGGACGACGAGCAGGAATTTTCCTGTACCTCTTCTTCTTCTTCTCCTGCTGATGCTGCTGCTGCTACGACCCTTGCTTTCCTCTTGATGTGGTGGCTTTGTTCGTTTGCTCGAGCGTCCGTGCTGAGCTGAAAATGGACGTCGAGATGCTTTCGTGCAAAAGATTTGCATGACCCCTGGGCGACCTTCTCATGCCTCCCGGAACGTTATCCTGCGCAGGTCAGACCTCATTCCCTCGCCCATCGCGCGACGAGGACGAAGGGCGGGAATGCCTTGATCAGGCCAGGTCTGGGACTTGCCGTGTCGGACTCCTGGTGGTGAGACTTTTATTTGTGTTGTTCTTCCATATCCCGCTCTCGATCAGGGTAGTTCCTTGGGACTTGCACAGTATTTGGACGGCAACTCGCTCCACATCGGGTAATGCTTCGAAGGCAGTTCTGTCAGACCATTCGTCGGCAATTCCATTCGTCCTTCTGACGGTAGTTCGACTGTCTGGAAAGCAAAACCGAATGCGGCGGCTGTCTGCCAGTCCATTTTGTCTGCTTCAATCGGATAGGGCGGCGATATGATTGGTCGGCGGGTCATTTGTTGATGTTGCCGAGATTTCATGATCAGCCAGGCAGCTACTGCGATGGCGAACACAGCGACGAATGCGGCGCCGATTCCAATGCCCGCTTTTGCGCCGAGTGAGAGATCTGAAGACTGTGCTGGGTTGGCATACGTTGCCGATCCGCCAGATGCATCTGACTCGCCAGACGGAGCCAATCTGACGCTGGTCACAGTATATGCGCCAGACGGCGGCGGTGTGCTGGAGATTATCGATGTACTGGCAGACGAAGTTGTGGGTGTAGTTGATGTGCTTGATGGGGCCATCTGTGTTTTCGTGCTTGTCGTCATCGTTACGGGAAACAACGACGTGGTAAAATATCTAATTCCGGAAAGGAAGTCTGCTGGTCCATCATCGAAGATCTGGCTTGGGTCATCGCAGCATGAGATCCCAGCGAAGTTATCCCTGAAGATGTATCCTATGCTGAAGTCGACATCGGGAAAGCAGCAGTACGTGGTCTGAGAGCAAGCCTGTACCAAGCGACTTTTATTATACGGTTTGCCGGCTGCGGTTGGACATTAGGTCAGACATTTGGTTCGAAACTTGCTTCGATTGAAACGCAGAAAGCTTTCAAGGGAGTCGTTGAGACTCACTTTTAGGATCGATCGTGCAGCGTTGCGCGCAGTTCGGCGACTTCCATGTGGGGTCGGAACAGGCGTTCCTCCAAAGAAAATTCGTATCTTTCAATCCATTGTATTTGCAGAAGCCATTGGTGGTGCAGGTATCGTTGACATTGCAGCAGGCAGAGAAGCCATCCGACGAACCTCCGTTGCAAGCTACATAGTCAGCTCTGGGTGCGCTGTCGGGTGTGCCATCGGGCCAGTAGCACTGCGCATTCACAGTCCTGAAGAGCAGCGAAGTGAGCAGTGAGAGTTGAAAACCTAGAGAAACGTAGACGAAGAAAAGGTTCATTGCGAAAAGTCGATATGACACAAGATCAGCGGCGGGCAGTCTCCGACTTTGTATGCCCCAGAGCCCATGTTTGCATCTTGATATGTAGACTTGTGCTCAAGTGGTAGCGCCCTCCCGCCTACACTATCAAGGGACGCGCTTGCTCCGAGTAAGCTGGCCCTGCGCGCGCATCGAGCAGCTGTGTGATTGAACGACAGGGATTGCCATCATCGTGTTTCATATTACCATTTGTATCAATTGTACATAGAATGATGTCCAGGCGTCCTGGTGTGAGAAGATACTATTGGCACAACGCGACTGCAAGATGGACTAACCAGACGCTAAGCTTGAGCTAGTGGCACTCAATGTCGGAGAGGCCAATCATGTGCACGTAAGGGAGCGCTCAGGGCGCTCTCGCGCTGGAGCCATCCTGACCTTACCCAGCGGCTATTCTGCGCTCATGATGATAATGGAAACGCTGGACGATACACATGCCAAGCAGTCCACTCCTCAGCTGGGTAAGATTCGGAGATCGCGAAAATTCGACATCAACAACATGAAACACATCCTGCGCACTCGCGCTGCGAGAACTGCTCGCGCCATTGAATTGGTCCTCGCCAAAGCTGCAAACTTGACAGGTTCCGGCCAATGAACGTATTGTTCAGGCGAGAACCACATCGTCAGGCTGAGAGCGTTAGCCAGTCTGGAAGAAGCAGTCAGGAGCCTCACAGACAAGATAGAATCCGATCTCTTCAGAGCAGTACGTTCCTTAATCCGGGTATGATCCGTAGATGGCCTTCAACGCACCAGTGCATCGCAATCGCGAAGGTATGGCCATGCCGACATGTGTGCCAAAGCACTGCGAAACTACTGTTCGAAGCCCCTCTCCTCCACTGTACCAAGAATGCAGATGATTGTAGTGAATCTTTCCCAAGAAATCTTCTGGCCACTACAAACGTTTTCCTACCATCGAGCCCGCCATCGTCATGTGGCATCTCCAAACACTGGTGTGAAAAACACATCTTAAAGCAAATCGCACGAACCGCCCTTCGAGCGGATGTGAAATAATGTCCCCGATGTTTGCGTACGGCTACTACTGTCGACCTGTACATGAGGAGAGGGGGTGATGATGTTTAGGTGATGATGTATAAGCATAATTACTGTACGAAATTGCGATCGATAAGAAAAGTACAAAATGGGGTGTCTTCTAATAAAAAAGCATCGCATCCGTCTTTTCACGTGTCTGCACGCGGACCAGGCTCCGTTCCATTCCCGGAGTGGAATCCGTATGCTGGCAACCCTGTCCCTTTCCCTAACCGATCCCGATCCTGTCCCGATCCCATATTCCATGCCCAGTGTTCTTTAAACATATGATTGCGCCGAAAATCCCAAGGAAGAAAGCCTCCCATCTTCAAGCCCACTTTCCGAGCAACGCCATGAGCGCAGCGCCGAGGAAGAGCGAGACGAGCATGAACGCCAACTGCTTGTCGTCGTCCGTGCGGTCTGGGTTGAAGAGAAAGTCGCGGGCCAAGAGCTCGACGAAGCCAGTGTAGAGTAGGATACCGGCCGAGGTGGAGTCGAGGACGCCGGAGACGATCTGCGCGGTGAAGGAGCCCGAGTCGTAGACGGTGGCGAGGCCGACACCAATGGCGATGGCGATGGGCGTGGTGAGACCGTAGGCTGCGCAGAGGACATAGGGCATCCAGCGAAGGCGGTGAGGGAAGGAGATGGCGGACAATCGGGCGCCGATACCGAGACCTTCGAAGGACTGGTGGAAGACGATAACGACGTAAAGAGTTGAGAATTCCTCACCAGCGGAACCGAGGGTCAGACCGATGATGACACTGTGGAAGATGACACCAAATTCGAGGATGAGGAAAGCAGCGATCTGTTGGCGGAAAGAGCGCTCGGCGAGCGATTCGCTGTCGCCCTGCTTCAGGCTTGCGTCTGATGATTCATCGGCGACTTGGGCACTCTTGGGTTCAGCGTCTTGGTCTCCCGAGTGCAGATGTTGGTGAGTGCTCTTGCGTCGTTGACCCTCGTAGTATGCCAGGGCGGCGTCCACATGGCCCACCCGCTTCTGGGTACCGTCGGTGCCGACCGCGACCACTTCGCTGTGGCCATGCTTTAGGCCATACTTCTTCTCGACGTAACGCTCCGCGGCGAAGTCCATGAGGAAGATGAACATGGATGAGGTTAAAGCAATGGCCGGGACCCATGAGTACGAATTCCAGCCGGCGGTCATACCAACGCAGGTGTTGGGACCGATTGCGCTGTAAGCAGGGTCGAGGAGACTGCGAAGAAGCATGAAGGTTAGCTCCGCGTCGAACATACCATGTCGCTGCTGCTGATGTTGCCGTAGATCATAGAGCGGCTAGGCGAAGGTACTTACTGGATGAAGGCAGTAGCAATGATGACACCGGCACCGAAGTAACGCGCGAATAGATAGACATAGAGCGGAATCTTGACCTTGGTCTGCTTGGTGGCCAGGACAGGGAAGAAGGTGACGGCGGTAGAGACAACCAGAACGACGAAGATGGCGGAGATGTGAGCGCCCTGGCGGCCGTCATAGTCGTTGCCGCCCTGGTTGAGGTAGCAAACGACCTGAGCCATGAAGTCATCGTTGCCAGCGACGTCGGCCAAGTTGACGTTCTGTGCATTGTCGTCGTTGAGGAACGACATGTCCGTCGTCGGCCAGACGCTGGGATCCATTGACATGGCCATGATGGACTGCTCGATATTGAGATGCAGCTATGCGAGAGAGCTAGTGGGGAGTGATCGTCTCTGCTCTGGTTGTTTAACAGTAGCACTGCAGCAGTTGCGCACAAGGCTGAACGAGGGACGTCTGATGAAGAAGAATTCCAAGACCCAAGAAATGCAAGATTTTATAAGATGCGTCTTGGGAGGAAGCTTGTCCGGATCTTGTGTTGCTTTTCTCTCGTGGCGCGGCGGGAATGAGCGGCAAGATCGGGGCCGAGAAGGAGAATGGGAGGTGGAAGTATGCGCGAGGGAGAGGATTGGTGTATGAGGTTGTGTTTTGAGAGGAAGAGCGAGAAAATGACCACGATGGACACCAAGCGATGTGGCGCGACTGAGATGAACCAGGTGTGGTGGTGTGTGTATCCGCGCAATGACACACAGTGTAGTATCTAATACCGTAAGTGAACGGTAGGATTTCAGAACTCGCCGAGTCACTTTCTTCGGTGGGTCTTCTTTCGTTCTCTCCCACGCGACACGGATGTTGGCTGCAGGGAAGGCCGACCAGTCAAAGTCTATCCCGTGGGTCTTTGGTGTCTTTTTCTCCACTAGCAGTGGTGATATTATGATTTTGGTTATAAGTCGGAGGAGACGAGGCCGAGAGCAGGTTGGAGAGGAAAAGACTGGAGCGAATCGAAGGGTTCCAAGGTTTAGACTCCTGCCGGAACGCGAGCCCGATGCAGCACGTTTCGACCGTCCTCGTGGTGAATCTGCCCGTCGGTCGGCGTGTCCGTCTATGTTTGTGTCCGTGTGTGCGTGTGCGTGAACATGGATAGCGTGGTGGAATCACTCTTTCTCATCTGTATATTACGTGGCTTCGATGGACCATGAGCACAAAAACCATGTCGTGCTAGACATTTAGTGATCAACAGACCGAAGACTACGTGATTGAAGTGGGATCACCTCGCAGAATATTCATCATTCACCATTTGCTACAGTATGCACCCGATAGTCTATACCTTTCCGTTGTCGTGAACTTGGCGCGAAGATCCTCTCGCTGGGTATATCGATGGCTGTGCCCATGAAAATCAACTACCGTCGGTGCTTATTGCTTCACTTCACATCCTCTTTCCTTTGTCATGAATCCTCCCCATAACCACCAGTCCGTTCACGATACATCATCAACAACAACCTTGGAATGATCCATTCTTCTTCTTCCCAACCAGAAGCCCCAACTGGATGGCCCACACGGAATGGCAGAAATGTCCACCTTGATGGCACGCTTGTCCTGGCCAAGACCTGTAGAATTCCACCTTGATGGTTTTCCTTCCGGTCTGCAGTCAGCGGTCGTCATTAAATTGGAGCTCCACGCAATGGAACTAGGCGAAATCAGGCAAAGCGTCACGTCCTACACGTTCGTGCTTTCCCGTCACTGCCCGTTCCGCCCTGCAATACGATGACCCCCACTCTTTCTCTCTCTCGGCCTCACTTGCCCTATGTACATCGTCGTCGTTGTTCATGTCGTTGTTCCCGCGTGTGATATTAGGTGATGAACAAGTTCCAAGGCTGCAATGCTTGCTTCAACTCGAAGATTTGCACAGTATCTAGGTAGGTACGTATGTTACTGGAATTGTTGACCTGCAGACCGACATGCACGTCGTGGCGAGAAGGATTGCGCCCACGCACACTCGGCACGGCACGCCGCAAAGGAACATTTATCATACAATAGCACTGTGATAAATACCCGCCTTAGGAGTTAAGAAGCGGGTGTGCCGGCATGCGCTCCTACCTAGCTACTCAAGTAATCACCCCCTCGCACATCACCATTCGTCAGATTATTCACGGGTAGGATCTCGCATTGGGCCAAATTGTGGTAATCTGACCGCTTACTGTCCTGCCGCAAACACCTCGTTACATGTAAACCATGTGATAGTTTCATTATCACGTTGTGACACCAGTCGGAGTGAGAAGATGTGGTCACCAGAATGCGACACGACCTCCACGATGATGGCCAATTTATTTTGGATCGTCCATCTACATAAACGCCGGGATGTTCTTTGAGACCAGGAAGATCGCGTCTCCGCGCTGTGTCGTCAGACAGCCAGCGATATAAATTGAATAAATAGAATTGCGGCACAGTTGTTCAGCAATCTCAACCATTTCTGCTTTGGTGAAAGCATGGCGATTCCAATAGTGCACAAGGCTCACATGCACCAGGATGGCCAACCTTCGAAAGGGAGGACGTTTTTGATCTATCCATCATGCGTGATTCGACCTGAGCACAACGTCGCAAATAGCCTGCCCTCCTCGTGAGCCAGCACTTTCTGGTTCGGGGACAAAGACTTCGGCGGGCGCCCTCGATCGGCTTGATTCGTTCTCCAGATTATTTTTGGAAGGCTCGTCATTCATGATGAAAACCTATCTGCATGACACCCGCCGACTAGATGTGAGGCTGCGTTGGCAATGGTGACACTGGCGTCAACGCACCTGGCAAAATGCGCGGATTCGGAGCTTGCACGCTGCCGTTCGACCTCGTTGGATGGCCGCTAAACTGCCCGATTACAGTCCATCAGTGGGCGTTGTGCCTTCGGGTTGCTCGCGTGAGCATCATCCGCTCATTGATTGTCACCTTTCGGCTCAACCGGGATAAGACCCACGTCTCCACGTGCATAAAAAGCCTTCCCTGTGTGCGTGACGTTCGCATACCTGTGTGATGTTTATCAACGCCGTCCCGCGTGGGAGAAAACCTCACAAAGGTGGACTTGCACTCGCGTGTTCAGGGTCCACCAACCTCACCCACGGGCACGTTAAATTTCACTGCACTATGAAACAAGCAGATAAAAATAGCTCTCCTCCCGACGACATCACTTCCGGACATTGACAAAATTCGATTAATGTGAAGGGCCCTCTCAAGAGATATCACCTGTATCTCATTCGAAACATACCGCAGATACCTGATGCACTGATCGCTGCAGCACTGGTCTCGAATTGCGGTGGCAAGTCGTTGATCATGCGTTGTTCGCGTGTCGCTCGTCAGGGTATATGCGCGACTTTTCCACAAAATGCCTCATACTGTATGATCGGTCACCGCAGATGGAAGAACTCGCACTGTAACTCAAGTCCCAGGTATCTGCCAATGAAGCAGGACATTCTTCATGCCAAGTGGATATCTCGATAGCAAGATAATTACCAAAATTCATTATATCAATTTCTATCCAGCGTGCATTCTTCCCACTAGACCATTCATCTGGATCATTCCTCGACAGACATTGACACAGCCAGTAGCGAGAATCCTCGTCGAAACAAGCCATTATGGGTACAACGCTCAGAAATGCCTTACAATCACTCGCTAAACGACAACGACAGATCGCCGTAGGGATCCAGCATCTTCCATGGGAGCTTAGGATAAACGACACATTGGGAGATGCCTTTCACGAGGCCTTGACAACATCAACACTTTCCCAGGAGAGCAGTGAGTATTGCCCCCAACTCGCTCGCGAATCGTCAGAACATTGCAATTGACTCGACCCTCCAGCTATCGTCCTCCTCCGACAACTCCTCCACCACGCCCACAACGACAATGAACTCCACCTCCTAAACCCCATCCTGACCAAGCACTCCCGCCGCAACCCTCAAATCACAACTGCGGTCGCCGTCTACGCCGCCCTACACAACAAAGTCCCCGCCCTAACCCTCTGTCTACGCAACCACGGCGTGCAACTCTCCTCTCCGCTCCTCACGCTCGCCCTCGAATCCAACCCAGCACGAAGTCCTGCCCTCCTCGACCTTCTCTACGCCCTCGATTGGCAACACATGCGTTCCTCGCCCTTTTCCTTTGCTCGGCATTCTCTCTGGGCGCTCCGAACATCCGCAGCGGAAGTCAATTGGTATCTCGACCAGGGCGCGCGGTTCAACGATGCAGAGATGTTGGCTCGCGCGGTAGCGGATGAGGGCGCGCCATTTCTCCGGGCTGAGTGTGTCACGGTGGTGATTCGGAGATGTGGACCGAGGAGTTTTGTTGGAACGGGGATTATTCCGTATGCGGCGAGGAGGGGCCGTGCCGATGTTCTGCGGTTGTTGAGGAGAGAGGCGGTTTGGGAGGGGATGGAGTGGGAAGGGGAGGCAATGCGAGGTGGGTCGATCGTCAGGATGCGGTCGCCGTTATATGAGGCGGTGGAGAAGCGGCATGGGGAGGTTATGGAGCTGTTGCTGTCCTTTGGAGCGGATCCGAGGGCCAAGTCTGAGGACGAGGGTATGTCTCCGCTGGAGCTGGCGCAGGTGCGGGATGACCGAGAGATGCTGGCGCTGCTGGAGCGAAGCATGATGAGGTCTGGAAGGGAGTTCTCTGCGCGGTTTTGAAAACGAACTTTCTGCTGAACGACAACGTCGTCTTGCTTGTGACACGAGTCATCTCAATTGTGGAAAGTTGACCTTGCGCAGAAATCATCATGCGGGATACAGTGAGTTTGTGGGAGTAGTCGCCTTATGGGAAAAGCTCGCCTTGTGCAAAAGCTCGCTTCGTAGGAAAATCATCTTATTTTTGACGCAATGAAAAGTTCATGAGTTTGAGAGGGTTGTGAAAAGGACTTCATCATACAAAAGGCCCGATCAATCTCCACAAACATTAATGAGACCACTGGTCATGCCATTATGTCATTTTCTTGCTGTGACAGTTGTGACCACGCGTTCATGCGCGCTTGAAAGGTTTGCTGCATTTGCGTGCGAAATCATGGATGGCACTGCTGTCACGGCCGCGCTTAGGTAGGGGTTGGGAGGGCGGAACAGCGTCTTTCGATGGAAATTGTTCGCGTTTGTGGGGCGGCACATATTTTTCAGCAGTAGTCTGAAGCACAATAAATCAGCCAACCTTGAACAAGCCTCACGTTTTTAACAATACTTACTGTTGTTTTTTGGGCGGAGCGACATTTCCAATTCATGAGGACTAATTTCGCTTGGCTGTTTACCTTTTATCTTGATGTCTGGCGTCGCCTTGATATTCTGTCCGACAAGAGATTCCGACTGGGGCTCTTGCTTTCTATACTGCTGCGTGACGAGAGCTTTCAGTTCAGCAAGATCTGCTCGAACCGCCTTTAATTCGGCAACATCTGCTCTCATCGCGTCCCATTCGGCCTTGTCAACCACGATTGTCTCAGGTTTGATCGGAGCTAATGATGTGACCGAAGTTTTCTCCTTTGCCTTGGCCTTGTGGGCTTGAGCCAGTATCTCTGCGGCGTCAGGCTGTTCTTCGCCGGAACAGTCTTCATCTTCGTTCTTGTCTTGATCACCTGGCCAGTCTTTTTCGAACATGCGACGTGTAACTTCGATGTCCTCACGCAGGTCTGCCAAAGCCTCATCAATCTCTTCATTTTCACCAGCAGGGGTAACACGACGCATGCTCGTGCAAAGATTGTCCGCTCTGTCCAGATACGCGAACTCATCATTCCAGTCATCCAATCAGCAGGCTAGAAGTACCTGGAACCGCACCTCGAATACCTCTGGCAACTCTGGGGCTGCTAGATAGCTGTTCAAGAGCTTGATCGCGTCCTCATACATCTCTTCGTCAAACAAACCGTGAGCCTTCCTGTATCTGGCGTTCCAAGACGCCGCAATTCCACGAGAATTGTTCGGGTTATTGTCCGCCATTGCTATTTGAGGCACTTCAGGCTGCGAAAAGTATCAATAGAAGTTGTGCAGGCAAGAAGGTGTTGTGAAAGTTCGAGTCGATGATTGAATGCATCTGTCGCTTATGCAAGGCATTTGTATGGTGTGAGCGGGAGGATCACGCGCGGCTTGACGATAGAAAGACGTCACATCAATTGTGAAAAAGCTATGTTGTGACAATGATCACCTCGGGCTTGTTGAGAAGTCATCTTGTGGGAAACGGTCATTCTGTGACAATAGTCACCATGTGAACAAAGCCATCTTGTGAGAAAGGTCAACTTGATTGTGAAATGGAAATCTTGTGAAAAAAGTAATCTTGTGAGAAAGGTCATCTTGTGAGAAAGGGCAAAAGTCATCCCGCGGAAACCCCCATCAATTGTGCAAACTCTCAAGTTTGGAAAGGTCACGAACTAAACAGTAACATCTTGGTGGAATGAAACAACTTTCCTACAGGCTCGTAAATTCGTCAATACTGAGGTATCTTGCTAAACAATACCTAAAAGAGCCACCCAAGGGTGTACTGGTACAGCTTGCCCGGCCCACGTCCAGCAGCTTTGTCTTCCGCCTCCTTTCTGATCCATGCCCTTTCATCTCGATCGATAACATCTTTTCCACTCCACAAATCAGCCTCGTGTGGCTTGACACCCTTGGTCTTCTTCGCAAATTTCCATCCGAAGATCATGATCAGGTAGAGAGGGATGCCCAGGTAACCGGTAATGAAATTCTGGTAATCGAATGTATTACCCAAGAACACACCGAAGTTCTTGGTGAATGCGATGATGATGCAGAAGATCAAGGCAAAGGCTGAGCCCCAGAGTCCGAAGGGGGACACATATCGGAGGTCAGAGTCCGGCACGCCTTGGGCCCGGCGGGCACGAATGAAGTAGATGTGCGAAACGAGAATGCTGATCCAGGTGAGGAGACCGAAGATAGAGACCAGGTTCACGAAGTAGAGGAAAACGGTACGCGATCCTGACGAGACGCTCAGGAACGCGATGCAGCAGATCAGCGACGAGAGACCTAGCGCGTAGACTGGGACACCACGGCTGTTCGTCTTCGCAAAAATGGCTGGAGCATGGCCCTTGATGGCTAAGCCGTGACTACGGAGCACGTCAGCAATTACGTCATCAGCGAAGTGAGGGCGTACGCCGTAGCTTACAGAGTTCGGCTTGCAATGTAAAGGTCGGAGTTGGCGGCACTGAAAACAAAGATCAAGATACAAGCATTGAGGATTGCCGGAAGAGTCGGAATGCCTGCAATTATAATAGCAGCAACGAAGGGGCTTGCGTTCGCGTTACTCGCCTGCTTGGTGGCACTCAGGAGTTGTGGGGCGTTGTATGGGACGACCATGCCAATGAGGAGGACGGAGAAGATGTAGAAGACGAGGATACGCCAGAAAGTGAGCTTGATGGCTCGTGGGATGTTCCGGCGCGGGTTCTGGGCTTCCCCCACCGTCACTCCAACGAGCTCAGTTCCCAAGAAGGCAAAGACTGCCGTGACCATGCTTGCCCAGACGGCGAGGAATTTGCCAAGCGTTCCTGGGATTCCTTTATAACTTGCGAAGGCTCCAGGGTTTGACCAGGACTTGAAGCCTGGCGCGGAGGTCTGAGCTGGACCACCACCGCATGCCAGGATCAGGGTGAGGATGATGACACCGCAGAGCGTGAGGACCTTGACGGACGAGAGCCAAAATTCCATTTCTCCGAAATATTTGACCCCGAGGAAGTTTATGACAATTATGACCACCTGTAATCATGTTTGTTAGTCGAGAGCAAGCGCGAGAGCTGAGCAGCAGTCGTACGAGAAATATCGCAATAAAGACACCGGGATTCACGGTTTCTGCCGGCACCCAGTACGATATAACAATGGCGGCAGCAGTCAATTGATTGGGAGTCGTAATGATGTACTTGAACCAATAAGCTGAAACGCGCGTCAGTATTCTCTTATTCAAGATGAATTCTCTTTTTCTCCAACATACTGTAACCGAGAGAGAAGCCAAGCGCGGGGTCCACGTAACGAGCAGCGTAGTTGGCGAAACCACCCGCCACAGGCATCCACGTCGCCATCTCGCCGAGAGCCGCCATAACCACGTAGACCAACACTCCGACGAGACAATATGAGATCAAAATAGAGGCTGGTCCAGCCGTGGCCAGCGCGGTGCCGGTTCCGATAATGAGACCTGTGCCGATGGCGCCTCCGATGGCAATCATAGAAACTTGACGAGCAGTGAGGTCGCGGTGCAGACTTTGCCCGCTCTCCGCCGGGTCGCTAACGCGAGCAATCTCAGCATCGCCGCCATAGTTATCGTAAGGATGTTGTTGGCCAGGAGTCAGGCCCTTTTCGTTGTCGCTACTGCCGTTAGGCGAGATGCGACCCGTAACCACGGTCGGCTGCTTGCTTTTCCAGAACACCATATTGTCCCGGATGTTGGAGAATTTAGGCGAAGCTGATTTGGGGGGAGGAGTAACAGGGCCAGAGTGCAGACATGGCGGTGGTACATATACCTTATTTTCTGTTATCAATGGTCGGTAGAAGCGTCACGAGCACGAGGCCACCACGCGGCTAAGTGCGGTGAAGTCCGTCGATGTCGCGCCATGTGTCGGTGCGTGTGTGTGTGGTACCTAGATAGTGCTGTCATGGAATTGCATCCACCATGCTGTATGTTGGTCGAAAAGATCCTAGCTACACACAGGACGGCACGCAGGGAGGTTGTGAGATAGATGCTAGCCTGGGCACCTGCAGATTGTGGTTCCTCTCTCCCCACAAACAGGGCTCGGGGCACGGAGGCTAGCCGGACCAAGTGTAGTGCTCAGCTGTCGCGCCATTGCCACAATGATAAGACGGAGATGCAGCCAGCGCTTCAGAGATGCACTATCTCTTCTAGCAGTGGCATAACAAGATGAATGAGGCACAGTGAGACCCGTATCGCATCAAGTGCACGGCAGGCTTATCACGACTATGCCCATCGCGACCAAGCGACCAAGGCTTAACGACGGCGCCATGTGCAGAGTCTGGATTCTGGCCGAGTGCGACAGTCGTGCATAGAGGCGTGTCCAAGTCTGGAGCTTGAGCCGTATCTAGCTTACCGGCGAAGCTTCCCTTCGAGCGCGCAGGCGCAAGACATCCGGGGGAGGGCGGCCTCAAGAAGTCGAGGGGGACGGCGCAGCAACTCTTGGTATTGCGCACGACTTTTGAAGTGATCCGGTGTGCTGTATCTGTGGAGGAGAAGGACTCTGGCGGCTTGGCCTCGACAGTGCGTGTGATGTTGCCAAGCTTCCCTCCATGTTCTACCTAGGTACAGAGTAATTATTACAGTATAGGTATGCATGCGATACGGTGTGTGTGTGCATCGGCATGCTGGGTATCCTATTCAGTATCGTATAATCCTTGTCAATGAGACTGCGACGATATGTCTCCCAACTGTTTCACGTCGATGAAGCCAACTCAACACATGCGTAACAATTTTCATGTGACAAGAGAGAAAGGCGGGTGGATGTATGTGCATCTTTCACGGTCCTCATGGCGGTTGCTACAAACTGCCGTCTGTGTGTTGTCAATGAACAGTGGGTGCCGTCGATGCCAAGTGGGAAAGATAGACGTCTGCCCAGCGATAAGAGATGTAACCTCGACTCCTTTGTGCACCACTTTGGCTTGGAAAGTTCTTGGGCCGAAGATTTGCTTCTTCTTCTTCTTCCGGTCGGAAGCATTGCCCCGCTTGTCCACCATCCGACCGAACTAGTACAGTATGACGGATGATCACAACAACCAGCAGAAGGACCACGCAATACTGAAATACAGTAGAACATGTATTGATTTTCAAAGACATGAATTGGAAATTGGTTAAGATCGCAGAGTGTCCCGCTCATTACAAGTATTTCCAACCTGGCGTGAGGGGCATCTTTCTCGATGTCTACTGCATTTTAGTGCATGTACTGGACGTCCTGTCTTGTCTCGGCGGTGAACAGTCGCTACTGGACATTGTACATGAAGATCTTAACTGTGTCAAGCTGCAAGTGAAGCAGCAGTACAATACTACCAGCATTCCTAGCAAGTACAATAATCAACCACCTCGCGTAGGTAGGAAGGAAAATAACTTTCCACGTGATTGTGAACATTCGATGTCAAGACCACGCCGGCGTTCGGGCCGACTCGAAGGCCTGGGCTTTCTAATGATGGGCTCGGCCTCGCTGTACTACGGCGAATGGCAGACCTTCAGCCTTGCGAAACAGAGTTTGACGAGCTACATTGTATGAATGATGATAAATCTGTTAATATGAATCATATCGAGACACGATGAGAAAGATACGTAGGATGCTGATAAGGACTGTGTGGTTCGTGCCGTCAGTAAGTATCGCGCGCTTCATTGTACCTCCACTAGTCGTGCTTCATAACGATGGAATTGCTACTCGGCGAAAGAGACTCCCAGAAAATGAAACTTGTTTGATGATCTGGAGCCACGGTCAGCTACGTCCCATCGATCACGTAGCTCTCGTGATTGTTGTTTTGCTCAGTCGGCTTTGCCATGTCGAGGGCCAGTCCTACTTGAACATGACAGGAATCAATGAGATAGGACGGGGCACTCTCCGACTGCTTCGTAGATCGGGCTACCTACTCTACTATCTCTGTTGTACTCGAGTTTGTCCAATTCGAACAACATAGCGCATTACACATCGAGATTACCACAATATAGTAGACAAATATCACGAGGCTCAAGAAAACCTGCAGGCAAGTGTTGTGTTGGTGATCGAAGCTGTGCACGCCAGCTTAGTCATCGGAGTGCCCCGTCCGACTCCACACGAAAGCTCAAACCCCAGGCCATTCATCGTACCACGCCGTGAGCCTCAGGTACAATGATGCCTGACAGACACGAGCGCTCAAGACCAGATCGTGAGTGGGAAGTTTAGGAGCATAGGTAATTAGGTATGTTAGATAGCCAGCAGATACTCCTGAGCACACTTCACTCCATCATAGTCCCAAGTAAAGACGCAATGAAGACCCTCCCAAACAACAGGAGTAGCCGCGCATGTGATGAACGAATACGGCGTTATAACGAGCGGGGGACTGTCCGTTGTCAAATCTAAGCGCTTTTTCAATCACCAGCACGTCTACATACATTACCCACCACATCAGTCGCGTCGGTTTACGAGATGGTTTTGAGTTCGCGATGAAAACAAAGCGAGTGTGCCGGTGCTAATGAGGGTGCCTCATCAGTAGTTGGGCAGACCCAAATTGTTACTTTCCTCTGCACTCAACACGTCCTGCAGTAAAAGTGGCGCAGTCGAATTCATTTGCTGATGTTGGGCTGATCATGCAACAATCTAGTCTAGACTTGCCCGACCTGTTAACAGTTGTTCCTTTTATACATAGTACATCGTACGATGCCCGCCGACCACGCAAAATTATTCGTGCCTGTATACAATTGGTAGTCATCAAAGGGAGTAGGCGAGTAGGCGCAATAACTCACGTCGGGTGCATAATCGTCGTGCTGAAGTGTCGCAACGGACCCCACATTTGTATTCTGGGACACATTGTTGCTCCGCTCTGTATTTCACGCGCCAATCACTTCGTCACCGGTCAACTCGGACGGCAGTCAAGCACGTGCGGCGGCTGTAAGATCTGAGGGACAATTCCATCATGGCGGGACTGCCGCTGCTGGAGTAGACGGCTTTCGAATCCACTACCAAATCCTCTACACTGTTACCATATTCTTAAGACCAAGTATGAGCACCACATCTTGAGCATCAATCTCCAGGTTGAACCAGACAGCTCCCGACACGCGCGAGTCACCATTGACGCTGGGTGCCGACCTTTCATGAAGCGCACCGCACAACCTGCGGGCAGGTTCATACAGTTGACGGCCATCGCATAAGCACCCAAGACATTGGAATGCCTCTTCGGGATCCGTGACCATCGCGACACCACCGGACATCAGGCAAGAGCCTGTCGCACCCAGCATGTCATACTACAATCAACCTCACTATGTGCCGCAACCGCCGCCGCCACCTCCACCACCTCCACCGCCAGCATCGCAATCGCCTCCCCAGCAAGAGCATGAACATTCTTCCGGTCAATATCAGCCGATGCCACAGTATGGGGGGCATACAGGTCAATACGTCCAGCCGCGTCAGACGTATTATCCAGCTCAGCCGCAGTACCAGCCGGTAGGAGGAGCGTCGGCGCAACAAATGCCGGCGACATATCAAGATAGCTACCAGACGCCTGGTGTCGCATCTTCGAGTGGATATGCTCCTACAACTTATCAATACAACCCTGCACAATACTCGCCAAATCCTTCACAGCAATACTCGCCAGTTCCCCCGCAACAATATTCTCCTCACTCACCTCAACCACACCAGCAGCCCGTTCAGGCGTACAATCCACAGGCGTATGCGAGCTTCAATCAGACCCCGAATCTCAGTTTACAGGCCACCACAAATCCAGGAAGATCTCATTTTGGCAGCGTGAGCGGACCTGTAGATCCCTGGGCCTTTGCTCCTTCGCCTGGTGGTTTATCCAGCTCAAGCTACAATGGCTCAAACAGCCTCTCGCCCAATATACCGTATGGTTCTCAGTACGGTTCACAGCCTCCAACGCCTCAACATAATCATCTTTTCCAAAGCAGTCCACAGGTTCCGCAGCATGCCAATCAGTACAGCTCAGCCACCGCCATGCCGGTTCCAGAAACTTATCAGCCACAGAATTCTGCCCCGAGTGCATCCGCAGGTCCAGACGGTCAGCTCGGACGTCAATGGGCTTCTTCTCCACCATACGGGGCCGTGGACCATCAGAATGCACCATCGCCATTATACCAAGTCTCCCCCTCCGGCTCCACACCTGGGCCTACTCCGCCCGCCCATGGACAACCTCATGTAACAAGCTTGGAAAGACATCCCACCAATCGACCTCTGCCGTCCCACCCTACAGAGCCCAGCTATTTCTCAGGCGGTCAGACGTACTCCTCAACCTACGATCATATGCGAAACAATTCTCTTGGACTGACTCAGGATGAACTGTTTGATGATGTTGAGGCCGCATTGCTAGGCACCGGCAGACCTTCAATAATTGCGGCGACCAATCAAAACGGGCACACGTTGCATAATGAAATTGACGACGGCCACATGTCTTCCGGCACTGTGCAACCGCGGGGCAGTGGACGACACGACAGCAGTGGCAGTGATGCTGAAGCTGCGCAAGGGTTGAGGATGCTACGGTTGGCTGAAGAAGAGGAGAAGCGGAGGCAGAGCAGCAGTGGTCAAACACCATTCAGCGGCTATGGTGTGAAGAATGATTCGCGACCAGGCGCACAGCAGAGCGCAGGGAGTGATAGTGACGACTATGTAAATCTGGATATGAGCTCTTTTGGGGGCGGATACGACGTTCAAATGACTTACGGGGGCGATCCCAGTCAGCTTGCAGCGCGCGGTCAGACTAATGGCAATACTCATGCTCAAGTACTGTCGAGTCAGCGCAGCTCCATCACAAGATCACGTCCCTCTCAATCTAGCCGGGAGGGCTATGATCAAAATTACGATTCTATGCATCCGTTCCCGCCATTCAACGCTCCTGCGCGTGTCGACGCTGGCGGTACTGGCGGTCTATCTGAGCCAACAGGTCGCCGACAATCTTTCGACGAAGGCGACGAGTACATGCTCATGGACAACAGCGGAACTGCGCTCCCAGAAAGGTTTCCCGACGAACCCCCTGATATCGAGTTTAAACCGGCCAGCTCCACATTTCGCCCTCTTCCAGCTCCTCCCTACCCACAGAACTCGACATCGTATTTGAGCGACACGATTTCCCCGACCAGCTCAGAATTCAAGAATCTCCCTCCAGTGCCTGGCACGCCATCATACCCTGACGCACCAGATTTATACACCGTCAATGCGCAAGGTCAAGTTGTCCCACGGTCATCCTCGCTCGGCGCCTACAGTCAAACACCACAAGTGGTTCAGCCATTGAGATCCAAGACTGCTGCTGAAGAGAGAAAGGCACGCCAGCAACAATTCCGAACGAATCCCTTCGCCTCCCTGGATTCTGCTGCAGTCTCTACTAGCATGTTGGTCGACTTGCCAGCCATCGGCAAGCGATTCCTACCTCATAAATTGACTCAACTCGACTTCGACGAGTGTCGAGAACCGTGGGCCCTGTCCTCTCTGCTCGAGTGGCTGTTACTGGTCACCAAGCCCGAGCAGAACACCGAGGTCAAAGAATCCGATGTAAAAGCAGCATTGGTAGCAATATTCACCAACAAAATCCCCACCATGAACATTATCGATGCGGAGAGCCTGAGCGAACAAGTTGTGTCTGATCTTTATGAAGCCACTACGCTCGTAGCTACTGAAGAATGGGTCAGGCTTCATCCAGGCCCCATTTCTGGTGTAATATTTCAACTCACACAGTCTGGTTGCTATTCAGGCAGGGGGCACGATGATGGCGCTCCAAACAGGCGATGTTATTCCTACCACTGTCAGAGAACGAACAAAAGGGTGAATCTGCTTGACTATGCTAGTCGCACATCGGAGAGTTGGGCAGAATTCTATGGTCTACAAAAGGAAGATCTCGAAAACCGAGATAAAAAGGAGATGGAAAAGCAAAACGTCTTGCACGAAATCGTCTGCACAGAAGAAGGGTATATGGAATCTCTTGACACCCTTCGAATACTATTCCGGGATCAGCTTGCCACCATTGAACCATCTGTCATCTCGCCCAAGCGGAAGGACAAGTTTCTCCGCGACGTCTTCGGTCGGGTCGATGCAGTCAAGCAGGCTAACGAAGAACATCTTCTGCCGCAGTTGAAGTACCGACAGCAGGAACAGGGACCATGGATTGTTGGTTTCAGTGATGTCTTCCGACAATGGATACGCAAGGCAAAGTCGGCGTACATTGATTACGCAACCGACTTCCCTCGTGCCGATCATTTCGTACGCCTGGAACTGGAACGCAATATGGAATTCCGTGCCTTCGTCGAAAAGGCACGAGGCGACAAGAGGTCTAACAGGCTTTCGCTAGACAGTTTCTTGAAGGCACCCATTGCCAGGTTACAACGTTATGCACTCCTGCTTGGAACCGTCCTCAAGACAATGAAGCAGGATAGCACCGAAAAGACAAATCTGCAAATCGCCCTTGACGAAGTAAAAGCAGTCACCCTCGAGTGCGATGGACGTGTCGCAGAGATGCAACGCAAGATTGACCTTTTAGACCTCAGTTCGAAATTGGTGATCCGTCCTCAGCTGAAGAATGATGTAGAGCTCAATCTCGACCATTTCGGCCGGGAGCTCATCTATCGGGGGGACCTTCAACGAATGGGAAGCACTCGGTTCTCTTGGCTAGATTGTCACGCCTTGCTCTTCGATCACTATCTTGTCATCTCAAAGATCATTGTGCCAGCAACAGACTCTTCGAGCCGAGGGAACAAATATGACGTTTCTCGCATGCCAATTCCGATGGATCTTCTTATACTAGATAGCGCCAACGAGCCTATTTACATCAAAAGCATAACTCACATCTCGGCTTCGTCCGGCCGAACAGCCGCTCCCGCTGAGCAAATGCTAGGAAGGACTCCGTCTAATCAGGCAGTAGCTCCAGGAAACCTCTCTCACGTCAACACGGGCTCGTCCGCGAACTCGATTCCTACCTTACAGAGCCTGAACGAGAAGGATACCGAACGTATCCTCTATCCTTTCAAAGTCAAGCATCTTGGCAAAGAGACATACACCCTGTTCGCTCCATCTGAGCAGGCGCGACGGGAGTGGTGCCTGAGCATAGTTGAAGCCAAGACTAAGCATGCCGCTGCTCTTCACGCGCAGCATGCGGAACCGTTCAGGCTGCGTGTCATGGCGGACTCAGCATTCGTTATGGATTCCTTTGGCGGTGCGGGTAAAGGCGTCACCATCACTGGAACGCCGGTTGACCGCGCGATCAAAGAGGTCGAGCACCGTTTTAGAGACACAGGCCGGCCTGGTCCAATCTGCCGAGCACGAGTAAATTGCGCAACGACATTCACAACTCCTCATCCAAGCAGGCAAATGGTCGCAGTGGGTACGGACTATGGTGTTTACATCAGCGAATTGGACAATCCTCGCGGCTGGGAGAGGGTAAGCAAAATTAACAATGCCCATCGCGAATTTAAGCTAATGTTGGACCTAGGCAATTCCTTTGACAAAGGTCACCCAGGTGACTGTACTCGAGGAGTTCAATTTATTCCTCTTGATCTCAGAGCGCTCGCTGATCGCCTATCATCTGGACGTCATTTGCCCTAACGACAGGAGTGGTCCAACCATGTCGACAAATTCAACCCGGCACGCGCCACAGAAGCTGTCCGGCAGCAGGGACGTGGGTTTCTTCGTCACCGGCAGGATGAAAGACCGCACTTTGGTCTTTTACAAGAAAAAGGAAGGTCTCAACTCTGTCTTCAAGGTGCTCGAGCCCGTCTACCACAAGTCGTCTGAAAAGAAGCGTGGTATATTCAAGCGAGGCACAACTGAGTTTTTCCGCGATTTCGACGAGTTCTACATACCTGCCGACAGCTCTGGCATCAATCTCTTCCACTCAAGTCTTGCTGTCAGCACTACCCGCGGCTTCGAAGTGCTCACACTGGACAAGAAGCAATCGTACAGTGTGCCAGAATTGCAAGCGGAGCACGTCCAGAACATCGCGGCTTCCATCAAGGACCAGAAGGCGCTGAGCATGCTCCGGCTTAGCGATCAGGAATTCCTCCTGTGTTACGAGCGCAACGCTGTCTACGTCAATAAACATGGCGACGTCTCCCGCTCCGTCATCATGGACTTTGTCGGCTCTAACGCCCAAGCTGCCGCTCTGTATGGTCCATACCTCGTGCTGTTCAATGACGACTTCGTCGAAGTACGCAACGCTCAGAACGGTCGCTTGAAACAGATAATCGCAGGACGCGAGGTCAAATGTCTTGACGACGGCACCTGCTGGCCTCCGGGCAGCGGCGGCGTCACCGCAGGCACTGGTTTGACAAACGGCATGGTCGGAGGTGTACCGGCCGTTGCACGCACCTTAAAGTTGGTCATGCAGCACCCTGAGATGGAGAGGACGCAGATCATCGTGGAACTGCTTCTGAACGAAAATATGAAGGACTGAGAGTGATGCGCTGAACTTGGACAACGACATCAGGGGGTGTTGGTCGTGAAACTTAAAGTCAATCACTGATCATGATGATAACGATGATGAAGATGGACGATTTCGTCCCTGAGAGGATCTTGATGTTGCCGCAATTTATGCTTTGACGTCTTGTTGATGATACCATTGGGACGGAAGGTTTGCGTGAGGGTATAGAAGCATCATACTATTGGATGACATGTGTTACTGCATGAAACAAACGATTCTCATTGGTTTTTGGAAACGGATAATCATGGAGATAGTGATGACCGACGCGCTGCAAGGTGGACGACAACAATCATCTCAGATGAACGTTGAACCTAGGCCAGGGCAGCCATTATGGGCTGACAGGGCCACTTCCTGATCCGCAGCTCCGACCACACATAGTCCTCCACGCTACGATCGCTTCATGGTTAACGTGACGGAGATCGCCCAACTCGGTGAATGACCAGCCATCGCGCTGAGATCCCTCCCTTCGTTCGAGCATGCGTTGCCCGGCAGCTCCATGATCCTGTTGAAGCAACAGAGAAGATCTCCACTCTTGGTTCGTTGACCTCAGCCCCAGCATGTCACGGGTGCGCGAGGGCCAAAAGCGAGTCGATTCAATGCCTTGAAACGCTATCAAATCTGCTCAGACGCAAAACCAGAGTAGGCTGCATATTGATGGGAGCATACGCGGGTATGATCATGTCTTGAGCTGCTTTGTACGATGCGGCGGTGCCAACTTCCGGAATACCCCGGCCATGTATGGGAGTTACCGAATCTTGCGGGTTCTTTGGCCAGGTTCGTTAGCAGAATGATCGCGGGACGGTATCGACATGTTTGCCATCGGCCACACGATGGTATGCATGTTCGGTTAGACTACCGTTAGTCAGCCATTCGATACACGTCAAGCCATCATGCCTGAAGCATTGACTGCGTCGTAGAGTACGGCTGCCGAATTTGCCGAGTCATTAGAACCAAGCTCCTAGTCAAAGTTGGGTTTCGGTATTCCTCCTGCCGCTGGGCCAAAGCAATTATCTCTAAGAGATGATGCTCGAGTATTGTTTGTCTAGTAGGAGCGCAAATGTAGAATTTGCGGTGTTCATTTCTTTCTCAGATCTTCAGAACCATCATTTCTGATGAATTTTTCGTATTCAGCTCCTTCCTCCATCTTCTTCGCGGTAGGATCGTCGTATGTTCCCTTTCCGGCATACAACATGGGCGCCTTTCCAGAGCCTTCGTTTTCCAGGCTGGTGGCGATGGGCGCGTTGCCTCGGAAGCGCTTGCGCATGTCGATTTGTCCTCGTTTGCATTCTCCGTAACCATGTCGAAGCTGTAGACAACGCGTCGGCAAAGTCTCGTCCAGAGGCGGCCGGAGGCAGTCTACAGGCTTGTTCCGATGAACCATGACACAATCGCTGTTCTGGAGACATTCGGCAAGCGCCGCTCCTATGCAATGTGAGTATTTCTTTGTAAGATCGATGATGATACATTGATTGACATACGGATATCTTTGCACGAAGAAGGCATGTCTGTTGACTTATTCCTGATCCCTACGTGATGATACAGTCAAGTCGATGGATAATTGATTGTTGCTGTTGAGCCCAGCACTGTCTCCGAACATGACATACTTTGTTGCCGCTGCAGCATCGCATGGTCAAAGCTCGAGTAGCCTTGGCGATGATGTTCAAGCTCCAAAGGTGTAGAAAGTCGCCTTCAACGCGCGAATCTGCTACATAGCTCGCCATATACCAATTCGATCTCATTCACTGGTCGCAATGGATCGCAGTCTTGAAGAGATTATCTCTGAGCGTCCCGTGAGTCAAATGCAGTCTACCAACTTCGCTCGTCATTGACCATGTCTAGGCCAGAGGCGGAGGAAACCCACGCGAGGCAAGGAGACCTGCTCCTTCACGAGCGCCTCGACGCGATGAGGGCCCGAGAGACGGTGTTCGAAAGGTGAGATCATTCCAGTTGTGTCTTCGTTCAACCTGAGATTTTGACAATCCGTCAGGTGCACAAAACTCCCTCCACATAAACGCATCGACCGCGGAACCCACGATGTTCCGCTGGCTCTCAATCTGCTGCTTTACCGCCAGCTTTGCGACCATCGCAACCCACTGACCTTCGGATTGGAATGAATAGTATCGCCGTGAGGAGCCACAAGAGCGAGAACGGTTTCCTGATGAACGTGCCAACATCGACTCGTAAGCCTGGATTCGAGCGCGAAACGAATGAACTGGCGGTTGACCAGGCACCATAGCGATTGGGTACATGACAGATACGAAGACGACCGCTACGGTATGCGCATTATTCCAATCCGCCGTGACTAGAGCTGACCGTTTGCAGACAATGCGCGCAGACGCCCTCGAGCAGAAGAGGAGCGATACGCTCCCCGCGGAGCGCCTGCTTCGTACGATACAATCCATGACAATATTTGTCGTCAGCCTTACTGATAAGGCGATTTAGCTCCGGAAGTAAAATCAGGGTCGACAATCTGCACTACGACCTAACCGAAGATGACCTCAGGGAATTGTTCGAACGCATTGGAGCGGTCGCCTCCGTCAGTCTGCTTTATGACCGCGCCGATCGATCGCAAGGAACAGCTTATGTTGTCTACCGTACCGCTGAGCACGCCCGCCAAGCAGTGCGTGATTTTGACGGCTGCAACGCAAATGGGCAACCTATTCGCCTGACCTTGATGCCAAATGGACCTGCTCCTGCACCCAAGGGTTCATTGTTCGATCGCATCCAGGCCCCACCACGCAGCCTCTTCAATCGGATTCAAGGGGGTCCAGAGAGACCTTCCGATAGCGGCGACCGGCGTAGGAGGAATCGCAGTGAGAGCCCGCGCCGCAGTGAACGGCTAGCGCCACCAGATGTCGATCGCTACGTTCCCGGTGGCCGTCGGTCACGATCTCCGATTACACGACGAGGTACGCCACGCGAGAACGGACGACGACCCGGTCAAAAGAGAGAGGAAGGAGGTGGTGGTCGAGGTGGCCGTGGCGGACGGCGACAGCGTACGGACGAGGGTGGTCACCAGATTGTCGGCGGTAGGCCTCGAAAGACCGCGGAGGAACTCGATGCTGAAATGGAAGACTACTGGGGCCAGAAAAACGGAGGTTCAGCCGACAGTGACGCCGCGGCGAACACAACATCTACCAAGAATGGCGGTGCCGTCAATACCAACAGTGGAGACGTAGATATGGACGAGATCCAATGATGCGACAAACCGCACCGGATGGGTCGGAGCGAACCATAGCGGAGATTTGTACAGACTTCATTACCATCCTGTCGATACATGCGGCCTGAGGTCTACTAGGCCTGGGCGCGATATGGCCGCATATCTTCGAGTCAGGAATAGCACGTACACTCCTCTCATCAAACATAAGAATACTCGCTCGTCCGTACTTTGCGCTGTGGACCAAACAAAGCCTGACATATCTTTCTATTCACGAATGGCATGATCTATTGAACGGACGAGGACATAGGTCGAAGACGCGGACCAAAATCCGCGGCATCGACTCTCACCACGGGACATAGCATGAAGAACTAGGATCTTGATATCAATGATACTGTCATTCAGATTGTCATATCTATCTCGGACGTCCCTCGTGGTTTCTCGGGGTGTGCACTACGTCGATGGCCTTCAATTGAGCTTTTCTGGGCAAGCGACAGCATCAGTGACGAACATGGTAGAAACCAGATTGGACTCCTCTCTCGAGACACCAAGATGAATACCTTGAGTTTGCCAAGCTCACGAACAGAAAGCATGGACTGCTGCGCAAGGAGTGTTCAGACTGGTTACCACGCGCGTATCACGGACGGGCTCCCCGCTGCCGATCAGGTACGCGGATCCCCGCGCCGTCAGCGATGCCAGATGCAAAGTAGATTCATCACGTCGTTCGCTTCTCTGGACAAGAAGTACAATTCATCTTCTTTGAACGCTTCATAGTCGCTATCGGTTCTCACTCGTCCATCACTGCAGTATAGTATCCGTTGACGGTCTCGATCAAGACGTCGGATCCTTCCGATTTGTCCTACCAGCTTATCCAGCGTTTACTTGAGTGACTGGCAATCGACCGAATGAGCCATTGAAATATTGGATTTTACTCGTATAGCTTTGCAGCACATATTCGAAATCATTGTAATACCCAGCCGGACAGCACACGATGACAGATCCACGCACCGGAAGCCGGTGGATCTTGGGAGACAAATTTGACCAGGTCTACCCTCACCTAGGTTCCATCGACAACCTCTGGACAAAAAAATGGAGGTTCCCGTGCGAGCGCAGTCTGTATCCCTTCCACGACGGCAGGTTTGAAGATTTCGCGCCCATATTTGAGACTTTGATGCGCAAAGGTATCCACGATGGATACAGCGTGGAGTACACCAAGGAGTTCTTACCCACATGCGAGACCCTGGTCGAGCAAGCAGACGCTGAAGCTGAAAGGGGAAATAAGGACGCTGCCATTGCGCTTTACCTCCGAGCTTGTGCCGTCTATCGCATTGCTCGATTTCCGTACATCAACTCGGACGTCAAGCGAGAAGCCTATGAAGCTCAGAAGCGGGCATATCTCAAAGCAGGAGCGTTGATGGACTGTCCGATCAAAGATGTCGAGATTCCCCATACCGCAGGTATCGAGCAGGATGAAGGCAAGACGGTCCCTCTCTACATTCGGCTGCCGAAATCTGCCTCAGCGACAGCGCCGTGCCCAGCGGTGATTCTGATGTGCGGCTTGGATGGGCACCGTCCAGACAACACTGTACGGAGTGACGGCTTCCTTGCCCGCGGCTGGGCGAGTGTCATTGTTGACATTCCGGGAACGGCAGACGCGCCAGCACAACGGCGTGATCCCAAAGGCGCGGATCGGATGTGGACGAGTATCCTAGACTGGATGGAGCAACAAGGGACTTTTGACATGAAGAAAGTCATGTGCTGGGGCTTGTCAGCAGGTGGCTACAACGCCATCCGAGCAGCGCATACCCATGCAGACAGGCTGGCCGGCGCTGTCGGCCAGGGCGCTGGCACCCATCACTTCTTCACCAAAGCCTGGCTCGACAAGGCGAAAGACCACGAGTATCCTTGGAACCCGATGGCAGCGATCACGGAGAAATTTGGTTACACAAGTGAGGAGGAGCTCTTTGAGAACGCTCAACGAGAGTTTTCCCTCATCGAGACTGGCATCGTTAACATGCCTTCTTGTCGGCTGTTGCTTGTTAACGGAACTCACGATGGATTGATGCCGATCGAGGACTCCATGCTGATGATGGAATATGGAAGTCCCAAGGAGGCCAGGTTCTTCACTGGACTTCTTCATATGGGTTACCCACCGGCCAACGGTTCGGTGTATCCTTGGATGGAGCAGGTCATGTCATCGGCACGGTGAGTTGATATCGGACAATTGAACGATGTATGCTCAGTCTAGATAAGCATTATACGTTTACAACCGGTGAAGCGTTATCGTGACATTTTCAAAGGATCGTCCAGGCGCGACACCCGCGTGTACATATACATGAAATCACATGCGACACATGTACTGTAGTTCTTGACAAGCGGTGATGTGTAAACACTGCAAGTACGGTGTCTTCGCCCTCGACTCTTGATTATAATTCACCAATAGCCTGACGATGCGCGCACCTCCAGGCCCGGCGGCAAAGCAAGACGGTGGCGCCGACTGGATTAACTGGGCTGAATGAATGGCGGAATGTGGCTTGTGCTTCGTTCCCGCAAAGAGTATATATGAGGCTAGACTAATTATTGGGCATATCGCATGGATGATTTAGGGGCTCACCCTCTCTCTCTCACGCCCGGAGGTCAGCCCCACAGCATCATTTCCGGACGTGAGGGAGAATCGCACCTGCCTCGGGACGTCCCACGTTGAACCGGTACGACGACAATTCACTCCACACCTGGACACGCTTTAAACACTGGTATTCCCCATACGGACGATCAATAACCTTGGAAAGCATTGTGGATTCACATGATGACAAGTTTCCACTCGCCTTTCGATCACGTACGTCGATGCGCATGTTCAACGCAGTCATGCATACTGGTGTGTCTAAGAATAAGAGCAAAAACCGCACCGGAGGCACTACTGGCACATCTCGTGTGTGTGTGTGTGTGTGTGTGATTTCAACACTACCTAGGTACATGAACACTAGCTAATGTAGGGACAAATCTGCTGCAAAGAACGTGTCCAGCACCCTCTCTCATTTTATACTTTTCGCCATGGCGCCCTTCCCAAAATTGACCAGATCATCGCCATCGGTAATTTTATTCACCGTCGAGCGATGCCTTGTTGTGTGCTGTTATGTTGGTGCTCATTTTTGTATCGAGAGGCATCACGAATGTTGCCGCACGCATACGGTGACAAACCTCAATCAAAGGCAACACAACGATTTGATGGCAGATCGTAGCCAATGTCCTTTAGACCTTACCAAGGAATCTCTTGTGTCCTTCCAGCCGTGCAGATCTGGGGAGGACAAGCCATGATTTGTTGGTAAATGCAGCGAATCAGATCAAGGAGAAGCCATCGCCTACCAGTCTAGGACGCATGGGCGTGTGGTGGGGCCCGTCGCAGAGCGCGTCGGAAGCACATTAGGCTCGCGCTCACACTGACTCGGCCCGGGCACAACAGCAGTGCGTCGTCTCGCTTGGATTCAACCAGCACAAAGTTATCAACACACATCTCACTAGTGAATGCAAGCAGTAATTAGAGGCGACGGACAGTGACGGAGCAAGGCAGCCGGGATGGAATCACTGCCGCAATCAAAGCATTCCAGGGCATCGCGCATACTCTGCACATGACGATTCGGCGGGATATCAAACCTCAGACACAGTAGCCGCCGCAACCGTACAGTCCTTGCAATGTTCGTCTAGCACTGTGAGAATGTTGGCGAGGAGCCCCATGATAGCCGTATCTTGATATGTTTGTACACGTCTTTTACTGTGTCGCTGGGAGCGCGCAAGGTGGTGACTTTTCACCAGGCGCGGCTGGCGGAGATGGAAAAATGGCCTGGCCATCCAGCCCTGGAGGGCTGTAGTGTACATTCCCTCAGGGGGGCTGGAATTGTTGGCTGTACGCGGCGTGCTGTACCTGAAATTGATTCATGGGTCATGGGCATGCGGTGGTGAGAATGACAAGTCGATTGATGACAATGTGATACAACCATAGCCCCTTCTCTGATTGCCGACACAGGAGTCGGTGAAGTGCAGCAGCCACAAGCCTCCGTTGTCGAGTATTGTGTCCAGAGGCCAGAAGGACAATACCAGTGGTCGATGGCCTGGTTATTGGGCCCCCATTGTGCGTGCACAAAATGTATGTACGAGAGGGACATCGCTGCATGTGCATACCGCGCATGCGAGGCCGTCTGGGATTCCTCCTTTGCTTGCTTGCTGGCTGGCTAGTAGGCTGGCTCGCTGGCTGGCTCGCTGGACTGCTTGCCTTTGCCCGCAGTGGAATTGCGCGGGAGTAGCCGCCCGTTACGTGCCCGCCGTCACCCTCGACCAACCAATCCGAGCCAGATGGCGCACTATCACAGCCGCGCTTTCAATCTCTCTCTCCCTTCGCTCTGCATGTGTTTCCCTCTTCGCATCGTCTTGCGCTGATCGCTGACCTCTGTCGTCGTTGTCGTCGTCGCCGCCTCTCCCTTTACTGTTGCTGTCTTACCATCTCGTGGTCATCGCAGGCCTCAGCTACAAGTATTCCGACGACCAAAAATATACAACAACTCAGGACGCTTCGCGGTCGCTCTCGACACGCCTCACCGAATACTGCGCGGCCATAAGCAGTTCCTGGTCCCTGGCGCGTCCTCACCATACCATCATAAGATCACCGACGACCGCGACGAGTTGGACACTTCTCATACAGCGTCACCTTCCATCACCCTCATTTACAACCGTATACCTCGACACAGCCTGGTGCTGTCGCCGCCTCCGGTCTATCTCACGCTCTCTACCACATTGAACCATACACCTCGCACGTCCTACCTCGCGCTTCGCAGCATATGCTGAAATCCGAATCGGCACTGCTGATACACAGTTTCCGTCTCTGTTTTGGACTCCAACCTCTGTATAAAACGGTCGTTATCGTACTCCCACTTGCGGATACCTGGTCGCGGTTCTGCTGCAGCCGATTCCTCCTGCACGACTCGCATAAAAGCTCAATAGCCTCCGGACATATCTTCACAAACAAAGTGGGCGGTCAAGTACAGCTCAACTCAGAACAGAATGGACAGATTCAGCAATAGGCCGTCCTTCAGTGTCAGCAACATCGCTGCAGATGCATTCTGGCTGGGCACTCTCGGAATTGCCATAGTGAGTAAATACTACGGCCTTGGAAGTTTGGATCGCGGCTGACAATGACAGATTGGTTGGGGTGTTTCACTCATTGGCTCTCTGATCGCCAAAACTTCGGGGGCAGATTTCCCAAATTTTGCCTGGTGGTCCTTGGCTTACCTCCTATTGTCTATCATTGGTGTCATCTATGTCGTTGGCAGTGATGCAGTCATCATGTACCGCACAGCTGCGTCCAGTGCCCTCAGTGCTGGCTTCGTCTTCGCGGCCTCCGCGATTGGCATCCTCGTCTACAGATCGGATGGTGGTCAGCAAGCAGCTGGAGCAGGCTTCATACTTCAAGCCATCGTCGCGGTATGTCTACCTCGAAACGTCAGTGAAATATAGCTAATCAGTCGCCGCAGTGTGTTTGGATGATCTATTTCGGTATCGAGCCTCCGAATGTCTCGCGCGAAATGAATGCATACGCCATGCACAAGGAGAGTGCCGTATCTGGTCGCAACAGCCGCGCTATGCGCCAATCATATCGACCAGACACAATGAACTCTCAGCAACCTCAGCAAATGTACAAGCCGTCGACGCTTGCAGGTTTTGAGACATCATCGCCCATCACCGCCTACCCCACTGGGCTGCAACCCGCTGGTTCAGTGCGCAGCACCGGCGGATTCCCGTCGCAGCCATCCCAAACCAATCTTCACATGCCGCCTCAGCAACAACAGATCCAGCAGCATGTCATGCAGTCTGATGCCAATAGCATTGCAGGAAACACAGCCGTGGCACAGGACACAACAGTGCCGCAACCGACTGAATACCCATACAAAGCCAAGGCAATTTATGGCTACAACGCCAACCCGAACGATGCCAACGAAATTTCTTTTGAGAAGCACGAGGAGCTCGAAATCAGCGACGTCTCCGGACGATGGTGGCAGGCCAGAAAGGCCAACGGAGAGACTGGCATTGCACCTTCAAACTATCTCATCCTGCTATGAGAGCGGCCCGGATATGCGGAGGATCCATTCTAAAAACCGCGGCTTTTTACCGCTTTTTCCTGTCAGAAATACGAGCGATATATTGGCATATATTACGCCATGTTTCGCACTCACTTGTCATCGCGTGATACTCGGCGTTGCTCTTTCCGTTGCGATTCCGCACAGTTGCGGACAAATCAGCCAGCAACATGGCTTCTGTTATCAAGCGATTTGAACCCGTATTATCGATCGGAGCATCACACACGGCTTGGACGCGATGCGCATTGGGATTCGGCGGCGCAGGCAGTTTCATCCACGGTATCTTGCTCCTTTGGGTCAACCGTGCATCATTCTTCCACAGTCTGGCTCACCTCCACGATCACCACCGGGGAAGAGCTCACAAACAGGAGGCGCTGAAATGTACGGAAGAGGTGCGGAATATCATTCCTTTCCTTCTGACTATTGGGGGCGCAGAAAATGTTGTTTACGATCACGAGGGCTGGCTTTTCCTACCGTTTCTCTCTATCTCCCCCTCTCTATTCCGTTTCATTCTCTTTGCTTTTCTAGCCTTTCTCGAGACTTGTACTTGATATCTACCCGCTGTCTGTTCCCATTCCGTCTCTGGCTTGTACTGCTCTTTATTCCCTGACTCTCTCGCGCGAGCATTTAGCGAGTTTAGAAAAGCAGCAAATGTTTAGCCCTGGAGTTCTTTTAGTTCACGCTCTTCCATCCGAGTCTGCTTCGAAACCGTGCCGTCACCCCCGTTGGTTGGCTAAATGTCGTTCACGATAGCCGTAGCACGCTCCTTCTACAGGTGAGAGCATACACTACACACTTTTGAGACCATTCCGTCACCGGCACATACATGGAAAGCGCTCATTTCAATATTCATCTGCATCCTGGGTTCCTCCAACAACATGTCCTTTGACCAATAGGTTTCCTGGAGGGACAGATTATTCGCACTGATCATAGGTACCACGTGCAATGATGAGTCGAGCGAGTATGCGGGCGGACTTGCGCAACGGGATCAAATCGACCTGAGCCATGATCGTCCGGCTGTCTCTGCAATTAAGCAAATGGCTTTCTCGTCCCCTCAGCGGTGGTGCGACAATGTGTGCTAGGGTCAATGTCGTGAACTGCTAGGGTTTGGGTTCACACGCGCGACTTGGGGAGAAGCCCGCAGGTTGTGAACCTCTGGACTGTGCTTCATTCACGACCGACTCAACCCGTTTGCGTCGACGTCCTGCTGGCGAATGCCGGAAACAACGATGCTCGTAGCTTGCGACATCAAATTCGGTACAGCGATGATATGTCGACTGCGATGGCAAAATGTGGTCGTAGTCCGGTCACTATGACGTTTGGATGACCATGTTGAGCAGAGTGATGACTCGCTCATAAGCTCGACAATGATATGTCTCTCTGTTATCGTCGACATTTAAGACCAACCTTGAAATCAACAGAATCATTCCTCCCAGAACACTCGACAAAGCCAGTCTGAATCAGATACTCTTTCCATAGCCCACCTGCATTACCTCGAAGATGGCAGGCCTCATCAACGCTGTGAGGACGACGTTCTCAGAGAACTTGGGTGGTGTTGCACAAGCTCTAGCACCAGCAGCGACCAGATTTGCAATTGCAGACGTTCCAGATCAGACCGGAAAGGTTGCTGTTGTCACAGGTGGCAGTCAAGGTATTGGGTATGGTGTCACTCATACCCTACTCAACAAGAATATCGCCAAAATCTTCATCCTATCCGGTTCCAAGGATGTCGTCGACAAGGCCTTAGATGCTGTACGCGAAGAACTCGGCGAAGATGCAGCCAAGCGTACCCAATGGGTGCAATGTGACCTCGGTGACTGGAAGCGCACGACTGAAGCCGCCAAGGAGATCGCAGCAGCCACGGATCGCCTTGACATCCTGGTCAACAACGCTGGCCGCGGCATCATGACCTTCGAATTGACCGATGACGGCCTTGATCGCCACATGGCCGTCAACCACATGGGCCACGTCGTTCTCACTGCACATCTCCTACCATTACTGAAGAAAACCGCCGAGCAAGGCCACACCGTCCGCATCACCAACCAGGCATCCAACCTCCACACCAACAGCCCCTTCGAGACCAAATTCGCCAACGTCGAAGAGCTGAACAAGGACTATGGACCCAACGCCCAGTACGGCCGATCCAAGCTCGCCGCCATCCTCTACAGCCGCTTCCTCGCCCGCCACCTCACGGCCGTCCAACCGCGCATCCTGGTCAACGCCACTCACCCGGGCATCGTCGAGACCAAACAGACCCGCGAAGACATCCACGAGGCCTTCCCGCTGGCCGGATACGCGATGAGCGTCGGCATGCAGCCGTTCCGGAAAAGCCAGTTCGACGGTGCGCTGTCGACGCTCTACGCCGCCACCAAGGCGGAGAATTCGGGCGAATATATCTGCCCGCCGGCGGCGGTTGAGGCTGGTAGTCAGCAGTCTCAGGACGAGGAGCTCCAGGAGCAGTTGATGAGGTTGACCGCTCAGCTGATCAAGGAGAAGATTGGTCAGGATCTGCCCTCTGAGCTTCAAGCCAAATGAGGTAGAAGGTTCCCTCAAGCGCAACGTACGATCGGACTGTATTATAGTGATGAGATATGATAGAATTTGCATTGTGATCGAAAAATAAATCGCTCATTAGTTTGAGAAAATATCGTCTGCCCTCTCCTCAGCATGCACGATGACTTTACGCCTCCGTGCAGGTTAAATGCGACATGGACTATATGAGCTTAGACTTTTAAACCCAAGGCCCAGCTTCGATGGTGATACAGTATGATGTGGGACAAATGCATGAGTCTATAACAAGGTCGACATGTCACCAAGACTTTTCGGTTTTGACAAATTCTACGATCCCAGACGAGGTTTGATTTATTCATCAGATCAGCAGCAACAGGATTGCCGATGGTGTCGACAGTGCCAAGTCTCCTAGATCCACACGATTAGCACCAGAGTCGCTCCTCGTACGCCTTGGGAGCAAGCATACCGAAGACCAAGTTGGAAGACCCGATCAAATTTTGTCGTCACTACGATGTGCCCATCGATCGCCTGTGATCAGTGGTTGTTCCGTGCATGTTGACTACCGACATCACGACGACTGCTCTTCCCCACCGACGACGAGGAGGGCTCCGGAGAGCGCTCGCGTTTGAGCCCATTGGACCGCGGCAGCGAGGTAGGTAACGGCGGCGGCACACTTGCTCTACCTGCAGTCGGTGTGCCGAACCGGAACGTCTGGGCGCTCTCCTGTTGCACCCTATTCAGCTTCGCGATGCGCTCGGCGATGCGAGCCGCCTCCTCCTCCAATTCCCGCTGTTCTAGGAAGGGCTGGAGGAGCGCTTTACGGGTGGCGACGTCGTGGTAATTGGTCAATTCCAGCCAGGCGGAGAGGTCATCATAATACGAATCTGTGAGGTCAGTAGGGTGGGTGGGTCCGGTGGTGGTACGCTCGTCTCGTGGCGGAACCTCGATGGACCTCGACGGTGTTGCGTTGGCCGAGCTGGAGCTACCACCCAGGAGGTCTTCTAGAGTCTTGCCTGCGTATGCCTGCCGGTTGATAGGCGTATGTGTGCTGGAAGATTCGCGACCAGCCTCCGCTGCGGCCAGTGCCTCGCCCTCTGCTATCAATGCTGCCACGTTATCCCGCTCTTCGTCCTGTGAGGCCGGGAGGAAGCGTTTCTCTCTGAAACTGCCCTCTACTCTGCTGTACTCGGGCAATTTTTGGATCGGCGCTGTGGTCGTTGTTCGTGCTGCAGAACCTGTCGTTGCCAACGCCGATGGTGTAGCTGCTCGTGAGGAGGATTTGATCGGCGTGCTTTGGCGTTTGGCGATGAGCTTGGCTCTTAGTTCCTGAGCTCGCAACTGGTTGCTCGTTACAGGTGCGATGGGTGCAGGTGCGGCGACATTTGTCGTGTCGTTCCCACTGGCTGTTCCGATGGAGCTGGCTTCGTTGCCGTAAAAATCGTCGTCTAGAAGGTCGTCATCCTCTGCTGGAGAATTACCACTGTCGGTTTGGCCGGCCATGCTGTCAAACCACCGCATTGCTCTCCGGGTGATGACGCACCGAAGCTCTACTAGCGTGGACAATCTAGTCGATCAACGTAAATACTGTCGTCTTTTCGGGGAATCACGCCCTTCGTATGAACCAGCAATAATAATAATAACCCTTCATACATTTATTCAAAGCATGCAGGTGGGAAAGCCAATGCCTGGAAGACGCGTTTCAGCTCGGGCCCACGGAAGGGTCCGAGAGTGATCGTCGTCATTTGCCTCGCGACGGTCGACGCGGGTTTCTTCGAGAAGTACGCCATACATGTAGGTCCACTCTCGAGAATGAGATTCACAGAGATCGGAGAACCATCAAACGGAAGTCGATATCGTTAGGACCTCAGAGATGAGAGACGAACTTTTTTAGGCGCCGTAGGCAATCAAATGTTTCTCTACCTAGGTTTCAGTCCGGCAATGTGCTATCGTTATCGGAGAGGATTCACGTGCACACGAGCAGCTTCGGCTGGTAGGATCATCGTCACAGCTTCCGCCACCAGACTCAAGCTGGGGGAAATCGGTGCGAGCATTTCGGTCAACGAGCAGAAAACGGTCGTCTGATTCCTGCCTGACCGCCGCTCGTCGCCTCTCCAATGCCACCAGGGCAATGACCAGGTGACGAGGTTTCGGCAAGCTGGAGTCACCGAAAGCCGCTGACGATGACCGTGGCGCTCCTCATACGGGGATCGCGGTCAAGCAATTGCGGTGAGCATCGGCAATGTTCAAATCGAAGATACGGTGGTGTAGAACGACTATCGGAGAGTCTGGACAAGTAGCCGAGATCTATGTACATAGTCCGAGATGACATAAATGAGCATTCGCACGTGGACACCGGCCGGTGCGTTCGACATCGAGTTGGGCTAATGGGTCATGGCCCTATCGATCGTAGATCAGGAGAGCATGAGCATGGGCATGGGCATGGGCATGGGCATAGGTATCTGGATATACCTGCTCTACTCGGTCGACCTAGAAGAAGTTTCGCGTACGCGTCCACACCCACCTGGGCACCTTACCGTACCACCGGACTGTAGCTTTATACTGTAGAGCATCTTCCCTCATTTTAGTCGATACAGTACCAAAGTTTGGAAAGGGAACGTCCAACAGCCGTGCCTGTCCGGTGTCGTCGAGCGGTGTCCAGGCGTTCATGCTGCTGTCTTCACATGCAGCTGCTGGCCGTTTCTCCATTATCATGCGCAGGTCCTGCAGGTGACAGATCCTACCTGAGTACCGACCTAGGTACTGCATGGTCATTTTCATTATTATCTTCCTCGTGCTTATCATGAAGAGCTCTATCGCCGGCCTGGTAGAATGGGTGCCGGAAACGAAAAAAGAGCACGTGGTGCGCTCCCCGACTACAATCTACGCCCATTGCTGAGAAACAATTACAGAAAATACCATATTGTACAGTATATGACCAATGATGATGTGGACGTGGATTGTGGAGATCCATCCTCCACGCCAAGTATAATAAAATGCTTGTTATCCAAGATTGGCTCATGATTAAAGCGTAGGTGGCCGTGCCGCACTGTGCCCCCCCGGCCGCCGGTCTTCTCTCTCACTGCCCAGTCGGTGATGAGCCATCTCTTGACTGCCTTCCTAGTAGGGACTCCACATCACACACAACACACAAGTTGACAAATCTTCATCGTCCGTCGCAATGGCCCTCTCTAGACTCTGAAAGCCGGATGTCGGGCGAATCGCAGAGACAGTTGTCTTTCTACCATCGTCATCTGAACCATCGACATGTGCTAAACTCCATCCAGGGCATCGGCCAGAACGGCCGTCGCAAATGGCTCATCTCGTGGAATTTTTAGCGGGACATCCCATGTGTCGGAGTACTGTGTTATGTATGTACCGCACCACATTTCTTTGAGGGTTTGCTCGGGCCACAACCGAGCCAAGGATGCTTGCTCTCATCGGGGATAGCCCTCATTTTCGCCTGTGCCGCTCAGCGACGGGTTACATACAGGACCATGAAATGCGAAAGCATATTCCCATCCAGGCGACTCGAGAGCGAGCTCGGCTGTCGTGAGCCTGTGACAGACTCATCACTGGTCAGCGTGGCTGTGAGCTGAGCCGTGCAGGAGAGTCCTTCGTTCGGGGCGACTAACGTACGCAGGAGCGGAGCCCTCGCGCTCTCTGTCCTTGCTCCCCCACAAGGAAGGATTGCGACTACTGAACACGAGATTTCGGTTGGTGAATCCCCAAGGGACCTCATCCTTGGAAGAAAATAAATGCCTCACCAAAACTGAAAATCGCGCAGTGGGCAGGCTTGCCCGAACCCAGGCTGGTGGCGCAGAATCCGCTGCTGATCTGTGTTTCCTCTCAGAGCAAAGATCACTGCGACCACTTCCCGGCGATGATCTCGCTCTTTCCCATTGGTGGCCGTCCACGACACTCGGCCACCACACCTCGCTTTTGCCATCTTTGCACGCGACCTGCGACATGAGATTCGCTTCCCAAGCCCCCACTGCCGTGCTTCTACTTCTCGATTGAGGAAATATCCCGTGCGAATCTCCCATCTAGTCGCCGTTGAGGTCTTCCACGCAGCACTGGAAGCATTCATGTCCGAGATTGACGTGCCGTCCGCACGTGGCGGCAGCTGCTTCGTTGCATTAGCAACACATGGCTGATCATGGCCGCGCGGGCGAACTTATTCCTGACTTTAAGGCGCCGCAAATAGTAATTTTTGAGGCACGGTCGGTGAAGTGCACACCAGGCGAGAAATGTAGAGGCGCGTGTTTCGGATTCGTATATCAGGCCTCCGCCAGCTCCTCACTTCATACCTTTCATCTATCCTTGCTCTCCTCCCTCCCCTCTCTTCCCGGTCTGTGAGCTCACATCGCTCTGATCGCCATGGATTCTCCATCATTGCCCGAAAAGGGCGGAATCACCGTCCATGAAACCAACGAGGAATTCACAAACCCTCGTAGTCGCATCACATATGCCACCGACGTACGAGGACGCCGAGGCAGTCGTGGCGATGCGGAGAGAGGCCACACTCTTTCACACCAGCGCTCGCGTTCGCGGGATTCCTCCATGTCAATACGAACGACAACTCGATCGTTCATCGATCCGGCTATCGCCCTGCCACCGGCGTTCAGAACCGTCTCATTTGGTATCGATGATAACCGCCGCAGTCTGGCCATCGATCGTCCCTTGAAGGAGCAACTTGACAAGAAGAAACGGAAACAGAAGAAAGAGCGCAAGACGCCCGCAAAAGCTGCTGAGATCGAATTCGGAAAAACCGACTACCACACTGCGCCCATCGATGAGCTCATGACCCGGTTTTCGACATCTCGATCCGACGGTCTGTCCAACAATGCTTTTCAGCAGAAGTTGAAGACCGTCGGCCGAAACGTTCCCTCTGCCCCTCCGTCGCAATGGTTCAAGAAGACGCTCGGCTATCTCTTCGGTGGCTTTGGTGCCATTCTGTTTATCTCATCGATCCTCGTATTTATTGCCTGGCGACCATTGGGAGACCCCAATCCCCAGATTGCCAACCTCGCTTTGGCTATCGTCCTCGCCCTCGTCTGGGTCATCCAGGCGGCGTTCTCCTTCTGGCAAGATTTCTCCAGCTCTCGAGTCATGGCATCCATCACCAAGATGCTTCCCGATGAGTGTATCGTCTTACGCGATGGGCAGCAGGTCAAGGTCGACGGTCGGGACATTGTGCCCGGAGATATCTTGCGCATTACAATTGGAAACAAACTCCCAGCCGACGTTCGATTCTTCGAGGTCTCGTCCGACGTCCGATTCGATCGATCCATCCTGACCGGAGAGGCAGCCCCACTTCTCGGCTCCGTCGAATCCACCGACGACAATTATTTGGAGACCGCTTGTATTGGTTTGGCAGGAACACACTGTGTTTCTGGAAGCGCCTGGGGTCTCATTCTCGACACCGGTGACCGCACCGTTTTCGGCCGGATTGCTAAACTCACCAGCACGCCCAAGACGGGAATGACACCACTTCAGAAGGAAATCCTCTATTTCGTCGCGCTTATCGTGTGCTTGATGCTTACCATGGTGGTCTTGGTTATCGCCGTATGGGCTGGTTGGCTTCGAAAAGATCACCCAGATTATATCAGTGTGGCGAACCTCATCGTCAGCTGCGTCAGCATCGCTGTCGCCTTCATTCCCGAGGGTCTGCCGATCGCCGTCACCGCCAGTCTAACCATCACAGCCAACATCATGCGCAAGAACAAGGTTCTGTGTAAGAGTTTGAAGACTGTAGAGACGCTCGGTGCCGTCAACGTCATCTGCTCCGACAAAACCGGCACTTTGACACGCAACCAGATGAACGTCACCGATTTCCTCGTCGGCAAACAGGCAAAGCTCGCAAAGGACGCTCCGGAACTATTGTCGAGCAGCGAAGCACTCAGACAGCTGAACACGTCATGCGCTGTCTGTAACGAGGCTGACTTCGACGCTGCAACATCCGAGCTCCCGATCGCGGACCGCAGGGTCAACGGCGACGCCACAGATTCCGCCATCCTCCGCTTCGCCGAATCGATGAATGTGGTACGTGATACGCGCAGTGCCTGGCGCTCAATCTTTAAGATCGCTTTCAACAGCAAGAACAAGTTTGCCATCAATGTTGCCTCCTCGGAAGCTTCATCGGCGCCTCTGCTTCTGATCAAGGGTGCCCCCGATATCCTTCTGCCTCGTTGCCGTTCCTACCTGGCTGCCGATGGTTCCGTCGTGCCGATGACCGACGCAGACCGAGTCGTGATGGAAAACCAGAAGAACTTCTGGTCGTCTCAAGGAAAGCGTGTCATCCTTCTGGCACAAAAGACTGTGGAGAACTCCCTCTTCGACCCGACGGAGCAACCTCGAGAGTATGAACGTGACATCATGGCCCGTGCCAGTGAGGACTTGATCCTGACTGGCCTCGTCGGCATCGTCGACCCGCCTCGCGCTGAAATTCCCGAAGTGGTCAGCACCCTTCGTGGAGCTGGCATCCGCTTCTTCATGGTCACTGGTGACTTCAAGCTAACCGCTCAGGCTATTGCAGCCGAATGCGGCATCATCACGAATACTCCCGACAACATCGACGACGTGTCCGCGTTGATGCTCGAAGATGGATCATTAGAAGGCCTGACTGACAAGAAGGGCGGCTCCGCATCGAACAGCTCTTCCGAGAAGGTCGCCCGTGTGCGCTCGATCGTCTTGTCTGGTGTCGATCTCGAGACACTCGACGAGAACATGTGGGATCGTCTGGCCCGTTATGACGAGATCGTCTTCGCCCGTACCACACCTGAGCACAAGTTGAAAATTGTCAAGGAGTTCCAGAGCCGCGAGATGACCGTCGCCATGACTGGTGATGGTGTCAACGATGCACCTTCGCTCAAGGAAGCTGACATCGGTATTGCCATGGGATCGGGAAGCGACATCGCCATCGAAGCCGCGGACATGGTCCTGCTCGACTCTTTCGCCGCCATCGTCGAGGCTGTCCGCTACGGTCGTGTTGTATTTGACAACCTCAAGAAGACCATCTGCTACCTGCTTCCCGCCGGTACCTTCTCTGAGTTCTGGCCAGTCTTCACCAACATCATGTTCGGTCTCCCCCAAATCCTCAGCAGTTTCCTGATGATCATCATTTGCTGCTTCACCGATTGCGCCGCAGCCACTGCCTTGGCATACGAAGAGCCCGAGGCCGACGTCCTGACCCGTCCACCTCGAAACCCGAAGAAGGACCGCTTGGTCGACTGGAAACTGTTGCTACAGGCTTATGGTGTACTCGGCTCCATCGAATGCCTATGCTCCTTCGCCATGGCATACTGGTACGCTCAGCGTCAAGGCCTATACTTTTCGGATCTCTCGTTCGGCTTCGGCGCCGTGCCCGCCAACATTGAATCACAGGACCGGTACAACCAAATTCTCAACACTGCCAGCTCGATTTACTTCGTGAATTTGGTCGTCATGTAAGTCTCCTCAGACCAGGGTCTCAAAGTCTTAATTTGTATCACTTGCTAACGCATGTTTCCTCTGTACAGGCAATGGTTCAATCTCTTCGCCGTGCGCACCCGTCGTCTCTCTGTCCTGCAACATCGCCTCAACTACCTCCTCATCCCAGCCATCATCTTCTCCCTCGTCGTTGCGCTGATCTTCGTCTACCCCAAAGCGCTCAACGATGCCCTCGCAACCACGCCCGTACCGGTGGAGCACTGGTTCCTGCCCATGGGCTTCGGCGTGGGAATCTTGCTGATGGACGAGGGCCGGAAGTACCTGGTGCGGAACTACCCCCAGGGTTTCCTCGCGAAGATCGCGTGGTAAAACCGCCGGAGGGGAACTTTTGCTTTGTTCGTGGAAGGCGCCCGAGGCTGCCGCGAGCTTTTTGTTAGTTTATGATACTACATACCCGGGTGAACACCGGATTCACAGGACATGACATTGGATTTGGCTGGCGTTTACTGCCGCAACCAGCGGCACGAGGGTGAGGCGTTTACGCGATATGGGAAATAGAAAAATAGAATGAGGCAGCTATGGGATTGTGAACAGGACCACATGTGCAGAAACGAATTGCATTTACCCTTTGTCATGTGTGGCATGAATTATCTGTGCGATGTGACAATGGCGATGACGTCTATGTATGCACTTTCAGATCGTCGGCTCATGTTGTGCCAGCACGTCTTCGAGCACCGAGTTCAACTTGCCCAATTTCAAGCGCAGAGATTGCTGCAGCACTCTCTCGAGTTCGCTCCTCCACGTGCCAGAATCACCGCTCTTGTCAAGCTCACTGATCCATGAGATCAGTGTGGCCCGAATCTCCGAAGGGCGAACGGGAGATATGCCGGCCGCACTCAATCGAAGTAAGATCTCCGCGCCATAAATGACCGACAGGCCGAGAGTGAAAGTCTCCGCTTTGGCCACCAGTGCCGTGCCATCTCTTCGCAATGACGGTATCCCCTGCTCTGCCCATGCGCCCAGCCCTTTGGCCAGGGTTTGGTCCACTGCTTCGGGCCATGATAGCTTCATCACCACTTGCGACCAAACGGCAATCTCCCGGGCATCGTCGATGTAGAGATTCTGTTTTTCTTCTACAAAGAGCGCCTGGTCGGTCTGAGAATGACGAGTGATTTGTTCGGTGACCGGCTCTAAATTCACAAAGACTCTCGTGAAGGCCTCTCGGAAGAAGTCCTGCGATCGGGCCCAGCGGCGGATCAAAAAGCTGAGAAGTCTTTGTGATGCGGTGATAGGTTCGAGATCAGACACGTTCTGTGTTTGAGTGTCGGTCGTGAGCAGTATTTGGACGGCTGTGCGAGAAGCTGCAATCCGGACATCTTCGTCGTCGTCATTCAGCAGGTCGTAGATTGCAAGGCACAAATGGCGGAAATGTGTATCCAAGCTAGGCTCAGAGCTCAAGAGGATCCATCCGCGACCTACTCGTTGCAGAGCAAGCGCTGCTGCTTGTCGTGAATGGACCCCATTCCCGGCAACAGCATGATTGCAGTCATCGGCCCAGAGTCGGACACTGTGCAGAGTATGACCACTGCTATCAACAGTGGTATTGCTGGGCACGAGATTTAAGCGAATGGTCCGTAGTTCAAGCTCTTGATCGGCAAAACGCTGAGTTGGCAGCACATTCTGTGATGATAAACCGCTGATGAGGGCCAGTGCATCTGGTGACGTTTCGCAAAGGTAAGGATGTAGGAGCACTTCCTGAGCGGCACATTTTAAATTGTTGGTTGATGATCCGCCGAGAATCTGGCCGCAAATTTGGACAATGTACTCAGCGTTCTTTACGTCAGGACTGCTGAGAAATTCCTTGACTGCCTCTAGGAAGTATGCCACAGCATCTTGATCATGTTTGGTGAGCTCTGTGACGGCGTTGCAAAGTTGAGAGACATTGACAGCCGTATAGCATACTTGCACGGCTGCGAAGCGTGCCAAAGCCTGTCTCACACCTGCAGCAGACGCCGCTTTAAGCGGCTCGGATGCAAGTTCCTTCGCAATGTCGATGAACTTGACTACATTCGTGTGAACAGGCAAAGCCGTTGTCGTGATATCTTGATGCAGTACGATTGAAACTCTCAGTAATTCTCTCAACAAGTCAATGGATGCTGCCTGGATCGAGCCACAAGTCGCTGTTTTGTACGAACGAGAGGCCAGTTCATAGAGGTAGTCAAGATCGTTGCGCACGAATTTCGGTATCGAAGGGATCGTTGTACCAGGATTTGATGAATCCTTTCGAAGTGCTAGGCTTAATTGCGCCATGATATATCGTGCTGCAATCAGCCTGCCGTGAAAAGCGTTGTGTGAGCTTGTGCCCGTCTCGATCAAGACGACTGACTCCCAAGCCGCCTCAGACAAGTCAACGAGAGAAGCATACGTCCTTGCAGCCTTGTCCCGAACATGCCATCGAGGGCTCGCGGTCAATGCGACAACATCATCTTTGATCTGATTACGAGCATCTTCCGGTATGCGCGATTGTTGCACGAGCTGCAAACTGGGAAACACCCCTTCATATCTCGATGAGCCTTGATCGATACCCTCGGCTGAATCGTGAAGGATTCCCATCAGGACAGCAAGCACCTCAGGCTGTTCCGCTAGAAAAATTTGTTTCGCGAGCTCAGTCGATTCGTCGAGATGGGCTTCACTCGTCCCGAGCAGGCGGTCGATCACAGCACGGAAGAGCATCAGTCCGCAATTCCTGATCGCCCATACACTCGACTGTAAAGCTGTTGCAGCCAGTCGCATTGTGGGAGAGATGTGCCTTTCAGAGTGCTCGCCGAGTCGAGTATTTTTCATGATGTCTTTGATGCAATTCATAGCATGCACTTGGGCAAGACTCCCCTCCTCATCTGCCGCTGCAATGACTGGAGCCTTCGCGATGGTCTGCAAATCCGTAAACGCTCGGTGAACAAAGCTTCTCGAGGTATCTGCAATCAATATGCCGCACAGGAGTGAAGGAAGACCTGCTGATCTCCGAGTATTGATAGTAATGTTGTTACGGAGCATTCCGAGAATATCCCCATACCATTTCTCCAGTAATGAGATCCCGTTCGACGAATTTATGGCACTGCATCTGGTGCAGATCGATGCCCATGTCTGCGCTACAGTCGAGAAGGCTCCTCTGTGTCGAAGCTCGGCCAATTGCGTGAAGCATAGTTGTGCCATGCGCTCTAACAACATGTTATCTTGCACAAGAGATATGAGCGTCCCCATGAGTAGACTGGCTTCTTTGAGAGCACGCCAACAATAGCTCAGCGTCTGCTTACTTGAATCTATGCTTTCTTCAAAGTCTTCAGGCAAGTAGCCCTCGGGGGCATCGTTGCACAAGATTGGCTTCACCACTTCCCAAACCTGACTCATGGGGTCTTGGACCTGGACGCAAAATTCAGTCATCTCGGATGCCGAGCTTTGTACCAGAACATATCGCAGACTTGTGAGGATTCCATGAAGAGGATATCTTGCCACGGCCTGCGCAAGGTCTTGTCGAGCAGATAATAGCATCTCATTCAGCTGTCTGATCAAAGATTGGAGCACAGCTTGCGCCGGTGCAGTGTCCGAAACCTGGTCGGAAAATCGGCTTCTGCCACAGCGTGCTTTGAGACCGTAAAGGTGCGCGACTCCATCCGCATGATCTGCACGCCCCGTGAGAAGCATTGTTGTCTCAGCTCGACTAAGGACACTTTCGACCTCCTGTCGGAAATCTTGGGATGGGTTGTCGGCTTGCATGGCACAGTAGAGACCTAAGATCGAAGAGGCAGTCTGACGTACATCTTCAAAGGGATCCAACAGAAGATCGATCAACCTCCGTCGCAAATCTTTGGAGAATATTGTCATCGAGAATGGCCATTTGGTTTCCCCAAGTGCGCTTTTGGACAAAAGGCCCAAAGGCAGTCCTGTGTCTACGCCCGATCTCGCTAGAATCGAAAGACATTTCAATGCTGAGATATGCCGCTGATAGCTTGCGGTTGGCCTGAGATCCCGAGTCAAGAACACACTAAACCACCGAACAAACTCGCGATGTGATTGCAAGACTTCGTTTGGCGAGACTTTCATGTTAGGAGCAAGCACCTTTGGCGAAGCTTGGCGTGATAGCGCCGCCGTAATCGCTCGAATACGGTCGATGAGCTTCTGAAACATGCTGAAGACGACGCTGCGAAAGTCCGCATCGGGATCGGCGAAAAAATTGCCGATATGACGTTTTATGAGACCCAAAGCCATCAATGAGAATGGTCTTGTGGCTGTGTGAGATGCAATGAGGCATGTAAGGCCGGTTATTCGCGCATTTCGAGAGCTCCGCACAAGTAGTCTGCCCATAATGTCCACAGGAATGGAAAAGGTAGTTTGAGTCTGGATTACTTGATCGTGCTCTGTCTCACATAAGAAACCTATCTCCTTACCGGCTTGCAAAGCCGCATAAAGCAGATCATGTTCGTCCTTGCGGTCCATCGATGCAGACTTACTCTCAGCAAGCCGAATGTCATTCCAAAGGCTTCGCAGCCCATGGCTCTCCAGAAACAAAACGAAGTCAGAGAATCTGCGCTTGAACAACACTGGTAAGATATGTGCTTTGAGGTCATCGGTCTTGACAGTGCCGCATATCAATGCGTCATTCAATGGCCCGCTCCAAAGAACTTCAGTGGGGTTTGGATTGGGTTCATCATCGACAGACTCGTATTTGTCCACCAGAGTTGAGGCAAGTTGCGCGACCGTTGCTCCAAAATCACCATCACTCAGCCATTGGAACAGCTCTCGTAGAAACTGTTGAAAAAGTACCCTATTATTGGTGGCCCGACCTGCTTCAGGTTGTTCGCTATACATGTTTAGTAGCTCTTGTATGCCGACGACTTCTCTGCTGAGTAGACTGCCGAGAAGTTGTGCGCAGGACTTTGCCTTTTGAGATTCTCCATGTGTTGTGAGGCCGCTCAGAAGTGGTCTTAGGATGGCCTGCTTGCGAATGTCGAGCTTGTCACCCCGAGACTTCCGTAAAGCATTGGTCAAGGTCGTGAGAAGCTGCTTCATAGATTTTGGCCTGGCACTTGGCGCTCGGTTGAGATATATTACAGTAGCACGATCCCAGGCATCATCCCATATGATTTCTTGAACGATTACTGGAGCGTGAGCCTCTAGGGACTGATCGATCACGCAACATAATGTATTCCATGCTGCGACTCGATGCGAAGGGCTAAGCCCAGCAGAGTCGCTGGTAAGGAGAACAGAATCAAGGAGAATTTTGAATGCTCTACCTACCTATCAGTGACGGTGTTGTGTTGGCCGGCCGGCGGCCTGCTCAATTGAATCTCTTACATGATTTCTTCATTATCGAGGGCCTGATTTTCCTGTGAGCAAGGAATGTATTGACGAATAGACCGGGATATCCGCCGGAGCTGATCCTCTTCTAGCAATGCACCTGCGCTGCTTCGGTCCATGACTTCAATTCCGAACTACTCAAAGTTCTCGTGACTATGAATTGTCAAGTCCTTGTATCAAGGATCGCTGAAGCCTGAGCGAGATGTGCAGAGTGCGTCCTCAACCAGGGCAAAATTAGTGTTCCCGTGGGCCATGCAATTCATTAGGGTTGTGAGGATGCGAGTTCACGCTGTGATATAGTCATCCGGAGTTGCTCCGACTAAGCCGGATGAACAACTCCTGGTTTCCGTTTCAGATTCCAAAAAAGTTCAGTATTCACTACATCAGCGTCATCAACATTCGAACTTCCATCAACTCCTCTCCACCGCGATTCACCATGGGCATTTGGGACGTCGTTACCGGTCGAAAGGCTTCTCAGAGCACTTCGGCATCATCAGAACTTGTGCAAGATGATGCGCCAACCACTACATTCGCGCCATCAACGATCCAGGCCGAGGACGTCTCATCATTCATCAGCTCGCCCGGCGCTTTCGATATCGCATCACTCCATCCGCTTGCAGGTCTCAATCAGGAAACGCTTGACTACATCACATTAGACGATTCCGCCCTCTCAGAAATTCCCGGCAGCCGATCACTATTGCCTTCGCGAGGATGGTCGGATGATTTGTGTTACGGTACAGGTGCGACATATCTCACCGCACTCACCATCGGAGGTGCTTGGGGTCTTGCTGAAGGTCTAAATCGGTTACCATCGACTGCGCCGCCAAAGCTACGCTTGAACTCCGCCCTGAACGCCATCACGCGAAGAGGACCTTTCCTGGGCAACTCTGCTGGTGTTGTTGCGATGTTGTACAACGGAATCAACAGCACGATCGGCTACGCTAGGGGGAAGCACGACTCCATCAACAGCATTGCAGCGGGAACAATTAGCGGCATGATCTTCAAGAGCACACGAGGTCTACGACCAATGATGATATCGGGCGGCATTGTTGGATCGGTAGCAGCAGCATGGGCAGTGAGTATATCTAAGTTGATACACGATAGGCAGTATGGGAGGCTCATTGATAAAATAGATGACAAAAAAGATCTTGGTTGAAGGTTGATCTGAACAACCTTGCCTTCTCGAACAAATCAGGCGCAAATCGGCACAACCATCTTGCCTGCACGCAGCGGAACGACAGAATCCTGTCCACTCATATATACTGTTCCGCATTGTACCAACGGCGTTGCATACTTTCAACATCGAACTCATTTCCTTGTGCACCAACGCGCAACAAGGGACTCCGAAGTTTTGTCGAAAGCGGCCCACAATTCTCCTCTTCTTATTGTATTATTCCGACAATTTACGAGCGTTCCTCGAACCCAACTAGAATCTTTCGGCATTCTAATCGCATTCTGTATTCTGATTAAAAGCCGTTCGAAGATTTTGATTCTCTGAAAATAGATAAATGGGAGGCGACGCCGGCATGTAGTGGATATCCAGGGCTCTGAGGAGAGAATCAAGCATACTGGTATTCCATGTTCCAAAATTTTGACAAACTTCTCACAACGGATCTTAAGGTGCAATTGCCCTGCCCGTAGGTGCAAGATATTCCTCAGGACTGTTCGGCGAAGCAGAGGTAGCCTTGGCGAAGGACGTGGCTCCACTTCACTCTCTCCTTTGTTACGGCGTGTCCACCAAAGATATGGGGCTTTTCATGATAAATTTCCTGACCTCGGGGGCCACAAAGGGTTGACTAAGGAAGCTTTGAGCATATCCGACAACAATGCGCGACGTCGCTGCTGTAGTGAGAGACAACATCGGTGTTGGGAAGAGCTGACGGTTCCCTCGAGCATCCGAGACTTTTCTCCTGTACTGAAGTTCGATCTTTGTGAATAGACACAGATATCGAACATGTTGGCCCAAAAGCAGAATGGAGCAAGCTGAGGTCGGCCGCTCGCATGCGCGATGTTTGACTTCGACGAGTGTTCGGGAACGTGCAAAGTACTAGCCAGCTGCTTCTGTGAGCTCAATATCCGTCCTAGGTCGTGCCTTATTGAGACCTTCAAGCAGGACACATGCTTTGCAAATGGCTTGCGAAGACAAGTAGCCGCAGCGCTCACATTGACCGAGCTTTTGTCTCATGGGAAGGCTTTGTCGACCTGTCCCTCTTCCTGAGTCTTTTACTTGGTCCGACTGCAATGGATTAGATGCCATCTTTTTACTCGGGTTCTGAATGGGCGCATCGTCTTTTCGTGCAACTACGCCAGACCCAGTGATCTCAGTCTCAGTTCCCTGTTCTTCGGCAAATTCATCTCGACGTAGCTTTTGCTCCATCGCGGCCATTTCGCCGCCGCTAGATTTGCCGTTCGCAGTACCACATCCACCGGCCACTTCGTCTTCAGCTCCCTTCGCTGCGAGATCCTGGTCGGCGCCACATACTTTACCATTGCTGTTATTTGCGTTTGGGACCAATTTGGCCATATCCTTGCCAGAGCGAACGACATCCAGAATGCTTTCTGGCCGAATGCGCTCAAGGCTTTTGATGAGTGTTCTGGCTGAACCCCGGAACGCCTCTGGACTGTATATGCACTCGGTACTAAAGTAATCCAGTTTCTTATGGTGCGCATAGAGGACAATCTCCTTTTCATATGCGAACATCAAGGGTTTAGAGCGCTTGATGTTGGTGAATGTAACGGCCTTGTTCTCTTCGTCTCGTTTGCCATGACTCTGATCACTCATGGTCGCGGACGGAGTGCTAGTCACAATGCTTGTTGCACGACTCAGTCGTGGTAGATCGCCTCGAAGCAAGTTCATTAAAACAGTTTCAGCAACATCATCTGCATTATGACCGGTCACGACGTGGCCGACTCCAAGCATAGCGGCACCGCGATCCAGAGCTTGCCGTCTGAAGACTCCGCAGTATGTGCAATTGCCCTTCTTTCCCACTTGTGCAACGACTTGATCCATCGACCAGCCGTACAATTCCTGATAGCTGACAATTTTCAGTGGAAGCCCGAGCTCAGCACTATTCCTCTTGACAGCTTCCAGACTATGATCTCGGTAGCCCTGGATGCCTTCATCTATAGACAGCAAGACCAGGTCGAGATTCCACGCGTGCCGTTCATTCAATGTCTTCAGGACTGAAGCTAGGACAGTGCTGTCCTTGCCGCCAGAGGCGCCGATCGCCACTCTCTCTCCGGGCTGGAAAAGTTCGGATGCCTCCACTGTCTCGGCAACCTCATCTTCAAATAGCTTGATGAAACAAGGCGCACATATTTTAGCGTGATTCTTGGGACGAAGGATCTGAGCGCGAGCTACTGAGCATATCTGGCATGTAGAGGGCGGCATTTTGTGTGTATGTGCAGCTGGGGCCAGATTTTTTTGCTGACCAGAAGAACCAGCGCCAGGATGGCGTTCTTGTATGAATCTACGCCTCGTCGAAGGCAATTGACCGCATGCACTGCAGCAACGGGCGCGGTCTGATATGGACTCTACCTAGATATGCAAACCGGGGCAGATAATGCAGTCGCTGGCCACTGATCGAGAGAGAGATTATTGTTGAATCGTGAAATGTCTGTGGATCAACGATTACAGATTTCGAACCCTAAGCAATATGACGCAAGTCTGTTTTCGTGTAAATAAACACTGGAATATTTACAAAATGCAGAAATACGGAGGATTACCTTGCCAGTTGGTACGTTCTATTGGTGAGTCATGAGTAGACGATACCAATGCCTTACCTAGGCACTCGCAATATACCTAGGTGTGTGAGAATAGTTCAGGCCTTCGAAAATCGCAGCTGTCGCAATGCTCTCTTCATGTATCGAGTGAAGGCTAAATGGAACCAGCATCGTCAAATAAAAATACTCGAAGCGCAGTACACTCACGTGCAGATCAATGGATCGTTGTAGAGAGGTCAGATGCCCGGCGGGAGCAAGATGACACCCGTGACCCCGCTATTGCTGTGTATCCAGGTCGTAGTCTGGACGCTTAGGCAGCCCCGGAGATCCTCGTCATGTTTACACCCGCCCGTGGGCATTTCTCAACGACGACAGCGACTTGCGTCTGCACAATCAATTGCACCGGTTCCGGAACGCTTTGAACGAGAAGCACAAGATTTCACCAGTCACGTCGAACCTTGCAACCTCCGGTAACACTCGGCAGCCATGAACAGATTATTCGGCGCAAAGAACACGGCTCCTAAGCCAACTCTGAACGGCGCGATATCTAATGTGAGTTGCGAGAAGACAATGAGCGGAAGAAGTGCGATCCCTGACAGTAAGATAGGTCGAAACTCGTATGGAGACGATCGATGTCAAGATCTTCAAACTCACCTCCGAGCTGCAAACTTATCAGCAACGGTTGAGCAATATGCGCGATGGACCGGGGAAGAATGCGATCAAACAAAAGGCCATCAAAGTGCTGCAACAACGCAAGATGTATGAGTCTCAAAAGGATCAGCTCCAACAGCAAAGCTGGAATATGGAGCAAGCTGGAATGATGCAGGACAACCTGAAGAACACAATGGCCACGGTGGATGCAATGAAGACGACACAAAAGGAGCTACGGAAGCAATACGGCAAAATCAACATCGATAAAATAGAGCGTTTGCAGGACGAGATGGCGGAGCTTATGGACATGGGAAACGACATCCAGGAGAGCATCAGCAGGAGCTATGACGTCCCGGAAGACGTCGACGAGGCAGAACTCGATGCCGAGCTTGAGGCGCTGGGAGAGGAGGTTGGCGCGGATATGAGTTACGAGGGTAGCATGCCAAGTTACCTGTCAGAGACTGCAGCACCTCCGACCTTTGTGGATGAAGCGCCCGAGCCTAGCAAGCAAAAGCAAGCAGCACAGTGAACATCACTCGGACCTCTCAGCCACCATGACCATCACTGAACGATGAGCCCCTCAGCCAATGACTGGGTTACGCTTGGTTCACTGTTCGCACACGATTTGCGAATATGTCTTATGCCTAACGCACTTGGTGTCGACTTGAGCCACCGACCTGTGGAGCATTTGGCTGGACCTCGTATGTCTGTTGGAATTCCTGCTCCTCTGCCACAACGAAGATCTCTATTTGAGCGATGGGAATTTCGACAACGCTCCAGCTTGACTCATAGGTCACGCAATGCGGCCAGGTCAACTGAGCGCAGATGGAATTGGTACTTGGTAGAACAAACCAGGAAGCTGAGGATCAGATTCGGCCAGCGATGTCATTCATCAGAAACCAGACATTCGAGCGCTGATCGGTCTCTGCTTCAGCCAAGGGCTAATTCGCCGCAGAACAGGCGACGCGGGTCTTAAGCACTGTTCGTCAGTCTACGATGTCATGCAAGTATGTCTTCGATGCAATTGTCTTCGATCATGAAGATCGGGCTCATTCGTTCACGGAAGCAGGTACTGCAATATATCTCACAGTCATGCACGATCAAAGGCAGCAGACGTCATATCGGTAATACTATACCAAGCTCATCGCCGCGGGTCTGCTCACGCTCCTGCGAAATGCTCCATGCATTGACGAGGCCTATCGAGGTACAATTCTAGACCGCATATGCTTGCACTGGCGTCTGGATCGTCCAGCATTGGCTTGTTTCACGTGGGGAATGATTCCTGGACTTGCTGAGTGGGTGAAACATCGTGGGTGGGAGATCTGCGAGAAGCGGGATTTGTTTTCCTCCGAGCACGCGTTCAGGTCTTCGCGATGTGGATCAAATATAGACGTCGGGTCTTGAGAATTTTCTAGAGCATGCCACTCTCAGTCAGTGGCAATGAATCTGTGCCATGAGTGAACTTCTCGTTGCGGTTGCCCACAGTTGTCTGGATTGTGTGTTTCAAGCCGTGTTAGCAGAGATCTGCGTACGAGCTTCGGGCGCCTCGTAAGATTGAAGTGTCTCATAAATAGACATCGCTGGTGCCCGGTTAAACCTCCACATCGAGTCTTTACATGTCGAACAAAGAACCTGGATTACATGTACGACCGTTGAAGCGTCAACACTTCACAACAGATGTAAATAGAAACAGCGCTTAGAGGCGGGCCGAACGGGCCAGCGCCGAGAAGAACGAAGGGTCAGCGCGCGGTTAGGCATTGGCCGTTGAGGGCCGGGCGGCTCGCTGAGGCCCGCCCGGAGCGTTCCCTTCACTACTGAGGATCACCTGGGCAATTATCTGTGGATGCCCAGGTGAACAGTATTGCGCGGAAAGAAGTGCCTGTTCATCATCAAGCATATTCTGGAGCGTAAAACTGTCTCCCATATTAGACGATTCTTGCCTGTAGACTTTGAGCATATGCAGACAGATGATCATGGATGAGGATTATTCGAATGTCTAGGCGCTTCTTCATAGCCCCCAAGGTGACCGGAAAGCACGTCACACCCAACCTGCGTGACCAACGCACCTCGGGGCCAGAATCTTGGGCGAACTCCGACAGGCGAAATTTGTGGCACGACAAGTCCTCGCTCTCTGACAACCAATCGATTCCGAGCTATGACCCATTGACCTGGGATGCAACAAAGCATGGACGGAGTGTCATCGTCGCACTGTAATTGTCTTGTCAGGGAAACGCCTGAATGTGCCGAACGACTTAAGTGGGGCTTGTGGCAGTAGTGTTCGACTGTGATACTGCTCGGTATGAGTGGAACCATCATATGCTTGCGTTACCGCGCGGATCACAAAGATACAAGTCAGGAGCAAAGCGGACCAAATGTTTGTCCAGCAGTGAGTCTCCTTTCTACGGGTAGTGCAAAGCAAATAGTCATGTTGCATTGTGGACTGTTTTGCGTCACATTAACAAATAAATCTCGAGGGCCAAATAGGCTCTACTTGTACCGGGGTCGACTGCGTGCAATCTTCAGGAGTCGGCGATGTCCTAGTCGCCCGTTGTTTGGCCTGCAGGGCGACGCCGATTGGGCATGGCAGGGAGATTTCAGCAGCTTGGCTGTGGCGGTGCGCCACTGCTGTCGTAAGTAAGTGTGGCAGTCGATCTTTTGTCTCACGGCTCGATGCTTCGTCGTGAGTGCTGAAGATCGGCATCTATTCCCACCACCATTCGAGCGTAGAACGCTAGTCGACTGGATTTTGTAGCAGATACATTAAGAAAATGCATTCTGACCCTTGCACGTGCACCGTCGCTCATATTGTGGAGCACGACATCCTTGAGTGTGCACTATGTACACCAACAGCTTGCCGCCATGATAGCAACCATAGTGGAAAGGGTATCCACAAGGTAAGCATTTTGCTAACCGGCGAAAGCGGCGCATAGGCTTAATGGTGGGAATGCACTGGTGCGTAGAACGTGCACAGTGAACAGTGCGGGAAGAATACGCACATGCTGCGCACGCGCTTCGGAGGTGCCCGTAGTACATCGCGTATGTAGTACTGTAGTATTGTGGATACTGCGATCGTGACTACTAGGCATTCAGCATGACGAACAAAGCGCCTGGCCCCAACGGCCGGCTGCCGTCTTGTGTCAGCATCTAGGCATCATGAGGGCGCCTCTAATGCAAAGCGCGCCCGATAGGTCCCTGAACAGAATGAGATGGCGTCGCAGATGGGAGAATTGTGTTGGTCCGAGTAGTCCAACATGAGATGTCCCGTCATGGCGTGTTCCATGTGGAGCAGGAAAGGAACGTAGATACGCGTACGGGGGAGGGATGCACTGTAAGTATGTCGGGATGGACATACTGTATCTACCACAGGGCTCACGAGTGGATGTGAAATGTCCATGATCATCCATCGTTCATACAAACAAGGGGGCAAGCAAAAGTATGAAACGCATGTAGATGAGCGTGGCTGCCCAGACGCCGGACAGGATTGGTGGAGCAGACGAGTTGGTATGATGAGTGGTGATAGCAGGAGGAATGCATGAGGACCAGTAGATGAAACACCACCACAGCACTCACGTTCGCCTGCAACCTTGGAACCTTGGAAACCCTGGAGTGACGGGATCAGAGCTGGGAGAGCGCCCTGCTAACGCTGCCGGATCCTCACGCGGGGTCCTAGCGCCGAGATGCTCGAGACCAATCACAAAGCCTGCAGGCGACCGCCCCGGCGCAAAAGCAGACAGTCGGACAGTCAGACGCAAAGACCCCCCGAAAGCTTCCCTGCAAGACAAGAGCGTAACGACCACACCGCAGGCATCGTGAGTCCACACACGCGCCAGTGCAGTTTCACCTCACCTGCCTGGCGGTGCCACCGTGATGCACAGGGCGGGTGCAGAAATGATAAAACTCACCCACCCTCCTGCGCCAGGACAGATTCACGACGGTTTTACGACACGCACGCCTCTCTCTTCCCTCTCTCGTTTCATTGTGTTTGTTCGCACGACAACGACCTGATCTGCTGGACTGATCAGACCTCCTTCTCACCACCTGCCTCACCACGAAACCACTCTGAATTGGAACATATTACCAGCCTCTTCAACCTTCGCCATAATCTTCCCCGTCCCTTGGTTCTTTTTTTTCGGACCATCAGGAAATCATCATCACCAAACCGATCGTTTTCGTGCATCCACGGTCCATCATCCCCCGCAGCCACCTATCGTACGCGGACTTCCTGCAACGTCACGACTTCGCCTCGAATCCAGATCGCCTCCCTTGTACCATTGTTTGTGGTGCGACCTGCGTTTCTAGCCTGCACGCATCCGACCTCGTCGTCTCCGGTACCTTTTACTTGTACTCTTCCGCTGGCCGGAAAGTGACCGAATTAATTCAAGCCCCGTGTGCTGTCAACCACCGGCCGGAAACATCAGTTGCTTCCGCACAACCCACGCCGTTTCGTTTGGACCACACAATCGATCTTGTCCCTGGACATCATTTTCTTTGCCTATTACCACATTCAGCCTCTCTAATAATCCCCTGATCTCTCAAGACTTGCCTGGTTGCAGCTTGATTGTCAACTTAATCCTTGCCTAATTGTCCCGCTGCTATTGTCCTATTGTCCAAGACCAGCTTCACAATTACCACGCTACCAACAATCGACCTTTTAGTTACGACTACAATAGGCTCCGATCTTCTGTGAAGAACATAAACCAACCTGATCATCCAACTTACAACAACTCTTGGATAACTCAATCACTTACTTCGCCATGGCTGCTTCTATTCCCACCGCTGCTCAGAATGCGGCCGCTCTCGACCACTTCATCTACCTGCCCGTCTCACAGGACATGATTGCATACCTTGCCCACAAGGCATCTCAAGTCATCCGCTGCGAGGGTCAATCAGCTGCCAGCAAGCGACTTCCTCCTACGCCCCCGACAACACCGCCACAGCACTCATCCGAAGCGCAGATCCCCACACTGGAACAATTCATCACCAACCTGGTCGATCGTTCTCACGTGCAGGTCCCGACGCTGATGACTTCGCTGGTATTCCTTGGCCGACTTCAACAGCGACTGCCTCCAGTTGCCAAGGGTATGAAGTGCACTGGTCACCGCATCTTCCTGGCTTCCCTGATCCTGGCTGCCAAGAACTTGAACGACTCTTCACCCAAGAACAAGCACTGGGCTCGTTACACGACCGTCGCCGGCTTCGACAACTTCGGCTTCAGCTTGACTGAGGTGAACCTCATGGAAAAGCAACTTCTCGGCCTGCTTGAATGGGACCTAAGGGTAACTGAGGAGGATCTCTACCACCACTTCGAGCCTTTCCTTGCCCCCATCCGCAGCTGGCAAGCGCACCAGGCAGAGAAGCAGCGACTTCGCGAGGAGATGGCTGCTCTCGAGCAGCAAAAGCTGGCACTGGCCGCTGAGCAGCAGCGACGTGCTGCCGCTGAAGCAGCCAAATACCACGAGTCACCTCGTTCCTACGCGGGCTCATACAGCTCTCACCACGCTGCCTACTATGCCTCATCATCGCGTGGTTCGTCGCGCGCACCCTCGCGCACTCCATCACTATCGCCTCCCACTCGCAGCATCTCATCTGCCTCTGACGCATCTGCCACCTCGTACGACTCACCTCGTTCGCCAGCCAGCTTCACGTCTGTCGCAGGTGGACCCATGTACGAGGAGCCAGCGGTATACATCCAACGGTCAGACACTCAAAGCTCGGCTGCACTATCACAGATCCACAAGCCGCTACCGGCGCTGCACTATGCGCACGACCTCTCACTCGAGCAGCCAGCCAAGAAGCAGAAGTCGAATAACATCTTCAGCCGCTTCCTTCCCACCATGAGCCGGCCTCAACATCCCGCCGGTTCTATCCACGGCTACTAGAGGGTGGTGTCGATCCATGTTTCTGTTTCATCTCGGTCTGGGTCCGGAGTTTATTATTGTGGTGGCAATTGCATTGGTCCACGTACGCGTGGCATTTGAGTCTTACGATCTGAAACGAGTCTCATTCCTCTCATTATTGTGCGCAGACGAATACTTTGATGCGTTACGAGGTGGCGCTGGCACGTCCTTCATCGACATCGCCGGGGTGGCAGGAACCCCCCCGGCCGATGCACACGAGGCTACTCGACGTGGAATGTTCGTCATATACATGGTCTGCATTTCTCTGGGCTGTCACGATGGAAGCATTAGGGACGCGAGGGCGTCCTGATTGGGTTTCGGGCAGATGTCGAATCATTCAATAATACTTGGAATGGTTGTGCTTCGGTTGCTTGCTAGTGTTAATTGGGTGGGATTGTTCATAGACAAACAAAAGCAAAGGCGATAAACCCGCCATGTTGTCCTGCCACTTCTGTCACTTTTCGTGTGCTGAATGGTCCCTGTCTGCCTCATGTGTTCGTTGCGCTTTGCTGTAAAAGACAATCTCTGTATACGATGGTCACCTGCGCCGGCACGTTGCTGCGTTGTTGCGTGTCGCGCGCGTAGGGCGAAAATCCCCCAACGGCTGTTCCCGGCCTGCAGGTCTGGCGAGGCTGGCATATACTTCGACCGTGGTACTGTCCACGCTGTCCCACTGCCCTCTCGCCGACAGACTTTTGACAGTCTCATCAAGCACCCAAGAAGTTCCGTCCTTCCGCATGGATTCATGCATGCATACACTGCCTGTCCCATGCATAGGCGTCTCGCCCGTCAATCTGGATGGGTTGGTCCGACGCATCCGTGAAGAGAGCTAGACCGACTATACCTTTTTTTTTTGGAGCGTTGGAATCATGACTCGTCTCGAAACTGAACTCGCACACCCCTTGCAGGAATTACATATCATATCGCACTTGATCATAGACTTCACGCCAGCGCCGCCTCATGACCTCTTGCCTCGCGCGGAGGATCCGTAGCCAATATTCCGTGCGGCCGAGTGTGGTGGACCTGCACCATCTCGCGCCGCCAAGGTTGCTTCTTGACACGAGAGCCACAGCAACTGTCCAACGACCATACCAAGACTGAATGTCAAAAGATCGATTATGATCGGTATCCAGGTCACATTGCCCTTCGTTTAGATTGCTCAAATGATCTCCAGCCATGGTAAGGGGACCCATCAATCAATTTGTATTTCCGTGGTCGGTCGTGCAGCATGACAGCTGCAGCAAATTTCATCGAACCAAACTCGTCGCTCCACCACTCACGAGGCTCCAGGGCTGTTTGGATCGTGGCGGGTGCCAATTGCATGACTTGATGTAATTGTCACAGCCATACCCAGATTACAAATTTCGCTCATCACAACTTCGGCTTCACAGAACCGTGCCGCCGGTAGATGGCACATGTCACAGACATGATGACAGATTCCCGACTTGTGGGGCTTCCAGCTTCCACTCACGCCCCGACCGAGTGAGGTTTGTGTTGGATACAATTTTGCACCCCTATTGTGTTTGTAATTCGAATTGCAATTACGTGTGATATAGTCTATATTGGGGATGTGGAAGGACTTTGCTCGGGGCCATAGCAGCTTGTGCGGAGACAATCACCAACTGACAATCCCCTTCTGTCTATCAAATCCGCCTCGGAGTTGCCGCTCCGGCTTGACGACCTTGCCTTGCAGAACAGTATACCTGATGATGTTCTCACAATCCTCCGGCCGCACGCGTGCCAACCATATGCACTGTGCCGCTTCGGCAGTAGGCGCCGTCGATGACTTCGTGGAGCCAACAGGCGTAGCATCAGTCGACGCCACAGGACTCTTGTCTGCCCGCCGGTATACCATCATGTTGGCACTGTATTTGTGACCGCCGACATGTGAGATGAAATATATTCCCACTCCGCCAGGCCGTTCATCGTGGAGGTCGCGGTAGAGTCCTAGCGGTCGCAGGTGACGCTCAAATTCACGTCGTAGCAGTGGCGCGGATTGCCCACACCGAGCATCACGGGTTGCTTGTGAGCACAACAAGATGAGGTATTTGTGTGGGCAATTGCGGAACGATAAACCGGCAGGAAGCGTCTCTGGGGTTTCACTGTTGCCGATCGGCGGAACATCCGAAACAGGCGTTGTGTTTGTCGGCGCGTTGTTTAAGATGGATTTCAAAAACTCCGGGACATGTTTCGGAGTGACGTTGTCCACGAAGGTGAGGGATGGGAGAAGGAGGACAGTGGTGGGACGGTCGTGTCCATACGGTCCATCGTGGTTGCCAGGCACATCCTGCACCGGTATGTTGCTTGCACTGAGCATCAACCGTCCGCCGCTCACAGCACCGATGTGTTTGCCCACAGCTTCCATGACACTTCCTCGCTCGTCCTCAACATCCCGCACCCAGTCTGTCTTGCCCGTCGCCACGATCAAATGACGGCTCCAGCCCTTGATTTCGCCATACAAGGCGTCATGTTCCTCGACATCGAATTTGCGCGGGTACTGGATCGTACATGTCTGACAGTCGTGTAAGCAATCTTCCCCGTCGACTTCGGCAGTGGTAGGTGTGAAGAGAGCGTTCAGGCCTTTGGCGGTGACGAAGCCATCACTGCGAGCCTCGACAGCATTGGGCTCGATTGGCTTGGAAAGGCCGAGACTTCGGAATAGAGATCCCATTTTTGCGCGTGCAAGTCCCATGGTGAACGGCGAGCTGGAACAAAGTTCACATGCGTTATCGATAGATCTGATAGCGTGAATCCGAGACCCTGATTTGGCAGCACGCCGGAGGCGTTTTGGCTACAATGGGGAACGACTGTAGTATCTAGGCAGCTGAAGGAACAAATTGTATGGTGAAGGCAACTTGAGACGATGGGAAAAGCTCTAGAGCGCTCCTCTCCCACACCGTGCGGAAATGCAATTGTGATATTAAATAATGTTCATCTCTACGATGCTACGTTAAGGTGACGCGTAAGATGTGTCAGCGTCTGTTTTATCGGCCGAGGATTCCCTGCTGCCTTCGGAGCGGAGTTAGCATTTTCCAGCGGCATCTTGGTGCGCCTTCTCCGATAACGCAGGCCAGGTGCTGTAAAACTCCGCTTGTTTCGTCAGCCCGTGGGCATTCGCCGAGCTGAGAGTTGACATCGGAATACGACCTTCTCTCGCCGCATAGGCATGCTGCAAATTGGCCTGCATGTTCGTGCTTTGCATACAACTACATCGCTCCTATCTAGTGTTTCGCAAGAGTGAATGCCAGATCAAGCTGCCCGAGTGTCAGCGTGAAATGATCTCGAGTCTTCGTCAACAATCTTGTTCCGTCTTCACCAGCTGCGAAGGCAACATCATATTTCATGACTAGCTGGGTTATCAGAGTGCGAAGCTCCATACGAGCAACTGGTACATATTAGCATGTCATCTGATATCAGTCCTACGGCTTCGCACTCACGATTGGCACCAATGCAGTTGTAAGGCCCTTTGGAGAATGGAGCAAAAGCATCAGCATGCTTTATCATGCCAGGCTTCGAGTACCAGCGTTCTGGAACAAAGGAGGATGCTTCAGCGTAAATCGACTCGTCTGGAAGAATGGTTAGAATAGCGCTGCATCCGACTTGTCGACTGCCTCTTACCTCTGCCCATGGGATACTGTGGTATAACGAAGTGCACGTTGCCAGGCACATATACATCGCCAATTTGCAAGCCCTCATTTGCCGTCTTACGGCTCACACCAGAAGGCACTGGTGGGTGAAGGCGTAAAGTCTCGTTAATGACAGCATTGAGATGTTTCGCGTGCTGAATATCCTTGTCGCTCCATCCATCAGTGACCAGCGGCTTCAATTCTGCGCGGAGCTTCTCCGTCTGAGAAGGATCCAATGCGAGGTGGTAGAACAAGTAAGTCAAAGTGGCAGCCGAAGTATCGCTACCGGCCACTATTATCAATCTCGCATCGCCAACAAGGTAGGGATCTTGTCCCGGGTGCTCGTGGCCTTCATATGCCTTCAGAATCCAACCCGTGATGTCCCGGTTCCCGTCTTTGTCTCCGCGAGCAACTCTCCATTCCGTCTGATCTGTACAGAATTGAATGAATTTATGATACCCCGCTGTCAGGAACGGGATGTCTACGGCCACTCTAAATGCCCACATTGGCGGTTGAAGTGCTCCGGTTGCCATGGCGTCTGTCAAAAGCTTCAATGCCCAGTGTCTTTCGCCAGAGTCCAGCATGCTGAAGTCCTTTCCAAAAGCAAGACGACCCATGACATCGAAGCTATACAGATTGAACCATTTCGTGACATTTACTGGACCACCCTGGAACTCGTCTATTCTTTTCAAAAGCTTCGCATTGAAATCCTGCATGATGCCTTCGTAGTCTCGCAGGGCTTTGTCGCTGAAGGCTGGTGCCCAATATCGACGCCGGCGGTCATGGACAGCTTTATCACGCACTGTGTGCATGCTGTGATGCGGCGCGCCTGCGTCGTACCACTCGCTTTTCGTGACTGTGGCATTCGGTCCATAGGCCAATGGTATAGCGTCCGGGTCCACGATGGACAAATCGTTGGGCCCCAAACGTACGTATTGGCCATATTTGGCGTGCAATTCAGTAAGAGTGTAGTAAGCGTCTATGTTACGAAGTAGATACGACATGTAGAATTTGGAGATTCTGGCCATCCATGGACCTGGAAACTTGTTCAACGGATTGAAGAAAGCTCGCCAGATGAAACAGCTTCCGAGCACACCCAGAAGCCAACTTCCGGCCACCATGGCGACATTGAATGAGGCATTGCAGATAGTGGAATTGCCAAAGTAGACGAGCGCAGCCGTAGAGGCGAGGTTCACTACGACAAACGCTTTCAGGTATAGTGGTGCAAGAAGATGATGTTCACCCTTGTGAAAATAGAGGAAGAAGCTGATCAAACCTGCCGTTGTAGCCAACACAATGCTATACGGGAGAGAGTTCCAGTCGCTCATCTTGCAAATATGAATCGAGTATGATGACTGGTGTCTTCACATTGGGTATTTTGCTCCAAGAGCGTCAAGCTTGAACCACGGAGATCTGCTGATCAGCTCCAGAGGCCCTACTTGTACTTCACACCGTGATCAGCACAGCGCTTATGCGCCTCGTGAAGCTCACTCTCAAGAATGACTCGCTGATTTTGACATGCAGGCAGATGTCGTCAGCTTTGGCCAAGATGGAAGTGCGGGCAGGAGTCTGGGAGCGACATGCTCTGCGCACGCGGCACGATAGATCGCCGCATCATGGTTGACTGAGAGGCGCCTTTTACCCGAATCACAGGCCACGCATTTGTCACCGAACACACTACCTCCTGCCATCCATGGATCCTTACTTACCTTGGTAGACGCCTGTGTAGCAATATCATATACGCGACGGGCCGTGTGGAGACTGAACTTCGCGTCACACGCACGCACGTCCGTCGAATTCCAGACGCGAGCAACAGCGGAGACCGCACTCCAAGCATTCTGCCTAAACCTTGATCATTCCAAGGTTAGCAAGCACTTCGTCAGACCTCATAAGCCGCGCAGTGTGCGATGAGAGCGAAGCATTCCATGTTCCAACGTCTGCATGCTTGATGGGGGTCCTTCAGTCATTACTCGTTGCTTCAAAGTACAGGCGTAGCAACCACACCTCAAGCCAGATTTCATCCTGCCTACTCTTGGTGAAAATGCAGAACTATTGCGGCAAGTATATAAATGCGTGAACACTAAGGTGACGGTAGCTTGAGCGACCCCAATCTACACGGATATCACATCACGTGGACTGTGGGCGAGACCTTCGACTGTCTCAAGCGATGACCTGTCCGGACATGCGGCAGTCTCAAATCGTCTTTCTAGCCGGAGCTCCCGATCAACACAGGCTTGACTGGCAGAATCCACGACTGCTTACTGAATTTGGAGGCCGTTCGCGCGAATACTTGAATCTCGACGATCGCAGAGTCAGCGAAGCCGCTTTTCCTGCATCAAACCCAATCCCGAAATGGCGCACGATCACTGTCGGAGGCGGCAACCTGACACTCATCACTGACCGGAGAGAATTATCCAGCAAGGATGCTATCGAGTTTTTGTCCTTTGATGACGATATGGAACGGTCGGACTTTCTCGACCATACTCTGGCTTCTGTCCAGCGTTCGGGCGAAGATGAGGGGGGACGAGACAGGCAGGTCGATGATTATGGACATGACGATCAAATATCCTTCCCGCATGCCAGCTCCACCGACATCTCCTTCGAGACCGCATCAAGCAGCGTGGCTGAATCCGTGAGTGTGCCCGTGATCATATTTCCCGATGTGATTCAGGATCTCCAAAAGATCCCCAGTGCTCGCCATCTACTCGCCATCCAACCTCAAACGGTGACAGCACATCTATTGGTCGGTGTGATAACAGTCGAGATGAGGATCGTCCAGTTGCGGAAACGTCCAGTTCAGATGGAGTTGGTGGAGCTTCTAGTCGGCGACGACACAGCAGCTCCGTTCAAAATCACATTCTGGCTACAGCCGACCAACGACGTTGGTAGCGGTGCAGGACACAAAATAGTTCCCGACGCTCGGAGTGCTCAAAGAGCCATACTGGCTGCCATACGATCAGGCAACATCATACTCATCACTAATGTCGCACTGAGCGTGTTCAAGAACGTAGCCTATGGCCAGAGCTTGACTCGCCGCCCTGTGGGCTGCACCACGGATGTCATGAACATCTCGCGAAGTGGTATGACTTCAGCTTCGGCATCTGTTCAGGCAAAGTTCGAGCGCGTGCGCAGGTGGGTTACACATTTTGTGAATGTTCCAAGTACGATGACAGATCCGGTGGACAAGCGCAACGTGCTACCTGAATGGTCTCCAGTCGAGACCTCCAGAGTAAAGCGAAGGAGAAATGCGTCTGATGACGTTGGAAAAGACGCGTAATTAGGGGTAATGTCAATCGGAATTCGGTCGGTGATGCTCCCACGAGCAGTGAAATCTTCTCACCTTTGGATCTTGAACATAACTTCAACCACGAAAATGAAGATCATACAGCACTAGGGCCCACATAATTTGTCCTGAAAAACTAGCACACCGCTACAAACTTGGATATAAAGCAATCGAGGTACGCAAGACTCTACTCCCTTCCGGAGCATGTGCAGAAAGTGAATTTCCTCGCCGAAGTCAACGAGCAAGCAAGCCAAGGTCTGAATTACTCTCACGCCCGCCCATACTCCATGCAATCAATAGTCTCGAGCAATCTCATGATTTGAATGCTTTTGTGATCCTTCAGCCATTCCAGCTCTTTCTGCAGCGATGTCCGATTGCAGCCCCATTGATATGCCCTCTCGAATTGTCCTGCAGTCAAGGCATCATTCTCACCAAGTGAGAGCACAGATCGTATGAGGTACTTGGTGAGCTCAGGAGGGAAGTGGCTGGCACGGGTTTCGTCTCGATATGGATCAATTGCTGACCCCGCCCGAAGCGCACGGGAACGTTTTTTCTGGTAGGCCAGAAAGAGATTCGAATCTTGTACCTCGAGTTGGTCGATCGCTTCGGTAATTTCCTGAGTACCATGTATCTTCAGCGCACGATCGCGACCATTAGATCTGGGGTTGGGCGCCAACGCAGCGACTGTTGGTGTGATACTTGGAGGAAGATACTCGCCCTCACACGACTGAAAGATTTCTTCTGTTTCACGGAGCGGTAAATATCTTATCTTCTTGGTTCGGAGTGTTGAATGGCTTTCTCTCATGACCGTCTTATTTTCGCTCAAGGCAGATCTCGACATGTAGGTATCTTCACTGTACACCACGTATCTGATTGGCTTCCGGGAATTGTGGACATGCCCTCGAAAACTGGCAGGCACACCGATGCCCATGAAAAACATGCGCGATAATGTCACGACCTGCAATGCTGCACGCCAGAGATCGACGCTGCTTGCGCCGCTATTGACCATGATGCCACGCTGTATCTTACTCCTGGCGCTTCGGAGAAGTCGTGACTCGTGTTCTTCGCTTGCAGGATCCTGGATGTTGGTGCTACGGCCCTGAGAGATTGCTAATTCAGCATCAGGCGCATTTTGATCTTGGGTGTCCGTCGAGATATCGTCATATGCATCTCCATCCTTTAAGAGTTGTTCGCGCAGTACACTTGCTTTCTTGAGGACGAGGATACCATCCTTCCCTAAGCTAGTCTCGTTCGATGACCATTCGATCCCGTCCGTTGGGGTTGCCGGATTTGCAGTGTCGATACGCGTTGATTCGAGATCATCGACCAGCTGGATTGGAAAGAAATGGTCCTCGATGAGGTACGACAGCCAGAGCGCGCCACAATCGTCCAGTCCTGTATCGTTCAGTACGATATAAGCTACAGATCTTAAGCCGGCACGGAGCGTCTGATCACGCAATGGCACCTTCTCAAATGATTGTACCTTGATTGCTGAATCGTGCGAGGTCCGCCTGATCACATCTGTCGTAGCAATTGACGTCTCGCTAGTGTCGATCCTGGTCACTGGTGGGATATGATCGGATGCCACGTGCAGTCTGGCCAGAATCTCCATCGCCTTTGAGCCAAGGCTGACGTTCCCGGAGAGGTCGATCTTGCGTAGTCTGGTACAACCTTCAAGAGATCTGAGGAAGTCGTCCCAATCCTGTGCTTCCTGGGCTGTTCCTACCTTGACGTGATTGCTGGAAAGGTTCAGCGACCGAAGTGTTGGGCCTGCAAGTCTGATTACGCTACCCAAGCGCTTCAGAGCGGCTGTGGTGATGTTGTTGTTTGTGAGATTCAAATCTTCCAAGGCGAGGCCGACTCGAGCTGTGCTATTGCTCAGTGCAGCGCCCAAACCTTCGATCAGCGCGAAGCAGCCTTCATCTCCAAGCTCCTTGCTTGGTGCCCTGATATCTAGGTGACTGATGTGCGTATATGCATCACCTTGTGGGCTTGAGGCCTGCGCATTGCGCTTATCTTTAGTCTGCTGACTGTGCTTTGTAGCGTCCTTGAGTATCTTATCCGCTTCTTTCTCAAGGGCATGGCCGATGATTTGACCTATTTTGACTCCTCGACTTGTGCGATTGGTGAAGTCGAACTTATTGGACTTGATCGGCATGTTGGCAAATGTCGTTGGTAGGATGAATTCATCGAGAGCGAGTTGGTGCTAATGTCGTCAATTGACGGAAAGTTTCTCCAAAGAACGGTGATGGTGAGCTTGGATGCTCGAAGCTGAGTTTCACAAGTGACGGAAGGTGAATGAGTGATAAGCTCATAGACCGGTATGAAACGTGACGGAAGTTGCGACCGTGTTCCAAAATGTCACAAGTGCTTTCATTTCCTGCACAGGTGTATTCATTTCCAAAAGAATGTGCAACGATCAACGCGCTTTTCATTTCAACAAACGCTGTAAGTTTTGTAGCCAATAGCCTATATCGTCTAGAACGAACATGTTACATGTTGTTTTTGACCTTCACACAATGTGCTCGCATTGTTACTCTGAATAAACGGTGATTTGTTCATATACCTTTGCTAGGTTCCTTCACCCTGGAATGCAGTAGCCCAGGCATCATAGAGATATGCCATACATTCCATACTTCACTTGCCGATCTGAAAGATGTTTGAACGCTAGCCAGGTTCTGATACCTGTGCGACGCCGAAGTTTCGTGTGGTATCGCTCTATTAGTGGTCTCGCGTTGGGTAGAGTGTGTGTGCCCGGTTCTTCATGTTGCATATTCCCGTGGCTGTGGTCTTGGTAAAAAGCCAAGCGAAGAGTATGGTGAACCCCTGTCGCTAGCAAAGACATTCGAAGTCACAAGCCGCATGCTTTGTTCTGAGGGGGGATGCTTTGAGGATATTTACAGATATTCTTTATGAAGGTAGGCGTTGATCCCAGCACTCCGGGCGACGTTTTCCCGGGATCTTGGGATCATGACGAGTCTGTCTGCAGTGTTCGACGCTCGACCTATCGTCAAGCGAAGGCGTCTTTCGCACGAATCATGGTCCTCGTGGCTTGCAGTCTGGTGGTCCTGTGAATGCTGATTTTTGAATTTCCAAATACTGTCAGTCTACACAATCCGTTTCAGGTTCTGCTCCAGGTCGGTAGTATCTCAGATGTCATGGAGAGTTGATGTGCACTGCCAGAGTTGACTCGATCTCGATATTCCTGAAACGATCCGTGGATTACACCGTTGGTGCCCACCTGTTCGCATCTGTATTACCTGCCCGATATTCAGGCTGCACAGGTAAGCCGCATCGCACAAAGGTGTCAGTGAAATGACATATCCATGCCCACGGGTCAGGCGTGTAGTGGTTTGTGCTGCACTTGCAAACTCTCACAGCGTTCGTGATCATTGAAATCGAGCATTGTATATGGAGATAAGTGGTCATGCGAGTGGCAGCTTCTGGACTTAAGATGATGGGCCGAAAAGCCCGGAACAGCCATCCACGTGTTGCGGAGGTACTGCTTGAGTCAGCTCAACGACACGCTGACAGCCTTGGAATGCTGACATCATGGTATACCGAGCAAGCTGCGAAGAAAAGACGGTGGAGAGCCAGCGACATCCTTCAGGATTGCCAAGCTTCGCTCTGCGGGCCAAGAACAGAACGAGACACCCCGACGATGGCTCCCCAGGCGTACGACTCTGTGAGAGCTTACACACCACCGTGATCCCGGGCCCCAATTTGTCCGGTCCGATCAATATTGCGGAGGTCGACGTGGTGCAGATTTATTATTGTTGCTCCTCGGTGACATGATTAGACCTGCGACACGTGGGCAGCTGGGTCACACAATGCAAAATGCGGAGCCTCGCTTCAGCTGATGAGGGGCACGACATGATGCCCAGGTGCGAAGCGTTCGGTTAATGTGCTGTGGAACATTGCCTGGCGAGCTGTAGAACACTGTGACTGTCTCGCTACCGCATCCCACGCGATCAATCTTTGTATTCCGGCCATCAGCCAAGTACCGTAGCGCATGTCTGCCGCGTGGATGTTGGCGACCTAAGGCGCAGCTGAAGTGGAAAGCTTGGAGATGATGACGAGCCAGTGGCGAGCCATCCTCCACAATTGCGCCGCCCGTCGATCGCAAGACATAGTTTGGCAATTAAGGCACACATCTTTTTGTGAGATGCAACGTCTGTCGTATGCTGTGGGAATGCATGAGCACGTTCGGACTGAATCACGAGTGACAGATTGCAGATCATACGGATGGCAAGGAGTGGCTGCGGAGTGGGACGCGCGTGGAGCAATGAACGTTCGACGAACAACAATGGAGGACATACCGAAGTCGCAGCGAAATGTGCGCAGCACTCGCTCGCCAATCGTTACCAAATCCGGTGCGCGCTCGGGCAAACGACGAAAGCCTTGTCCTTCCACCACATTGATGACCTTGGCCGCAACCTCCAAGACAACCTTGAACCTCTGAAGATCGCCCTGACCTATTTTGCGAGCTTTGCATCATTCATACGTGCCAATGTTCTGATCGCCGCGTCGCGTACTAGCAAGAAGCAAGAAGGCACAACCCTACCCGCCATGGCAGCGTGGAATCGTAGTCGCATTCGCAGTAGGATGAGTGCTCCGCTGCTACTCGAATCAGGCTCTCAGGAAACCAAATATGTCATCAATCGATGCGCAAATGCACGGCGATAATCTCACATGCTCTAATCAGTCATCCGAGTGTACGGCAATGCACAATAGTTCATTTGTGAACAGCATTCAATAAAGCATTCGCTTTTACGTGTTACATTCGCCAGTCCCTCGCCAATCTGAAGCCCAGAACGATACATCGCAGTGGCTTGACCTACAGCATCTCATGCATGGTGATCGCCAGTCTGCAGGACGCCATCGGTCCCTGTGGCTTGGAGACGTTCGACCAGACGGGATTGCCACTTCCTTGGGTCGCGGCGGGCAATACTGGATGCCCGACGGAAAAGATTGGTGAGACCATACGGCACATGCGAGTATTACCAGGTGTGATGTCCGTGTAAATAATCCAGTCAGATTAGCTGTCGATTTGGCAAGCATCGCTTTCACTCACCAAGCCCGCTTGCCCAGGTGCGCAGGTGTGGTAGAGCGGAGGTTTGTGGCTTCCGGATAGCGTGCGCACACGTGCACGCCGCATACGTACACACGCGTCCATCGGATCATCGTGGTGTGTGCTGCTACGCATGCGCGCCCACACTGCTCGGGGCGACGATGGTCATCCAGTCCTGCCAACACGGCTGATTGGAGCACCGCATGCAGAAGTCCTAAGCTGACAACGTGGGAGGCTCTCAGGAGCGCAAGACGAGGCGGACTGGATCGCAGACCTTTGTCGATCTTGTTGTGCCTTCATCACAGAATCTACAGGTTAGGGCAATACCTGGGCGCTCGGTGAGTCCAGAAAGTGTGTGCGATCGCTATACCGGACCAGCCCGACCGGCAATCCTTCCGTCATCATGATCAGAGACACACCAGCGACATTTGAGGCACTCGGACTCTTTGTGGTGCGGACCCTTGCCAGATTATGAGACCTGCCAACAGTGCTCCATCTCATCTAGATCGCCTGCCTCCGCTTTCAGGTGAGCATCGGGCTGTATAGTAGCCGGGGCTGAGGGCGGCATTTCCTCTTCGTTGCGCACCATGCGCGACTACAGTCATTGTCGGCGAACAATCTTTGGCGGCGTTAGCATAAGGGCAAGCAGGCAGACATAGGTGTGGCCATCACGATGCCTGAAACTGTGAGTTTATGATATGCCGGAGCGTCGGTCTTTTGTGGGAGCGATAGGGCCCGTACATTGTGTCACCGGAGGATGCCGATGTGTAAAAGCATGTGCACCGAACCAAAGAGCGAGAAAGGGAGGGTGTGTGGGTGTTGTGGGTGTGTGTGTGTGCCCAGGTGTGGAAGGAAGAGGAGAGAGTGGGTGCAATGAGGGCCGACGATCCTCCATGGCATGGGTGAGCGACCGTTGGGTCCACTTCTTGTCTTCAGGCAAGCCATAACGCATAACGGCCACCTGAATGCAGTGATGTGCTTCCCAAGTGCGCTCCTCATCTTGATGATTACAGTTACGAACAAGATATCGATCCGCGGCCACGCTAACAGGCATGTTTGTACAGCAAAGGACTGTTTGTGACCGTTCTTTGTAATAACGGTCCGCGACCTCCCTCGGCCGTTTGTCCTGGACTTTCTCTCTCCACACTTGCGCACTTTTGTATCTTCAACACTTTCTTATCAACCAGGGACTCACCCTTCGACCCAGACTTGCCTTCACGTCGTCCGAATAACGCATCAGAGTTGCTGCCGCTGCGGCATCATAGCGATGCTAATTACTCCTGCGATCGCTCCTCTAAAATCTTGATAAAACTACCTGCCCCGTGCGCAGGATTATTGCTTGCTCACCGAGCTAGCGACGTACTTGGAGTCCTTCCTAGGAGAGAAGGCTAGACCAACGCGCGGAAGGGAGAATTGGTTTGCTTGCCAACACATTGCAAATATGAGGTTTGGGGGCAGCATTCGGTCCAAGTCCGAGGATCACTCCGTCAAGGCAGCCGACGTCATCCTTCAGCTGGGGGATTCACGTATTGCGCTGAAAGCGGAAGATGTCGCCGGAGCCAACGTCAGCACAACACGAGGTGACTCCTGCGAAGATCTGGCGCAAAGACAGATTCCACATCAGAACACTACCGACGACGAAGCCAGAGCACATGTTGCTTTGCATCGCATGCAGAAGGAGCTCTCAGGAAACACGACCGCCACATCCGCCGCACAGCATGTGTATTGGTCGCCCGACGACTTTTCCCAGTCATTCCCTCAAAATACGGAGAACTCGGTCCGGAGCACAGATTCGCCAGAATCGGTAGGCCTGCAACATACCACATTTCACCGATCACAAGAATCGCTCTCCATGACACAGCAAGCGCAAATGTCTGCCGCGCGTGACTTTGCGCGCTCTTTCGGCCAGTCAAATACATTCGACCCTGTCAGTGGGGTAGTGCCTGGTCAAGAATATTCACCCGAAGACATGCGACGCGATGAGGAAATCCGCCGTAGCAAGACCGTTGGCGCGTCGGCTACCAAATCGAGGCGGCCTCGCAAACTGGACTTGGCTCAATTTTTCGCTCAGGCCAAACATTCACACAGTGGACCTCCCACGCTTTCGCCATCCAATGCCTCTCCATCAGGTGCAGCCGACAATAACGATCTTCCGACTCTCACCCCCTCTTCTTGTACTTCGTTCTCTGCTGCAGGCAGGCGGGCGAAAGCCGCATCAAACGCTGCCGAGTCAATGGCTTTACGACCACTGACGGCCAAGAAAGAGCTAGAAGGTGATATTTTTGATCCCAAGACAAATGTGCGCCGGCCACCGAAGGGCATTCAGAACTGGTTTGACGCATACCTCTCCGATGACGATGACGAAGAGGATGAAGTGGAAGAGAACAACGGCGAAGGCGTACCTATGTCTTTCGAGCTTCCTGCAGACGAGATACTCCCACCAGCATATGATGGACCCAATCGTATGCATACTAACCGGTATGTTGATGTGATTCGTTTGTTTTTGACCCGATGGTAAACTGACGTTGTTTCCTAGATCCACCGACTCAAATAACACATCATCTAGCGGAATTTCAAGTGATCGAAAACACAGCGATGGTCGCCAGTGGCAGCCATCAAGTAAACAAGACTCCGTGTTGTCCGTCTCGTCGCTCGAGGGCGATCGGGACACGTTCGATGCTCGATGGACTCACAGCGCCTCCCACAGTCACAGTTCTTTGTTGCCTGCCTCGCCGTACAGCGCTACTTACCTTCATTCCTCGTCATCGCGTCCGCACAACCTACGTAGTCTAAGTCACGAAAGCCTGTATACCAGCTCTCGCGACAGCAATCACAGCAGAATACAATCTGGTGGCGGCGTCTCAATTGCCAATTCGACAATGTCGCGCGACAAGCCACTTCCACGACCACCAGGCCAGAACTCCGATGCTGCCATGTCTCCCATTTCGAGCTCCGGATCCTTTGGGCGAGGTTTCCATCGCATGAACAATCCTAGTGTTGGATCAACGATACCAGACTCACCGTACATGGAAAATCAGGGTGATACTTTGGGCGGCGACGCCGCTGTCGTCATGGCGGTCACAGAGGAAGAGCGACAACTTCTGGATTTAATGCGCCGGAAACGGGCTGCTATGGCGCAATTGTCTTTTTCCGAAGGCTACCAGATGGCATTACGTCAGGACGCGCAACATTACCAGGGCCAACCATCCTTGTCTCCAACGACCATGGAACTTCCGCGCGAGTTTCGCGCGAGCGATCGTCGAGCACCAGGTCAAGCAGTACGCAGCTGGACTGTCTCGGTTCCAACGCATGCAGACGACGAGATGATACGGCGGCAGCTTAGCGATATTCGTAAAGAAGATGTCGACAATGCGCTGAAGATGGAACGCTTCCTAAGCATGCAGGCTCCGCCGGTCCTGACATCTATGCACCCTGCCGAGATTCCCCGGGTGCCTGTCGAACTGCCAGCCTCGATGCCGAACGACGAGCCTTCGATGCACAATGGTACTTTGCCACACCAAAGAGTTCCATCACTCATCCACACGGTCATGCCGGAGGACGACGATTCGGCGGTCGACAACCCAGCGAAGGTCAAAAAGTTCCTCGCCAACAGCACCGGACTCTATGCCGCACCACCGTACACAGCCGCCGCCGGTGGGTCCCCCGGGCGAAACAAATCTTCACTTGCGGGAGTCATGCCATCTCCAGTACCAGAAGAGGAACCGATCTCATCGCAAACGACACCGCGAGCAGACACGGATGCCCTGCCGCGTCCTAGCATCGATCATCCAGTAATCACCATGCGCGACGACCCACGACAGCTGCCCATAGAAATTCAGATGGTTGCAGAGATGCTCCGCAGCAGTAGCAGTGACGGGAGTGGTCACGACAGTGTCGGAGCGGACTCCTCGACTCCAGCATCATCAGTTCCCTCATCGATGGCACGAAGCGCCTCGGTATCGTCATTCCTATCACGACAAGATTCGACCAAGCACCTCGCACATCTGCGGCCTATCGGAAACGCCTCGCCACTAGGCTCACTCATTTCCGCTTCGGGTGAGACTGGTAGCAGACGCGACCAAGCCATCCCAGAGTAGCAAGGTTTCGGTTTATCGATGTGGTGCTTCGAGGCGGCACCGCATACCATCCGTTCTTGAATTTCTGCTTCGCAACTTATTACATCCCCGCCGTACTCTACAGCCACATGATCGCAAGCGACTGACACCATTCATGCGATCCTTGCCTTTTTTCCTCCAAGAGGAAGTCTTGATGACAAATATCGACATACGAAGCCGCGCTCCTCAGCCACGAACCACATTTCCTTCTCAACATCATACGATCCGTTCTCACGGCACAGGACATTTTTTTATTCTTATAGATGCGAGGCTTTTTGCATTATTCTTTAGCAACACATGTATTCTGAAGCGTAGGGCAAGCGCATAGGGAGTCTCATCATTCGGAGTTGAGATTCACGCCGCAAGGGCATTCACGATCATCACTTATCTTTCTTCTATAGTCCTTTCGGCGGCCATATATGCATGGACGCAAAATGTAGCAACGACGATACACATCTCTGGTGGCATTCTTCTTTCTTGCATTTCGTTACTCATAAATCTCATAAATCTATCTCAGTTCGTGCCGATCCATACTATGGATTTACCAAAGTCGAGCCGTCTTCGGTATGGGCTGCTCGATGCCATAGAGGATGGAACCAGCGCCTCAAATCGCCGGGCATTCCCACGCATCCCTGCGGACCTTGAGCACATTGGACTGTTTGTGCGGGAAGGAAACCTCGCGCTCCTTGAAGAAACACACTTCCTCGCAGTACTTCTTCAATCTGTACGGTTGAGAAGAAAAACATCAAAGTCAGTAAATGGTGCACGATGGGGAGGGGATGTCCGGTATGGGAACGGGACAGAGCTTGCTGTTGTTGTGACTCACTTGACATTGTCCACTCTCGGCTCCATGAAGACCGCGCTGGTCCGCGCGTCCGCCAACAGGCAGTAATGCACCAACGCGCTCAGCCACACGCGGATCCGATGCGGACCTCGGAACTCCTGCTCGCCGACCAGCACGTGTAGGCCCCGATCCCACTCGCCCACGCCGTCGCCGCCGATGTATCCGCCCAGTCGGTCCTCCTTGACCCAGTAGATTTCGAAGTAGGCGAAAGGCTTTCCGTCGAAGCTGCCGATGACTGGGAAGGAGTGCCGTGTGGTAAGTCCGGTCTTGAGGAAGGCCTCTTGGTGCGAGACGGGTCCCTGTTCGCCCCAGGAGGCGGCGACGCGGGGATCGTTCATCCATTTGTGGAGGAGCTCGACGTCGGTCATGGAGAGGGTGTCGGTGGAGGATGGAGCACCGTTGTTGCCACTGCTACTGGTGGTGCTGGGTGTCGCCGTCGTGCTGACATCGGGGGTCGTGGACGGAGCAGCGCCGGGGGTACCGCTCACGCGCAGTAGGTCGCGACGCGCAGGTGGATTGCCATCGTGGGCCGTGAGAGGCGTCGATTCATGTTGAACGGGGTGTTGAGGTCGCTTGCTCAGGCTCGCCACCCGGAAGCTGAGGGTCTGCTCGAGACTGGGGATGTATCGAGTGTAGAAGACCTCCCCCTGACGTGGCGGCTTCGGACGGGTTGGGTGGCGGATATGATTGGAGAATGTGTACTGCGTGGGTGCCGGAGGATAGAAGGTTGGCAAGTGTGAGCTGGATGCGTATGGGCCGGGAGATGCGCCTGCACGATGAAGCTGACTCTGCGGTCCCTGAGAGCCATCGTCGCGCGCGCTCGGGTTCGGGCTCGTCGGGCGGCTCGTTGTAGGGCTGACGATGGGGAATTGCATTGGGGACAGCGATGGTAATTGATACAGGTAGATCCTCGGGTCCAGCTGCCAGAAACTGCGTCGCGAGACGAACATCTTCGTCCAACCTTCGTAAGTACTAGCAGCGCCATCTTCCAATTCGAGGCCGACCGTGGAATCCTCGGACGCAATAAGTCCCATGCGTTCGAGCTTTGGAAGGAGATGTTTGCCGGCGAAGATGCCCTCGCGGTTGATGTTCACTCGCCAGTCTCCCTTGGGCTTCCCAGCTTCGGCGGTGTTGGCCGATGCCGACGTGGTCAATTGCGGAGCAGGCTCCGCTTGATGGAAGTACCACCACAATGTCGCCCACAACATCATGGCGATCTGTCTAGTTGGACTGTTCGCCGGCCGGAAATTATCCGAGGCAGGGTTGGAAATGGAGGAGATGAAGAGGTGATCATGTCGCAGACTGGGGACCTTGAAACGGTGAGTATGGCTTTTCTTCGCGGCAGGCGCTTCGGCATTTGTCGTTTTATCGGAAGATGTTGCAGGCGTCTCTTGCGCATCATCCTGGTCTTCATGTTCGCTGTTCAGAACGATGGTCCAACCTGGTGGGAATACGTCATGTTGGGAGTCGACATTGTTGGCTTTGAAGTACAATCCTCCGAATACAGGCGTGACTGTGAGTGTCTGCCCGTTAGGAAGACGGACCAGCGAGGGTGACATGTTTGGGTCGTTCCAGATTAGCTTGTTGCCTTCAGCTTCTCCCGGATGTGGGTTCGCGGGGATGATAACAAGGCTCCGCGCGACAACGTAGGATATTGCACCTCCTTGTGTTAGGGATTAAATAATTAGCCAGATACATGTACAACAATCTTGATCGAGAATTGACTTTATTTGAAGTAGTCGGGCCTGTTGTCGGAGTGGACCCGTGGTGTGGCCGAGCTCGGAGTGGACTGGAGAAAAGTGGTGGAGGTGGTGGAAAATAGTGCTGCTGGTGATGATGATGATGATGATGTTGATGACGCTGTGGGTTGTGAGAGAGGCTCTGTTCATAAGAGCTCTCTTTTTCTCTCCCTCTCTCTATCTCTCTCCCCACCGCATCGAGAATTCTGGACAAGCTTCACATGTCAATTTCCCTTCGTTGCGTCTACACCTGTCCAGTGCTCTCAAAAGCCATGTGTATACTGCAGCTGTTTGGCCATACGACTCAGCGTGAATATTCCCGTCAAGCGCATCTTCACAATCGTGAGGTGCATGTACCTAGGTAGTCATGGGTCGCCTCCTTTGCCTGATCCTCGCATACCTATGACTACCTCGCCTGTCCTATACAGCAGCTTATGTAGTTTTCGCAGTTGGTTCACACGTTGCACCATGTCCTGCGGCAGCATATTGCCCGCCTAGGATTATACCAAGCCATGGTCGTCGATGATCTCGGCGCGAGCAAGCCGAACTCCTGATGCGACAAAGGCACTTTATGATCACAGCGTGATTTGATGCAAGGCCTTGCATCTACGCCCGTGAGACACACAGAATCTGGGCGAGGAAGAACAGGAGAAGCCGCGTGATTATACTGGTGGAAATAAAGCATTTGTCGTTCCCGCGAAGCTGCAGAGATGACAACCAATACTGACACTTTACTCAGCTATTTTGCGTTGTATTGCCGAGTACGGCGCAGGGATGGTGAGGGAATGATTGCGCGGCTGGCGAAAGACAAAACGCGGCACAGCACAATGTAGCAAGCATGATACTCGTCGCTTGTTGGTGAAGGTTCGCGGGTGAGGGCGGCGCTGGGTGGTGGGTGGTGGGCGGTGGGGTGCATGGGGTTGGGGGCTGATGCTACTAATGAACTGCTACTGCTGCTGCCAACCGCCCGGCAGTTTTTTGGGGCCGTCCCGTCGTAGTTTTTCGTCGCCTCTGTTCAATGTCCTTCCGATTGCAAAAGCTGACTTTTATTTATTATCACACAGATGGAAGCGACGCTCATGAGCATCGGCTTTGCTGTTGATGAGGGACGATGAGATCCCGTAATCATTCACGATAACATATATATATATATAACACTCCGGCGTTCAAGAATCGAGGAGGAGTCGAGACGGCAAGTGCAGGACAAACGTTGAAACTACTGCAACCACGACGAGGGTCCGGCGGAGCCAATGATCCGTGCCGCCTGGGAAGGTCATCGTGTGTTCACAGCTTTAGATATACTTCAATATATATATTCCAGATAGAAATTATCGTGTGTAATTGGAAATCATAGATGCATCGCAAAGGTCTTCGGCCCCTTGGGTCGTCAGGTGAAGTGTTTTCATGTGCCTTTGTGACCGTACGGTGTATGAACATCTACCACCGAAACTCACAAGCATCGAATTACAGAAGATGAGTGAGGGATTCTAGCATTGTCGGTCCTGGTTGTCCAACATAATTACGACGATGATGAAGATGATGGTGATCGAGGAACAGTATGGTATTGTGGTAGAGCGAAGCGAGCATGAGGAGTGGCCATCGGGTCGAACGGGAATGATTTTGTTCATCATTCCGGAAGCTCGACTGTTTTTGCCTACCTACCTACCTACCTAGGTGTGGATGTATACCTGCGCAGGTGCGTGAACATCACCCAGTATATAATGAAAGTTGTCGTGCAAATGTGGATGGATGGCATGGGATCCATAGGGGGGAATGGGGCTGGCTGGAGTGGCGCATCCAACGAATATAGAAGACTCCCTAGTCCTGTCTACCAGGCTGGGGCTTCCTCTACCCACATCCCACCGCCGCACACGTATAGAACACGCAACCAGATCTTGTCATCCGTCCCGTCCATACATACACACACCTGGGAGCGTCCTCCAGGCAGGTTCCCTGCTGTAACTACCTAGGTACCTAGGTGTGCCTGGTTGTTCCCCTTGACCTCGCCTTGCCTTGTTCTATCCTGCCTCTGCCTTTGTATGTCGGGTCCGGCACTGGGACTGCACTTCCCTTGAACGATCTCCCCTACCTACCTAGGTATAATTCATTGGGGCCTGGCTAGGCATGCAGCAAGCAGAAGGATCGTAATATTAATATATTGATGCAGTAACAATAATAGTAGTACAGTACAGTAGTCTTGCGCCAAAGGTTCATCGGCGGGCGCGGGTGTGTTCGAGCGAGCGGCGATCGCCAATCCGTCACCCTTCTTTCCCGCCATACTGTAGCACCAACCAACCTTGGAAACTCAAGAAACTTTTGGTCTTGCGGCGTGCGGCCTGCTACTACACCACTACCACTCCTCTCCTGCTTTGCTAAACATACTATTCTCCGATTGCATTCACTATCTGGAATCCGCCCAAACCCATCGGAGTTCATTGCTCGTCTGCAATGCTCGCATCGCGACCGCATTCACAACCACCTTTCGCTCATCGCGCTCACCAGTGACCCGATCGCAACGCCGACACTAGCATTACTACCAAGTCCCTTCTCCGACTGGACGGCACTTCGTCTCGATTTATGCGCTGCCGATTCTGAGTAGTATTCTGGTATAATTCTCTGGAAAGCTCTCTGGAAAGCTCTCTGGTACTACTAGAGGGGACTTCAAGGAGGGATCGAAGCAAGAGTGGGAGCAATTTGGGTCATGAGCGCATATACTAGCCGGTCGGTGTTTCGATAGGCTTGGTGGTAACACGCAAGAAGAGCAACTTGCGTGCATGGCGGTTCCAACTCGCGTGAGGACAGCTTAGGACGACTATCGATCGCTTCGGACTCAAACGACATCATGTTCAGGAAACGAAGCCGAACTCAGGTCGCGGCCGATGCGCCTCCAATCATCACCACCTCAGCTCTGACCTCACAGCCTCCTTTGATACCTTCGCCATCCTCGCCATTGGTCAGCCCACTGGGCATGACATTCGACTTTGAACTACCTCCCCCAAATCCTCGCCGTACGCTTGGTGACAACCTCGCTCGACCGAACACCAGTGATGGAGTGCGACGGAGCAGCCGAAATCTACAGCTTCCTGTTGCGCACGGAAATGGTCAAACGTCAGGCCGACCTGAGAGTTTTCGGAGCGCAATCTCTCGACTCTCGAGGGACCCCGATGGATTAATTCAATTGGTGAAAACTGAAGAGGCGGACAATGTTTCGAAAATCAGTAGGGACACTTTTTCAAAGTCGCGCTCGAGCTTCGATCCGCCGGTCGACTCACTCAATTTCTCGCGTCCTTCAACGGCGGGAGCAGTCAGCACTACTAGCAGTGCACCGCGAATGGAGCCTTCATTGTTTCCTAAGGTCGAGCCGATCGCGGCACCCATCGTAGACACCATAGCACCTTCTCGGTCGTTCGTGGACAGCCGGGACAAACCATACAGTCTGCCGCCCCCTCAGAAACCGTCCACAATCCGAAACAACAAGAGTGTACCCAATTTGAATGCGCAGGCTTCCGCTGCATCTAAATCAGAGACAAGGACCAAACCTGTACTTAGCGTTACGACGAAACCCGGCAAATCGGCCAAATTGAAAGCACCAACAGATGCTAAGCCGGTCTCGTCTCTCACCGTTGGCGTACCATACGGAGCCACATCAAGTGCCTTTCCACTCCCACAGCACGTTGCAACTCGTCCCAAAACTGCTAATGGATCCTCCGAAATCGCCGGCGTTCCTGTGCTTACGCACCACACTTCTGCGCCTCGAAACGTCGACCTCCGATCTGAGGAGAAGAAGCAGTCGAGCAGGCAAGCGGAGGTTGTGACTGAAGCTAAGCAGGAAAAGCAGGCGGACGCCAAACCCGCAGAGGGCAAACGGGCTCGCAGGATGACACGCGTCTTCAATCCAATTGCGTTTCTGCAACGGAAAAAGGCAGACGCTGATCATGATTCTGCGAGTGATTCCCATTCAGATCGTGGCACACAGAGCCGTACGAGTTTGAGATCGCGCGAAGTAAACGCCGATCGGGCTCAGCTACCTCCCGAATTGGATCCTCGAATTAAGGGCAAAGGCGTCCATGATTTCAGCGCGCCGAGGAAACAAAGCACTTTCAACGACTACTCTCCAGCGTCGCCGTCATACTTTTTTCCTAGCACACCTCATGATGGATCAAGTCCAAACGATGGTTATGCCTCTGATCTTGCTGGTGCGGAAGGTCACCAAAGGCGAATCAATCATGCGCCAGTATTCACCGAGCATCTCGGGGAGAATCCAGACCTGTCGCGACGTGTCAGTTCTCTCGATGCTGAGAATCTGGAGAACAAAGATTTCGTTGCCCGCGCAGCGAAACGCTCTTCCATGTTGCCATTACCTCAGGCAAGCGCGACTCTTCCCCCATTTGCTCGACGCAGCCAGATCTTAGATCCAATGCAAGCAAGTCTGTATCGGGATACGGATGACAGCGATGCGCAGGATGGCAAGGAGCAAGATTCTGTGACGAGCTCATACAGCGAGGTCAGTCCGATCATTGGAACGCTCGACGGATTGGACGGGAATCCGGCGTTCAGCCCTGTCTCGATGGATGATCGATTCCAACTTATTTCCCCTCCGACAAAGGATCCTTCATCGAATTCGGTCTCCAATGACATACCTCGAGAAAATGGAAACTCAAATTCTGGACTGTCGACAGAGGTCCAATCGAACAGAGGTCCAAGCATTACGCGAGTCTCTGCACCTCCGTCCGCCTTCGATACTCTCCAAGAACCTGCTCCAACGAGATTAGCACCGAGTCCGCATGCTACTGCTGCCAACCAGAGCGCGTTGCCACTTGGGTCCAGCGACGTTTCTGACGAGTCCGACGGAGACAAACGAACCGGGAAAGCCACGGAAGCTGAAGTCGACAAATCGTCGGGTAAGAGCCTACGAAAATCGTTCAAGTTCGTCGATAAGATTGTGTCTGCTGTCAGCAGCTCCAAGAAGGTTGATTCCATGCCCAAATATAGTGCCAGTAATGCATCTCGCTTTTCGTTCCAATTCGGCGATGGCGCTGCAGAAGAGAAGGCACTAGAAGAAAAGCATCGCAAAGTTGCAGCAGACCGCGAAACCCAGCCGGCAGTCGCAAATGATGCCTACGAAGAGGATGAATATGAAGATGATTATTTTGATGAAGACGCGATGAACGACCTGGATGAAATGGAGGTCGCTCAGCAACAAGAGGATCATCCATATGGGTCGCTGCCGCCCATCCCTGCAGCTCAATCCGATCATCTGACTGTAAATTCCAAAGCGGCGCAAGACGATGCCACGGCAGGCGCACTTGGTAAAGCACAAAGTTTACGCTACTTGCAAAAAGCGCGACAAGTACTGAGAGACGATGACTCTCTATACGAAGACGATGATGTACTTGGCGAGGAGCGTGAGGTCACATACGCGGATCATCCTGCGTTCCGGACGCATTCCGCCATGGCCAACAGCGTACGGCGCGGATCCGAGGCTGGGCCTCATTCTCGACAGAGCTCCATTCAGACCTCGGCGGGTGATGCCGGGGATGGCTATTGGCGCGGAGGCACAATCGATGATTACATGCGCGATTATGCTCTCTCAAGCAGCGGATCCGTTCACTCGAATGCGACAAATGGTAAAAATCGAAAGGGATCAGCCTCCTCGCTCGGAGATAGAGCTCCGATGCCCGAGGGTCTCCCCGAAAGCCCCCTGATTCCGATCTCGGAAACTGTGCTGTCGGATCTACTCCCACGGAACGTCAGCGAGTTCCAAGGCCAAGGATCCGAGGATTCCTCAAAGATCGAAGCGACGCCTCGGCCAAATATCATGAAAAGCCGCACCATAAGCGAAATGAGCTTCTCCACAATCAGCGACGGCACGCATCATGAAAGTCCTAACGCACAAGCTCTTGCAAATCTCGCTCAATCACAACAAAACCCTTCAACTCAATCGCCGCAAAGCAACTATGCTGAAAGCGAAGGCTCGTCTCACCCACGAAGTCACGGAGGATCGACTCTGCATAATAGCATGTCCAGCGGTCAGAGTCTCGCGACCTCTGTAGATAGTTCTCCTGCTGAGAACAAGACTCTTCTGAAGTCGCTAGAAGCACGATCTGCATCACCGATGGGAGCGCAAGGGCGGTCTTTGCATGAGAAATTTTCTGCCCGTGAGACTTCGGGCCTTGTGGCTGGTCTGGGTCAGCGCCGTGTTGCCAAGACTGCCAGTCCTGCTGCATTGAAACTCACGGGTGGCTCTCAGGGCCTTTTGAGTGTGCCATCGAGCCCTGCGCCCGCCGGGCGAAAAGGCCTGTTGAGTGACCCTCGGCCTAACAGTGCACAGTCTGCTGTCAGTGGGACGGAGTCACGTGCCCTCAGCATCATCGAAGTGGCTGATGGCGACGAGTCTGACGACGAATTGCTTTCCTCTCACTCGCCACGAGTTGTACCAAACGTGGACATCGTGGGTCAACAACATATATACGCAGCGCCTCCCCCCATCAACGATTTCCTTGGCCCAAGTCCTACCATGCATAGCTTCCCGAATTCGCCGACAGCAGCGTATTCGCAAGAATCGGTCAGATCTGCTAGCGCAACTTCGACATTGATGACTGCGTCAATCTTCGGACGGGACTCCCTTGACGATTCGCGCGATGAAACTCAACATACGCACCAGCATCTTGGAACTCCGACTGTCGAGACAATCTATGAAGTCAACACTCCCGATCTCGCCTCGGCGAATGCTCCTGAGTTTCCTCACACGGAGAAGCCATTGCAGTCTCCGGTATCAGTCAAGGCGGCGTCACTGTCGAGTCGTCGTCTCACAAACGATAGCCAAGTCCTCCCCGACTACGCAAAATGGTTGCAACTTGACGAGACTAAAAGATCGCCCACCACTGCACGTCACATCGGTTCCGGAGCAGGCGCGATCGCCGCGATACGCAATTTTCATCAGTCACAGGACATTGCCGATATGCAAGATGACATGTACTTTGATGATGGGAGATTCGAGCAAGATATGTTGGAGGCTCAAGCGGGTGACATCGTAGATGAGAGCAGATTCGATGACGACAGTTTCCTGAGTCGGCCGAACGCCGCTTACCTGAACACGAGGGAGACCAAAGGTCCTATAGCATCCACAGAGCCCATCAGTGTAGCACCAAAGGAAGCGGGTGCGATTGACAGCGTTGCAAAATCGCCTGTGGCACCAGAGGATCAAATCATTTCGGTACAAAGGCAGGCAAGTCTGCAAAAATACCATGCTGCACTGGCGGACGCTGCCACGCAAGCTGCCGCAGATGGACGGTTCACGCGCGCTGCGAGTGTGACGACGTCAGCCCTTAGCGAGTCCCTTCCGACAAATGGTGGACCGGACGTGTACACTCACAACGAACCTTTCCCTGCCTTGACTCTCTCAACGGATCAACCTCACAACTTCGACAACCCAGCCTTGGCCTTAGGAACCCAACAAATCCAGGCAGTGAATGGGGCTCCTCCGGTCGGCTTTGACTTTGGTTTCGACCAGACTCCATTCGGGACTGATGATGCTACCGATGAGGACGACGATCTTGTCGCGGCTGCCAACGCTGAAGCTCTCGCCAACGACGACGATGGGTTTTACGGACAGGAGTTTCAATTTTACGGACGGCCGAGGTCAAATTCGCAAGAGAATGAGGTCGAATATCTTAACGGTGGGTACTTCGGTGCCGATGGGGATGATGGGCTCGCGCGACAGAAAAGTCTGAAAGAGCCCAACTTGACCCCGATCACGGAACGTTCGGAGTTCAGTACGCGAAACAGCTTCATAAACATGTCGCAGGTCGGCCCTGCCAGTGCCGGTGGCTACGGCTCCTATTCGCCTGCGCTCACACTTTCGCGCATGCCCACTTCCCCTCTTGTCGCCGACGATGTTGCCTCGTTCGAGCAGCTCCGCAAGCTTCGGGCGAATGCATTTGGGAGCGGCGAAGGCGGTAGCCCGATCAGCAACAGGTCGAGCTCGAACTCCATCAACGCTTCTTTCAACCCACCCGTGCCCTCGCGGCCTACTTCAAACCTAGCCAACAGTGTCCCCCTCAACCTCAACACTGATCCAGACCTCGTCCAGCCGGCGGCCCATATGGGTGCACAGAATCTATTCGGCGGCTTCAATTTCCACGACAGCCCAGCTTCGCCAACATCCAACGACGACTACCCATTTGCCGCCGCTCATGTCGACCTCGATGCCACGCCCAAGAAACGCTCTTCCGGCCAAGCTGCCAGCTTGCAGCAATACATCGCCGCCACCCCAAAACCCTACTACGCCATGGCGACTCCAATGGCGCTCGGGGCCGGGCCCGCCGAGATTGCCACGAATAAGACGTCAATCTCGCATTCTCGTAACGGCAGCAGCGCCGACTCGATCACATACACGCGCGGTCCCGACCCCGACGACCATAATCGTTCGCGGTGGTTCGTCGAGCGCCGGCGCACGAGCGAGCAAGGACAGCTCGAGCTCGTGGCCAAAGATCTCGTCCAAGGCGGATGGATCTGATACCTCCTTGTCGCTCCCTTTTTCGCCATGATTTGTCATGGTTTCTCTTGCATGCTATTCCGCGTTCGCTTGTTTCTCTGGCGAAGTTTGTTCTCTCGTTGCATTTTCCTGTCATGCATCATGTCCGTTCCTCGCGAGGGACCTCTTCGGCATGGTTTTTCGGTAGCCCGGCGTTTTTGCTTTGTTGCTTTCGTTTAGTTTTAACTCGGCCTTCGAAGTTGGGATGCGAGATTGTCATTGTCGGTATATAGGCGTTCACTCAAGACCAGGATAGCGGGTCGTGTATATCACGCTGGGTAGAAGAAGAACGATTGCCATGCTTGATGTCCCATGGGACTCAGCATTGAACTTTACACTAGGTCCATTGTCCATCCTCGGAATGTTTCCACTTCAATCTTTGGCAGCGCTATTGGAGACGAAAGTCACCCTTCCGCCGGCTACCTGCACCTGATGAGGCGCTACAACATGAGCACAAACGCGGCTTCGTCACGGATGTAGGCTCTATGCCCTTTGATCGCCATCACCTTTGCAACGTGATACCGCGGCGAAAAGCTTCCCATCGTAGTCGGCTGCAGTGCGTCGAGCTACCGCACTAGTAAGACTGCACCTCGATGTCATGCGCGTTCATGCGTAACATCGGAACTGAATTTCAATTATCGCTGAGGAACTGAAAGTGCCGGGGAAATGCCTTCGAGCCGAACGATGTGTTGCACCACATGCGATGAGGTTTCAATTGAATTGGGTTTCTTTCTGCGACGGTGATGTCGATATTGACTGATCTTTGCGATTTCCCCCATCCTCGTCGAACCGGACGTGGGTCTACACATTTGAGTCTAACGTCTACAAGAACATCATGGTTCATCTCATCCTACTCACTCTTACTGGGTTCCTGAGACTCGCGGTCGGTAAAGCCATCACACAGCACGCGTTGAGCAGTGGACAGACCACGATCACGCACATTCGCTGTAGATCGCTGTGTCCTGAACAACACAGCTCGTAAGTGATCTGCTAATTATGTTCGGGCACGGACACGCCCTAAAGGATGACTGACCATGAGTGCAGGGTCGTCACTGCGACTGTCACGATCTACACAGGCTCCTTATCCAAGAGGACTGCCAGAGACCTTCCTTTCGCCGACAATCATTATCCTGATGGACGATTGATCGATGCCTGGTCGCAACCGAGAGCCAATCCAGCTCCTCCTGACTGGCAGACACCTGTGGAGCACGATGGCTCGTCGACTGAGCAAGACATCGTCAGGCGAGTATTGCCTGCAGCAATGACGACAAGCACTACGCGTTTTGTAACGAAGACCGCCTCTGTGACCACCAATGAGATCCATTTGACGACTCATTCTATAACAGTTTCGTCCAACGCAGACACCTTCAACACGATCACAAAGACAGTCACAGCCGACAAGGCGGTGTGCCCTACCGCTGCAACATCAACAGCAACAGTGACACGGGACATCAAATGTGCTGCCACGAGCCTGATCTCATCTGTCGGTCGTTTTGGCATTGGACAGATCCAGTCGCAAGCCGAAGAAGTCCGTCTAGTCGGCGAGCAGGACCCAAGTACTTGTTGTCAAAGCTGCTTGGACACCGAAGGTTGCGCAGCCATGGCTCATGATAGCGATGCAGCCAATTGCTTTCTGTATTTCACATGGCCGACATGCGGCCTGGCTTTCAGGTATTCGCCGTGGGGAGGGCAGGTTGCGCCTGGAGCGGGCATGGTCGTCCAGGCGGGCTGCGGCGATATTGGGCCTGTATAGCAGACCAACCATTGTTCGATGTGTACAAGATTTCAATGAGCTGGGCGATATTTCAGGTCTCGATGTTTTCGCGGCTCCTTCGTGGGCAATGCACTGTGAACGCTTGGTGTTGTGATGGAGACTTTCGTGAATTTCGACTGTTCCAGTATGTGAAGTCGTGCAGGTGGACCATTGATTGGCTACGCGTCGTGCACAATTCGGCGCGTGCTCCTCCCCAGAATTTGAGACAGCGCGTAGAATGACCAGCACCAGGTGACATCTGACCAGGTACCTCTCTCGGATCGCGGACAGAGTCAGGCAGATCACTGCAGACATAAAGCGAGCGTCCGCAGGTGGTCTTGACGTCGACTCACGCATGTCCGCTCCTGCAGCAAACATGTCAAAACTCACCCTCGCCATCGTCGCTGGCACATCAGCAGTGGTTGGTGCAGCCACGACTGCCGCCATTTTCGGTCTGCAAAAGCCCAAGGAGTCGCCCGTCCAGGTCACGACCACCTCTACGACCGTATCATCGACTCTGCCTGCCACAAGGACTGCGCCTCCACCCCCTGCCCCGATCCCTCGTCCTGATCCGAGGCTCGTTGCCGCAGCACCGGTCGATCCATCGGGAGTATTTCAATATGGCTTCCCGGGCCCTGTCTCAGATGTTCGCAACGCACCCTCTCTCACCTCAGGCTTCAACCGAGCGACGCGCAACCCTCACTGGGTGGCCGAGCACATCACACCTGCGAGTGTAGCACAGAACAACGGTGACCGCCGACACTCCGCATTCGAAGAGGACACCAGCATCCCCGAGAAGTTCCGAGCCAAGCTCAAGGATTACCTGCGATCGGGCTATGACCGTGGCCATCAGGTGCCCGCCGCCGATGCGAAATGGAGTCAAGATGCGATGAATGCGACGTTCGCGCTGTCAAATATGTGTCCACAGGTCGGCGAAGGGTTCAATCGGGACTACTGGGCCCACTTTGAAGACTTCTGCCGACGCCTGACAACTTTCTATCCCTCGGTGCGGATCATCACTGGTCCTCTATACCTGCCCAAACGTGAGGCGGACGGCAAGTGGAGGGTTTCATACGAGGTGGTCGGGCATCCCCCTAACGTGGCGGTGCCGACACATTTCTACAAGATCATCTTCGCGGAGGACGGGAGGACCGGCGGCAATGTCAGCTTGGGAGCATTCGTGCTGCCCAACGATGTCATCAAGAACGACAAGCCTTTGCAAGAGTTCGAGGTGCCGATCGAGGCTGTAGAGCGGGCCTCGGGACTGGAGTTTGCGAGCTTGCTACCGCCTGCGCGGAGAAAGAGACTGTGTGAGGAGGTCAGCTGCAGTATCATTGTGAAGCAGTACGCCGAGCGACAGAAGTCGATCGCTGGTCAACAACCCAAGCGATGAGGTAGTCATGCTCGAAGCCTTTCATATTTGGCACATATAAAAAATGTCCTTCACAGAGAAGTAATATAAAATTGATACATGTTGTACATTTGGCTCGGCGCGTTCGGACGGTGGTAGTGCGTGGGAGTCTTCGATGCTCAGCAGGCACGAGCATGAGACTGTGGCACTCTTTCGAGATCCGTTGTTCCATCGTTTCGCATGCCTACTGTCGACTGCTTCAATCGCACTGCTTTTGCCTCCCTCTCCGATAGTCTTTCGGCGTTTGCACATCACGCTTTCCCGCCGACGGAGTCGTCTCCGGTTCTATTGGACATCATTTCCCCGAACGCCATCAACTCTTTCGTAGCCTGGCTCTGGTATTTTACATCTCGGCTCCTGTTGCGCATTACAACGCATCGTTCCTTCCCTACTCCATTGCAGCTGGAATCATTCCTTTCTGTGCTTGCGCCAGGAACTGCCGCGATACGGTCTGCCACGCAGCCATGTATTTGTCCATGCACTGACTGTAGCATGTTTGCTCACCCGATGATAGTGAGGCGCCGGGTTTAGGAACACATCGCTCGAAGCAGTGTTCGTTCACTTTCTGTAAAGATTGGTGTCATCAGCGGCGTGTGCAGGGTGGAAGATGTGCATCTATTCGTCACGGGCAAAATTCGAGCATACCTCGACGAGAGCGCGGGCATTGGTCTGCGCAGTGGATTGTCGGATCTGGTCCATGATGGCTCTCTTTGGGTCCGACATGTTGGGTGTTGTATCTGATTATTGCCGGGCGGTAGAGAAATGGAAGATGGTTTGAGGATGCCGAAGTAAGTCGCGAGCGAGGATGGTCGATATTGCTTCGCGATTCAATAATGTGGAAAGATAGATGCGATGAGCTTCTTGCGGCTGCCCATCATCAAATGCTGTCATTGGCCTACCGTTCCCAGCCGCTAATGTATTGCCAGAAGAGGCAAGCCCGCGTCCGAACCATTGCGCCTGTGCGGGCGGCATCGTGGTGGACTGGACGGTTCTCATAAATTTAGGTCTATCTCAGTAGTGTACAACGAGGTAATTCATTTCGAAGCTGCAGGTCGCTTCTTTGGTAGGCCGTCCTCATTCGTTTCGAGATCTCGAGATTGACACTTTTTGCTCAAGCGACATGGCTACCCAGCCCGTAGCATTTACATGGAAACTAAAATACATTGTACCCTGGGTGACAACTGCGCTCGGACCAGCGCTTGACCACGCATATCTCAATGCATGGACGTGGGCACTGCACGACCACCGATGTTTCGGGGTTGTGTGATGATGGACCAACTCAAACGATGTAGATAGCATTGCATTACCAGGCCATCAATAAGAACAAAAGTTACCTAGGTCATCAGCATCTGCGATTTCATGGAGGCGACCTCGAATCGCGCGCACACCGGAAGTGACCATGGCTGACGTCATGAATTGTAACTTTGCGGTGGCATGAATAATCACCAACGCAGACGGCCCGGGGTTGTCCCTCAGGTCTCTATGGATTGGTGCAAACGTCAGTTGCTGATATCACTCTTCGGGAGAAGAATTCAATCGCCTGTTCCACAGTGATGCGACGAATCGTCATAGTATCTTTCAATGACAATTCTACCGCCTGAATGGAATGCCATGTAGCTCCATACAATCTAGCAGACAGCGCTAATTGATCCATTCGGATGTCGAATCTGTTCAGATCGTGATGGTCATCGGCCATCGCGTCCGTCTACTGCTTGGGGGGCGATCTTGTGGCGCCTACATAAGTAGGTTGTAATAGACCTTGCTCGCCTTCACACAGTTTCTCCCTCTCTATTCCAACCAATACGATATCCGCTGATACTGTATTTCTTGCACAATGGCTCCTTCTGCAACTCAAAGCGCCCCTGACGCCGGTCAGAACGGCAACATCCACCGCGATTACAATGAGGACCGCAATGCATCTTCCGGCGAGACCCTTTACACAACCTCAGCCGGTGCACCGATCCCGCATCCCTACGAGACGCAGAGAGCTGGCGAGAACGGCCCTCTCCTCTTGCAAGACTTTCACTTGATCGACTTGCTCTCACATTTCGACCGTGAACGCATCCCGGAACGTGTCGTGCACGCCAAGGGTGGAGGTGCCCATGGATACTACCAGACGACCGAAACCCTGGAAGACCTTTGCATGGCCGACCTCTTCCAGCCCGGCAAGAAATGTCCCATCACTGTCCGCTTCTCCACAGTTGGTGGCGAGTCCGGTTCTCACGATTGCGCTCGCGACCCTCGTGGCTTCTCTGTCAAGTTCCGTACCGACGAGGGTAACTGGGACGTGGTCGCCAACAACACGCCAGTGTTTTTCTTGCGAGACCCGGCGAAGGTATCGTCTTGTCCACATCTGCTCCAGAAACGGGGTCTTCGATTTCGTTTTTGTGGCGTGTTATGTCTAGTGCTAATTCGAATCCGATAGTTCCCATACTTCATTCACACACAAAAGCGTGACCCTTCGACTCACCTGACTCACGCGGATGACTCTACCGTCTTCTGGGACTATCTTTCTCAAAACCCTGAATCGGTCCACCAAGTCATGATCCTGATGGGCGACCGAGGTATTCCTGATGGCTGGCGCAAGATGCACGGCTACTACGGCCACACCATCAAGCTCATCAACAAGCAGGGCGAGTGGGTCTACGCTCAGATGCACATGAAGAGCAAGCAGGGTACTGCATTCATTACCCAGGAGGATTCTGCCAACTACTCTCCTGATTACGCTCAGAAGGACCTTTACGACTCCATTGAGAAGGGCGACTACCCTGGCTGGGATGTCATGTTCCAGACCATGACTGCGAAGCAAGCCGAGGATCTTTGGGAAACTCAGAAGATCAACATTTTCGATCTGACCCATGTCTGGCCTCATCAGCAATTCCCTCTTCGCAAAGTCGGAGAGTTCTTCCTCAATGAGAACGTCAAGAATTACTTTTCCGAGATCGAGCAGATTGCCTACAGCCCTTCCCACTTCGTCCCTGGAATTGAGCCATCAGCAGATCCCGTCCTTCAGTCCCGTCTTTTCTCCTACCCCGACACTCACCGCCACCGTATCGGCACCAATTACAACCAACTTCCTATCAACGCACCTCGCACACCTTACCGGGTGGCAAACTTCCAACGCGATGGTGCTATGGCCTTCTACAACCAAGGCTCGCGACCCAACTACCTTAGCTCGATCGACCCCATCGCCTTCCGGGAACGCCATATGGATGTAGACAAGGTCCACGGCCACTTCACCGCCGAGTCCATTTCCTTCCTTTCCGAGGTCCGCGAAGAGGACTTCAGGGCTCCTCGCGCTCTCTGGGAGAAGGTCTTCGACGACGGTGCCAAGGAGCGCTTTGTGAACAACGTATCTGGCCACATGGCCAACTGCCGCAAGGAGGAGATCATCAAGCGCCAGATCGCTATTTTCCGCGAAGTATCAGAGGATCTCGCATCAAGGCTAGAGAAAGCTACCGGCGTCAAGGGCTATGACGGAATCTCCGGCTTGAAGTTCAATGGCACCCACAATGGCTTGGCGAAGGACCGCGAGAGCCGAGGTGCTAACGGACTCTCGACCAAGGTTGCGAGCAGCATCAAGGCGAGCAATGGTGCTCCGATTGCAGGCATGCACCGCACAGTGCAAGCCGCTAACTGATGAGATACATGTTACAGTTTACGTTAACGTTTGCGGGCAAGGTTGGGAGTTACGGCTGTTTGGAGTTTGTTGCAAGGCATTTTTTTAGTATGATTACATGGGCATCTTAGTACACAGCACAATGAATTGTTCAGCTTTTCCGAAGCATTCTGCAAACGTATCTCGACAGATCCCCAGGCTTGCTGCGCGCTTATTGCCTCTTCCATATATGTCCTCGCAAATATCGCTGCGCACCGGTGCAACGTTGAGAAAGGAAGATCATTAACAGCTCCTCAGGTGCATTTAAAAACGACATTTCGCACCCACCCTGCCCGCTCCAATGCGGCCAAATATGATACGATCAGATGAGGTTAGAGTATTTTGCGTGTTTGAAGTGTCACTTTCAAACTGTCGTGTCGAGCAAGCAGAGGCGATCGTCACGACGTTGGTGTGATTGTCACTAGCGTAGACGCTGGTGTGTCCAAGAATAAACTCATTCGATTCATGCCTTGCTAGGCTGTCAGGGGCCAGCACGATGGCTTCGGGAACATGCCTTTCATCCTTGGTCTATACCTGCACCACGAAAACCAATATCCCATTCTCCAAGGCTTAACTAAAATTCTGCTCGGACATCAAGCCTGTTGGCGCCGAATGCTCAACGGCGGCTCGAAGGCGACCTCAAGCTCGCCCGAAGGATGGCTCGACTGCAGGCTCGCGGCACAGTCGCCAGCCCTGGTACATGCGCCAGCGCTTCGAGGAAGTCAAAAATCGACCTCGAAGAAGGACATTCTTGCGATGCAAAGATGTGATATATATATCTTCGAGGAATCGCACTGAGATGGGAATTTTCATCATGTCCACCAGCTCCAAAATTTAATCTATTTATCACCGCAGGATATAAACCAAAAGCTTCTCTTGATTTAGAGCTTTTCCATATCGAACGCACCTTGACACAATCATACTTCGTGAGCAAGTTCAGAAAATTTATTTTATCGATCGCAGTAATCAGAAGCCTTTCAACATGAAGACAACTGCCCTGCTCTCGATCTTGCTCTCGGCTACACAAATCGGGGCCATGGTACTCGACAATGCGCTCGACAGCTCAGTCGAACTCCAAAGACCCATCCTCGGCACCGACGAGATAACACGAGTGGTCGACATCCCTCTACGATGCAGTGAGATGCGATGCAAGACATGCCGGGCAACAAACAAGTGCGAGAGCGAGCAATCATGGTAAGCCATGGCTCTTCCCGCCTCGTAAAATCCCGAGACTAACGAGCATGCTTAGTTCCCTATGCGAAGTTGACCCTTACTGCCGTTGTCAGTGGAAGACGTGCCAATATGGGCCAGCGGGTGCGGTCAGATGTGGCGCCATACATTATTCGGACAAGGTCTACTCATGGGAATCTTTCTGAGGGGCAAAATCGATCATGATCTTTGTGAACTGCGTCAGGGGCTGCTCATCCGATCTTGAGCCTTGTGACATCGACACCGTATGCCACGGCTAAGCCTCGCATTCCATCGATAGGCTGCTGACGAATGCTTTCAACTTGCTTGGTCAGAAACAGACTCTGGATGAGATCTGCACCGACAAAGATTTGATGCTGCGATTCATTTACGATGGCGGAGCAAATGGAGACAGCGATGCCCTTCTGCATCTTTCTGCACGCTTCGCAGGGCATGACGACGCTCACTTGAAGTAATACCAGCTTCGCCAAAGACGCCACTTCCAAAAGTTGAGAACAACGTTCGACACAGTGGATCCGCGAAATTCAAATACCAGTGGAGACAAGCCGCTACCACACTTTCGATTATCTTCAAGCTATTTCAACTCATGCCGGCTCAGGGGCATCAGCTGGGATGACTACACCGGCGGTGACTTTCAAAGGACGTTGCTCGGGTCCGTCTATCAGGAAGTCAATATGTGTTGGGCTCAAACATGCTTTTCAACTTGCCCTTGTGCTGCTCAAAAGTAGGCTTATCAGACTGATTCTCCAAATGATAGCATGAGAAGACTTTCTGGCCTGTGTTGCTGCCGGCGGCATCGCGCGCCGCCAAGTCTGGGTAGATATCACGCAAATGACTATGATTCCGAAAATATGTGTTGTGGTTGACTTCGCATATGTTCACCTCACTGCTCCGATGCGCCTCACAATAATGCCGCTGGCATAGTACGCAGTGCTCGATCTGACCCACGCTCACGATCCGTCTTTTCCAGTTATTCTCCCGCATTCGCTTGCAGACAAAGCAGTGTTTGGTCTGCCCGCGTTGCTGTCTCAGGTCTCCTGAGGGAAAATGAGAAAGCGGCCGGCCATCGCACCACGTGACTTGAAAAGATGGGAGTCTCAAAAGGAGAGTTTCGTGGAGCGAGATTGCAAGAAAGTAATCGCTTTATAAGACGACGGATTCACGCTGAGGAAAGATGACGGTTCAACTTCCCGACACGTTCAGCGGGGAAATGTACATGTAGTACCAGTGTACTCATCACGGATGACGAGCTGTCGCTCTCGTGGCAAAATCGTCGGCTCACCGGTATGCGAAGGTACCTAAATGTTGTACACATCAAGAATCAGACTGTAATAACGGCAGGTAGCATGTATTTCCATGGGCAATGTAGTAATCCATGAGCCACGGACCTGCCGGGCTCAAGGCAAGGTGTCCTGCGGAAGTCGGCGCAAAACACTATCGAAAGATGTTGATGGTTCGTTCGCAATTAATCGGGAAGATTGAGCTTGTATTGAGGCGTCTGCCTTGCGATCTGATCATCCTCAATCTCACGAGAGGATCGAGGAATCATTCGCATCAACTATGTGTCCACCATGTCCGTGAAGCGTTTCCCTATATTTCATCGTTTGTCATGCGGTCAAGGATTGGGCGTCATGGCATACGGGGTCACGATACGTGCGGACGACGAACGATTCAGGCATGCTTTGGCAATACTGGGTCTTCCAATCTGTTGTTATCAGTTCGGACACCTAGTGATAATATTGTTGTTCTGGTTTTCGATTCTTGCGAGAATGTCGAGCAATGGGAAAGTGTGACACGATGAGCGCCGACAGATGAATGCTGGACCAGTCTTCCGACTGAAAATAACCGAAACCATGATCCGCGGGAAATCCTAGCAACATTCACCGGTCAGTTTGTTCAATGAACACCAATCATGACCCTCGTGGGATTGGCCAATGCCGGGCAGGTAGACGGGAAGTTCGCAACACGATTTCGGGGTCATACCATCGCACAGGTATGTACATGGTGTGCAGATGAGGAATGGAACAATGAGGTGCATAGGGGGAGATGAGACTCGGTTCCAGAAATTCCGATAGTGGATGGGCTGGGGACTGCAGGCTTCGCTGGACAAATAAGGCTGTCCCGTCCTACAGCGATGGCAGGGACATGCATACCGCAATGCGCGCTCTACAGATGATGTGGACAAGGTCAAGATTAGACGACGGTGATGACGAATATTATGGGGATTACTGCGTGGAACTGGCGGCCGTCAATGGCGATCCACTGAATGCAATACGATATCCTGTCGATGGTAAGACTGGTCCTGATCACCATTAAAGCCCGTATCATAGCGCTCCCGTTGTGTGCGCTGTCGTCCGAAGCATCAACTCGGCGATTTCAGCGGGTTGCTATGCAAATGGACGAATGCGTGCGGTTGTCATGAGAACGCCCGGACACTCACCAGCAGTCAGCCAGTCAGCTTGGAAGGGGAAATGGCTGGGAAAATGGCGCAAGCTCGAATTTCCCGAGCGGCCTCGTCTCGTCTCGTCTCGTCCGCTGCAGTTGACCGACAGGGGGCAGAAACGCGTAAACAAGGAAACGCCAGCTGTGTTTACCACCAATGAGCCCGACACATGCAACTCCATTGCGTGCCTACCTAGGGAGACGGTGACAGCCTTCTGCCCAAGGTGCGTGCAAATCTTTCCCTCAGGCCCCATCTCTCTCACAATCTCGCGTTCACGTTGAGGAGAAACGCACGGGCGACACCTCGATCGTCCAGCACAGTCCAATCCGGAATTTGTGTCGCTCGCATCGCGTTCCCCACACACACACACACACACACACACACACGCAACCACTCGCTCGCTGGACTGCTGCTAATGCACTTGTTGGCAACAGCATTGCTTCTTCTTTCCGAATTCTGCCATCGCGTCCATTTGCTACACAGACACTTCTCTGCATCCTTCCTGTATTCTTGTTGCTGGTACCATCAACTCACTTGCCCTACCATTACAAAGATACGGTGAAGCTGCAGATTCTCTGTCCAACCTCCTTCTTCCCTTCACACATTTATTTAAACCAGTTGGTCTGCAACCCAAACAGCTCAACTTGACAGCCTTCCATCGTTTGATCGGAAAGGCCCTCAAGTTTAGCACCAACCGCCACGCTGGATTTCGACGCCCGAGTCCCGTGAGTCCCCATCACGAACATGTCGCGCATAGATGGGTCGCAAGAGCTTCATCAGCGCGGCGAAGACAACATCATGACTGACCCGCCATCACAGTGTGCCGTTCAGCGTCTTCCCCTCGGCATACAAGAACAAGGAGGCTTCCGAGACCACCGAAGTCAAGACTGAGGAACGTGTTACCGTCCAAGGCGCTGGACGGGACGATCGACCATCGCCTGCCCAAGACGAGCGCTACACTCGCGAGGAGATCCGCATCACCGAGAAGGACCGCTACCGCCCTTTCCCTGAGCAGAAAGAGAAGCGCGAGGAGATTCGTGTCTACGAGGACGACCAATACACCGGAGTTGGCCGCAACCAAGAACGCATCGCGGTTGACATTGAACGAACCAACGGATCAGGGTGAGTGCAATTTTTTGCTATGTGTTTTGCCCCTTCAGAGGAACGCTCTCGCAGCGAGACGCAACTTTCGAATGCCCGAATGCTGCGTATCCCGAACTGGTCCCTTTGTTTTTGTTGTGGCAGGATCCATGTTTTGCCGGCTACCGCACGGGCCATCCACCCTTTTCCGGCGTTGGCCATTGGATTCCCCTGACAGCGGTTGGGTAAACACGCTACCACACTAGTGCCCACTAGTTTGTTGTCCTATGCAACAGTCCTCTTCATCAACACACTTGCTATTCCTTCCTTCTCGTGTTTTTACCATCACTTCATCGGTGCATCAACACAAACCTTCATCACCACTGACACCATCCTGCCTCCAGATACCGTGAACCTTTCCAAAGGTACACTGAAGCCCAAATCGACGTGAAGGACCGCGTTTACGACCGCGATCACCCTACTCGTCAGCCTTCCACCAGCCAGATCAATTACGACTCTCGCATCGACGTTGCCGAGCGAGAATACCGCGAACGTACCACTCCGTTCGCTGAGGAGTTTCGCACTTCTCGCACCTGGCAAGACAAAAGCACCAGTCCTCGTGACTTCCCTGCCCCGAACATCACCGAGCGTGAGCCTGTTCGCTTCGACGAAAAGGTTGAAGTGATCAAGACCCGCACGGTCGAAGAGCCTCAAGGTCGTCGTCACAGACTTGATATGGGATACCACGACGAAGAGGGAAACTACCACTCATTCCGTCAAGGACTCCACCGCGCCGCTGACCGCGTTCTCCACCCGTTCGAGAACCACCACCACCACCACTCTCACCACTCCCACAGCTCCGAGCGCCAAGAAAACGTCGTCGTTGAAGAACGCGAATTCACCATGTCTGCTCCTCGATCAAGCTCGCGCGCCGTCGCTGCCGCCACCATCACCATCCCATGCCACCACATCCGCATTGGTGACTTGTTGATCCTCCAAGGTCGCCCTTGCCAGGTCATCCGCATCACCACCTCTGCCCAGACTGGCCAGCACCGTTACCTCGGTGTTGACCTCTTCACCAAGCAGTTGCACGAGGAGTCCTCCTTCGCCAGCAACCCCAGCCCGTCTGTGTATGTCCAGAACATGGTCGGACCCATCTTCAAGCAATACCGCGTTCTTGACATCCGTGATGACGGTGCCGTCGTCGCCATGACCGAGGGTGGTGATGTCAAGCAGGGTCTCCCTGTCCTTGACCAGAGCAGCCTGCTCACCCGTCTCACTGAGGCCTTCAACGACGGCCGTGGCAGCATCCGTGTCCTCGTCATCAACGACGGTGGTCGCGAGCTCGCCGTTGACTTCAAGGTCATCCACGGCAGCCGTCTGTAAACTCCCACGCAGTGTAAGTTCTTCACCAATGTATTCATCCGATAACAACACGCGTCTGACAATACTCCCAGTCGAAAACGGTACATATGATTGCATAGCCTTTTAAGACGTGTCACGAGGTCGTTGAATATAAGTTGTGGTGGCCATTGAGAAGTCTTCTTCTTGTATGTTTTGTCGCTCTCGCAAAGCTTTTGATCGGCTTTTCGACATGATCACGGCCTGGGTTGGTCTTGTCGCGGCGTAGACAGATTGTCAAATAGTATTTGTATTACATCTCAACGGATTATAATTCGCACCCCTTCTCACGTGAGATGTACGCTTCACCGCCCACTCACGGATCGTACTTGTGCAAGGCTCACATTCTTGTCTATTTCTGCTGTTGCGGGCCCGCGTCTCTCTAGCACATTTACCTTGGGAGGCGAGGGATTAATTACACCAATGCTCACTGACCTTTCTTTTGATCGCGTTCTAGTGCCGCAAGTGCCTCATTGTTCTCGGCTGTCTTGGTCCCTCGTTCAACAGCCTTGATGAATCGAGCTGGGTTGCCCGCATACACAGAATCAGGCGGGACACTCTGTACCACGTGAGCACTTTGTTTCAATCTGCCGTATGGTGAGAACTGACCTTTGTGACCACACTGCCGGCACCTATGACTGAGCCATCACCAATAGTCACTCCGGGCAAAATGCACACATTGCCGCCGATCCTGTTGCGATGATCAGAATCTTGTCATAACATCTTGCAGAAGATGAGCCTCATTACCAGCAATCTTTACCGATGTGGATCTCGGCGCCCAACTCCGGGCCTTTGGTTCCATTACGAAGTTCGGGGTCCAACGGATGCGTAGCTGTGTAGATGGAAACGCTCGAAGCGATCAGAGTCCGATCCCCAATCGTCACCAGACAAGTATCGAGAATCGTGCAGTTAAAGTTAATGAACACATTCTTTCCCAACTTGACATTTGTCCCATGGTCAATACGAATGGGAGTCTCTACCCATGGCTCTTCGGCAAACAGCTCTTCGTCTGCTTCCTCTGTAGCAGCGGGAGGCGGTAAGGGTATCTCATCCCGAACAATGCTTTGCACTCTTCGTCAGCTATCTGGCGAACTTGATGGTCCTACTTTGTTGTGTACTGGTCGTTGCCTTTGGGCCACTTACTCCCGCCAGAGTTCAACTTGACGACGTCTAGTGATCTCTCCTGCGTTGTTGTATCGATTGCATGCATGGGTCGCCCGTCGACGAGAGGCCGTCAGTTCTGGAGTAAACGCATAGTACAACTCTCCGCGCAACATGCGAGCTTTATTCTCCGAGACCGCCATTGAAGTTTATTGCTCTACGATGCCGAGGAGTTTTGGAGATTTCGATATAGTATAGAGTATGAATTACAATGTCTGGTCTGCTACACATATATTGCCGGCCTGTGCAGTATTTCCTTCCATCGATCTTTCCGCAGGCGACTCTTGGCGACACTGACTTCAGTGTGTGTCATACGTATATGCAGCTATATCAATCCCACACACCGCGGGTGTCTATTGTGCCAACCCTGGAGTGCTTGATCTTTTGCTCGCTAAACCTTCCTCACAAATCATTTCCTCCTTGAACAACAATACCTGCCGAAGCATGTCTTTAAAATTTGGTCTCAATATCAAGTCCAAAGCGCCGGTGCCCTCACGACGCGCAATATTAGACGATGATGAGTTCGGCGATGAGGATGACGCCGCGGCATCATCGGGTCCGACCGAGACCGCCATAGAAGAGATCAGCTTCGTGAGCAAAGGCTTGCCTGTCACAAAAGCACCATCAATTTCAATCGCGAAGTCAAAACCTAAAAGTCAACCACCCAAAGCCAGCCTCGAACCTCGAGAGAACAGGTCGGCGATCTCCGCTGCGAATCGTTCTCTCAAGGCTGCTGAGGAAGAGGATCCCTCCTTGTTTGACTATGACTCTTTCCTGGAAGCTAAGGCAGTTGTGTCGGAAAGCAAAAAGGCTGCAGCTCGTCAAGAGGCAATTGAGCGGAAGCCGAAGTATATCAACAACCTTCTAGATGCTGCGTCTCGACGTAAGCAGGACCAGCTTGTGGCGCGCGAGAAGCTATTGCAGCGGGAACGCGAAGCTGAAGGTGATGAGTTCGCTGACAAAGAGAAATTCGTGACCACTGCATACAAGCAGCAGCAGGAAGAGACTCAGCGGCTGCAAGAGGAAGAGAAGAGGAAAGCTGAGCTCGATGCGAAACGAAAGGGTCAGCTCGGTGGTGGCATGCAGAGCTTCTACCGAAATATGATGGACCAAAATGAACGACAGCACCAGGAGGCCATGGAGGCTGCAGCCAAAGCCGACCCTGCTGCAATATCTGGTGCCGCTCAGCAATCTAAGGAAAAGACGGATGCCGAGCTTGCAGCTGAAGCCAGAGGCAAGGGCATCAGTGTCCACACCAACGAGGAAGGGCAAATCATCGACAAACGTGAACTGCTCTCTGCAGGGCTCAACATCGGCACTTCTGGGAGTGGTTCCAATAAGCATGGCGCAGACCATCTGTTGAGCTCAAATCGCCCCGCCCAGTCAGCGTTTGCGAACCGAAATCCCGCGCACCAACAAGGTCAACGCGAACGACAGAGTCGTATGATGGAGGAGCAACTTGCGGCGCAAGCCAAGCGAGCTAGAGACGAGGAGGCGGAAGAACGAGAGAGACTGGAGAAAGCGGCCAGGTCATCGAAGACTGACAAAGACATCGGTGACGCGAAGGCTCGCTATCTGGCAAGAAAGGCGGCAAAGGAGCGCGGTGAAGGCTAACAGGAGTGAAGTGTATATGTTTCGCAAGCCATGCAAGTTGTCGAATTCTTCGGTGCACTTTCTTCGTACTTGAGCTATGCTTTGCTTGGAGGTAAGACCAGACGCTCTTCCGTTGATTCCTTTCCATTCCCTTTCACGTTTTCCCTTTTGGTTTCCTCTTCAACCGTTATCCTATGGGCTATCTTTCAGGACGGCGAGCTTGGCTTCTTCACTATGACCCGCTCGTATCAATATCATGCCCAAGATCGAAGAGTCTTGCCCTCGTGCGGATTCGTAACATGTTGCCCCTGATACTCGACGATACTCCGTAGTGTGAGAATCTGTTGGAAGGGGTAGCAAGTGACAGTTTTATTGCTAGGAAAGACCGTCATGCCCACCTGTGACGAAGGAGAGAAATGTTTGATTTGATTTCTCGAGTAGAGCATGGCCGTGATACATTGAAACAATCGAAATGAACTAGAAACCTCTGAACCCACCATCTGTGTGCACTTCGCTGGCATGAACAGCGAATCCGCTTTTGATATATTCCAGTCGTGCACACAGTTTCAATCTCTTCACTTGTCTGAACACGCTTCCTCACGCACCATCACCCCAGATTCCGACCACAGCCATTGCGAAACCCAATCCGCTGAGACCAGTCCTCAAGAACTCCCAAAGCTGCCTATCTCTTGTCGTCCTCTCGACCTGTTCGCCGTTGATCTCAGGAACGTTGGCGTCGCGCTTGCGCCTCTGAAGGACCTTGAGATCCGCAGCCAAGGTCAACGAGCCGCTGGTAGCAGCGACCAGTGCAGTCCAGAGCAGGTAGGGATGTCGGACGCGCGGCGGCGATAGCGCATATGCGAGTGTCAAGCCGAGAAATGATGCGCTGCTCAATGTCGTGATGTGTAGAGCTGCCAGGCGAGTTGTTTGGGTGAGAGTGTATGCGGCGGGCTCGGCGCCGGGCAGAGTGAGGAGGAGAGGGAGGGATTGCGACGACAGAGTATAGGAGACACCCTGTATATATCATGTCAACCTCAGTCCGTTCGTGTTGAGAAACGTCTTCGTTAAAGTGCATAACTTACAGTCAAGAGGCCGAGACTGATCGTGCCAACAAACTTGCCAACGGCAATGGCGTACGGCATCTTTTCTGCGGAAGTTGTACCCTTCGGCGCGAGCTTCCTGAATTTGTAAATTCAATGCGCTTTGCGAAGTGAATCGATTGAGAAGCGTTCTTTAGCGTGTCGGTATGCTTTGTGAACGACGTGACTTTTTGGAGATGCTTTGTCAAAGTTGCGCGCCGCCGATGGCTTCATCATCGAACTTATTACAAGCGTTGGGTCGCATGGCGTAAGTACCAAAGTCCCTGGGTAAGCAGTTCGCGGGATTGGGCGCTAAAGCGGCCCATCGCTGCTTGATTTTCCAGGCCTTAACAAGACAGCTCAAGCTGCAATCATCAACGAATATTCAGAGAACTTCGGGTTACGATACTCTGTAATTTCCATGCTAACATCCGGAGCCGATGGAACGAATACTTGTAGAGCTTCCGCAAGTATTGTCGAGGAAAGGCTGTAGCACCCGTCGACTGCCAAACCGGTCTCAACTTTCGGCTCATGAGGCAGGGCAGATATGGTGACCGGGAATCGCAGGTCTGCAAGATGCACCAGAGCAGAAGGCGATTTGCGTCAGAGGTCTGCCACTGATGTAGTCAATTGTAATAAATCTGACAGCACGACCTGTATCAAGCTTAACATCATTCGAATTTCCACTCCACGCCTGAAAGCGTACACACAATTTGTCTCCAGGGGAAACATGGTTGCCGACGACTCGTCACGTCGGATGACAAACACGTCCTCAGATACAGGCACATTTCTGTAAGAGTGCTTTCGGACGAGATACCTGGGATGTCAAAAATCTAATGATAGCCATCCGAAGTTCATCAATGGTGTGCTGAAGCTATAATAAACCACCTGGGCATGTTCGAATGAATGTCACTACTTTGCGAACCAACCCTACAGTCCTGTTAGCGCTTGACGGACGTCCTGTCGAGTTTCGGCGGAGCGAGGTTTCGCACTGCACGTGCGCAATCGCGCGTGAAGCGGTCTTCGATGTAAATGGTCTCATGGTACCTGCTACTGTAGTTGCATTGCGATCAAGCAGCTGGCATGGGAGATGACTAGACAAGCAAACTAATGACAATGGAACACAAGTCGTAGGTCACGTTTCGGCTGACTCGAACATCCAGAACAGCGTTTGAAGCCTGCCGGAAGCACGGACTGATGCAATTTGGTGCTTCTTGCGACTGACTTCCATGTTCCGTGACGTCGGACGTTACTCTACCGCCGGCCGGTCGGATGGATATTAGTCCGGCTCTTGACACAAAACCAACAGTCCATTTCTTGGTTGATTGACCACTATCTGTCAATTAAATCAGTCGCACATCTCAAAGATCGTGTTGCATCAATAGGGCTCCAGGGCAAACGCTAAATAACCTCTCTGCATTAAGACATCATCATCATGGCGAACAACCGAAATGAGATCATGTCGAATGTCTGGCGCGATGGCATATTTCAAGACAAAGTACTCTTCTGCACCGGAGGCGCTGGTACAATCTGCTCTGTACAAGTCCGGGCATTCGTGCTCCTCGGCGGCAATGCCTATATTATTGGACGAAATGTCGAGAAAACCGAACGCGTGGCCAAGGAGATTCAGAGCGTCCGGCCTGGATCGCGAGTCATTGGCCAAGGAAATGTGGACGTGCGAAATATGCAATCGCTTCAAGATGCAGCGGCAAGATGCGCAAAGGAGCTTGGTGGCATTGACTTCGCCATTGCTGGAGCTGCAGGCAATTTCCTCGCTCCCATGAGCCAACTTTCCTCGAATGCATTCCGATCTGTGCTAGAGATTGACACATTGGGCTCCTTCCACACAGCAAAGGCAGTCCTGCCATATCTGGTGGATAGCGCCAAGAAGTTTCCCAACACAGGTCGCCATGCGTCCAACGGCACCGGAGGTCGGCTCATCTTCATTTCGGCAACATTCCACTACAGGGGTCAGGCTCTGCAATCACATGTCGCGGCCGCAAAGTCCGCCGTCGATCAAATCAGCCACAGCGTATCAATTGAGTATGGTCCATACGGAATTACCAGCAACGTCATCAGCCCCGGCCCGATAGCAAATACCGAGGGCATGGAGCGTTTGGCTAAGCTGGACAGCGAGTCGGCGGCAGAGTCCAAGAGGGGAACACCCGTTGGTCGCTGGGGCGAGGTGCGTGAAATCGCCGACGCTACCATCTACCTCTTCTCTGAAGCCGGTAGCTTCGTGAATGGCAATGTTCTGGTCGTCGATGGCGGGCACTGGAGGACTAGTGGCGCTGGCAGCGCTGGCTTCGTCTACCCTGATTTCATCATTGGTGGAGCTGAGATTACCGGTGTTAAGAGCGGGCGCCAGGAGAAGCCAGCAAAGCTGTGAGCTGTAATTTTGAGCGATGTGTGTCATTTGCATAATTGAGGTGTTCGGTTGAGCATTATGCTCATGTCATTCAGCCTGGCGCGACCTAGAGGTCTCGCTGCTATGTCTTGTACATAAAGTGACAATACGAAGATATGTGTATACACAAGTGTGATAATCTGTCTCCAGGCAGGGAGCTTGACTGCAGCCTTTGACCAACCCTGACCACTAAAGTTGGCATAGATAGAATGTCTCCTTTCTACGCTGCTGGAGGGCTCGATCGTAACTTTTTACAGATGTCGTCTATCGGATACATTGAACCATTCTCACACATGAAACCCGACTTTTGAGATGGAGTAGCCAAATCGCGGGCGGCAATGCCCAGAGACATCCAAGGGGCGTCGAGATCTTGCCGGAAAGTGTGCTACCGAGCCACAAATCAGTCCCGTAGAAAGTCAATACCTTCAGCAGTTTCGTCATCGTCGTCCGGAGCCAGGTGCAGCGGGCGTCTAGCCGCTCGATCCCAGTACATCAAGCTTCGATCGCTAACCCCGGCGGCATTCTGCACAAGTGCTTGATGGAAGGCAGTTGCCACAGGCTCCAACCCAAGGACGCGCAGAGATCTAATCACAAGATCAGAACATTGATCTCGGAAATATTAGATAAGGATTTGACTAACCTGATGATACGACTTATCCTCAAATGGTTGTGATCGAATCGTTTCAGCCAGTTCCTCCTTGCGAGGCTGGTGAAGTCTGGTTTCGCCTCAACTCGGATCTCGCCATGATCTTCGCTTGCGTCAAAGCCGTAGAAGGCTGCCATGCGCTGAAATGAGCGGAACAAGTGCTCCCGTAGCGTTCCCTCAGCTAGAAAGTCGTCGCGAGTACTGCGATCGATGTGCGGTGCCGAGAAATTGAACGCGGAGAACTCTGGTAGCTAGAAAATCGGTCAGAGATTGTTTCCTCAATGTATGTCGATCAGCATACTGACCGGAAAGAGAACTTGAATGTAATCATGACTCCATTCCAGTTCCTTGTCGCTGAACCGCCAGATGTCCTCGAGAGACCGGCCCTGCGCATCACGTGAGGAACTCTTGTTTCCCTGAGGATCCGCATAGAATCGCACGATCGCACTCTTTGATTTGTTGCTATCCATGGTTATGATCTTGCTCTTACGAATCGCCCAGAAATTATGCGGATATTCTGCATATGATGCGGTAACTTCAATCGGGTCGCCGCTTGAGTCCTAGGGATGCGGTCGTGACTGCCGAATGCGCTGTGTGCTCGACGAAGATTAGACGTGCTGATTTGACTGTATCGTACGCGATGTCGTAGGAAAGTTGCGAAAGCCGACGAAAACACCATGCAAGAGCGGAAATTGAACATGACGCCCTTTGCTCGAGTGTGTCGAGGAGAGAGCCTACACCCAAGGCTTCAATCTACACCTGCAGCATGTACATGGTCCATACCGTTGAGTCACGCAAGATTGCACAAAGCATAACATTGACTTGATCACTGGAGGTGATCGCGAGGTATGAAGAGAGCATAAAATCTCTAGGCCGCGAATTAAATGGTATTGTGTTGTCGATTTCTTGAGGTCCAATATGACCGGGCTTGTCACACAATCGTCCCAAGATTGCCTCATGACCACGCCGTCTAAACTAACATGTGGTTCATTTTGATCGCTGCCATTTTTTTGTACCTCAGCAACTGCAATCCAGTCCTCTTCGTCTCTCTCATCACTGATTCAGTGATCGAGATACATGACAGTGATGGTCCAGGAAACATCGGTGTTGAACTGCGTCATGGCCAACGGGAACGGCCCGCCACTACAGGCAGAGACAGTCAAATGGGCGGGCAGGCGGGACTGTGTGGATTGCCGATAGCTTGCCTATCGTCGCGCGCGAGTGTGACGGCATGTGTGCTTGCTTGAAGGATGTACTGAGCACTCACCTACAGATCAAGTATTGCACTCTCATATTTCCACCAACTGGCGAGAGTATCAACACTCGCGATCGGCAGCTCCGCGTAGATTACGTGTGCTAGGCATCTACCGATAACCACAGTCTTCTGCAAACATCCTTCATTACTGGTCAGTTGCGCTTTGCGACCAGACAAGTGCTAAGCAATATGTGGGACGACGAGGACAACAACCCCTACGGTTCTTTCCACCGCCGCGGCTCTGAGACATCAGACCCTCAATCGCCGATAGAGCGTGTGTCTCTCCGGAAGCTATCGTCGTCCAGAAAGCCAAAGTCATGCGCTGATCACTCCCCATGCAGGCACCAACCAGATCTCCACCCCAACTTCCGGGCAGTCATCACCTGAACAGCCACCGCAATACCTATCAAAGTCCTCAGATCTTAGCGATGAGGACCTCGACGACTCGCGTCAACGCCAAGTCAAGGTTCAGCCGAAGGAGGGGGGCTACGACAGCAGGATAGAGCAGATCCTTTACGAGCAGCCCAACATCGAGATACAAATCGTCCATGCTGGCAAAAATACCGAAGGTGGTGGGGCATATATCACCTACACCATTCGGATAGGTGATATTGAAGTTCGGCGACGATACTCTGAGTTCGCATCGTTGCGTGCAACACTGGTCAATCTGCATCCTACGTTGATCATTCCACCAATCCCCGAGAAACACAGCATTGCAGATTACGCTGCCAAGCCGACCAAAGCAAAGGAAGATCTGGGCATAATTGAGCTCCGACAACGGATGTTGGCGACGTTCCTGAACCGATGTAGACGCATGAAAGAGGTGCGGGACGATGGAGTTTGGTGGCGCTTCCTCGACCCTCATGTCAGCTGGAACGAAGTCCTACATTCACACCCAGCTGCAAGCGTTCCCAAGAACAATCTTAAAGCGCCGCCTCTCGACCCAGCAAATCCGACCCAAGCACATTTTTATCTTCCAATACCTTCCCAAAATGCCAAATTAAGATCGGCCTCAACTTCGTCCGCCAGTGGCACACCCACATCGCCTCCATCCGCTACAGCACCTGCGTCTGCGATTCCACAAAATTCCCCTCAAAACCAAACTGCACGCTTTCCGCCGTCCTCACAACAACTTAGTGAGGCCGATCTCGACCCGTATTTCTCATCTTTCGAACAGAGCTCCAAAGAACTGGAAACATTGCTCACGGGATCGATGGAGAAGGTCAATGCACGTCTTTTGCGGCATTTATACAGCTTGGGGGACGACTTGATGGACCTCGGCGCGAAGTACAACGGTTTTGCGCTGTCAGAGCAATCGATGAGCGTTGCACATGCAATTGAGAAGACGGGCCAGGCGTGCGATTTCACGTATTTGCAGTCGAGAGATTTGGCTTCAGCCCTCAGTGCTGGATTCGCAGAGCCGATGCGCGAAAGTGCTCAATTCGCCAGTGTCGTACGAGGTGTGCTGAAGTATCGTGTGTTGAAACGCATTCAGGAGGAAATGACCCGCGACGAGCTGGAAAAGAAGAAAGTCTCGCTCGATCAGCTGGAGCGTAGTGAACTCGAAGCGAAGCGAATCGAGCAGTACATGACATCGTCCGGCATCAGTAGCTCGCAATATGCACCACCACGACGTAGCACCAGCAGTGGTAGTAGGCGTGGTCGTCCTGGCTCGCGCGATGATGATCACGATGGCTCCGTGGACAGCGATTTTCCTGCCTACGCAGATCAGGCGCAAGGCAATCACCAGGATGGACCACAAGAACCATTCACAAGTCCACCAAGCTCTCCACCGAGCGGAGGCCACAAACGAGCAACGAGCGGACTCGGGAACAAAATCTTCGGTCGTCTTACCCATGCCATCCAGGGCGTCACGGATCAGGATCCTGAGCGAGCACGAAGAGATGCTTTGGGCAAGACAAAAGAAAGCCTAGTCCAATTGGAACAGGCTCTCGAGGTGTCGCAGAAAGATGTCAGAGACGCCAGCCAAGGTGTGATGCAGGACCTGCGGCGATTTCAAGGGCAAAAGGAGGACGATCTGCGCATGTACATGGTGAGTCAATTGAATCGAGGACCGACTGATACGCAGATGTATGAATCCGAGCTAATGAATGGCATGTAGCTGAGTTTCGCCAAGGCTCACATTGAATGGTCCAAACGCAGTCTAGAGGAATGGGAAAAGGCCAAGGGCGAGATTCAAAAGATTGATTTACGGTGAAAAGATTCGCCAGTCGCGACGAGCGAGGTCGATATTAATTTCAAGGTAGATAATACAGACAACTCGAACCATTCGTTAGTTGCTGGCGTATTATGACAGCCGTACAACATCACACGCCTTGATTAAATGTCCCGTCTTCCCTCGCGCAGCCAAATGCTTTTCGTATGCTCGCCGGCGATCATATACAGCAGATGACAGAATGAGGAGACGTCAGAGACGACTCCTTGTGATATGAGACAAGGCTAGCCCTCGTGAGGACAACACGATGCCTTTAAATGCAGCATCGACTCACACCGTCATCCTTACCGGCGTCTGATGTTTCGGCGCCCATGCAGAAGAGATAGAAGCCAGGTCTTGAGGATGGCCTGTCCTTTCTGGCTCTGCCACGGGAATGATAATGACAATGAAGCCAACCGATATCAGGTCAGCTGGAAGCAGCTCCAAGCCCATGACATATTTCAGAGGACTGGCGCATGTATCTCACATCCTGCTGCGTCACTGCCGACCTGTCTTGTGACGTACGCATGACTCGATCATTGCTTGTGTCTGGTTGTTCGTTCTCAGCCTGGCCGTGGCCGATGTCTGTTGACACCACTGCTCCTGCGAATCTCCTCTTGTACCATTCTACGGCGCTTTGGTCTTCAACTGCACTCCATGCCATTTCTTGATCTCCTCGCCCAAGACCTGATTGACCAGGCGGTGCTGCTTGATGGTGGTCAAGCCTGTGAACTGCTCCGACACGATATCTAGGGCGTACATGGAGCCGCATCCGCCGGAGACATCCTGCACCTCGAGCTTGGAGGGCTTGAAGCTGTCTTTGAGGATTGTGAAAATCTTGCGCTCGTTCTCGTCGAGGTATTCGGGTGCGATGACGTTCGATTCGGAGAGTCGGAAGGGACTGCTCGAGAACTTTCGTGATGGCTGGAAGAATGCTGGTTGGGTATGCAATTCGGTGAGAGGGGACCGGTGGGAAGTCGTGCTGCGAGCTTGCTGCCGGAGCTGCCCGATTATTATTCTTGAACTCATGTCGTTGATGCAAATGATGGATATTGTTTGATTACGTCAATATCATGGAACACTTCATTGGCCCTCGGATTTGAAAGCATCGAAGTGCGTCTCACAGCTGCATCCTCGACAGTCCGTGCTCGATTACCTCACAGCTGCAGGCGATATTCCTCGGTCGCAGCCGCAGAGCCTCCATTTCTTCAACGACGTCTGGTCGTCAATTGCAACTACTTAGGTACGTACATTCGCGATGCTCGTGATCGATATCTCGGCCTACTGGACGACCAACGTATCCCAATCTACAATCCGACATAATATAACGTAGACGTCATTGTCGAACGTGGTTATTTCCTGGAGGAAAGCAACCCGTTAACCGCCGGCATATGAACCATCCAGCACATTCAACGTTGTTTACAGATTGGCAACATGTTCACGTGCCACGCGTTCAAGCGCAGAAATAATGATATGGTCAACTGAGTGATGGGCAGTCCATGGTTGCAAGCGATGCACCGTCTCGTTTGCGTCAAGGCCATATCTATGGGTATGATCATCATTGGGAGAGCCCTGGCACCTGCCGTTAGGGTTGGGGCAAGATTTGTTCGTGTCATATCATCAACTTCCATGATCGCACAATCTTTTCTGATGACGACGAAACCAATCACTGGCACGATCAGCTCAGTCAATGGTAAATACAGACGCGGTTCAGCTTCGCTATCGAGAGTATCGCAACCGTACGTCATGCGAGTTGTCTATCGAGCGCCTCAACAGTTTTGAAAATTGAAGATCTCCAAATCCAAGTCTGAAAGTTGGATATGACGTGGGCATAGCCGCTCAAACGCGCGTCACACGTCGCCTACGATGGCAATCGAGAGAAACGTTGAAGAAGATACGCGAGAGCACCATCACCGTGCATGGACGATCGAAGGTTTGGTGGATAGTTCGTGTTGGAAAGCACTGGCACAGAACCATGATTTGAAGTGTGATTGTCGAGAATCGTCTTGGCAGAAACATGCCATGGAGGTGGTTGTTCGCAACCAGGGTCCTTCGAGAAGTCCCAGCGTGATACATCAGTACCAGAAGACCTCGATTTTATCTTGAAAGCTGGCTCGTGGAGAAGATACCAAGTCTATGATCGACGTAATTTTGTATACCAACCGTTCGCCGGACAGTCACCGTGAACGGATTTTCAAGATTGTCTTCATCCCAGGTTGCGCAGGTGGCGTCGCAACCCTCGTCAGCATCGTACCGTTGATCGTCACAATATGGGTGTCACCATGCTACAGCGAAAACCCTGCAGATGCGAGAATCAGATTTGGAAGTTTCCAAGGTTGCCATCGTATTGTATCGAGATATACAGCCTATCACGATCTCCATAGATATGTGCCCCCACCTCCCAACAGACGTGGAGAACCAGTATCGATGTGTTCGCGCGCGCAAGATGTGTTTGTATTTCCGGCGCTTATCAGGATCGCAACCATACTTCCTAGAGCCCTCAACATAATCAGTGCGATGGTGTCGCAGATCAGTCAAACCCCTACAACTGTACTGAGGAAAGGCATGGTTGCGCGTGGTACCTAGTGGTGGCGCAGTCTAGATTGGTCAAGAAGGATTGATTGTTGGTTTTGACTGATGATTTGAGGGGATGAATAGTTCTGACGCGCTATTCCGGCCGCCTCCAGAGCGTCCCAATGCGAAGAGAAAGAAAGGGTTGAGCGGCTTGCGCTCCTGCAATCCCATGCTTTGCGCCTCCCCCTCGGGAAAAAGGAACACAGCTGCGCGTTGCACTGATGAGGAAAGTGGTCCTGTGGTCTCTTAGTCAGACCGGCACTTCGAACCCTGAGCTGCCCGCCGAGCCTCCTTCACTAGTTCCAGCCCCAGACCCAGATGTATAGAGTACTGTATGGACTAGACGTCCACCAATGCTGATATATTTGTACATCTATAGGATGTGCGAGACCCCCTTGATTCGAAATATAGCACTAGATCCGTGGACCCAGCACGAGCGACTAGATCCTCTGAACCAAAGGTAGATGCTCTGATCTTGGTTGTCGTTGCGCGGCTAGCTAAGGGCGGACATTGTTCGTGAGCAGCTTACGCGTCGGACACGACATGAAGAAGAACGCCTGGGATTTGTCACGACCCACATGTGTACATATCGCCCCGCACAAGTACATGTGTGAAGGGGCGACGGAAGAGGTCCTCCACTCGCTTCACAAGTCATTATACAACATACTATCTCCCCGTACTTGCATATCATTGAATAGACGTGAAAGGGAAAATCTGGGGGTGGGACATGCGCGAGGGATGGCGACATACTAACTGCCCCACAACATTCGGATAATTCGTCCCGTGTTGATGCTTGCGCTGCTTGTGGAGATAACCGACACGATCCTAAATCAAATGGGTTTTGATCTGTATGCTGCGAGGTCTGCTGCACGTTCATCTCCTAGCAAAAGGTGATACTATCAAACTCAGTCCGTGGGGCGAGCACGTTGGTGTGCCGGAATAGTGATAGTCGTCCCAACAAGACAAGCCACCGCCCAGTTTAGGGCTAAATATGGACGACAGGGTCAACGTAATAACTCAACACTTTTATTTAATGTGGAGGTCGGAATACATCTCCAGATGTACCGTTTCCTCTATCAATGTCTTTGCTTGCCGCTTGGCCGTTGGTCCGAAAATTGAACCGATTGCCAATCAGCACATCGCATGGCGAGATGAAACTGGATGAACGGCTATGGATCTACAATCGCCATTTCCTTGGCCAAGAAGGGTCCACTCACACCTGAGCTGGGGTTTTCATTCGAGAGAACGTACTTCGTGGTGCGACATCCATTCCTACAGGCGAGACTTTGCGGAGCCGACATGACTTCTGGTAAGCCTGTGGTGGCCAGTCTGGCTCGACCCAATTCGGTCCGAAGGGATCCACTGTGTGGTTTCGGAGTCGATGTCGTGGAGCAGGCGGCGAAGCGTTGTGGCATCGTGGTACTGGTAACGAAGGGAAGTTCTACGATCAATCGGGGTGCGCGGCCTGAGCGGCTCTCCTACATTGCGCGTCAACCAGTGTCCGCAGGGTCATTGATGTGCATGGCAGATAAAGTACCCACCCAGATGAGCCCATTACAGAACTTATGATGGTTCTCAAAGTCTCAAACCAACCCGGGATGGCGCAAGCTGGCAAACTTCACGGTGCCAGCCTCCGAGCCAGTCTTGTCACTGGTCATGTGCTACTCAATCCTCGCCTTGTGCCATAGAACGGTGGCTCATGCATTGGTTTGGCGATGGCGAGCCTGGCTTTAATCGAACAGTTGAGAGACATTGCAGAGTTCTTGAGGACGATCGTCCCCAAGCACCCATCTCACCTACCGTTCATTTGTATTCTCTAATTCATTGTCACAATTTCAGGTCTCAATTGATCGCTGCGAATTCTTATGATGCAATTCGTACCGCTCTAGCTGTGCAACCAGGTGATCAATGGTACAGTACAGCCTTTTGACGTTGTGACTGCGATTCGAAGCCATACTATTTCCACGGACACCACCACGGTGCCTTTGACACGTGCAGATCTAATCAGACGACTCTCGTGCATACAAGCCACTATCTGGGGAAACAGACGGTCAAGCGAGCACCCTGGCCGAAACCAAATTATGCTTGGTTTGGAGGGTGTAGTGGGAAAGCTCATGATGGGCTCCAGTGGAGCCATTTCTGCACTCCCTATACTATCGATATCGCAGAATGTCGTGATTTAGATTCTGCGCGGTGTGTTGTGCAGTACAACATGCGGTGGAGGTATCTTGCCTTATCAGTTGTGTGTGTTCGAGCTGATGTGCACTGAAAATCCTTTCAAGTAATCGAGGGGTCGTGAAGGTGTGCAGTGCAGACAGCTCGCCAAAGTGGCGATCAGCACCTGTGAAAGATAACGGAGGAGCGCTGGCCTTTGAGACAAGTCCTTCTGCTGTCACAATCATTTAGCTCACTTGCGCAATTCTATCAGAGTCCGTTCGCAAGGTGACGGAAATTCAAAGCATAGGTATGTATGAACGTTGGTGGTTGATGCAGCAGTCTGCACGATTGTCCTGGCCACGCTTCCTCATCGCCGGCGCCCAAGTCCCCCACGGCAGCACAGCCACAGAAATGCCGGAGAAAAGCTCTACGGATGATATGGCTTGTGAGCTCCAGCAATTCATTCTGGTGCGGCAGGCGATCACCGTCCCCGACACACGTCCCATGGATCCATCGAGTTGCAACCAAGCTCCATTGTCGCTTGACATCAGGCAGACCAAATTGAGTGTTCATGTTGACGGCGGTGAGCCCAGCGAACAGTCGCGTGATACGACTGGAGTGGGCCAGTGGCTCCATGGATGGGGACACTCGATCTTCTGAGCTGGCCGACGGCCTTCAGAGTCCCAAGTATGTGCAACAATATACTGGCATATAGTATTACATTTCGATAATTAATTAAGTTGCCCAGCGTTGCGCGCCGGGGGGGGGGTGGGGGTTGATGAAGGCGACCGTGATTCGGACCTAGAGACGCCATTGGAGAGGTGATGTAGTAAAGTCCAAACGAGTGCCTGAGGTCGTGTACGGACAAGAGTCCGTTGCCACGTTGTCATGATGTGCCAAGTCCAAGTTCGGCCGCCGCAGCCAATTTGCTCATAGACGGTGCGCCAAAAGACATGGCTCTCATTCAACCGGATAGGCGTGGTGCCTTGCTCCACATGCGTAGCTCATGATTAACCAAACTATCGATATTTTCTTTGCAGTCGCGCGCAATCCAAGTTTTGATGTAATGAAACAGGTGTGTGTATCTCATTGAGTTCCGAATGTGTCTGCCCGTGATAAATTTTGATCTATCACAGCGATGATCGACGACGGCATCGGTATTCGTTTCCGAGCAAAACAATGTTTTAGCACACCGACTAGTGGTGGCTTCCATCGTGATGCCATCGACGAAATGACTGAAGTTGACCGGTAAGCGCTACAGCGGCCGTTATTCCACCAGAAGCTTGCGCCCAGGCCACTCTTCCCATCTAGTGCATGTCGATCGGCGATGTACAGTACCTGCATCGTAAAAACAAAATCATCAACTTTGACCGAGGTGGAGGGGACATAAACTATGCTCATGCCGGGTGGGTTTAAGATTTTTCTGCTCGCCGGTGGGCTGAAGCATGTTTCGCATGCATTGGAAGAAGTGCCGGCTTTCTGACCACTGTAATCAGCTCCCACGGAGATGTGATGTCGTCCAAGACGTTCGATCACAATAAGAAGTAAGAGACGGTGTGCATGGAGATGACGTGGAGCATTGATGATAAGATAACATCGATCACGCTTCCTGAGCAGGTCGATCGGTCTGCTCGGAGCTCAATGTGTCTGTTGTATGCAGTCAGAGAGACATGTCAGCAGTCACGGGTCGTATATCTATGATGAATTATGATGAGATATCGTGACTTTGGAGCGCCGGCGACATGCTGGTAATGAAGTTATACTTTGCAGGCGGCATGGGTAGTCTGCTTTGAAATCACTCGAAATGGTCCTCCAGGCACCATCGGAGGTAACTTGTGAGATGAATTCCCGGGCTACACCTGCCCGCGAGTCCTCTGCCAAGTAATTTCTGACCCGATCTGTCACGGAGACCATGGTTTCCCGAGTTTGCGTGCCACTACGGTCTGTCCGATCACGATCATGATGAAATGAGCAGGACAATGCACGTTCAAACGTTGTGATGGCCGAAGCGCTGATTGAATGCGCGAGGCTGTGACGCCACAGACGATGTCGTGGGTGTCCACATAGCACATGAGCATTGTGTTGCACAGAATACGTATGTCTCCGGAAGTGGCGGAACAGTAAGGCGTGGATTGCAATGTGCTGCGTAACGAGGTGCGAGGTACAATGAAAGCTAACTAGGTTTCCATGGATGTCAGTCAGCCACATGATGATCCAAGGTTACTTACAAAGCACTCCGACTTGTAGTTGCAATGAAAATCCGAATATCAAGCCGTGTACAGAAAGTAATGTAGACGTGGGATGCCTTGTGGAACATACTCATCTGCAGTTGGCATTGGGAATGTCTTTCTTCCTCCATATTCGATAAAAGCCATGCATTATTCAAAGGCTTGCCCCCGGTCGGGGAGTGGGGGAAGAGTTCTCTGAGCGCTTGACCTCATATGGACCAGCTTGGAGCGATGATGATGTAAAGATGGTGGAGTGTGCATGCAGCATACATGGAGCGTGCATCCAACGTGCATGGTTTGTGCATGATCGAGCGCAAAGTCCTCTCGTAGGGATTCCCCGAGATGAGTCTATGTGTCCGCTTTTGAGAACACTCCATCTCTGCCACCCGTGGACAACAACGATGACACTCTTACGGACAAGATATCGTACAAGTCGGTGCTTGGCACCCCGAAACGAATTCCGAGAAATACCCGTGCGCGACAGGAAGCTTGTGAAGTCTCGTCAACGAGGCACAGCTTTGGTCGAGCTAGACCGAGTTTGACACCTCTCTGCAGGCTGTCTTTCTTTCTGACTCGGCAGTATGTGTACGAGTGAGCGAGCTGACAGTATTGAAACGGCCTGTGTAGAAAATCTTCGAGTGGATCGCAGGCGCCAGATCCACAGTTGACACAAGTTCGCGTGCAAAATACATTGCATTCGATTGTGCGTCCGTGACGGATTATGTCATGCCATCCATCCAGTGGACGAATATAACCATGGGTCCGTGAATGGAAGATTCCTGGGCATCGGAGCCCGCCTGGCATGCTGCTTATTGCTATTTAATGGTGTGGGCAATGCTCAAATGATCCACAGCCCTAGATCACCTCCTTTCGGACGAAAAGGTCGGCGCTACAAGGCTTTAGTCATTGTACCGGTTTTGATCCTCTGCCCTGTCGGCTTGTTGGTAGCTGGGTCATCGAACTCAACCATGTTGGTCGTGTCTTTGTCAGTGTAGCGGAGAGCTTCTCATTGGCTCTCACAGGTCCGCGACATCCGCCATCGAAGCCGTGTGCCGTCACCATCGGGGCTTGGCGGGATCGAGTTTGGTCACCCCACAATGGAGGCGCTCTGTCACTTCGCGGTTGGGACAGCTGAAGTATCTACAGCACAGATTCACCGTATACTGTGGAGTCCAAGAGCCAACCGCGCAACTGTTGACCATTTGGGCTGAAATAATGTACTATACACATCGTATCCTTGATGGCAAGGACGAATCCCTGTTGTGAAGCATTATTACATCGCGCGCCGGCCGGACAGATGAGCCGCGCGAACGACTAACGACAGCGGAAGCTCTTCGCGCCCATTCCTGCGCCCCAGCCTCTCGACCGGCGTGTGCCGCACCCAGTGAGCTCAACGTCGCAAGGGAGAAATCCTGATTGAGCGAGTAGGCGGAAAATTGATCGAATGGACGCATTTAACGATTATTGTCGTTTCATCATTCGATGTTGGGCCAACAGGAATCTCCTTGAAGCCTTTGATCAAATCGATAGCACGCTGCAGCTTACCTAGCTGTTGCTTTCCCGTAGCACCTGGGCGTGCATCCGTGGAGTGGTGTCAAATGCTCAATGGACACCATCATTGATGCGACGCTTGGCCGCCGGCAGATCGTCAGCGCGCTGTCCGGCCTTCTGCACCTCGCCTGCATCGCCGTCGTCCAATTCGTCGGCAGGCGTGGAGTACTCGTGTCAACTGGTGAGTGAGGATGGGATTGTATCGAGAGATGGAGTGGTGAAGTGCTATGCCCCGGCCTGTCCGTGTTGGTGGGCCGTGGACGCAGTCTGTAAATCGGTTACGCTTTTTTTGGTCTTCGAACCCAGTGCGCGCCTAGACCCAAGGCCCACTGGCCTGACTAGGCGAGCTTCTAGTGTGTCGCCCCGTTCAGACGGTGGCCGCCTCTCCCCTCCATCAGAGCAAAACTGTCCGTACCACTCGCACGGCCGGCCGGCATCATCATCACCACCACTTTGTAAAGTACTCCTCTCGTAGGCATCGTCACCGTCACCGTCACCGATCAGGTTTTTCCTCTGGGCGTGCCCAGATAGTGGACGATTTTACTACCTGGATTCGTGCTCGATATACATGATACTTTTCCGCACCTGTCGCTGCATCAAAGCCTTGTCTGCTTCTTTCCTCACCTATCTCGACAACCACCCAGAACGCGACCTACCATCCTATTCAACCACCTCCACTTCTCCGTATCTCCAGCTATTCTCTCCTGGCGTGTGGTGGCTCTCGATCGTCTCAAATCTAACCGCACATTTGGCACGCCTTGCGTGTTCAAGTCCCCTGCACATCATCAACGGACCGTCTTGTCCAACCGAACGTTCACCCCAACAAAGGCGACAGCGACGAAGCTGTATTGGCGAGCGAACGAGCGGGCGTATATGCTACCGAAGCGGTACTCGCTCGCGAAACCGAGACTGCCTTTTTTTCTTTGAGGCGACTGCACGGCCCGTTGAGTGCGACTAGGTTTGAACTTAGTGCGCCCTCGCGAACCATTGCGTACGCCGCGACACGACTTCTGCGCCCACTTTTCTGAGACCTGTGCGCACTGTGAGAGTGAGAGCGTCTCGTCTCTCTCCGTGCGGGTGGGTGTGAGAAGTGAGGTCGTGCCCTGCACTTACCTTGCCAAAGAGTGTGTGCGACCACTCCGTCAATCTCACTAGGCATTCTCTGCCCTGCTGCTGCCGCTGCATCAGTCTCTCATCACTCACTCTCTACCCATCTCTCTCAACAGAGCAGACACCAGATATCCCTCCGTGCGCGCGCACATCCACAAACTACTTCCCGTCTCTCCACTCGCCGATATTATCCTTCGGTAATAATATCAGTCGTGGTGGTGGTGGTCGTCGTCTGTATCTCAATTCACCTACAGTACTACTATCCTTTACGATAGCAGATCCGTTTCTGTTGAGGAACATCGGGAAGCCAGCACCACTTGTTGTCTTTCAACCTTCCCGCTTGCCGATTCCATTCGCCTCCTGCACAACCTTTACCATCACTCAACACCCCTCCTCTTCCTGCTCTCTCGACACTCTAGAAAGGCTACTGGGCTCAACACCTCGAGCACTTCCTTTTTCCACCACATCCTACTAATATTCCTCCAACAACCTCACCGACGAGATTTAACAATTGCGACGTCGTCACCAACGTCACAGCAACTGCGTCTACGTTCGACTGGCCGGGCTTTCACTAGCAGCGCGCATCCGTCGAATCGTCAGACCTACTGCGCCGCACCACTTTTCACCAGCGTCTCAAGTGTGCATGCGGTGATCAGTATCTTCTCGTAAGTCATATTCCTACTGGCAACATCCTTTGCGATCATCCACGCGTTGATCCTCGTGGGTTCCTACCATCGTTCGCCTCACTGACGTCCTTACGTCACAGCCTTTTATTCCTTCCACCTTCGAGATCTTCTTAATGTCCCGAAAGTGTTGAATCAAGGCTTGCTTTTCGTCCGCCGTTCATAATCTACCGTCACCGCGAAAATGCCCTACACACCACCATCGCAGCAGTCGCCTGCTTCGTCGCGCACGACGAGCCCTTCGGTCAGCCGTACTTCATCCTATCACGAGGAACTTCCCCGATCGTCCATGGCTCGACAGTCATTACCCAGATCGATGAGCTCCGCATCATATCTTCACAAGCATCGTCGATCGCCTTCACTACCCAACAACGAGGCGTCCGCCACCCCGAGCAACGATGCTCAGCCCGACAGCGACATCTCCGACTTCAACAAGAGCCGCAGCGTCAAACAGTCGCCACCGCCGCTTAATAACCTGCGGATCCCGACTGGCGCTGTGATCTCACCGCCTGACTCCTCGGAAAACTCTGACGGCGACGAGAACTCGGCAGGGGCAGAGCGTGGACGCGAATTGGAAAAGAACTGGCAACAACTGCAGATCGCCGTGCGATCACTGCCGCAACCACGGGATGGCTCGCCAGAAAAGACGCCAACTACCGAGCTTGAGGTCCCACCTCAATCTGCGTCAGAGCCAGTTACCCAATTGACCTCACCCACTGCACTGTCACAAGAAGCCCGCAAGATCTCACACTCACGATCAGCAACAGAGACCAAGATTTTGCTCAAGGCCCCAACCTTTGCCGACTCACCGAACGGATCCTCCGATGACAGCGAGGAAGATGATGATCACCTTGCCAAGCCTGCTTTGGTACGCAAGAAGTCTGGAGAGCTTGTGAAGCCGGCTTTGCGAGCGTCGTCCCGGCGGCGTTATTCGAGCATGCCGGGTACGCCGACATACTCGAAATCTGTACACTTCAACGACAACGACAATCAGACTCGTCACTTTTTACAAGTCGACAAGCCCATCGCTGTAAGCACCGGAACATCCCCTGTCGAGACATATGACAGCGAGACCGAGTTTCCATTCGACAGTGACGCGAAGGCTGAGCTTCAAATTCGGATCGCTAGTCTGCCAGAAGAAACTTTCGAGCGTCGAGCTCTGCCAATTCGTGTCGAGCGATTGGTGTTGTCTCAAGACAAAGATACCTTGATCGGCACGTGTGCTGTGCAAAACATCTCCTTTCAAAAGTTGGTCGTGGCTCGCTTCACACTTGACTATTGGAAGACCACTTCAGAAGTTGTCGCAGAATACAACAATGCTTCCCACAATGACGGATGTGATCGCTTCAGCTTCTACATCCGGTTGGCAGACCAAGCCAACATCGCTAGCAAGACCATGCTGCTTTGCGTACGGTACAATGTTGGCGGCCAGGAGTTCTGGGACAACAATTACAATTGCAACTACCAGATCGACTTCAGCGAGTCTAAGCCTATCAAGTCGCGTCCGGTCAAGTCATCAACGCAATCCAAACCCGTTGTTCAGTCACCGAAGTCAGCTCCGCCCCGCAGCCGACATACCTCACCTTTGCCGCGTAGCAAGTCACATGATTCCATCGACGATGACTTCATTTCCCGTATCGACAAGGATGCCTACGACTTTGGAGTCTCGGATAAGTACTTGGGCGAGTCACCAACGTCCATCAGATTGAAGCCGAGACCTAAGCGCTCTCCTATGTTCTCACTCGGAGCTCCGACCTCGCCAAACAACGCCCTTGGAAGTCGTTATGACTTTGGAACATCCCTGTCCGCCGCTCTCTCCAGTGCGCAGGACAAGCTCGGCCGCCAAAGCGGACTCATGGGTGGTGCCATGGGCAATCCTGCGGCGGCTCCGAGCACCGTGAGACAGACAACCAATGGCAGCTACTTCGGCGTATTCGACCGCAAGGAGCCCGCCAAGCAAGTCAAGCCAGAAAGGCCTGACAACCTGACCACTGATCGACCCGCCATCGGATCCGACCAATACAAGGACCTGGTTCAAAAGTTCTGCTACGTAGGTTCCAATCGCAGCCCCAACATGGCTCCAGTTTAGCAAGCTAGGACGGAAGGCTGATAACCCGCTACTCCAGTTCACGCCAGGCACTGGTAAAGCAGCAACTTCGCCTCAACCTCGAATCCCTCAGTCGTTGCGTCCGCAGAATATCATTATTCCATCCCGGACTGCCGATGGCACCAGCGAGATGGACTCAACGTCAACCTCGACTTGGTCGTCCGCGGCCTGCTCACCCATAGTTCTAACTCAGCTGGACGGGGTGAACGAGCAGCGAGAATCAAGAACGCTGAATGCGTTGTCCTCTCTCCCTGCTTACTCTGGTACTATGAAGACTCAAAGTATGCGATCGGCCTCTCCTGTCAGTTTTCGCTTTCCGTACCAGAGTCATCGCGATGGATATCTATCAGAAACATCGACGCCGACCGCCATTCAAGGATGAATGGATCGTGCGTTCGGTATTGACATTGATTCGTCTGATGAGTCTACACGCATTGTGTGCACAATATTTTTGGACATTGCGTCGCACGTGGATTTCAGAAAAGTTCCACCGGACCGACCTGCAGTGTGCATTTACTACGCAGATGAGGTATCCATGAATGGGCCCACCTCTTTTGGCAATTCTTGAATCGAATTTCTGCCGCCGAAGCTCGTCATTGCCGCACCCCTGGAACGGCGTCCTGCCAAAGCCACGAATGCAGTGGCCGAGGTTCTAACGCGGATCAGCAATGGAACGAAGGAATCACATCGTAATTGACATTGACTCACGAGCGCTGTTGGAAGCCTGCATACCCTTCATATTGGCTGTTCTATGAGACATGTTTCTTTACGGCAATGGCTTTTCATCGTCAGCTTTACCTTGGGAGTTTCGGTCTTTTTACTGCAGCATAGATTATGATGAGGATGTTGGACTCTGGCCCTGGACAATGAAGACGACGAACGATGAAGAACTCATGACCGCATCAGTCGACGACTTCTTCATTTAACGTCCTTCTGCATCGGAATTGTCGAGAAGGGCATGGAATCGTCCACGCAGCCGTTGTGGCATGCCCAGATTACGGGCCGCCACAAAAAGATACGTTGGGGCGTTCAACGGGACTTTATTCCTCCTTGGGTTTCTTCGAAGAAATATCATGTACATTGGATTCCTGCTGTTTTTGATCATCGGCTTTCACCGATTTGGCGTTCTGTTTATTAAACTTGCTGTTCTGGCTTTCGCTCTGGCGTTCTGTGTTCATGATGGCCTTGGGTGTTTACCTACGAGGAAGTCATTCGGCCCGGCGTTCACTGTTTTGGGGTATGGGACGGGATTGTCGGATTATTTTCCCCTCTGGCAGCAAGTGCGAAGGTGGGAGCTCTCCAGTTCCTGCAGGCAGAACATAACGAACCATTAAAAGTTGTCTTCGAACCTCAAGTCTTCTGAAATTGTCTCAAATCCGTGCACGTTCTCTCGTCTCGTCTTGAATGTCGATATGCCAGTCTTGCAGATTGCCTGCACGCCCGCCACCCTGCATAATTGCACATTGTTCCATCTCGGGCTCTATCTCGTTTGTACGCATTGCATATGCAGGTGTGCATCTCGAGCGATAGGGAGAGACTGCATAATTCATGGATGGCAGCAGAATCGTTTCTACGCTCGACTGATCCGACGTCCATTTGGCCACGCCCGTCCGTGTTAGTTTTCACGTCTCATTTCTCCACGAATGTACAAGAGCCTCATGGTATCCTGGCTCGATCGAGGGCATAATTATTCAACCTACAGTAATGCTTTCGGGTTCGAGTGAATCTCTTATTGATATGAAAATGAGAACAGTAAAAGTGCGCAGGGACATCTCAAATGGGCTGTCTATCTTACCGCTCTCCAGTCAATGCCAATGAAGCGAGTCAGGGATTGGAGAACCTCTCATTTTCGTTGTGATGGCATTCCCCTCTCGCTCGCTCTGTCGGATACATACACCAGCCTGGCAACGACTGTACCTCTGGAACGAGGAACCCCGTTTGCACGGGCTCGCCGGCGTTTCAACTTCGAATGTTTCAGCCATTGTACCACATCCATGTGCTCTCAGACATTGATGTCATGCGGAGCCAGATCTACTATCTGACAGCGGACACCGTCATCAAAGATTCCAATTAACCATACGAACACAAGCGAGCCACGAATGATCATTGATGAGGAGCTCGGTACGTAGAAGCCACGATCCCTCTTCCGACGTCGATCTTGTCCTTTTGAGGCTCGTCAAAAGATTGGTTCGATGTTGCGCTAGGGACGGAGTGTGAAGGGAGCCCAGCAAGGCGTGTGTGAAGAAACTCATTGCAGCAGGCGTCGAGCACGCGGCGGACGCGTGCCAGAAGGTGTGCGGCAGATCTCATCCGCTCCACAGATTGACTGCTCATGATAAGTTTGACCTTATCTCATGTTATAGATCTGTCTGCATATATAATGTCCTGTACCATTGTGCAATTGCATCGTTTTTTTGCGCTGGCAGATCTTGATGCAGGCCATCAAGAGAATGCGCCCATCCTCAACCGCGTCAGTCTTGATTGTTCCCTCGAAGAAGCATGTGCGTGCGTGAAGGCCCTTCCAAATCGTCCTCGGAGTCGAGATGATAATACAGCTAGTGCCCGAAGCGGTCAAGCACGGCGGCTAAAACAACAGGGACTAATACTATTGATCTCTGCTAATTTCCTTTCAGTTCCGCATTCTCCAGGGCTTGTAGGTGGACAACATGGGCTTCGGCATCCTGTTTATTATCCTCAGATCAATCGCTTACAAGTAGTCCTTTTCCAAAATGGAGAGGCGTGAGTTCGTACGGCGCGGAAGTTGCATGGGCACCTGCTCGTCCCTGCGCACTCATCATTGGTGGAGGAAGTCATGCGAAGCGCTTCGCCGTGTCCAAAGGCTGGCCATGTCACATTCTGGGCTGGTGGCGTCAACGCACCGATAATACACGGCAAAGCTCGGTGTTTACAGTACTTCAAGACGGACGACTTGAGCCGTCGGAGGGCATGTTGGGTCTGGAATCACATATTTGAACCACGGTCATCGAGCCTCTTGTCGTTGGTATCTCCATACACGGAATACATACTGTGCTGTAATAAGAATGGTCGCTGTGATGACAAGAAAACCTGCGGAACCTTGTGGGGACCGTGTGGTGATTGGTGGTGGCAGGCGAGATTAACGGCGGACTAGCCGGCAGTGGATTCTCTACATTTGATGAAAAGCTTGGTGTGTGTGTTGCGAGATGTGATCCACGGTGGATAGGCCATCGCCGTCGGTGGATATTTGTTTCTGTAAGGCGAAAGTGACGGCATTGCTCGTATGAAGGAACACATGTCTGCGTATTCATCTCACTCGCAAGACAGAGAAGGCGAGCTGAGGATGACCCAGTCTCGTGAAAGGGACCGACGTACTGTACCTACCTGGCACTCCACCGTGCCTAGAGAATGTCCCAAAGACTGGCCGAGACTGCTACGCGCTGAGGTCCCATTGACCTCGCTCTGTCGACCATCCACTGTACGTACATACCACTGCGTGCACCCACGCCTTCCAGTGGTGTGCCCATGTGCATGTGCTTATGATGCTCCGGCGTGGAGATGTGGCTCTGGATGTGGATTAATTGATAGATCAAGTAGCGTGTAAAAGAAGGTGTGCCAATACATACATACAGCACTGAAGGTGTGTGTATGTGTGCTTGTGTATGTGTGGACTTGCCCCAAACTCGCTCGTCGGTCGCTGAACGGGCCTCTCGCTCGCACGCCCGGGCGCGCTCTCACTCTCTCACTCTCTCACACTCTCTCACCATCTGCACGGCAGCTCTCTGATCCATTGTCGCATTCTCCATTCCGCCGCGCCCTCCGTCTCCACCTCCGCCACCGCTCTCAGTCAACATTGCCGCCGCGCGCATCTTGTTGCTTTCATTCTCCTTTCCTTACTAGAATCGGCGTCTGAAGCTGGTCGCGACGGCAGTCACTATCCGATCGACTGCAGCCGTCGTGCCGATCACCGACACCCGACTGTTCTCGTCCCTACGGTGATATACACACACATTCGACAGTGTCACTGGCCCCTACCTGTAGTCAGCCCAGCTTCGTCCTTCGCATCGCATTCACTACTCGTCCCGTTGCGCGCTTTCCTGGAATCCTCCCAAAGGTCTTGCGAGCCAGCGACTCAGCAAATTACGTTCCCTTGACAAGTCGCATCTTGCGCTCAGGTATGTTGGAAACAAAAGAGCCAGGGTCAAGTCTCTCGGTACAGACAGTCGACCTCTAAGGCAGACCCGCTTCGACATCGACTTGTTTCTGACTGACGCGTTTCACCGCAGTGACAGCCGCCAGTCCCCCAACCTCTGTATCACCATCACGGTCGAATCAACGAGTTCCACTCGCAAAAGAAGGCGTGGTAGTGCATGGGGTGCAATGAGCGATAGCGCAACACCATTTGGACAGACTCAAGAGTCCGCATCTACTCTTGCAGTACCCGGTTCGCAAACGGAAGTGCAGGCTGCGAACTCGCTGAGCGGCGAGTCTACGGTCGACACGACAGAACGACCTCGTAGAGGCTCAAAACGCAGTAGGAGAGACAACAGCGCTAGCAGCAGGCGGACGGCTCCAACCACGATGCCTGACGAAGAGAAAAGCACGCGTCCCGTGTCCGACGACCCTTCGCAGCCCGATGCTGCTCTGAAATCCAAAAAGAAGAAGGGCTTTCTCGCCTTTTTATGCTGCGGATCGGCCAGCGACGCCTCAGACCCGACTCTCCAGGACCAGCCAGCCAAACCAGTGACGATAACAAACGCAGAGAGGCCGTCACAATCCGTGCCAGTCCACGCTGACCAAAATGCGGCACTCACGGGGTCGCGCACGAGTGCTAAGGCGTCCAGCTCTCCTAACGATCCATCCTCTCAAAGCTCCCGATTAGTCTCAGAAAAGCCCATCTCTGCAGACGACCTCATCCACAAGCCTGTGCCGGATCTGCCTGCGGAAGCAACAACATCGCTACCATCTCACGGCACCGGTCAGCAATCCGCATCATCACACAGCTCGCCTGGCATCGTGCCTCTAGTTCTCGCGCCGGCGCCTGACGTCGACAGCCTAGGAGCGAAGTCTTCAAGTCCTGCAGTTGAAGTACAGCCACCAACACCGGTCGCTGGCGCGATTGCGACCGAAGACATCCCCATAGCCGACCGGACTCAAGCGCAAAAGGCACAAGATGATAACCTTGAACTGGTGGACAGTGGTCCCAAAGTGCCTCTGTCTGAGCATGAAGCCGAACAGATCACACACCAAAAGCAGCCAGAGCCAGAGGTAGCGCAGGCCCCAACACTTCCGCCGCCACCACCATTGGCAGACCGCAACGTCGACGGGTCGGTCAACAGCCGCGAAGGTTCAGATTCCGTACAGAAATGGCTTCTTCCTCCAATGCGACCCGAACATCGAGGACGGAAGTGTTTGGTCCTCGATCTCGACGAAACACTCGTGCACAGCAGCTTCAAGGTAAGACATGCGATGAGATGGAGGATCGAAATTGAAGCGAGTGCTAACAGATCGACCTACAGATTCTTCATCAAGCCGACATGACGATCCCAGTGGAGATTGAAGGGCAGTACCACAACGTATACGTCATCAAGCGACCTGGTGTCGACAAGTTCCTCAAGCGTATGGGTGAAATCTACGAAGTCGTTGTTTTCACAGCTTCCGTCTCAAAGTACGGCGACCCGCTCCTCGATCAATTGGACATCCACAACGTCGTCCACCACCGTCTCTTCCGCGAGAGCTGCTACAACCACCAAGGAAATTACGTCAAAGATCTCAGCCAGGTCGGCCGTGATCTCAAGGAGACCATCATCATTGACAACTCGCCAACTAGCTACATTTTCCACCCACAGCACGCAGTCCCAATCAGCAGCTGGTTCAGTGATGCGCACGACAATGAGTTACTTGATCTGATTCCGGTCCTGGAAGACCTCGCAGGTTCCCAGGTACAGGATGTCAGTCTGGTGTTGGATGTGGCGCTATGAAAAATCCCCATTTCGTTTGTTTAACCCGCAAATAACCCCATGTTCGCGCTGTTTTCTCGCCGTCGTTTTCGCTGGCGCATAGCATGGGTTCCTGTTACATCTAGAGAAGAAGATCCTCCCATCCCCACCGCAAATCATTTGTTATCGTTGCTGTCTGTCCTCTGATTGGAGGGCGCGAATCTCGATTCAAGCGTTCGGCACCTTTCACCTAATGTTGTACAGACCTCGGCGCTGTGCTCAGGCAGCGTGTCCTGCGTGTTGGCACTCACATCCATTCCGCTGATTGTTGCCTTCTGCGCCATGTGGTCGCGCTTAAAGGTAGTGATTCTGCTACCTGTTGTGCAATTGGCAGTGGACCTGGAAAGTTAGAAGGTTGCATTGAGATGCGATCGGCTTCGGGCAGATGGAAAGGAAGAGTGGCAACATTCCAAAACCTTTGGAAACCCAGCATGGACCAGTTGATTCACAAGTACCGCCATCATCACCACTCATCTCTACCGCATCCATCGTGTCATCATCGCGATCACTGCGGCATTTATCCGCTGTCCACTGCTACCACCGCTATCATTAGTACATAAAGGGAGGAGTCTGATCATGGTACGATTAATTAGCTTTTCGCTGGACTCTCTCTGTGTGTATTTTCTTCTCTCACCTTCTCGCTTTTTCTTTGTAATAATGCAAGAAAAGAAAGTGCTGGCACCGACCTCACGTTCTCATTGGATTCGACATCTTTGTATGTGATGGTCAACGTGATTTCTGGTCTGGTGATGTTGGCGTATCGGTTCATAAAATCGCGCCCTGGTGTGTATATGCTGTCTCGCATAGTGTATGGATGTTGATGGAGCTGAATCAATTGCATGCCAAAATCGCAGTAAATCTCGAGTTCATAGACGGGTTGCTCGCAAATCTCTAAATTTCGATACTGTTACATATATACTCAAGCCCGCTACGGCCCAGATGCGCATTCGCTACGAGTCCAAAAAGAAAATCAATGGAAGTTATGGCTTGCAGTGGATCACAAAGTGACCGCTTCGTTAGCCTGCTTACCCTCGCCCATGAAGAAACGCTTCTGCTCCAGACATTTCTCGCTCTTGCATCCGGGGCATCTCAGACCCATCTGCTTACTGCAAATCTCTCCGGAGTTCAAGTGGGCCTTTGCTAAATCCGCCAAGCCCTGGATGAAGGTGGTGCTGCCATTGAGACTCTCCGCACGGCGCACTCGACCTTCTGCACCGAGCTCGTTGGCCTCGTGGATGACTTCCTGATCAATTTCAAACAGCGTTTCGATGTGGTCCGAGGTGAAGGCGATGGGGATCAGAACAATGTCTTTTTGTCCCTTCTTGATCAAATTAGGAACGGTGTCGGCGGTTTGGGCGCCGAGCCAGGCAGACGGGCCGACCTGTGATTGCCACACCAGTCGGTATGGGTTGCGATGGCCGAGCTTCTGTTGTACTGCCCAGACTGTGGCGGCGACCTCCGCCGGGTATGGGTCACCGCGGTTGACAACACTCATGGGAAGACTGTGAGCGCTGTATAGTAGCACCACACTATCGCGAATCTCCGGCGGGTAAGTGTCGAGCGCCTTGTTGATATTCTCGGCGAAGGCGTCGATAAGTCCTGCATGCGTGGGCCATCGATCGATAACACTCCATTCAATCGCGCCGTTTGCTTCTTCGGGTGTCATCTCGGGATTGCGCTGAGGAGTTTCCAATCGTGTCCTCCACTTCCATAGCTCATTCAGCGAACTGCCCGTTGTGCTACAGGAGTATTGCGGATATTGTGTGAAGGCCACAGCTCTACCACCTCGTCCTTTGCCGAAGCCATCCTCGAGCAGTTTGTTGTACATTTCCTCCGTCAATGGGTTGGCGTAGCGAAAGGCGACATATGGCTTGTGAGGCGCCGTCTCCGGATTGATCTTATCAAGAATCTTGCACATCTCAGCCGCTTGGTATTCACTCCACTTGCGAATGGGACTTCCACCACCAATTCCAGCGTATTGCTTCTGAATCTTTGGTGTTCGCCGCATGCTGATCAATGGTCCGAGAACGCCCTGCAATGGTCCCAATGGGATCAAATCGCCATCGGCAAACAGTCGCGAGAGAAAGCCTCCAACCTCATCGGTAGTCGCCGGCCCACCCATGTTCATGAAGACCATAGCAGTGGGCCCTTTCTTGCTGGTGGAGTTTTGAGTAACTGGTGGTACGACTGTGGCCATCGACCGCGCCAGGGCGGTCTTGGATTGTGTCTGGATGCATTGCGCAGACGTCGCCTGCTTTACGAGCGTGCGTAGAGGTTGTTTAGAAGCCATTGCTGCGGAGTACAACCTTGAGATCTCACAGTCTAAACGTAAGCTCAGTGGTGGATGAAGCAAGTCTTTCTTGGTCGCCAGCAAGACAAGATGCAGGGCCGTCGATTGTGCAATGTGCCAGCGAGTGGTAAAATACATTATTCAGCTTCTGACAGGCCGCAATTTGGACGGATCTAGCCGCATTCGATACGTCATCAGCAGCGGAGATCCTTCGCACGCGGCTCTAGACCGCCCGGGCGCGGAGAGGCTCGACTCCGACCAGGATCACGTGAAAAGGCGGCCCCTGCGCGACAAGGCAACAGGGAATTGCTGCCTAATTGCTTGCAGAGTGCTTGCTCGCTAGACGCGCATCACGAAGCCACTGCACGTCTGCCCTAGATCATTCATGTATGGCTATGCGCCACGACATCTCTGAACGATCACAACTGCTGCAGCTCGGAACACAACTTAGAACTAATGCTCGAAGGTCGTTATTCTTCTTACTGTAGTGGAGATGTCTGACGAATCGAGATACGGCCAACAGGAGGAGGAGGAAGAAGAAGAGGAAGAAGTCAATGAGACTGGCTACTTGGCCGTCAAAGATGCCGTCCTCTTTGCCATCGACGTCAGTCAGAGTATGCTCCAAAACCCCAAGGATGTTGATTCGAAGAAACCGGACGCTTCCCTTTCTCCAACGTTAGCAGCCCTGAAATGTGCTTATGCGTTGATGCAACAACGAATCATCAGCAATCCCAACGACATGATGGGTATCCTGTTGTTTGGAACGACCAAAAGCAAATTCCAAATGGGCGATCAAGAATCTGGAAGGACTGGGTTGCAATATCCACATTGTTACCTGCTTACAGATCTCGACGTTCCAGCGGCCGCTGACGTGAAACAATTAAGGACACTGGTTGAAGATGAAGAAGAAGCAGCCGCCTTGCTGCAAGCAAGCCAAGAAGAAGTCAGCATGGCTAACGTGCTCTTTTGCGCCAATCAGATTTTCACCACGAAGGCTCCCAATTTCTCCTCCCGAAGATTATTCTTGGTCACTGACAATGATTGTCCTCATGCCTCAAACCGCGAAGCAAGAAATAGTGCCGCAGTGCGGGCGAAAGACCTCTACGATCTCGGCGTTACGATCGAGCTATTTCCGATTTCGCACCCCAATCGAGGTTTCACCTTTGATCGCAGCAAATTCTACAATGACATCGTGTATTCTCTCACGCCTGAAGATCCAGATGCGCCGGCGCCGTTGACCCTTGATATCAAGCCCGCCAATTCAAATGGCAAGGATGGAATCAGTCTCCTACAGTCACTACTATCTTCCGTCCAATCACGCTCGACACCACGACGGGCTCTGTTCAGCAATGTACCTTTCGAGATTGGTCCTGGTCTGAAGATCAGCGTCAAAGGCTACATCCTGATGAAGAAGCAGGAGCCTAGACGCACGTCGTATGTCTACCTACCACCAGACAGCGAAAAGGCTCAGATTGCCATTGGGAGCACGACACTTATGGCCGAAGATACTGCTCGTTCAGTTGAAAAGGTCGAGGTGCGAAAAGCGTACAAATTTGGTGGCGAGACCATCTCATTTTCGCTAGAGGAGTTGGCCAAGATTAAGAGTTTTGGAGACCCGGTGCTTCGCATCATCGGGTTCAAGCCTCTTGCAGCACTGCCAACCTGGGCTGGTGTCAAGCAGTCCACATTTATCTTCCCGTCAGAGGAAGACTTCGTGGGCTCAACTCGAGTTTTTGCCGCCTTACATGCCAAGTTGCTCAAAGACCAGAAGATGGGCATAGCCTGGTTCATCGCTCGTCGAAATGCTGCGCCTGTCTTGGTTGCAGTAATTCCGGGTGCCGAAGTGCGGAATGAAGAGGGCGAACAGACGATGCCTCCTGGGCTATGGCTGAAGCATTTGCCTTTTGCAGATGACATCCGGGAGGCTCCTGAGACGAGCCTTGTCAGAGCTCCTGACTCCGTGGTTGATGCTATGCGAGTGATCGTTCAACAACTTCAGTTGCCCAAGGGCGCCTATGACCCTTTCAAATATCCGAACCCGAACCTTCAGTGGTTCTACAAGATACTACAAGCTTTAGCACTCGAGGAAGACCTGCCAGAACAACCCGATGATAAGACAATGCCAAAATTTAAGCAGATACATAAACGGGCTGGTGGTTATGTCGTCGAGTGGGGTGCCATCTTGGATGGCGAATTCGAAAATTGGCAACGCGACAATAAACGAGGCATTACGACTACCGCAACTGGTGGTGCAAAACGCGGATCGGCAGCACCAGCCGGCCCTCCTGGCACAAAGAAAATAAAAGATGAAGTCGATGCTGCAGACATCGATACTGCAATGCGCAATGCATACAAGCAAGACGCCATATCGTCGTTCAAGGTAGCAGATTTGAAAGCCTGGCTCGCAAGCAAGGGAGCCAGCAAGATTGCCAGCAAGAAGGCGGATCTGGTTGATGCTGTCACAGCATACTTTGAGCAGTCGATGGATCTGGATTGATCAAAATTATGATTGCTAATGAATGATGAACACAACTATACAATGCTTTAGTGGCTAGACAGCCGGAGCAATTGTCGGATGCCTGCATATTGTATGTGACGGCCTCAGATGACCGAGTCGAAGCGGCAACCCAAAGTTTGGGTCATTTCCAACCCCGAGTCGCTGCGAGAGTCGCTCGCAATTCTGAAGACTTCACACATTGGCAGCCTTCTACGAGAAAGTGCCAGAGGCTCAACACATACCGATAACATCTCGTTCAGATGGGTATTAAATGATTGCCAAGATATCCATCCCCTACGCAGCTGGGCGATTGGAGGGCAATATTGCGGATGCATACTTGTTAGAGAGTGTAGACTCGGGGATGAGACCGGCGCGTCTTTGACAGGCGTCGCTTCGCCAACCAAAACTGGACATGGTAGTGTGTATGATGAGTAGCTGAATGGTATTGGTAGTATGCTAAATCCCTGTGTTGATGTACGCCTTTATCTGTCGCCCCAAAGGCATTCACAAATCTGCGATCTTGCTCCGACCGTTACCGTTCCCCCCGAAGCTACTTCATCTAGCGGTTTGCATGGATCCTTCTGCCCTTGCGAATGGTGAAACAGGCGCAGGACGGCTCGGACTTGGCGGCACTTTGACACCGCCTCCACTCTCTGTTTCCATGAGTCGTAAACGATCGATCGCTTCCGACATCATCTGCTCGTCTTCACGTCTCCTCGGAACGACGACCTCTCCAGTATTCAATTCCATGGGCAGCACAACCTCATCCGCTCCTAGCGTCAGCTTGATGTCTTCTATCAACAGATCCATCGGGCAAATGTAAGTTCGACCTTTCTTCGCCGCCAGCACGTGCCCACATACTCTCCCGTCATCGTTGCTGACCACCCATGCTCCTGAGTCACCGCCCACTCCAAAATCGCCGGCCACTGTCCAACTAGCAGAGAAGGTATGGCGGCCATGGATCTTGACGAGCTCCATGGTGCTAGAAATCATACCGCTGCCAAGGCCGCTGGTCCTGCCTCGACAATGAACCTTGACGCATGCAAGGTCGGTGCTGCTGCGGATGGCTCCTGGGAAGGAATCACCCGTACGACGGTTACTTCTTGCGCAGAACTTGGACCCTCCGCGTACAGCGTTGGCATGATAGGTCCTTGGTGGTAGAAGCTCAAACAGAGCCCAGTCAATCTCTTGCGGCAGCGACTGGCTGATGCTTTTGAATCCACCTTCGAAAGACTTCACCGTCCGACGTAGTCCAGACGATGCATGAACCTGGCCGAATTTGTAGGAAAGCAAGTGGTCCTCGTCAATACCTGAGTCAGAATCAGAATCACTTTCGTCGACGTGCAGGTCAAGATCAATGGCATCGTCCAGAGCAGGCTGCGTGATGATGATCTCCTCGAAGTCTCCTGGCATGATACCTGGGGCATCTCCCGCAGCATCGCTCATCGGCTCCGCAGAATCATCATCATCCATGAAAACAGATGGTGGTCGCACGGTGCTTTGGTCGTCATCTTCCGAAATCATGTCGTCGTTATCCTCGATAAGGCTTGATGTTTCAGATTCGTCATCATCCATCGCCTCATCCGGCTGAGCCGGAACCTCTTCATCATCATCAAGCTCGAGCATGTGATGAACACTCATGCCGTAAGGCTTCCTGTCGACAAGTATGATCCCTCCAAAAGATGCAGGTGGTAAATGCTCATCATCCCTATAGGCTCCGATGGATGCACCACACATCGGACGCTCCTGGTAGTCGGGATTTGCAGCAACGGGTACATCTGGATCACGCATAGCTGCTACACTCCTTCGTGCGTGAGATGAGAAAGGATCACGTTTTGGTCCTCGACATCGTCGGACATCCTCTTTCTTCACACGGACGTCAAAGGTGCTTGAATCGTATTTGAAGTGCCTTTTGAGAATGTTCTTAACCTTGGCGGTCGAGGTACATCCAACGATGAATGTAGGCCGCGCTGTCGTAGGCGTCGTGCCGTATGCCACAAGGCGGATCGAACTTGACTCCAGTGAGCCTCGAAGTGCTCTCTCAACTAATGATTGCAATTGGAAACAAGCATTGCTTTGCCAGTGCTCTAGTATTTCAGGGGCTAATGGAATCTCGGGAAATTCATAGCGCTTCTCGCGTGGGCTTGTAGCGGCATCGCTATGTCGGGCTCGAGTGCGAGGCATCATCCCTGGTCCAGCGCCTATTTGTAATGTGGCTTTCCTAGAAGCTTGACGTGCCCGCCATAGCTGTTGTATAAAAATTATGCGTCGTTTGAAGTCCCGCGTGGAGGGCGTCGTCGTGAGATGGAACCGCGCGGGCGTGGCTCCATCCATTGTTCTCTGTTGCTGTGAGACTGGCGGTGGCGTCATCAGAGCTTCGGACATTGTGCGATGCGCATGAGTTGCGCTCGTTTTTGATGCCATCGGAAAGGATTGTGTCCTAGAAATATCGCGAGAACTTAGAGACGGTGGTGCGGAGGTTCTGGGATCGGCCCATGTAGTCGTTCTGGTGTTGTGATCGATGTAAAAAGTCCGTCCGTCCGCTGTAGTCTTCTCCTCCCAACCAACGGCGAGTTCGCCATACTGCTGCTGCTGCTGCTGTGGTGGCGGCGTGAAGGGCTGCTCGGAAGCTGTAGTGGAAAGTGTCTCGTGCCCAGCCTCAAAGGCTGCCACCGGAACGAGTTCTGAAGAGGAACCGATCTCATCAATCAGAACGCATCGCCGCAAATACTGGAGCAAGACACCATAAACGCCCTCAACAGCCAGCTTTGATCCTTTCGGATTGTCAGAAAGGGCCAGACACTCTGCCACCGCCTGTTGGTATGCGGTGCCACATTTGGCGGCAAGCTTGGGGATCCATATTTTCTCGACACGGAGCTTGAAATCAGCAACACTGTAGCGCTGCTTATACAAATCTCCAATGGGCATCCAGAGGCCGATCTCGAGCAGGATCAGACCCAGACCATAAAGATCAAATTGGAAGTCTGCCTGAAAGTCTCGATCGGTGTAGGTTGGAATATCCAAGGGATGTTTGTATATGTTCACTCCCTCGTCGGCTCTAGGCCCTTCAACGGTGCATTTGGAGAACAAATCAAATGATGTCCACACGGGTGCACGTAGTGCATCGAACCTGGTTGTGCCTGTATCGTTAGCGCTAGTTGCAAAAACGATACTGCTGCTGTTGATATTGCAGTGCGCAATTTCTCGATTGTGAAGCGAGTATAATTGTTCCACCAGACGCAGAGCCATTCGGAATCTGTCTTCAAGAGCTGGAGTGGTCGATTCATTGTTTGTTGTTTGTGCCTTGTTCGTGCGTTGCACCATTCGGAGCAGACTGAGCGGAACGCCAAGATTGGGTTCCAGTCCTGCTTCGAGTTGCCTCCGGATAGAATTAGGAAGCTCATAAATGAGGCCGATTCGAGGTTGTATTGGATCTTCGAAATAACCCAGTAGGCTGAATGCGGGTCGATTGTCCGGCCGAACGTATGAAAGTAGAGGCGCCAATGCCTCAAGTCGCTCAAGAGGTGGGGGAACTCCCGTATCACGATACGCAGGATCAAATTGTGCATACTCTACCAAAACTGCGGCTTGCCGTGGACCATCGCCGAGTCGCATCTGAATACCCTTAGGAGCATCATTGAGCTCAATCTGAGCGATCAAACGAGTCGTAGACGGGACTCCTAGAGCTTCGTACGGAGGTGGCGATGAACCGACCGGTAAGTAAAGTGCCGCTGGCTCGATTTTAGGAGGGAGACGTGATAAGCCTGTGTATGATGGCAGGAGTGGCTCCTGGAAAGCAGGGTTAAGCGAACGTTTCTCTGAACCGAAACCACTTTCAGGACCGCTGGTGGCTTTTCGTTTCAAGGAAAATTCTCCTGCTCCTGACTTCTCTGCAGGATATGTATGGATTGTTGAACTGTCAAATCGAGGATGTTCGCCGCGTGCCAGGGCACGTCGCGAGTCGGACAAGTCGTACAAGATGTCAATAGATGTCGTGAGATCGCGGAGTAGGTCCTCGTAACGTGTTTCATCAAAATCGACAGGTGCAAGCAGTTTGACACCATCCTTGTTGGAAGCACCAGGTAAACTTGCTCTGCGAATTCTCTCCGCTTCCTCCGTCACTTCTTTGATATTGCGGAGAACGCTATCGACAGTTTCTGTGAGACCCGCTCGGGCAACAGACTCGTCGATGTTACCATCGGGTCCCTTCCCATCATCGCTCCATGCCAATCCCCACGCAATTAATCGATCTTTTTGAATCCGATATTTTCGGTGGAGATCGCCAAATTGTGGGCTGAGAGTCGGTTGAAGCTCTGTAAGGGCGCTCTTCTTGACATCCGAATAGAGTTGGGTTAAGTGACTTGTCCGGTTGTGGATCCCCTGCATACGATAGGAATCCATCGCGATGCTGGCAAATTGTTCATTTAGTTTGGAATATCGATGTTGCTACGTTCGCTATTGAATCCATGGATGTTCTTGGAAAGGCTGTTGGAGGTTGGTCATACCATGAGCGAAACTCTACAGTGATTCTAGGACAAATATCGAACTGGGACGAATTTGGGGATATTCATGTCATGTCAATGTTACAGCATGACACCAGTAGCCTAGCCTAGTCTCAGCGAATGCTGTTGCCTTGTCGGGTGGCTGACTTTTAAAGGTTGCGCCAATCAGAAACCCTGCAGCCTTGAATTTGCGACACAGCCACGTTGATTTAGCACAGCTAAATCGATTCCAGGACAACATCACGATATACACAAGACATGAATACGCAGCAACACAAAATTCACACAACATTCACACTGTATAACTCTGCGCCAAAAATGAATGCCTGTATCTTGAAACCCGCGCAAATCCCTGCACATGAATGTATTCGTTTCGGTGAGCAGTTATCGGAAGGTTGCGCCCAGGGGCTTCATGACAGAAATCTATGTAGTGGTGGTCGTCGCTGCGCCACTGATGTTTGCCTTGCTTGTATTAAAAAGCAGGGACTTCAGAGTACACGCGTTCAAAGCCGACAAGCACCAGGCTTCGATGATGCAGTCGCCGCATGGTTCATCAAGACCGATGAGACGTTCAGGGCCTTCCAAGGGCAATTCTGCGAATGCTGCGCGCAAACCGGACTTGAAATCAAAGACCTTGAAGACTCGTGGTATATGTAGTACAGTGAATGCAAAAATTCCGCTTTATCCCGAAGCTCTCGTGTTGAGAATTAATGAAACAATCAGCCTGCACGATGCGTTAGTGCATTGCATTATCGTCACAACTGCTCATTTACTCACCCATAAAGACCAAGAACTTCGCCGAAAATAAGAATGAGAACCATGCCCACGAAGATTCGAGATTGTTGCATGTATGCACGTACACCCTGTAGAATTTTGTTGTCAGATAGCCCACCGTTTCAAGTCAAGGGGAGAAACTTACAGAGTCGCCCACGATACCTATGGCGTAGCCAGCAGCAACTCCAGTCAAGCCCACCGATAGACCACACGCTAGATGCATGAAGCCGTGGAACAAGCTATAGTCTCCCTCTGGTGGTGGTTTCATGTTACCGGCGATGAGGACTGCCACCACCAGTGCGTAGACCGCAATAATACCAGACATGACGACAGGAATCAACGACTGGTTCATTGCCAATATTAGCTATTGTCCTCCCACGTCTTTCAATCTCGTCTTTCAGTGAAAATGTACCTTCATGATAAGGTCTGGTCTGAATGTGCCGACGTTCGCAATACCGATGCCTGACTTCGCTGTGCCGTATGCCGCACCGACACCTGCTCATGTTTTAGCCTCTTGTGCTGTTAATGCTGATTGACGACCTGCGTACATCCGAATATCATGGCGAATGCCACGCCAGCCATTCCCAGAAAAGGCGCAAACTTCGGGGTCAATTGTGATTCGAACGACATGTTGGCTGTGGTGGAGCGCTATAGATGGCGAGGTGTGGAGCACTGCACTTTGTAGGCTTTTGTGTAAGGGCCAGAGATGTCGTTTGTTCGAATGGCGACCGTTGCCGATGTGTCCTCCCCTTCACGAGGCTCAGGTGTCCGAGAGGGTTGATCTGGAGATACATACGGCGGTAATGACGGAGCTTCACGCGGGATCACGTGAGTTTGCTGCGGACTCATCGGCGTTTAGGGCAGCCCTGAAGAAACAACAAACGTGAGATGTAATCGGTGTTCTCTTTCGGCAATGACGAGAGAATCTCGATGCAATATCGACAACTCTGCATGTGTAGTCACATAGAGAGGTGTGCTCAGCAGGTCGGATTTCGAGGAAACGAATGTCGCCGTCAATGTCCGAGCTGTACTTTCCCTGTGAAGTCGTCCAACGACCAACCTATGCTGCACTCCCAGCGAGACGAAATGGTATCCCGTACACAGCCCGGTTCTGCTCTACCATCTCGCGTGGAAGAACTGATGCTTGATGGACAGTTTCTATCGGGCTTGGCAGTGCAGGGTGGAGCGTAAGAAGTCAAGTACAGTACCTGGGGTCAGTGTACGCGGGCCACTCGAGAGCAAGTTGGCCAGGGTTTCTGCAAACCACCACCACCACTACCACCAACACCACCCATCTACACTGACTGGCATCCAATTTGATCTACTCTCCCTTTTCTTTAATACGTCTCGGACATCTTTGGTCTTCCCGTTTGACCGATTTCTCTTGCCAGAGCCCCGTGAACGGCACGAGCTAGTGTGCTGGGTAGCGTCCGTATTGCTTTTGCCTGTGCAGGCTCTTTTCATCACTTCGCCTCTGGACCTCCGAGTTCGATAGCAGCTGGGAACTAGCTTGGACGCAGAAAATCAAAGGGCGGCGACCCAAGGAAAGGACGGATGCCTGCCGAGGGTTGTGCTGCCATCGGCTAAGGATCTCTACATGGCTCAATACCAGGCTCAGCAGGGTCGCGATTACAATCGTGGGGCGCCTCAGAACTTTGGGTCTGCTTCGAGCGCACAACGAGATGCGGCATTCTCCAATATCTTCGGGGGAGCGCCTCCTCCGGGTCGCAGTCAAACGATGACCAGCGCAACCGCTCCACCATCCGATAGAGCCATGTCGATGTCGAATGCCACATCGCAATACATGCAGCGTCCTCCTCCAGTACGACCCGGACAACAGCCGCAAGGAGGCTATCCTCCAGGGCCGGGCGCATATGAAGGGCCGCCGCAGATTCCATATCAAAATGGACCACAGCCGTCACCTCGACGAGCTGTACCTCAAGCTCTCCCACCTCCAGTAAGGCCGGATCGCGTGCCGTATGGCCAACCACAACGCCTTGATATTCGTGGACCTCCTTCGACTGGACAATACAATCGATCATTCACACAACGTCCTTATGGGCAGCCCGGTCCAGCACTGAACAATGATGCGTACAGGACGCAATCCCTGGCAAGCGTACCACGGCCGATGTATCAGCCACCTGGAGGCAATTACACAGTTGCGTCGGCTCAGACCTTTCGACAACAGCCGTATATGAATCAGCAGCCAGCGAGAACCACCGCTCAAGGTCGTGCTATTCCCGATCGTTCCGTAGACGAGAGGACAATGTCCATGACGTCTTACGGTAGGGAAGCAGACAGTACGCAGACTATGAGTGGCAGAGTCATTCCTGGCAGGAGGAGGGAATCAAGTGATACTGTAGGCAGCGAACACATGGCCCCGAATGGTTATGCGCCTGATCGGACATCAAACGGACCTCTGATGAATGGAAGACACGCCAGCGCCGGCAATCATGTTGCCTCAGGATCACGAACCATGTCAATGGCTTCCACCATTACGCCCCATACAGACTATCAATCGCCGCGCCCGTCTGCAAGTATTACGCAGCGGTCGAATAGTCAGATGACATCGAGCAGCACAATGGTCGCACAAAAGCGCCCTTCACTGGTTTACGGTGCCCTGCTATCGAATGTAGCAGCAGCATTCCGAGAACGCGTGGCGGTCAGCGACAAGGAGAAAGATGGGTTGATGTATTCCGACGCATTCAGTGGTTATGAGGCAGTTGAACTAATTGCCTACATCATTCGAACTTCCGATCGCAATCTTGCTCTGCTTCTCGGGCGATCCCTGGATGCTCAGAAATTTTTCCATGAAGTCACCTATGCGCACCGCCTGCGCGATTCACCGAATGAGGTTTATGAGTTCAAAAAAACCATGAACGAGGAGCCGCTGGAGGTCAATGGTGTCTTTACTCTGCTGACCGAATGCTACTCTCCGACGTGTAATCGAGACAATTTGTGCTATTCTATTGCCTGCCCGCGGCGCTTGGAGCAACAACAGCGACTGAATATGAAAGTGTCGCCGGGCTTGAAGCGCGAGACTTCTAGGTCAAGTCTACACGATGAGTTCGAGAACGAACAAAAGCTATGGATCAATACAGTTTCAAAGGAGGTGTCTGATAGTGTCAGCGACAAAGAGAAGAAGCGCCAGGAAGTTATTTCAGAAATCATGTATACCGAGCGTGATTTCGTGAAGGATTTAGAATACCTCCGGGACTTTTGGATCAAGCCGCTGCGGTCGCCGGAGGTCTCGCCAATACCTGAACATCGCCGCGAAAAGTTCATTCGCACGGTATTTTCGAATTGTCAAGAAGTCCACAGCGTAAATTCGCGCATGGCAAGCGCCTTGACTCGCAGGCAACAACAGAACCCTGTCGTGCGCAACGTGGGCGACATCTTCTTGGAATACGTGCCACAGTTCAACCCTTTCATCAAGTATGGAGCCAACCAATTATTTGGCAAGTTTGAATTCGAGCGCGAGAAAGGCTCGAATCCTGCATTCGCGAAGTTCACCGAAGAGACCGAACGTCTGAAGGAATCACGAAAGCTTGAATTGAATGGTTACTTGACCAAGCCTACTACTCGTCTCGCTCGATACCCATTGCTCTTGGAGAACGTCCTGAAGTTTACGGACGAGAACAATCCAGACATGACAGATATTCCCAAAGCCGTCAAGCAGATCAGGTCATTCTTGAGTGCAGTAAATGAAGAGTCAGGGAAGGCCGAAAATCATTTCAATCTCATCAACCTCAACACGCAACTAAAATGGGGGACCATTCCCCACATGGATTTGAAACTGACGGACGAATCCAGGCAGCTGATCTTCAAGAGTAGCTTGAAGAAGACCCTAACAAGCGAACAAGCTGATATAACGGCATACCTTTTCGACCACGCCGTGCTCATCGTTCGCGTCAAGACGGTGAACAAACGGGAAGAGATCCGTGTCTATCGCAAACCAATACCGTTGGAACTCCTGCAGATTAAAGAAATGGACCATGTTCTGCCGCGCATGGCCATCGCGAAACGGCCATCGTCCAGCATGGTTCCAGGCCTTGGAAGAGCAGCAGCAAAGCCAAGCGTCGCTGAGCAGGGATATCCGATCACATTCAAATCGCTTGGCAAAGGCGGTTATGAATTGACACTCTTTTGTACGACACAGATACAACGAGAAAAGTGGATGGAGCACATCATGACTCAGAAGGAGAAGCTGTCGGAACGCCGTAACATTTTTGCCATGTACAAGCTGAACGAAGGCTTTTTCAATGCAGTCAACCGAGTCAATTGTTGTCGGCCGATCGACGGCGGCAGGAAGATGGTCATTGGTACAGATCTGGGGGTGTATGTTTCAGACCGCAAACCCAAAGACGCGTCCCATAAGCCACGACGGATGCTTGACATTCGACTTGTTGCACAATTGGAAGTTCTTGAACAGCATCAAATTCTGGTTGTTCTCGCAGACAAAGCCGTGTATACATATCCTCTCGAAGCATTGGAAGACGAAGGTGCAGCTGCTCCATCCAAGCGTGGCAGAAGGATTTGTCACGCAAATTACATCAACGCTGGCATGTGCAATGGTCAGACTGTGGTCTGCTGCGTGAAATCTTCGTCGCTATCATCAACGGTCAAAGTCTTCGAACCGATGGACTCTATGACCAAGGGCAAGAAGAAATCGGGGCTCGCCAAGATGCTCGCAAGCGGGCAAGAAGTACTCAAGCCATACAAGGAATTCTACATACCCATGGAAAGCAATAGCGTCCACTTCTTACGCAGCAAACTCTGTGTGGGAGGTGCCAAGGGCTTCGAAATTGTTTCGCTCGAAACACTGGAGACACAATCCTTGCTCGACCAGGCCGATACTACCCTCGACTTTGTAGCTCGCAAGGAGAACGTCAAGCCCATCTACATTGAGCGGAACACATCTGAATTCCTGCTCTGCTACAACGACTTCACATTCTATGTCGACAAGCACGGCTGGCGAGCACGCGGCGAATGGATCATCCTCTGGGAAGGATCGCCTAACGCCTTCGCCACGTGGGGAGAGAAGTACATTCTGGCTTTCGAGCCCGAATTCATCGAGATCCGACGGACCGACTTCGGCGGCTTAGTATGCATCCAGACTCACAAGAACTTGCGATTCCTGCACCAGAGCACGCGAGAAATTCTGTTCGTGTACGAAGATGAACTAGGCGACGATGTGATCGCGTGTCTGGATTTCTGGGGCCGGCCGAGCTCCCCGCAGCCATTTGGCGCTCAGCCTACGACTTGAGTGACGAGATGACGAAACGATCGGTGCTCCGAGATGAATGGATGTGGTGATGAGCGATACCACAGCCTTTTTGCCCGATATGCTTGCGAATCCGACGATGCATGTAGATAGGCGGCGTCTTCAGGAGGGACATAATGGAACTGTGGTGGAAGGGGGACTCTTTTTTACTTCTGCTAATCTTCTGTACCTTTCTGCTCCGCGCACGGGAACGCCTTTTTGTGTGATGTCAGAATTAATTACTTTAAATCTTGCACCCAGGGAGTTTCAGCTTTTGATTCACGCGCACATGTTGCAAAGGCTACGAATATTGTGTTTGTCAACGAATTATCAGAAGCTCTGTTCCTTGACTACTGCTGACAACCTTACTTCGCGAGGGGCGGGTCATGTTTTGCCGGTGGAGCCAAAAAGAGAACTAATGAGACAGCGTATCTACTATGACATGTACAATACACTTTCGGTATCAGAGTGACGATAGCAACTCGCTGCAAGCGTGATCCATACTCATTTTTGTCCCAAGGATATTTTGTAAGCTCGACGGCCTAGGCATGATTGGGCACTGGTCTGGATACCACGGAGATTTACTCCTCTTCCTCTTCCTCCTCCTCCTCGTCATCTGCCGATGACAAGAACTTTCGTCGAGCAGACTCCTCCTCCTCGAGTTGCTCGGTCTGGCTCTCGCGAAGCTTCTGGATGCGGTCAGCGGCGTTGGGCGCCTGGCTGATGTGGCCGGTGATCTGACCACGGCCGATGAGCGAGACGACGATGCTGCTTCCGACGATGAAGGTCAGAATGAAGCGGTAGACGCCGTACCACGACGGAGCCAAGCCGCGCTTTGTGGCTCGGGAGTCGTTGTAGTAAAGCCAAGTGAAGAGAGCGAATTGCGAGATCAACGCGGTCTCGACAGGCAGGAGGATAGTGGGCCAGGCAAGACCAGTGGCAATCACACCGGTCCTGTAGCGTTTGTAGCCGTGAGAGCCGCCGTAGCGGGCAAATTCAAGACCCCAGTGAATGGCACCCAAGAAAGAGATGATCTGGTAGGCACGTCAGGATTGTTTCGAGGGCTTTAGATCCAGCTCAATCTCACCGATGCACCATATCCAACTTGGAGCGGCTCAAGGACGTGGAGAAGCAGCTCAGCGGTCTTGTCGGTCATGAAAAACCCAGCACCGGTTGCGTGGTTGTGCTGGATCTCCCAGGCACAGTAGAAGGTGCTGAGAGAAGTTCCCAGGTAAGGCAGGACACCAGCCATACCAATGTAGTATGCCTCCTTGGGCACATTCTGCAGGCTGAAGGTATCGCGGATGACGCCCTGTAGTCTATTGGTTAGTCCCGCTCGCCAAATGATCATCCAATGGCTGGTTGTGGACATTGACCCACCAAGTCGTGTTTCACGCCCGCCAACATCTCGGTGTCGTGCTCCACCTCCGCCACACCACCGACCTCGCCAAGGACGGGGTGGGTAGTGGACTGCGATGACACGAGCTTGGGGTCCGCTTCGAGCTTGTGCTTGGCGATCTCGGCCTCATGTTTGACATCAATCTTATCCACAGGGCCTCGGTTGTCGGTGGAGGAACGAACGAGCTGGAGGGTCTGGATTGTGAGCGGCTTTGACAGCGCAAGGCTCTGAGGTCGGCGGGAGAGGGTGCAGAGCTGCGACTTGAATTGTGTTCGCAATGGGGCGTTGACGGAGCGCGAGATCGGCTGTGACGCGGCGTTCAGGGACCGGAGAAGGCCTTGCGAGGCTCCTGTGCGAAACATGGTGAGTAGCAGAATCCGATGGTCCGACGATATTGTATGAAAAAGCGCCCGTGGGCAAGAAGTGAATATGCGCACGCGGAGGGGAGAGTGGAGATCGAGTTTGGGGCGGATGTTGTTGCACAGCAGTCTGTCTGGGCTCGGAGTTGTCCCAAAAGTTGGGAGCTTGACCGAGCTCTCCCGACGACCAATGCCAAGCCGGAGCTAGACGCGACTTTTCAATGGGTGCTGCTCGGGTCCATTGTTGGCTGTCCATACTATCATTCACGGAAATAAAAGATATCAGGCGTCATCCTAACAATCTTGCTGCATTCGGTACGTGTCTTCGAACTGGGGATACGAGCAAACGCAAGACGTGTGCACTGGGGATGCTGAGTCGCGAGGCGCAGTGGTCGACTGCCTTGGGACTGGTTCATCGTCATCCTCGAACACGAATTTGTGTGCCCAGGTTATATCTATTCACGTGAACAATCTCGGCAGAGTGCAATGTGTATATGAAAGTTACGATATTGCTCTTAACACTTGCAGTACGTGATCGATGGCCAGACTATCATTCCGTTGGGACGGGAGTTAAACTGTGCAGCCCTCGAGGATTCGCATGATGTCGGTCAACCTACACACATTCCAAGGTTGTTAAAAACGAGTGAAGACCTCACCCTGCCACCCGAATACCAAACTTTGTTCCGAGGACACACAAGACAAACCTGAAGCGTCGAATACTGAAGAATTAACAATCGCCCGGGCGGCATTTCCATCGCTTTGCGCTTCGGCGACAACACTAGTTTCGCACGGTAGTGTGCAAGCTCGCTAATCGCCAGGTCCGTGCTGGAAACACATGTCAGAAAGATGATAGGCGCAGATGTTTCAAGCCAAGGATGGTGTTGCGTTTCCATGGTCAACTCACTGGCCCATTTCTCACGTACTCTCTGACAACTCTACGTCCCCTTTCCTACTGCTCCCATAAATATTACACAAGACGCATTCCCAGTGAAACAATTGTCACAAGTCAAAATCTGTGAAAACTTTGGTAAAATGCTGTCGTTATTCGTGTCATCTCTCATCACCACTATTCCGTGGGCATAATACAAAGCCGCCCATAATACTTAAACAAGAATAAAGTTATCAATACAACAAGAACGCGAGCGCTGCATGGGAAACAAATTCGTGCCTGGCGATGAATCAATCTGAATCAACCTCCAGCACCAGTATCCTCGTCATCAATCCAGCCTGATGGCTCAATGTCCTCATCTTCTTCGCTGATTACTGAACCCTCCGAAGCGATGTCATTGACTGTAACAAACTGAGTGGGACTGTCCATTTCCCATTCTCCCAGGATGGATTTCAACCCCCACAAGTCTGCGACGTCAGCATCCAGCTCTTGATATTCCGCCTTCAGCGCCTCTGACGCGGACCTGCCCGAGGTCGCTGACATGTAAGATTGAAGCTGGTCAAGGTATTCGCTCACGCCCTCCAGGACGGTGATCGCCGGCTCGCAGCGTGAGCGTGGCTGTTCATGTTCGTAGGCATATTGGATCTTCGGGACCAACTCGCGAATCATTTTGCGAGCCAATCGGACGCGCGTACCTTCAAACTCATCGTCGACCAGTGACGTGACACCGAAAAACGTGCGTCGCAACCATTGAGCGACATCGTTGCATATTCTAGCAGATTTGTTGGTATTGCTGTTGGGACCGATGTAGCTCGAGTACCACACCCCAAGGTTCTCTGCGACAGCACGTGAAGCGATATTGTTGACTCGCACAATGAAGTTGGCGAAAGCGGCATCGCAGCGTTCCCACAGCGGAATTGTCTTGACGAGTTGTCGCATAGCTTGAGATGCGCGCGTGTCGTCGTTGCACGCGGCGCAAAATTCTTCGACCAAGTACAGAACAGGATTAAGACTCTCCTCTTCAGTATCGATGTATAATTCAAGCGATCGGGGGATGCTCGCCTTTACAATCTCTGGCACATGGTCGGAGGTCAAGAGGAGCGACATGAGCTTGGCTGGAGGGAAATTCTCCTGATGATTGCGGTCAGCAAGAATGGCAGAACGCATCCAGAAGCTCATCGGACAGGCGGTAGAGACACCATGAAGGCATTTAACAAGGTCGGGCGGTACCACTGCCGTGCCGTCATCCGTAAGATCAACCACTTTCCTGTCGTCGTGGTCGGTGTTGTGCATCCGGATCCATGGTTGGCCCAGAACAAAGGTGATGAATCTGTACAAAGATGTCACCTGAGGCGTGCGGCGCTTCATGAATTGTAAAGCATAGGGAACCTCAGCCTGGAGCTGTTCACTCCACGGGAGGTAAAGCATGTCCAGAGCAAAGCGCAAGAAGCTGTGTCGTAGAATCTGCGCGGTCTCCCAGGCGCCTTTCGACGCCATCCATCCGACCATCTCAAAGGCAGAGTTCCAATTGAATTGAAAAGCGTTTTCCCGCTTTACCTCGAAGATTACCTCAAGCTGGTCGCAAAGCTTCAAAAACATGCTACGATAAGTAAGCTCGTCTGTTTCGCGAAGTGCTAGGAGTAAGAGTTGCACTATGTGTGCCAGTCCGAGACGACGAATATTTCGGCCATCGATTACGAGGAGTCTGGTCCAGCTCCCATCTTGAAGGATACGGGCCAGGAAGGGGTGTGCCAGACTTGGCTTCTTGTCAATCGTCGAGCATAGCCTGTCCGTGATGCATTGCAGCTTCATAAGCGGATCGCTGTCGCAAGTAGCAAGGCGTTGTATAAGTGCTACTACGACGCCCGCCACACTCATTTCGAGCTGTGTAGCCACAGACCCTACACTGGTCGCCGAATCTTTCGGGGATACATCTCCCTCGCTGTCTCCCGACTCCGAAGTGGCCGGTGAGTTCTCAGTGAAGCGATGCAAGTTTTCCACAAGCCAACTCGCGAACACCGAGAAATCGAGATGTGCAACGTGATTTGCTAGATAGTGATCGCGATTTTCATCACGAAGGGTCAATTCCAAAGCTTCTGGAAGCTTAATTCTAGCAGGGAGGAGGTCACCCGTTGAAGGATCTCGCGCCGGCTTGACCACTGATAGTGTTTCCTCCAGGACAGATTTTCTTTGGTAGAACAAGACATATGCATTGTCGGTGCGCTCTTGGCCATTCGTGAACCATTCGCCACCAGTACATTCGCGCTGAACAGTTTCGAAGCCGTCAGGACAAATGTGGGCGTTTTTGTCTTCGAGTCTCACCCATACCCTTGAAGTCGACTCAGGAGTGTTCCGTAGAAGTGTGTATGACCAGTAATGCCCGAATTGAAGGGTACCCTGGTGCACAATGACACCGACCAACTCGAACGGATCAGCGGCGCAGATAAGGCTAGGATCCTCTACCTTCTTGTGATGATATGAGGACATATCGATCGTCTGTGGGAATTCGAATTTGTCGTTGACTTTATCGTCCATGTTGAACATGGCTTCGAAAGAGAAACGCTTCAGACAGAAGGTGAGGTTGTCGGGAATCATTTCTGGACAAGCTCGTTTCATAGCGTCCACAAGTCGACCCTCACCCATGGGATCGCAGGCAAGACATTTATACTTGTTTGCTCCCTCCATTGGCTCTCCCTGTACAAACTCGTCGAGGCTCTCCTTGAGGCCGGGTTTATTCTTGACCAAAACAGGCAGATCCACGAACGGTTCGGTTCTGGTAGACACATGGCCACATTCGCCTTTGATCTGAGACAACAAGCGGCCAGTGAAAAATTGATTCAAGGCCGTCTTTGATGCTGCGTCTGGCATTTCGGTCTCCAGTCTGCTCAAGAAGTCTTCATAAAAGCCATGCACATCCTCCTGACTATCAGTTCTGATGTTCAAAGTTCGCGCCAACTCGATTGGTCGGATGGAACGATCTGCTTGAGTCTGCATACGGGCGAAGAGAATCTGGATTTGTGCCAGACAGGCTTGTTTCTCCTTATCAAGGAGCGGCGTTTCGAAAATGAATTGGCGGAAGTGTACATTGGCGTACAACTGCTGGATGAGAGAATTCATGTAGCAAGTCATTCCAAGATTGTCGAGACCGGCACAAGCGGAAGCTTCCCGAGCCCAATCCGCGTAACAGATGTATTCGAGGACGTAGCGTTTCGAAGGCTGAAGCACATCCAACATCGCCGAGCACAGGTCACTAAAGGCGTCCCTCGACTCGCATGTCATCTCAACAATACCGAATGCCAATCTACGGGATTCTTGATGGAGGAGAGTCCGATCGTACTCGCCAGCATTCAATGGGAACAATAAAGTCTGGAAGACCTTGACGGAAATATTGTTCAGGAGCAATGGTCTCTTGAAGGCCTTGAGGATATTCAATGCAGAGTGGAGTATTTTCAACACTCCGAGCATAGCGCAATCGGTGATCGGCAAGTCGACGGTTTCCGAATGCTCGTAATTCAGTGCCAGCGTCAACAAGAGATCGACAAGATCTCTCGCCTTTTTCTCATCTGTCCGAACGTTCAGCGCGCCAACTCGGAACAGAAGATCTTGTGCAAATTGATAGAAGGATCTAGCTCTTGTGCTGTGCTTCAGTGTCTGCGGAAGTATCGAAGTCATCACGTGCAAGTAGAAATCTGGAATTGCCGTGTTTGTCGTCTGATCACAGAAGGTGATGATCTGTCCAGCTATCTGGTGAAGATTGTCGTTGAGTAGAATTCGCGAATGGATGTCAACGGCGAGTTCGTTTGCGGCGAAAGCTTCCCAAAAGGACCGCTGTCGGTCAAATACGCCCAACAAAGCCTTATAGCAAAGCTTTGCTGTTTCCATTCGAAGGCCATCAAGACCTTGATTTGGTCTGGGTGTGAGCGACGTCAGTAATATGCCAATCATGGCATCAGCAAAGGCCGTCGGATTTTCGACCAGATCGGAAGATCCATCGTCATTCAAATGCTCTGTGTCGGACGTTAGCCTGTGGGTTCAGTGGAATGGTACGCTAAAAACCTACCATTCAGGAAATCGTTCAGGCAGGAGAGCGCCTGGCAACGAAGTATTTCCGTTGGAAGTCGTGGAGAGTCGACAAGCAAGGCAACAAGAACACCAATGGTATGTACAACGAATCCATCGTTGACGACACCCAGCTTGCAAAAGTCACGAAAATGCACACCGAGAATGTGAATCGACAAGGCGGTCTTCGCCGGGCATTCTTGAGGAAACAAATCGTCAATCGTGGCTGTGGGAGAGACGACTCGTCGCCTCACGGGCATTGGACATTGAAGATTCCTCAAAAATTGCGACACCTTCAAATAGATCAGTATTTTCGGACTCGTGGAAGGAGGGAAAGACTTACTTTGTGTGCAATCGCCGGTGGGCCATGGAGCAAAATTTCCAGGCGATCATAGTGCTGCAAAAGCTCACGTTCCACCACACCGATCTGACCATACGTGAAGCTGATGTCGCTGTTAAAGTTATACCTAGGACAGACCGCCACTCTTCTCGATGGCTGTATCCCGATATCCTTGAGAAGCTTATCTGCCTCATTCGCCTGGTCTACCTCTCTTCCGCTAAGAATTATACGATTGTCCACAGTATTGGTGATAGCTGGTAGCTCAACTACCAGGTCACTCACTTTTGCCGAGGGTGCTGCTTTTATCGCGATTGATTGATATTTCGGTCCCAGGCCTACAAACAGCTCGAGCGTGTATGAAAGGTTTGTTTCCGTAGCGTCCGCAGCCAAACATATCTCGAGTGGTTTCGACTGATTGTGACCGGTAGCTGTTATCTTGCTCTTGTTCAGGATGACAGACAGTAGGTCGATTTGTTGCAGGACTAATTGTTTCGTGTCCGCTGGACTTGAATCGATAAGCGCATACGAGCTATGAAGACGATCGATGCGCTCCTGGATGAATCTTGTGTGGCAGCTTTCGACGTGTACTTGATTGATTTTCGAAGAGATTTGCATGTAGGGCATGTCGAAGAGTATCATCGACATATTCATGATAGCAATTTCGCGAATCCTGGGTTCGCATGCCAGCTCTGCTATATCTACAAGCTTCGACCACATTGGTAAGTCAAGCAGGTGGTCAAATTCCAGACGGATTTGCTCAGACCGCACATTATCGACAAGCATCCGGTGAAGCATCTCCATTGAAGCAGCTGAAAAGTCTTGCGGTACCATCTTTGGGATCTCGTCACGGAAGAGATAGGAAAGAAGTCGGAACATGAAAGCGCTGAAATAAGGAGTTGTCTTGTCAAGCGTTAAATCACGCAAGCGGATCCAGGCGTCATCACGAGTGATCATGTCGACCGCGGAACCCGCAAAACAATGATCAAACAAGGTCCTCACAATTTCCTGGTCGATTTCGATATTCGATATGGCCATCAGCCGTAGGACAACCTCGATACGATGTGATATACTGGCCATGCGTGTAGGAGATCGTGATGCGGGCTCATCACGTTGGCACTTGATGTATCGTATCATTTCCGTCGCAATCTCTGAAACCAACGGCTTTCCAGCGAGTTCACGCAAACTGCTTGGATTTTGAACCTTTTTGAGAAAGAGCACCACGACCATGGCGCTTGACAAGACATAGTCGCTGGGCTTTACCAAATGCGGGATACATTGCCCCAGGATGAGAACTTGGCCATCCAACGAGAAACGATCGCCGTATGCAAATCTAGTCAACTCTGCCATGGCAATCTGACAGAGCTGGGATAAGATCTTTGAGTCGTGCCTAGAATAATGCTGCCGGAGAATGTCGATACTGAGAAAGGCGGTTGCCAGGTGTGCTTGTGAGCTTTGCTCATTACCTCCAGTGGCTGATAATTTCTTGAGCAGGAACTCCAGCGATTCAACTGCATCTTTGCCCAATTTCTCCGGAGCAGTGTGGACATATTTGGTAGCCAGATAAAGCAGTCGGTCCCATTCAAGATGGCGAGTCAGATCGACCAATATGTCGAACGAGGCCTTCACGAATTCAGCCTCAACACTTGTCGTACATGCATTCCAGATGATGTCCGTATCGACATCGGTGTACGCATGCATCGCAGCAAGGAAGCCAAAAATGTTTTGGCTATGGCTGACCAAGTTGGCATGTGAATTGGGCCCAAAAATATACTTTGTGAATTCATTGCTCCGTAGGAAGCGCGCCGCGAATTGTAAGATTGGATGGTCCAGCCCGTACAAAGATTTCTGATATGTCTGATGAATGTTAGCCAGACGTTTTCCGAGCTGACTGATGCCACAACCGCGAACATCCATGATGTCACTGAAGATGAAGGACTTCAGAGCCTGAAACACCCAGCAAGTTTTCAACAGTTCGACAGCAATGTCATTTTGCGCATGGCATATAATTTGCAATGTCTGGTTCCAGGATTCGTTGGGTATTGTCTGTGGTAGCAAAGCATCCGCATCGCTTTTCACGAAATGACAGTAAAAATCCCAAACCTCATTTGGCCGGGTGCACAAGAGGTTTTCGAGGACGCTCTGTGATGCATTGACAAACCTTTCATGAAATCCATCCGGAAGCGCGCGCGGGTGCTTCTGTCGAATGATTGGAAGGACGCACAAATGCGCTGCTTCCATGAATTGATCGGCCAGCTCATACGAGCTCAGATCCAGAACTTGTGTGATGCTGAATATCGCACCGATAGCGTTCCACGTCAGGGCTATATCACGGTGACACTGACAAAGCTTTTGTAGCAGTTGTAGAAGTGCGTCCATGGTCTGGGTGTTTTTCCGGAGATTGGCCCTGATGAACTGTAATTGGCGATCCGGCTGCTTGTCGAATTGATTCTGCAGATCGATCAAAGACGCATCGTTGTGGCCGCTGAGTACAATATCGAGGACCTGAACATGCCACAGAAGATCCAGTTTTTGCTGACCTCGGATTTGACCTGAGTCCCGCCTCGCAATCGTAGCTCCAACCACGTCTGGCAGAAAGTCCACAATGCGTGCGCTCAATTCGAGAGCTCCGCGTAGGAATTCCGTCACCAGAGCAGCCAGTGGAGCTTGGCCAAATTTGAGAGTCTCTTCTTCGGTGAAGAGATCATCGGACGAAAGGATGGTGCAAGTGAGCTGCCCAAGACCACCAAAGAACTCCTGGTCGCCTGAATACACTGTTCGCCATGGGGACTCGTGTCTCGTCTCATCGATGTGCTGTTTGATCCATGAGGACAACCTTCCGAAAATGGCCGGTGGTAGAGACTGTCTGCCCTCGATGTGGCGGATCAAGGTCTGTATCTGTCGAATTGGCAAGTTATTGGCAAGATTGGCGTCATCAAGGATCGAAAAGTTGTGGCTGTAACGATCCATTTTCACAATCTCATCTTCAACAATGAGGTTGGAGGCATCTGTCGTGGAATAGGTAGACTTGATATCGACAGCTTCGATCGCAACGCTACTGTGGGATGAAGACGGCGTCGTCGAACGAATCTCCTCACTTAGACGCTGGCGTTTGCGCGTGAGATCAGGATTGGCGTCAACGACGGGGTCACGCTGCCGTGAAGATTCGTTACTGGTAGCAGCCATGCTAACGAGACAAGGAAATTGCGTGTCGACGTATTTACTGGTTGTAGGATTTTGTCATGGTGCAGCAGGCGCGATCAAGTGGCTGTCTGCTCCCTGGCTGTTGTGGTACAGCGCGGTACCTGGTGGTGGTGAGTGGATTTGGAGGATTTTCCACGACTTGCTCAGCGTGTTTGATGAAAGCAGCAAAATTGATGTCGAAACAGCAACAGCAACTGCATATCAGGCACGTAAGCTTCGCGAAATGTCAAGAATCCAAATTTTGAACAGATGAGGCTGTTGCTTCAAGCACAAAGCGGCCCCAGTTGAGCAGACTGCTGCTCCTGAGTTGATGTAATGATGGTGCATCACTTCACGACCATGCCCCCCATTGCCAGTGCTGATAGGGCAAGGCTTTTCGAACGCGTCGCGGGCGCAAAACACGTCTTCTGCATGAAGTATCTGGACGTGGGCGTCCACGGCTGCCCAGGTGGCTTTGCAATCTTTGGCGGACATGTATACGCAGTATTTCAACGGGAAACACACCTGCAGATTGGAAAATATTGACCTGGAACCACCCGGGCATTGATTACAAGTGCCTGCATCGAATTGGCTTGGTGAGCGCAATCATCATCAACGACCATACAAAATCCAGCATTCCATTACACATCTCCAGCTCGTTACAGCACCCACGGAAAGCTTTCTCGATAATACATGATTGGAACTCTGCGGGTGAACAAAGACCATCCAGGCACTCAACTAATCTGATGATTGTAATGACATCGTAAATCTGCGGCTGCACCCCATTCTGCAAGCGCTGTAAGCAGAAAAACGCCAGAATGTATGTGCATGTTTACCTGTCTGCGAGCACCCTTGAAATGTACTGCTTGCAGAGGTACAGTACATGGCGGCTTCCTCGTCATCTGGGGCATAACCACGAGGCGCAGCGCCGGCGTATTGGACAAACAGGAAGTCAAGTGCCTTCCATCGCACGTCTTCATCGTCAGTGATCTGCAGCTTTGGTGACTTTCTCCAGGTGTCCGCAGTCGCCCATCGTCGATGTCTGTGACCGTTGCGGTCTTCTGTGGGCCATGACTCCGACGGACACTAATAAAATGCCAAAGTTCTGAGGAAGCGCACTTCTCTCTTGCATTTTGCGCTAAGAAAGTGTTATTTCACAAACTCATCAGTCGAACAGTACATTGTGTGGCCCAACGATTGATCAAAGCCATAACCAGAAACCTGAACACGTGTTAGGGATTGAGGGTGATCAGAGTTTCAACCCCTGGATGGTTGAAGTAATGACCAAACGTACTTCACTCACACCGGGCACGCAAACTTGAGAAATGATAGAATTCCCACGGTAGACGCGCGGAGGAAGCTTACCCGAATCGTTCAAGCCATTCGATCAAGCCACTTTGCGTAGAACCATTGGGAGGGAGTGTGTTTCAATACTCGCCAAAATCAACTACATCTTTGGAATATATGGAAAACCACTCATAGAGCTGCTAATTTTCTCGATTATACCTTTCGCCCTTCGAGCTTGCGACAGCCTTCCGCGGATCCAGGATTCTTGTGCAGCGCATCTATTCCGTGATAATTCCGACGCTTGACCGAAAGAACACAGGCCACTGACCGCATTCGAAACGAAATGACCTGCTGGACATGAACCGACCCTTCCATATCTGAACTCTGTGGATGAATTGCCTCCATGAGCTGGAATCTGCTTGAGCGGTTCATCGAGTCCGAACACTTCAATAAGGACCCCTCGTTGACCGTCGCTTACCTTGCGTATGCCAGTCCCTCTCTGGTCACGGAGCAGGTCCTAGGCATTGATCGCGCTGACACGAAACTAGTCGCTATGCCGAGCACGTCGGTATCCACTATGTGCTCTGTTCGAAACTGCGCCGCTTCAGCTATGAAGAGATCGAGTTCTTCCTCCCGCAACTATGTCACCTCGTCATATCGATCGACAACGAGTCGATGGCCCTCGAAGAGTTCATCGTAGATCTATGTGAAGAGTCGGTCAATGGTGCATTGCTGGTACGCTTGCTGGGTGAAGTGGAAAAGAATCCGGACTGACTTCCGACATAGACCTTCTGGCTATGCCAGACATATCTCCACGATCTGTCCCGCCTCCCGACTACGAATGCCTTCCAAACTTGTCGGCGGATATACAACAGAGTTCAAAGAATCGTGTTCGGTAGCGGTGAGCCCGTGAAAAGAGAGCGCATCCGAGAGAATGTTCTTCCTGTGACAGTTCTTTCAAGTCTGGTACTGGCAAGCATTGCTGTGCCCACGTTGGCATGGCACGCGGGCCCACTTGCCATAGCGCAAGCACGACGGCCACGACCTGTGGAGCCCGAGCCTGTGGAAACATCAGCAGGGGCTCCCCGGGTGCAGAGAGTGCCCTCGGCCTCTGGGACAAATCAGATCGCTGCTAGGAAGGTTCGGCAAGGAGCTACCGACACGAGAGACGCCGCGTCACGGAAAACGCGAAAAGTATCCGAGCAGTCGCTGAATGGAGCAAAGTCGCCACAGATCAGGCAAGGACAGCCGGCGACAGAAGGGCGACCTATGCATGCACATCGCCAATCGATTGCGGTCGTACGAAACAGCGAAGCATTGGTCAGTACTGCTTCGCTACCAGATCAAAGAAATTCGGACGGAGCGAAAATTACATCGCCTTCATCGCCCGCCATACCAAAAAGGATAGCAGGAGACCTTCCAAGACGACATTCGCAAGTTCTACGATCGGTCTCATCTACATCTCTATCGAGGGCCCAGAAGGTCCGTATGATTCGGCAGAACTACTTTCGCAATCAAACACAGCTTATCACTGCGCTTGAGAATATATCATCGCGATTGGTAAGCGTCCCGAAGCCGGCACGGCTGAGTGCTCTACGCGCGGAGCTTGGTCTTCTTGCTCAGGATCTTCCGGCAGAAGTTGATATTCCTCTTATCTGCCCAGCGACTCTCGTAGACGGAGCAGCAAGTAAAAGTCGGCATCATCGCATTGTGAGACTAAATCCAGCTGAGGCGACCAGCCTTAATAGCGCAGAGAAAGTCCCATATCTGCTTATGCTTGAGGTGTTATTGGAGGATTTCGACTTCGATCCGGAAACGCCACAGAACCAAGAATTGTTGGCAAATTTGTTGTCTGAAAAAGGCAAGCCGAAGAGGCGATTGTTTGATACTGCAGATGCAGCCAGACAAAGTGCTGCGCGCGCAGCCAACGAAGAAGAACGAATCGATAGTGTTTTGGAGCCTACTGCTGGCGATCTGTCCAGCGCAGCCCTGATCCAAGATGTGGAAACCAATCCTGGCAATACGCGCCCACATTTGATCACGTTACAGTCATCTGGAGCGATCAGTTCGAGCTCGGCTGTGGAGCGGCTTTCGACATCGCGCAATTCAGAAGGTCCGACTAGCAGATCAAGTAGCTCGGCCGCATCACCATTCCTCCGAGCGCAGAATCCTGTGCAGCCAGATGTATCGGCCTTGGCGGATCACATGCGAACGGCATCTTCAATGCTTGCGCAATTAGAGATGAGTGCGACAAGGAGACCGAAAAATGAGGTCGCAGCGATCAAAGCCAAGATCATCGCCAGTATGCAAACGTTGGAAGAGCAGAGCTTCTCGCCAGAAGATGCTCTTCAAACGCCAAGTTTTGAATCTATTATTGCTAAAGCCGGCGCCGCTGCGGCTCAGGCTGAGCCTGGAGACATCGAAGACGACGCCTTAGAAGGTCCGGCAGATCCGGGACCCAATGCTGGCAAAGGTGCAGCCCGCATGGAAAACGATGCCGTCACCGGTGGCCTCCAGCGCAAGGGCGATCGTGATGATCCTTCTGCTGCAACATTTGGTGAAGCCTGGGAAGTGAAGAAGGAGCGTATACGCAAGACTTCTCCTTATGGTTGGATCAAACACTGGGATCTCATTTCAGTGATTGTCAAAACTGGAGACGATCTCCGGCAAGAAGCCTTCGCCTGCCAGCTCATCACCATTTGCGCCAAGATCTTTGCCGAGCACAATGTGGACGTGTGGGTGAAGAACATGCGCATTCTGGTCACCGGCGAGGCCTCGGGTCTTATTGAGACTATCACAAACGCTGTGTCACTTCACTCGATCAAGCGCTCCCTCACGCTGGCTTCCATAGCTGCCGGAACTAACCCCAAGAAACGGATTGCCACACTCCAGGATCACTACGCGCGCTCTTTTGGCGCTGACGATTCTCGCGCCTATTCCAAAGCCATGGACTGCTTCGTCCGTAGTCTCGCAGCGTACAGTATCATTAGCTATGTCTTGCAGCTCAAAGACCGCCATAATGGCAATATCCTCATCGACTCCGACGGCCACGTCATCCACATCGACTTTGGCTTCATGCTCAGCAACAGCCCAGGAAACATGGGCTTCGAAGCCGCGCCCTTCAAACTCACCATGGAATACGTCGAACTGCTAGGCGGGGTTGACGGCGGCTATTTCGCAAAGTTCAAGGAGCTGATGAAAGACGCCTTCCAAGCCTTGCGCCGCGAGGCTGAGCGCATCGTCACCCTTGTTGAGCTAATGGGCAAGGAGAGCCGCATGCCGTGCTTCAACGGCGGCCTCGCGAGCGTGGTTGCGTCACTGCGCGCCCGCTTCGTGCTTGAAAAGAGTCAGGAGGAGGCGCGGGAGTGGGTGGAGGATTTGGTGGTGAAGAGTGTGGGCAGCTATTATACCCGTCTTTACGACACTTATCAGTATCGCACGCAAGGAATCTATTGACGAGTGAGAGCTATGGACAATATAATTCCTGCTAGAACCTAGAGAGGCAATTTTCAAAATAAAATTATGGCATTCAGGACCAGTGATGCTCAACTGGAAATCATTGGTGTTCCAATGTTGATTCGGACTAGGTTGAGACCTGGAGAAAGATTCTTGCGTGTCTGAGTCTGTTCGAACATCTGAGAGCACCTGCATTATTGGCAAGACTGCCGCTCACTAGACCGCATGAACTTCTGCAACGTTCGTGATTGCGACCCAGACTCATCATTCTTTTGTCTCCAGCATCCACATCATCAACCGCTTCGGCCAACCCTAAGCCATCTGGTCAAAATGGGCCCGCGGTGAATCAGCTGATTACATCACATCATTCAGGCGCGTGGCGGGGTGTCTTCGACTCACAGCAGGGGTCCATGGCGGAACATTCGAAATAATTTCTAAGCATGTGAAATTATTGAGGATTGGAAATCAGGTGAAGATCCTTTTTTTCGAACAGACATTTAAACACTCGACAGGAATACACATAACCACATCTGCCAGCCTGCAGAATATTTTCAAGATCACTTTCTATACAACTGCGATTTTACTCGAAAATGGCTGATCGTCATCATGAAGATGTGCACCCCGAAGGGGACGAGGACGACGATGACATGCTCGACATGGACGAGGCCGATGAGGTTCTCGAACAAGGAGATGACGCCGCCATGGATTCTGGAGACGAAGACGACGAGCAAATGGACGATGAGGAAATCCAACTTCAGAATGACAGCGCTGCCCATTTCGACCACCACAAATCGAGCATCTTTTGCATAGCACAGCATCCTACACGACCCGAGATCGTTGCTACCGGTGGCGGCGACGATATTGGTTACATTTGGGATTGTACGCCATCCGAGGGACCTGTGCTGCCGGCGAGCTATGAGAGCAATCCACAGCCGCGTGAGCGGACAGGACTTGCTGTTTTGGCCAAATTAGAGGGCCAGGACGAGAGTGTCAACAGCATTTGCTTCACGTTTCCACAGGGTGAATATGTGGTGACCGCTACCCTTGCTGGTAAATTGAACATCTACACGACACCGACCGATTCAGCGCCATCACGACTTATTAGCTCAGCAAAGGAGGTGGAGGAGATCAATTGGGTAGCACCGTGTCCAGGCGCAGCAAATGCCAACACCATTGCATTCGGTGCCAGCGACGGCTCGGTCTGGGTGTACCGAATTGATGCTTCAGACTCAACGAGCCCCTTGACCATCGTCCAGACATTCTTCCTGCACCAATCGCCTTGCACGGCTGGCGCCTGGACGCCAGACGGCAAGCTTCTTGCCACGGTCGACGAAGAGAGCAGCCTGTACGTCATGGACGTTTTCGGCGAAGCAGCAGCTGCAGGCTTTGTGAACCCTACCGGTGGACAAGCCATCATCAGTCTCACAGCCGCAGACGAGCGCTTCAGAGTTGACGGCGGTCTCTACAGCGTCGCGATTTCCCCGGGAGGAGGCATCGTCGCGGTGGGCGGAGCAGAAGGAAACATTCGTATCGTCGGTCTCCCTAGACTAGCCGCTACAACAAGCAACACTGCTGCCGCTGGCAAGGGTGCGGCCGCACGCGGCAAAGCCAGCGCCGCCAAACCAGCCTCAGCGCAAGCGGCATCGGCAGGCCAAGCAGGACAGATCCTCGCCAGTCTCAAAGCGCAGACCGATGGCGTGGAGACGCTGGATTTCAGCCAACCGCCACTGACATTACTCGCGGCGGGGAGTGTCGACGGGTCAATATCGTTATTCGATGCAGCACACAATTTCGCCGTGCGAAGACAAATTCCCGATGCACACGAGGAGGAGGCGGTGATCAAGGTGGAGTTTGTGAAGACGCCGCTGGGCACGGTGAATGAGCGAGGACACATCTTGACATCTTGCGGGAACGATGGCGTGGTACGGAGATGGGACGTTAGAGGCGGTACTGCGGCGGTGAATAAAGGCTTCGCGGGAGAGTGGAAGGGACATCGGGGAGGTGGTGATGGAGGTGGAGTCTTGGGATTTGTGCAAGGAGGAGGCGGCAGTCGAGTCATCACGGCTGGCGATGATTCGGTCGCTTTGGTGTTTGAGACGAAATGAGCATTGCCTAGGGGAAAGAAGAATCTTAAGCCATGTTACGATTTCGGGCAGTGTCAACGGAAGAAATATGAATGGCATCATTCGTGTCCCATGATTTCTTCGCATTCATCGTAAGTTTGTGTACATTCTAGGAAAGCCACCGAAATGGTCGATCAACACGCAGGCTGGGGGCTGCGTCTGCTCAGCAACTGTTCTCTCGCGTCTCGGCTTTGTACGGTCTCCAAAGTTCTGGCTCTGCTTAATCGCTCCTCGGTAATCTGGTAAGCCGTTGGAAGTCCGTTCGCGCTGCAGGCCTGCTGGAACGCGAGCTCATCTTCCGTGCCCGATATCAGCGTATTGGCAATACACTCTGCAATGACCAAGCCGCAAAGCCACGAATTGGGCATTCCGTGGCCAGTGTAGCCGGCCGCCATGTACACATTCGGGTGCCCTGGGACAGGGCCCACCCAGGGATGGTCGTCTCGCGAATACCCCATGATGCCCGTCCACATGTGAGAGGCTTCCAAAAGCCGATTCTGACCAGTGTGTCCAGGCAGGACGAAAGCATTGACTAATTGCCGTCGGAGATACTCCGAGGTCTTGTCGTCGACCACGCTGTCGTCGAAAACGCCCATTGTAGCCGCGTTGCTATGTGCTCGTCCGCCACCAAACATCAATTCCCCTCCTCTGTCATTCGATCGCTGTACGAGATAGTCGTCGGTTCCCGTGGCTTCAAAGCCATATGATGCCTTGAGTCTGTTGTCTCCCGCCAGGGACTCGGGTGGAATCAATGCTGACATTTGTCCTCGGCACGGTACTATTAGGTCAGTGAAGTCAGGTAGGAGATGTGATGTGTATCCGTTGGTCGCCAGAACGACCTTTTTCGCGATGATGGTAGAGCGAGGAGTATTCACTGAAACTCTTTCGTGATCTTGCGTCAAGCTCTCCACCGGGGTCCAAGTCTGCAGGTTGAATCGATTGGCGAATTGAGGTGTTGTCACCAGTTCCTCGAGGAAATTTGCCACAAATTTGTAGGGCCACATGCGCGCGGCCTCTCTGGTAACGACGGCTGCTAGAGCGGTTGGAACGCGCAGGTTGACCAGAGTGTCTCGGTCTGTGACGAGTGTCATCAAGCTCGCCAATTCGGAATGCGTCTTCTTGAGTATTGACAAGCTCTGCTTGACTGTGTTCAAATAATGGTCGTCGTAGATAGCCTTGACACCTTCTTGTGAGACAAATTCGCAGTCGATATCTCGCTCTCTGACGAGTCTTTGGATGGCCTTGAAGTTTTGCCTTTCGAAGAGCGCAATGCTCGGGTCCTGTGGTGACTGAAAAAGGATCGGTTGGCAATGACCACCATTCTGTCGGCTGGTCAATATGCGACGACGAATTTCAAATTGATCTTGGAACATAGCATATGCCATAACATACCCGTCCTGTAGCGCCCCAGCAAGCCTCTCGAGCATCCAGTAAGACCACGCTGATCCTGTCTCCGCTGGCGTTTAAGAGATGATGGGAAACGCTGGCTCCGGTCATGCCGCTGCCAATGATTACCACATCTGCTTTCTCAGGGAGGTCTCGTGTGCTTCGATGGCTCTTGAGAAGAGGCGATGGCTCAATATGCCAGAAAGACGTCGTTGGTTTCTCACTGGGGAGCCCGGACGGTGGTCCAGGGGTGGCTTGAGAACCGGGGAACACAACATCGTTGTTCATGTATACTTTGTCCATCGCGAAGCAAGCGACCCGAAGTATTCGTGTTAGATCTTACCGATAAGAAGCGACTGATATGAGAACCTTGTGTCAGATATACTGAAAAAGCTGAACGTTATCATCTCCAGCGTGGAAGATAAGCTGTTGGTAGCTGCATGCGTGAGCTAAGAATCACGGTACCAAAAGCCAGTACCGACCGGAACGGCACAGTCACCCCCAGATTCACACTATACACTCGATGGTTTGTCACAACATGCATCCATTTCTAGAGTACAACCCGAAGCGTATCATATTATTGAGGGAGTAGGAACGACATCGCCAGATAGCGTTTTGCACAATTGTCAGGTGATTGAGCCATTACAGCGGCTAAGCCAGGGTAAAGAGTGAAAAGACGGCGAATGCGAACAATTTTCGACGCAGCGAACCCTTAAACCGTTGAAATACGAAGATCAGGACTCGATCTCTGCACAGAATATTCGGAGTGCCTAATCATTGAGTATTCAATTATATTCAATTGTAGTCATTTGAATCATTCGACAACCTGTGGTGTTGCCAGGGCTCATGATTAAACAAACAGTTGTCCTTTCATGGCGCGGCGAACTTGTAATCGTATTGCTCCTTCGCCTTATCGGCGAGCGCCTTCAGCTCATTCTCCTTCTCCTTGAAGCCGTCCTCATCGGTAAGTCGCTTCTTGTAGACTTGGTTGATGAATTTGCTCTCGCTGGGGATGGCAGTACCCCTTTGCACTGCCGAACGAGCGTTAATGCGCTCCCACCACTTGTGGAGGTTGGGGAAATTCTCGAGGTTCACACCAGCGAAGTAGGCAACATTCACCCAGCTGAAGTTGGCAACGTCGGCGATAGTGTACTTCTCGCCGACGAGGTAGGTCCGCTCTCGGAGGTGGATGTCAAGGACTCCGTAGAGGCGCTCGGTCTCGCCGACGTAACGTTGAGTCGGGTACGGGATGCGCTCCTTGGCCAGACGGTAAAAACTAACAGGGTTTCGAAGTCAGTACAAACGCATCTCTTACGGAGCAAAGTTTGAAACTTACTGATTCGCTTGTCCTTGCATGGGAGCGAGGCCTTTTGGTGAAAGAGTACAGAGACGTATTAGTTGGATTTATTCTCAAGCAGTCATGCGGTGTTCGATTTCCACGTCCGCCGCTGAGGAGAGAGCTCATCTAGCAATATTTTCACTCACCTGATTGAAGCCATGTGACCCATTGCTCGACTTGCGAGAGTTCAGGATCCTCAGTGAAAGTAAACTTCTTTTCCAGGTCAAAGTTGCGTGCGAGGTATGAGAGGATGGCGCCTCCTTCCATGATACCTAGACCATCGCGGTCGTGATCGATGAGGACAGGAATGCGGCCATTGGGACCCTTCTCCGTGAACCAAGGTTCTTTCTAGATCGAGGTTTAGCTCGAAACATCACAACACAGCTGCAATGACGCATACCTGAATGTTCTGGCCGATGTTGATCGATTGGAAGACGTAGTCGGGCTTGCCGTAAGCCTCCTTGAGCTCCTCAAGGAAGATGCTGACCTTGTGACCTAGGCGGAGGAGTCAGTTTTGCTGCTCTCAAGTGTGTTTGGACGAAGGTAGTACCGTTCGGGGTGCCTATGTGTCGTTGTTAGTAGTTATCATGGTCCTTTAGGCTGAAGACATCACATACCGAAAGTCAACAGCTCAAGGCCCTTGTTTGCAATGAGCTTGTGTGGTCTCTCTTCGGAAGACATGTTGGATTTGTGATTGGTGGATGATGTAAAATTTCTCCCGAGAATATTCGTTTCAATGGCTGGTAGTACTTGAGTGTTCACAAAGGATTTGACTGAGTTGCTTGCGCCAGTCACGCGGTATATGTGTAGTGTCGATCGTGAGATGCCGAGTAATTGTGATCGAAACATGAATGCGAGAAGAGCGACGAGCAGCGCCCGGAAGATCGGTTGCATTTATAATGAGCGCATGCACCTCTACGAAAGTGACGTCCTGGACCTTTTGGTAAGCTGTCAATCGAGCTAATGAATAGCTCTAGGTGATGGAAATGTTCGGGCTTTTTGCGGAATGCTGAAGCTCGATGGCGCGTTTCCAGATCAATAAGCAAACCTTGGAACCCAAGGCCACCGCAATAAATTACCGTCTGGCGCGATGGATAGTCGATGCCCTGTAAGTACGTCTCTTCAGAGATACTCCAGAATATTGGTTCGTGATGACAAATTGCGCAACCTAGAGATTTGTCGTATGTTGTCGTTGACCCGACCCATGCCGCTAATAAACCTTAAGCACATGCAGTTTGGACGTGACGTAGTATTTCTGGACGGTCACGAATCATTGGTCCTAGGGGCTCTCGCGGTTGATATACATAGATTCACGTGAGATTGCAGAGATCGGCATGGGAATATGTCGAGTAACTCATCGGATGGATAGATATTGTAAATCCTACATGACTCTTTGGCACATGAAACATTTCCACATCATATTATATCAGAACATCTCAATGGGCATGACCCCATTGCGTAAGTAAAGGCAACAACATGCCACCAACTGTAACCAAAACACTCAGCATACCATCGCTGTTCGACGGGCTCTTTGAATTAATGCCCTGTGCCGATGATGGTGCATATGGGTTCTCGACGCTTGCGTATCCGTTCTCTCCATCGTGCGAATGTCTTCCACCAGGCTTGCTCGATTCTTGCATGGTGTGGACGGCCACGTACAAGAATGTTCCGCCGGAGAAAAGAAGCAACAGGCCACAGATAAACTCGCCCTCGGTGGAATCTGCGCTGCCCGCGAAGCCTAAGATGTGTACTGCCGACCAAGTGAGAAGCGCACCGACGGGCGCAGCCAGACTAAAAACGACCAGATGCGCGCGAGCCATGCGCTTGCTCAGTCCTTGCTTGAGCAGCACAGATGTCAGACCAAAGGCGGCAGGCGCCTTGTGCAGCATCAAAGCGATGAAGATGATCAAGCTGAGATTTCGCTTTCCAGAACCTCCTGATGCTGCGCTCGATGCGCCGAGCGCAATACCATCTGCTGCTGCATGAATGACGAGACCGAGGGTGGTCGAGCTCGGACGCGATGATTTGTCGATGCTACGGCCCCCGCCTGATGCATTCTCGTGATCGTCCAATGACTCGTCCTCGATGATTGGGTTTGAAAAAGAGCGTAAACGGTTGAAGCTGAACGAGTTCAGGCTGATGGGGAACCGCTGGGGTTGCTGGCTTAGAGACGTACTTGCCTGTTCGGGCAAAGTATCGATCAGATACATCAAGATGAATCCCGCGATGAGCGATACGCCAACCCAAACATGTGGGTCCCGGTGTGCCGATTCGTCCTTGCCCGACTTTGGGTCTGATGCCGATCCACTGTCGTGAGATGGTGATCCAACGATGGGGTGTAGTGCATCGCCTTCTCCATCTTCATTCGTACCAGGATAGCCATCGTCAGGCCCAGTACGCCCACTCACGTCAGGGTCGTAAGTAAACACGCCGTCGCGCGGGAATGATCCGTGTATTTCTACGTTGCTCACAGCTGGTCCCAATGCGACGACATCTCTCAATGCCAAATCCAAACTCCTCGTCCGGTGGTTGTGCGCTTCTTCGCTAGCTCTGTACAATGTCTCCACTCCTTCTGGTATGATGACAATCAACGCCGTGCCGACCAGGACACCAGTCCCCAGAGCAGTTATAAGGCGCAACTGTCGTGGCGTCAGATTTAATGACAATGGTAGAAGTCCAGCGAAGAACGAACTATTTATAATGTTAGCCTCGAGACTTCAAATGACCATTGCGATGTTGCCAACTCACGCTGCTGCCATCACAATGCTCAGCAAGAGCAGCATTAGAAGTCCGGCCCACATCTTGGGCTGGTACATGCGCACAAGGCGCAGAGTCCAATTGTAGACTTTTCGTCAAGCAAACGGTGTAATTGTGCGCCTTTATGGAAATCTTGACATGGTCCTCGTGCATGCGTTGCCGTTCTAGCCTTGGATTTTGCGTGAATGGGTTTTTGTCGTTCAAGACTTTCGTAGATCATGTCCGACACGTGTGTCTCCCTCGGCGCAATCCAAAGGCTTCGAGCCAGCCTTACAGCATTCCGTATGTATTGCGACCCGCTAGCGGCATTCAAGCTCAGCCCTCAATGCACTTTGGCTCACGTCGACGCGTGCACTGATGCTCAAATCGCGGTTCGTCGCGTCAAGCTGGTCGAATTAATACCGTAGACCCTTCCATTAATGATCGATCGCTTGTGACTATTAGCTGCCGAGATACACTTCAACATCCACTGTTTGCGATCTTGACACTATTTCCACACAATTTCAGGGGAGCAAAAAAGGTTCATTCGCGCCTCTCGCAAAATGGCCCGCGCACATGTCGAAGATGATGATGAGCTCGATCAAGAGATTGAGGCCCAGGTCAACGAATGGTCAGCAAACAGCACCGAATGCTTCAGCATCGAATTAGTGAGGAGCGATGGATCCGATATTGTCGCCTTCGAGCCTGCATACACATACGCTATGTTCGGGGAGGAAGAAGCAATCTTCGGATACCAGGGCTTGGAAATCAACCTTCGCTTCGTAGCACACGATCTTACACCAAGCCTCAGCATCAGCCATGCGAAAGTCTTTCCGGCACAGGGAGATGTGCAGCCAACAGATATCAAAGGCGCTCTTAGGAAATACCTGCCTACGCACGCATTTGAGGAAGATGGCGAACAAGCAATCACATCGGCACAAGACTGGCGTCCACCCGGAGAAAAGATCCAATCTTACGATCGCGAAGGAACGAGCTTTGAGATATGGTGTGCAAGTCTTGCAGATCCGGCGGCGAAGAGGCTACTAGAGAACATGCAAATACTCGCACCACTCTTCATCGACGGCGGAAGCATGCTTGAGCTGGAGCAAGATTGGACTACGGCACGCTGGAAGTTGTACACTCTTTATGAGGTTGAGAGCGAGACGAGCGCAAACAATTCTCCATATGTCCTTGCTGGTTACAGCACATCATATCGAAGCTTTACCTTTCCCGATCGATTGGATGTGAACGACACCAAGCAAGACAACATTCTCGCATCATCGTCACAAAGCCTTCAAGACCTTCTAGCACAACCTTCTAGCACAACAAATCATTTCGCGCAGGCGTTGGACCTTTCTTCGCCATTATATCTTCCAAGTCGCGAGCGTCTGTCACAATTTCTAATCCTTCCCTCCCATCAGTCTTCTGGACATGGCCAGGCACTCTACAACACAATGTACAAGCATTTGACTGCGCCAAACTATGTGCGTGAATTCACCATTGAGGATCCAAACGAAGACTTTGATCAGCTGCGGGATGTATGCGATCTGCTCCTTTTGCGACAAGATTCGAAATTTCGGTCATTGGGCGTTCAAGCAGATTCAATTCCGGTAGACAAATTGTCCGCAGAGTCAGAAGTCCCTACAGATCTCATCATTCCCATCCAGCTTCGAGACTCATTAAGAGAACAGTACAAATTACAATCCCGCCAATTCGCCCGCCTAGTAGAAATTCAAGCACTCTCCCAAATACCCGCTTTACACCGATCCAAAGCACGTATCACACGCAAGGAGAAATCCACCAATCAGCATGACAAGGAATATTTCTTCTGGCGCCTCTACACAAAACAGCGGCTGTACATTTTCAACCGGGACCAGATTTCACAGCTAGAAGCATCCGAGCGGGTCGAGAAGCTTGACGCCGCGCTCGACAGCGTTGTTGAGGGATACCAAGAGATCCTGGAGAGGGTAGAACGCATCGAAAAGGAGAGGCCTACATTGTCGGAAGAAATGTCATTTCGAAACAAGCGGAAAAGGAGAAACGTGGTCGACGATGACGATGAGGAAGAAGACAGTGGCGATGTAAACGACAATGAGGGTAATGAGTCTGAACGTGCGCATACCGGAGGCAAAAAGCCACGTATTGAATGATTGATCGTTTCTCTTCTGATTTTGATGCTTAATCCTATCAACCACGAACATGAGCATGGTGCTTCGGCGCAATCAAAGAAGTATCAAGAAGATGCTGGAGAACGTGTGTGCCGTAAAGCAAAGCTTATATTTCCTCGTCGCATGAGTGAGGGAAAGGTCAGATGTATGGCTCGTGATCCGCGAGGTCTATGTGTCTTTCACGTGTGCCAAATCCCCCTATGATGAACTTTTGGCATTTCCACTCCTTCGAGTGTCACTCAAGCCGGACCGGTCGGGACTCAAATTTGCGTGTAGGAGAAATCGCGGATAAGCAGCGCGATAACAACGCGCCGATGACGTCGGCGGGTCCAGAAAGAGCCGCATTGCTCCCAATTGCTGCCAACCCACGTCACAGCTAGTTTACTCGACGTAATAAGCACGCGAGCTCAACCAACTACTTTGTTAACTCTACTGCATTTCTCTAGCTACATCCGCCGGATACTGGCGGCTACTTTAACAAAACCTTTTCAAACCAAGTGAAAGCTTCTCTTCCTTGTCAAGCATATTTTGTTGATATTGTTGTCTTCTTTGATCACCTCTTGACATCCTCGTAGTCGTCCGCCTCGCGCCGATTGCGAAGACGCATAGCTTGGAGCAGCCATTGATATCTTGGACCCCGGCAACCTTCACTACTTAGCAACACAATCACCACCAAAATGGCGACCAAATCAAAATCCACTCCAGGCGTGCCGTCTGCTGAGAAGAAGATTGAGCTCTTCTCCGGCACGTACTTCGCAGCTTGCACATTGGGCGGCATCATTGGTAGGTCCAACCGCCGCCTCAAACCTCTGCGCTCCTGCGGCATCGCGACACAAGAAGAAGCTTGAAGAAACCAGTTTGCTAACTCACTCGGTCCCCAACCAGCCTGCGGACCCACTCACACCGCCGTCACTCCCCTCGACCTCGTAAAATGCAGACGCCAAGTTGACCCCAAAATCTACAAATCCAACCTCCAAGCTTGGGGCACCATCATGCGCAGCGAGGGTGTCCGCGGTATCTTCTTCGGCTGGGCCCCGACCTTTGTGGGCTACAGCTTCCAAGGCGCGGGCAAGTACGGCGCCTACGAGGCGTTCAAATACTACTACGGCGAGCAGCTCTTCGCCGGCGCGCCCAAGACCCTGGTATACCTAGGCGCCAGCGCCAGCGCCGAGTTCATCGCGGATATCTTCCTGTGCCCCTTTGAGGCAATCAAGGTGCGCATGCAGACGACGCTGCCGCCGTTCGCGGGCAGTCTGCGTGAGGGATGGAGCAAGATCGTCCGCGAGGAGGGCTACGCTGGTTTGTACAAGGGCTTGTACCCGCTCTGGGCGAGACAGATTCCCTACACTATGGTCAAATTCGCGACGTTCGAGAGCGCGGTCAACCAGATCTATGCGACTTTGGGCAAGCCCAAGGAGGAGTATGGCACTTTGGCGCAGACGGGAGTGTCCTTTCTGGGAGGTTACATTGCGGGAATAGGATGCGCGACGAGTAAGTTTCTTCCTCTCGGATCCTATTTACCTTTTCCCTCGTTCTCTCCAATCCGGCCATATCCTCCTCGTATCATAACGAGCTTCATAGGCTGACTCAATCTTCTCCGTCCAGTCTCTCACCCAGCCGACGTCATGGTCTCCAAGCTCAATGCCGACCGCAAAGCCGGCGAATCCGCCGGCGCCGCCATCGGCCGGATCTACAAGAACATCGGTTTCTCGGGCCTCTGGAACGGACTTCCCGTGCGCATCGGCATGATCGGCACGTTGACTGCCTTCCAATGGCTGATCTACGACTCCTTCAAGGTCTACTTGGGTGTAAGTCGTGGATTTTTCCCCGTCCCCTCAGAATTAGACTATTGCTTTGAGCTCCCTGGCTGACGTATTCGTTTGAATCTCCTCTGCAGTTGCCGACGACGGGTGGTCACTAGCTTCGACTTCCACACTCACGATCACCCTGTCATTCAACTTTGAATTATCCGGCTACAGTGATACGTTGACGAGACTTGTGATGTTTCAGCGAGCGGGCGTTTCGGAGTAGACACAATTTCTAAGTGGTTGGGTAATGAACATCGGTAGGTAAGGAAAATTGGAATTTGTCAATTAATAGAGGGAGTTCACAGATCTAAACGGAGTCGAATCATCGCACAAATTGAAATCACCGCTCGAAAAGGATATGCTTGCTCCTAATATTTGGATGGAAAATATGGTCATCCCCACCCTCCTCGTAGAAAGGGAGGTAGGTTGCATGCTACTGTGCCTGTTCTAATCACCAGAAATTTCCCGAGCGCCGCATCGTGGGTTAGAAGTTTATCTTCTCCCTACGCCCTGCTGGTCGAAAACTGCTCGGCTCTGATGCATGTAAGGCCGTTGCCTTCCACCCAAGCCTATCCCAAAATTCCGTCAAAAGTCATGATGATATTCCTACATCCCAACCAAGCGACCATTTTCACAATACTCCTAATTCCTGGGTACATGTGCCCTCGATCATGTGCAGTGATCACGACACTTGATCCATGTGTAGCACAGCATCATCCGATATCCTAGAGGACTCGTGGCTGCCGTCGCCGGAAGGGTGTTGTATTCCAGTGCTAGTGCTGTGTGCAGGAACCCGAAGATCCCAGTCGTCTTGCATTATGTCGTCAGCGTCGTGAAATTGGGCTCCGTCGGGATCGGCGGGAGACCGTCGTTCATCCTCGTGAAGCTCTTGGCTGGCATTGCTCTGCGATGACCGCTGTGGTGGCTGGCGTTGTACGCCTGGTAATTGATGATGCTGCTGCTGCGGCTGCTGTTGTTGTTGTTGCGGTCGGGAGTGGTAGTTATGTTGTTGCTGTCTCTGGAGGTTTTGGATCTGTTGCTGCTGATCGAGACCTGGCTGTCCGGCAAGGAATTCGTGCAGGGACAAAAGCGGTCGGCGTGATTTTCTGCTGCTACTGCTGCTACCCGTCTGGTTGTTATCGTCCGCTCTGCCGGTGTCCGATGTCGGGAACATCATTGGCTCGTCGGCAGGTCCATCCTGGTACGATAGATATGGCTGAGAAGCAGGCACCGATGGCAGAATCGGTGTCGAAGCGGAATGAGCATGGCTGGGTGTGTTGGCCAGCGATGTTGACGAACTTGTTGAGGATGAGCCGAGACCAGCCAGAGCTGGGGCAAAGTCTGAAGCGGATCTCGTCAGATCTCCAGGGATCGAATCTGGTGGTGGCGCGAAAGACCAGACTTCCATTATCGTTTTCTGTCCTCGACTCGCGAGAACCACTGCCTTTTCCTGCTCGAAAACCACCCTCCACACAGCCTCCGCCGGGGAGCCTAGCTCTCGGACAAGACAACCACGCTGTAGGTCCCAAACCTTGACGCGACCATCAGATCCTCCCGAGACAATGCGCGTATCGTCAAACTGAAGGCTGGTCACACTGTTGTCATGTGCAGCAAGCCGGTGAATTGCCGAATATGTCTTCAAGTCCCAAACCCTCACACCGCCGTCGCTACCACCAGTCACGAGGATATCGTTGCGCAATTGTAACTGACCAACCAGCGAAGTGTGCCCTTGCAGCTGCGCAAGACAACGCCCATCGCGTGGATCCCATACGCGCACACTTGTGTCTAGTGATCCGGTAGCGATTCGGTGGCCGTCAAATGCAACAGCGTAGATTTGGCTGAAATGGCCTCCCAGCGTTCGGAGACACCGGCCCTCGCTGATTGACCAGATGCGTGCGAAAGTGTCGTATGATCCAGACACGACAAGATCACCATGGACTTCCAAACACCGCACGCTGGCTTGATGGCCGACCAGCACATGTCGACAGACACCCTTTCGGATGTCCCAAACACGAAGAGTAGTGTCTCGAGAACCCGAGATGGCAAGATTAGAACCGCTCATCTTCAAGCAGCGAACCGTGCTCGTGTGACCACGAAGCATATGCTGTGCCATTCCGGTCGTGAGGTCCCAGACGCGGACATCACGATCGCAGCCTCCGCTGACGAGAGTATCGCCGTGCGGGACCATAGCCCAGACACCCATGACGTGTCCTTGCAGACATCTCAGATGGCGTCCTTCACGATCGAAAACATGAATCTTTGCGTTGTCGAGCGCAACGATGATATATTTATTGGTTAAATGCAAAGATGTGACAACGCCTTGCTCGGGCGTGATCTGCTTCGTCTCCACTTTCCCACCGTGCCGCCATGCTGTCTCGACCTGATACCGCTGCTTGAAATGCTTTCGGTAACTTTGGGGATGAGAGGGTCGCGGCGTGCTTGGTGCTGCTCGATTTGACAGAGTATGCGCGAGCAATGGAGCTCCGGCACTTAGACTCGTTCGGCTTGACAAATCTGGCGCGCTGGATGAGAGGCCGGCAAGGGCAGGGCTGAGCGCATGAGAGAAGGCCTGCGAGCCATACGGATGCTGCCCTTGTCTATGATCGGCGCTCGAGGGGATGGGGATCGGCCGGGGCGATGAGGACGAGGGCGCGTCATCTGACAACCTCCGGTAGGCGTGGCTCTCGCAAAGGCTCTTCCACGCCATGTCGTCGCTGACAAGCTCCCTCCAACGGCGGCTGACCTGAGAACTCCGCGCTAGAGATCGTGCATCTCCAATGAAAGTGAGAATGCGTAAGCACAACTCGTTGGGAAGAACTGAAAAGGGATCTCGCTTGAGGCGGGGTCCCACAAAACTGGCAACAAAGCCGAGCAGTTTGCCGTCGCACATGTTCAATAGCTCCGCGAGCATGCGCTGACGTTCGTCATTGTCCATATCTGCGAACACAGCGCGCATGTGCCGATATCCGAATCCATATCCTCTTGCGGATCCCGAGGAGCCGTCTTGTGTGATCGTCCGCGAATGACCGTCTTCTTCTAAATCTAATTCGCCAATATCTTCGCGCGGATCAGCGGTGCTCCAGTCCGGTTCTCTTTGCATAGGTGTCGGGCTTGGTGCTGGCGTGGGCGGACTGGCCGGAGCGGACGGGAGTGTGTTTCCTGGAATGACATTGGGATTTGCTGGGATTGCTATGGGAATCGGCGTGGGCAAGGTCGGGACTTCAGCCATCGAAGCAACTGGTGTAGAGATCTGACGAGGTCTCATGGGACCTTTGCCATTACGCGAGGTGTGGAAGCGATTGTTGTGCGATTGTGAAGACATGCGAGCCAAGGAGTTGGTGGCCTTGGATTGATCGTCCTCGTCGAGGGTAGACGAAGATGTGTAATCCATGATGTCGTTATGGGCGTGGCTGCAACGCTTCTATGACGGATCTCGGCAGCCACGATATTTTGGAAAAGCCGTGAACGCGAATTATTAATAAGATGTATCGGCGCGCCAAGCCGAGCAGACCAGAAATAGGGAAGGAGGATGGTAAAATGGTGATCCAGGAACGACAGTAACAGCTTGCAGCAAACGTCAGGTGGATTACCTCACCAGCACGCCATCAAAGCGAGGTACCGGCTTCAGAACATTCTGGCCTGCTCCAAGAAGCGACTCTATGGGTGCGTGACTTGTTCGAGCGGCGGCACAATCTTATAGAGATTCTTTGAAGATATGTTTGGGTTGTAGCGATGAGTACCACCAATCTCTCCGAAGATTTTGTTGAAAGAGAGCAACCGTGATCTTCGGCGTTGCGCTTTCGGGATATGCGCCGCGGCCAGTGGATGAATTGCGGGCGGACGCGCAGATAAAATCTAGATGCTGATGCGATGCTGCTGAAATTCGTACGTTCTGCGTTATATCCTCACTGGTATGGTAGAGCAATGTTTGTGGTTGCGGAAAATGGCGATGATGGAACCAAAGTCTGGACGAGATTGAGCGGAAAGCGGTGGGAGGATGGTGGTGATTGTCCCAGGGCGGGGAGGAAATGGGCGGTGGTGGTGGCGATAGAAAGCGGAAGCAGTTTGACAGATGAACGACGATGACGATCTCGAGTCGTGTTGTGGTATAAATTGTTGGGTGCTACGTGTGGTGATGGGAACGGCGATGGTGGAAATGGTGGTGATAATGGTGGAGGTGGAGAGGATAGTGGATTATCGTCACGATTGCGGAAAAGAGGCGCCCCAAGCACACACACCAGGAGCAGAACGGTACAAAGCACCACACACACACCTGCACGTTACTTTGATTCAGGGAGAGGAGGGAGGGAGGGAGGATGACGGATGACCCAACCCGTTCGCCGAATACCGCCCGCCAGTGCCGCCCTCACCGTCCCGCTTCCACTACTGTAAATAATCCATTCAGTCGTGCCAGCAGCGCCAGCCCAGCCCAAATTCAACCCCAACCCAGCCAAGTCGAAAAATCTTATCCATGTCGCAATCCATCCACTCCACACAGGTCACGAGGTGGATCTGCATAAAAAAGAGCGTCAAGATATCAAAGATTTCTGTCGTTTCTGCTTCTCCTCCGCGAGATCCGAGAGACAAGCGCCGCACGCGCGCATCTATAGATTGATCTATTCCGGAGTCGATTCTCCGTTGACGGTAGGTAGATTTGGTGTCCAGTTGTCCAGCGGCGAGTGTCGCAATGGTTCACTCTCGTCGAGAAAGCGGAGGACATTCTGCCCAGGAGTCCTGCATACAGCACATCTCAAGCGTGCATCACAAAAGCGTGTGTATGATACCAGCGGTATCGATGATGAGATCCTACATCTATAGCGCCTAATACCTCATATGTAGGGAAAACACTTTGTTCTTATCAATATTCATCGAGCCATTTGTCGTATGCCACGCGATCGCTTAGTAAAACAATAGCTTGGGAAAGAAAAAGAAAGTCACTTCCGTCACGCCAAACGGCAGTCGTCACGATCCGCCCAAATGAACTTCCGTGTCATCAGTCACAATGCACGCATGCAAGATCCCTTTGCCTGATCGCACCGCTTTCTCCAATCCACTTACACATCCGCTACCCCAATCGCCGGTCTTCACCCGCCAAAATTCATCCATCCCAAGGTTCTCATACAACAGTCGTTTCCCGGGATGAGATTCCGATCGGACTTGCTCGTGTCATTTTCTGACTGAACAACGATTCGCTCAGAGTAGCCACACACCGCTCGTTTTCCATTTGCTTCCTTTCGTTGAAGTATAGGGCGATCTGACGGATGAGTGCAAGGTTCCGCTCGTCAGGCTATTGAAGGTGGCTCATCGTCCACATTCGTCACCAAGGACCGTCATCATCGAATGAGGTAGCATTTGTCATCTCAATGAGCAATAGAACACATAACTCCAGTTCCGAAAAGGTCTTTCATCAGATATTATTATCCCTACGCCATTCCAGAAAACCTTGCTATAGGAGATACATCGAGCCCCGAGGACAGATCTCTGCTTAGTACGGAAGAGACAGCACGCACGCGCCGAGAGCCAAGATGCTTTGCTTTGACACCGAAAATCCCTAAAACACAATAAAATCACATGAAGAGGCCCCCAACTATATCCCTCATATTCTCAGGTCTGCGCCGGGCTCTTGGGCACCTGCACTGGTCGGTCGGGGTAGTAGAAGTTTTCCTCCGGGACACGGCCACGCAGGAATTGTGGCTCCGAGCCACGAACGTAGATGTCCTCGAAAAGGACCTCCGGGGTCGCGGGTGGGACGTCCATGGCCTCAGCCGCGGCAACCTCCTCATCGACGTGGCTGCGGGCCTCCTTGTCGATGGCCTTGAGCTCGTCCTCGGTGACCACGGTCCAGTCGAGCAGCTTCTGCTTCAAGCCGGCGATGGGGTCGTTGGTGGAGCGCATGCGTTGAATTTCCTCGCGGGTTCGGTAGGTGGTACCTGGGTCGGACATGGAGTGACCTCCGTATCGGTAGGTGACGTATTCGTAGACGAGAGGACCCTTGCCAGCGGCGCACCACTCCTTGCCGTACTTCACAGCAGCCTTGACAGCGAGGACGTCCATACCATTGATCTTGAGACCCGGGATGTATTGTCCACGCTTGTAGTAGTCGGTGATCGCGGAGGAGCGGTTCGCTGCTGTACCCATACCGTATTTGTTGTCTATATCGAAAATATGTCAGCACAATCCGTCCACATCTGATCAAACACCCAGTAGAGATTTGCACGTACTCTCGCATCCAAAGATGACAGGGAGATTCCATAGCTTAGCCATGTTGAACGCCTCGAAGACTTGACCCTGGTTGCTAGCACCATCACCGTAAAGAGCAAGGGTCACGTTCTTCTTGCCCTCATACTGGTTCGCAAAAGCAATTCCTGCACCGACCGGTACTTGCGCACCGACGATACCGTTGCCACCGTAGAAGCCTGTCGAGAACATGTGCATAGAGCCTCCCTTGCCATAGGCGATTCCCTCCCGTCGTCCGAGCAATTCGCCGATGATGGAACGAACGCTAGCGCCGCGCATCAGGGCGAAACCGTGGCATCGGTAGGCGGTGATAAGGTGGTCCTGCTTCTCAATGGAGTGCTCGATACCGACAGCGACAGCTTCTTGACCGGTGGAAAGATGGCAGAAACCTCGAATCTTCTTCTCTTTGTATAATCTGTCGGCGGCCATTTCCATTCGTCTGTCATCGTCGTTCTCAGTCAGCCACAGATCCCCCTCAACAGCGCTTTATCCCAGTCATCACATACCGAATTGCGACCATGTCGTAGTACATTTTTTTCAGCTCTTTCTTGGTTGTCTCTAATGTGTATGGTGGCGGGTCTAGCTCGTAGGTCTCGAAAGCTTCGTCTGACAGCTTGACCTGGAAAGGCTTGTCGTCCTCCTGCGATAATCGTGAGAATCATGCGCCATGCAGTTCAAGTACATTGTGTTCAAAAGCTGGCTGACCTCTGGCACATCATCCTTCTCCGCGTGACTGCTGGCAGCATCGGTTGTGACAGTTCTCAGCGCTGGCATGCGTCGAACAGCGTTGAACCTGGCCGCAGGCGCAGCCGCGAAGGCTCGCGGTGCGAACTTGGACAGCATTGTGTGAGAATGGTACGCACGTCCCAAATACACAGATCCCGAACTAATCTCAAGACTGTGCAATTCCTGTGCGTCGAAAGAAAAGAGAGAATGCAAAAAGATTGTTGATGGTGATTGACACTCGCAGGGCTGGAGAACTACTGTACCTCCACAACGGAAGTGTTGACGAAGGTGAGAGCTCACCCCAACGCCCAACGGCAAAGGACGGGCCAGCGGTCGTAGCTCGCCCGCAAAGCCGTTGTATGAGGGCCGATTGCCCACTCGATCCGGTGCTACACCCAAGCCTCTCACGGGGAAAGCGTGGGCCAAGGGCTTTGTCTATTTGCAGGGGCTCTCTGCCTCCCTGCGGCATCACTTCGGTTCTTTTCGTCCACCGCTCGCACAGGTGAAGTAATTATCTGCCATGCCCAAGAAATCCCAAGAAAACGTGGTGCCTGCATTTATTTGTTCAGCGCGCTCTACTGCCTGCATGAGTTACAAAATGATGGGTGCATTGAATGCTCCATCAATGTGTTGAATCTCACAGCACAACTTGCGTCCATCGCAGTGGCAACGTCATGGTTCGACGAGCGGCAGCGGCATTGGCGCTTGTTCTTTCTAGAATGCGGCTAACCATGTGCTGCAAGCGCAGCTTTGTGGAAACGGACATCTTTTCCAGCCAAATCATCATTCGAATCTCTGGAAGCATCCCTGGATGGAAGAATAATGTTTTGCATACCATCACTACCAAGTTCGATTTGCCGGATGAGCTACCTGGGAAAGCCACGTGCCTAGACAGTCTCTGATTGGATGGTCAACTCGTCGCGGTCACTTAGCGTGTTGCATCTTCATGCTGCGGGAGATCCAACCATCAACGTGGCAAACAGATGTACTGGGCGAGAATTAAACTCCGTCTGGTACGCGAGCTACTTGTCTCTTTCGACACACAGTGATATCGTGATACCAAATCCCGACTCATTTCCAGTTCCGGTCCTTATTTGGCTGCTAATTCAGATCTGTGGCCAAGCTCTCAGTGAGTGCTCTCCTGCCGCCACTCTGCTTGTACACATACGCGCCCAGGCATTTTCTGGGCGCAGCAAACTTGAAGCTGGAGCATAAATATCGAATTCCAGAAAGCCGATGATCATGGGTGGTTTGAGGTTCAGTTTGGCCATTTTCATCTTTGTGATATCTCGTCTCACTTGGATGCCACGAATTCTTGCACTTCCAGGTTTTCGCTCGCAAAGACCGAACAAGCGATTGCTCATTAGATCAATCAGGCTTTATTCCACGGGCCGGAGAATGGTTTGGTCAGCAAGCAGGCGCTCTATGAGAGCAAAACCCATCCTCTGGGATATGATGTGCAGACCGGCATTTCCAGCTCGCACAAGTGTAGCGACGTGCAGTATTCGGAGTTCCATTACCATGTTGTCATTCGGGCCAGCATCCATCGTCGTCTACTTGCCTTCAAGTCTCATCAAACTCGAGATGCCTTCTCCGCTCCTCCGCTTCCTCCTTGGCAACTTGTAGGTCGTCGCTGTCAGCATCACTTCCTGCAGACCATAGAGTCTCAAACTCGGCGTCATGGCCTAGATTCGTCACTGGTGCTTGTGCAATCGCCCATATCCCTTCTCTTGCCCGCTTGTGTCGCTCACGATCTTCTTCAATACGTTGCTCAATTTGTCTTTTGTCCAGCCTGATCGCGGAATGTCCTGCCGACAGGGAGTCGCGTGACGTCCCATTAGCAGAGCTTCGAGCTGACCTATGTGGTACATCCGAGGCAACCAGGCCATTCGCACCGCTTGGTGAAGGCGGCATTCCGCGCATGCTCTCTCTTCCAGTAATACACTCGTCCAGTTCTTTGACCGTTTGAGGTTGCAGGAACGTCTTTTGTTGCAATTGCTGCAAGACCTTCCTCACCACTTTGACGTTGGCGGCTCCGCTCCCATCATCTGGCGCTACGAGATCGATGATCCTCAAGATATCCCTCTCCATCATGCGTATGTAGCCCAGCTCCCCTTGATTACGCGCAGCATCGCAGAGTGCAGGCAAGAAGTACATGATGTTGGCCCGATTGTTCATATTGTTGCGTTCCAACTGCTCGAGGATACACGAGTGGAGATCGTCGCTGAACTCAACGTATCGCAAGGCGTAATTGGCGGCTTTCAGTGCAGAATTCGTGGATGCGTTCATTTGCTGAAGGTGTGAGGTGAAGCGCATGCGGACTTCGAATGGGTCGGCCATCTTGTATGAAGGCTCGCTGCGTGCGCAAGATTTGACAGCAGATTGTTCTCCCGGGAAAGGTATTAAGGTCTTGGAGAGGTCTACATGCTCCCTTGCCGCTAGATCGGGTGTTGCGATTGCCTGGAAACGGTGTGCGGCGGATAGCGAAGGTCCTGAAAGATAAAAATACCTAGTAACGTACCCTACTACCGAGCCGGTCACACTACCGAGCCGGTCAAGTTTCCGTCCAATGTGCCTTTGACGACTTATTGCAATTACAATATTATAGCTATACTAATAACGACACCAGTATTACAAAGTACAGGTTCTACAGTTATGCTCAAATGAACCACATCTACTACACCTGCTTGGTGCTTTTGTACGAGCACGTTTTGGCTGCTCAATTAGTAATGCTGAATCAATATTCTCAGCATTATTCTGCAATTGCTCCGCAACTACCTCGTTCTGAATAGACTCC